GCTGCAGTCGAGGTTTGAGCAGGATATACTCCCATTGTGCTGATGCTTTGCCGTTGATTTTCCTTGGGGCTTTGCACTTTGGACACTCTTCTTTCTCGGAATGGGGACCCGTGTACGAGATGTGGTTTGCGGGACAACGGTCATACTTCATGGTGAGTCTGTCATCCGAAAAGCGTTTTGCAGGCAGGAGGCTGTCCAAGTCGGCTGCAGCCCGCTTCGATGAGTAACCAGACATGCTTGGTAGGGGCAGGTTGTCGAAAGCCTTCCGGGTAACATTATTCTGGACTTTCCAATTGTACAGCATGAGCCTCTCACGGGCGGTCTGGTCATCGACAGTGTAGCCTACAGTCAATCAGCAAGTTATCAACAATCGAAAGCACCGATCCAGCCTCACTGATGGGTCCGAGTTCTATCATCTTTCGAGCACGCATCTGCTCGCTTGCCGATGCTTCATCACTCATCCCACTTGAGCTTTCCCTCTCTGACCGCTCGCTAGAGTCATCGCTTTCGTCTCCACTGCTTCCATCCCCACCATCACTTTCACCATCACCACTTTGATCCGAGTCGCCGGAGGCTTGGTTTTCATCTCCAGGAACGACCTCCCCTGCTCTCTCGTCTTCCGCATCCGAGTCGTTCGCATCTGGGAGAGAGTCGACAGTGCTGGGAGCTTGGCTGAGCGAGGGTGGTGCGCGGTGCTGCATTTGAGAATTGGGTGGCTCGGCGGAGTTTCGCTTAAAGGTGTGAGCGATGTCTTGCTCGTCTTCGACACCATGACACTCACATTGCCTCTCTCATCACCAGCTACCAACAAATTGCCACCAGAGACACCGTGTCTGAGACCCTGAGAGCTCATCTGCTGCGACCGCTGCTCGATATCCTACAGTGCATTAGTATACTATCTGCAATGCCCAGCATAAGTAACTCACATCTTCCACATCTTCGCCTCTTGGTTCGTCGTCAATGACGAGATCACCACCTCTGCCTTCATTTTCTGATTCCTGGTCTTCATTCATATGTCTGGCCCTCTTACTCCCTTCACCTTCCAGCCTCTCTTGCTCCGCACCTCTGTCCCTCTTCTTCAGACGGCTCTGGTGGTAATCTCTGGTGCCCTTGCTTACGAGCTGGTTGCAGCATTCGCAGATATCCTGGCGACTTTTATAGTTCCTGTCCTTGTACTTCTCGAAGCCGGGCATGTCGGGTGGTCGGTGAGCGTGAAGATGTTCGTTTGTCGTTTCGTAAGATTGCTCGTCGGTTGGTGGCTTTTGCCCAACTTTTGCCGGTCCTCTGTCAGCGGTCAGCCAGCGGCCTGTGCCGCCGGTGTGACGTAACCTCAATACGCTCGGACGTCCGACGCGAATCAGGAACAGTTGACTCACCTCGAGTCACCTCCCCCCATCTATCTGCATCCAATTTGCATCTCTTTTTCTCTTTCACATCTATACAAGCTACTTCTGATCCGTCATCTCTGGAATTCTCTGGCCGTAAGTTCAAACCCTGTGTTTGTTTGACGCATCTGACACCCTCTAGGCGGCGATCAGGAAGGCCGCCGACCTCCACTTGGGAGACAAGGTCGGCCAAATCCTGCTCTCCCAAGTGGAGACAGACGACCTAGCCCTCATCAAGCATGCAGTAAGTTGCTCTACACCTCATTCTCGCACAACAAGGCTAATATATCATTAGATGAGAGCCAAATTCCCAATCCTCTTCGCCGATGGCTCTCGCTTCGTGCGAGAGTGGCCCATCGAGTCTCTCCTCAAGCAGCGGCTTGACAACTCCAAGAAGGAAGCCCGGCGGAAGGCGCAGGAGACCACTGGCGTTTAGTATCTGGTCATCATATCTGCATGTATCTGATGCGAGTACTCAAATAAACCTGGAATGGCGGTTAATTCTACCCTATATTCATACTCCAGGCAGGTGATTATAACCCTCAAATATACCCAATATAAGCGATTATATCAAGCTGAATAAAGGGTAATGATAACCTCCATTTAACCCATGCATTAGATGATTCCAAGCTGCAACTAGGGTGATCTCAACCTGAAACTACGGTATCATTGAGCTACAATTACGGTGATCATGATCACCGGACTTTCCGGTTTTTTGCCCAATAACCTATACATGAGGTGATTCCTTGAGTCCGGATTAAAGGGTAAAAATCACCTCGCGCGCGGCCCGTAGTGCTTCATATATCGCCTATTTGACTGTTGTGTCATGGACGGAAGGTCAGCCCCGTGCCCGATTGAGTACAAGGCTGCAACTTTACATCGGCTCTGGCAGTGCTGATCTCCTGTCTTTGGGCTTGCTCGGATAATTGTACGGAAGTAGGCCGTGAGATAAACAAAGACCGGTGAGACGAGAACCAAACACGTAAAAGTTTCCGTTCGCCGCAATAATTATTCCCTGCGCTGCGCCAGGCTGGACAGTGTGCTGACTTTCTTTCTTCTTCTGGCGTCTTCTTCTGGCTACGTATTCGGATCCTGGAGCTTCTGGCGACTCAGGCGAATGGCATATGGCGAATGGCACAACTGACTTCAAGCATCTTCCTTCTTCCATCCCCTTTTCCCCTGCATTCCTGGATCCTGGACACCCTCTTTGTTCCGTTGCTACCCTGATTTGTTCTTCCGGGCTGTCTCATGCCGGCCTCAAGTGCTTCCAAATCTCGCGAAGGCCACTGGCTTGCCTTAGTACTCGGTAGTGGCGCCCCCCGCCATGCCGCCATGCCCCCCCATGTGCTGCCAGACGCCGAGTTTTCATTGCTGGCATAGATGCATATGCCTGTGCTGAACCCGAACAACATGAGACATGGATATACGATGAGACATGGATATACGTACACGTACGAGAATATCCGAAGAGGTTGACGAGGACCACCCGAGGTGGACGAGGACTGAACGAAGTGGCTTTTCTCCTCATCTCCGAAATTTGAAGAATATAATTTCGGGCGACTTTTTCGGTAGCCGTCGCTCGGCGCAGTGGGCGGTGGAGGTGGCTTGGAATGACCGGCTTTACAACAAACTTATTATAAATCTATGTCAGCTCGAAGCGAGGGGCTTGTGTCGAGCCTAAAAAGACATGATTTGCTTCGTTAATAATGCATTGCCTACGTACGCATCATTGAAAGCTCGGATGAGCGAGTTCGTGGTAATGTCGTACAGTGATTAATTGAAGGCTGTATGCACCATAGCCCACATTGCTGCCACATTGACACTTGAACACCCATCTCCACTCTGAGCTCGCTCTCAGTCTGGTTCCCCAACACTTCCACCCCTGCTTCTACCCCTGCCACATCGCGCCTCCTTTACACTTGTGCCGTGCACCAAATGCCTTCCTCAACTACCAGGGAGGATGACAGCTCGTCAGATGCCAGCGTGTTTTCGTCACTGGCGGGGCCTTCTTGCCTCGGTGACCTCCGAAAGCTCTCATCCCAACCGTCGTACCCAATCTACATACCCCCTGAGCCCGTGTACTCTTCAAAAAGGCGGCTGCCCCTTCTCCTCTCGCGAACGATACGGCAAAGAAGCGACCATCTTAAGAGAGATCAAGAGAAGAGCTGTCGAGCGCACAGCAGAGCAGGGCATGCAGGAGGGCTCGTCGCAGCGTGCTAGAGACGCAGGCGTGAGTGAAAGTATGCCATCTTGGCATCCGGAGCCCACTGATATCGACCATCTGTATCCAGAGCAACAAGTCTCAGAAAGGTCCCAATTGGCCTGTCCACAGTTTGTTCAGCATACCTGGATGCACATCCGAGTCTATGCACACACATATGTAGATATGACTGTGGGGTGATGACAGGATAGGAGACAGGAATACGCATGGGGACAACACATACTCGCGTGCCTGGGCATTGATCGGCGTCTGAAGGGGAGAGGCTAGATGCAGCTGGAAAGTATGGTTCCAGGAACGTGCCTGTGCCTGTGAGATGGCCATTGTTCTGCTGACTTGAAACACTGCAGGGCCGGGCGCTGTGTGCATCCTTTGTTGCGACTCTGCGCCCTCCGCTCGGGCCTGCATACATGCTCACTGTCCACGGTCATCGCACTTCTCTTTCCCTCCCTCCCCCACCTCATCCACCATGGGCTGCGCGCAATCCACAGAAGACTCCGCCGCCAAGGCCAGTACGTCCCTCCCCTCCCCTCCCCACCCCGTCTTGCTGACCGCCTTCTCAAGGGAGCGCCGAAATCGACGAGCAGCTCAAGCGAGACCGCGCAAACCTCAGGAATGAGATCAAGATGCTCCTTCTCGGTGCTGGTGAATCCGGAAAGTCCACCGTCCTCAAGCAGATGCGCCTCATCTACAACAAGTGAGAGATGCGCTAGCCGAGAGCACAGGTCCTCAATGCTGATCGACCCCACTCGCAGGCCGTACGATGCCGAAGAACGCGACTCGTATAGGGAAATCGTCTACTCCAACACTGTCCAGTCGATGCGTGTGCTCCTCGAGGGGGTCCAGCTCATGGACATCGCCATCGAGCCTTCAAACCAGCCCCGATGGGAACTCATCATGGCCGCGCCACCCCAGATTGAGGGCGACGTCTTCCCCGCCAAGCTGACCGATGCCGTGTCTGGGCTTTGGTCCGATCGGGGTGTGCAGCAGGCGTTTGGCAGGAGGAACGAGCTGCAGTTGAACGATTCGGCGCCATAGTGAACATACTTTGAAATTTTTACCTCGAGTACCTGCTGACACTGCGTCAGCTACTTTGAAGCCATCGCGAGAATCGCCCAACCCAACTACATGCCCAGCGACCAGGATATCTTGAGAGCTCGTGTCAAGACGACGGGTATCACGTCAGTCACAACTCACCATTCCGATACCTCAACTGACGCGGACATAGCGAGACGCACTTCAAGATTGGTGAACTCACATACAAGCTTTTCGATGTCGGTGGTCAGCGTTCCGAGCGACGAAAGTGGCTCAACATCTTTGACTCTGTCACCGCGCTCGTCTTTTTGATCGCCATCAGTGAATGTACGTCTCAACCATCCATCATAAACGACTCGCGCTGATGTATCGCAGACGACCAAAAGCTGTACGAAGACGAAACGGTCAACCGTATGCAAGAAGCCATGACCCTCTTTGAGTCTGTCGCCAATTCTCGCTGGTTCACCAAAACCTCCATCATCCTTTTCCTCAACAAGATTGACATTTTCCGCGACAAACTCCCCGTCTCGCCCCTCCACCACACCTTTCCCGATTACAGGGGTGGGAGCAACTATGATGCGGCGTGTACTTTCTTGTTGGAAAAGTTTGTCGGCCTCAACAAGAACCCGTCAAAGAGTATCTATGCCCACTATACAGACGCGACAGATACCAAGGCGTTGAAATTCGTCATCTCTGCTATCAAGTGAGTGCATTCATCGTTTCTTACGCACGCATTGACTCTTGCGCAGCGATGTCATCATCCAAGTCAACCTTCGCGACTGTGGTCTCCTCTAGATTCCTCCATCCCTAATTATCCATCATCACCTTGTTACAGCCCATACCTGAACAGCGTCCTCCCATCATCCATTTGCATGTACATAGCTTACCTTCATATCTCTTTCTTCTGTAATTAATCCATCGGCGAGACTCGCCGCGAGTATGGGCTCTATCGTTATCGTCTTTGTGCCCATAGAGTATCTCCTGTTCTCCCGCAGAGCTGTAAAGAGCTAAAGCTGGTTGAGATACGGCAGGAGGGGGCGGCTGTCTTGCAGTGTCGTTGTCGTTGGATCTCGGGGAGCCGTACGTAGTAGAGCTATGCATCGAGTGCCTCCCAACCGTCCCCCGTGACGAGGGAAGACATAGAGGTTGTGACGCGTAATGTATGTACGCGTCGGCGCGGGAAAGTCATGACGTGTCCATGACCCACCCTTATTCTACGGACTCTCCCTTCTTCTGCATATCCCACAAGTACATAACGTATTCGTCTTTGCCCCATACCCCATTCTCTCCGCCATGTCTACCAAGTGGGTTCCTCTCGAAGCCTCTCCCGACGTAAGTCTCCCGCCCCCGCCATCGGCCTGTACTGACCCGCCCTTCCCAGGTGTTCAACGCTGTACGTTTCCACTTGTCCTTCCCAGTGGTCATATCTAATACTATGGCCTAGTGGTCAAAGCCACTCGGTCTTCCGGCTTCTCTCACATTCCAAGACCTCTTCTCCCTCGACCCAGACTTTCTCACCTTCATCCCCGGTCCCCACAAGGCCGTCCTCCTTCTCTTTCCTTCCAAGGGCAAGCTCGCCGAAGAGAGAAAGAAGGAGGAAGAGAACAAGGCTAGTGGGGAGGGTGTGTTCAAAGGTGAAGGAGTTTGGTGGATCAAACAAACGGTAAGCATCTGAGCTGGGCTGGCCGCGCCCCAAGGCAAAGCGCTGACATTGTTGTGCAGATCGGGAACGCTTGTGGATCGATCGGCTTACTTCATTCGCTGTTGAACCTTCCTGAAAAGGGCCCCGATGCTGTTGATCCTTCCTCCAAGCTCGCTCAGTTCAAGGCCGAATCGCTGCCTTTGACCGGTGCGTCAAAGACCCCTTTCGTCTCCTGACGCTCATGTGCCACAGGACTCGAGCGAGCCAAGTTCCTTGACGAGACCACCTTCTTCTCTGACGCCCACACCTCTGCCGCTCAGGAGGGCCAGTCCAGTGTACCTACCGACCTCGAAAATGTCGAGGAGCACTTTATCGCGTTTGTTGAGGCTATCAATGAGGATGGGGAGAAGAGGATCGTCGAGTTGGATGGTGGACGAACGGGGCCTTTGGATAGAGGAGTGTCGACCAACTTTTTACCTGTAAGCTCTTCTCACACATGGAGAGAATCCGGCTTACGCTTGAATAGGACGTTGCCAAGGTCGTCCAAGAGAAATACTTTGACCGCGCCGACGGGGCTGTCAACTTCAACATGATCGTTTTGGCCGGCAAGGGTGACGAGTGATTGTCAAAAGTGTATATTTGTAGCATAGACATATGTACAACAAGCAGTACTGCACACCCGTCATTCCCTCCCTAGGAGATGTATACTTTCCTCAGCCTGGCAAAGGCACATGTCTCGCGAGTCCTCGGACAGGTCACCACATCAAAGTTGTTCTTGGCCATCTCCTTTAGGGCCTATACTATTATCAGCTATAGTCCCGATGAAACAAACTATCACTCGCCTTGTAAGAGTACACATAACCATTCGGGAACGCCATCGGCCCATTCTCGCTATCCATCACCTCGCCGCTGATCCGACAGACGATGGTCGAGTTGACGTGGTGGCTCATCGGCACCTCACTTGCCAGTACTCTCAAGTTCTCATCACAAGTCGGACAGTCGACGTTGCCGGTTACCATCTCTGGATGTGCGTGCAGGTCCGTGGTTGGGGATGATGGGATGCCTCCAAGTGGCGCTGTGAGATGAGAAGGAGAGTGGGCAGGAAGAAGGATGGATTCCAGGTTGTGCAGAGGCGGGACGGCAGGGAGGAGGGGGATGGAGTGGGGGTCGGTAACGGGGGGCGGAAGATGACTTGTGGTACGGGTGTGATGGACACAAGACGGTAAGCGGAGGGAGGCGAGGCCTGCTGAGAGTGAGAGGGAGAGGAGGGGCTGGGACGGCTGAGCGTAAATGTCGAGAAATGTCTCCCTGAAATGGTCTCGTACAGACTCCCAGCGAGATTGGTCGTACAATTTCTGCGTAGACATAAGCCATGTCACAAATCGAGATGACGAACGTACTCTATAGCCGATCACTCCAGTCCTCTCTCCAAACACCAGCAAGGTCATACCCTTCTGGAAATCAGCCATATGCGTCGCAGCCCAGCTAGACAGATTCTTCCGAGCATATGCTACAGCAGCAGTAGTGTCCCGCTTGCGACAGAGCTCTATGAACTCTTGCAGTCTGACGGTGAACTCGAGGTTATTCTGTAAAGTATAAGGACAGCATTCTCAAAGCCGCAGTAGGCATACCTTGGTTTTCTTGAGGGTACCACGATTCTCGCCGCACCAGGCGAGCGCTTCTGCACACGAGTGATTCTCGACCAATGCCTTCTCTATCTTGACGAGCTCAGCAAACAGCTTAATGTCGACCAGCACCTGTAACAGAGTCAGCATATTGTCAGTACAGGTACGTCATATGTACTTGCCTCGATGTGCTGAGCCTGAGCAAGGGCTTTGGCGCTTTCCAGTCTACCCTTCCTGAGGAGGTAGTCCACAATGTATCTATCAAGAGTGCACGTATCTTGGTGAGAGCCTTCGCTTGCATTTCTAGGAATGATATCAGCAATTGGCCACTTGTCGGACACGAGACGTACTTGATCATCGTAGCAGCATCTGCCTGGTCAACTTTCATCGCGTCCTTTACTTCTTTCGCATCCTCTGCTTTCGTGGACTCGCCTTCGCTAGGCTTCACAGCGACCTCGGCTTTGACTTTGCTCTTCTTGGCCGGAGCTTTGGTAGATCCCGGGTGGGCTTGTTCCATGTATGCCACTCTGGACGACAGGGCTGTGGGATTGACTTTTGACGGCTGGATATCGTCGAGCTGTGACACATATCAGCGACAATTTTGATATAGTGTGACTACAGACCTTTCGCTTCAGCCCCTTCGGCCTCTCGGATATCTGGTCCAGCTTGGCAGCGATAGCAGCCCGTCCATCTTCGGTCGCGGACTTGTCATTCAGAGACTTTAGAAGATTCGATAGACCGATCTGACAAGGGATGAGTGCTATCCAGTCTAGAGAAAGCAGGAGCGTACGTCTACAGCTTTAAAGTCCTTCTCGACTTGTCTCTGGGCAGACTTGTGTGACCTTCGCAGGAGTTCATAGGATGTCTAGGAGGTGTGTGAGCTGGGTTTCCTCCTGCTCTGCGTCACGCACCCTGATGAGGGGTTCCTCTATAACGAGGGGGTTGTTGCTCGCTGGGGCCATGGTGTGTCGTTGCGAGAGTCATCCACCATGTCCCGTCCATAGCGCTCGATGGCGTCAAGCGGACATCACCGCCACCGTCGCGTCCACTCATGATATCGCTTTCCCCATTCATCTCCTATATCATCATCCACAATGGTCCTCGTGCTCGTCATAGGCGATCTGCACATCCCCAATCTCGTCCATGACTTACCTGCCAAGTTCAAAAAGCTGCTGGTATGTCTCCGTGGTCTTGCTTATGTCTTTCAGGGCGATAGCCTTTCAGCTGTCAAGCTCTCCATGTGTTTGTATACTGACTCTTGCTTGGATGTACAGGTGCCCGGGAAGATAGGACAAATCATATGTACGGGCAATGTCTGCGATAAGGAGACATACGACTATCTACGAGGAATCGCCCCCGAGGTGCTAGTAGTGCGAGGGGAGTTTGATGAGGTCGGTACTGGTCCTCCTGCAAGACGTATCGATGCTGATCAATGTACTGTAGAATCCTCATTTCCCTCTATCCCTCATAGTTCAACACCAGTCCATCCGCATCGGTGTCGTACATGGTCAACAAGTCGTACCCGCCGGGGACCCAGACATGCTCGCAGCACTTGCTAGACAGATGGATGTGGACGTTGTGGTCAGTGGAGGAACGCATCGGTAAGTCGACAAATGCTTCATGATACCTGCGGATTGCACCTACGAGGAAAGGAGAGAGCGATGGTATCTGACGGGATATCTGTAGTTTCGAGTCTTTCGAGTTCGAAGGACGATTCTTTGTGAACCCCGGATCAGCCACGGGCGCTTGGAGCGGTCTATGGAACGGGTGAGTTTTGACTCACCTTGCTGTGTTGCACGTACTCATGTCCCAACAGTGAAGTTACACCGTCTTTCGCCTTGATGGACGTGCAGGGACCTGTCATCGTGACCTATATCTATCAGCTTGTAAACGGAGAAGTGAGTTTGATCATAACCACTGTCACACGGCATCGAGAAGGATCCAGCACAAATGCTAACACTCACATTCTAGGTAAAAGTCGACAAGGTGGAATACCGGAAACCGGACCCAACACCTGAAACAGCTTCTGCCCCTAACCTCGCGTCTCCTCGTCCGGAAATCGCCTCGAGGTGGTAACCTGTCTCTTTGATGTCTTACGCGATGAAGGGGATTGTGAGGTGGGGAGTTGGTGGCGGTGGCGGTGGCGGTGGCGGTGGGGTAGTCTTACTCCTCGGGCGTCCTCGGGAGTTGTTGTAATTATGAACTCGTATACCCCTTATCTCTGCAGGAGAGCGATGCGATAAGCAGAGCTAGGCATTCGTGCGCTATCCTTGGGCCTTGCGAAAGACTGCATGCTGGGATTTTCTCCAGATAAGCTAAGGATGGCAAACATGCGGTTTCTCGGGTCACCGAGAAGGCTATCTTCTCTTGTCTAGGAGCGTACAGGACCGTCAAGTGCTTGCTGTCTTCGAAACACATGCGAGTTGGTTGCTGTCTTCATAACTCAAGCGATGTGGCTCAACCCCTTTCCAGCATCTCCATCATGAAGCAAGGAACCATAACAACATGGGCTTTCTCGAAGAAAAGTCCGGGCCCGTGATAGATGGGATGCCTCCCCGAGTAGATATGGACCGACGAGCGATGCCGTTATCGAAAGCCCCCGAGCCCGACTCAGAAAGGTCTCAATCACAACAGCCACAGCGTGCATGCAAGAGGAGAGTAAGAGAGGGTTCGCAACCTTGTGACGCCGACAATGTCCCACGGCCCTCCCCGCCGTACGAGAAGAGTACGTACGCTGTAAAACCGGAGATGTGGTACTGGCGTCATGTCAAGCATGTGGATGCCCCAGGTCGTGTTCCCAGGCTTCTGGCGGCCCTGGGGAAGAGAAGAATGTCGTGCGTCGGTCTGGACTCGGTGAGCATGATGTCGACTCTATAATGTGTCGCGTCATGGTGAATCACTGATGGTGGATATCCTTCTTCGATGATGTTGAGTGATCCCTCTGACCATTATGTCTGCGCTGTGGCAAAGATGCTTCTAAACCGCATTCTTTCGCATCCTTCTGATTCATGTATCAATCAGCTCGTCAAGTCAAGCCTGTGTCCGCCTGGTGCATACGCCGGAAGCTTTTGAGTTGCGTATGGCAAGGACGTAAACGCCCACGACGCCCGTGTGCGGAATGATGAGGTCGACGTTTCTGACGCACGTCATGATGATTCCAGCAGAGGTGTATAAGTCGCCCGCATCGCGACCCGGCGATCGCTCATATGTACTACTACTACTACCCCACTCTCAGAGGGAGACAGATATCGGCTTTCCACAAGAGAGCGCGGCATGACGACGGTTGATTCCCACAAACCTTCTTTTCCCCCTAGACAGCCGTCTCCATGTCGATATGGTATGTGGATATCAAACGGCATGTAGGATGCGAAGAGGGTAAACGAGTCGTCGCCAGGGAAAGCGCCAGAATGAACGGAGAGTAGATTGCATCTTGGCCTGAGAACGCCGTCCATCGCTGGATACTTCCATATCATCGATATTCCCGCTCAATGACCCCCAGTGGCTCTTTCTAGACGAAACATGCGAGCAGGAACGGGAGTAGGAATTCGTGGATAAACTTGTTACGAACACTGCGTCCCTCATATGATGGCCAGTGCATACCGGCAGATGTAATCATGAAAGTGGGTAGTCAACATCGTTCGCTTTTGTTCGGCTTACCAGACTGCTGAAAAGAGGCGGGGAGCAGGAAGGAATGCATCATTTAATTGACGTGACGTGACGACTCCTGTCCCTCTGTAGTGGCCTTTGAACGCTGCTTGAACTCGTCTGCTGCATCTGCTGACCGGTAACGGATATACGCCCACAGATCGATGATGGACCTGGTCGAGACAAGCGTTACAGAGCGAGGACAAGGGACGCGGTGGAGCGCAAGCCTTATTACGAGTCTTTTGTGCGATTGACATGTCGGAAACGATAGACGCTGTTGCAGCAGGACAGCCGACAGCCACCGGATGACACAGCGCAGAGTAAGCGGGAAGATGAGCGGGAAACGTGTTGGAGAGTGTGGAACTGTGGAGAGAGGGGTGGGGCCACTAAAAAAAAACAGGCGGTTTGGAGAAGCATTTGAGTTGAGCGATATGATTTGCTTTAGATGTTCTAGAATTTCCATGGATCCTTGGGGCGGAATTTGTACGCAGTTGCGTCTATGATGCATGCGGCATGGAGCATGTCTCATGGGCAAGGCAAAAGAAAAAGCTGTGTCTTGCTGTTTCCGCCGCAAGTTTTCGACTCGGGAAGTCGGGAATTGAGACTTTGAGGGCTTTCACATTTTCCGCCCTTGTTGCAGATCCCCGCAGAGTACCCGTGATGCAGACAATGATCGACGAGCCAGCGAGAGCGAAACAGTGAGAGTTCGAATTTGGTGTACATTCAATAATGTATAGAGCTGATGTGTGTACAACGAAAAGATGCTAGTATGGTTATGTACAGATGCGACTATATTTATGTGATGACTTCTACCCCGATGCAATAGATCGTAGACCCCCTCGGGATTGATTTCCAAGATCACCACACAACGATCCCGTCGTCCCCTGCTTGCCTCCTGATATCATATGAAGAAACTTCGAAAGCTTTGGCCATGTCAAACGACTTGGCATGAGGATGAGGGCCCCGGTTGGTCGCGGTGACCGCCACGGGGGAAGGGGTCTTGCAGTCGTCAGACGCAGGAGAGGATTGAAGGGACGAGTTGGCCGAGCTCAGATGAGGGGGCTCGCCGTGTGTAGGGGAGGGAGGAGGGGAAGGAAAAGCAGCGGCAGAAACCTGAGAGTGCTGGTAGACCCGTGTCTTGTATGGCGAGGGAACGGGGCGGATGGGACGGTTAGACACCTGGGGGTTGGGCGTGTTCTCGGGAGTGGGGTAGGACTTGGCGGGAGGGGCTACGAAGGATGCCTCCGACCTGCCAGAAGAACCAGAGCTGGCGCGGACGACAGCCTCGGGGCCGTGCTCGGTGCGAGTGGACGCCTCAAAGTCCGCCATCTCACGCTCGTCAAAGTTGAGATTCCACTCGAGGTAGCCGCACATCTCTCGCTCCATCTGGTTGATCTCCTTCAGCGCAAACATCTTTTGCGCGACGATGCCCCATGACTGGTTCGAGTAGGTATCGTCGCAGATGATTTTGGATGCAATCATGAAGGCAGAGATGAACAGTCGGTGGCCGGAGGATCCTCGGGCTGCAGGGTAGCGCTTTTTCAGGCGCTGGAGCAGGAGGAGGGCGGCAAAGGTGACGACAGAGGGGAGGCGAGTTCTATGCAGCGCATAGGCGACAAAGTGGGCAAGGGTGGGCGTGGGTGCGCCGGGAGCGGTGGGGGAGGGGATGTTGGGGCATTGGAACAATGATGTGATCTGTCATGACGCATGAGCGAGGGACGCAGGCAAAGGATGTGTGGACATACGAATCGGGCAGCCATCACAGCGGTCTCTTCGTGGCCATAGAAGGACTGCTCTGACCGCGTGGGCGGTCTCGATGAGGAGGCAGTGGCGGTGGCGCAGGCCTTGACGGCCTTTCTCGACGAGGAGGGGGGAGACGCAGAGGTGTGGCGGTAGACGGGGACGGGGGCAGACATGTTGGAGACACGGGCGGGTGGCTTTGGGGCTGGGAATGCCTCGTTATGGGAGGTGGATCTGGCTGGATATACGCGCTGTGGCTGTGGGTCCGGGGGGTGTAGCGTGGACGCTGAGGACTTTGTGAACTGCTGTGGGAGAGTCAGCGCCGGGCTGGGTTATATGGTGGGTGACAGACGGAAAGGCGGGGCATGGCAGGCCGGGCGGAGGGAAATGGGGGCAAGCAAGGGCAGGCAGGGGCAGACAGGCAGGCAGGCAGCAGCAAGCACAAGAAGAAGAGGGATGGGAAAGGGCCGAGTGATATAGGGTGATGGGGTGGGGAAGGGGAAGGGAACACACAATGCGTCCCGTCGCAACGTCGATATCCGTGCATGACGGTGGCGTCGCGCGCTGGCTCCATGAACCTAATCCCCATACCCACATCCGCCGTACCACGTCTCTGGTATCCCGTATCCAGCCGCTGCGTTCCCCTTGCCGTACAACATGCACCCTCGCTCAGCCCGCACAGCCCGGAGCCACGGCACACCCCGCCGCCCACCCACAACCCGCCCCACCATGCACGGATCAGACAGGACAGGTGTTGTCATCACCCGCCACGGCGTGTCGCAGTGCTTAGCGGCGTGTGGCCAAACACCACGCATGCAGCATGCCCCCGCCCCCTTTATGCCCGCCACATGGCACCCACAAGAGAAAAAAAAAACGACCAGATCTGGGTACCCCATAGGAAGGAGAATACTCACCGTTCGGCACGGATGCGGTGCGACTGCTGATGGTATTGGTCACAAGGACAATCAACAGCTTTTTGACTCTGGGAAAGAGTTGTCGGACGAGTTGTTGATGGGGCGTCGAGAAGAGTGTTGATAGGAGAGCCGGTGGTGGATGATGTGGCGGGTGGCGGGCTTTGCGTTTGCTGTTTGTGTGAATACGGGTCGAGATGTCAAGATACAAGAGGGAAGGGGCGGCCTGAGTCGAGCAGCGGTCTTTTAAACGACTGCATGGTCTTTCACTGGCTGCAAGTGGTTTCACCGATTTCGCAGACCCGGATTCGGCTAGGAGGTCCGAATCATGCTATAGAGCTTCGGGCATTGGATCGGTGGGCGATAGAGGGGACTCCGCTGAATCCGTGGCGAGGTTGGAGCTCTCCCAGTTTTCGTGGGCCTTGAGGGATTTAAGCCAGGATTCGGCGACCCTGTTGCATCCCTCCCTTAACATCTTCCCATAAGAGTAACCAGTTAATCCTCCGAACCATACGGACCCCTCAAAAGCCCCAGCAAGACAAACAGCCAAAACTCGAATTCAATCGGGCGACCCTGACGAACAATAGAACAGATCTATGATCAATCGCCGGCTAACGTACACAATAGAACCAAAAGAAGGCCCGAAGGAGGGATGGGAACATGAAAATTGGGGCCTGGCGCCCTGGATCGCCACGTGCGCCTCCGTAGTCGCTGCCACGTGGCGGAGCCTCCCGCTTCCGCTTTCCTTCGGCATTAACTCTCCGCTTTCGAGCGCGCTTGCGGCCGCTTGATCAATCTTCCTTCTTCTCATCCCGCTGTCCGGCATGTCTCTTCTCATCCCGCTGTCCGGCATGCGGGTGCTCTGCGCTTGTTGTTCACGTTTCACATGGGGCATGTTGGGTGGCACTGTACATACACCGATGAGTTGCCGAGAAGGAGTACATATGTTCGGAATAGACCACGGTACCGAGGCTATTATGCAAGCTATATACTTTCGACTCCCGCCTTCCACGTCCCGGAGTGCCGGGCTCAATGTTGCTCGGATCCATGTGAACAAAAGGATTGGCGCAATGCACGGAAGGTCTCATCATGGTGGGAGAGCGAGCGACCCGAGCAAACGCTTGTGCGTGGCAAGACTAAAAGGTGCCGCACGGCCCACACAATGCATGGGCACAAGAAAGTGGATACAATTATTTACGCCGAGTAAGTCTGCCACTGGTGACATGACCCCTGGTTACTCTATTATTATCGTTGACCTATAGCTATCGCGTATGACCAGCAGACAGTTTTCGCTATTTGCCCATCTGTCACCTCAGTTGATCTTTCTGACTATGGTTAGGCCTTATGTGGCCTATGTGGCCAGGCATCGTACGGTACATGTTGATCAAGGCAACGGACAACGCCGGCCACACTTCTGATGTGGGTCAATCAACATTTCAATTGTCATGATCTTGACTGCTAGTACATATAACTAGCGCAGCTCGCGACGGCTATGTGGGCCAGCTGCTTGACACGCCTAGAAAAGGTGAACGGGAGAAGCTCGTTGACTTGGCTTCTCTGCTGACGCTGATGAATATTGAATGATGACCACACCATTCATGAGAACCGTCCCACCCTCACGCAGCACCACGTCGGCCGCCTACCTGAAGTTTCTTGGATCAAACTCTGGCATTGAGAACCTTTTTGTACGTCACAAGACATGTACATCTTTCGTGACACAGTTTTGCAGAAAGAAAGACAAAAGAAGACCGCAGAACGCCGGGAGAACAAACGTTGAACGTTATTTGGGTTGTGAGTGGCAGTGCGGGTGGGGTGGTGCAGCTGGTGAGTGCTGATTGGTGAGTGGATGAAAGTAATCCAGGATCGTTCCGGCGGTCCCACTCGGCTTTTCAGGGTAAACTTTCTTGCTCTAAAAGCTTGGTGCAAGCATTGTTTTGAAAATTGAGAACTGAGCTTTGTTTTTCCGACCACCGCCTCGTCACCTTCTCTCAGTCTCAGAGGCATCAGACCGGCCACCGGCCACCGGCTCCACCGGCTATAATAATGCGACTCAGAATATCATCATCTCATCCAGGCCTCTCAGACAGATCTCATTTGATCTCAACCCTCAGCTCCATACGAATGCATATAAGTGACATAAGTTGAAACCTTCTTGTATAGATTCATCATTAGAGAAATCGTGAAAAGCCGATAGCGGATAGCGCTCTCAGCGGGCAATGAAAAAGGAAGACGAGTGATGAGGCGAGATCTGTGCTTTCCCGTCCCGCTTCAAGTCCGATTCAGCGCTTAATGCGTGACAGCCCCGTATGGTGGCACGGTTATCAGGCAGAGGGCCGAGCGCAGAGCGGAGAGGTAAACGGGTCAATGCAACAGGTCCAAAAGCACATAATCAAAGCGAGTGCAAGCGGCACGCCGCACGGTGCGGCTTTAGGGTCCGTTTACCTATGCGGCCGAGCAACCAAGACAAGAAATGTACATCCCCAATCCCCACGGGCCCCGCCCATGCGAGATTGTTTTTGGGACTGATGTTGGGTTGCATTCGGGTTTACGTATCTCGCTTGCTATTTAGAAGTTTTTCTGCTCTGTTTAATAATAATGTCCATAAATGTCCATAATGTCCATAATGTCCATTCTCTTTAAGTCCTAGCTAGGAGCTGCCTGTCGCTCGCTTGGTCCACCAGCTTCCTCCAGGGCGCCCATCTCCCCGATGAATGACTCAGTTGGTTGACGTTCGTGGCTAGGGTGGAGCCCAGGGTCGGACTGAACTACTGATGCCCCTCCCCTCTCCCCTTCTCTCTGGACTACGACTGGGTTCTTCCTGATCGCCCGGCGTTGCAGCTCTCTTGCCTTCAGCAGCTCAAGCCCAATTCTTTCTCCTAACATCCCATCTTTCCCAATCTCTTTTCCCCGTCGTCTCAGCTCCTCCGCCGTCCCCCTCGATGTTTTGGGACTTGTTGTACTCGCGTGCATCTTCCAAAATTTTGATCGTCGTTGTCGCCCTCTAACCCGAGACCCTTTTGTTTGAACCCGACAATGGGATGTCGGGCTTGCTATGGTGCTTTAGAGTCAATCAGTGGTGAGTGGCCAGCTTGCCCTATGCTTTCCCGCGTGTTTCCACTTACGTCTTGAAGCATTTTATTTCTGATGTGTCTGATGTCGGTTGCTGTCAAGTGTCGAGTCATTGGCGCCGCGGTACACAAGTCGGCTTACTCGGCGTGCAGGTGGTGGCTGGTGCAGGTGGCTCAGTCCAAGCTTCATGGCATCAGGCAAGGACCTCCAAGTCAAGAAGGATACATGTGCATGCATGTAATGGGTTCGGGTTGGGTTGAGCTCCTAGCAAAGGATAGAAGAGGATATGTAGAGGGCTCGAACTGTTCACCGATCGCTGTCATGCTTCAGTCGCCGATTGAGGACGGATAAGCCGGTCGTCCTCTCCCCCTGCCCGCGTATTATCTCGTGCCGATGCCGCAACCATGTTTCTAGCATCCCCATGGAGATGTGCTGTTGCCCGTGTCGTTGAGAAAGTAAGATCAAGGGCATGAAACTGGCATGAAGAGTGGTCGTCGGGCATCCGACTCCAGCAACAAGGGGAGGAAGAGAAAGTTCAAACAGAATCTCTGATCTCTCGCTACATGATCTGCTTCAGCCTGTACGTACAAGTGCAAGTTTGTTCTGGAGGCAGTGTCCCTTGGCCCTGCCCTCAGCCCCCCTACCCAGGTACTAGTCTTCCGCACAGACAGAACGTTCTTGCCTAAGAATGTCTCCCATCTATGTGCTTTTACACTTCCTATGCGAACATGGACGTGCTGTGAAAGACCGCTACTACAAGGGAAGGAGATGTTGGTGTCAGGGGGCTACCTTCCTTAGGCTATGCCTTCAGGGGTCGCCGAGGTGTAGAGACGAAATGGTCTGAGAACTCGAAGTGAGTGGCCAGACCAATGCCGAAGGAAGATAGCGTTTGTGCGAGAGTGTTGAGTGAGAGAGAGTGTGTGTACTAGAGAAGACAACACTCTCGCACAAACGCTATCTTCCTTCGGCATTGGTCTGGCCACTCACTTCGAGTTCTCAGACCATTTCGTCTCTACACACTCGGCGACCCCTGAAGGCATAGCCTAAGGAAGGTAGCCCCCTGACAGTATAGTGGATCGACGGAGTATCTACTGCTATGGAGACACGTCCTTATATACCCTGGCACCTCAAGTCTGCTTACTCATCGTATCCTCCGTCGAATCCTCTAGAGCCAACTACGTCGGCGAACCTGGTGGCGAAAGAATGTTCTCGAAAGTGGTGGGATGGGTTTGCTCTCTCTACGCGTATTTCCGTTTTTGCCCGCAATGGCTTAGCAAGCATAGAACTCGAAGGCGGTGCTGGTATAGCTCGGCCGTGGAGGTAGGACGGATGGATGTTATATCCAGATGGTGGCAAGATGTGGGGTTGACGCGGACGTGGGCGGTGGAGGTTTGGGTGTTTGGTTCGTCACTTTGGTCGAGTGGCGACAGCCATGTGACAGTTGGGCCCTTGTCAGTTGTCAATGAGGCCGAGCTCTGTACCTGCGCGTCTTACTCTCTTCGCGAATCGAGGCCTCCTGTCTTATCACCCCTCTTCTGTCACCAAGTCACAAAAAGTCCTCTTCCAGATCTCAGTTTATTCCACGGCCCATGGATCATCATTTGCCATCATGGCGTAAGATATGATCGATGCTCAGATCATCACTTATCAGTGATCAGTGACATCGTGCTTCGCGACGAATGCAGATTGCAGAGTCCGATCGGAAAGCCACAAAAGATGTAAAGATGTGTCTCGCAGGCTTCCCGAGTTTGCAACAGCGGAGAAGATGTATGTGGTCGAATGGGATTGAGGTATCCTGATCGATGATGAGCTGCCAATGGCTGTCACAAACAAGAGTACCCATAAGAGTCAAACTCGAACGTGTTGCCTCCGTCTCCTCCGGAGATGTCACTAATAAGTTTTTTTTTTTCTGAGCCCGTCTTCCTCTTAACAAATACAGAGCCCAGCATACGGCCGTATGCTGGCCATGCTGACGGGCTGATCCTGGTGAGCAATGGAGGCCACAGTCCGGAAGAAGCACGTAAGCCCGCGACCCGCCATTCGGCAACGAGACCTGAATTTTAACACTTACATACTCATACTCTTGACTAAAATTGAGAACAATGAAGAAAAGATCAGAATATTTCTCTCGCATGTCCGATATCGTACAATTAGATACAAAAGAACAGTCTTCGTTCCTCGTACCTGTCTATAGTTATTGTAGAGAAAATGCCGGCAGGCAGATGTAACGTTGATAGCTGGTATAGCTGGCCATCGTCCCAATGTGTCAGGGGGCTACCTTCCTTAGGCTATGCCTTCAGAGGTCGCCGAGGTGTAGAGACGAAATGATCTGAGAACTCGAAGTGAGTGGCCAGACCAATGCCGAAGGAAGATAGCGTTTGTGCGAGAGTGTTGAGTGAGAGAGAGAGTGTGTACTAGAGAAGACAACAATAGTGGATCGACGGAGTATCTACTGCTATGGAGACACGTCCTTATATACCCTGGCACCTCAAGTCTGCTTACTCATCGTATCCTCCGTCGAATCCTCTAGAGTCAACTACATCGGCGAACCTGGTGGCGAAAGAATGTTCTCGAAAGTGGTGGAATGGGTTTGCTCTCTCTATCTCCGCGTATTTCCGTTATTGCCCGCAAAGGCTTAGCAAGCATAGAGCTCGAAGGCGGTGCTGGTGCAGCTCGGCCGTGGAGGTAGAACGGATGGATGTTATAGCCAGATGGTGGCAAGATGTGGGGTTGACGCGGACGTCGGAGGTGGAGGTTCGGGTGTTTGGTTCGTTACTTTGGTCAAGTGGCAACAGCCACGTGACACAATGCAGCCAATGCTCCCGCAGTTTCTGGGTCGGAGGAGGGCTCTGGCCGCTCTGGAGGCATTCCGGTTACTGAATTATGCACGTTCGAGAGATCTGCAAAGCACGGGGGGGTTGTTATTTCCGGATAAAGCCATGATGGAGGAAAGGACGCTTCACCAAGATCACCAAGACGCAAGGTTACCTTACTTGAAACCTGAAGACTTAATTTCATGTTCAGCATTAGGGGCAAGAAAATAGTCGGCCCCGGAAAAGGTTCTCTGGTGGAAGATGGAATCAACATGCTGCGATGATGAATGCGAGCAAAGTTTTCACCCTGTTCATGTCAACTCAAAGACATTCTATAGAATGACTCATGGAATAAGTCAAAGATTATGGGGTGATAACTTTGCAGGGAGACATACTTGTATATGTATCTACGGACCGTTCTTCAATTCAGAGATGGACACAGGAGCGAGGTTGAGTGGCACTACTGATGATTTTGAACGCGTCGAGGCCGGGTCGGCCGGGTCGATCTTGTTCATGAGCTTCTCGGTATACAAGAACCGGCGGGATATATCCTAAATGATAGCCGGCCTTCTATGGTCTGGTCTGACCGATCCCCACGATCGTCACGACTCTGTAGCCAGCACCGCTCAAGTCCCAGAGTAGAGTGACTAACGCGAGCTGCGAAGGTCGTCATGATGGACGATACTCTGGATCTTAGTCTGTGATCTGTGACGGCTAGGGCTATGGAATTCGACCTCTACTCGTGGAATACTCATTCCAGGATGTTTGCATGGGCAATGAAGACATCGCTGATCGCTGATAAACTGATGGTGGCAGGTTGCCGAGGTTGGACGATCTTGATGAAGAGTATTTATACTTTACCCTCTTTACGGCATAGCTGCCTCAGCAGTCAGCACTGCACTATTTGGGTTTCAAAAGCAGAATACAAAACGCCGATCGCCAAACAAAGAAAGTTCAAAGAAAGTCATGGCCAGCGCCAGGTGGCCAGGCGGTCTTTGGCGGTCCTCGCCGCCACCACACTTCGATAACACCGCAGGGCTGTAATGCCGGCACGTAATGGATGCTCCTTCTGATTTAGGGGCCTGTTTGTTGTTTATCACACTTATACTCAGACAAGAAGACGTTCGAGGCGCAGTATCTGTCATAGGTACCCTTAGGACGTGAGAGATCCTCGTGCTCTTTACTTTCCTATCTGAAACAGCATCTTTGTCATCCGTTTCCGTATCCCAGTGGCTCACTGCGGCTCTGTAACGTGAGACTGGATTGCAACCAATCTTCTAACCGTTATTATTTTGTAACCCACATCCTCATTCTCTGCCGAATCACCACCAGAATGGCGTACCCTTCCTACCCTGCCTATCAGCAAGCACCTTACTACCCGCCACCTGTTGCGGTTCAGCCCCCTGCTGATTTGTTTCGGAGGCAATATGCAGATAGGTTGAGGGCGCTTACGTTCAACTCGAGACCCATTATCCAAGATCTTTCCATGCTTGCGCTGGCAGCTCGAGATCGCAATGATTGGGAAGGGATGCAGATCGTGGTTGAAGAGATTGAGATGGCTGTGCTTCGGGTAGGTCTTGCGAGAGGAGGACATTTACGACCAACCTGGGGGAAGATGCTGACGTCTTTGCAGGCTCCGCCTACACAGAAGCTTCCGCTGCTTTATCTCTTGGATTCCGTCTCAAAGAACGTTGGATCTCCATACACGACACATCTTCTTCCCCCTATCATCCCCCGACTCTACGTCCGTACTTATCGCGAAGTTGACGGGGTCACAAAAGCCAAGATGGAAGAGATGATCGGACTTTGGCGGAATGGCGGTCCCAACGGGTCTGACCTGTATGGGGCGGGTGTGCGAGACCAAGTCGAGCGAGAGCTCTTTGGAGCTGCTGGCTATCACAATAGTTCCGCGGGGCCTAGCCGGCAGCAGGTTCAGTCTCTACTCAATGCTACGCTGGATGGTAAGCGTCGAGAGCTAGCGGTGAGACCTGCAGATGGACAGGTCGCGATCCAGATGAATGCATTGCAGGGTATCGGCGAATTACTCAATACCTCGAATATCTCGCCGCAGGAGTTGAGTGCTATCATGGCCCAGCTAAAGTCTATGGCTGCTGCACCGCGGCCGCCTGTACCTACCCCTCTTCCCGTACCTTCAACGCCAGCTTGGGGGGTCGCCCCTACTGCGTCCGCGCCACCGGCGTCGCTCCCACCATTCCCTCCCAAACTGCCAAGCACCGGTAACGGCTGGCCACCGCCTGTCCGTCCGCCTTTCGCTCCCACCCTCCCCACCCCTTCTACGGTGGTCTCTACGCCTCCAGCGCCTCATCTCAACACGCCTATCCCACCCACTGGCTCTACGACACCGGCTACGGTGGCTGCAACACCTGTAGCAGCACCAGTTGCTCCTATCCCCAATCTGCCCGTCGATGTTGCCAAGATTCTTCAAACGCTCAACAAATCAGGTCTTGGTAGTCAGCCGAGGACACCCGAGGTCCCTCTCTCTAGTACACCTGTACCGCCGGTCAAGTCGAGCTTGGAGGCCTATGAGGATCTCATTCTGGGTATGGATACGAGATTGAAATCTTTAACCTTGAATGTGTAAGTCCAGCATCGGTAGCAGATGTCACGGATCTGACTAGCATAAAAGCCCTCATCGACTTTCTTTCGACCACCTTCCTCACCAATGTAATCAATGTGGCGAAAGGTTTGCCTCTGACAATGCTGCCGCCAAGGCGCACATGGACTGGCATTTCAGAAGAAACAGACAGGAGCGTGAGACGGGTGGAAGAGGAGCCCATAGGAAGTGGCTGCCACGAGTTGAAGTAAGTTGCGGATCATCTGTAATGATCACCCATTAATGTTTGTGCAGGAATGGATCAAGAATGCTGTCGAGCTTCCAGCTGTGTCGGACCAGGCGACCAAGACGGAAAACTCGGCCATTTCGTCCGAGCGATTAGCACAACTGCGGCAGAGGTGGGTTCCAGCGCCTCAGGATTCAAAGAAGGCATCCGTGTGTCCCGTTTGCAAAGAGGCATTCAAAGCGGAATGGTCGGAAGATGAAGAGGAGTGGGTTTGGAGAAATGCTCTGATCATCAACAAAGTGGTATGTGTCTTTTTCTCCGCCGATACACAGACACTGACGAATGGGCAGCATTACCACGCTACCTGTCGAGCTGAGCAAACATCTGCTATGAAGAGATTGAAGGGTGACAACAGTCGACGGACTTCATCCAGTGCTAGTCCAGCGGCCACTGCAGCCGATGAACAAACCCCTCCAAAGCGTAAAGCGGAGGATGCTCAGTACGAAGGGGACAGCGCAAAGAGAGTGAAGCTTGAAGAGGGTAGTCGCGGTGATGGCGAGCATCTGGGGGAAGCGACGCTGCCGCAGGAGACAGTCAAGCGTGAGGAAACGAAGGAGGACGCAATCGAGGATAATCAAAGTCTAGATATCGTAATGGGATATCAGCAGATTGACGGAGGCGGCACGGAGGAGCAGGAGGTCCATAATTAATCATCGCCATATCATGTTCATTCTCAGAGTCCGTCATGCATGAGCATTTTCACCATCCGTGTAGCGTCGCGATGCCACATCAATGTTAGATCAGGATGAAGCCCCCCGCGGCCGTCGAGATCGGTGATGGCCGGCTGCACCAGCGGATCCTCCGTGGACTCCCTTTCTCTACTTGTTCTCTACTCTACCGCTACATCTGCTGCAGCCCAGCGACTCGCGCAAGGAAGCAGCATACAGCACACCCCGCCGCCGCCATGCGTATCCCAGTCTTTGCCACCCTCTCCGCCGCCCTCCTTCCTCTCTCCTACGCCCGCTCGGCCCAAGAACCCCTTCAAATCTATCTCCATCCCGCCCCCCAGACGGCGTCGCCAGCTAGCCATGCAAGCCCGCCAGCTCTCTCATATAGCCAAGCAAAGGCCGTGTTGAGCCACCACCTCAAGCAGGATATCTCAGACTTTGACGAAATCCCAGAAGATGAGAGTCATTGGGCACACCTGATGGGCCTTTGGGAAGGCGACGAGGGTGTTAAAGCGAAGGTTGTCGTGATTGACGGGGGCGTTGATGCACAAGGCAAGTCTACAAGACTGATTCAACCTGAATCTTAGCTCATATCGTCTCAGATGTCCTGCCTGCATCCCTGTCGTCGAATCCCACATTCTATCTCGAGGACAATGTGCAATCGCATCACCTCCTTGAGCCTTATATGCACGAGGCCAGAAACTTCCTCGCCCATGTCATTGAAGCTTTCCCCGCCTTTTCCAAAACATTCCAAGACTTGTGGAATCTTGCTGGTACCAGTACGTCATTTCGCGCACCTCGACGACTCGAGCTGACATGAACGTTTGCAGAGGCGTCAGAGGTCCTCTCGCAAGAGCTCGCTGGATTGACCGCTCTCACCGACTCGTTGTCTCTGACTAGCCGAGATGGCAGCTACCCATGGGAGGCTGCCAGGATAACTGGTCTCAGAAGCGCCCAGAAGAATGGCGAGGCTTGGGAGACCGGCAGGCAGATCATTCAGGCTGGCCTCGAATCTGTGAGTGTTTTATCGCGAATGGAATACATGACTCATGCGTTCGAAGATGACTTCCCCCGGCTCTCCTCCCCTGCTACTCATCATTCGTCCTGCATCCTCTAAGCGTATCATCTCCCGATCCACCATCCCTCTTACTTCCCTAACTGTCAAGTCCAACACCACACTTGCGGCCGCATGCTACACCTCCAACGAGACATGTTCGGAAGCTACCTCGTGCAACGGTCGAGGGGCCTGTGCCCTTAAGAGTGCCCAAGACGGGACAGAGTGCTGGGGGTGCAAGTGTAGGGGTGGTTATGCTGGCGTGGAGTGCCAGAAGGATGACTATTCTACGTAAGCCTCACCCTCAAATGCGTCTTCGATGTGGCAGCTAATTTGGTCTGCAGGTCTTTCATCATCCTGATATTCTCGACATTACTCTTGTTGGGGCTGGCTGGCGGTAGTATCGCTCTTCTCTACACCATTGGCGAGACTAAACTGCCTTCTACCTTGACTTTGGCCGTGGGAGGATCCAAGAGAAATTAGTGTCGAAAAGAATTGCGCGTCAAGCACGCCCGAACAAACCGTATATGCAAGTAATGTTTGAAGAACAATTCTACACAGTCCATGTGCCAAATAAGGGCTGGACTGCTTTGGCGTTACTACATGTGTACATCGATGACATACAAGTGGAATTCGAGGCTCAGTACCCGGCTGTGTCATTGGACTATGCCTTTTGAGCATCTAGCGCCTCCTTCTCCTTACGCAATTCTCGCACCACGGCCTGGATGTACATGATCAGCGACGCGTCGCGTCGACGTCAAACTTACCGCGAGAGTATCGGGATTAGCACCTTGCTCTATCATACCAACGCATATCGAAAGAGTGTTCTTGTCGAGCCCTAGTCATACATCACTCAGCCACAGGTCAATTGGGGGCGGTGGACTCACCAGTTTGCAGCAGCTGCGAAAGGTCATGCAAGGCTGAAACAGGTCAGCCTGTGCGTGCCAACCATGAAAGGATATGCACTCACAATCTATGGTCTCCCTTGCATTCTGTAGTCTAGCATCGTCGGGTGAAGATGCCATCGTGAATTGAGTGATTCATACGAATCTGATCAACGACAAGAAGCCAAGAAGGTAACTCAGTAACAGCGAGCGTGCTTCTTGCGAAACCCGCCTCCACTTTGCGGCGCATCGATAATCATCTCCTACCCCAGACTTTCGTTTCAGACAGCTCTTCTACCGACAATCCCCTCCTTCTCGCACCCTGCACCGCGCTCAAGGGTGAAATGGGTAAACGGCGTCCCATTCCCCGCTCAAGGAATCCAGAGAACAATAGCAACAACAGGACGAAGGACAGCGCTACTGAAAGCCCACGCTCAGAGCCTCCTAAAGAGCATACCTCGGCTCTTGAAGAAAGTCTTCCCACGCCTGAAGCGGGACACTTTGAGAACCAGCCAGAACTAGAACCTGCCTCAATCCTCGCGCCTGTCGTCCCCGATATTGAGGACACAGGAATAGAGACTGACGACGAGAGCTCGGCTAGCTCGATCGACTCTTGGTCTGCCCACCCTGTATCAAGAACTCTCCCAACAAACAATCGTTTCAGACCCTTATCGAACACAGCAAATACGCCTTTTCATCTGAACGGGATCTACCTTGCGTGTCTGTCAATATTTGGACAACTATATCTAATAGCGCTGGATATGGTCCTCGGTTTATCGACTTGGTGGGGCGGTGTGCAAAAGAATGAGCACAAACTGGCAGAGCAAGCGAAACCCGAGGTGAAAAGAAAAAGACGCAGGGCTGAGCCGTCCTCTGTCGTTCCCAGTGAGTCGGCAATGAATTGAGCTTTCAGCTTGCTAAACGTCAATAGGCGGGAGTAAGGAGCACTTCCCCGGGATGGTCAATCTCAGTGGGACATTGTGCTACATGAATTCGGTCCTTCAAGTATGTGGAACCACCACTATCATTGGGACATATACATATGCTGACTCTGACTTAGTCAACGGCGTCTCTATCCTCCATTATCTCTCACCTGGAACATGTCATAGATCTTGCTGTTGAAGCCGACATGCCCACCCACGTAGCCGACGCTCTTCTGGAGGTTGTTCGTGAGCTCAATACTCCTCATAAGAGCCACCCACCGGCTCTCCGACCTCATGGACTCTTACAAGCTTTGTACCCTCTCCCAGCTGTTCGGCGCTTATTAGGGACGGGGGAGCAGCAAGATGCCCATGAACTCTTTCTGGTGCTGGCGGAAGCGATCTCGGATGAGGTAGTCAAGGTTGCCATTGAAATCGCCAAGCTGCGTGGGTTGGGAGACCTGTTGCCTCTACAAGGTTATGCGGCGGGGAACGGCGGCGGTGCTAGTGTGCTGAGAGGAGATGTGGAAGGCGCCAAAAAGAGAAATAAAATCAGGGGAGTAGGTCAACCTTGGGAAGGGCTATTGGCGAGACGGAGAGTCTGTCAAAGATGCGGATGGAGCGAGACTGTCAGATTGGAGACGTTGAGTGGTATGGAGCTTCCTGTGCCGCTGCATGTAAGTTACCTCTCAAGGACCAGACGAAATTGTCGTTGATTCAGTACACAGGGTGATACGACACTGGATGCGTGCATATCACTTTACCTTGCCCCCGAACAGCTCACGGACGTCACCTGTGAGATGTGCTCTCTGGAAGTCACATTGCAACACTACGTAATGGAAGTTGAACGACTCTCTATGCCTGCAAGTGAGGCGTCTCAGAAGCCTCGGTCAAAAGCCAAGCTTGACTCGAAGGGAGACGAACCAGTAAAGTCTGGGTCGTTCTCGGCATTGGAAAACTCACCCACACCTACTGGGGGCGAGGCTCAAGAGATGACGGCAAGTCGACGAAAGCGCGCGCGCGATGCTCGCAGGGCAGAGACGCGGTTGCGTGAGATGCTAGAGTCCAAGACTGTGAGCAACTTTGGCGAACCCAGTCTCGTCCCTCTCCCATCCTCTGGCTCGACGGCGCCCATTTCTGTCAAATGGCTCACCGCCCGCACCTCCTCCACCCGTCAAGCGGTCGTGACTCGTCCGCCACAAACTCTGCGCCTGCACTTCATCAGGTCAGAATTTACGATGTATGGGACTGTACAGAAGAAAATTGCCAGGGTGGCTTTTCCGATGGTTCTAGATCTGACGCGCTTCGTCGCGAATGGGGTGTGGGAGGACATGAGTGGGGTCAAGAACATGCTGGCAGCTATGGGCGGACAAAATGACCCGTCAGCCCCGGTAGAAAGAAGAGTCCTCTATAGGCTCGAGTCAGCTATTCTCCACTATGGCTTCACTCACTCTTCAGGTCACTTCATCTGCATACGCCGGAAGCCTTCCACCCCCTCTGCTACTGCCGAAGACCATTCACTGCGTCCATCAGTGGCCTCCAGGAGCTGCCCGGAAGGTTGCAAATGTGAAGACTGTATACTTTTCGGGCCTGTGAGAGATCCTCAGCCTAGTGGTCCGGGGAAGGGGTGGTTGATGATCAGCGATGCGGATGTTGAAGAAGTTGGTGAAGAAGCTTTGAATGAGGTGAGGGGTTCGGTGGTAATGCTGTTCTATGAGCGTATTGCCGAATACTCGGGGCAGAAGACGTCTGTCAAAGAGAGAAAGACAGAGGAGGTCGGCGAGAAGACCAGGATTGATCAGAGGGAGCCCGAAGAAGAAACGCGGATGGCTATATGAAAAGCATAAATAAGACATCACATGCATTTGTAGTAATCTACCCAAGAAGCATCGCCCTGACCGCTGACCATTCAGGAGGCTGCACGCCAGGTCAGCACGATACAGACAAACGGGAAAGTGTACTCACATTTGACCGAGTCTCGAATTGCAGCCAGTCGCCCGACCCCGTTGGGAGGATACCCATGGCCCAGCATTTGTAGAGACCGAGAGCAAGTCTGAAGTTACGCTATCAGGGACAAGGTTTGGGACACGAAAGCTGTACGAGTACTCACACCAATCCTTGGCACAAAACATAGAGAATCATGGGTCCTGTCAATGGCGCGTATGACGGTTCTTCAGCGACATCTGTCGCTTTTTGAGATACCGTAGGCTGAGGAGTCGGGCGTAAAGCTTCGAACGCTGGGGTGACAGTCAGTATTTGAGAATGACCCGTGTCTCCGACTAATACCTCTGAATATGTTGAAGACCGCCGACAGGGGCTGCGTCAAGAGCATAAAGATCATCCCCAGGGAGAAGATCTGGATTCCAGAGCCAGAAAAGTAGAGCATGATTCCCTGCATTGGCAGTGATTTGGCAGGGCTGGGTGTATATCAGTATGGTAGCGCCATCTAGTCCATTGCGGGACTTACGACATGGCCAAGTCCCAAGCTCGCTTCATCTTGAGCTCGGTGGACTTCTGGGCTTGTTTCGCAAGGGAATCGGCATCCGGCTTCTTCGTCTGACCAGGGTGTAAGTGTGTATATTCCGGCACCGAGAGGAACTCGTCTCACTCTAGAGTGCGCCAGTTGTTTGCCGGTGACGGGAGCCTGGTATCCAGGGGGATTCGGGACAGACGAATTCCTACAAAGGTCGACAAGGTGAGCCAACAGGCCATACGGGCGAGATGCGACTGACTTTGTGGAGACGGTATAGTCTAGTTTGGTGATCGTCATAATACTCAGTGGCAGCAGGATCAATAGAGGATCCGATGTCATCGATACCGGCGGAAGGGTCTTTACATAAGCACCCTGTAAGCACCAAGAACATGAACGCGTCGTCGCGTCAATCCGTCGATAATCTTCGTTTGATCTTCATTGAAGTCATCCAGAGAAGTATTGCCCTCCCTCCCGACAACCCCGCATGGCGCCCTGCCCACCGCCTCCCAGCAAAGCGTCTGTACACCCATTCTTTTCCTCAACGCCGCAGCAGTCGAATCGTGACCCCATACCAGCGCAAGCTAAACCCGCCAACGCCGCTCCGAAACGAAAGAGAGCTTTGGGTGCGGCCAATGCAAGCGCAGGGCCGGCCCAGGCTACTCTCGGTCTCTCCAGTAATGATGGTGGGAGGAAATCTCTGGTAGTAGACAACAAGGAGACTCAGCCTACGGTGGTCGAAGCCGAGGCCTCGCACGCCGCGACAGAGGTCTCTAGTAGCTCTGACCACGGTACGTCTCGTGAAACTCTGGGATATCCATCACTGATATGACCTTGAAACAGAGGAGGACGTGGTCATCTCTCATGCCTCTCAGAACGACCCCGATCCCTCGAAGTCTCAAACAGTCTCGAAGAGACCAAGACCAAAACGTGCCCGGCCATCTATACCTCTCTCAACCCAGGCATCGTCGTCGTCACTTGCATCTGAGATTATCGATCTCTCGTCAGACCAAGAAGATGACTATGAGTCAACGCCAAGGGCGAAAGCCAAAGCTCCACATATGCTGAACTCTCGGCCTGCCATCTTCAGCAAGGGCATTGCGCGATCTTTCTCCAGGACTGGGTCGACGGGCACGAACCCCGAAGCCCCGATTGAAGTACCAGAGGGTTCGCCATCCCCGGTCAAAATGAGAAATACATCTTCAAAGAATACTTCCTCCGTTGCCGATAAGGGCAAACCCGCCCATTCATTCTTCACTCAGGTTAGATCGCGGACGGATCATGATTCCAGTTCCTCTCAAATTTTGGATCCGGTGGAGCCTCTTTCAGGCAGAGATGGTGCTCCATATGAAGCCGATAATGGTTTCAAGCACAAGAAGAAAGAAAATGTGCATACATTCTTCTCCTTGCAACAGGGGAAGAGTGAGTGGAAGTTGAAAGATGGATGGGGCACGGAAGAAGTCGAGACACCACTCCCACAAGGACCTTGGCCGAGTCATGTGGGCAGTTCCTACTCGCAATCAGATGGTCCGATGCTTCCCAGCAGATCGAGAAAACCTGCGCCGGCAGAGCAAGGGAATTTCTGGGGTGATATACAATCGCGAGTCTGCAGACCCTGCGCGCCGAGCATACATCGCTCCGAACCAATAAACATCCTACCCTTCATCCTTCAACACCCAGCTTTCTCCTCTCTGCAGTTGAAGGCGTCTTCGTCTTCAGCCAACCGTGAAGCTTGGGTTGACAGATACCGTCCAAAGCGTGCGACGGAGGTCTTGGGGAACGAGCTGGAGGCGACATATCTACGCGACTGGCTCTCGAAGCTTGCTATCGGCCATCGAATACAGGGGCCTAAAATAATCAGAAAAGTCGTCAAAAGACCCAAGGCTGCCCTGGTAGATGACTTTATCGTGGATGACCTTGGTGTATGCGGCGACGCATTCGACGAAGACAAAGAGGACGAGCAAATTCACCTCGACGATCTCGAAGAGCCTCCCATAGATTCCGATATCACAGCAAGGCCAGCCGAGTACCCTCCACTCGACATGCGCCTCACCAACACAATCCTCCTCACTGGCAAATCTGGTTCTGGCAAATCGGCAGCTGTACATGCAGCAGCACAAGAGCTGGGGTGGGAGATCTTTGAAGTATATCCAGGGATGGGGAGAAGAACCGGCGGGGCTTTGATGGGATGGCTCGGCGATCTGGGACAGAACCATATCGTGCCGCAGGCAGAAAGAAAGCCAGCGCCCAAGAAATCTAAGAAGGGGAGAGGAACAGAAGTTAAGAAGAGCAAGGCGGGCGGTATAAAATCCTTCTTTGACCAAAACTTCCGCTCGAAGCCGACAAGCTCTGTTCCATTCTCCAACGACTTGACGCAGGAGACAACCGACTCCGACGAAGATGACCCTGAAACAAAAGATGACAATGTTGCTGCCAGCACTGAGAGCAAGTACAAGCAGTCTCTGATTCTCATCGACGAGGCAGACATCTTGTTTGAAGAGGAAGCGACGTTTTGGCCTGGTGTGCTGGCGCTCGTGTCAGAGTCTCGGCGTCCCGTGGTATTGACTTGTAACGGTGAGTTTCCGGCTCTGTCGAGCGCATGGGTGACTGACGATATCGTCTCAGACCACAAACGTATTCCCTTGGCCCAACTACCTCTCCAAGCCATACTTCAATTCCATCCCCTGCCATCCAGCATCGCCATGTCCTATCTTCAAGCTATTTCCGATGCCGAGGGCAGTCGCCGAGGGTACCGTGTGACCGCAGACGCTGCCACCGTCTACAAGTCTGCGATGCGAGACAAGCACGAAACGGACATCCGAGGAGATGGGCCTGCTTTGCCAAACGGCCATGAGCGAGTGCCGTATTTTGACCTGAGGCAAGCAATCGGGCAACTGCAGCTTGGCTTGCAAGCAGACAGGATAGAGGAGGCTGGAAGTGCGAAGGAGTGCGAGGATGACTTGAAGACGCTTTTTCAAAGGATGGAGGCCCAGTCGTGTGCGGATGTTGCAGGCATGAAACCATGGGTATCGATGGATGTGAGTATATCAGGTCAGCGACAGGGACATGGTCCGCTGACGAACACTACAGATCTCGGATATCGACAGGCTCGAAAGGACTTCGGACGACGAATTGAACGTCTCTCTCCTGCAGAAATCAGCTCCTCCCGAGACTTATCCCATTCTTGCCTTATGTGATCAATCTCCTGCGATCGTGTCTACAGTTGTCTCGATGTCTGGAGGAGGTCTTCCTCCAATGGGCGATCTCGGTCTCGCCAGGTACGTAACATTGCTTCCCAGATGGATGCCCTGCGCTGACTGCTCATGCAGAACAAAGTACATACGTTCAACACTACCGGTTCTTGACCCGCTTATTCCTCTGTCCTCCCCTCTTCTGCCCTCTCCTTCCATCTTCCTCCACACACTCCCTGCAATCATTACTATCCTTCTTTTCGACGCCATGTATGAGAAGATCGAGAAGGACGCTATAGAGAGAGGCGAGGAACGGATCAACCCCAAGACGGGTAAGCCGATGAGAAGGCAGCAAGGGGCGGTCTATGGGCGGTATTGGGATTTGGGCGGAGCGGAGGAGGCTGTTGAGGAGATCAGTCGGCTGTGGTTGGATTGGTGAGATGGAGCTTTACATTGTAGCATATCTTGTTCTTGCATATATCATCTCCTGCATATACCATCTCCTGCATATACCATCTCCTGCATATACCATCTCCTGCATATACCATCTCCTGCATATACCATCTCCTGCATAGTTACAACCTGCATCGACCATCGTTACATGTTGCCATAAAGCTGCTCTATGATCCATGATCTGGATCTACACACATGAAACGTAGACGACAGGCACCTAATTAATGTACAAAGGTGCTCCGGGTTCAGACAGACCTCCTACAGAATTGCATGTTCGGCATCAAGGGTGTTGATGAATGAATAGGTGAAAGATGCTGCGGTCCGAATCAGAAACTACTCCACTGCCACCGGTTGATCACTTACAAACACCCCCGATGGTCCAAGACATCCAATCCGCCACACTGTCCACATGGACCCTTCTCTCCACTTCCCTAACTTCCCCTTCCCCATCCTCCTCCTCTATCCGCACGAGTTCCTCTTTCCTCTCCGCTTTCGCCCAGCTCAAGAGTTTTTGAGTGGCCCCTTCCTCATTTTCTGCCAGCACTGCCGCTGCCAGGGCTGTCCGACGGGCGTTGAGAGATTTGGCAGAAATGCTTTGCGGTGTTTCTGCGTCTGCGTTCGCGTCTTCGGAAGATGAAGCGGGTTGGTCGACAGAGGATGAGGGATCGCTGAGTGTGATACTTTCTTCGAGTGTGCGTCCGCCCAGGCCCCCGAGGTCGTTCACATCGTTATGCTCATCCTGCATGAACGACGGTGCCAGTGGCTGCTCCCCCGGATTTTGCTTGCCGTCGCCCTTGGATTTTCTACCAGGTTTGACTCTTGCCCGGATACCTAAAGAGCTATCCTTGAAAAGTTCGGCTCCTCCCACCCGCGCTCCAGGTGCGCTCAGATACCATCTCGATCCCCCTTCCTCTTCCCCAGATACAGCCCTTACCAACCCCACTCTCTGAAGCTCACTCACCGGCTGACCCACGTCTCCTCCAACGACGTACTTGCCTTGCTCGATTTTCACGAGCTTGACAGGGTCAGATTTGACGCCTGTCTGTAGGTCAACAAGGAGGACAGTAGAGCCGTAGGTGAGCTTTGTGGCATCGGTGTATTCGTTGTTGACCGGCCTGCCGCGAGAGGTGCGTGCGAGACGGGTGAATGGGGCACGGTCGAGGATTTCAAAGCGGAAAGGCGTCCACTTTGCCGTCCTCGCCGTCAGTCTGGGTCCGTCTTGATTGAATTTCTCTTCCAGATTCATCCATCTTGTCCTCACTGTCTGCCCGTGCAGCCTCGTCCACAAGGAAAATGCAGAATCGTGCGAGAAGCAGGTAGCCATAGAACGTGCTTTCGAGGTCTTGGTAGAAGGTTTGGAGACGATGCGGAGGGAAGGGGAGGTGAATGTGCCGAGGAGTTGTTCTTCAGGGGGCTGAAGAGGGCCCTCTTGTGAGCCAGTATCTTGGTGCTGCCGAGAAGGCTCTGGTTCCTGCAAGGACCCGGAACTCTCTGCTTCGGGATGGTCACTGTGAATGGCATCATGACCAAGGCCGCTCTCTGAGTTTTGAATAGTCTCGACAAGTGGATGATGGCTGCCCGAATCTGGCTCGAGTATTTCCGAGAGAGCCTCTGCTGAATTTGAGGGGTGTGGCGCTTCGTACATGGTACTTGTTCGCTCTTCTGCATGGTGCTCTTGTCCATCTTCGGCCGGATCATCCGACCCCAAGAAGATCTTGAGCTCTAGATTGAACTCTTTCATTTTTCCTGTATTCTCTCCAATCCATATCCCGGGAAAGGTCACTCCCTCCTTTAGGAGAAAGCGATCCTTGATGTCGGCCGTGCTTCGACTCGTCGTTAACGCGCCCCCGAACCCTGCATTGAGCGCGGCATACCGCAATTTCTGACGTCTCCAATTGGGGTGTTTTTGGTTTTGTGCTAAAAGAAGACCAGAAGTGGGAGACGAAAGGTCGCCCAGGCGAAGCGTATTCGTCCCAGAGATGGCCGGGGGTTGGTTTGGGGGAGAGGTGTAGGCAGACATTGTGGCTGCAATGACACGGTGGGCTAGTGAGCCTGTGAAGCGAACAATGGGAGGCGGATTCAGCATCCTGACGGATAGTGGTTAGTACATGCCAGTATCCTGTAGTAATTTGCTCACCGTCGTTCTTTGCCGTAGCTCTTCTGCCCCGTGGTGGGATGCCACACCTCTACAGTGTTGACATGAGAGGCATGGGCGGAATCGATGGTATGGCCCTCCTCGTGATGAAGAGCAAAGAAAGACGAGAGGGAAGCGGTGGCACCGGCTGTGCGCGCGAGCTTGAGGGGGCGAGGAGGATCGTAGATGTCGTCTGGCCGCGAGCGCTTACTCGAGACGTAGTCGGAGGCCGGGAGGAGATACTGGTCTATGTTTTCGTGGTGGGTGTGGTTGCCGGCGATTGCGTTGATGAGGAGGTCGAGGGGGGTGTCGCTGATGGCGTCTGGGGTGAGCTCGGCCATTGCACGCAGATTGCTCGCAGATTGCACGAGATGGGCGGTGGACACGGAAAGTGGAGGCGACGGAGAGATGTTCCCACGGTGCAAAAGCAAGAAGGGGCAGGGCGGCGGGCGCCGCGGGGAGAGATGATGACGTCAAGTTCAATCCATTCTCTATCTCTGCAATATCTCTTTCCTTTTCTCTTTCTTTCTTATTTCTCCTCTATCTCTTAGCTGCCCCTCCCACCATGTCCGCCCCCGACGCCACAGGCACCCGCCAACGCGTATCCAAGCTCGACACCGCCACCGAGGAGCACAAGAACCCGTACGTCGCCCCCATGTCCGCCTGCCCCGCTCACCACCCCACAGCTCGTCCTTGAGCGCCAACCCCACCAAGAAGGTCGAGCGCAACAAGCCCCATGTAAAACCACCCTTCATTGATGTCTCTATGAACAAGTTGTATGTGCACACCTGCCGTCGCGTTCGTGCGCTGACAGAGATCAAGCCTCACCTACCTCGTCCTCTCCTTGCTTGTCGTGCTCAGTTTCTATGTGTGGCGCTTTACTGTGTGGGCCCACAACGCGGGCGGATACTGGGCACTCATGACTGGTAATCATATATCACCTGCCGCCCAGGCGGCGAGGGAGGCGGCGAGTGCAGCCAGCGCAAGTTCGAGTGTGGCTGCTGCCACCGCTAGCAGTGTCTCCAAGGCCGGCAGCAAGTCCGGAGCTCCTTCTGATATCAAGGTGAGTCCTTTCGACTTGGAAATCATATGTTGTAACTGAGTGAATGTCAGCCCAAGCCCACCCAAGCTGCCTCCAACCCTGAACAAGACATCCAATCCCAGATCTTCCAACTCGCCTCCGCCCTCGGCATCAAACCCGCCGAACTCTCCTCTGCGATCCGTCCTCTTGTTGACCCCTCTGCGCCCGACCCTGCTGAGAAGGTCAAGCACGAGGCCGAGGTGCTCAAGGCTGAGATGGAGGCAAAGCAGAAGGAGAATGAGAACCAGGAGGGCGGCGTTTTAGACATGTTAGGGGAGGCCTTGCTGGACTAGGAGAGTGATGATTCAACGAAGATGAAAGTCAGCATATACCACAATATATACTCGTCAACATGAACGGTCGACCCTTGCAACGACGAGCGATCATACCATCATTACATTCTACATTTTGGGGTACTCTATACGCGCAAGATCATCCAGCTTCGTCAACATCTAATATAGGCAACGACTGGCCATCACTTTGACCCAGTCAATCCCGCAGGGAAGCCAGAAAAGTCTTGCTGATCCGCGATATTTTGCCCACCCTTGGTGTAGGTGATTCTCATCCTCAACCTGATCGCAGCCTTGGCGTAACCTCGTTAGCGTACATCTCCAAAGAGCCGAAAAAGACATACCCCTACAGGGACGTGGATCCTCATCTGCTGCGTTTCTCCAGCTCCAGGGCTGACAGTCTGATTCGACATGGCCTGCATCTGTAACTGCTGGGTCTTGGGCACTGCCACCTGCAAATTGACATTTTCAATGACCTCTCCCCCAGAGGCCGTAAACTTTGCGAGCACCTGTACAACACCAGGCTGGGTAGGCGAGACTCTGGGCGTGAGTGTGATTTTTAGAGCGTTCTTGTCGTAGGCGGGGTAAGATTGAAGTTGGGACTTGGCTGGGGCAGCTGAAGGGACCGGGGCGGGGGCGGGAGAGGGGGCAGAAGGGGGAGCAGGCGTAGAAGAAGGGGAGACGAGGTCGAATAATGACCCACCACCACTCGAAGCTGCCACAGTCGCCGGCGGCGAAGTCGCGGAAGTGTCAAAGAGAGACATGATGTCGTTCGCTGCACTCTTTGGCGCCTGTCCTGTCGCAGTCGCACCCGGAGAAGCCATCTCAGAGCTGGATCCAAAGATGTCTGCCAGCAGATCCTGTGTTGAAGGCCCTGAAGACCCCGCCACGCCAGAAGTGTTGGGGGCAGAGTCATCGCCAATAAGGTCGACAATCATGTCCTTGTCTGTCCTCGTCGAGCCCACGGGCTTCCGCTCGCTGACCGTTCCCATGATGGTCGCTCTGATCTCTGGCGGCGGCATTCTTTCCAAAACGCCCATTCTCACATCCGACATGCCGAACAACGAACCAAACTCGACAGCACGCTGCTGAATTTCAAGCTCAAGGTTGGAAGAGTATGAAGCAAGGAGGGCGGCGATGCGGTCCTGCAGGCCTGCGTTGGGGAAAGGGGTAGACGAGGATTCGGACAGACGGACAGACAGCTTGGCGAGAGAGGTAAGGACGAACTGGCGGGAGAGGGAGTTGGCGTAGGGAGAGTTGAGGGTATGCTCAAGCAGATCAACAAGGTCGGTATCAGAGACCTGCTTGACCTCATCTCCGTCATCGATAGTTCCGCCCTGCAACAAGATGTCCCCAAATTCACCAATCACCCAGACGGCAGCCAGGGTGAGACTCTCCTGAGACAGATCGGCGGAGAGGGCGGCATAGAGGCGTTGGGCAGTGTAGAACTGGAGTTCAGGGGTGTGGCAAGTGAGACGGATGAAGGCCGAGAGGATCTCGTCCCTGACAAAGTTTCCCGCCACCTTCAACACCCTCAACACGGTATCAATCTGCCATCTCTTATTCGGCGCATACCTCTCCGCTGCCAAACAGATTTCTGTCGTCAAACCCAGCTTGAATTCGTTGTCTGATAGTTCCAAGAATGTCAACAGCTCTCGCGTCATGAGCTTGATGTTGCCTTCGTTGACGAGAGCATAGGAGAGCTCAAGGGCTCGGCGGCGGATAGAGATGTCGCCGTCGCGAAGACACTCGACGATGGTGGTGCGGTGGCGTTGTACAGCGTTGGTGTCCATCGTGACCACCTTGTTGAGGGTGTTTAGGGCAACATATCTATTAAAGCGTCAGCTGTGCCACTCATCGATTTCGTCATAACATACCTGATATTGTTGTCACGGTTCGTGAGGAATGTACCGAGGATATTGATAGCCATTACCCTCAGTCCGCTATCGGCTTCAATCTCCAGCACCGTCAACACGGTCTCGTACAAGATAGAATTGCCGACGTTCTTGGATGAATCGGTATTGGTCGCGACTTGCGCGAGGATATCGTTCATCGTCTCGCTCGCGGCCGCGTCTCCCCTGCCGAGCAACCTCAAAAGGCGCAAGATCTTGGTCTGCAGGAATGGGTCCGCAATACCCAGTACATCATGCTCTGCGCTGTATCCCGTGGACACGAGGTTCTTCAAGTGCTTGACTAGTAGGTTGGTAGCTTTGCGGAACTCGGCACAGATTTGCTCGTCGATAGCGCACATCTCGGTGATCAAAGTAATGCCTGCGAGGAGGACACCGTGATTGCGGTCCTGTAACAGACCCTTGGCTTTGGAGGTAAAGTGGTCAGAGAGGTCGGGGACTCGGCGAATGATTCGAAGAGCACAGAGAGCAGCCTGGCGCGAAAGTTAGATATAACTGGTATCCTCAACGATCCAGACGCACCTTCTTGCGGATGTAAGCGTTGCTGCTACCCAGGAGCTTTTCAACTTCGTTGGCAAGATCGCGACACATCTCCTCTGACGAGATGTTGGCAAATGTACAGAGCGCCAGACCCACTGCGTAGACGTTGGAGTGGTTCATGTCGCTACGGCCTGTCAGCCGACATGGCACCGCGTTCCAAGACTACTCACTTCTTCAGAGAGTTGGTCACCAGTGTCAGCACCTCTTGGTTCTCGTCCAGTAATAGCATGATTCCCAGATACCCCAGCCGTTTATCCGCAAAACGCGGGCTAGCCACCAAAGTTAGACACGCGACTTGGCCGAAGTGGGCGGGGTAGCCGAGCATGTGGATGTAGAGCAATTTGGCGACATTGTTGTGTCGAGCGAGAGTGTCTTCCTCCTTGAAAGATGTCTGAATAGATATCAGTAGGTGATCCCCAGTGCGAACCAGGACGCACCCTGATAGCGGCTGATTCTTTCTGAATGACGGATCGCTCGTCTGCGAGGGTCTGCGGGGGCTGTCAGCTGTCGCTCGAGAAGCGAAGGGTTGGTATACCTTGCAGGAGCGGATGGCCTTGATCAAAGCTGTACGGGGTGAGCATGGGCCGAAGTAGGTGCAAGAGACGTACCCTTCAGGTTGTAGTGACCGCTCATGGCGCTGTGGATGTGGTTGGAAAGACAGACGCGCTGGAAGAAAGAGGACATGGGCGGCGGATCCAAATATCCGATTAGGATTTGTTTCTAATGCATGGTTACAGACGTGTAGTCTATGACGTGGTGGATTACAAAACTGATTACAATCCAGTACTTGTATCTATCCTCTCATCTACCTCTCCACGATGGCCCCCCTTTCAGTCTTCGCCACCACCTGGAACACAGGTCTCCAGGGATCCAAGGCCCAGTCTCAGGACCTCACCAGCTGGCTCCTCCCCGTCCTCCACAATGCCACCAGCCCCGACCTGCCCCACGCCATCGCCCCCGATATCTATGTCATTGGCGTCCAGGAGTTGCTGCCTGTCCATCTAGCTTGTAAGCGCAGCAATCAGGCTTCCAGTGTAGTTTGCTAATATCATATGTAGTGGCAGGTCTTACTAGCCCAGTGCTGCTCGCCCTGACCCAGCGAATAGCCTCTATCCTCTCCTCCCACGCCACCTCCCTCTCACCATCCAAGACCCCGGACAAGTACTCTCTCGTCTCCCGCGTGGCTCACGTGGGCAATGCCATCTGGGTATTTTCTCGCGACAAGACAATGGAGGGGCGAGTGGGTAAAGCTTCCGAAGCCAGGCTGGGCTTGTACTATGGAGGTATGGGCAATAAGGGAGCTGTTGGGGTGCGGCTGCCAGTACGAAGAGGCAAGATTGGCGGGTGGGAGGTGCTGACGTGAGCCTCTCCATACCTCTGTTTTGTCAGGCTGACACGGGGATAGTTTTGTCAACACTCACCTTGAAGCCCATGACCGCAACATTCCCCGCCGTAATGCCCAATACCAGCACATCCTATCCTCTCTCGTCTTCAACAGCTCAGATCCCCTCACTACTCCCCAGCAGATATTCGATACTTCCCACCTCTTCATCATGGGCGACCTAAACTATCGACTCTCCAGGCAGCCTCCTCCAGATGGATTGAGGGAAAACAAGAATGTCAACGACATCGCCCTTCTGGAAAAGTCGAGGGCGGAGATGGTCCGGACGGATACGTTGAGGCAGCAGCAACGGGAAGGGAAGGTGTTTGGTGGTCTTCGCGAAGGTGATATTACTCGCTTTGCACCTACCTACAAACGAGTGGTCGGTGAAATTGAGGGCTACAGCTCGTAAGTGGGCAGACATACAAGCTGAATGATGTTGATTCACGAGATCAGGAAACGTATTCCGGGCTGGACAGACCGTATTCTCTTTGCCTCTCACACCGATCCCTCCTCGTTCTTCTCGCCATCCGCAGACTCTCTGCGCTTAACAGACGCAGACACCACCCAGATTGTGCACCTCGAATCTACACCCGAGCTCACGCTATCCGATCACAAGCCGGTGCACGCCCTCTTCCTCCTTCCAGAGAGCGCACATGAAGCGCCTGCACCTCATCTCGCACCCATGCTACCTCCTGCCCCTTCTCATCACGGAGTGCGGCCACCTCCTACCCAGAGAGAGGTGCTCATTCTCGAGCGGCTGATTGGGACGGTATTGGACAAAGCAGTCGGGTGGCCGTGGACATTATTTGTCCTCCTCGGCTTTGGCGATTCCAGAGCTGGAATGGGCTTGAGCGCCCTTTTCGCCATGCTCTGGAGTATCTGGTGGAGCGGTGTATTCTCGGCTGCTTGAGGCTTTTGATAGGCTTGTTCTTGGTAGAGTTCCGTACAACTACATGTATAACATGGCCCTCCATATATATTAATATGTATCTACTGTGCTTCTCCGGCCTCTTTCTCCAGCTTCTCCGCCACCGTCTTGGCCACTTCGGCGTTTTTCACCCTCAACGCATAGGGTGTCGGCTTTCCATCCTTGTTGAAACCCAGAAATTTGATGTACGGCCCATCAGCAGTGGGTTTGAATGTCGACTTGAATGACATGTTCTGTATCACGATCAGCATCCTCATAACCCTTTTGACTGTCTAGAAGGCCTGAACTTACAAGTATGACATTCCCATTGCCGTCGGTCCTCATCAACAACCTTCTTTTCCCGCCTTCCGCCTTCTCCTGCTTCAGCTTGAACTGCCCCAATCCTTCAAGCTCATACTTTCCATCTTCAAGCCGCGAGAGTTTGCCACGTTGTTCGAGTACGGTATCTTCATTCTCTTCGCCCGCACCAGCTGTTTCAGCGAGGTTCTTGGAAGGAGAGCCAGGGGTTTCCTCCGACGCCTCTGTGGACTCGGCAGGGGCAGAGGCTGAAGGAGCAGAAGAGCCGGTGGCCCCGCCGTCGGCAGGCTTGCCGAATGAGAATGCTGATGATGCCGCCGCGGCCGTTGAACCGAAAGAGAATCCGCTCGAGGGCGCAGCAGCAGGCGTCCCGCTAGGCGTCGAGCTCGCCGAACCAAAAGAGAAGCCTGTGCTTCCTGCAGGGGTCGCTGGTTTAGCGCTGAAAGAAAAGCCACCAGTGGTGGATGCTGAGGGTGATGTGCCGGCCTTGACACCGAAAGACAGTTGGGGCTGGCTTCCACCAGGGCCAAACTTTCCTAGAGGTGTACCAGACTCTGCAGAGGAAGCCTTTGCGGGAGTGGCAGGGGTAGTAGAAAAGAGGGAAGTCGACTTTTTGGGAGCGGAAAAACTGAAACCCGTGGATGAAGGAGTAGAAGCCTGAGGCTTCTCGGCGTCTGTACCGACAGAGAAAGAAAAGGGCGCCTTCTTCTCTTCGGGCTTGTTGGCGAGAACGTCGGAAATAATCTTTGTAGCCCCCTCTGACGATTTTTTGGAAGCAGGGGCTACGCCAGAGAAGCTGAAACCAGATGCCGTTGATGCACTCGCGGGGGCTGAAGGAGTGAAACCCCCGGTTGCAGTGGTACCGCTTGGTGCTGCGGGCTTGGGCACAGCGAAACCTCCTTCTGGCGCTTTTGGCAACGTGAACCCTCCAGCCTTGGGCGTATCCTCTGTCTTCTCAACCGCTGCACCACTCTTCTCCGGCTTCCACCCACTCTTACTCCCGATCTCTTCGAGGTGCTTCTCATACTGCTTCCCCAAGTTGGGCAATACCTCTGACAGGTCGATGAATGGATCTTTCTCGATGATGGAGGCGAAGAACGTGTGGAATGAATGGTTGAGACCGCGAAGGGAAGTAAGGAAGGAGGTTTCGGAAGAGGCGTCGACGGCCGTAGATGCGGCAGGCGCGGGGACCGAGAGAGTGGACGTAGATTTTGGAGCAGTAAAGCCGTTACCTGTCGCGCCGAAAGAGGGAGCTTCCACACGAGCAGCAGGAGTTGGCACTTTCTCAGACGCTACTGGAGCAGCAGGTTTGCCAAATGAGAAAGCCGGGGTCTGGGTAGCTTCCTTGCTTGCCACAGTTGTCGCCTCCTTTTGTGTGGTTTCGAAAGAGAAAGGTGCTGGCGCGCTCGTCTTGTTCGCATCCTTCTTCTCTGATCCAGTAGCTGGCGCCCCAAACGAGAATGCGGGTTTAGCAGCTGAGCCAGCAGGATTCGACCCGAAGGTGCTCGACCCGAAACCGGAAGGGGCTTTGGGTGTTTCCTTCTCGGCGGCAGGGGCAGTTGAAGCCGAGCTGCCAAACGTGAATGCAGCCTTAGGAGCTTCATCTTTTTTCTGTGTGGGGGCAGGGGTAGCTGCAGGAGGCGCGCCAAAGGAGAATCCAGCGAACGGCGAGGCCTTTGCCGGCGCAGCGGCTTCTGCGGGCTTCGAACCAAAGCTGAACGTGGAAGTGGGAGCGGGCTTGGGCGCTTCTGTGGCAGGAGGGGTACCGGAAGCAGGGGTAGTGGAAGTCGACTGGGCCCCGAAGCTGAACCCAGAGAACGCATTCGAAGCTGCAGGGGGAGCTGTCGAAGCTGGAGCAGATTGTCCGAACGTGAAGGGGTTGGGAGCAGAAGGTGCGGAGGATGACAAAGAGCTGAACGGGTGTGCACCGGAAGCGCTGGCTACAGGGGCCTGATGAAGAGATATTAGACGACGGTATTAGAACGGGCGGAGCACAACGTACAGCTGGTGTGGGGGCAGGAGTTTCTCCAAGACCTTTACGTTTCGGCAGTCCACGAACACTACATGCTGTCAGAATACGCCGTTACCTGGAAGCATAACACTCACACTCTTCCTTGCACGGGAGCAATAGGAGTGTCTCTAACGCCGGGCTGTGAAGGGTGAGATGATGTTCGAGGGATGGCTACGACGTACCTCCTCGCCGTTTTCCTCGTCGTCGTCGTCTTTTGTCCTCTGGTTGTCTGCTGTGCGCTTTGCCATGCTCGCTGCGTTGTTGCCGTGTTGTTCTTGAAAGGCTCTCCATCCATTCAGTCTCAACTCCGTCTCAAGTGTTGTCTTTCACCCAACGGAAGCAATTTGGCGGCTATCCCCGCTCATCCTCCTCCTGGTGGTCGTTGCGTCAGGACTTAAGGAGCTGGAATGCAGCAACAGCTCTCCCCGGCACTCGTACTCAGTCCCACATCCTAGAAGAGCCACGCCCAGTGATTGTGTACAGGAAACACATCATTATCATTAATGTAGACATACAATATGTTTGCCTAGCACGAAATACGTCGTTGTGTAGTGATCAGCGTCACTCTACCTCGTTCAACAGCAAATCTTGCTCAGGAGCGACATCCCCCGCCTCCTGTTCTAACACTTCTCTATGTAAAGTCTCGACTAAATTCCAACCCTTCCTGGCATAACAAAGCAGCGCAGGGTTGGCATCGCTGCCAGTACGATCTTGCAGAACCTCGGCGGCAGGGACGACTGTTACCAGCTCATCGTTGTAACTGTAAAACTCTTCACCTATTCCGCATAGTGAGATTGAATAGTTATGCTGTGAAGCTGAGGACTTACTGTGCCCAGGGAGATGAGATTGATAAGTCCAGTAATGACCTGATCCGCTTGTTTTCCCTCGGTGCATATACACGCTCACCAGCTCATATTCATACTCGTCCCCTTGGTCCATCGCCTCTCCGTCCTTTGCAGCCCAGATCTCGTTCATCCGGGCTTTCAGATCCGGTAAAGCGGCCTGCAGTTCTTCAATCTCTTTTCCAGTCTCCAGCCTTTCAGCGTCAAGGTGGTCAAACAAGTCATCCTCAAGGACACCTTCCAGCTCTGGAATTTCCTGCGTCACATCCGCGGAGGCTAGGTAGCGCAGGGCCGAAGAGGCATGTTTGAACGTGTCGGGAATCGACAGAGGTTGGTGGTTCTGCAGAGCATGAAGTCGAGTACGAATGCGCACCATTTCGCGGGTGAGATCGATGGACTCTGCCCGTTTCTCGGCAGGTGCGTTGACGAGGTAACGCGACATGGAAAGGGTTTGGGGGAACTGGATGTGGGTATTGGTTTTACGTTCTCGTTTCAAGACAGGGTCATATTGTGATCGCTGTTCAACATGAGCAAAATACTCGCGCGATGTGCCACAAACCTCACCCTCATTTGAATATACAGCATCGGCGGAAACTGATCCATCAACTCCATCATGTATCCTTTCTTCCCCTCATACTCAATGTCTGCGCCCTTGAGGTACAGCTCTGCCAAGCAATCATCCAAGTCTTTGCCTTCTTCTTCGACACCGATTATTGGGTGGGTGAAGACAGCCTCCGTGTCTTTGGCAGCTTCGTAGGCGGTGCTACCGCCGGGGGTGGGGAGAGCAGACTCGTAGATGGTCTGCTGATGGAAACTGCAAGAATAAAGCCTATAACACATATTAGTACCTTTTCCGTGACCCGAGGACCTACTCTTTGATAAGGTTGGGTTTCTCTTCACCCTCCTCCGCCTGTCTTTCGAGAGCCATCTCCAGCTGGGTGAGAATGTTGATGAGAACTTCAGCAGAGTCTTGCTGTAGACCGAATTTCAGACCCGAGCTCAACGTCTCTTTCTTTGCCACTGGTGGCCTTGGCGGCAGAGACGGCGGCGGCACACTAGGGGGTGCGAACCGTTCGTCCTCCGCTACAGCCATCGCCTCAACCTCGTCGGTCTCTGTCTCACCACCATCTTTCGCTGGAGTCTGAAGCTCCAGATGTGACATTTCAGCCGTCATTGTCGGGCTTTCCACTAGCTCTCGCTTGCCCTTGGACGGGGTGACATTCTCATCTTCCTTGTCTTCTTCATCCATAATTCCGCTCATTGACCTCTCGGCAGACTTGAGCCTATTGCGCTCCTCACCCGGAGAGAATGAACGTTCGCGTTCGTTGATGGCACGTTTGCCTAGAACGGAGGAGGATGTAGATCTGCGGCTGCTGGAGGTTTCTGGCGAGCGACCGCCGTCATCTTTGTGGCTCTGGTCTGACTGAATACTGCTGGGTTCAGCCAGCTCGAGAGGAGTTTCCTTGAGAGGTGATCCTGGTGCGGAAGCGAACAAGGTAGAAGTGGGTGAAGAAGGCACATCAGCCAAATCGGGGATCGACGGGATGCTATCCAATGCACTCCCTGTTGGCTCGCCCTTGGCCGTCTCTGCGGAAGCTGAGACAGATATCTGGACAGGCTGCTCTTCTGAATCCACCCAAGAGTCCACCTCGGGGCGAGTGATAGCAAGGTACGCAAGCTCTTCCTCGGGGCGAACGGCTGGGAGTTCTGACTTGTAGAGCTGAAGAAAAAGTAGGCGCAGTTGACGAACGACTAGAGGAGCAATTAGTGGCTGATGTATACACCAAATAAAAACATACACCGTCTCGCTCTTTCAACCTCCGGCTTGACAGGGGTGGCCATATTGTTCTCATCTTGGTCAAACTCCAACACTGCCTCGCGAAGAGGCTTGATGGAATACAAGTATTGCAGAATAGAGTTGAGGTAACAGGTGTTTCTAAGATTCGTGAGGAGCCGACCGGGAGATATAGAAAATACGCTTACCCAATGTTTTGTAGACCGACAGGGATGTCCTTCCTTGCAGGGGCGCCAGGATCTCGATTACCAGTTTGCAAGAATGTTTTCAATCCTGGACGCTCTTCCCCAGGAGCGTCAGCGATGACCGACAAGCACATTCGGTAGTGGTCGGCCTTTCCGGGATATTCGTTGACCGCCATTTCATATTGCCTTCATCCATCATCAGCATAGCATCGCCATCTCGATAGATTACTCACATAATGAGACCGTCATCCACCGCGTCCCTCGGTGCACTCAACGCCTCATACGCCTCTTGTACGCTCACAGTCGTTTGCCCTTTCTCGGCCATGCTCTGCAACATGAAGCTTTCCCGTGCTTTTCCAATCTTTGCCAGCGCGTCATTCACATCCTGTCGGGCGGACGGTGATGTACAAGCCTGGATGGCCTTCTTGTGCATGTCTAGGAGGTAATCAGTGGGCGCTTCATGAGGAGCCACGCAAATGGTTTCCGCATGGTCCGTAGTATAACCAATGAGGCTGTAGGCGCGTAGAAGATCATCTGTGAAAGTATCAGTCTGACATTGAATCACTATACCATGTTGACTCACTCTCGGTGAACTTGTCCATACTCTTTTCCATGGCCACCTTGAGCTGGGCGCTGTCCTTGCCGTATATAGGCCCTTCCGATATCGTCTCCAAGGCTCCCAGGTATTTCGGGGTGTTGACCTCGTCAAAGGCAATTTGGAGGTCATAAGCCAGCTCTAAGGTATCCACAGTGTCAAATCTGGTAGCCCCCAGAGCGTGACAAGCGTTCTTGAGAGCGTCGGGCAAGGATGGTCGGGCTATGTATCATCAGACCTGAAACGTCTGGAAAAGATGGAATGGCACGCACCTTCTTGATACTTTTGAAAGGGCAGATAACTTTCGAGTGAAAATTCGAGACGGACGGGCTCTACAGCACAGCAATGACAAGTCTCAATAATAGCTAAAGATATTCGTCAGTCCATGTCCCCTTCGCAATGTGAAGTACCAATTACAATTTCGAATCTGGTACGCCTTCAGATACAGGCTCATTTCAACCCAGACCCGTAACATATACCTGTCCATCGTACCCAGCTGCCCCGCGGGGACCAGGTCGTCCTCGCGACCCCTATAGGGACCGACCCGAAGGCTGTCGTCGTCTTCTGTGCAGGCGAATCCGGAGTGGTAGAGAACGTGGGAAGAAAGGATCCCTTGGCCGATGCAATTCTGGACTCGCTGATTGGCGAGGCTGACAGCTCCGCGTTTACCTTTGAACAAGGCATTCGAGAGTAATCTGACAACGAGTCAGACCATTCTGGCTGGGATGTGATGGTACTCACGTAGCTAGGAGGTCCCAAGCATCGCTCACACTCTTGTATCCTGTCTTCCCCGGGGCAGGGTTGCTCATCTTTTCTGCCGTAAACGCCTGGACCAGCCCAGCAGGTATCTGACCCGGTACCATCCCTTCGTCCACAAAGATCCAGCTTGTTGAAGAATCACTGACATATAGCCTGGCAGGTGCATGCGGCACACTGAAAGACTCCAGCTTTTCGTCCCTCTCCAGCCCAAAGGTGACATGAGGGAACAAATTCTGGTGTTCTTCAACATCCAGGCGCTCTATCCGAGACATTTTCAAACTCGGGACGATATTCCGGAATTCGTGAAAGTGCTCGTGCGGTTCTCCTGCTGTTCGCCCAGCCTCTCGACACAATAGGAGCTGGTCTAGCTGATACTGCCTCTCCTTTCTCGCCGCCTCAAACTTCTCCTGTTCGTCATAAATCTTATTCTCCACCGCCCAAACCTCCCATTCTTCCATGGATGGTATCTGTGGGAAGGTCTCGTCCCTACCTTCTATAATCCTGAGCCAGCTCCAACAAGTCGTACAAAAGTACCAGTGGTCGTGATCTTGACCACCGCCTGGAAGCGCATTATACACATCTTCCGACATCGCAATCCGAACATCCGGACTTTCCAAGCCCTCCTGGATCCTCTTGGCCGGCTCAGGCAGCTCATCAATATAAGGCCTCACAAGCTCATGCTCGTGTATGATAGCAAGCAATCGTCTTGGGAGGACACCAGGCCCAAGTTGAGGCTTGCTTCGAAGGCTAGGCTGATCGACGTCCATCAGGTTATACTGGCCAAGCCCAGCCTGCCAGTCGGAGATGTCTTTCACGCTGTTCTTGTTATCGATGTCCATTTCTATACCTGCGTCGACGGGATCGGCCACAATGCCCGGCGAGTAGGGTGGCGGCTGCTCATCTGTGAGGTCGACGACAGGTTCTGGTGGACGGTATACAGCTTCTGGCTCGGGCTCTCCCACGTCAACCGGCTGTAGATCTGGAGATGATTCAGAGCTATCTAACACAGAGATAGGCTGGGAGGGACTGCCCTGATGCTGTGGGAGTGGTGTGGTGTGGTAGCGAGTGCGCGATGAGCCGGGGTGGTCTGGATTGCGAGGACCGTGTGGGTGCGAGGGAGGGGTGAGGTCGGAGGGAAGGGTGGCTGAGCGTTCCGGGGTATCTGGGGGGTGCTGGGTCATGGCTGGAGGGTGTCGAGGGGGAGTTTACAGAGGACTGGGGAGAAGGCAGACCTATGTAGGGCATCTCCAACGCCTGAGACGACGATGATGACAGCATATACATTTCGGCTTACGTAATGCTTCTCGGCAACTGCAAAAAGTTGACCATAATAGTCCATAACTAATAAACGTATGGAACGAACACCATTCTCTCGATATCCAAGCAATAGCGAATAACTCTATCATGTCCGAACATCCTCCGCCAGATCAAACCCTCACTTCCCTGACCTCTCATCTCGACGCCCTCGAAGCCGTCCTCGCCCCTCTTGAAGCCAAGCCATGGTCGGACACTACCGATAGATTATCAACACTTGAGCGTACGAAGATGGACGTACTTGGAGCGTATCTGATAAACGATCTGATATGGAGTGAGTCTTGAATGTCAACAGAGGGAGGAGGTGGTGCTGATGCAGAGTAGTCTATATGAAGATGAAGGGTATCGATCCTGCAAAGCACGAGGTCACCGCTGAGCTCGTTTGTAGACCCACTTCTCTGCACAGGCGATACGTGCTCACACGACTGCAGGAACGGATCAAAGTGTACTACGGCAAAATTTCCTCGGCAGAGGGCAAAGAAGAGGGTAAGCCTTCTCGCTCTCCACCATGTTGATCTTTCTCACTCTTGGAGCAGCTCGCCCGCGAATTGATCAGGCTGCCACCCGCCGCTTTGTCTCAAACTCCCTCCCCCGAGCCCAACACCTGCCCCTGACAAACTCTGCCGAACTCGCCGCTCGTCAAGCAGCATATATCGCTGCTGAGCAGGACGCCGAAAACACGCTGAGGCGATTCGGCAAGGCATCCCGATTCAGGCATATACAGGACGAGGGCAGCGTAAAGCTCGTCCCGGGTGATGCCCGAGATCTCGAGGACGAGGATGTCATGATGGCTTCCGCCGAGCAAGGACAACAGCAGGCCGAGGATTTCCTGAAAGCCTTTGAGGGAGAGATGCAAGCATAAGACAAGGGTGCTCAGCGTTGATGAAGGACGGTGTATCTGTGACATATGTATGTAACAAAGATTTAGCTGGGACATGTACACTTGTACTGAAGACATACGATGCATAAATTCTGGGCAGAGATATCCGATAACTACAGCATGAAAAGTAATACTGACCTACAAATCTACAACACGGAGCCCGCCTGGGGCTTTTCGAGAAAAATGACTAAAGTATATTTACCAACAATGCTTGAGATGGCGAAACACACCAGACTAGATATCTTGTACCACGAGCTTAATCGGTGGTCTGCTCACAAGCGCCACAGTCACTGCAGACAGTCCACATGGACCGCTTACCGTTGGCACCCGGGTACTCGCTCATGATGAGCTTGGGAATACTCTTGCACCATGGCCCATGTTGGGACCTAGCCCGGTCAATGTCTGTTGCGTTGGCAGCGAGAGGCCCAGATGCGGTCGGCTGGTAGACGCCTCTGGTAGGAGGGGCGGGAAGACCAGTGCTAAAGGCCTGCGCAGCAAGTGGAGAAGTACCACGCATGCCGGTCCCTTGGTTGGAAAAGTGATGAGGGTTGGGATGAGGAGTGAGGGAAGGAAAGTCTAATCTGACGTGAGCCAATATTCGTCACGCAACGCGATGCGACACTTACTTTTTGTGTGCTTGGCACCCATGTCATCCATCATATCCAGATCATCGAAGCCATCCTCCTCTGCCCCGGGGCCGAAACCGAAACCCCCGCTACCTCCGCTCTCATAGGCATAGCTGCCTTGCGAGTAGTTGTCGACGGGCGAAGAAGGTCCGACAGCGGATGATGAGTCGGCCATGTCCATATCTTGGTCCATGTCCATGACCTGGTCGTCGTCGGACGCATTATTCGAGTGGTCGGCGACCAAGTCGGGCACAGCGTAGTTTGAGTATTGCATGGTGGGAGATCGAACGCGCATGTGCTGGTACAGTTGTCAGTAGAAGGGGCGAGTGATGACGAGAGACGCATACCTTGGAACCCGACTGCTCTTCCTCCGCGCCCCAGGACATCCTCTTTCGCTTCGACTTCAGGCCGGCAGCAGTAGGGGCCATGTTCTGGTGGCCGAATGGGGCGAATGGACTCTGGGTCATGTTGGATGGACGAAGTGCGATGGTTGTGGGAGGAAGGGAGACAGGCGGCGATCTACGCGCGAAAGGATTTGAGAGAAGAAATAAAGGTGAAAAAGGAAATCAAATCAATTTATTCGACGCGAGGGTTCAAGAACATTAGGAGTCCGGACACGTCACGTAGGTCCGTGCGAAATGTCGCGTTTAGTGGGCTGAAGGATAGCGTCCGGACATTTGCTGATGAGACATGTCGGACGCGCCAATTCGGGCAGGTGGAGGTGGGTCTTGGGTCTTTCGGGACGGAAGCAAATATATGACGGTAATCAGCGGGCAGCGGGCAGCGGAGTATTTTTGGGCAGCGGAGTATTTTCTGGCTGCTGCTTTCATCATATGCCTATGTATCTGCAAATCTGCAGAAAGCAGCAACCCGCCGAGCCATCTCTGCTCTGGTCTTTGCTTTGAACATGATGATCAACGTAATGCGAACGGGAAATCTGCAGTTTTCGGGCCTTCGGGGACTGCTCACTGCTGAAGCTCAAGGCCGGAGCTCAAGGCTCTCAAAGATCAAGGACTCGAGATCATCAAGACCCCAAGAGCCCCGCAGGCCCTCTTGTTTTGCTTTGCTGTGCCCAGTGTCCAGCGTATCGGCCTCTGGTCAGGCGTTGAGAAGTTGGATGAATGACAAGATGGGGTTGAGGCCATATGGCACACAAAAGTGGCGGCTAGCGACCTACAACATGTACGTTTTCGACTCGCTGGGAGTATCTCCAGGTTCCAGGTCGTGCTCGCGGGTTGCCATGTTGATGGATGGGCGGATGCTGAGAAGCCATGTTATGGCATGCTGCCGACCAGCTGCCGTCAGTTCTTTCTTTCCCATAAACCATAGCTTTATATCTTCCCGAAGTGAAGTTGAATGATCAAAGAGACCAAAGACCATCGGGCTGAAACGATTCATGCCATGCATGATGCAGCAGAGACAGCAACACTACTATTTTCGCGAAATCGATGATGTCTATTTGACTGAAAGCATGCATACACTTCGTTTACTTATCTAGGCGCAATACTAGCGAGGCCCCGGGTGCCCCGAGAGCAAAGATCAGCAAGCTGGTTGGGTAATTGGCTGATGGATGTCTGATAATCTAGCCGAGGCAGCTCACGCGAGTCTATTTGGGCTGGGGCAGCGGCAAGGAAGTGAGACGCGAGACATCAGCTAGCGGCATGTAACGAGGAGAGGAGGATGGGCGAGGAGGGGAGGATGGGCGAGGGTACAGGGGTGATGGCAACGGCTTCTGCTCTGATGATCGCGCAGTGTGGCACAGCTGTTGTGGAGCTGGGGGGAGGCACAAGGGTCTGGGGTGGGAAAGGGCGGAAAAATGATTGGACGGAGGTACGCAGAGGTGTTAGGCACGGATGCAGGGCCAAATAAGAAGAATAAGGGACGCTCAGTTGCCCCTTGTGGCAATTCCCGCGAGCCATTCGTGAAGTAGAGAGAGAGAGTATTAGAGTGCTGCTGTTCACCACCGCCCACTGCCCACTGTCCGCTGCCCTCCTCCCACCGCCACCAGCGACACCAGCCCACCACTGCACCCGCCCCACTCCGCCGCCAGCCCACAGCCCACAGCCCACCGCACTGCACACCCCTCCACCCACCCCTCCACCTTTCTCGGACACCACCCGGTCACTCCCACCCGTACTTTACACACCCCAGCTGCCCACTGTCTCAGCACCACGCACACCGCCGGTCCACCAGAGGAGACTTGCATCTCCTGCTTGCCAAACAACGTGAGTCTTGCTACCCATTCCGCCCCTCCAGACCGGACCGGGTGAAAATATTTTATTTTTTATGCCTGCTTGGTGCATGCGAGCATCTATGTCCGCTGGAAGAAGGCGGAGCTGGCTCTCGATCCTTCCAGCATGTGCCGAGAGCGGCAGTGGCATGGGAAACACATTCCGACGAAACTGCCCCCCAGCCCATCTTTTGTCTCCCAGCCTTCTTGCTCCGCAGCGTATACTGCAACCTTTCTCGCCGATCCTTTGACAATCCCTCGAGACGCAAGCTGACTCTGAGGACCTTCCCTACACCCTGTCCCAATACAGACTGCACGACAACTCCGACATCATTTCCACCCCGTCTCCGCCCGTCACAGGCCCATCTCCCCTCTCAACCACATCCTCCAAATCCTCACCCGTCTCTACCACCTCGAACGGTACAAGCAGTACTGCATCCAAGCTTCGGCCGCTTCTTCCAAGGCCATCGGCTCGTGAGCCGACCAGACCTGTGAGCTCTGCCGCCAAGGCGCAGCTAGCCGTGGGCAAAATGGACAAGCTCCCATGGCGTACTACATCGGGAGGAAAGAAGGGGCCGTTCACTGTGGACGGCGGCGGGGGGCAGGCGAGTAGGGGAAACACCAGGGGGCCAGAGAGATCCCCCTCGAGACAACAATCAAACCCTCCTACCCCTGCAATGTCGCCTTCCATTCCGATCAACAGACACAGTTTCCCATATCCACCCCAGGCTTACCCAGCTTTCCCCCAATCGTCTAGCTTTGGCAAAAGCGGTTCTTTCCACGGCAATGACCATCACTCGTCTATGTCTACCACTCCCACGCCCATGACCCCTATCGAAATCACCACCGCGCAGCTGCGAAACAGCTACCACCAGGGAACCCACCAATCCACGTCCCGGAGTAAGCGCAACAGCCACCTGGTGTCTACCACCCCCATCGAACCACCTCCATCCCCTTGGAGCGGTGGTCTTTTCGGGCAGAGCGACAATGATGCGTTTGACTGGTCTAGTCTGCCTAGCTCTGCTAGCTGGCTGCCGCCCCAGCAGAATAAACAAATCAACAACGACGAGCCGCTCGACCCATCCATCTTTGCCAGCCTTGCACAAATCGTTGAAAGCCAAAGCCAAAGGGCGAATATGGCTTCGACAGACATGATGAACGTGCTCGATACGACATCACCGAAATCTTCTGGCGGGGCGCACTCGCACTCTTCCGGCGTTAGTCTCTTGAACCGCCGGATGCAGCATCAGCAAGGCAACCACGCCAATGGCGACCATATACCTGGTATTCTCGCCGATCCTGCGAGTTTGGGGGCTTTCCCTGGGTCTCCGCATAGCTACAACCACGTTAGTTTTGCCCACCCTGGCGGCAAAAACGGCAAGGGGGCAGCCAACGGCCAACCCCTCACCCCTTGGCCGTTGTCGGAACGCGCTCAGGGTGAGACGCCGGCCACCACCCCGGGCGGCAGCGAGTCGTGGGTCAACAGCCCAAAGGAGGCAGGCTTCTATGGGTCCTCATGGCAACAAGAAGCGTCCCTCAGGCCCGAGTCGCAGGGCTCACGCCATCGACCTATCGCTCCCCGCCGCAAAGAGGCACCACATTACCCTGCTCCCACTGGTAGCAAGCCAGGCAGTGTTGGGCACTCTAGACACGCGTCGAGGGCGGGATCAGAGGCGGTCCCCGAAACACCGCTGCCAGCAGGGGTGGAGCTTCCTGAACTGCCTCCTCTACCCGATGGACTGTCGTTGGAGCATCTCGCACAGTATGGAGCTGCCGGTCTGGAGATGGCGTTGAGGATGGGTATGGGGATCGGAATGGGTCTGGGACAGCCAAAGCCAGAAGATCAGCAGCAATGGCCTCTACCTTCTACCAATGCTCCGACACCCTCGTCGTCGCAGAACGCGCCCTCTCCCGCAGACTCCAAAGGCCGAAAGAATTCCAATGTCCTCCAAAACATTTTGGAAGACGATTTCCTCGGCGGCCGTGTTCCTTCGACTCCTCTCATGAGCCCTCCTCTCAACATCGACGTCGCTTCTTTCCCAGTCACACGCAGACCCTCACAAAGTGACCTTGCCAGCCCCACTCTTCCTCCCCTTGGTTCCCCCGACGAAATGGCCAAGAAGGATCCGCTGGCGGCCCAAGTATGGAAGGCGTATGCCCGGGCTAGAGAAACACTTCCCAACGGTCAGCGTATGGAGAATTTGACTTGGCGTATGATGCACCTCACGTTGAAGAAGAAGGAAGAGGAAGAAAAGCTGGCGAGGGAGGCGGAAGAGAGAGAAAGGGAAGAAAGGGAGAAGGAGGCGGCGCAGAAGGCTGCTAAGGATGAATTGCCGCCTATGGAAGAGAGACGAGGGCGGTCAAAGGGCAAATCAAGAATTGTTGGGTTTGCTGGCGCAACGGGGTCGAGCTCTCAATCGCCAAAGTAAGCGTTCATCCTCCATACATTAGTACACCCGCTGACGTCTGCCGAAGCGGTATGGACATTGACTGGCGAGCCGCCAGCCGATCTCGTTCACGCATACCTATGGATATTGATTGGCGAGCATCCTCTAGGTCTCGCTCTAGATCTGCGGCACCTTTCCACAACATCTTCAGCGAGGCACACGCCCACAGCCTTCTCGCCTCCGGGGGAACCCCGACCGCAGAGATGGGTCAGTACATGACTGGTAATGGCAGTTGGAACGTGGAGGCCTCCGGCAATGATTCTCATGGTTCCCAAGGACAACGTCACGCGCACCGTCAACACGCTGTCTCACTCCCTGCCAACCACCATTCGATCATGGAGGCTATGGGAATGTCAGCAGATGGCAAGACGGGCGAAGAGGAGGCGTTCGGCGCCTCGCACCAGTCGCAGAAGGCTATGGAGCACCTCCAAATGGCGTTGGCGAGCGAGCAGAGTCCAAACAGTCAAGCCTACAATCTGCCGGGAATCAGCGGGCCCGGGCTGTACTCCAACACGGAGGAGAATTACCATCCTCAATTCGGATTCCTCCCTCGGCGAGTCCGAAAAACATCGTTTGACCATACTCTCAAACGAGTCGACGAAGACGAAAGCTTTACATCCCCTTCATCCAACCCGCGAAAGCGCCAAGCCGAGCATTCGCCTCGAGACGGTGCCAACAAACCTTTGCCAGAGGGCGATACCGGTTTTCCTTCGTCCAACTTTACTTTCAGCTTCCCCCAATCCTACGAAAACTTCTTTGATCTCAATGCTGCCAGTGGTACGCCTTCTGTCAGTGGCGAGCAAGGCCAAAATGGCGAAGGGGACGTCGATCTTGTTGATTTTGCAGAGTGGGCTAGTCAACCCGTCACTACCGGTACTTCTGCTTTCGGTTCCCCATCTGCTTTCAACAATGTCGAACCTGGCATGTCGCTCCCCGCCATGCCTCAGGCTACTGGCGACAACCCCTTCGACTTCCAGCAATTGATGCACCTCTACCTGAACGCCAACTCTTCTGCCAGCCCGTTCACGCACATCAACCCCAACCAAGTGTCGGGCGGCGGTAGCAGCCAAGGACATACGCCTGGCAACGAGTTTTCGCCGAGCGCCATCTCGCCTGCGAGCGGGGCGCCTACACCCGGTAGCAACTCTGGTGCTGCCATCCGGCCGATGCCCAAAGCAGTGGGAGGTAGGCCCGTCGAGCAGAGCAATATGGCGCCCCCCAACAGATCGAACAGTACCCCTCACCTTGCTGCTCTCAAGACTTCGGGTTCCAACAGGTCGTCTCGTAACAAGGGCGATTTTGCAGGACCTTCGAATAAGAGTAGCAAGAACAATGGGAACAGCAAGGAGGCGAGCGTTTCGAGGTCTGGCCAAGGTTCGCCAGAGGATGAGGATGGGGGACCGGGGTCAATCATGTCCAACGGAGAAAATCCGACCATGTGTACCAATTGCCAGACGACAAACACCCCGTTGTGGCGAAGAGACCCCGAAGGTCAGCCGTTGTGTAACGCTTGTGGCTTGTTCTACGTGAGTTGTCTGACCAACATTCCGGCTGCATCTTGTTGACTATCTTTAGAAATTGCATGGTGTTGTGAGACCGTTGTCCCTCAAGACAGACGTCATCAAAAAGAGGTACGTTCAGCGCCACAATCATAGTTTCCGACTGACACTATTGTAGAAACCGAGCCAACCAAGGCAAGGAAACCGGTCCCAGTCGCAAGGGCAGCGTTGCACCGCCAAAGAATGTGTCTGCTCCACCAAAACCTTCTTCGCCTAGCGCCACGACATCCAGTGCCGCGGGCGGTGGTGGCAAAAAGGCCAGGCGGACTTCTCTGGGCGGGTCATTACCGAACGATTCATCTCAACTGCTCAGCATGTCCTCCCAATAAATGACAAACGACACCATCGTCTTGCATACGCTCATCGCGACCAGTCACATGCCCTTCTAAACAGACACCTTTGCCCATACCTTGGTCCCATCTCACATATTCTCAACACACAATAATGTCTCCTTTTACTTTGTTTTTTCACTATCTAGTCCCTGGTCGTTTTCCCTTTTTGGTACGCTTTGCAATGATAACGGTGATGCCCGGAGAAAGAGAGCAGTAGAAGAAGACAGTTCTTAGACTTCATGTAACAGTCTCCATTGCAGAATAAATACAATATGCATCAGCTTTCGATGTATAGCTGGGACTGTGGTAACTAATATGTTGTGTACAAAATCTCAAATGGCGGTGTTGTGAATATGCAGCGAACCCTAAAAACCCAAAATCCAAGAAGAAATCCGGAACTACAACTAACTACCGATGCTGATTGTTATGGAGGTACGGATTATACACATGGCTACCGTCCGGCTGAATGATGAATTGTCCTTGTACGCCCAGCCCCTGCATGCCACTCTCATGGAACAGCGAGTGACTTTGCTCCTGATACTGCTGGTGGTGATCAGGCGCAGGCATGCCTTGCTGCACATGCAAGCTAGCGTAGCCTTGGGATGATTGTTGATGTTGATGAAATTGTGGTTGGAAAGATTGCCTATTGTAGGGCTCCTTGTATTCGCCATAGCCCGCACCACCCCTCTCATTGAACGCCTCATACTGATGGCCCCCATAATGCCCAGGCTGCGCCATCTCTTCAAACGTCATGGCTCCCGTATGCACCTGCTGGTATTGCGCCACATGCTCATAGCTCTCCTGCTCAGACTGAGAGTAGACCGAGGCCAGCATGCCCGCGCCGTGCATCTGGACGGAAGGCTCGTAAGGAGAGATGATGAGCGGTGAGGTGAATGGGGAGCTAGAGGACGAAGGGACATTGGGACGGAATTGAGGGTGGCTGATCTCGGCTGGGTATGGGGTGTGAGTATACGATTGCCTCTGGGGCAGGGGAGGCCGCGAGTCGTGCGGAGCGAACTGATTCGATTGGCCCTGCTGCAATTCGTACGAACTCTGTTGAAGGTTGTATGGGACCAGTTGGGGTACCCGAGAGCTCGAGTTTGAGTTACTTGTCTGCCCGCTCCCCCCGGACGAACTGTGACCCTCGTGAGGCTGCTCCGGAGCCCGGACATGATCAGGTCTGCCGAGAGACTCGAGGTTGCTGAGAATGTTATCCCATACCTTGTCGTCCTGGGAGGCTGGGGACGAGGCGTGTTCATGCCAGAGTTTGCGCAGACTAAAAGACAATGTCAGCCATGTCGTGCAAGGGTTTGAGTGAACTCACTCGGCAGACCTCTCGACAGCTTTTGCGTGCGCCCATCGCAATTCCTGGACAAGAACGTCAGACAGCTGTTGTGTCACAAGGTTGAACTCACATTGAGAGCCCTTAAACAAACCCTTACATCCTCCCCGGTCCCCATGCCCCTCGCCACCCACAAAGCCGCATAATAAGCCCCATCCCTGACCAGGCTCGCATCCCACTCAAAGAATGTTGTCCCCACATACTTTCGCACCAAGACCAGGATTTGGCGAGTCTTCATTTCGCATTTGGAGCGGGCAATATCGAGGAGATGTGTGATGTTGGTAGTGCGGGCAGCATGGATGATTTCCGGGGGAGAAGAGGAGGACGGGGATGAAGGGGAGGAGATCCGAGCGGTGAGGGTGGCGGCGGGATCGGAGAGTCTTTGACGGCGGTCTTCAAGATTGTTGTAGATGACATTTTGAGCCTCAAACAAAAAGATCTTCCAGCCATCCGCGAATCTGCAGTCTCATCAGCTGAGCCCATCCGGGTTTGGTATTGGACCTACCTTGTGACTTCATCACTCAACATGTATTCCCCACCCCCGGACGCCAGCAACTGGTCAAACTCTTCCCACGATCTTTCCAGTGCCTCCCAAGCTTGTTTGAGCAGATCGCCATTGACGTCTGTTCGTCGCCTCGCCGCCGTCCCTGTCAGAGCCTTGTTGATCTTTCTGCAAGCGAGCTGTATGGTGTCAGCCCCAAGTCTCTCAACCAAAGACGACTTACTGCCAAACTGATGGGTGCTGTCGCAAACTTGGAAGAAATCTTGAATGCCCCAGAATCCCTGACGAGAGCGCTGTTTTCGACCATGTCTTGCATCGTCTCGAGATCGTCATCGTCCAGCGTCAGTCGGCCGCCTTTGAGGCCCGTGGTGATACCTTCGTGGACGAACGAGTCTGTACGGTGGTCAGCACTAGAAAAAGGGATCAGGAGGAGACGTACACCAGTAGACCCTTACGCGGACTGTAGTCATTTCGAGGTCGTCGGCAACGCCGCCGTTGACAAAAGCCGTGGCAGATGGCTGACCGTCATAGTTGTGCGCCGTATGGGAGCAGAGCGTGTAGACTTGCGATAGGGCCGCTCCGTACATTGTCATTCTCTCCACTGGCGACGATATGCCATCCGTTAATGGCAGAATCAACAGCAGTACCCGCACCCCGTCCCATGTAGGTTTTCGCAAGAGCCCGGCTTCGTCAATCTCCTTCAAGATGATCTCTGTCACATCCTTCATCTTTGCTCTTCTTCTCGCTCTATGCTTCTCTCTCTCGAGCTCGACCTCTGTTGGTTGATCAAGATTGATCGTGTCGAGAGGCTGCCCCCCGCCATCAGGCTGGTCCATGTTGCCATGTTCGTCCACGCCGTAAGAGACTGCCCAGGCGTAGAGGACGTGGCAGAGTATGGCTCCCTCTGTGCCCATAGCTGCAGCCGTGGGGCAGGCTTGGGAGCGGTATCGCTTAACAAAGTTGCCAGGGTCTATCACCGGACGCTGGACCTGAAAACGGCGAAAGAAGGACGACTCGAAGAATGCGTGCGAGAGTTCGGGAAGGGAAGGGTGCGCCATTGGGCGAGTCGGGATGAGGGAGGAGGTGGCCTTGCTGGGCGAGGTAGGATCTTCTTGAGCAGCGGGGGCGTTGGCGCCGTACAAGACTTCAATTTCGGCTACCCGCTTGCCTCTTCGCAGTAGCTTTGCAGCCTTCATGGGCGCAAACTCGTCGCTGAAATCACGTCAGCGATAGCCTTTGAAAGAGGCGCTCCTACTCACATGCATTTGAGCCCCCGCTCTACACAATTTGAACACTGCACCACCTTGGCCTTGCCCCTATGCGGCCCCAGCCCTTCCCTGTCGTTTTCCGCCTTTTCAGCCTCCACCGCCTTGTCTTTCAGGTCGCATTTTACCCGCCTATGGCGGCAGGCAGAACAGGCGGTAAACTGCTGTCTCGTCGTCTTTGTAGCGGCGGCCGAAGGGGCGCGGGGGGGCTTGCGCGATGTCTTGGGGGCTTCGGACTGCCATTCGGAGGGGGGGTGGATGTTGATGGGCGAGGGGAGCGGGTGGTGGGCGGGGGGGTAGGTCTGGGGTGGATGTTGCTGGGGGTCGTTCGAGGCAGAAAAGCAGTCGCCGTGGGGCGGGCGGTACCCCCCGGGCAGCTGGTAGTGGTGGGACATGCAGCGGTGGGGAGCAGAGGGGCCCGGGGGACTTGTTATATAGCGAGATGGAAGTGGAGGCGGGTGGCCCGTGCACACATACATCTCTGCCGTTCCCGTCCCTGGCGTGCCTATCCATCACAGCAGATCGCACCCGGGCGTCTTAAGTGGGTATTACGAGACCCGTATATGTACGCTGCAGCCTGCACGCAAGCCGCCAGTGTCCCCAGTCGGTGAACGTAAGGCCGAAGGGGCCACGTCGATCACAAAAAGAATCAAACCGGAACATTTTTGACACGAACGGTCTTGAAAGTCTGGAAACTGCGACACTACTCAGTACTCTTTTCCGTAAAGTTTGGTTCCGTCAATAGAGAGGCCTTGAGGACAGTCTACGGCGGCTGTGCTGTCGGATCTGTCGGGTTTCGGGTATGCACAGGATCATCACCGAAGACTGATGGATGCGCCAGTATCCTTGATCATCTCGAGACTGATAGCAGGGTATGCTTGATAGAGGGGTATGATCGGAAACATCCGGTTGGTACTGCTGATGGGAGAGACGGCATGTAACGCACAGCGAAATCGAATCAACCGAGTCTACCGACTCTACGAGATCAACGAGACTGCACAGCGACCAAACACCGGCCACTCAAAGAATACACGATCGTCGAGCTGCCCATCATTCCATCAACACGTACCTGCATAGCACTCGAGTGAACGAAAGGACGCTTCTAAATTATTACAAAGCCTGTTCAAGGCGCAGCTTCCGTAGGAGCAACTCGGGTTGGGGCGAGCATTCGGGACAGGCTATATCGTAACCGTGAGCGTAGAGCGTATACAGACAGGTGGCCCAGGGTGATGGACACGGGTGGCACAGCGGCTTCGAGGCGCTCTTGGTCATCCCCCGTCTTTTGCTTCTTTTTCAGGTCGTCAATTTTTCTTCTGCGTTATCCCAATGTCCTCCAGCGAAAGCCACTGCGGCGTGCGAGCAAGAATGCATTCCCAAAACGTACAGATCCCAAAAAATCATGTTGAAACAACCCAAGCCACCTACATCAATCTCTTCCCCGGTCTCTCTCTTATCCCCAGCCCCACCACCCCCTTCCCGCTCCCGCTCCTATCCCTCCCGACCGCCTCTTCAAGCCACTTGAGCCCTTCCAATGCGTGGCGCGCAAACCAGAATAACGGCAATCTCGGTCTGACGTTGACAAGTTTTGCGAGGGAAAATGCAGGGGAAGAGGGGGGAGGGAAGGTGAAGCCTGCGGTGGGGGATGGGCCCGGCGAGTAGGCTCCTGGAGAAGGAGGAATAGAGCCGGTAGGGGTGGAGGGCAGCAGCGAAGACTGACGAGTTGGGGGACGCGACTGAAGGGCTTGGATCACAAACTGTACCCTGTCAGTATATAATATCTGATATGAAGAAGCACTTACAAGAGGATAGATGAGCGCAAAGATGGCCATGGTCACGAGAGGCGGTCCAAACGAAGTCATCAGTGTCGCAGGCAGGCCAAACCCAAACATGTACGCGAGCCGGTCTTGGATGTAAGTGATCCTGTACTCGAGCGGCCATTGTTTCATGGAAAAGTTCCATCTAAGCGTGGAGTCAATAGGATCCCGAGCAGAGTGGACAGGACACTTACTCGAAGCAATAGTACGAGTCGACGACACACATGTAGGCGAATGCGCCCAGCTTTCCGACGCCGGGCAAGAGCCCGATCAAGCGAGAGACGAGCGTAAAGTCGCTGATCAACAGGATCCTTGCGACGGAGGAAAACACATTGGCCAAGATGCCATTAGTCGGCGAAGGGGCCGGTCTAGATCTGATCGGGGTAGAGGCGGGCGAGGGTTGATGACGGTAGGTAGGATGGAGCATCGTTTGGGCCCGGCGCGAGATTCGAGGACCCCAGATTGCCTATACATAGTCAATGGTGCTATACCCAATGCCATATGATAAGCGTACGTTGACCCAAAAGCACAAGACAAAGACGGGCCAGCTGAGAAGGACGTTGTACCACAGCCCAATCTCCTTTGTGCGCGCTTCCATGGTTGGAGATATGGGGATGAGCAGTGGAGAAAACATTATCGAGGAGAGGGAGAGTAGGAGTAGGGAGAGGATATTGATCATGCTGCAAAGGTATCAGAATGGTTCCAATGAGATCATATGAATCTTGCCTCGATTTGAGAACAAGAGTTCCCAGTTCACGGTCACTGCAGCTCTTCAGTACGAGTAAGCCTCTCTTTCCGGCGATCAGAAACGCACCTCCAGACAAGACCCAGGCTTCTGTCAAGCCTCAGGGAATCTTCCAGCCCCTTCTTGATATTGCCCACCACCCCCTTCACTCTTTGCCCTATACTCTTTGCCTGCGTCTCTGCACCGGGCCACTCTTCTCCAAGCTCAAGTCCTCCGAAACTTGCATTGTTGAAGGAAAGACGCGCCGGTCGAGCGCCGTCGGGAAGAGGCCGGGAGCTTGCTGGAGATAGAACACTGTTCGACCTTGTGTGAGGGTGACGCAAGGGGGTGTAGGTGGTATTGATCCGGGGGGGCGATGGTTGACTTGGGCGGGGGGCCGCCGGGGAAGCCGAGGGGAGGGTGGCTGGGTGCCGTCTCTGGATCATCTTGAGTCGGAGTCGGATAGGTGTAGACTTGCAGGATTGACAGAAAGGTCTATCAGTTTGGACCGGTTGCGGAAGTCTACAGGCATGTAAGATATGCTCCCATATGCCCCTGTAGGTGCCGTATGCATGCATGGGAGGGCTGTATGGGTTAAGGGGTGCGCTAATAAGGCCGGTGATGGCCGCCGGGGGGATGACGCTCTCTCCATCTGTTCTTTCTATTCTTTCTATTCTTTCTATCTCTTCATCTCCTCTAGCATTGCCCCCCATGCCCGGCGATCTCTCCTTCCTCGACCAGCTCGAGGACTGGCTCGAGGCTCAGATCCCCAACAACATCCATCATCTTCCCCACAAGATGTACGATACTGTAGAGAAGATGACCGGCGAGCTGCGTGAGCTACTTCCCACCATCTTGGTGACACACCTGACAGGCATACACAGTGGACAGCCTCAACATCCACGGCCCGCCGTCCATCTCCATTCCATTTCCTCCGTTCGGTGGTAAAGACGCCCCACCACCACCGCCCCCGCCTTCCTCTGCCGTCAGCTGTGCCCACTCGGTAGCTGACCGTTCCGGCCGGGTCTTGAAGAACCACCCTTACGCTGTTGGAGCTGCCCTCTCTGTCGGCCTCGGTTTGACCGGGCTGATGGTGTACAAGGGTGTTGGCGTCTTTGGAAATGACTGGAGGATCAAGAGACGATTCGGAGTGAGGGGTGCAGTCGAAGACGGCATGTTGAAGGAGGCTATCGGTGAGTGACATCTGAAACAGGTCAAGGCTGACATTATCCAGTCATTCTCGCGCCCTCTCCATTGCCACCACTCCTGGTGCCTCTTGCCGCCAGTCTTCTGAGATCCGGGTATATCGTCCTGGTGGCTGTCACCAACAACCGCGATGCCCAGTCTCTCGAGCGAAGGCTCAGCAGCCTGGAAGAGAGGGCTGCTCTGCGCGTCTTGATTTACGACCCTGATGACGTGAGTCGACTTGAGCGTCCCTAGTACACAAAGCTCATCGCCAGCAGTCCACCACTTTCCCTCCATTCCACCGCTCCCTCCTGGCCACCCTCACCCTCCGCTTCCCTGTCACCGGCAAGTACGCTGCCGGTGACCCCTACAACCCCCAGCCAACTCAGCTTGCACACATCCACGCCTTCCTTTCGTTGTACCCACTCCACCCCGACCCTCCCTCCCAGCCCGGAGCGCTTCCTGCTATGCCTACTTTAGTAGCTCCGAACGCCAACGGCAGCTTGCCTCTTCTTGTCAACTTTTATCCTTCGGGTTCAGTGCCCACTACGCCCAACACGTTTGCCAGCCAGGTGCTCACGAGCAATCACCTCCTGCTCGGCAAGAACCTAGCGGCATCCTCTCCTGGTGCTAGAGTTGTATCTGTCTACGTCGGTGACATTGATCTCCCCACGTTGCCTGCTATTTTGAGTCACGGCAAGACCCTTACCCGCCGCCAACTCGCAAAGGAACGCCTTGCTCAGGACTCTACTCCTAAACAGAAAGTGTCTGTCATTGGCGACTACCTTTTCGGTACCCTGCGTGCCGTATTTGGCACCATCATCGGTACCGTCGGTCTCGGCTCCACCGTCCGCGAGTATGCCACCTTTGAGAAGAGCATCTTGCGCATCATCAAATCTTCTTACGGCCACGACCATTTCGTCGGCCAACGCTCCATGTTCCCGCTCCTCCTGTCTCAGCTTCCCATCCCGGGCTATCTCCTCCCATCTCTCCTGACCTACCTTCCTTCCCTGCCGTCACCCACCGGACCCCCTCTTCCCGATCACCCCAAAGCCACGCGCTCCAAACATGCGGCCCGCCCTGCAAGCAGAGACGCAGACAGCGAAAGGGAGAGCGAAAAGACGTCGGCAGAGGAAGGGAGCGAGCATGAGAGTACCGGAGAGGATTTGGTCAGCTCGATTCATACCGGGACGAGCTTGGGGAGTGAGAGGGGCATGGATAGTGAAAGTTCCGAGGGCGCGGGAAGCAGTGGATTGGAAGGCAGCTGGGTTGGGCTTGATAGTGCAAAGTAAGAGTGTGGAAGTGTTTCTCTGGGTTTCTATGTTCGATTGGAATTGTGTGTCTGTCACTTCTCTGTACAAGTTGGTCTTTGGTAACTTCTTTTGATAATTCATTTTCAGTGTTTTGTACAACTATGATAAACGACAATCTTTTGTTACAAAACTAACCCTAAGACCCAAGAAAACAGACAGCAGACGCGTCCTAGTACGCCGGAGGCAATGGTGCGAAAGGGATCGACGGAAAGTCGGTGAAATCATTCTCCAAGAAGGGGTTGATATCACCCAGATGCGTAAAGTCGAAACTAAACGCCAGATCCAATGGTCCCAGAGACCCGATACCTCCAAGCGACTCGGGCACATCGCCCCTCACGATCCCTGAAAGATCCGTCGACCCAGGTCCAGGGATATCCTGTCCCAAGAGATTGAGGGCGTCCTCCGATATGGGCGTTGGCATGTCCATCGCCACACCCAGTGTGCTCGCTGCCACCTTTCTGCACGCGCACAACAGTCTGCGGCCGAGTACTGAGCCTATCACAGCAATGTTGGAATGCGCCTTGATATCCCGCAGGCGGGAGGAAAGGGCAGAGAGGATGGAGAGGTGGAATACGCTGATATCGGGAGTATGGCCGCCCTCGTTCTTGCGGGTGGCGTCCATGATGCGCAGGGTACAGAGGGAGACGTAGCCGACGAGGTACAGCCTGCCAGGGGTGATGTTTTGTACTGCGCCGCCGAGAAAGGGGATGGCATCTTTGCACAGGTCGAGGCCCGCGACGAGGCACTCGTCGTGCTCGATCTCCTTCATCTCGCCCGTGTTCAGACGGTGTTCGTAAGGCGTCATGAGCAGGGCGAAACGGGTAGCACGAAGGTCATGTTCCGCTCGCATCTGGTCATCTATGGTATTGTCAGTGAGAGCGCCAAGAGTGAGAGGGAGAATACGGACCTCTTGAGAGACGGTTGTACCAAGTCTTGCGCCATTGATTCAGCGTATCGTCCACTCGCTTCATGTGCATCTCGAACGTGAATGCCGACTGCGAGACCATGGTGCGTTGTATATTGCGTTGTAAGGTAGCCACAGAGTTTTGGAAAGCGTAGGAGGAGCAGCTGACGACGTCGCAAGGCAGAGCATCCTGTGGCAGGTCAGCAATGTGGGGCAAAGAGGCGCAAGTGACGTACTGCTTCTTGGTACCACTTTTCGAGATTGAGCATGGAGGGGATCACATTGTCTCTCAACAATGGTCGTCGGCCTCTGATGAAACTCATCCTAGACACTTGTCAGCCCATGACGTCTGGCGGAATGCGTTACTCACTTTCTGTCAGAGTCTGTCAAGACCAGCCAGAATCTCTGTATATTCCTCCTCTTCCTCTCGGGAGATATGTGGGCATAGATGGGGTCGTCAAACATGTAAGCGGGGAGAGTGTTGATTTCGAGACGAGTTTCGAGGGCCATGCCGATTGACATGGATACGTTGGGCCAAGTCCTGCTCTCTGTCAGCGATTGAATGGATTCAGAGGTTCTCACACTTACTGGTGCTGCTTGTTTGCTCGGATGTAGGCGTTGTGTATCAGCATCGATTGACAGAGCTCCAGCGACTGTGACCGTTAATCAGCGCCGGCGCTGGCAGATACGCACGTGCTCACCTGCATGCCTTTTCTGGCGATGATTTGGTAGAGGGTGTCAATATGGTTATCAAGCCTCGCTACAATCCCAGCCGAGTGTTGTGACACGGGCAAACACTGCGCGGCGACTTGGAGGACCGAGGTAAAGAGACCGCACGAGGTAGCGCGCATGTAGTCCATTGTGTGGATTTTGGGATCAAGGATGCGTGTGATGGGATGGCATCTCGACCAGTAGCTGCCACACTGTCAGCCCCGACACATGTTCAGTTTGGGGTACTCACACAGACAACAAGTCTCTTGCTTCCCTCTCGGTAATAAGGCCGTTGGTGACAGGATCCAAATGCGGCTCGAGGTCTCTTCTGGGCTGGTCGATCCTCGCATAGATCCCTTCCTCCCCTTGTTTGATATCCGTATCCTGTTCTTGCCCTCCGAACAGCTGGTCGAGCCCTTGCTCCAGCACGGCCATACCCATGAAAGGATCAGGGTCCAACGTGCCCGAGGCTTGTTGGTACAAGTCCAGAAACCTTTCTCGATCAAACGGCAGGCTTGGACTTTCACCCCCGCCTAGAGGCATGCTATCTCTGGGCATATCATTCGCCACTCGGGAGAGGATGTTGAGCATGTTGCTGAATGGCGATGGGGGCCGGTTGTCAGACATGGGCGATCCGGGCGCTGGGGAACCATCTTCGGCGGGAGACTCTTCGCGCAGCCAGTGGGACAGGCGACGTTCTTTTGTTGGGCGGTAGGAAGAAGCTTCGGATGAAGATCGGTCGTCATGCGAGCGGGAGCGTTTGTCCTTGCCATCGCCATCTTTCGGGACGCTCCAGGAGGGTTAGCTGGTGTCGAGGGTGCTTGAATCTTGAGTCTTACTTTTTGGATCCCAATTTGCGGCCCAGCTATGTACGCTATAAATCACAGCGCCCGCATACATACAAGGCGACTCACTCTTCGGGGGATGCTCTCACAGGCGACGCCGAGTCTGGAGCATCTCCTGCAGGTCTCATTGACACTGGCCCTCTGGCATTTCGACTGCGGGATGCGCGTCAGTCGTGCACAACGGCGGCGGGAGATGGACGGACCTTGAGTGAGCGACAGGCGAGGCAAGCGGTAACGGCTCCCATTGATTCGGGGTGGTGGTGGGTGGATGGCTGCGAGCGGGGAACAAGGATGTATATGTACATACATGGAGATGAGGTCGGCAATTATAGTAATTGAGCGATGCATCATATGTCCGAGTCGGCTGGCGAGCTTCGCGTCTTGTTCGCGTCAGCTGTTTACGATCGGGATCCAGCACGGAACCCAGAATTTTGACAATAGCAGCTGCATGATGCATCCATTCGCTACCTATGCATGCACCAGCGCGCTTCCATTGCTTATCGGCAAACCACATCGTCTGTCGCCATACCCTTGTCCTCCTATGGGCTGCTGCCAAAGTACATGGCACTTTTGTGCACGCCATATCGAAACGCCGGCGCTTACAGCTCGTCTCGCCCAAATTTCTTCTGCGCCCGCTCCTCTCTCCATTCGTCCTTCTCGGCGTTCCCTTCCTTGAACATGGCAAGCTTCTGCCTCGGGTCGGCTGGCTGCTGGGCGCGGTACACTTTAGACTCGTCATGGGAGAGCGTAATCGGCCTGGGCGACGGGCGGAGAATGCTGTCCCAGCTCGCTGTCTCACTCGGTACCGGCCGGGCCGTGGAGGGCTGGTAGCTATACATAGAGCGACGTCAGCTGGAATGTGTTGTCTTTTGCAGTTCTGCCAGAACTTTGTACTTTGTATTCGCTTGAAAGATACTCACATGATACCGTCACTGGGGCATCCCGCAGCACGTTCCAGTCCAGAAGCAGGCTCAAATGCACCTTCCTGGAAACTACCACGCGCAGCTAGCGGCCACGAGACAGCCGACAGCGTCGTGTTGTCGCATGTGATCTTGATTTTGGGTCAGCGTGTTCAAGTCATCAGGACGGGGCACCACTTGCGAATGGCGGGTGGCCGAGGATGGACAGCGCTTCAGAAATGTCGCGGAGAGAGTAGGTGGTATCATCCGAGGGAATGATCTTGCCTAGTTAGCTTTGGCAGCGATACACCTGCGGTCACACTTACCGCCCTGTCTGCGAGCAACTGGCCAGTGGGGTGATCCCTGTTGAGCTGCTGAAGAACAGCAAAGAATTGAGGAACCTTGTCACCATCAGTGGCGCTCCTCGTGTATCCGACAAACTCACTCCAACTCCCTTGGAGGGCTTCTTGAAGCACTTGGAGCTTAATGTAGAGATGTATCTCCCAGCAGTATTCCACTAGGTACGCTCATCAGTTCCTTGCCGATATCCAGGTCGGCGACATACCGCTCGCTCCCAAACCTCTTCGACACCCTCCCCGACCTCACTCTGGGCCCACTCCTTCTCTGCCTCTACGAATGCATTCTCACCCGCAAAGAGCGGTGACTTGAGACAGTAGGACCCGACTTCCTCGTGCGAGTAGGTAGGTCCGTAAGTGATCGTATCTTGTGGCAGTTGGGTCTCGCAGCTGCATCGCTGTCAGTCTCCTTCTCACCGCTCATCCACACTTCTACTTACTGCAAGACTTCAACGCCGTCGATGCCCCAGCTGCCAAAGTCTCCCCCGGTATCAGGCTCGTGGCGTTGCCTGAACACGAACAGTCCGCCGGGGGAGGGGGAGAGACAGGGGTCCGGGGCGGGGGCAGAGCAGGAGAGCTGCTGTGCGGCGGCGAGGGATGCGAGGAGGACGGCGAGTTGGGGGTACATGGGGGCTGCTGGATGCACTTGTTGGAATGTTGCTGATTGTGGAGTGGTACGTGCCTGGCGCTCCCCTTCCGCCCATCTCCTCTTTCATTCTCGTTCTTTCTTGCAATCCCGTCACCATGCCTCACCCACAAAAACGCCCACACCCTCGGCCATCAACGTCCAAGTCGACTGCACCCCCAGCTGCATACGGGCAAGCCTACGAAGCGTCCCTCGTCTATGGACAAGATCATATGGCGCAGAGTGTGCGCGAGAGAGGGGGCCGGGGAGGCCTGATCCAGTATGCTGGTGAGGCGGATAAGGAGGTATGGGCCGATAGGTATGTATTATTCCATGCACATGAAGTCTTGGGTACGAGATATGCAAAGTTGGGGTCATGCGCTCGATGATTTGGACTGATTTGTTTGTATACTCTGAATCGTTTCGAGGCTCAGCTGACTGTTTGATAGACATGATATGATACATCTCTTGCCCAGTTTGCCAAGCGAAGGCCGCAATATATTCATCAAAGCATCCTCTCTAACTCGATCCTCTTCTTCCTGGTCCCTTCCATCCGACACCGAAGAAACATGGGCCCTATCAGACGAAGAAGAAATGGAGGTATACAAGAATGAGAAGAAGAAGAAATGGATGGAGGGTCTCCGAGCAGAGAGATTGAGAGAGAGGGAGAGGGAGGATATGGATCGGGGCAAGGCCGTGCAAAAGTCTGCTGATGGGTGGGATGATGATGAAGAGGTGCGTCGCATACTCCCCATGCGCTGGCTAATGACCGGCACAGCCCCCTGAAGCAATCCTCACACTCATGGCCCACACCGCTCTAGCCCTGTCTGGCTCACCGAACCCCTCTGTTCTAGAGATTCGGATTCTCACAAACCACAGCAATGACGAGCGCTTCGCCTTTCTTCGGGGAAGATACAGAAAGGCATGGGAGGCGGCAAAGGGCAAGGTGAAGCGGGAAAAGGAGGAAAAGGCCAGGAAGGAGGAGAGGGAGCGGGGGCTGGGTGGGCTGGGTGGGTATGGAAGTGATAGTGAGAGCGAGAGTGAAGGGACACCAGAGCCGCCGCATGATGAACCACCGCCCCCACCCGAGGACGATCCCTTGCCTCCCTTGCCGCCTGCTGATGATGACGAAGAAGAAAAGAAAAGGCAGAGGCGACTGAGAGCCGAGGAGTGGAAACGCAAGCGGGCAGAGGCCAAGGGCTGAGCCCGTTGGTGTAATGGTCGATCCATCTTGATCTATGTACAACTTTCTATAAGGATTTAGGGTCACTCTAAGCGCTCTCCTCGACCGTCCTCCTTTTCCTGTACAGATAGTACTTTTGGAGAATGAAGATGATATCAAAGACAAACGACAAGCCCGCTAGACCGAGCTTTGCGGGGTTGGCAATGATCCCTGAAGGATCGTTATCAATCCACACGGAGGAGATCACAAGCTGGGAGAAGCTGAACACTGAGCCGACAATGTCCTGCACACAAGTCAGCGATGCTCGTAATCATCTCGTTGGACGTACCCCGATGACAACGCCCACAGCAAACCCTTCCATGGCCCTCAACCGATGATTAAGCACCACTTGTGGAACATACTTGATCGCCGATATCACCAGCTTCTCATTGCCCACAAAGTAGAGCCAGTCCAAGAAGTGGGCTCGGCCGGTCCACACGACTATAGCGTAGATGAATGAAGACACTGTGAGGACGCTCAGGAAGAGCTGGGAGATGGGTGAAGGCCGTATGGAGGAGTGAGGGGTGAGGAGGTTGTCGGCAGTCTGGCTGATAGAGTTGTTTGAACCGGTGTGCTCGTTTCGGACGAGGGGAGCAGCCTCATCGCCAACTGATGCGCGCCGAGCCCGCTTGCGTACGTGAGCATACCATACAACTTGCCCTGCCGTCACAATCGTAATGACCAAAGCATGAAGAGAGAATGCAAGGTCCGAGGCAGACACTTGAGGGAGGTGCCCGTTGTGTCGTTCTTGGTACTGCCGCCGAGCAATGGGCGAAAAGTAAGCGCCCCATGTCCAGAGACTGAGGGCCAGAAACCCGATAGGATTGACCCAGACAAAGTCGGGCGAGAGGCCGTCAGACCTGGGGTGGTTGCAGTATCAGCGGTGCTCAAAGACGAGGAGAGGCACAGTGCTGACCTCTTGCGCTGAAAGTTGAGGATGATCTGAGGGTAGAAGGAGTACGACCAGGCGGTAAAGTATATGACGCCGCATGCCCCGACGAGAAAGGAGGCGATGGGGTGGTCGGGTGCGGCTGCTGCCTCCATTGTGCTTCGCTATGTATGCATGAGAGATACTGGGATGGATGGATAGCAAGCACGGGATCAAATTGAAATGGCGCGATTTGGGTTGCGGCCTTTCGTGTCCGGGACCAAATACGAGGTGATCGGCCAGGAGACGGTGTTCAATTGCAAGGGGTATCTACGAGACACAGCTAGACATACAGCTTCGCAGCCGTATCCGTTTCTGTCCACATGTACTTTACATTCCCATCCTGCATTCCTCTTCTCTGCATCCACAATGTCCAACACAAAGAGGTTCATCCCTATCCCGTCCCAGTACGCCGTGAGTATGCCACCCTGGTGTAGTGCTCAGCTGACTCTTCACAGATCTACAAGTGTGTCTCTGCCATATGTTTTGCCTTGGTGCTGCTGACCGCCCTAGCTCTTACGATGTCGACCCAAAATGGCAGATCAAGTTTACCATTATCTGGACATCAATACTCGCCTTCTCTTTCCTCCTGTCCTTGCCCTATGTCGTCCATCATCTTCGTATAGGAAGGCTTTACTCGGGATGGGCTATCCAAGAGTATCTCGATCCCCCAGAAAGGGACCCTGCTCCTGCCGAGCCATCGAAAGCTCTTTCGAATCAGCAGACGTTCCACGGACGAGTATGCAAAGGCATCGGCGCCATGGTGCAGAGCGCCACGCTCCTGACGCTCCCCATGCCCAACATCTCTTTCTGGAAGACTCAAGTCAGTGACTGCTGTCGTCGTGCCTATTTCACCCTGTCCGTCTGGCAGACAGCACTGGTGGGTGGGTACATGAGCGCTGTGGTCGCTTGTTTCGTCGTCGGTGCACAGTTGACTCAAAATCCCAACCGACCGGGATTTCTGGCCTTGGCACAACTGCCCGTGATCTTGCTATTTTCTCTCAAGTCACCTATCCCCCTTCCCATCTTTCTTCCCTCTCTCTCGTACGAGCACTACAACTTTCTGCATCGCTGGGCCGGCAGGACGCTCTTCCTGTCCGTGTCTGTGCACGGCGGCATGTGGATCAACCAGTTCGTCACGACCAACCAGTATGACCAGTTGTCTGCCGAAAAATCAAAGAGAGGCATGCTAGCGTATGGAATGATGGGAATGGTTGTTCTCACGAGCTTGAAGCCTGCTAGGAGAATGTGCTATCAGCTGTTCTGGATGGCTCAGTGAGTTGTCTATCAGTGTGTTTCGAACCGAGCTGATGGATCGCAGCGTATTGTTCTTCTTGGGCTTTTTTGCTGCCATTTCGTATCACACTCCTTACAGTCGCCCGTGGGTCTGGCCATGCGTCTCGATCTACACCTACGAGTAAGAAGCCTGTCCCCGATCTCTCTTGCCTCTCGCTGACTCCTTCAGTCTCTGCGTCCGCATGTTCCGCTATCGTATCAAAGACGCCACCCTCATCCCCATTGACAGCACCCTCACCATGATCCACATTCCAGACTGCGACGCCGGCTGGCTCCCCACACAGCATATTCTCATTCGCGTCTTGAGCGGGTCGGGTGTATTCGAGTCGCACCCTTTCACCATCACCAATGCGCCCGCTACAGCATTCTCGGCGGCACCAAGAGGCATCATCTTGTATGCCAAGGTAGCGGGCGACTGGACGAGAAAGTTGCACAATTTGGCAAGAGACACCACTTGCGAGGTGGGCGACGAGAAAGAGTGTTTGCTGCAACAGCAGCCTAGTCAGGAATCTGGCCTACAGGGGACAGATCATCCCGGTAGGAAGGTACAGATCGTTATCGACGGCCCGTATGGAGGGCTCAAGATGGATTTGGATCAATATGAGCACGTCTTACTCGTCGGTGGAGGAAGTGGCATCACATTCATTCTTGGGAGTGTCGAAGAGGCTTTGAGAGTACGAGAGAAAGGGCGAGGTCCAGCAAAGGTCGACGTTGCATGGGTCGTCAAGGAACTTTGTAAGTCTACCAACTCCATCGATGAACCAAAGCTGAGGATCTCGTAAGCCGCCATCGAAGCTCTCTCCCCTACACTCCTTCACCTCCATGCTCTTTCTCAGCGGCTTGGGCTCGAACTCGCATACAATCTTTACCTCACCGACCCTCCCCACCCGCTTCCACCTTCCCCGGCCGTCTTGCCCTCCACCACCACCCTCTCGCCCTACCGCCCCGAAGTGGCGCAACTTGTCAGAGAGTCCCTTCCACACCCGATGCCTTTGCGTGGTGGGTCTTCTTTAGAGATGGGGGCCACAGACGAAGAGGGACATCTTGGGGGACATGGAGGCGTCGGGAAAGGTCATGGAGGTGGGCTGGCTGTGATTGCATGCGGGCCCGCCAACCTTATTTCCGAGGCGAGCAATTCCATCGCAGGGCTCAGTATAGCCGAGCGGGTGAGGTGCGGGGGGATAGGATTCCACGGCGAATGTTATTCTCTGTAGATGTATGGAGATGTACTAGTACAAGCATGATGCAGTGGAGTCATTCAACATGGCCACAGACTAGAGGCGCGGGAGGCTGGTTGCGGGTATGCGGATAGCCGGCCGAGGACGCGTCTGCTGTTATACAGGTGGATGCTCTCAGTCTGCTGCACCCTCCCCCAGCCATGCCGCCCCCCGCCTCACGAGCTGCCATCACCCGCCTCCTCGCCCTCACCGCCAACCAGGGCTGCAGGGGCTGCGGCAGGTCCCACTCCCACAGCATCGCCGCCCCCACAGACTTGCCCCCTGGCAATGCCGACTATGCTTTCGAGGTGAGCTCCAGACAAGGCCTCACCACCGGACGCTCATGGTGCACAGATGGCTGCGTCGACCCTCCGATTCGGCGCACATGCCACCCGAGAAGTCGGCATGGACTTTGCAAACCTCATTCGCGAGATGCCTTCCGTCGACCGCTCACGCGCAAAGATTGGAGTGTTCACGGATCCCAACGTGGCCAAGCTTCAAGTGATGGAGGTCGTGGAGGAGAGCCTGCTGAGGGAAGGATTGGACTTTGTGGTCTTTGACAAGGTCTCCGTCGAGCCGACCGACAAGAGCTGGGGGGTGAGTGGAGTATACACCCGTATGCTCTAGACTGATGAGATATAGTCTGCTGTTGACTTTGCAAGATCCTCCCATTTGACGCACTTTTTGGCCGTGGGAGGTGGGTCGTCAATGGATACTGCGAAAGCAGCCAACCTGTTGGCCAACCATCCCGAGTCCGACATGTTCGACTTTATCAATGCCCCCATCGGCAAGGGCTTGCCCATCACCAAGAAGCTGAGCCCTTTGATTGCCAGTACGTTCCATCTATAGGCTACGAGGGACGGCTGCTGACATTCGACTTTAGTCCCTACTACCGCCGTAAGTGCGCTGTATTGCAGGATGATAGTCTTACGAACAACTTGATAGGGAACTGGATCAGAGACCACAGGAACGGCTATCCTCGACATACCCTCCCTTCGGTTCAAGACTGGTATTGCCTCGCGTGCTCTGAAGCCGACCCTGGGTATCGTCGACCTCCACAACACTGCTACGTGTCCCAAGGAGGTTTCCATCGCTGCTGGATTGGATGTGCTCTTCCATTCTCTCGAAAGTGAGTGAGATCTTAGAGAACTGGTATCGAGCTGACACGTATAGGCTGGACTGCTGTGCCGTATCATGAAAGGACTCCCAGGCCTACCAACCCCATCCTCCGACGTATGCCCTGTTCGATGCCAGGCGGAGTTCTCGCTGACATGATTCATTAGCGGCTTATCAGGGATCCAATCCCATCTCAGACATCTTCTCTCGATGGGCCTTGGAGACTACCATCAAATACCTCCCTCGCATTGCCCGCGACCCATTCGGCGATGTAGAAGCCCGATCTCAGATGTTGCTTGCTGCCTCCACAGCTGGTATCGGGTTTGGCAACGCCGGTGTCCACATGTGTGTGAGTATCATTTGATCATTGCAACGTGGCTGGCCATATTGATTTTCAAAAGCACGCCTTTTCATATCCCATTTCATCATTAAACAAGGGCAGACCTAAAGAAACCCAGTACCACCACCCATCCTACAACCCCGAGATTCCTCTCATTCCCCACGGCGTAGCCGTTTCCCTCACCGCCCCTGCTGTCTTCAACTTTACTGCCCCCTCGTCCCCAGAGCGACATCGTGAGGCTCTTAGGGTGTTCCTGGGAAAGGACAGGGTGCATGAGGCAGACGCTACAAAAGACTCGGATCTGGGGGCAAAGTTGGGAGAGGAGATTCAAAAGTTCTTGGATCTGGTGGAGGTGCCGAGGGGGCTGAGTAAGGTTGGGTATTCTAGTGGTGACATTGCTTCGGTAGGTTTTTCTCGCTCTCCCAACGGGCCTCGGTCTAACAATGGCACAGTTGGTTGAAGGTTGTCTGCCTCAGAGGCGCGTGCTCGACTTGGCGCCGGTTCTCGCAAAGGATGACAAGGCTGAAGAGAGAGAGCAATTGGCTCATATCGTGGAGAAGTCTTTGAACTGGTAAGAAGTGACGGGCTGTGAGAAGAAGATCCGGGGGACTTCCAAGGATCCAAACCTCATTGTACGACTATACGCGCGAGTCAATTGTCATGAACAAAGGTGATACAATTCTGTTTCTGAACCGTTTGTTCTTCCTGTGACGCAGCTTTACATGATCCTTTACAGTACAGAAGGCTGGTTCTCGTTGTGACAGCACCTTGACAATCTTCCCATCCTTATCGACCACGCTTCCATAATGATTCGATCACTGCTTTTCATGTTTAGCGCTCTACTTGCCATGGCAGAGGCAGTCCCCCAGGGCTTGACGCGTCGAGATCAAGCTATCTTGAAAGCTCCGGCTAATGCTACGTGTGCAGATCAGCAAAGCCTCATTAGACGGTCTCCCCGAGCCTCCGATTGGAGAACCCGGAATCCTTACCAGAAACTTGGTCCTCCATGTGAGACATGTGCCACTTCAAGTGTCTCGGATCTCGCAGGGCAAAGTACGAGATCTCACTCCCCATGCATACCCCGTCTCCATCATCCCCATCAGCGGTTTGCCAAGGATCGAAGGGTTCAACAACTTTGAGCCTATCGTTGTTATCTCAGTACCGGTTTCACCTCTCGAGGCAGGAACCCTTATTGAGATCTGGACCCCTTGTGGAGTCTTACTTGGAGGTCGATGACGTTCTGGCTGAGACGTGGTTCAAAGCAGTACTCATCATACCCCAAGGCCTGTTCGACAGCGAAACAGTCGGCATACTAGATGCGACCTCTATCGAGCACCTTCGAGCATTCGGTACAAAGAGTGTATTTCTGGACGAGTGTATCGTCAAAGATCATACTGTCCAGACTAGGAGTAAATACGTTTCTATCTCAAGCATCAGCACTCGTGACTTGCCCTCCCGTACTGCCCGGCCATTCCTGGCAAGGCTGGAGGAGGCCCGGCTCGGTTTTCATCCGGTCTACAGACTCTATACCCTGATATCTTCAAGGCTTTCGTGACTGGAATCTACCCGGAGGGAGATGGCTCGGAGGCTTATCGTTCCTTGGATCGCGTGGATGCAAGGGGCAACCACCTCATACCTGTGCCTTCGCGACTCTACTCTTCAAACACGAAAGGTGAACTTGCGGGTAGCCGCGTCGCTGTCAAAGGTAAGATGAGTATCATGTGACTACTGCCAACCATGCCTTCAAGATCTATATGACATCAAGGGCCTCTACACCTCGGCTGCTAGTAGGGTTTACGCTGATTGGCGAGGAGTTGCTAACGAAACAGCGTCGTCAATCAAGACCAAGACTACCCAAGGAGTGCCCACCGAGTAAATACGACCCATAGTTGAGCAGTGGGAGACGAGATGGTACGATCCCATCTACTCTTGCATTCGCTGGTTATTGGCTGACTCTATTGTAGATAGAGGAAGCTTATGACGAGATGTAGTATGTCTATACCAGGAGTCAAAAGGTCTCGCTCATACTTGTGATAGCCCTTTTTCTCCAAGAGGAGACCTATATCAATCATGCGGGGCATCCTCAGCCGGACCTGCTTGTGCCATGGCTGCATATGCCTGGCATGATTATGGCATAGGCTCTGACAAGGGCGGATCTATACGTAGACCTTGGCTTTTACGGGAACAGGGTGAGCTTAAATCTTTTCGAAGAGGGTGGAGTTTAGCACTCTGCTGAACAGCGAATCATCTAGCCGACCACAGGAATGTTGCCTCTTGACGGCGTGACACCCCTTCTCGTATGGGCAGACACTGCCGGGGTATTTTCTTGAGGCTGGGTCATTCAAGAAGTTTATCGACGCTTGGAAAGTCCTGACCAGATATCATATCATCATACTTTAGAGATGTTGTTGACTGACCATTGTTCCACAGGCATGCCGGTTCAACTGTGAACCGACGCTTTACGCATCTTCCGAGGAGTCTAGTAGTCCCGGCGGATAGCATTCACGGTCTCTCCGCCCAGCTGAGCGCCCTGGATTTCTGCAAGGGGCTGAGAAAGTGCTTGGGACCGATGTCAGTATGAAAAGTATGACACAGAGCGCAGACACGGCCGGATATAATCAGCGAGCCATCAAGAATCTGACAGTAGACTTTAATGACTACATGGTGCAGTGAGTGTATTGCTCGAGGTTCTCAAATCAAAAGAGATCGTCACTGACGAAAGTATGGGTAGCTCCTCCTGGGACCACGTCGGTCGACCAATGTCAGAGGATTATGCCCCAAAGAACGATGGGCGACGTCCACCTGTTGGCCATGCGTCTATGAAAAACTGGAGGATTGCCCAAGAAGATCCATGGGATAACGAGATATACGACAATCTACACAAGAGACTGAGTCTTTTCGGCCAGTGGTACAACGAGGAGGTTCTCGGACGCGATGAAGAGACTTGTTCTGGCTCCATGTAAGTGAACGGGAACAGAGTTCGATGACTGTAGTCACTGAGGGTATGATGAGCCTTGCTGAGCCACTCGGTCTCAACCAATTGCCTGTTTATCGAGATAGCAAGGTGGGAGATGGAAGCGCTCCGCTCGGCCCACTTGAGAAGTATATCGCCCTCTCAGATATTTGGCTGTGATGATCACTGACGACATTGTATCGCTTCCTCCTTCCAGTGCACTAGACGATACAAAGGTTTGCTCAATTGCTGGCTGCCCACACTATGTTGTCCCTATCGGACAAGTCAAATTCATCAGTGATGTGTCGGGGCACGAAGAGATGCACCCCGTTGGAATGAGCCTGATTGCTTACCCAAGTTGCGAGTGAGTGGCGTCCCCTGCTGTCAGTTGGATGCCGACATTGTCATAGCTCTATGTTACTCGAGTTTATCGACAGGCTGAGCAAGGTGGGCCAGGGTCCTCTCGCGGGAAATAGTTGCTTACAATGTCTGTTGCAGATTGGCGTTCTTCAAGACGTCAAAACGGGACAAAATGATTTTTGATGAGGTTTGTCTCGTACATGTCGTGATGTTTGTCCTGTATCTAGGTCATTTGAGATTGTAATGAGTCTAGGTCATTTGAGAATGTAATGAGCAATGATGTGAAGTCGCGATTATCGCCGTGTTTGATCCAGCAGGAACCTGTATGCGGGCACAGCCCCAAGCAGAGCGCGCGATGGTTGTCTAGCTCGTAGCCCAGCTGGGAGATTGAACAGTGGCACCTGTGCAGCGACGAGGGCAAGGAGGATATTCAGCACTGCCACTCTGTTCTCTTCCGGGGGCAACCTGGTATAATACGATACATGGGACCCAACACACCCGTCTAAGCGGTCTTGGGCTTGTATTGGTACTCCTCGCCCCTAGCTTCCAATCGCTCTCTAGCCTCCTTCAAAGCCCAGGTTTGAATACTGCCGCGCAAAGTCGGGACGATGGTAACGGGGATCGAGTTGACGAAGAGAACGGGGTGAGATTCGGTCGCACAGCGAATGGGTCGGGAGCGACGAGATTTGCCGTAGAGATGATGAAGTGGCAGGGTAAGATGGGGTGGCAGTTCGTAAGGGATCAAGGTTGAGGATGGAGTGGGGAACGACGATCAGCAACGGACAAACATACCATCGAGCAGATCAAACGCACCTTGTGTCGGGCTTATAGGCGTAGACAATACCCATCAAGGCCATACCACCAAACATGCCAACGTAGTAGATGTTTCTGTAATCGGGTCAGTCGGATTGCTCCACTACAGCAGAGGAAGAGAACATTGCGAAGCGTCGTCCACGCGCTTTCTGTGAGAATGGCCACTCATCGGACAAAGGCGACGGACGACTCTCCCTTGTATCGACGTCCTACTCACTCCCAAGATTCCTTCACTCGCTTCCCGTCTTTTGGCGGCTGTGTTCATGTCATCAGCATCCATGCTAATGTACCCAGTGGATACCCTGCCAGAAAGGCAGCAGTAGGACTCACACGTTCGCCGAAGATGTAACCAGAGGGAGGGTTGTAGCTGGGGCCGTGGCTGGCATACCGTCTTGCGGGGAGGGATGTGGGCTGGCGGGCGAGGGGGCGGGCGAGGGCGGTGACTGCTGGGCGGGACATGGTGAGGGGGAGTGATTTGACGGCGAGTGCTTTGATACAACCAAGTTTCAACGACAATCAAACGACAATTCAATTGGTTCTCGCGGGTAAATAGGCGCGGCACGAGGGTTGCGCCTACTCGGTCGCTATGAACGTCGCTTTTCCCAAAATCTACTAATCTACTCAACGTCTAAGGCATATCATATCCAGACCCAAAATCATGGCCCGGTAGCCATGCCGTCCCTCGAAACAGCTGGCTTGCAATCCACCGTTTCCGACAGCGCAACAGGTCTCACAAGCACCTTTACTCAGTCAGCCACCGGCACTGGTCTGCAGACCGCCACAAGTACCGGCTATGTATACTCGTATGCCACGAGCAAGATTGTCAGGACTGCAGTGGCAGCGGGTGTGATCGTGCTTGCTATCACGGCGATAATATTGTTCTTCAAGGTGCGCACTGTATTGGACCCTTGAGCACACCGGTTATACTGACTACGTTTACAGGTCTCATCGTGGATCAGACTTCGCCAGCGTCTGCGGCGACAGCGTCTTCTGGCTCTGTCAATCCAATCGGAGCGCCAGGCCAATGCCTATGAGGTGGCAGCTTGGTCGGATGAACCTGGCGTGTTACCTGTATCTACGCGGGGTCCGGGTTTCGACCAAAGCCGGGAGAGGAAAAGTCGGAAAGAGCGAAAAAATGAGATGAAAGCTTGGAAGAGGGGAGGGGCAAATGCGTACGCCTTGCACGAGTGGGAAGGAGTGGCCTCTTAAAGACCAAAGAAAACTGCTATATGTTGTACTAACAAATATACATCGCATAGTGTGTGACAACCATGAGATCTGCATCACTAGTCAATGACCAGATGACCAGACTCAACCTATATTCCGATAGTGTTGTCTCAATTTGACCCCTGATTCGCCATATCCTCCCTGGCTTTGTCTCCCGACCCCTCGACCGGCCGCTCCTCGTGTTCCTCCCTCTCGTTCCCCTGTGACCTCCTCATCGCAGCCTCCCCGAGCTCTGCGAAGGAAGACCGACATACGCAGTACATCTTGAGATCCATCGGAATGTCAAAGAATGGACCGTCTCCTCGATGAGCACACTGAGCCGTCTCATACGTGGGCAAGCTGAGAGCATCTTTCACACAGTGACAGGATGACATGATGACCGGGACCTTGATCTGCATGACTCGCAGTTCCCCGGGGCCGTCGATAGGCTCCCCATCTACCTTTTCGCCATCGACAGAGTAGTAGATCTGAAAAATGAGATCGTGAGAGATGCGCAGTGGAGTGATGGTCCTGCATTTGTGTAAGTGGACGTCTTGGAAACTGCAACAACTCACCTTTCATGTGTTGTAGGCTTAATCTTCATATGCCCAGGGGCCCTCGCCATGGCTTTGATTTTCCACCCCGCCTCTTCTGGACAGCCCCCAACCCCCGCACCGCGCCAGAGTGCATCAACATCCCTGCCTGGCCTCTTCTCGCCTGGCTTATGCGGCCGTCCGAGCTGGTAGAGCAAATGTCGTTGAGCGCTTTCAGGCCTCGTTGCAGGCAGGTTGGGCGTACGAGGGGATGTGATGGTGTAATCTTCAGACAAGAGAAAGCGCGTGTAGAATATCGTGGTTTTCGGCGAGGGACTTGAAATGGAGACGGATAGCATGAGGACGGATCCTACCGTAAACTAGACGTTTGTGAGCAACAAACATCCAGCATGTGCTTTTGGTACTTACGACATCAGCACCAGCGGTGAACCTCCACAGACCCAGGCCATCGACGAGCCCTTCTTTCCGGACATCCAAAGTCATGCCATCGCCTGTATACGGCGATACGGCAAATACAATGAGGCCGTCATGTGACGTCAAATCGCCTTTCATCCAGCCACTCTTCTCTCCATTCAGAGGGCTGAACACGGGACTGGGGCACTCTCCATCTGGCGTGATTGGAAGTCGACGGGGCGAGCGTGCGGGAGATGATTCAAAGGATGGTCGTCTGGTGTATAGACCCAAGACGGATGGTGATCCTTCTGCTGTGACGATGGTGCTACCTTGACCGGAATCTTCAGAGTCGCGAGATGTCCGGCCGTCCATGGCCGGACCGTTGTTGGGCACCGCTCGAGAAGTTGACGCGCTCCGGGATCTACGCAGGGCTAGCTCGTCTGAACGAGCGATGACCCTATCGAAATCCCCTATGTTGGAGATCTTGCTGGGGATGGACGGCGGAGAAAACGCTTTGCTGATAAAGGAAGAAAAGTACGATGCGGCTTCCCCTCCCTCGACTCTGGCAGTGACGATGTGGGTCACTCGTCCGAAAGTGCTGTTGGCGGTGACGGCGAGGGTGCCAGGAAGAACAATGGTGAAACTGAACCTGTTGTAATGGTCGGTTGAACAGCTTTGACTATACACAACGAGACTTACGACTGGCTGCCCTTTTCCAGCCAGATCCCTTCTTCGCGGTCTCCCAGTATCTCAATCCCCCGCTCAAAGATACCGTCTTCCTCCCACCCCCTGTCCAGGCCCAGGTACAACCGACAGACGCTCTGGACACCAACAGAGATGGCTTTGGCTCGGACGCCCTCGTTCATGATGATTTCTAGCGAGCCTTGTACGACTGTATCCTCGCTTGGTGGACTGATGATACCTTGGTCAGACAGGTTGTCGAACGGGCGAGGCGGCCGGACTTGGGCTTTTCTCCTATAATCACTTGAGCTTGGGCGCATAGTAGTCTGAACGTAGCCATACCATTGTGATAGATGAATTTTGATCTCGCCCTTGTTACTGATACCCCCCGCACTCGATCCTCTCAAGTATATCGGCGGTGGCACCCTTGTATCATTCAGACCCTGGTCGATAGCAGCCAGATGGTCGCTAGGATGCAAATGCGACTCTGCGTTGGTGGTGTCCCTGCCAATTGGAGAGCGGCCCACTGGGGGCGAAGAGGCGGATCGAGTCGAGGTGGGAGCATGAGGACTCGGCCGGCTCATTGCGAGATTGTGCTGCTGTGGCATAAACTGATGCGGGGTGGCAAAAGAGGGGGAGGAGCATTCTTCTGTGGTGCCGGCGAGTATTTGTAAGACGCAGTACGTATATACGGAGTACAGTCAGCTCGAGTCAGCTTTCGGGCTTGATGGGCAGCCCGAAAGGGTACATACGCAGGAAAAGCGCGTCTGTCCCGCCCACTGCCGCCCAGGCCCGTCGATATGCTGTTCGGGAATACTCGAGTTTCGACTCGTCGTGGGCAGTGGTGGTGGCTGACGGGAGCAAAGGGTCAGCCGGTGCATTGCAACATCGTACATGTCGACTGTCATACTCTACTCGTCCCCGGATCCCGGATCCGCGAGTACGACCCCTCGATCGCTCGGCTTTTTCCTTGGGCAATTCCATCCCCGGCTCGTACCTGGATTACTATCTGATAACACAGTGCAGATGTACTCTCCACTCATCGCGTGATTCAAGGACTTGGAGCTTGCATCACCGGTGCGAAGCTCCTCCTCCTCTGCCGCACAGTCTGGCCAGACTCTGGCACGTGTGGTCACTCTCCAATTTCGAACTGAGGACCAAGTGGTCGTTACGAGACCCTCGGTCAAGGCCCAATGACCTTGCGCTGCGACGGTGCATGATGAAATCTTTATCATATCAGATAGCTCGGGAAACGGACCGCATGCTTCTTATCGTAGCTTTCCGCAGATACGCTACCCTTTTTGAGAGCCATGATCTCCGACAGGAGGACGTCCGCCAGCCGTCAGCAGGGTGACAGCTGTAGTAGGCGGTAGGCGGCTCCTCGTACGATAACACATGATTAATCATATCAGATAAGCGCCATATAGACGGCGATGATCGGTCCATTCGGGCTATGGGGGCATCACGAAAGCTGCTTGTTCACAAGGAAATGCATAATGTATTGATGCAAAATATCACCATATGAGCACAATCTCTATTTTCTGTAAAAGGTTCTCGAAAACGTGAAATACACTGTCCACTCGTTAGCAGCTACTCCGGCATCATGTTTTATACACTCACGCTGCAGGACACCCCTGTCAAACGTGCTTCTGAACCCATTCCTGTGCGAAAACTCCCATTGTCTTCTCACAATCCTGAAGGCAATATCCTCGTACGGCGGGCCCGCAGTGAACACGATCATTTGCGTGTCGGGATCCTCGGGGATGTTTTTGACATAATATGTGGGTGCTTTGGATTGATCGCTGGACGAGAGTCAGCATGTATCTCGAGTCAACCGCAGAGAGAACGCACATCAAATCGGGGTAGAAGACGTTGAACTTGTAACCTTGCACGACCTTGGGAGGTGGGTTGTCCGTGCTACACATCATTAGCGTGCTCTCTCGTTCCCGTGTCCCAGAGACTCACTCGTAATGCGTCTGGTTATACTTGCTCCACTCATATCCTGTATGCACCCTATTGAAGAACCTAGGCTTCCTCGGCCTATATCGATCGGTCCAGTCGTACGTCGAGGGCACGTCCAGACCCGCATCAAGATCGCCAAACTCCTCTTCACTTTCATCCGACCCCAGATCACGAGCTTCACGTTCCGCTTCTTCCCGATAGATACGCTCAGCCTCCATATCTGCCGCAGACGGGCGTGAGACGGATTGCGTGGTGATGGCAGTCGCAGCAGCGGCACGAGCATGCTTGGGAATAAAGTTTGTCGCTGTGATGGAGTGACGGGCAGCAAAGATCTGGCGGAGGTCATCCTCTTCCCTGACGATAGGTAGCCGCCTCTCTTCGATGGGCATATGCCGGATGTCGACAATGGCGGGACTCATCTCACGGTTGTAGTCTTCGATAAAGTCATCCTCGTCATCTTCTTCATCATCTGCTTCATCGCCCTCGTCTGGCATGACGCCCGCGTCGGCGTGCATGTCGCCGCCGAAAGTGTTGGTGTTGGTAGCAAGGACACCGCCGAGTTCAGCTTGGACTTTGGCAGCATCTTCGCGCTGGCGGCGCTTGAATTGCTCGAGACGGTTTTTGAGGACGATCTCATGTATAGAATTAAGTTTGGCCTCGAACAGTCAGCCCAAGCATGATAATACCCCAGAATACTCACAATAGCCTTCTCGACGTAAATCTTTTTCAAGACAAGCTCCCAGAAATCGTTATCCACAGGCTGCCCACTACGGAGAAGCCCATCGGCCCTGCTCTCGAGCTCCAGAAGACGCTGCAAGCTCAGGCCTTTCACAATATTGCTTGTAGCCTCTTCGACTTCTGGGTCGGAGAGGGGGCCTCCAGCGGCCTGGTCGGGGTTGCGCAGCTTGTCAAGGTAATGGTCGCAAACAATTTGCATTGCCTGTACGATCGTCAGTTCTGTCAACAGGATGCAGGAGAGGCTTACCTTCCAAAACTCAATGTTGATTGGCGATTTCTCCAGACTGAGATACATCTTGATGTCTTGTTCAAGCTCTGCACAATCTTCCAGCGTAAGATTGTCAAAGATCTTCCACGGCTCGTCAATCTCAAACTCGAAGCCAGCATCCGCCCATCCCCAACCTTCCTCTTCTTCTTCGCGCTCGACCTCACTAGCCCGGGGATTTGTGAGAGAACCGATAGCAGAAGTTTGGTGGGAAAATTTGGGGTCTGTAAAACGGAGATTGATGGCGAGGAAATCGATAGCTTTGGCACGCTGTTCGCGTAGGCGAATACCAGCACGGCGGCGAGACTGTTCCAGTTGAAAGTCGTCCTCCTTGGCGATCCAGTCTGCCATCGCAGCGTCCTCCGCCAAACGTTTCTGCCTGTTCTCTTCCTCGTCCCTCAGCTGCATCTCAATCTCCCTCTCCGCTCTCTTTTTGTTCAACCGCTCCAACTCCTCCTTGGCCTCTTGCCGCCTGATAGCGTCCTTCCTCGCGATTTCCTCTGCTGACATTCCCGCTTTCTTCTCTTTATCCCTCTTCTTATTCCATTGGAATTGTTGGCCAAGGTTGGTATCGTGAAAGGGATTGTCGGTAGCAGAGTACATGGACAGCTCAGCAAGAGCGCGGGCTTGTTCCAACTCGGCCTCTCTCTTCGCCGTGGCCTTGGCAGCAGATTTGGCTTCTTTTCGTTTTGATTTGGAGGAGGGGGAGGGGGTACGGGAGTCGTGGCGGCGTTTCTCCTTTTTGTGGGATCGGTCCCTTGAGCGACTTCTATCGCGCTTTCTGTCCCGGTCGTAGCGATCCGAGTCGTATTTGCCGCGTCGTCTTTCGTCATCTCTATCTCTTCTCCTTTCTCTGTCTCTATCATCTCTGTCTCTCCTGTCTCTGTCTTTATCATCTCTGTCTCTCCTTCGATCCTTGACCCGGTCTTGATTTCCATCGTCTCTTTGAGAGCTAGACGCTTGGGGGTCTCTGTCCCTTTCTCGCCTGTCCATGTCCCTATCTCTTGTGTAGGTGGATTGGGAGTGATCAGCCAACACGCTTTGTGCTGTTGTAGAAATGTAAAGACAAGTCAATCCTTGGTCGATTGCTCAGAGTCCTTCGCTGCGAAGAACGGGATCAAATTATCTTCCACGTCTGCGTCGTCTGACATTGCGGATCGCCGACGAGTCTTGCACTCAGAGTGCGCCTGTCTTGCGCCTATCCCTCTTCATCCCTACCCTTGCCACCCAACCGCTATGGCAGACCCATTCCACCTACAGCCCGTGATATCTGATCGCTCGCCGAGCGCCGATCTGCTCGACTTCGACAGCGAACCAAAACAAGGCTTCATTGCGTCTGCCGCTTCGTCCATCACATCGCGAGCAAATCCGCCCCCTACTGGGACGCAGCCAAATGAGGAGAGGAAGATCAGATGCATAGAAGGGTATGAACATAACATCTATGTCGGAGTCTCGGATGGCACAGTTGAGTGGTGGGTGTGTGAAGGAGCGGCGCATTCCGAGGTAAGTTGGGTGTCGTCGCGAAAGCTTTGCTGACTGTCTCTAGACGAACGGCTGGACGATGCGTCGTAAACAGACCCTGTTTCCAAGGAGACCGGTCAGCAAGATGTATCTATTGCCCAATGTGTCCAAGATCCTGGTCATCTCAGGTGCGTCCAGGTCAACGTTGCCCGTCGGTGCCTTGCTGATAAGCGGGCAGACGGCACCATGCACACCTTATCCCTACCTGACCTGGCCCAAATACCATCGAATGTGATACCACCCATGAGGGGTGTCATGTCTGTCATACTCAATGACGATGAGCTCGATTGGCGGCCCGGGTCAGAAGAAAGGACCGACATGACTGTAGTCACCGTCAGACGGCATGGCCTGGGGATATATAAGCTGGGCCACAAATTTCAAGCCATCAAAGTGCGTCCTATCTTACTTGCATGTATATCTCTGACGGCTATGTACAGGAAATACCTCTTCCATCTATTCCAACCCACCACGCCATCTTCCAAACATATCTCTGTTGCGCTCTCTACCCTCCATCCGAAGACGATGACCCACCGGAACTGACCAACTGTGTCATTGACCTGTCGGATGCCTCTCTTACTCCGGTGGCGCCGGTAGATCGGTCTTCCAATGGTGCTGAGCAAGAAAAGAAGAATGCCAACATAGTGGTCATACCCGGTGAAGACGAGTTCCTGGTGACGAGCTACAGCGGATTTTCGACTCTGGGTCTATTCTTGAATGGACAGGGGGATCCAGTGAGGGGAACAATAGAATGGGAGTCCCATCCACTGTCGATCGGTGAGTGCAGCCATCCCGAAGCAGAGTACAGCGTTGATAGACGATAGCCGTTGAATCTGGCTGGATCATTGCCCTTTTGTCCAACCAGACAATATCAATCCACGCCCTAGATGACCCCACCACCCCCACACAAGTCATCCCTATTCCACAACCTGCCAACGCCATCAATCTCAGTTACTCGCCTTATGGTGTACGAGTGCAAGATCTGCTCACGGGAGAGAGGCTCAAAACAGTCAAGTCGCGATTCCTCGCAGGCAGGCTTGTTTCCAACAAGGAAGAAGCTGGGGATCCGCCAGAAGAGGAAGGGGACGTGGACAATGAAGATCCGCCCTCGGGGTCTGGTCTTACCCCGCCGTCTTCGCCTCCACGGCCAAAGAGGCCAAGCGACATACCATTTCTGACGACCACATCCGAGACCTTTGTCGTCACCCCTTTCTGCATCTACTCTCTCACTCTAACACCGCCAGTATTGGCCATGGAGCGTCTTTGTGAAGAACACAAACTCGTCGACGCCATCGCATTCCTTGACGAATATCGCCGTCAAAATCGAAAAGGCATCCTCGCCCCACCTTCGCCGGTAGACCAGATCAGCACATCCTTACTCGTGCGATATCTCAGTTCATTTCTTGCGTCGCATTTAACGCAAGATGCGAGCTTTGAGAAAGCTGGAGCCCTTTGGGTAAAGGGCAAGGTGGATCCGAGATGGATTGTGAGGCTATTTGAGGGACTGCGGGGGAAGGTGATTGGGCTGGAAGAAGAAGGAGAGGTATGGCAGGGGTTGAAAGAAGCGTGGTCTGGCCTGGCCTCTACGGATGAGATGAGTGAGTGACTTTGAAGAGGTGGAAGTGCAGCCATTGACGAGACAACAGTACGTGTATCTATCAAGAAAAATTACTCGCCACACCTTCCACCGTCGACATCTGCTTCTCCGGCTTCGGCAGATCTACGAAGAGCCCTGGAAGGAGATGCGAATGTGATGCTACTAGAAGTCTTACGCAAAACACGCGCATCCAGGCGTAAAGGGGGTGGGATCAGGGGCGTAGACGGGCGAAAGATCGATGTCGTACGTGGTTCTTTTGTCAGCAAAATCGGGTGCTTACTGCTTTGCAGGTGATCGACACCGTACTGGCAAAGCTGCTCACCCTCCCACTCCCTTCTGGAAGCAATCACATCGACGAGCTTCTCGTTCTCTTGTCATCACCCAACGACGTAGTCCTTTCTGAGCTTGAACCCTTCTTGGAAGAGCGCAAGTATATTCTCGCCAAAGTGATGCGGCAGGAGGGCAAGTTAGGGAAAGTTCTGGACATTCTACAAGAGTGAGCCGGCCCGAAAGTGTGTATTGTTTCCGCTAATCGTGATCATAGAATGGTAGAGCAAGATCACGGCGATCCTCTTTGCTCTGATCCCCTTGAAGAGTTTGCGAGCACGCTTGAAGGTATAGAATGCGCGGAAGAGTGGGAAAAGAGGGTTATGTGGCTTGTGACCAAGCGTCCTGAGAGAGCGCTTGACGTATGTCCCGCAACGTACCTTTGATCAAATGCTGACAGGCGACTTAAGGTACTAATCAACCATCCCCCGCCATCCCTCTCCCCGACCGACATCTTACCTAGCCTCGCAGCTGTAGATGCGCAAGTTCACAGAACCTACTTGGAACACATTGTCGTCACAAAACGCTCTCCCTCCCGTCCTCTACACCAACAACTGCTAGACCTCATGCTTGACGAGGCTTCCACCCTGGTGCAGGACGATGGAATCAAGTACCATCTCTCCGACTTGGATGACGAGTACAGGAAGGAAGGACTCCTTCAGGCTCAAAGTAAGGGGAGGAAGGACGGGAAAGAGAGGGAAACGTTCATCCATTTCTTGGCTCGGCTAGCGCCAGACACCCCAATCAAACGATTGAGACTCAAGCTGGCATTCTTGCTGCAGGGCTCACCATTTTATGATGTGAAAAGGACTGAAGATCGGCTCGAAGGTATCGCAGAGCTGGGCTGGGAGCGGGCAATCGTGCTTGGCAAGGTATGTCACAGCTTGATGTCTGTTGATGTCGCTGACGGTCAGGAATAGCTAAGACAACACGACACGGCCCTGCGACTTTTGGCTCTCACCCTCGCCGACCCTCTCACTGCCCAGACTTATGCCACCACCTCTGGTATCGAGATACTTTCTCCACGCCTGGCCAAGGAGATTGCAAGTATCAGCAATATCGGAGGGCTGGAACACTGGGCGACGTTGGGTGAAGTAGGAAGGAAGAGGAAGGGGAAAGTCGAGGTAGGAGATGGAGAAGTCAGGAAGTTGTTGGATGTCTATATGGCTGATGGGTGAGTATCTCATACCTGACACTTTTTGCGGGATAGAGGCTGATAGAACGCAGTACCCCGCCATCGTTGCAGTCCGCCTCTCTCCTACTGGCTACCCTCCCGACTCTACCACCCCTCGACCCGATTCTCCCATCTATGCCTTCCGATTGGCCTCTTGATCTCGTCTCACCTTTTTTTGTCCGTTCATTGAAGAAAGGGGAGGAGAGGAGGTGGGAGGCGTTGGTCAGGAAGAATATCGCGAGGGGAGAGTATGAAGGGGTCGAAGAAAGATGGTTGGAGGAGGTCAGAAAAATGAAGCCTGTCATACAGGGGAGATCGCTCGACCGCGGGCGCGAAGAGAAATCAGAGATCGACGAGAAGGGAGAGTATGACGAAAAAGAAGGATATGTCGTGGACGAGCCACAAGGCAGGGTGCTCGACGAGAAACTGCAACTGCCATTTGAGACTGTAGTGGGTGAGACGAACGATTTACGTGAGACGAACTATAGACGATTATAATGTCCCTACATTGTGGGTGTGTGTATTACTAGCGATCACAGGGTAGAACAAATTGATGCTATATCATCCAAGTTTGTAAACTTGTCGAGACGAGAGACCGAGATCTCGCAAGACCCCAGTGACCGGGCCTTGGTCGAGGTTCGGTGTCATGCTACCGCATAAGGGGCGCATCAGCCTACTTGGGCGTCAGCCAATATCACCAGAGACGCCGGAAGGAACCCCACCAAGGCGGAAGACAGACCAATACAAGCACTCTCTCCTTACTCAACCCCACCAAAGCACCCTCCACAGCCTCCCGTGGCACAGTGCCTTGCACAAATCTCGTCACTTTCAGGCCGCTCCCGAACTTCTCCACATGCCTAGGCAAAAAGGCAGGGTCTTGTTGCGAGTTGGCCCAATCAAGATCGAGCGGGGACAGAGGGGTAGAGCCGTTGGAGGCCAAGGCATTAGGAGAAGGGGTTGGGAGGGCATGTATTATCTCGAGAGAGGGAGCCGACGAGGGGGAGAGCTTGGAGAGGAGCTGGAGGAAGGGTGTTATGGCTGTTCCTGTAGAGATCTCACGAACAGTCAGGTTCAGGAATGGCCAGGGGAGGGTAGACTGACCATGACAATCTTGTCATATTGGCTAGGATAGATGGAGAAGGTGGGAATTGGGCCTCTTATGCCCAGATTGTCCCCTTCTTTTGTAGAGTGCGCAACTCTGGAGCAGATATGAGCTTGAACATATATTTGTAGATGAGGTCATACCTTCCAACCTCACCCCCCCGAACACGCTTTACCACCATCCTCATACTTTTCTCTTGTACCGGATCATTGATCAACGTATACGGCCTTTCAATCTGTATATCTGGGCTCTTGACCATGACATGCTGCACGACTATCTCTCCACCCTCCACATCTGCCAGGGTGCCATCGGTCCTGTAGGGCTTCTCAAACCATTCTTTCGATGTTGGTGGCACAGCGACTGTGAGGAGCTTATGTACTGGAGTAAGGGGGCTGGAGGACTGGAGAGGCTGATCAGAGTATTTATACGGGAGAAGAGGGGAAGAGGAGGGGAATAGGTAGTAGCCCGCGGGGAGAGAGAGGGAGAGACCAAAGAGGGTATAGGCGACTTTGCGAGATGTGAGGCGGGGCTTGTGGGGAGGGGTAGTCGAAGCGAAGCGAGCACCATAGGGCACATGCAATGGCCGGCTAGCCCAAGAGAGACGCTGCGAAAAGATATGGGCGGGTTGTCTGCGGGACATCATAGAATGGAAGGCAGGTGGACTGGAAGAGAGAAATTGAAAAACAGAGCTGCGGTCGGCGGTCGGGCGGCATTCATTGTTTCCGACAGCTGGTCGGTGGTCCTGGAGTCCTGGACTCTGTCCACATGCCGCCGCACTCACGCGAGGGACGGTGCTGACGGTGCTCTTCTCGTACATGTAATCGTAAGGTTGTGGCCAGGTGGTATGTATGGTGAGCGAGATTGGAGGGCCCGCCGACAAAAAACTAGGCTGTAGGCGACGTAAAATGACCGCACGGCAGTACGGCATCGGAGCCCTCGTTCAGCTCGCTGCCGTTTCTCAAAGCAGAACACATCTACCGCAGGGTGTGGTGCATGCATGTAGGGAGGGCTTGCATGGAGGCTGCATGGAAGGGCAGCAGCAGCAGCAACCAATGGGGACGGATGCATTTGCGGTGACTTGGAAGAGAAGTTGGACCCTGAGTTAAGGGAATCCAATTTCCTTGGGAAAAGTCGAGATGGCCGGAAGCGGAGAGCGGTCGATATTGGTGTTCCTCTGCTTAACATTCCCCATACATACTTCCGGGTAAACAATCCAATCCCCTCTGCACCACCCACCCACCCCCGCACTCGCCCACCTCGGCATCCCTGGCGCTGGCAACAGTCGCCCCAGCAACCATCCCCGCCACCCGCTCCATCGACCTTCCCGTCCATCATCTCTATCCTCCATTGGCTATAGTCAGCCACGCCTGTACTCTGCGCTGCCCCCCCTCCGCCAAGGGGACACCGGAGACTCAGAGACCACCAGCCACAGTACAGATCGACACTGTGCCTAGGTCTACACAGCAACTAGCAACCAAACACGGTTCCGCATCAACCCAATAGATAAACAATCCCATCTCCTCATCCCATCCCTTCTCCCTCTCTCGCCACCACACATCATCTTCGGTATGCCGTCTCCTCCCGCTCAACCGGTGCCCACGCGTACCACGCGCTCATCTAATCCCCATCCCTCCAATCCACCAAGAACGGGGGCATCTCCCATGTCATATGGGGCCATGACCGGGATCAGCTTCACAAACGGTGGCGGATTCTCTTTCGAAGGCAAACCAAAGAGCTTCAAGTGGGGCAACGGGGGTATGATGGGCAGTTTTGGTGCGAAGTATTATGGCGATGCTGGGTGAGTAGATCGACTCTGATTCGCTTATGGTTGCTTACACAATCACAGTGGTGACTCGCCAATGATCCCCTTCTCATCGTCTATCACCATGGAGCCCTCCTCGTTTGCCGCATCCGCCCATGCGTTCGGCCTGCCATCAGGCTCACTGTCATCGAGCTATCACCGCAGATCATATGCTGCGGCTGTGTCAGGAAGAGACGCAGCCAACCTCTCTACATCCTTCGCCTCCATGTCTTTTCAGCCAATGTCCCTTGGCACCTCCTACAATCGCTCTCAGGTCCAAGGCCTCATGCGTTCCGACGCCGAGCTCACCAAAGCATACGAATGTTGTAATAAGACCCACTCTGGGCTGCATGCGTTACTAGAGCATGTCGAGGACTGCCACCCTTTCGCTGACCCCAATATGCAGCCGGAGGATACTTTCTCCCCGGTGACACACGCCATGGACCTTGACCTTGAAGATGTCGAAGAAGAGTCGGTGCCAGTGCCTGCTTCGGGTTCGTCCCACGCGAGCCTGTCTCCGCATTCTGCCGCCCCTGTCCCTGTCCCCAACTATCCCCTGCCCAAGGCCAGCCCGACAGACATTGGAAACAAGTCGCCACTCAAACTCTCCGATGTGCTGAAGTCCCCGCCTGATGGTGAAACGCTGGTCCGCCCTTCCAACCTGACCCTTACGCGTACTCAATCTTCCTCCTCCTCGCCACCCGAAGGCTCTATCGCCACACCCACCGCTTCCACCCATCCTTCTCCCAACTTCATAGCTCCAAAAATGAACCCATCCAGGCCTGCGTTCCTTGGTTCCAACGCCATGCGGCCAGCACTATCTCAGAAGAGGTTTGACAGGGCGTTCAACGAGGTGGTGGCAGGCAAGAAGGACGATGTCAAGTCGGATGTGCCTACGGCCGTTGCACCGGGTGTGCTGTTTGCGAGTGCCGTCTCGAGTCTGGGAATCCCCACCGTGCCGCCTGGAACCAAGACAGAGCAGCCGGCTACTCCTGCCCCTAAAGAGGGCGAAACGCCAACACCTGCAGAAGCCCCGAAGGCGCCTTCGGCTGCGTCGACCCCGGGTAGTATCGACCCCGCTGTCAAACCCGCCGGGACTCCCACCAGTGCTGCGCCCACCACGCAAAACAAGGGCATTGAAGCTGCCCTTCCCCAGCCGAGTTTGTTCTCTTCCCACAAACCTTGGAGATGCCCCAATCCTGGGTGTAACAAGGCGTACAAGCAGAGCAATGGACTCAAGTATCACCAGCAGAAGGGGTAAGTGGGAATGATTCATGGAGTGATAGCTAATGCCGTGCAGACAATGCGACTTTGCGATCCATGATGCCGTCGACCTTGGTTTGACGCTGGAGGAGGCGGAGGAGAGGAATAGGCCTTTTGTGTGTGCGGTTGGTGCGGGGTGTACCAAGAGGTACAGGCAGATGAATGGCCTCAAGGCAAGCCTATCACAAAAGTTCGTGTAACGTTTGCTGACAGTCATAACAGTATCACTACCTGAACTCTGGCGAGCATGGTCTTTACGGACTGCGTATGCTCCAAAACGGCACCCACCCTCACCCACCGTCCTTGCCCGCTCCTCCTGCCAAAGCCCGCCCCACACCTCTTCCCAGCTCGACCGCCCATGGCAATGCCCCTATATCTCGGCCCACTGGTGCACCCTACGCCATCCCATCACATGCCAATCACGCCCCACATCCCGGACAGCAAGGGCGTGTCGTCGGTCAGGGACCTGGACACCATCCCAATGGCCATGGACCTCCTCGAATGGGCACTTGGCCTGCTCAAAGGCCCGCAAACGGTGTATCCGTTCCCAATCCGCGCCCCAATGGTCATCCCCACGCTCCGCCTAGACCACAAGCAAGACCTCCTCCTCAGCCGCAGCCTCAGCCTGTCACCAAAGGCCGCGATGCGGTATTGTTCAGCGCAGTGGGATCGGAGGATCCCATGGACATTATGAGTCGGATGGATCAGTGAGGTGGCGATAGTCAAGAGTCGCATAACTCGACAAAAGTGTACATCAGGTTCTCTTCTTTTTGGTTTTTGGTTTCGGGTCTACTCTCTGTTTGATCAGATGTTGTTATAACCAAGGGGACTTGCCCCTACATTCTCTTTCCCTATAGTCGCTTTAATGTCTCCTTCCCCTTCGTCATCCAGCCACCCTCCACTCTCGCATTTGTTCATATGCCCCAATTCAATCCGTCCATCACTTAGATATCACCCTCTATACACGCCGGCAAAAGCCCTTCCTCTCTCCCCTTTTGCATTGTTTATATATATCATCTCACCTAGACAAGATTCGACTTTCGATCATCTCTTCATCTCATTTCTCTCTCTTGCAACGAATGTGCCTTCTTCCTTTCTCCTTAAATCACAAAATGTTCTCAGCTTGATTTCGAGTAGTTAATCTAGTGTTGTGCGACTACGCGGTTATGACGAGAGCTATGCAGATCCGATCGAAGTAAAAACAAGTTTCATTACGATGCGGAATGAAGGCCGAAGACAATAAAAGTGTCGACGTGGAAGTGAGGAAGGTCAATTCGTCAGTCAGTGACTCAGTGTTGACAATTTTGCTGGCTGAAGTGATCTCTTTTTTGAACAAACCGATCTCCCTGCTTTGCCTATGCCTCCTCGCATCCCCCTCCCCAGGCTCACTCTATTTACCGGCGGAAAAGAGTGCTCTCTCTGCGAAGTACGCCCTTTGTATCTTCACTTGATCACCGCTCACCCCTCACAGGTCGCCAAAGAACAACTCACCCTCCTCCGTCAATCTCACCCATTTGAGATCACCTACTGGAACATCCGCTCCCCTCCCCTGGGTACTGAAGCACAGGAAGCCAAAAAGTGGCGAAGGTTGTACCAGTACGATATTCCTGTGCTTCATCTCGAAGGCCGTGGTAGAGTGCAAAAGCATCGGATAGACAGAGACAAGCTTGGAAAGGTGTTGGAAGAATGGAGAAAGGAACAGGAGAATCTGGCGAGCGAGAAGGGGGAGCAGCAGTAAATCAGGGAGAGGTGATTGAGGTGGCGAGGAGATTCAGACCGTATCGGTCGCTACTCGCTTGTCAACGACCCGCAGAGGTCACGGAAGATGACAGATGTACGACTACAGAGTACTCGAAGCCACCCTGGCGCACAGCTATCGGTACCGCATTCTTCTCTCTCACCTGTCCCGTCGTGCACGCAGGCACACAAGACAGTCTTTACTCTGATATACTTCAGAGGGCATTTAGAAACTTTAGCGATGTACCTGTGGGCTCCGACGTGCCGGTGTTGAAGCTTGGGACTGTAAAGGATAGTGAAATAGAGGAGGGAGAAATCAATGAAGATGGAGAAGAGGATATTGGGTGGGAAGTGGACACGGCGGGCAAAGATTGGGTGGAAGGAGATACGAGTTGGATTCTCTTTGAGCATGATGATGGTGATGAGCAATTGAAAAATAACAGAACCCACCTGTAAGCAATCCACCCTTGATTTCAGTCCGGTACTGACACCATTAGCACATGCTGGAATTGTGGCGAGACAGGACACACTGTAAAGGCATGCCCTCTGCCTTGCAACAAAGTCATGGTCCGATACTCTCGCGACATGATGTACTACGAGCGCGATCATATCCCTCCATGTTCCGTCGCTCCGTTCCTCCGCATCTATCTCGACTCCAGAGTCACAGAGGTAGAAAGACAAAGGAGGCTTGACCTGAATGCTACTTTTGTACCGGGGCGCATCACGAAAGAGCTGGATCATGCTGTGAGGTGGATAGAAGATGAAGAAGCAGAAGAAACTGGGGCACGGTACAGGATTGGAGAGCTGGCATGGATCGTGGAGATGGCTAAATGGGGATATCCTCCCGGGTGGATAGCTAGTCAAGGTGAGAGCTTGCCTGCCATGATGTGTCACTGATGTTCTATCACATCAGATCCTATTGAAACCCTACAGGAGCGTATATCATCCTTGCATACATACGACAGTCCCTTCCCCGCGGAGGACGATGATGCAGAGGAACTGGCGATCATAGGGGGGGAGATGGAAGGCCCTCGTCAATCCCGAGAAGACAGCGCCATGGACATAGATCCTCCTTCACCATTGACAGATCCGTCTCCACCCCCTCTCTCGCCGCCGCCCCAGCCTTTATCTCCCCCTCCTCCTCCGCCACCTACGCAGTACCCGCCCCCGAAACGATATGCTGTGTATAACACGGACATGTTTCATTACGGACGATTAGCCCCTTTCGACGTGATTGCTCAGGTTCCTCTTGGATTTCCCAAATGGCGTTAAATACAAGTATGTATGGCTTTGTGAACAGATTGTGATTTAAGCTTGAGGTACACCCATGCAAGCCTATCAGGAGCTTCTAGCTATGTTACAGAAGGCCAAGATAGAGGATAAAGCATCTCAAGTCTCCAAAGTGAATCGCAAAATAAGATGTACACTTTGCGCTCGATCGATAAGGTCGTCAACAAAATGCAACAACAACAACAACAACAGAAGTCCCTAATGTTACGTAATGGAAACATGACTGGATTTTCCGGCGGGCGGCGGCGGTCTTCTGACGACTTGCTTTATCGTGAATTTCGCAAGCACTCCAGACTATGTTCACCTCTATACTTTCTGATTAACATTCCATAAGCACTCCGACCTCACCGCTCTCGGCCCTAGGGTTCCACTAGAAGACCCAATCCAGCCTCTACCGCTGCCCTGACTTCACCCGCTGGACCACGCTACGCACATTACCCAACCTACCTACTGCCGGCACGGGACCATGTCCGACTCTGACGACAGTGATGACTTCTTCGTCAGCAAAAGAAAACCGATCATGAAAGCTAGCAGTGAGTGTCGTGTTCAGAGCTGAAGATGCACAGCTGAACTTTTGATAGCCCCTCCACCTGTACTCTCCTCCCCCGAACCCTCCGACGACGACCTTTCCGAGAGCAGTAAGAAGAAAAAGCGACGCCCGAACAAGAAGGCAGAGGCAAAGGCGCTCCCAGAGTGGACGAGGCCCGCCAGTGAGACGAGGAGAGAGAGGGAACGGAAGAGAAGTGAGAAAAGATCTACGGAGAGCAAAGAGAGGGGAAGGAGTTCTTCAATGTCTGTGACTATACGCATCAAGAAAGGAGAAAGCTGATGGATATTGTGTAGGGCAGTTGTTCAAGAAGAATCAGAATTGCCAAAATCAACAAGAAGTCGGGTGGTGCTCACCCCACCGCCGCCTATCTCTGCCAAAAAGCAGCAAGAGATCAAAGACCTTGTTCAGTATGTCAGTGCGCTTCGACGTTTAACAGCAGCTGATAACCACTCCAAAGGTCAATGTACGGAGACAAAGCAGAGGAAGAAGAGGAAAAATTCCCAGCCGAAGAGGTCGATGATTCGCTTCCTTCGCCGAGTAAGGACGAAGTCGTGGATGTCACCGTGCGGTTACAACTGGATCCGATCAAAAAGTCGAAGGCTCCAGCGATGGCCATCAAAAAGTTTGAGATGCCGAGGACGGTCAAGTTCCGACGTGTAAGTCTGCCATGTTCAACAGACAAAAAATGATGCTGACGTACATTCCAGGAAGACAACATGTACCGTGTCTTGGAGGTTCTGGGGGATAAGCTGAGCAAAAGCCCAGATGACTTTGTACTGGTGTATGATGGAAAGAGGGTTTGGCCGTCAGACAGTCCCAAGGGTCTCAAAATATTCGGCGGCAGTGAGGTTGACATGAGTGAGTCTGAAATCCTGAACCTTTCGCGTCATGGGCGCGCACTTACATTATCTGCAGTGGGCTACGAGAAGCTTTATTGGGAGAAGATGGAGAAGGAGCGCCGTCAGCGGTTGGAAAATTACGACCTCTCATATGACCGCGAACCATCACTAGCAAACGAGGACGGCAAACCCGGCGATACCAACGCATCAGCAGAGGCAGCGTCGGCTTCTCCTGCCCCTCCTGAAGAAGCCGTCAAATCCATTAGGCTTACCGTCAGGGGGAGTGACGGCCAAGAGGCCAAGATCAAGGTATCAAAGACTGTCTCGGCGCATACTGTCTTGCGCTTCTACTGCAAGAAGGTAGGGCGGCCGAAGGAAGATGCCGATGGGATGCAGCTTGTCTTTGATGGCGACAACGTGAACAACGATGAAAAAATGGGAAACATCGATTGCGAAGATGGCGATATGCTGGAGGTCAGAAGTCGCTAGGGGACATGTCTGGCGACTGTGTATGACACTTCCGGGATTATAGTAGTAGGCTCGACGTGCGTAGATGAGCTGCCATCTGAGGGGCGAGTTTGTCATCATCCATATGAAGTTTGAGGTAGTTTATGTAGATCATCCTATCATGTACACTCGTTGTTGCTATATATATTGAATTGGGATTATGTAGCTGGATTGTGGTCTTGTCAATTGACTGACAGGCTGATAACGGGGACAGCCGCAGGAAACTAGGGATGCACTGCAGCTGGAAGAAATATTCCACGTGGCCACATTTTCTTCATCACATACGTATCTTTGGTCTTTCGGGGACCGATCATTCTTTCCTAATTTCAACGTCCGAGCATCAAAATAACCTTGTCATGTCCGGACTACCACCACCACCGCCTCCAGGGGTTCCTAGCAGTAAAGCTGGCTTCAGAGGCTCTTCTAATTTCCCAGCCTTCTCCGGCCCACCCCCCGGGATGCCGCCTCCAGTCAACTACCCACCGCCATTGCTTCCAGGCTGGACAGAACATCGCGGTCAGCATTTGGCTTCCCAGCATGCGCTTCCAGCTAATGCATCTGTAGCTCCTGACGGTGTCACTGCCTACTACTACAACTCCCAAACACGAGAATCGACCTATGTCCGACCGGCCGTTCCATCTTATCCTCCACCTGGTCCTCCCCCAACGTCGGCGCAGGCTCTCCCTACAGAGAAGAAGAAGGCAAAGAAAGAAAAGGCGAAAGAGAAGCTTCCGATTCCCGGCACTACCTGGGTACGGGTCATTACCAACGAGGGCAATGTTTTCTACTTTGAAAAGGAAGCCAAGCGATCCGAGTGGACCGTTCCCGAGGAAATTAAAGACGCTGTCGCTGAATTGCATCTTCAAGAGAAAGAAAGAAGAGAAGAGGCCAAGAGGCAAGAAGGTCAGAAGCTCGAACAAGAGCGAATCGAGAAGTTGAAAGAATTGGAAAGGATGAGGTCCGACTTGGAGGACGAGAAGAGAAGAAACAGGGAACAGCTCGAAGGAGAAAGAAAAAGAAAGGTCGAGGAAGGCGGAGATGACGCTGGCAGAGGAAAAAAGACCAAAGTTGAAGAGGACGATGAACACGCCGCTGGGCCGGAAGATGAAGAGGACGAGGAAGCTTGGATGAAAGCTGTCGCTGAAGAATTCGCCGAGAAGGATGCGGCAGACAAGAAAAACCAAGACGAAGAAGAGGAGAGGGCCAAGAATGCAGAGGCAGAGGCAGCAAAGAAGGTCTTTGCTGTGCCCGAAAAGGTAAACGTTTCGATCGAAGAAGGCCGGGCGCTTTTCAAAGCCCTCCTCATCGAAAAAGACATATCCCCTTTCGCTCCATGGGACCAATCCCTCCCGCTTTTCATCAATGACCCCAGATACGTCCTCCTTGCGTCAATGAAGGACAGGCGCGAAGTGTACGAAGAGTACTGCCGCGAAGCAGGTCGAGCCAAACGTCTCAATAAGACCACGACCGGCACATCAGAGAAGAAGAGTTCTGATCCCGAGAGAGACTACAAGGAGCTGCTTGAGAGGGAAGTGACTAGTACGAGAGCAAGATGGGACGACTTCAGAAAGAATTGGAAGAAGGAGAGAAAGTTCTATGCCTTTGGCAGAGATGACCACCAAAGAGAAAAGGTTTTCAAGCAATGGTTAAGAGATTTGGGAGAGAGTGGGTCCATACATGTTCTGCTTTGGACGCTTTGGCTGATCATTGTAGAGAAACGCCTGGCCGCCCAAAGGGCCGAGGAAGAGTTCACGACGCTACTCAAAGAATCAAAAGGGATCACTATCTCGTCCTCTTGGTCGTCCGTCAAGCGTTCTTTGTCGTCCGATCCACGATATGATGCGGTAGGCTCGTCTTCACTGAGAGAGGAGCTTTTCAACAATTATATCAAAGCACTTTCATCCGACTCTGCTGCTGCGGAACCCCAAAGGGCTGGGAATGTCGGCGATGAAACTATTGAGAACAAAGAGGAAGAAGGGGCCCGTCGTCTAGCCGAACGCAAAGCTGCCAGAGACCAGCAATCTGCGCCAGCGGAAACCAAAGAAGAGGTTGCTGCCAGAAAAACAGCCGAACGCAAGGCCAAGGCTGAAGCCAGCTTGCGCGATCGTGAGGCCAAGGTCCGCGAGGACAGGTTGAGGATGGAGAAGGAGATGAACAAGAGCAAAGTTGGGGCTGGGAGAGAAGAGGCGGAGAGGCTGTTCGGGAGCTTATTGGTGGATACGATCAGAGATCATGAGGTCTCTTGGCAAGACGCGTCTTCTGCCTTGTCCTCTGATCCCAGGTTCGATCACCCGGCGCTCACCCTCGGTAATAAGCAGCGGCTTTTTCACGAGCACATTGCCCGGGTAGCCTCCAAACGATCAGGCGCTCTTCATCAGCTTTTCGAAACCCATACCCCTGGTCTCGACACCCCATACGAGGACGTCTACTCCAGAATTGTCGATGACCCTATCGTCAAGCGCCTCGGACTTCAAGGCGGTACTCTGGAAGACCGCTGGAAAGCCTGGCTCCGCACCCGCGAAACCCAAGCCCGCCGAGAATTTGCCGAAATGCTGGGCGAGAATAGCTTTGTGGAGTTTTGGGGCAAGATGAGGAAAAAGACGCTCGACGAGAAGGCATTGGAGGTTCAAGAACAAGATGAGTGGGATGAAGGAGAAGGGATGGGAGAGGGAGGTGCGGCGGACTTGACCAAGTTGGCGCGGCAGATCGACTTGGGGGAAATCAAGTCGGTTCTCAGAGTGAGCCTTGCTCCATAACATGGTCGTATAGATGCTGACCAACTGCCGCAGAGAGACAAGAGATATAGACTGTTTGATCACGTTCCAGAAGAGCGCGAGAAGTGGCTCAGGGTGAGTGACTACGAGTCTGCGCAATGTCGCTTGCTGACCTGATTACAGGATTACCTTGAGAACGTCGAAGCCGCCTCTGGATCCCAGACCATCCACAACATCCGCCCAAGTCGATAAAGATCCTCCAACCTGACGCAACTTGCCGAACTTGAAGCAAAGACAAGATGAACAACAGTGCATGTGTTGCTGTTGCACTTGTGGAATGTATTGGGAAGGACAATGATACACAAAAATTCACTCTGAAAACCCAGGAAAGCAATATAAGATATGAAGAGATAAAGAAGAAAACCCAAAGGAATGTATTTATATGTGAACGCTGTAAACGTCCTTTGAATTGTGTACACTGTACGAGTACTGTCCATTTACTATCCTTCAATAATCAATAGAAATGGAAAGGGGAGTGACGGCGATCACTGGGGGACAATGAAAGGTTGGGAAACCCCTAGAACAATTGTCAGTAAAGCTTCAGTATCGAGAGGGCAGAACGTACAAGACTCGTAGTCCGACTCTTCTGTCGAGTCGCCAAAGATGTGAAGAGCCCGCAAAAGGACTGTTCAATGTCAACCGTTATATCATCGGATCTTTGCAGTACTCACATCGATAGGTCCCACCTGGAATAGCTGTCCCATTTGCAAATGCCGCAGAGCTCAACTCAAAAGTAGAGTAGTCTCCACCTTCAGAGTCTACATTGTCCGTACTTCTAGGTACCCATTCGTCGGAGTACAAGTTGCCCAAAATATCCACTGAACCAAAGGTATTGTCCGTAGAGCTACAGCCGGACCCTTGAAAATTTGTGAGTTTGCACCAAAGGGAAAGAAGCGACGAAGTCTTGGTGAGGGGGTAAGCGCCCCCGGACGACTGCAGTCGGCGGGGTTCAGCAGGGTGCTCGAATTGGCCAGACCTTTTCTTGGTGGTGTAGTCGGGGGTGAAAGAGAGGGTCGAGTTGGAGTCAATCAAGTCAATGGAGATGTAAGGAGTACCTCCAGCAAGTCGATACAACACCGAGGGATAATCGGTGCTGTTGAAAGAGTAGGCTTTGGTGCCGTCTTGTACACTAAAGCTGGGATTCATGATAACCGGCGTGTTGATACCGAGGTAATAGCTTGTAGGGTCAAGGACCGGCATATCCTTCATGTTGGCCGCAACACCGAGGTAGGGGACACGAACGGTGGTAGCTCCACCCGTCACTTTGATAAAGCCAGAGTAGACGGGGAATTGGGCAGCGTCGAGGCCAGACGGAGCAGCGAATGTGAGGGTGGTGACAAGGGACTGGCCGGGCCAGAGGGTGAGAGTGGAGGGGAATATTTTGACCGAGGCAGAGGTGTTGACTTGGGGGACGGGCTCGTCGGCGGATTGATTCAGGCCCTTCATGGCGTTAGTTGCGGCTCCATACATAATTAACAATACCTACGCTTTGGAAAGCCAGCATCGTTCCCGCAGCCTCATGATCAAATCTGAAGGTGACCCAGCTACTGCTAGGATTTTTGACAGTCAACACGTGCTGCCTCTGGAAGTTGGCAGTGTCATTCAGCAAGATCTCCGAAGGAGTGATGACTGCAGTAGCGTCGATGGCGGCGTCAACCCTCAATCGACCGGCGCCCTGCCAAGCCACGCTCGCAAGGGAAGAGTCAGTCATAGAGTAAGAGAGCTGGTCGGCAGAGATCTCGAAAGCACCCTTGACGTCCGCTGGGGTAATGTTATTCGTACCCTTGTCCGCAAGGTACAGGGCAGCAGCACCAGCAGCGAAGGCAGACGACCAAGATGTGCCATCACCAATGGTCCAGTTGTACAGGGCCGTAGGCGTAACACAGACGATGTTGGATCCCGGTGCAAGCACATCGGGAGCAAGGTAAAGGTCGTTGGTAGGACCGATCTCGGAAAAGTACGAGGCGGTGTTGTTTGTCCAGACGTTGGGAAGAGCAACGGGGTTGAAAGAGAAGCTAACAGTAGCGTTGGTGGAAGCGTTGATCTGGTCAAGGAGATAATTGCCATCCTCAAGGCTGATGATGGCAAAGTTGATAAGAGGGAAATTCTGGTAGATGGGAAGGCTGGTACCGTCATTTACGACGAATAAAGCGGTTCCACCAGCATTGTAGATGGCCTGTGCTTTAGCGGAAAGCGAGCAACCTCCGCGTCGGACGATGACGAGATAAGGCGACAAGTCGGGCACATCATCAGGCAGGGTGCACCCGTACTCATCAGAGTCAATGGTATACAGCTGTAAGGTCCCGTCGGTGTAGGCCTTGTAATTGTAATAGGGGATGGGGCCATAGCCAGTGGATACTGTGGCATAATGGGCAGGATAGATGGAGTTGTCGCTAGAACCGACGTTGATGACTCCTTCTCCGGCAGCAGGACTGTAAGAGTAAAAGGCGCCGATCTGGCCTTGGTTTCCCGCGGAAGAGGTGACGATGGTGCCGTTGTTGACGAGACGGGAGACGAAGACGCTGAGCATACTCTCAGTCCATCCAGAGGCCTCACCTGCAGATATGTTAATACTGGATCACACATTAGAATAGAGATTTGACTTACCAATGGAGAGATTGATGATATCCATGTTCTCGTCATAAGCCCTCTGCAGGCCAGACATGACAATGTCATCGGAGGTACTTCCATCACAGCTAAAGGTCCTGTACACATAGATCTCTGCCTCGGGAGCAACACCCACGCCGTACTCATTTTCGTTGGCCCCAATGATACCAGAGACGACTGTGCCGTGTGAGTAGCAGTTGTCGTAAGGGTCGCTGTCCTCGACAGGGGTGTTGGAGCCATTGTAGTTGTCTCCGACAAAGTCGTAACCACCAGCGATTTTGCACCCGGACCCGAAGCATCCACCAAGTGGTTCCCGAGTGTAATCAACACCGCCGTCTACCACACCGATCTTGATTCCCTTGCCCTTGTTGCCGGTAGCATGCACCTTATCGGCACCGATCTGAGGCAGATTGGAGAAGGGGGCTGAGGTAGCGGCGGTAGAATTGACGGAGGCGGTGGGGGTAGACGCATTGGAAGAAGAGGAGGTGCTGGTGGACTCGTCGCCCTCGGAAATGAGTTCGGAAGAGCTAAAAGTAGTTTGGGCGGTCCAGCCAATGTTTTCGGCGTGGATGGCGTCGGCAGGGAGAGAGAGAGAGTGGACGGAACGGAAGTCGATGACACCGGTGATGTTGAGTAGCACTTGAAGATCCTGCCGCGGTGTGAGCTGATGAGTGGCTAAGACTGACGTGGACGTACGGCTTCGGAAGTAAGGGAGAGAGAAGCGCCAAAGAAGAGCTGACATGAGTACTCTGCGTGAACTGTGTAGGAAGTAGAACGAGCGTCGAGTTGGCTGTAGATGTACTCGTGAGGCTACAATGACGTGAGCTTGATTGCCTGTCCTGGCTCAAGAGGCTTACAGTAGCTGCCCTTTTCAAGCCCGCGGACGAATAGTGGGCACTGCTGTCGAACTCAACGATGTACCTGTTTGGCACCACAGTCCTGTGATTTCTCTGTCAGTCATATTCGGTACTTGTGGAGGAACGATTGTGACTTACCTATGGCTGCGAGAGCCAGCATCTGCCTGGAGCTCCTCGAGGGTGGCCGCGCCGACGAGACTCCATGCGAAGAGAGCGAAGGAGAGGAGGGCAGCAGGCGCGCGGAAGGCGACCATAATGCGAGACTAGGGAGCTGGGGGGGTGAATGAGCGTGGGGGTGCGTGGGCACTGGGGGGTTACGGTATACGGATGTGTGTCAGAGGGTATGGAAGGAAGGAGGGTTAAAGAATCGTCAAAAAGCATAAACAAACGTCGCACGCTTCCCTTACAATTTCGGGTTGCGTCTGCCGAGGTATGACTGGGTGGCTTGGGTGGCTGGCTTGCCCTGTTCTCGGCAGCTTGACCGTTCATTTCTGCAAAGTTCAGGTACACCCGCACGGCTCGGATGTCCCGCTGCCCTTGCAACAGGTTCCGAACGAGTCACGCATGCACAGTTCCACTTGACGGCCATGGACCATAGATACGACAGAAGGCGACACCACCACCCACTCGGTGGGGCAACCCCACCATGAGGTCAAATGGCCCGCATCACCATATGGCGCAGATGCAAAGCCACAGCAGCCAGGGCGAGACGCGTCGACATCCCTGCAGGTGGCTTCTTGCCGTCTTTTTTCTGGCGCGCAGATGAAAACTGAGGGCGCAAAAAGCAATGGCGACGATATAAAAAAAAAATGCCCATGACATGCCAATAACCAAAAAGCTACACGTCTAGCAGGGTGAACATAGCACCCCGTCTACTGTCTATGATAAGACTATCTACAACAACTCCCCAAAAACCGATATATGGGGTAGTTTACTCAGACTTAAGACCGAGGGTCTCCTTGGCCTGCTCCTTCCTCTTCTGCCAGAATTCGGGGTTGTAGCTGAGGAGCTTGAGCTGCGTCGAGGTCAGCACTGATCAGGGTGGGGATGATATATCAGTGACGTACGTTCTGGTCGTGCTGGACCTTGTCCCAAGGCCTCCAGTCAGAGCTTCGGTCCCAAACAACCTCAGGACCCTGGGAGAGCTTGTAGAGGTAGGCAGAAGCACCGACAACAGCAATACCGACAATGCTACAGAGCAGTGTCAGTAAGAAGACACGTACGGGAGTGGCGACGACAAAGTCGGCCGTATATGATTGGACACGTACCCGAAGATGGGGAGCACTTCAACAGGGACCCATTTCTTGAGGAGAGCGCGGTTCTGTAAAGAGTCAGCATACAGTACATGTTTCCCATGTGCCCATGGCGGGCGGACCGCCACAGAGTGGAGGTAGTTGAAGATCTGAAAGGGAAGGCCGGGTGAAGTCGCGAGGGGCAAGTCGGTGAAGGTGAAATTTGTAGATCCCTCGTGCGAGATCGCAAGGAGGGTGCTTATCTGATACGAAGCGACCCGAGACAGCTACTCACCATGGGCATTGTGGATAGTTGTGGCGAGTGAAGGTTGTAGGGGTGATTTGGTGGAGCAGAGAGAAAAACAAAACAGCTTATTGGTTTTCAGAAAATGTCTGAGCCATCTCGTCAGCTCGGAGTTACTCGGCCGTCTGCTTCCGTCTCCCGGCGGTGTTTGCCGTTGAGGCCGTTGCTGGTGGACACCACCGCTGCCACGTGGCTTGTCGAAGATTGGTTCCGCGCCTCCAGCACGCCGTCATTGACGTATCGGTCTCGAGTAATTGTCCTCCTCAGTCCTCAACTGCTTTCCTACTCGCGCTATCACTCAACATGGAGGAAAGCGCCTCCCACGACCCTCCGCCTCTATCCCCCGCCGACGTTTTCGGAGCGCACGAAGCGACAGGCGACAGCAACGACGCGTTTGCGCAACTTGCACGCGACAGTGATCAGGCAGAGACGACGGAAGAGCAGAAACAAGATCGAGAAGAACTACCTATAGAGACGGCAGAGGTACCTCTGGTGTCCTACAATCCCTCGGAGCCATCTGTGGCTCAAGAATCAAGCGAAGAACATACCCCCATCAAACCTGAATATTCAGTTCAGAAAGAGCCAGTGGCAGCGCAACCTGCGCTTCTTCCCCAAGAAATGCCTCTTGCAGAGACCGAGGACATCGATGCCAAGTCCAAGATCTTAGGACACGATCCGGAATTCAGTGCTGTCCCTCAGTCTGAACCCGCGGTTGCTCAACCCCAGACGACTTTGAACCCATCTGTCGAAGACTCCTCGGCTTCGCCTTCAGATTTCGCGAACGAGCAACAAGAAAATCATCCGGTTTTAGAAGCAGATGGCAAGGAGCATGGTACCAATATCTCGCCACACGCAGATGTGATCAAGATGCGGGAAAAGCAAGAGGCGGCTTCTGGTGAGTGGGCTACTGCTGGGAGGAAACACATGGTTGATATCATACTGGGCATATAGTACCCACTCAAGGGTCACAAGAAAACGTTGAAGCAAACGGATCATCCTCCGATGTCACAATCGAGCCCAAGCTTCCGGCTGCCAGCGAAGGCGAGACCCAGCCTCACGAATCCCTCCAAGAACCGGTATCTTCCTCCCTCTTCACTGAAGATGCTTCTCCTCCGCCTTTCGATTCCATCTCTCTCCAAAATGACATCGAGACTTCTCAGCCCCAACCTAGGCATGAAGCCGGTCAATCGAGGGAGGAGAAGCAGGTGCCGAACAGTGACCACAGCGCCCCAGAGCTCTTTGAACAAGAGTCTGAGCCCTCGGTGTTCGACACGATTGCGTCTGAAGTGTGGTCTGCTCCCCCTGTGCAAGAAGACACAACTCCTGCGAACCCCAATGAGTATGTGCCTACCCCAACCCTTCTCGAACAGGGCACAGCAAGCTCTCCATCAAATCATATCAAATCACAGCCGTCAGCCGAGCCTGGGGCCACCCACGTTGCATTGGAGACGGGTACCCCTGAGGCTGATGGAGGGTTCAATGCTCAGCCTTCCCCAGCTGCTGAATTGTTTGGAGATGAGCCTGAGACGTCTTTATTCGACCAGATATCACCCCAAGAAGACACTTCCCCCAGCATGACCGGCAAAGTCAAAGAACCTGCGGCCTCAGGCCTGTTTGAGGATGAGGAAGAAGCTTCATTGTTTGACCAGATCATGCCCGAAGAACATCAAAATGCTTCTGGCCTGCATGCTGAAAAGGAGGAGAAAGGGGCGTCCAGTATCTTTGGGGATGAGGCTGGGGCTTCGCCTTTTGACGATCTTATCACTCAAGAAGAGCCAGGATCTACTGTCGAGTATTCCGGAGCTGGGGAAAGTAATGCTTTGTTTGGAAATGATCAAAGTGACCGGTTTCCATCTTCCCAAGACCTGCCGGAGCTTACTCAAGATCAAGGGACTGAAAGCACCCAAACGCAGTCTACCAACGATGACCAAGAAGTCCCTTTGGGTTGGTACGATGACTACGGAGAATTCCAGTGGTATACAGAAGAAGAGAGGGAGCAGGTGAGGCTGTCGATGTATGGGCCGGCTCAGACCGTAGAAGTGCGTAAGCAGGCCAGTCAGGATATTCTTAGTGCAGGCTTTGGTTCTTGTAAGTGGGACCACTCTACCTCGCCCGTAATGGCTGACGGGTCTGTAGCCATGTCTCCGGCTTTGCCTCGAAGCCCGGCTGTCCAGACCGAATCCTTATTGTCCGAAAATGCTCTACGGCGTACACCACAACCACAGGCGGTATCCGAGTTCGACAGCCGCATGTATGCGCCACCAGCTACAGCTTCCTCATATGCTCCGAGCAACACATCTCAATCGACATATACACATTCATACACGGACTCTTTGCCCTATGTGCCTGCGCTCAGCGGCCCAGCGGCCACAAACACATACAACCCGTACGCACCTAGCAATGACCCTTTGCCAACTCCTGCGAAAGTTCCTATCGCTGCCCCGCCTTCTGCTCCCAGTCGCAATCCAACATACGACGCCTACGACCCTCCGATGGCGTTCAAGGCCCCCCCCGTACAAGCTCGACCCAGCTTCACTGTCCCGTCTTCATATGCGCCGTCGCCGGTTCAGACATACGCCCTTGCCCCACCTCCCCCTGCCAAATCAGAGCCTCCTCAGTCGAGGCCACAACCACTCCCGCGGACAGCATCGAACGCTTTTGACCCTCCTCTGAAGCCTGTGTCTAAAGCTATCCCCAGGCCGGCTTCTGCCGTCAATGCTGGTGCGTCGCCATATGGATTCGCCCCCATGGCAGTTCCACGGGAAGCCTCACAGATGCCACCGATGCCTCCTGCTGGACCTCCTAGAGGCGTGAGCCGGCCCTCAAGTCGGGGACCCGCATTTGCGCTGCCGCCGTCACAGCACCAGGCTCCGTTAGCTCCACCGACTGGACAACTGAGGAGGCCGGCGAGTAAGAGCAGGCCGCCCAGTCGCGGGCCCGCCTTTGCACCACCGCCGAGTTTCCAGGCGCCACCTGTGCCCGAGATTCCGTCTTCACTGAAGCGAACGTCGGTAGAGAGTCAACGAGATGAGTATACCTCGCTTTCCCACGCTGAGGGGTTGAGGTCGCCGCCTACCCAGATGACAGGTCTGATGTCGCCTCCTCGGGCTCATCAGGCTCCTGCACCGCCAAGGAAAACTACAGGTATCAGCTCGCCCCCTCAAAACGACCAAGCTATGACTTTCCCGCCTTATGATACAGGGCTGGCATTGCCACAGCAGAGCCATCTTCCCTCGGGGCCGCCTGGGTGGACTCCAGCAGAGGATAGCAGCCTTTCTAGTCGCGGGCCTGCCTATGCCCAGCCGCCGGCGGTGTCGAGCCATGAGCCTTCGCCCTACTCCCCGACACAACAGCTAGATGTGTATGCTCGTGGGACGTCAGCTACTCAAGCTTTGCAACAATCTCCTCCTCGCTCTACTCAGTTTGACCAATCCACACTAGCCCAGCAGCAGCAGAGAGGGTCTTTCGATGATCCTTATGCACCTCAGCATTATATCGACGAGCTTCATGAACAGTACGGCAGTCAGGGTCAGCAGTACGGCGGGCGAGGGGAGGAGCAGCAGGAGCCTATCGGAAAGAGACCTGACAGACAGTATTCTGCGTACGAGCCCTATGTGTCACATCAGGAGCCTGTAAAGATCGAGCGGCTGGGACAAGCGTCTTCGCCTGAACCTTCTCCATATGACTCGCCCTATGCGCCCGCAACTCTACCACCTCACCAGGCCACGGCTCCGTCTTCTCGATACGCACCACCACCTTCTTCAGCGCCTGCTCCTGCTCCTTCTAGGCACCACACTGCTCCCTATGGAGCTTATGATAGTGACCCCTATGCTGCACTTCCACCCTCAACTGCGCAAAAAACTTCGCCATACAACCCCGCCCCCCCAGCGACCTTCAACCGCGCTGCTTCCCCTGCTCATAGCTCAGTCTATGGAGCCTCTCCCCCATCTGCCAACTACTTCCAGAGTATGTCTGCTCCCCAACGAAGCGAGTCGGTCGATACCTCGTACATTCCTCAGCAAATACTTGAACAGAGGCCCATCAGCGAGGACCCCCTCGGACGCACGACATTAGTTGCTAGAAATGTCCCTATCGCCATCTTTGGCTTCGGCGGAGTGTTGGTCACTGCCTTCCCTGGTGCTTCTCAGTCTGACAACTTTGACAAAGGGCACGAGCGTCTCCCGTCTTATGGTTATGCCTCTCACAGGGGCCAGCTCTGGATTAGAAACCTGAGTGAAGTCGTAGCCCCTAGCGCCCTGAAGGTCGATCTATCTGTTTTCCCGGGGCCTCTAGTGAATGAGCCTACGCCTGTCAAGGGCGGTGCCGCGAAGAAGAAAGAGGGCGTGATGGAGTACGTCAAGACGCGTGCAGAGGAAATTGAAAAGGGGCTGCCGTATCTCAAGACCGCTGCCAGTAAAACACGGCGAGAAGAAGAGGGAAAACTGGTCTTGTTGAGATTGTTGGAGGCTATGATCGTGGGAGAAGGCAAGTTAGGTGGCAAGTGAGTGTCATTTAACGCGAGTTCCCATCAGGTACTGACCTTTGTATAGACCGGATGTTGAGGACGCCATCAGAGTTGCTCTTGCCAACCCTAACTACTCGAATTTGTCTTCAGCGAAACTATCTTCTTCTTCTACCGCAGCCATGCCCACCTCTCAATATGCGGGTACGGCCGCTTCCGCCCCAGCTGCTGCCGATGCCTCTCAATTGAGCTATATCTCAAGTCTGATTGCCCAGGGCACAAAACGAGAGGCTGCTGAATACGCTGCCGAGCAAGGTCTGTGGTCTCATGCTCTTGTCATCAGTAGCGCCGTGAGTGTGGAGCTGTGGAAGGATATGGTGAAGAAGTTCACTACGGCCGAGCTGGATGGGAGGAGTGATGGAACTGGAGCTATCAAGGCGTCTTACTCATTGATTGGTGGGATGGATGCTGCCTCCTGTGAGTACCCACTATCAAGTTGTAGAGTCGGCTGCTGACATAAAGTTACAGTGGAAGATCTTATCAATGCTGCATCCATCGGCGAGGATCCTACCAAGGATCAATGGCGAGAGGTCATCTCGGCCGTCTTGTTCAACGCCAAACCCAATGAGTTGGCATGTCTCGATGAGCTTGGGTCAAAGTTCCTCGGTTTGGGCCTGACCAATGCTGCTAACGCATGGTAAGCAATACAATCTATCTTGAGTCATGTCTGTTCTGACCACATCGTAGCTTCCTTCTTTCGCCATTATCTCCCTTCCTGGACACCAGTCCTGCCGCTTTGGATCGGGGCCTCATGTTCGCCAACGAACGCGACGAAGACATCATCATTTTTGCCGAGATCGCCGAGTATGCGAGAAACTTGGTGTCTCTGCCCAGGGGCCAAGAGCAGATCTGCACCGGGTTACCTCAGTTGCTTCCCTACAAACTTGCACGCGCCTGGCGACTGGCAGAGCTGGGTGAAACGGAATTGGCGAAGAGGTCCGTGTTTTCACTTTCGATCTTCGGTTCGCCAGCTAATTACATCAGATACTGCACTGCTATCGAAGCTGGTACCAAACCTCTCATCAAGGGAGCTCCCGCTCAGAGTCTGCTGTCTCCTGCTTTCCGAGCCAGCCTGGAGGATCTGCTTGAGCGTTTGACAGGCACACCATCTGTCAACCCCGCCAAGGTCCTTGCCGGTGGTAAACGAGGTAAACAACCTGGCATCGACAAGATTGGATCCTGGATTGAAGGTCGTCTCAGCAAGTTCATCGCCGGAGAAGAGGGGGAAGAGACCGCTCCCAAACCCCCTACTGCTGGTGGAAAGAGCTCTGGTCCGTTTGCTCACTTCAGCGCTGTCTCTCCCGATCTTTCTGGGTCGGTCACTCGCAATCCTTCTATGGCAGACGTGCCCAGTCACAATGCCACTAATGGTTATTTGGGTGTTCAGCCGGCATCTAGAGCTACTTCGCCTGCGAGCCATGCCGTTGACAATCCTCAATCGCAATCGTACCCTTCGCAGTCGCCCTATGGGGTGCCGCAGACATTGTCGAGAACAAGCTCTCCTTTAGCTACTCCCAATGCCAATACCTACTCCAGTGCGAACAACCTCTCGTATGGGGGTCCCTATAGTCGACAGTCGCAGCCTCCCCATGATGGAAGTTCTACCGCTTGGGATGCGTCTGCGGAGAATTTGGAGCTTGAGTCCGAGACTCCTCGTGCCTACGAAGTGCCACAAAAGTACGGAGAGGATGATCTGTACAATCCCATGGCGCAACACTCTTCCGGCACAGATTCTTATACACCTCCGACCTCTGGGCCTTCTAAGCAGCAAGCTTCTTATGATCTCAACGACGATGATGAAGACCTTGGCTTCGGCAACTCGTCATTGTCCAAGGGACGCACTGTAAAGCCAGAGGCGGACTCCAAGAAGGCAGGAGCTGCTACCCAACAGGAGGAGCCAAAACAAGAGAAGAAACGTAAGCCTTCATTGTACTATGAGGGCAATTGCTGATGAGTGTTTTACAGCCGAGCAACCTCAAACAACATCATGGCTGGGGAAGCTGTGGGGGAAGAAAGAGGGGGGGCCTATCAGGGCCAAGCTGGGGGAAGAGAGCACCATGGAGTTTGATAAAGCCTCTGGGAGATGGGTTGTCAAAGGCGTAAGTTGCGTATCCCATAAGATGTTGTCTCTTACTGACTATTCATGCCAGGCGCAGGCCCAAGTTTCCGCTCCTTCTGCGACCCCTCCCCCTCCCAGAGCTCAAACTGCCTCGCCATCCCGAGCTGCTACTCGTCCAGATGCCTCAAGGGCTATGTCGGCAACGCCTCCTATGCCGACGAATCCCTATGCCACACATCCCCCCGGCGCCCAAGCCCCTCCCTCATCAGGCTCGTCTGCCTTTGCCGAAGCTCCGGATGGGGGCATCAAGCGGATGAAGTCCTCCTTGCCTGTGGCCCCGCCATCAAGCGGACCGCCATCTGGTTTACCCTCACGCCCTCCATCAGGGCCACCTTCTTCCGTCCCTCCTAGCAGACCTTCTACAGCCAGCTCTTCGCTGGATGATCTACTGAGTGGTGGGCCCAGGCCTGCGAGCAAAAGACCGGGATCGGCGCTGAAGAAGGGTGCAAGAAATCGTTACGTAGATGTGTTCCAAGGTGCTCAATGAGGAGGAAGGTCTGTGACGACGATATACGAACCAGATAGAAAGCAGTGTCATATAACAATGACCACAGTCCACCAATGTACCATCTATGATATGCACAAAATGTTTCTGCAATGGGTGTCCTGTCGTCGAACGGGCAACGAGTAGACCGGCAAAGTGTGTGCGAGCTCGGACATTCGGCGATGACATAGTTTCTCTCTGCATTCACATTCATCTTTATCTTCTTCTTTCTAATGTCGCCTGCTGCGATTTGCCTTCTTTCGAAAGCTTGATCTTCCCCAGCGAATCGATTACATCAAGACAAAGTATGGGCAAATTCGAAGAGTTCAAATCTCAGCATGATAGCAGTGCCAAGCAATCGGCCGCTCCGCCACCATCGTACGGGCAAGCTTCCGGCACCTCTCAGTAATGATAATCCTACCATGATCGTATTCAGACAAACTCATCTGCGAATGTAGCTATCAGCCAAGCCAACCCATCTACAACACATTCTCTTGCATACACCTGGCTCGGACGGATGGTATAAGGCTGATCAATATGCCTGCGGCCTCCGATGTTAGGGCGATCGAGACAGCTATTGAGCGCGTATGGGTGCCGGGAATACAAGGCAAGTCTTCCGTGGCCGGTACCGTTGGTACGGAGTGGAAATTGAGAGGAAATCCTTGTAAGCAAGCCGCTGTTCGTTGATCTATGAACGATGCCGACGTGGCGACAAATCTGTAGGGTCTGGTATCATGACCGAAGCTATACAAGCGCGACGCCTACTCATACACATTTTCCATGCCCTGAGTGCGGTGGGATGGGATCTGCACATGTCTGTGGACCTCACTAAAAAGCAGTATGACAAGGACTCTGTCATATTCCGCAAGACAACACCTCCGAGAGAAAAGTACTTCTTTTGTGTGTCTTTCAATGAAGGGGACAAGGTGCGCATCATCGACCCTCCCAATAATGATGTAAGGGATGCCTTCATCCAAGCTGTGAGGGTAGGTCGACCAAGATGTGATGTAGATCAAATCGGCTGATTGCTATACGACAGCAAACCTGGTATAGAGGGGTACAGACCGAAAAGGAAAAAGAGCATGGCTGCTACCAGATCAAGCTTCGAGGTAACCCATGGTGGAGCTCGAATGGCCTTGATGTGAATCACGCAAGGATCGTATCTCTCGCAATCTTGTCTGCCATGGACGTCCAAGGGTTTGAACTGGCAGCAAGTGTTGACATGAGTGTGGGTACCGAACATGGAGGCGACGGTGAGTGGCATACGTTTCCTGCTGAGCTTGGACCATTGACTAGGATCATAATAGTGGACACTTGGTTCTTTGCTTCTAAATGAGATCAAGAGGGCTGAGGGACGACCAATTCATGTAGAACCCCTATGGCCCCCGTCCACCCCTGATGCCTGATGTTGTGGGGCAACAGTTGATGCGTGATCTCCGAGTCTCCTCAAGATGTTAAGACTATAAATCAGCGCTTTGCACCGATTTGTCCGTAAAAGAGCATTTGCTGCAGGCCTAAAAGCGAGTCATGTCTGCTATGTGATGTACGAATGGCAATACGAATCGCCGCGTGGGTCCCACCAGGTCATCAAAATGATATTACATCTCTATCGTGATATCCTCGAATCTACTGTCGTTAGACTCAAAGAGCCTGCCTAGCCTCGTCCTCGATAGCATCGGCCGCCTGATCAGTCTGCAACGCCACCTCATCTCCAGCAACCTGTCCCACCCGACCATGCTTGCCAAACTCTCCAAGGCCCATCACCCTATCCCTAGCCTCCTCGTACTTCTTTCTCGTCTCCCCGACAACATCATTCGGTAACGTCACCCCGTCCTTGCCCTTCAAACCTTCTTTGATTAACCAGTCACGCAAGTACTGCTTGTCGAAGGAAGCCTGGGGCTTACCAGCAGTGTACTCGGCAGCAGACCAGTACCTTGAAGAGTCGGGCGTGAGGACTTCGTCGATGAGGATAAGAGAAGGGTTGTTGGGGGAAGCAGGGTTGGGGAGTAGACCGAATTCAAACTTGGTGTCGGCCAGGATGAGACCGCGCTCCTTGGCGTAGGCGGCAGCGGTAGAATAGAGCTTGATGGCAACCTCTTCAATAGCGACAGCGAGCTCCGGGCCACATATATCCTTGACTACGTGACTTCGTCAGCATACCTTCCAATGCCGCTGAGAAAGTAACCAACCCTTGTCAGGATGGATGTTTTCATCGTGCTCGCCCTGATCAGCCTTCGTGGAAGGGGTGAACAATGGTTTGGGAAGCTGTTCAGATTCTACAAGCCCAGCAGGCATTTGAATACCATGCACAGTCTGAGACTTCTTGTACTCTGACCAGGCAGAGCCGGTGATGTAGCCCCTGACAATAGCCTCGATCTTGACGACCTCGCACTTCTTGACAATCATACTTCTGCCCTCGAGCTGGTCTCTGTACTCGTCCAAACTTCTAGGGAACTCATCCCAAGATTGGGCCGGAGTGGAGAAGCAGGAGGATGGCGAAGGATGGATGACGTGGTTGGGAATGACATCCTTGAGCTTCTCGAACCAGAAGAGAGAGAGGGTAGTTAGGGTAATGCCTTTGGAGGGGATGCCCTAAAAAGCCGTCAGCGTTGACAAATGAGGATATTCTGGCGCTCACATTGTTCATGATGACGTCGAAAGCACTCATTCGGTCAGTGGCAACAAACAGTAACTTGTCTTCGTCCTCCTTTCCGGGCAAAGCGTAGATGTCCCTGACCTTTCCTTTAGCGAGGAGTTTCAGCTTGGGTAGATGAGTACTGGTGACGCAGCTGGTAGAAGTGCCAACACCAGAGGCGGCAACAGCAGCCTTGGAACCCTGGACTAATTGAGAAGGGGTGGTCTTGTCTACAGGGGGAACAGGGAGCGCAGTGCCCTCGTTGACAGCCTTGGCAGCCTCCTTGGCCGCCTTCTCCTTCTCCTTGGCGGCTCTCAAGGCAGCCCGCTCCTCCTCAGTAGGAGGCTTGGACCTCGCATCCTTCTTCTTGCTCTTCTTCTCTTCAACCTTGGGGGCCGCAGAAGAGCTGGGGTATGCCTGCCTCTCGATCTCCTGCCACTCCTTGTCCGCATCAAATGCTTCTCGAATAGGACCGAGGAATTTGATGAGAGCGTCTTGGACACCAGTCTTCAAGTCTCCGGGATGAACGTCACCGGCAATGTAAGACTTTTCAAGCTCTTCGTAACTCTTGAAATGGATGTCGCCACCGAATTTCTCGGGTCGAGAGATGGAAAAGATGGTGCCTTCGGGAGCTCCGGGGAATACAAAGCTGTTCCCTCCTACAGGCGGCTTCTCGCCCTTGTTGGCAGCGTTTTCAATCTTGAGCGCCTGAATAGGGAGGAGGACAGTCTTGATGAAAGCAATGACACCGTTGTTCTCAATCTCTCCCGGGGGACAAAGAGCGTTCTTGATTTTTGACTTGACGTCCGCAGCAGTATCGAGGAAGTCGATCTTGGACTTGGGGTCCGAGGCGGACATTTTCCCACCGGACAAACCGGGGACCATGCCGTTCATCAAATGGGCACGCTTGGCGTAGCCGAGTCGAGGGAGGAAGTGGGAAGCGTACATGAAGATTTTGCGCTGGTCAACCCCACCGAACTGGAAGTCGACGCCGAGGTACTCCTCGTCAAGGGCCTGGAGACCGGGGTAGAGCAAGGAGCTCATGAGAGGAGATTCGGACTCCTTGACGACATCGGCACCGGCGTGTTCGGCCTCTCTTGTTGAAGTCAGAGCATGGAACCTAGTTCACAGTCAGCGGACGTCCAATGATCCGGTCTGCAACGCACTTGTAGACGTCAAGAGTGTAGTCGGCCTTGAGCTGGTAGCTGGAGCCGGTAATGAACTCGAGCTTGTCGGTGGGGACGCCCAAAGCAGTGAATACGGTTTTGAGAAGGGTGGCGTAATACTTGACTCGGTACTGCACAGTCTCGAGAGTGGATTTTGAGGCATCAAGGAAAGCGTGGAGCTGTACAGGGATCAGCAAGATGTTGCAATATATTATCGTTGGACCAGAATGTGACTACGCCGGTTTCTCCGATCGTGCGCACCTCCGGCGACCATCAGCAAGTAAAAGAGACTTACGTCTATGTATGCATTAGCTACGGTATCTTACACACAAAGTACAATGACTTACCGGCAAGCAGAACCTTGACGTTGACACCAGCAGTCAAGAAGTCGGCGATCTTGAGCAATGGGACACAGTAGGCAATGTGCGCTATCAGAGAGACTTGAGCAGCAGGTTCTCTCAATTCACCATGAAGACTTACGTCTGCCGGTGGGCGCGGTACCCCAGTATGCTTTAACAACCTTATCCTCGCTCAAGACTTTTCGGATAACGTCGGCACTGGTGACCTCCTGGAGATTCCTGGTGATTCTTTCGTACTGGGATTCAGCCTCTGGAGAGAGCTTGATGGTGTCAGGCTGAGCAGACATGACTGGTCTGTGGGTACGATGAGTATAGCTCTCGAGTGGAATTGTGATTTTGCTTGAGAGAATGAGTCGGAGGAGCGAGGGCAGAATGCAGTTAGGTGGCCCACTTAGGGAGCGCACATGGCCGCCCACTTAGCTGCAACGCGACGCGCTGGGGTCTATTGTTGCATCCAGTTACAGTTAGTTGCTCAAATCACCGATATCCCACCATGGCCACAGAGTTCGACGATGTGTGAGTACCACCTGTCCATGCAGCATATGCTTACCATATACAGCCTGACAAATCAGCCAGTCGTCATCGACAACGTACGTATCTCGCCTGGCCATCTGCGACGTCGCTCATGTCATGCAGGGTTCTGGCAATATCAAAGCAGGTTTCGCGGGCGAGGAGCAGCCATCATGCTATATCCCATCATTGCAAGTTGATCATATATCTCTAATTTCTACAGCTGACCATCATACAGCGTCGGCCGCCCAAAGCACCCTCGCGTCATGGCAGGTGCTATTCAGGACAACCTCTTCATTGGACGGCGAGCTCAAGAATTCAGAGGATTGCTCAAAATCAAGTATCCTATGGAACATGGCGTCGTGCAGGATTGGGACGATATGGAACGGATATGGGGATGGGTTTATGGAGAGGGGTTGAAGGCTTTGAGTGAAGAGGTGAGCCCAAGTCTGGATGGTTGGGGCAACAAGCTGAGCGACATTAGCACCCTGTACTTTTAACAGAAGCACCTTTGAATCCCCGTCAGAATCGTGATATTGCTGCTCAGATATTCTTCGAGACCTTTAACGTTCCAGCCTTCTTTACCTCGGTACAGGCCGTGCTTTCCCTGTAAGCCTTTCGCCGACTCGCGTGTTCTTAGCTTAATCCCTTCCAGCTACTCTTCTGGTAGAACAACAGGTATTGTCCTCGACTCTGGCGACGGCGTGACACATGCCGTTCCCGTATTCGAGGGCTTCTCTATGCCCCATGCCGTTCGCCGTATCGACCTCGCCGGTCGAGACATTACCGACCACCTTCAGCTTCTCCTCCGCAAGTCAGGGCACAACCTGCATACCTCCGCAGAGAAAGAAGTTGTTCGCACAATCAAGGAAAAGACGTGTTATCTGGCGATGAATCCGGTCAAGGAGGAAAAGGACCAAGGAGGCGCATGGGAAGAGTTTAGGCTGCCAGACGGAAAGGTCATACAGCTTGGGACGGAAAGGTTTCTGGCGCCAGAGATCCTATTCAACCCAGAGATTGTGGGGCAAGAGTACCCAGGTGTGCATCAGGTGCGTTCTTTCGGTCATTTCGCGTAGTCGCTTCTGACTCGGTTTGCAGGTGATTGTCGATTCTATTAACCGTACCGACCTGGACCTTCGTAAATCTCTTTTCAGCAATATCGTCCTTTCTGGAGGATCCACCCTCTGCACAGGCTTTGGTGACAGATTACTCAATGAAGTCAAGAAGCTGGCTCTGAAGGATGTCAAGCTCAAGATCTATGCTCCTCCCGAACGAAAGGTCTGTTTCTGGACTCACTCGCGCCCCATTTCTGGCTGACTTTACGTACAGTACTCTACATGGATCGGAGGAAGTATCCTTGCTGGTCTTAGCACGTTCAAGAAGATGTGGGTGTCGGCAGACGAGTATAAGGAAGATCCGGATATTATCCACAAAAAGGCGTTCTAATTGTGCTATATTTGCCCGGGCGTTTTAATGACATAATGAATCATATACCCATGTCGATAAATGAACATTGCAATGCAATGCATACCATATGAACACACGAGAGGCTCGTGATCCTCAGATAACACAACCCTACTCCCACAATTTGCCATATTGGAAATTACCATGCGCCACGCAAGCATATTCTGCTCTCATGGGAGTCACACTGGTCCAGCCCTTTGCGAACGCCCATGCATCCGTGCCTTCCGGTACATCCTTCTCGTCTGGGAACAATAGCGGCTTCATGTTTGGCGCAAAGTGGAATTTGAGCTGCTTGTCGTCTGCTGCTGAGGTTTTCGGAGAGTTTGTTGATGTGGGTAAAGCGTTCGGCCCGGCGGCTGACGATTTGGAATGCAGAGGAGCCTCGACATTCTGTGGCTGATTGGTTGTGCTCCTCTGATCCCAAGAAGCAGCGTGGTCCCCAGGGTCAAAGGAGACCTTTGATCTAAGATGATTATCAGAACCTGATGCTTGTGGTTGACCTTGACATTTGCGATCGCTCTGCACGGTCTGAAGAGAAGCTGTAGAAGCTGCAGCAGACACGAGCTTGGTCTGCGGTCCAGGCTTAGGCTTGGACTCTTTGGGCCACCATATGAGAGAGGGCTCGCTGATGACCGTCAAACCACCGATATTGTGGACGACGACGAGAAGAATCCAACAGAGATGACTCACAGTTGGGTGACTTTGAACAGTCCGCCATAGGCATTCCTCCACATATCCGTGAAACACACTTTTCTGGCACCTTCTTCCAGGTTGGCCTCTACCAGCGGCACGTTCACGCTGTAGATTGGTACCAGCCCCTTTCCCCCTGGGCCATCGTCCTCTCCCCAGCTGTTGAAGAGCCTTTGACAGACGTTCACGGCAGTCTCGGTGGCTAATTCAAGGAGGCGTGGAGAGACGGGGCGAGTGACGACGCCGTATGAGACGGCGATAGATGGAATGTGCGTCTCGTGAAGGGAAGGGCGGGAGGACGGGCCCGGGATGGGGATGGACAGGGAAGCAGCGAGGGCTGCACCAAGGGTACCGGAAGATAAGGCAAAAGCAGTTGAGGAGTTTCGTCCGTCTACACGGGTCAGACATCATAACAAGTGGAGGAGCGTAGACTCACGATTAGGCCCAGAAACCACGAGGTCGATCTCTCCAGGGTAGATGTTGTGCAACGCAACGTTGGCGCACGTTGCCGGGGTCTGTTGCAATCAGCATGCTGAAACCTCAATCATGAAAGTGCTCTGCTTACTCCAGAAAGTAGCACCCATTCCATCGTCTCCCCTTCCTTTAATGGGCGACGTTCGGTGGTAATGTCTCCATGGAGACCATCGGGCTCTAATCACCTTGTGAGCAAATCTAGCGCCAGGGATGCTATTGCAGCACGCACCTAGTGGATAGAAGTAACTCGCTGCGATGACATCGCTGATGGCATACGCCTTGCCAACCCTGCATCGACAATCAGCGACCGGCCACCAGCAATCTTCAGCACGAACCATGATTTTTGACAGTCAGGGATCACAACGCGCACATCCCAGCCCAGCTTGGACTGCAGCAGTTTGCAGAAGGAGAAGATATTCGGGGACGAGGCGCAGGGAGGGCCGTCGTCGTTCTAGAAGCAAGAGATGAGCGGCGGCAGGGGTGGTGGGCTGTGTGCGCACTGTGAGGAGGACGACGGGGCGGTCTGTGTAGGTGCGGAGGGGGGCCATGGTGGGTTGGTTGCAGGCCACAAGTCACAAGTGGGCCATCGATGGATCGTTGCAAGATCCCGTTGATGGATCGCAACAAGGCTCACCCGGCCGCCGGGAGGGATCGAGTTCGGGACACCCGCCACACCTAGGAATCACCGCGGGCCTATCTCTGTCTTCGCGTTCATTTCGCCACCTCCAGCCATCTACCTGACCTGAAAAACACCCTCAACCCACCATGTCCGCCGCCCCCCCAGGATTCGCCCCTCCTGGCTTCCCGGCAGCTCCAAACGGCAGCGAAGGCGACTTTTTCGGCAACCTCAGCCAGGATGAGATTGCAAAGAAGGCGAGAAAGTGGAGGCAGAGCCAGAAGAGGAAGTTTGATGTCAAGAGGAGGCAGGGTGGTGGTGGTGGTATAGATTTCGGCAAAGCGGTTTGTTGCTTGGCTTTACGCGTCAAGGTGGAGCTCATTTCGCCCGTAGGATCTTCCACCTGAGCACATCCGAAAGATCATCAAAGATCATGGAGACATGTCAAATAGAAAGTTTAGGAACGACAAGCGAGTGCATTTGGGAGCACTCAAGTATGTGCCCCATGCTGTCATGAAGCTCTTGGAGAATATCCCCATGCCGTGGGAGGTAAGTGCGACGATGCTCGATCGAGACTCTATCTAATACCCTCCCAGCAAGTACGCGAAGTCCCCGTCCTCTACCACATCTCCGGTGCCATCACATTCGTCAACGAAATCCCTCGCGTTATAGAACCCGTTTATCACGCACAATGGGCTTCCATGTGGCTCGCCATGCGTCGAGAAAAGCGAGACCGACGGCATTTCAAGCGAATGCGATTCCCGCCCTTTGACGATGAAGAGCCACCGATGGATTACGGAGACAATGTGCTTGACGTGGAGCCGTTGGAAGCGATCCAGTTGGAGCTGGACGAGGAAGACGATGAGGCAATCATGGAGTGGTTCTACGACCCCAAGCCACTTGTCGACTCGCCCCAAGTCAATGGGTCGAGTTACAAGTACTTTCAGCTCACACTCCCGCAAATGGCCAACTTGTACCGAATAGGTCGACAATTGCTTAGCGACTACTCGGACGACAATGCGTTCTATCTCTTTGACCAGAAGAGTTTCTTCACGGCCAAGGCGTTGAACATTGCCTTGCCCGGTGGTCCCAAATTCGAACCTCTTTTCCGCGATATGGAGGCTTTCGACGAGGACTGGAACGAGTTTAATGATATCAACAAGATCATCATCCGAAACGTTATCCGATCCGAGTACAAAGTCGCCTTCCCCCACCTCTACAACTCCCTCCCCCGCTCCGTTCACATCGGTGTATACCACGAACCCAAAAATGTCTACATTAAAACCGACGACCCCGATCTCCCCGCCTTCTACTTTGATCCCCTGATCAACCCCATCTCTCAGCGTGTTGTGCAAGAAGCGCACACGCCGCTTGTCTCTCACGAGGACCAGGTCTTTGGATTTGGCATCGATGAGGATGACTTTGAGCTGCCGGAGGAGCTGGAGCCCTTCTTGGAAAATAATGATTTGGAGAATGAGAACACGGCGGACGCCATCGCACTGTACTGGGCACCTTACCCTTACAACTTGCGAAGTGGGCGAATGAGGAGGGCGCAGGATGTGCCCTTGGTGAAAAACCTCTATCTGGAGCACTGCCCAGGAGACCAGCCCGTCAAGATCAGAGTGTCGTACCAGAAACTCTTAAAGGTCTACGTGCTGAACTCTCTGCACCACAAGCCCCCTAAGGCGATGGTGAAGCGCAACCTCTTCAGGAGTTTGAAAAACACAAAGTTCTTCCAAACAACCACTCTTGACTGGGTAGAAGCAGGTCTCCAGGTCTGCCGACAGGGTTACAACATGCTCAATCTCCTTATCCATCGAAAGAACCTCAACTACCTTCATCTCGATTACAATCTCAACTTGAAGCCTATCAAGACTCTTACGACCAAGGAGCGAAAGAAGTCTCGATTCGGTAACGCTTTCCACTTGTGTCGAGAAATTCTCCGTCTCACCAAGCTCATTGTCGACGCCCATGTCCAGTTCCGACTCGGAAACGTCGACGCTTTCCAACTCGCCGATGGTCTTCAGTACATGTTTGCGCATGTCGGTCAATTGACCGGTATGTACAGATACAAGTACAAGCTCATGAAGCAGATCCGTATGTGCAAGGACTTGAAACACTTGATCTACTCGAGGTTCAACACTGGTCCTGTTGGCAAGGGTCCTGGTGTTGGTTTCTGGGCGCCTGGGTGGAGAGTGTGGTTGTTCTTCATGAGAGGCATGGTGCCGCTCCTGGAGAGGTGGTTGGGTAATTTGTTGGCGAGACAGTTTGAAGGACGAAACTCAAAGGGAACGGCCAAGACTGTCACCAAGCAGCGAGTAGAGTCTCACTTTGATTTGGAGCTGCGTGCTGCGGTCATGCACGACATCTTGGAGTGAGTGCATTTCTTTCCATACACGACCAGAGCTGATTATCTACAGCATGATGCCCGAGAACATCAAGCAGAACAAGGCCAAGACTATCCTTCAACATCTTTCCGAGGCATGGCGATGCTGGAAGGCCAACATCCCTTGGAAGGTGCCCGGTATGCCCGCGCCAATTGAAAACATTATCCTCCGATACGTCAAGTCCAAGGCCGATTGGTACTCTAGTGTCTGTCACTACAACAGAGAGCGAATCAGGCGAGGTGCTACTGTCGACAAGGCTGTGGTCAGGAAGAACTTGGGTCGTTTGACGAGGCTGTACCTCAAGGCGGAGCAGGAGAGACAGAACGGTTACCTCAAGGATGGTCCTTACATTACCTCCGAAGAGGGTACCGCTATCCTCATCTCCACCGCGCATTGGTTCGAGTCTCGCAAATTCGCTCCTATTCCCTTCCCTCCTCTTTCGTACAAGCATGACACCAAACTTTTGGTGCTCGCTTTGGAGAAATTGAAGGAGGCGTATAGTGTTCATGGACGATTGAACCAGTCTCAAAGAGAAGAATTGGCGCTTGTCGAGCAGGCTTATGACAATCCACACGAGACTCTGTCTCGTATCAAGAGGTTGTTGTTGACCCAGCGAGCGTTCAAGGAGGCTGGTATCGAGTTCTTTGACACTTACGACAAACTCATTCCTTGCTATGGTGTGTATTCGTTCTCCGTTCTGTGTCACCACTGACTTTTCTTGCTAGATATCTCCCCCATCGAAAAGTTGACCGACGCATACCTTGATCAATTCCTCTGGTACGAGGCCGATAAGCGACACCTCTTCCCCAACTGGATAAAGCCTTCCGACTCTGAACCCCCACCCCTGCTTGTCTACAAGTGGTGTCAGGGTATCAACAATCTGACTGATATCTGGGAGACGAGCGAGGGCGAGTCTGTGGTGATGATGGAGACGGTCTTGTCTAGGGTGTATGAGAAGGTTGACCTGACATTGTTGAGTCGACTCTTGAGGTTGATCATGGACCATAACTTGGCCGACTACATCACGTCAAAGAACAATATGTGAGTCACCCCTTGTCCTTTGTTGCATATGCTGACAATGTCCCGTCAGTGCTCTCACCTTCAAGGACATGACTCATATCAACACTTACGGTATGATTCGAGGTCTTCAGTTCTCCTCGTTCGTGTTCCAATACTATGGTCTTGTTCTTGACCTCCTTATTCTTGGTCTCGAGCGTGCGAGCGCTATTGCTGGTCCCCCCAACGCCCCCAACGGCTTCTTGCAGTTCAAGAGCCAGGAGCAGGAGGGCAAGCATCCCATCCGATTCTACTCTCGATACGTCGACCGCATTCACATTCTGTTCCGCTTTACTGCCGAGGAATCGCGAGATCTCATCCAGAGATACCTCAGTGTGCAGCCCGATCCCAACAACGAGAACGTAATTGGTTACAACAACAAGCGATGCTGGCCGAGAGACTGCCGAATGAGGCTCATCAAACACGATGTCAACCTGGGTCGTGCAGTCTTCTGGAACGTCAAGAACTCCTTGCCTCGATCTATCACCACCATCGAGTGGGAAGACTCATTCGTGTCTGTCTACTCCAAAGACAACCCTCAGCTCTTGTTCTCTATGTGCGGGTTTGAAACCCGAATCCTTCCTCGATGCCGTACCCAGAGTGGCGAGCAGTACTCGTTGAAGGACGGTGTTTGGAACTTGACCCAAGAGGCTACCAAAGAGCGTACCGCTCAGGCTTATTTGCGTGTATCCGACCAGGGCATCCAGGACTTCAACAACCGTATCCGACAGATCCTCATGAGCTCTGGCAGTGCCACCTTTGCCAAGATTATCAACAAGTGGAACACTTGTCTAATCGGTCTTATGACCTACTACCGAGAGGCTGTGGTTCACACGAACGAGTTGCTTGATTCTCTCGTCAAGGCTGAGAACAAAGTGCAGACTCGAGTCAAGATCGGTCTCAACTCCAAGATGCCTTCCCGTTTCCCTCCTTGTGTTTTCTACTCGCCCAAGGAGCTGGGTGGTCTCGGTATGCTGTCCATGGGTTTCGTCCTCATCCCTCAATCCGACTTGAGGTGGTCTAAGCAGACTGACAGCGGCGGTATCACCCACTTCCGATCTGGTATGACGCATGAGGAGGATCAGTTGATTCCCAACTTGTACCGATACTTGCAACCATGGGAGGCCGAGTTCTTGGATTCTGCCCGTGTCTGGTCAGAGTACGCGATGAAGAGGAAGGAAGCTACTGTGAGTCACGGCATGTGCTATTGTCGGTCGAGCTAATACAGTGATGTAGGCTTCAAACCGACGATTGACACTCGAAGATCTGGAGGACAGTTGGGATCGAGGTATTCCCCGAATCAACACCTTGTTCCAGAAAGATCGACACACCCTCGCGTATGACAAGGGATGGCGTGTTCGACAATTCTTCTCTCAGTACTTCCGTCTGTGAGTTTGCATCTCTCTTTCACCCGGGTATACGACTGAACCTTTGTCAGCCGAAACCAGCCGTTCATCTGGACCAACCAGAGGCACGACGGTAAACTCTGGCAGCTCAACAACTACCGAGTCGATGTCATCTCTGCCTTAGGTGGTGTAGAAGGCATCCTCGAGCACTCTTTGTTCAAGGGTACTGCTTTCCCCACTTGGGAGGGTTTGTTCTGGGAGAAAGCCAGTGGATTTGAAGAATCGTGAGCGTTCCTTTGATCATATCTCACAGAGGCTGACATCATTCCAGGATGAAGAACAAGCGATTGACCAACGCCCAGCGATCCGGTCTCTCTCAGATTCCTAATCGACGATTCACCATGTGGTGGTCACCCACAATCAACCGAGCCAACGTGTATGTTGGTTTCCAAGTGCAACTCGATCTTACTGGTGTCTTCATGCACGGTAAGATCCCGACGCTGAAGATTTCCTTGATCCAGATCTTCCGAGCCCATTTGTGGCAGAAGATCCACGAGTCCGTCGTCATGGACTTATGTCAGGTCTTTGATCAAGAGATGGAGGCTCTCCAAATTGAGACGGTCCAAAAGGAGACTATCCACCCCCGAAAGTCCTACAAGATGAACTCTTCGGCTTCGGATATCCTGCTCTTCTCTTCGTACAAGTGGCAAATCTCTCGACCGTCGCTCTTGACCGACAACCGCGATGTAATGGAAGGTACGACCTCCAACAAGTTCTGGCTCGATGTACAGCTCCGATGGGGTGACTTTGACTCTCACGACATTGAGCGTTATTCCCGTGCCAAGTACCTCGATTATTCCTCAGACAGCCAGTCTATCTACCCATCTCCCACTGGTAATCTTATCGCTATCGATCTGGCTTACAACCTGTATTCCGCCTACGGTTGTTACTTCCCTGGTCTCAAGCCTCTTCTCCAGCAGGCTATGGCGAAGGTCATGAAGGCGAACCCTGCTTTGTACGTTCTCCGTGAGCGAATCAGGAAGGGTCTTCAGCTCTACTCTTCCGAGCCTACCGAGCCTTATCTCAACTCCTCCAACTACTCTGAGTTGTTCTCCAACCAGATTATTTGGTTCGTTGACGATACAAACGTCTACCGAGTCACTGTACACAAGACATTTGAGGGTAATTTGACGACCAAGCCTATCAACGGTGCTATCTTCATCTTCAATCCTCGTACGGGTCAACTCTTCTTGAAGATCATTCACACCTCCGTCTGGGCCGGTCAGAAGCGTCTTGGTCAGTTGGCGAAGTGGAAGACTGCAGAAGAAGTTGCCGCATTGGTGCGATCTCTGCCGGTCGAAGAGCAGCCCAAGCAGATCATTGTCACCCGAAAGGGTATGCTGGATCCCTTGGAGGTTCACTTGCTTGATTTCCCCAACATTGTCATCAAGGGCTCCGAGCTCCAATTGCCCTTCCAGGCAACACTCAAGATGGAGAAGTTTGGTGACCTCATCTTGGTATGTCATGCGCCCGTCGCTCTGTGATATTTGCTGACAGGCCATCTAGCGTGCAACTCAACCCCAAATGGTGTTATTTAACCTCTACGATGACTGGCTCAAATCCATCTCCAGTTATACGGCCTTCTCACGTTTGATCCTCATCCTTCGTGCTTTGCACGTCAACAACGAGAAGTCCAAGATCATTTTGAGGCCCGACAAGAACACAATCACCGAGTCATACCGTGAGTGACATTTGTAGACAGCGTGTACTAATAAAGCTCACGTTTTTGTAGACATCTGGCCTACCCTCAGCGATGATGAGTGGATGAAGGTCGAAGTGGCTCTTAAAGACCTCATTTTGGCCGATTTCGGTAAGAGAAACAGCGTTAATGTCGCTTCTCTTACCGCAAGTGAAATCCGTGATGTCATCTTGGGTATGGAGATTGCCGCTCCCTCTGTCCAGCGACAACAGATGGCTGAGATCGAGAAGAACACGGAGGCTCAGGCTCAGGTCACTGCTTTGCAAACCAAGACCACCAATATCCACGGTGACGAAATCGTGGTCTCGACCACTACTCAGTACGAGCAGGCGACATTCGCGAGCAAATCCGACTGGCGTGTGCGAGCTATTAGTGCCACCAACTTGCCTCTTCGTGTCAACCACATTTTCGTTGGTAATGATGATGTCAAGGACGACGCTGGCAGTTTTACATACGTCATCCCGAAGAACGTCCTCAAGACCTTCATTGTCAACGCCGATCTTCGTACTCAGGTCGTCGCCTACCTCTATGGTTCTTCGCCGGCCGATAACAAGCAGGTCAAGGAAATCAAGGCCGTCGCCTGGATCCCTCAAAGAGGTACCAATAACGGCGTTGATCTCCCTGCCACCTTGCCCCATCACGAGTTCCTTCTCAAGGGTCTCGAGCCTCTCGGTTGGATCAAGACTCAGAGCCAAGAACTCAACCACCTCGCGCCTCAAGATATCACGACGCAAGCCAAGATCATGTCTGCACACCCTGAATGGGGACCTCAGTCTATCTGTGTCACCTGTGCTTTCACTCCTGGTTCCGTCTCGCTGAACGCTTGGGAGCTTACTGTCGGCGGTTTCGAGTGGGGAAGAAAGAACGAGGACGTTACGGGCCAAAACCCGGGCTACAATCCGTCTATGGCGAACAGGGTTCAGCTCTTGTTGTCTGACAGAATTCTTGGTATGACCATGGTGCCGGAGGGTGGTATCTGGAACTATGGTGTGGGATTGACCCAGAGTTGGTCGGACAAGCTCCCTTACACTGTGACGTTGGATAAGCCTGAGCCTTTCTGGGCTCCGTGCCACAGACCTGTGAGTTATGCCCGTGATTCTGCTGGCGAGTCAAAGCTGACATATCTTTCTAGAATGCATTCCTCAATTTTGCGGCCATGGAGGGTGATGATGCTGCGGATGTGGAGAATAGTTTGGAGTAGTTTGGGAGTTTGGAAAATTGAGGTGATCTTGGAGTGAGGGTGATGAGGGTAAAGGAAATAAGAGCGTCACGACCCATCGTGGACTGCAAAATAGTCTTGTTTGTATTCTATTATATACCAGGTTTAACTTCGATGTCATGCACTATATAGGACTGCGCCGTAGATGTCGGAACGATCGTTCTCCACATCATACATCCCGATCATACTCCTGCTGGCTCGACCGACCCCCTCCCGACCAGACCAACTCGAGCCAGATACTCCTGCCGTACGAGTACAGTGACCCCTGCCCTGATATGTCAAGCAGTTAAATCAATGCAAAGAAAGGCGCTCTTCCAGCCTCTCTCTTGGTGCTCATTTGGATCTATTGTGACATCGTCGTGCCCTGCCATGCCAGTAACATGAGGCGAGTGAATTCTGCTGACGTGAGATTTTCTCAGCCAACGAGGAGGATGTGGCCGTGATCCTTCCACTCGCGATCGCAATCGACTGACGTTCCTGGGGTTCTTGATTTTCCATCAAAGGGCGCAGGGAATGCAGAGAAGAGGCTCGGGACCGGCTGCTCGGAGTGGCGCTGCCGGCAAAGCATGTTCCGTGACTCAGTGAGGAGAAAGATCAGCGGCCTCCGTGGTCAGCGGGCAGCGGGCAGCAGGCTCTGTTGGGCAGCTGATGATTATCCTCCATGATCCTCAGAAGTCGGATGCCTTTGGATCGCGCTCGCCTCCGGGGTTCCGAGGCGGAGCACATGGCTGAGAACGTTACCTTGTACCAGCAGGGTAAGGCGAGGCATCTTCTCCCGCGCAATACACGATGAGACAATCATTTAGGCTGTGCTGTCGACAAGGGGTGCGGAAACAGGTCCCACACTGGATCCATGTGCTTGCTAACGAACATTGACGAGCATGAGAGAAAGGTCATGCGATATGAATCAGACATGCATGCATATATACTTGACGTATCTCAGCTATGGCACGCGGCTCTCCATGTCTTCTGGCTTCGCTCGTAAGAGACTCGCCTTCCCAATCAGTCCATCTCTCCAGCTCCATTCTTCCCAGAGTCCAGAGCCACCAGTCATCAACATGGAGACCGGGGGCACCGTCGGCTTCCAGTGGCCCTGCCAAAATTCTTCTCTAAACACGCTTGCCCTTTCAACCATCGTCATATCATCTGTGGTATACTGCCTGTACCGATATCAGCGCTACCGATGGTCATCATTCAACAATGTTCCAGGTAAGCGCCAATCTATGTGCGATGGCCGATACGTACTCATGCTTGTTTGTAGGTCCCCCAGACGGACATTGGCTGTGGGGCGTTCTTTCTACCATGCTCAAATCCGAAGCCGAGGTCCCAAACATTACATGGGCACGCACCTACAGCACCACTTTCCGTTATCGATTTGTTCTAGGCGTGCCTCGCCTTGTAACCATCGACCCCAGCACCATCAACTATGTGCTCTCCCATCCCGAGTTATTTCCCAAGCCCGACCATGTCAAGAGCGACCTCATATCCCTTACGGGCGGTGGCCTATTGGCGGCAGACGGCGAGACTCACCATCGACAGAGGAGGCTGCTCAATGCTTGCTTCAACTCTTCAGCGGTCCGAGGGGTGGTGCCCATCTTTTACGACAAGGCTTATGAGCTCCGGCAAAAGCTGCTGGACTTATTGGATGGTGCCTGCGCCGAAACGCCTAGCTTCACGCCTCCACAAGCCATTGACTTGGTTGAGGGTGCCAGGAAGATTGATATGGTCAAGTATCTCAGCAGGACAACTCTCGACATCATCGGCCTTGCAGGCTTTGGGTATGATTTCAAACAGCTCCAAGAGGCAGACACCGAGCTGTCAAGACCCATGAAGTCTCTGTACGCAATCATCCTGCGGCCTTCTATCCTGTCTATCCTCCAAACTCGTTTTCCGCTTCTGAGATCCCTGGTGAGCCTGGTCTTTCAAGGTGGCCGGTTTGACTCTGACAGTCTATACAGCCCACGGCGAGGATGCGAGCTGTGAAGAAAAACTTGAAAGCTTCTAGGAGGGTTGGTGAGGTGCGTTACTTTCCGTTCAAACATGGTTGCCTTGACTGACATTCTTCACCAAGAGGATAGTACGTGAGAAGAAAGCAGAAGCGTTGCTGGCTGGGGGGCTATTTGAAAAGGGAAACACGGGCAAAGATCTAATCTCTTTGCTGAGTAAGTAGCTCCACCTTCAGGGTTGTGCTCGTCCATTCACTGACGACACGGGTTCAGTCCAAGCCAACATGGACGATTCGCTCCCAGCCGAACAGAGACTGAGCGATCGTGAGGTGGTAGACCAGATCACTACCTTTGTTAGCCTCAATCATTCGTGGAATGGGACATAACTCACTTGATTCGCACTCAGATGGCTGCTGGGAATGACACCACGTCTATCGCATTGACTTGGAGTCTCCGCCAGCTCGTCTTGTCTCCTACTATACAGGATCGCTTGAGGGAAGAGTTCTCCACGATCATTGACGATCGCCCGGACTTGTGAGTCAAAAAGTCGAGTGTCACCATCTGACCCGTGATAGAGAGACGTTGAACGCGTTGCCCTACTTAGAAGCATTCATACGCGAGGTTCTCCGGCACAGCCCTCCCGCCCCCAGTGTCTTCAGAAGCGCTAGAGAGGATCATATCATACCCCTCGGTATGCCTATCTTGGGCAGAGATGGCAATATGATACACCATATCAAGGTGCCCAAAGGTACAAGTATACAATTCTGTAAGTCTATCTTGCAGAGTTTTCTGCCAAAGCTGACGCATGTGTAACCTCTAGCCATCGCCACCATCAACACCTCCCCGATATTCTACGGTGCCGACGCTGCCGACTTCAATCCCGACCGTTTCCTTGACTCTCCCAAAAAGAGGAAGAGGAGTGAAGTCCCAGGTGTGTGGGGAGGCAGCATGGTTTTCTTCTCTGGACCCCACCACTGTATCGGCTATCGATTCGCCCTTGCAGAGATCAAGACTATTCTTTTTGTCCTGTTGAAGAACTTCGAGTTTGCAGAGCTACCTAGCAAGCCGGTGATTGAGAGGAAGGCGGCAAGGGTGATGAGGCCGAGAGTGGTAGGTGAGGAAAAGTACGGACCGCAGCTACCTTTGCTGGTCAAGGCGCTGGGGGTCTAGATCTGGTGGATTTCAGTGTTTGCTGCTCGGAGAGAAAGTCTTCTTATGGTCCGTTTCTTAATTATTTGAATTATAGAAGCCTGTGTGCAGACATGGTAGAGCTATGTAGATCAAGATCGTGGCATGAAGAATATACATGGGGTGTTCAAACATACGAGGTACAAATCACTTTCTGGACCTCTTTCTTTTGGCCTTCTGCTGACCCTGGTCCATCTTCCTCTTCACACTCTCGACCAAACTGTCCAGATTCCTCTCCTTGTCCTCGACATTTTTTACGCCAGAGGCAGATTTGCGTCCCTCGGGCTCAGAGTGCTTCTGCGTATTGCGTCGACGTGTGCGCTCGTCCAAGAGGTCCTGCATGGCCTTGGTTTTGACAAAGCTACATGACCATCAGCTTGGGATACACATCAGGGCAGACCCAGGACTTACTGAGGGTTACTAGGGTCGATGGCAAACTCGGGCTCCTCGTGAAGGGCTTTGAAACGGTTGTCTTTGACGTCAATCTTCCAACCCTCTTGCCCCAACTCCTTCTCCCTCTCCTCTCCCTTCTTTGTCCTTCTCCTTTTTCTCTTTGAGCCAGACTCCTTCTCGGATTTGACGATATCCTTCATTGAGAAATTGGTATCGGGCTCATTAGAGCCCACAAGGCCGGACAGGTCGTCCTCCTCATGAACGGTCGGCTCGAGAGCCTTTGATTTGGGTTTGGGCTTGAGCTTGGAGTCGGCTGCGGTACGTGGCCGCTCTTCTTCAGACTCGTCACCCTCTGAATCACTCCCAAAGAACGCGTCCTTGCCACCATCCTTGCCCTCATCGCCGCTGCCATCCCTGGCCGCAGCCTTGAGCTCCATCTTTTCCTTCTTCCTCTGCTTCTTCTCCTTCATCCTCAACTTGTATTTTTCCAACGATGTCAAGTTGTCTTCTTCAACGCCCGGGGCAGTGGAGAGACCGGGACGGAAGGTGATTTCGAGGTCGTCGGATGCCTTGGACTTGGGCTTCTTGGTACCACCGACGGTATCCTTGGAGGAGGAGGTCCTGATATCCTCAAACTCTTTCTCGAGCGCCGTACCGGCCTTGCCCCAGACATCGACCGCCCCATCGTCGTCGTCCCCACCATTCAGCAACAAGTTTCTCAACTTTTCCTTCCTCTCCTTCATCGCCTTCTTCTTGTCCACCCTCTTCTTTCCCGCAGCGTCATTCTCATCCTCGAAATCAGACTCTTCGGCCTCGCTCCCGGAAAAGGCGACGAGGTTTTTAAAATCTTGTTCCTCAATCTCGTCGCGAGTAAGAGTTCGGCGGGTCATTTTGACTCGGTTGGGGTCGTCTTGGTCCCAAGTGAGCTTGACATTGGAATGTCGCAGGGCCTGTGGGGTGGGTCAATTGGGTGTACAGGTGATGGATGGTGTACGCACGTCAGTGACAAAGTCGTTGCCTTTGTATCCCTTGGGCTCCTTGTCGGCCTTGTCACTGCATTTGCCGTTAGCACTGGATTTTCTTTTAGGAATGGTACGTACTTGACAGAGTCCTCGTCAAAGGTCATATCCTCGGGCACATAGCTCAGGTCCAGCAAGTTTGCAGTTTGCTCAAATTCTGTGCCGTTGCACTCGTTCATAATGTATTCAGAGGCAGCGACGGTGCTGAAGGTAGCGATGGCGTAATAATATCTGGGCAAGTATCAGTCCCTGCCCCTGCAACGAACGAAAGAAATACTTACCGTAGTCTCTCCAGCTGATATTGGCGCAGCTGGTCCATGTTGATATCCTCAGAGCCCGCGTCCGAGGCGGCGTCAGACTCGACGTCCGAAATGATTTCTAGCCCATCGATCTCTTCGCGCTTGTGGGCGTTCGAGACGGGGGCTGGGCCATCATAGTCGTCGCCATCGCTTTCGCCTTGCTCGGAATCAAACTCCTCGTCGCTTTCGTCGTCATCACTCCCATATTCACCCTCCCCTTGCTCCTCTTCATCTTCGTCGCCGCTTTCTTCCCTAGTGATCACAGCTCGCGCCTTCTTGACATCCTTCTTTCTCTTGTCGCTCTTGAAAATACCGCCACCTGGGCCTTCGGTCTCTTCCTTTGCCATCCTCTCTTTGCCAAACTCGCTAGGGTAGATCTTGACATTCAAGAGCTTGCCCAACGCAGAAGGAGCCTTGGCTTCACCCTTAATGGCGGGGCGAGATAGAAAAGAGTTGAAGACGGCAAAGAGGTCGGAGGCCTGCATATTGTCCCAGTCGAGGTTGACAGCAGCAATGCGCTTGGAAGGGTCGACTGGCTCGGCCTCAGACTCGTCGTCGGGGATATCGTCCGCCTCGGGAGGGAACGCAGAGGTGGCCTCGTCTTCTGAGAGGTCGATGTGGAGATGGTCATCGTCAGACTCGTCCTCAGAGTCTGACGGGCTATAGCTGGGCAATCTGTTTGGGCGTTTGGCACCAAGCACGAGCTCATCCTCTTCCACCTCGCTGTCTTCTTCGCCCTCGTCTTCAGAGCCGGAAGACTCGAGAGCTCCTCCGCCTCGAGCGTAATCCACAAAGCCCTCCTTCTCTTCGTCGGCTTCTGGCGATTTCATGCGGTAGAAGCGCTTGATCTGGTCGGCATGGTTAGAGGGCGCTACAGCGCGTCCTCGCTTGTCCACTTTGGCTACACGCTAATCAGCTTGGATCTCACGAGCGCGATTGTTGGCATACCCCGTCCAGGCCCCTTGCCTCCAAACTCTTCGCTCTCGAGAACATCTCTGAAGCGCTCGTCGATCTCGACCTTGAGGTTTTTCTGCTTGGACCTCCTGAAGCGGGGGTCTGTCTTGAGGGAGGCGAATCGCAGGTCGGCCATGGCTGCTGCTGCTCACTCGGTATGGATGCTCGATTTGTTGTGAGCTTCAAAAATCACGAGGTGGAGGTGGAGGTGCGGGCGGGGGTCGCCGCGGTGTGCCGAGAGCGGAGGAAGAATTGAATGGTCGATCGCATACTTTATTATTATCGACAAACTGCGAGAGGCGGATTCCCACGGAACGAGGGTGGGCGGCGGTACCGGGATAGGTCAGCAGCACTCCCACCCCCCTCTTCCTCGCACCCCACGGGAGACATGCAGAGACAGTAGAGAACACCTCCTGCTCGGGGACTTTGTTGTCGGATCAGCTTTCGAGATATGATCGATCTCTCCTCGGTGCCACTGGACGAGGGGATGGCACTGGGGTATGCTGCGTCTGGTATGCATTGCATCCCACAGCCACAGCGCCGGATGCATTGTCTCCCATGCATGCACTGAGCGTAGATTTACAGCTGCACCAGCTACAGAGGGGGCATATACTTGATTAGAGCTCTTCGGGCGTGCCTTTTACTGTCCGCATACATACTGTACGTTTTCATCGGTTTTCCTTGTGCTCGCCGAGGTTCCTTCCCGCCGTCCTCTTGCTCTTCCATCTCCATCTCCATCTCCATCCCCTGCTCTCCACCCACCCGCCAGGCCGCACTGCCCCAGCCCTCAATACTCCATCAAACTCGGCGCATCGATCCACCACTATGACGGCAGACTACACATCCTCCGTATCCCAACTCTACCCGCACTCGTCCCTCCCCAACCAATCTCGGAAGCACAATATATCGCTCGATAGGCTCCCGCTGCATATCGTCTCCCAGGTAGCCTTCTACGTCCTGGTGGACGACGCAGGCGACGCAGGTCACCCCGCGGGTCTGCTGCCTCTCCTCTTCTCGTGCAAAAGGGTGTACCAAGCCCTGTATATCAAATATAACGTGTCTCTCTACGGGGAGCTGTACAAGGCGACCTTTGACTATCAGGCCCTGTTAAGAAGGTATGCCTGGCACAGAGGTAACGCCTTGCGCAAAGAGGCTGGTCGAGCCAATGATATATTTCAAGACTCCCGCCTGTGGGCCGCCGATTACAAAGACCGCTGGGAGATGTCTCGACGGCTCCGCATGGCTACCGGGGCCGACACTCTTGAAATCCCTGGTGTATGTGACATCTCTATGCACAACCAAGACGTTTGGAATATCTGGAACCTCTGGAGTGAGAACGGCAAGTCCTATAAATATCCACCTCAGTAAAGGGCGCGCTAATCAGCATTCAGACGGCAAAAATATGCTCTTTCTCGTCCATCATTGTCACCTCAAGGGTGCGCTCGAGCTGATGTATCGCGACATTGTGCTCCCAGAAGCGGCGCGCCCCGGATTCCCCGTCGAGACGGGCGCCAAGGGCATCATGGCCTGGTTACTCGTCTTGTCACATTTTGGTGATTTCCTTCCGATAGGCCAGGTGATCGAAAGCGCTAACATTTCCCGTGTCACACAGACAGCTTCAAGGAAGATGATCAGGAAGAGGTTGATCAAAAAATGTTTATTCTACGACCGTACTCTGTCGCCGCTGGAATCGTGAGTTGACGCAATACCATACTATGATATCTTCTGACGCTTTCCCAGTACTACTCTTCGTATGCTCCATACACCGTCAAGAAGCTGCCACTTCAAGACTATCCATCCGAGGCCCAGGCTTTCGCTGTGGTTCCCCACAAGGACTACACCTCCACTTATCATCGTTTCAACACCACCTGGTCTCGTCAACCCCCCCAGTGCATCCTCGCCTCTGAGATAGGCTTCTTTCGTCTTCTTGAACGCCGTAGCTGGCAGACCAGCACTGGAAAAGGCTTCACCAAAGAGGATTCATACTCGTTTGAAAAGGGATTCCCCGGCATTTTGGCGACGCCCGATGCTTCGACATTGACGTCGGAAGCATACGACAGAGAATGGAAACGTCAAGCGTCCTGTCAAGATCCCATGAACGGCCCCGGGCTTTTGCCTCTCACTTTCAAAGGCTGTATCGAAGGCACATGGCGGGGCAAGTCTCTGTACATGGACTTTGACACCTACCGTCGCATCCTGGGTGGTGATGTACGACTTGCCTTTGCTGGGCCGTACCAATCCCAAGCAGTCGAGTTTGTCTTGAGAGAAGGTCTTATCAAGGTCAGGAAAGGGATGGTGGGTGGGTATGGTCACGTATTCCATGCTGGAATGATCAATGGGGACAGCTTGGAGCGAGAGCTCGAATGGGTGGCGAATGGCTGCGGGCACGAGTTTGTTTCTGAGGATACCATCGACGAAGAGGGGTGGACAAAGGAAATCATCATTACCGGCCATGTAAGTGAAGGAGCGTCTGCTTCAAGTAAGGCCGCTGATAACCATGCCCAGGGAAGGACAGCTTGGGGTGTTGCAAGTATCAGGGGACGCGTCAGATCATGGGACGGATTCGTCCTCCTGTCACTGTCCTATGCTGTGAGTATCTCAACATTACCTGTTTGGCACAGCCTGACCTCGGCTGCAGCAAGATCCTGGAGCGCGCTGGCTGTGGAGCGGATATGTCGTGCCAGGAGGCTATCTTGCTGGTCGATGGCGGGATACGGTCATACCGGCGAATCAAGCAGGCTACGAAGGCGCGTTTGTGTGTATCCGCGAAGATGCGATGCCTCGTGCATGAGGCGACGACTGTGTTCTACCGAACAAGTGGGCAAGGGAAGGGGATCGGGTGACCTATGATTGCATAAAATCACATGTATGTCTTTGACTCTCGCAGAGTCCAAGAATCAAGATGATCTGGGGGCTGATGACATAGCTGGGGGCGCCAACGACAGCTGGAACGTTACACTTATGCACGCTGATGCTCTGTTGATCTTTCCCACTCTGATGATACATCAGAGTGATCGTGCTCACAGTCGCCGTGATTCGCGGGTCTCAAGCAGAAATAGAACGAAGATCCTTGAGCCTGGCACCATCACACCTGGTGAGATTGCAGGCTGATCGCCGGATGATACGGGGACGTTGCTTGTAGGAATCAGCTTCCATCTCGACTTCCATGCGGCCTATGCAGCGCGCTCCGGCTCCGCGCTGTACGAACGCTACGCGCTAGGTATACTTTGCCTGCTGTCATTAGGCTTATTTGTCCTGCCCTGCACTATGACAAGAAGGTTGAACACTCCGTTCTCGACCGCGTCCTTCTCGGTGGCTTTGTTGATGTCTCATCATTCCGAGAAACAGAGCGACAGTCTGTCCGTGCTGTCCATTCGTACATACGCACGGCGCGCCGTGCCATTCTGTCCCGTGGTATCGCACCAGGTATAATGCCAGGTACGCGTGGTTCCAGCCTTTACCGTAACTCTAATCGCTTATCGTAATCTGGGTTCACGTAGCGTCAGGGGGAAGGTCACTCACCCCTGCGGGATAGCACAACTCTTTAACATTGCGCATTGCCCGGCAGCGCCCCATTACGGACATCACTGTGAATTCAGATTGTTGTTACCTCAGGCTTCAGGCCTTCCCTCAGATCGAGACGTGTGGACTCGCCAATCGCATGGCATAGTTCACGCCACATTGATTTAATCATTGCGCTTATTGCCATACGCCGGCATTGCACACAGTCACGATGACTTGTGTATGCGAATCGCATCCGAACGTGTTCAGCTTGCGACACATAAAGACATCGACTCTCCCCTCGTAACTCGGAACCTGCAACACCCTCTATCATCAAGACCATGGCCTTCTCTGCGGGCCCCTCTATCCAATGGCTTCAACCTAGCACGTCGGGGATGTCCTATACCCAGTCGTTCGCTATCGTGCTCACGAGCATCTTCTTTGTCCTCCTCGGGACCTACCTTCTTTTGTGGCCGATCGCAGAATGGAGGCTACCGGCCAGCTTTCGAAATCTACCAGGTGAGTATGGCTTCGGCATGTACACACAATGCTGACCCTGTTTCGACTATAGGACCGCGTGACGATTCATGGATTGCTGGCGTCCTCCCCTCTCTTCTTACCGAGCCTGTGAACGCTCCTCATACTCGCTGGACCAACACCTACGGGCTCACCCTCCGCTATCGTATCTTCTTTGGCATCCCGCGCCTCCTCACAATCGATCCCACCGTCCTCTCCTACGTCCTCTATCACCCTGATCTGTTTCCCAAGTGTAACGCCACCAAGCGCATGCTGGTCGATATGGTTGGGAAAGGTCTGTTGGTGGTAGAGGGAGAAGAGCACAGGAAACAGAGGAGGGCGTTGAGTGCGTGTTTTACGCCAAACGCGCTCAAGGGAATGACATCTATATTCTACGACAAGGCGTACGAGCTCAAGGACAAACTGGCCAACATGATCGAAGGAGATGATCCAGAGATCTGCTCTCCGACCCCTACCAAAGCAGGGGACGAGGTCGAGGGCGGCAAACAGATTGATGTGATGAGGTATTTGGCGAAGACAACGCTGGATGTTATTGGGCTAGCAGGCTTCAGCTACGACTTCAACTCGCTCTCCGAATCTCATAACGAGCTTGCGGACGCTTTCGGCAGTATGTTTGCTGCTGGCGCCGATATCGGATTTGTGGCGTTTTTGCAAGTCGTGTTTCCGTTTCCAATTGTCAAGTGGATCGTGAGTTGATCATGATCGAAGGTGTAATCATCTGATGTCGCGCAGCCAACTGCAAGATCGAAGGCGATCGCCAAAGCCAAAGAAGTGACCCAGCGTATCGGCCTGGTAAGTCTGCCGCATGATGCGAACGAGTACCTGCTGACGTCAGATCCGTTGCTCAGCGCATTATCCAAGACAAAAAGGGCGAGATAATGGCTACTCACGAAAAGGACCTGGAGAAGAATGTCGATTTGGGCAAGGATTTGCTTTCGATTCTGAGTGAGTCGATCAAGGGTACACTCGTCGTAGAGGAGCGCTGACGCGTTCCCAGTCAAAGCCAACATGGCCACCGATCTCAAGCCCGAAGATCATTTGAACGACCAAGAAGTGCTTGACCAAATAACGACTTTTGTTAGTACACTTCCCAGGCTGTGATGTGTGTACTGATCGAGATGGCGTAGATGTTTGCTGGCAACGAGACTACTTCAACAGCGGTCACCTGGTGCCTGTATCAATTCGCGAAGAAGCCTGAAGTGCAGGAGCGGCTCAGAGAGGAGGTCTTGGCCGTTGCCGATGAGCGTCCATCCCTGTAAGCATTTGTTCGATACGGTCGTTCAGTACACTGACTCAACCTGCAGCGATACTCTTCACTCACTGAAATATATGGATATTGTCGTTCGCGAGGTCCTCCGTCTCTATGCGCCCGTGCCCACCGGCATCCGCAAAGCTGGACAAGACATCGTGATTCCCCTCGGAACGCCGGTAATCGGTCGAGACCAGCAGATCATCACAAGTGTAGAGGTCAGCAAGGGCACGGCTATCTTCATCCGTAAGTGTTTCATATTGCCAGTCGAGTCTTATTGCTCATGTGCTCCGACAGCTACGGGAAGCATCAACACTTCGCCACTGCTCTGGGGTCCCGACGCTACAGAGTTTCGACCGGAGCGCTTCTCCCAAGATCTAAGCACTGGGGGATGGGACCAAATCCCAGGGGTCTGGGGAAACGTCATGACCTTTTTGGGCGGGCCACACAATTGTATCGGCTATCGCTTCTCGCTGGCCGAGATAAAAGTGATGCTGTTTGTCCTTTTGAGAAACTTTGAATTTCAGGAGCTGCACAGTAAGCCGGAGATTGAGAAGAAGGCAAGGTGAGTCGTCTGTATTGGTGAATGGGAACGAGGCTGATGAGGCGAAAGTGTTGTGATGAGGCCAAAGGTCGTTGGAGAAGAGGAGGCAGGCCCTCAGCTGCCCTTGATGGTGAGACCGGTGTAAGGTGTGATGGGTGCATGCAGTTACGTAAGACGACTATGTAGATATTGTATGCAGATGTCTGTCTGTCCGTGCACTTTGCATGATCGCGGCAGGCTCAGAGATGCGCTCCCCGCCGCTGCTGGCGCTGCCCCCGGAGGTCCTCGAGCAGGTCTTCCTGGCGCTGGCCCTCCCCGACAGCCTCCGTTTCATGCGCACCTGCTCTCTTCTCAGAGACATCTACAACGCCTCCGCCCACCTTCACTATCTCGCCCTCCTCCAGACCTCCGCCTATGTCGACTGCCTCGCCCAGAGCAGCACACCCCTCGACCGTCATGACGAACAGCCGCTGTCCCCCACATCATCAGCTCCCGGGACGCCCATTGCCAGACGGTCAAATAAACCACTGGCATGGCGTTCCCCCCACACCGGCAAGCTTCGCTCCACCGTCTCTTCCGTCACCCTTCCTCCCTGGCCCAATGAGCCTCCTCAATCACAGCCATTCTCGTATCCCACCAGTGCTGCTGAAAAGGCCTCAAAGCTGAGAGATCGGGAGAAAAGGTGGGAGACGGTCGACTTCAGGGAACAGAGGCTGTTGAAGGTGCGAGGACGGGAAGGCGTTTATGAGCTACAAGAGGGTATATTTTTGTTGTGCAACGATGTCAGTGATGAGGAAGAAGACAAGGTCGGTCATATTCTGGCGCATGACTGGATACAGCTTGACACTCTCGCAGCCCTCGTCCATCCGTTTGATCCCTCTACCGTCGACAGACGACCCCAACCTGGAAGATCCTCCAATCCAGACAAAGGCAAACGAGCTCCAGATGTCTATATCTGATCTGACTATGGACCCTTCTCAAGATCTTATCGTGATCAGCGAATACAAGTGAGCCACTCCGCCGCTCCGTGGACTTGTCTGATATCTCTGCCCAGCCCTGCATCTCAAGATGCCATGCACCCAACCCCAACTCACCGCTACCATCTCCTATCCATGTCTACTTTCAAGCCCCATCCCCTAGCCACCTTTCCCACTCTCGATTTCCCCCCTCGAACAGATACTTTACCGCGCACCAGACAGCTCCTTCAAGTCATGGGTGACACGCTCGCCGTCCTGGTGGCCAAATATATCCCATTCTGGATCCTCAATGCTTTCAACATTGGAAACATCTGGCAGAGAACGCACGAGGAGGAGCTAGTGTTCTGGAACTGGAAGACGGGAAGGGTGCTGTCTCGTTTTCCTTTCACTGAAAAGATATGGTTCTCCTCTTTTGCGCTGTTATCTCCGACCACGTTCATGGTGACCAACACGTCCCTCACGATCCCCTATGCTGGCCCTCCGACACCAGGCATCTCGGCGCGAGACCGAAGACCTACTGTCCAAGTCTACTCCATCGCCACCGATCCTCTGCACATGGTTATCCCTTCTCAGCCTTTGCAGAATGAAGTCATGGACGACACGACCCCTCGACCAGTCCTGTTGGCTGTTTTGGAAATGCCAAAGCTGGATTCAGATGTCCAGGTAGCTGGCTTTGACGTTCGGCCTGATCCTCCTTTCCCTGCCCGGCCCAAAGATAAAGCTGGACAAGAGCCTGCCCCGACCCTCACAAGACACAAGCCATTCACACAGGATCCTTCAAAGGGCATCATGGTGCTAGACTTTGTGTTGACTGAAAGGGTCGTCTTGGGTGAAAATGCGGTCGACCGCATCGAGACGTGGCCCTTCGAACTCTTCTTGCCTCGAGAGACTCTGGTCAAGCTGGGCGAAGAAGGGGAGGAGAGGCTGCGAGATGCTTGGTCGGCCGGCGGGTGGGACGGACTTGGTGTCAGGGGTGCTCAACGGGATCTGGAATGGGAAGAATGGGGAGAGAAGGGTGCAAGGCTGGTGGATAAGATCATGCCAAAACGGAGCTGGGTACGTTGTATTCTTTCTGACGAGAAGTGGACTCACCGAGTACACAGGTGTGTTCATGTTCTGGCTACCGATACATCTCGATACTCCCGCAAGATAAATCACCGTTCTTTGAATATGATCTCGACGACCAAGCTCCAGACGACGATCCTCCCCAGCGTGACCCTAATATCCCCTACGATCCTCAACCCTCACATATCATGCTACTCGACTTTTCTCCCTACAACGTTCAGAAGGAACTGTCTCAGACAGTGCCCTATCCGGACTCGGACGATGTCGAGCCGCCGAGGAGAAGGCAATGGGCTGGGGAGACGTTCGTGCCCCCATTCACACAGGGGGAAGGGTGGAAGTCAAGGGTGGTGACCGAGCCTACGGTTTTGAGGAAGAAGAATGTGTGGGAAGGGGATGTTGTGAGTGGGTTGCCTTATAGAGAAGTCTGGAGAGAGTACGGGGGGCTGGCGAATGGGGTCATGATCGATGATCAGAGGGTCATTGTGATAAAGGTGAGCATACTGCGTTGGTGCGCTGAAAAGGGCTGACTTGGTCGTAGACCAAAGCGCAGAGAAATGGTGACTGGTCTTCAATAAGCCAGGAGATGACTATTCTGTGTCTATGAGCCGGGGAGCTTTGTTGAAGTGTTGAGTGTAAGCTCTGTCAATCTGGTGTCCTATCTTCTGTCATCCATGTCCTCTTGTTTTTGTTGGAACTCTGGAGTTGTATGCAATATTTCCGTTGGGCTGTGACAGGAATACGGATAACATTTATATGAATCTATCTTTCCCCAACGGTATATATACGACTTCCGCTTACACCGGTTAGCCTACAGCAAAGTTAGTCATCAGCCTTCAAGCACGGGAAATGACTCACGGCCCATCCATCCTCCATCGACTACGATGCATTCCCCAGAGACGTAATCACTAGCCTTACTGGCAAGGAAGACGATAGCACCCTCAAAGTCTTGAGGTGTACCCCATCGTCCAGCGGGTATGCGTTCGAGGATCTGCCGGGATCGAACCGGGTCGGCGATAAGAGCTTCGTTCATCTATGATAAAACAGTTTAAAAGATGCTCATCCGTGTCATGGAAAATGTGACGTACGTCCGTGGAGATGTATCCCGGGGCAATGGCATTCACAGAGATACCCTTGGACGCCCAGCCGTTGGAGAAGGACTTGACCTGTGAAACATCGTCAGCGAGGTTCACTGAACATGAAGTAGATGGTGCGACGTACCATACCAGCGACACCGTGCTTGGCCGCAGAGTAGGCAACAACATTCAGTCCTCCTTGATATGCTACCAGACTGGAGATGTTGATGATCTTGCCCATCCCTCTTGGGTTTGCAGCGACGCCTCCTTCAGGGACTGGTTCTCCAGCCACTCCCCCCCTAGACTCGAGCATGTGTCTTCCGGCATCTCGGGTGATGGTGAACACGGTGTTCATGTTCACCTGCAACACCTCGTTGAACTCATCATCAGGGAAGTTTTCCACAGGATGTCTTCTTTGAATACCACCGCAGTTGACGACGATGTCGAGCGTACGACCAAGCTCTTTGGTAACGTGAGGAATAAGCTTCGAGACGGCAGCAGAGTCGGCGAGGTCGCAGACGACAATGTCGGCCTTGACACCTGTGGCTCGGATAGCGTCTCGGGTGGTGGTATTAGATGTATCCCGCTGAATGAGGATAACGTCTGCGCCTGCCTGGGCGAGTGCGAGAGCCATGCGGGCACCGATGCCCCTGGTAGCACCAGTGATCCTGAGAGGCGTTAGGGTGGTTCAGAGGCAGTCGTGACTACTCACAAGGCAGTCTTTCCTTGGAGGCCAAAGAGGGACTGCAAGTAGGACATCGGGAGAAAGCTGGTGAAGAAAGCGAGACGGAAAGTGTTGATTCGAGATATATATGGACGGAATCCGGGCTGCCGAGCGCGTCCGGACCGTTGCTCCGATGCGGCGGCACAAGCCGCCGGGAGTAGGGGTGACGTGGACTTGCTAGCCCCCTTATCACTCCTCTGGCATCTCCAAAAAATCTCAACTCGTTCTGCTTTCCTTCTTCATTCTTCACATCACAACATCTTTTCAACGCGATCGACCTCGGCACGGCTATTGGACACGCCAGATTGCACAGCTCCTCGACACTGGTGTTCGGTCTGCAGTGTCTTGTATCCGTACTGGGGTTGTTCCAACCAGCAAGATGACGCCCTATGATGAGAGTTGCCAACACATAGAGTCAAGCTCGGAGACCCTAGTCGCTTTCTTCGGATCGTGCTGGTCATTGTCGAGTGTCGGCCTGTTTGACAGTAAAACTGAGGGCTCATCCTGTTATTCGTTTCTCATGTATATCATTTATAGACCATCATCCCGCTCATGTCTAGCCACGCTGGTATGTCAACACGAGTGTACCAGATAGCAGAGGCTAGCATCTTCCACCGATCATTGCTCAAAGTACCAACGCAATATTCATCCAGGCTACAACGTGTATGGCTCGGGTCCTTGATAACGCTACAATATTCGCTCGTCCTTCACCCCACGACCTATAATTTGGCTTTCAACGCCCCATCTTCTTCACGTATCACGACAACTCCCTTTCCCCAGATCTTCCTATTCTCAATATCCTTCAACCCCTTCAAGACCTCGCCAGGCCCGCGGTAAATGGTAGAATGCACGACGGGGCGAATCTCGTTGGTGGAGAGGAGTTTGAGGACGCCTTTGGTGACTTGAGTGGCAGTCCCTGGGTCATTCTCTGCGCGCCATAGAGTCAATCAAAGTTCTGCAAGGTCATTGCTGTAGTAATCACCTGTAGTTGCGCCCCAGTATACACCTACTGCACTGGCCTGCTTCAACAAGAGGAGATTCGCGGGTATCTACATCATCGTCAGAGGATGGGTATACAAAGCACAGCTGCAGTGAGACGCACCTTTTCGATTGTGCCTCCAGCAAAGCCGATGACCAATATCCTCGCGTTGGCAGCTACACATTTCAAGCTCGGGATGACAAGTCCCACAGGGTCGTACACAATGTCCACACCTCTACCGCCGGTGATCCTCTTCACTTCGTTCTAGTCCAAATTATCAGCATAGTAGCACCTCAGAGATGAAGGGAGAGTACTCACCTGCCATCCGTCTTTGGTATAGTCGACGACTTCATCAACACCACCCTTGTCCACGCAGAACTGCCTTTTGGCATCCGTCGAAGCAGCTGCTATGACCTTGCATCCCACAGCTGAACCGAGCATGAGCGTTCAGCTCTTCAGGCTGCTCAGTGTACAGTCAAAGCTCACCCTTTGCAATTTGGCAAGCAGCCAAACCCACGCCGCCGGCAGCCCCATGTACCAGCACCCACTCTCCCGGCTTGGCCTGTCCCTTGATCACGATACCTAGATAGCTGGTCGTAGCGGTGAGAGGCACTGTCGAAGCTTGCGCCATGGACAGGTTCGAAGGGATGGGCATGAGGCGTTTCCATTCGGCCATGGCGTGTTCTGCGTAGGCCCCTTGGGTGATACCAAAGACTCTGTCTACTCGGCCCTCAGCATAGACAAGATATCATCATTGCGGAGTCGTGCTTACCACCAGGTTTGAACGGACACCCTTCGGGAATGGGCGAAGTCTTGGAGATGGTTCCAGCCACTTCGGCTCCGAGCACGAATGGCAACGGTGGCTTTGCTGTACCCCTCCTATCAGCCTCTTCGCATAGCGATCCGATGCAGACTTACTCTGGTAAAGGCCTTGAGACTGAAGGATACTGACCACGTAATCAGCTCATCCACTAGCCGCACAGATCCAGGGCTGGACTTACTCGAAGAAATTCAGCGCAGCAGCATTCACGTCAAGCAGGACCTGGCCCTTGCTTCCATCAGCTTTGGGGATGGGGATGTCGGACCTGATGGCCATCAGCGTAAGCCCATTGCCCACGGCGGAGACTCGGGTGGGAGAATCGTACGCTGATATGTCGTTGGGATGGGCGAGCTTGGAGACTTGAAATGCTTTCATAGTGGTGAGCGCTCTTGCAAGATGGCAGAGAGAGACAGAAATGACATAAGGTGCGTGGACAGCGCGGCTCGGCGTAGCCGGTGGACACCGCTGGCAGCTGAGGATGCAATCTCGTATTCATCAACCAAATAGAGACCATGCTGTGTCGAATCAAAAGATAAAGAAGAGCGATATGAAAGACTAATAATTCTAAGGGCGGACGATAGTCAAATACACGGCGAGAAAAGAAAGAACAAACACATAAGACTCAAGTACAAGGTTCACATCATGACACCATCTGTCCCCCTGGTGCTCTTCTTCCATTTTCGATTGCCATTATTGGTTCATTTGCGCCAGAGGACTGGGTGCAACTTTCTTGCCCCTTCTACCGAGTAGCGTCGCGTTCCCGAGATCAAGCTCGAACCCGCCGCCACCCTGCGACTTGCCCTCAGCCCTATCTCTCTGCCCCGCTCGGCCATCGTAGAGCGCAGCCTCAGCCTCTCGCCTGTTGGCCCCACCTCGGCCGACGTACTGCTGAGCAGGAGCAGGCTGCTCCTTGACGCCGCTAGCGGCATTGGCAGCAGCCCGACCTCGATGTTCTTGGATCTGTCGCGCAACGACCTCACCATGCTTTCTACGTGCCTCCTCAACCTGCACAGCTTCATCACCTTCCTCCTCTTCCTCATTGAGCCCATGTAAGAACCCACGCGTACCAGCGCCGCCAGGGCCATTGTACGCACGGCGTCGGGCACCTTCTTCCTCCATACGATGGACAGCGTAGGTGATATCGAAGGCTTCTTTGAGAGCGCCAACTCCTGGAGATCGGCCCTCGCGGTTGCCAGCACGCATAGAAGCGAGAAGGGGAGAGTCCATGGGCGCATTGGACGGTACGTTGAGACGGGTAGAGGGGGGAGGGGGAGGTTGAGCCTCCTTGATCCAGGGATGGGCAAGGAACTCGTCGATGGTGTATCGCTGAGCAGGGTCGACGCAAAGCAGGTGGCTGATGAGATCCTTGGCAGAATGTGAAATGTCATCCCACCAAGGACTCAGGAAGGTGTAGTAGCCTCGGGCGACCTTTTCGGTAAGGACATTGATGCTCTCATCGTAGAACGCTAGCAGGACAGGTCAGCAGCTATCTAGACGAGTGCGCTGACACAACTCACGAGGGAAACCACATAACAGCGTATAGAGGACACATCCCAAAGCCCACATATCGACACTCTTGCTGTATCTCTCGTCCTTGACGATCTCTGGAGCAGTGTATCCCACGGTACCGCACGGCGTCATTGTCTGCTCATCCCACACAATCTTGGACAGTCCAAAGTCGGCAATCTTGACGCGGCCGATTTCACCACCGCCAATGCCGAGTTGGAACTCGCCCTCGTCCTCCTTCTCCTCATCATAGGGGCGATGTATCGGGTTCTTGGAGGGAATAATTGGGATACGTTCAAACAGGAGATTTTCGGGCTTGATATCACTAGGCAGTGTCAGTAGGAGAAACAGTGTTGAACGATCGACTCACCGGTGTACAACACCGCGTTCCTCATGCAGGTAACGGATAGCCTCGGCGACCTGCACAATGACGTGTCGCGACAGAGCTTCGGAAAAGTATGTGAGCTTGACAATTTGGTGGAACAGTTCACCGCCCTCCATGACTGAAGATTTCGTCAGCGAGAAACCGAAGATCGTTTGCAGACACTAACGCTCGAGAACCAAAAAGTAGTGTTCATCGCTCTCGAAAAACTTGAGCAGCCTGACGACGCCAGGGTGGTCGATTCCGCGCATGATCTGTACTTCTTTCAAGATGTTGGCACGCTGAAGATCTTGTCAGCCTTGGTCCCTTTGGTAGACTCTGTCAATACACCCCGCGCAGTGCTGCTAACGGGAATGCTTGTGCTATGTACAAAGGTACTCTCGACGCTCAAGGGCCAGCGATCGCAAGTCCAAGTATGGTAAATGTGGGAAGAGGTCCGTGCGCTCTGTCAAAGCGCGTGGGAGCGTATAGCACGACGACAGAAACGCAACAGTTGTTTGGAAATATTCTACAAGTGTTTTAGAGAAAAAGACCAACCTCGGTGACTCTTGGTCGTTTCTGAAATTTGGCGTTCAAATGCTTGTTGCCGTGCTAAATGGGCGCACCACGCGAGTCAGTGGACCTGTGCTTTCAATTCTGTCGGAGTGGTCGTTTGGGGGTATGTAGAGCGGACCCATCAATCGGGGGGCGGTGCCGAGGTGTTTACTAATACCGTTGGAAGTGCCGCATCCGATCGAGGGGTCAGAGGATTAGGGTTGAAAGTATAGACAAAATGAAGGTTTGAAAAGCTCTTGCTGCCTTGTTCCCGACCTGGCCAGGGCCGGGAGGCAGCTCGAGCAAGTAGAATAGCTATGGACAATGTACATGAAGATGATGAGAGACAATCCTCACCTGAGATTGATTTAGTTCGTACTTGCGAACGACCTTGACAGCGACCTTGATACCAGACTTGCGGTCGACGGCCTTGTAGACGTTGGAAAAGGCGCCGTCGCCCATCTTTTCTACCAGACGATACTCTTCGAGTCCCTACGGCCAACGTCAGCCGCGCTCTCTGAGAACATGGATAAACGCACTGGGTACTGGGGCATTTTGTCATTCTGAGCACGCTCATCGGCAACAATCCTTTCAGCTTCTTCTCGATAGTTAGGAGAGGCGGCGGGAACCCTGGACTGCTGCTGCTGCTGCTGCTGTTGTTGTTGTTGTGCTGTTTGCGCTACGACAATCTTTCAGCGTGCTGCTCCATGGCCGGACTGGTAAACCTACCGTGATGAGCCGCTAATCGCTGTGCGTCATCATTGTGGCGGGATTTTTGCTGTGAAATGGGTTGTTGCGTGGGAACCTGGGAAGACTTGGCTGACCGGCTAGATTTACCCTCGGTGGGCTGGGCACCAGGAGACGCCGTTTGGGCGTGCTTGCCGTGGCGGAGGATTTCTGATGATTGGCGATGGCGGGTGAGAGGAAAGCGGGCGAGAAGATCGATTGTGGTGGACAACGAGGGGCGACGAAAGATGGAGGGTATGCGAGTTGGGCGAGAGCGGACGGGGGAGGTATCGTTCGAGCCGGGGATGGGGATGGGTTTGGGTGGCGATGGGTGGAGAGGGTGGCGGAAGGAGATGGGGAGAGGAGGGGATGTCAGCGCTCTGTCTGTGGAGGAGAGGGGCGGGATGAGAACAGGGGAGAGTGCGCGGGAGGGGGAGGGGAGGAAGGGGGAGGAGGAGGAGGGCTGAGTGGGGGGAGCAGAGAAAGACATGGCGGGGCATGGCAAGACATGAGGGACAAGAAAACACAAATAGTACTTGTCTAGAGTGGAGAGTGGAGCGGGTCCTTTCGCGCACAGACCCCTCATGACGATTGCTCAACATCGATCAACCCAGTTGGTCCCGCATTTGGTCCCGCCGCGCAAACGCAGTCAACGCAGTCAAACGCAGAGGACATGGCGCGGGCGAAACGACGGCGCAGGCACTCGCAAACAGGGGACAGCCACTCGGAGAGCACTCACGTTTGAAGCTAGACAACATGTCGCCTTGTATATCGGCCTTTTCCAGTTTGTGCAGCGCCGTCTCGTAGTCGTCTTCGAGGGTGGCGCCAGATATGCTTTTGACGTTTGCCACTACCTTTCGCTGCCGAGAAAGGGGCAGATACGGATTACTGGATGACGGCTGGGACCCTGTGTGAGAGCCTGAAGTGTCTGTCGACTGGCGCGACGAGGCAGAAGAGTGGTTGGAGGGCGATTGCTTGGGGAAAAGGGTAGAGGCGATGCTGGGAGCAAGCTGCAGTCGCTCAAGTGTCGGGAGTGCGGTGTCTGAAAGGGGCACCAGAACAGACGGCGAGGCGGGTGACGGGGGGCTCGTCGGAGAGGAGTCGCTGTCTGATAAAGATTTGCGTGCCAGTCGAGAAGTTACGGGTGTGGCTGTCTTGACAGACAGTGTGAAAGTAGATGCGCGGGGTGGGCTGTCGGACTGTGGACGTCGCAGCGGGGTGTGTTGGCGAGCTGTGGGGTCGAGTAGCGGCGAGACGGATAGAAGAGGTGGGAAGCAAGAGAGAGTCATGGGGAATGGAGCGTCAGCACAAAAACATCGTATTGACGTCACCATGACAGGCGGGCTACTCACCTGAAGCGTGCCGGTCGGTGTTTGGAGAACGACAAAAGTAACAGGACCTTCCGTTGAGGGCACTGGGGGTGTGGCGGGGAGAGATGCGGAAGGAGGAGGGAGATGGAAATGGATGGTGGTATTTGTAAGGCGCGGCCTGCTGGGGATGACGAAGAAGGACTGCTGCTGTGGATCTCACGCCTGAGATCGACCGACAGTTTGATCCCGGCCCAGCCCGCCCAGGACCTGGCAGAATGGGCCAGTGGAGCCGTAGATTGCGCTGCAAAAGGCACATCCCCTTGCACTGGCCAGCGCAAATCGGCAAATCCAATCTCAGCTGGGTATTCTGGCCCTTTTGGCAGGGCAAATCTCCGACCTGACGTCACGCCCAAAAGGGCAAGGAGTTTTGCTCTCCGATCCCTTTTCCTTTCTGGCTTGTTTTTATGGGCACGTCACCTCATATGACGAGAACTCGCTCAGCTCTGGAAAGCGTAAACAATCCTTGGAGCGATAACAATCTACATCTGGATAATGTTGCTAATATATGTACACGAGACAACCATGAGACCAAGTCCTAAATCGTCCTTCCTATTCTTCTCCGCACGTCCAGCCTCTCCCACCGCATGGCGCCCGCCTTCCGCCACAGGCCCCTGCCCCTCGTCACCTGCCCGCCCATGACTTCCTCCTCTTCCCCTTCCTCTACCCCTTCGTCCACACCCGTACCGCTCCCCGCCCCGTCCTCCTTGCCTGCTGCGCGCCAGCGGGCTTCCTCGTCCGGTTCTTGGAACTTGCGGGCCATGCGGGTAAAGGACGTGGCAATGTGCCCAATGGTGGACGGGTCGAGTCTTGATAGGTAAGGCCGGGCTTTGGACTCCCATGCGTGATAGCTGGCCCACATGTCAGTCGAGGCATGTGTGGAGGGAGAGTGTACACGTACGCGAGCTGGCCGGAGGCTTCAAAGTCGTATTGCGTAGTCGCATAGACTGCATGGATGTGGTCGTCCGTCCATAGTGGCCAAAAGAATGCCCGCTCGGACAGCACGGTCACGGACGTCGGATAGACTTGCGCCAATGTCCATGGCATTTCCTGGGCAAGTCAGCGATGCCCCTCGACTATGTTTGAATGCAGACGTACCACCGAATGCTCCGTCCACTTGTCCTCCCTGAACCCTTCATAGCTCTCCAGCCATCGCGTCAAGAACGACGCGCCTTTCCGGCTTACGATGATGGCATTACACAGCCCCTTTGGCCGCATCTCGTCGTCCGACCCCGGGCCGCCGAGAAAGGTGAGCCCGTGAGCTTCGAGCCCCAGGACAGTGTCGTACTGGAGTAGAGAAGCAGCCGCAAATGATTTCAGGATGAACGTGTCAATGTCGATATAAATACCGCCATATTCTAGCAGGCTTCGGGACGCGTTGGCACAGATTGAATAGTCGCGTCAGAGACTTACACTTCTAAACGAATGATGTCTGCTTTATGGGCAAACTATCGTGTTGTCAGCAAGCTTTCCTGAGACAGCGCTTGTCACGTACATGAACGACAGGCCGCCGACTCTTGCCTATCCATTGCACATCTCTCGCCATCTTGACCTCCACCAAGCCTCTCGTGACCCCTTCCTCGTCCTCCCACCCCTCCCAGTCCTTTACCCTCTCCCACCAGTACCCACTCGGCTCATGTATGCAGTGAAAGTAGACCCTGTCCGGCTTCAGACTGACCAGCGCGCTCCTCATCGCTAGATACGCGAAATAAGGAAAGTCTGGTTGGTCGTCCGCCAGGCCATAGACGTAGTGGACGATGTTGGGTATGGGCTCCTCGGGCGGGGGCAGGCCGAGAGACAGAAGCTGGTCCGTGGTGGAAGAAGAAGTGAGGGGGGGCAGGGCGCGGGGAAGGAGGGAAGAGGCTGTAGACGACCGCCGGTTATACACCGACAAGTAAAAAGGGAAATTGGAGCCTATCAGGACGCCGATGGCTAGTATGATTGCTGGTGGAAGCAGGCGTATTAGAAGAATCCTCAAGCTGGTCTACAGCATAGTGTTAGCAGGATGTACTTTCGTGATCGATGGTGGTAGCCTACAGATGACCTTTTGGTGTCGCGCGTAGTCATGGGCACATACTCCCTCTCATTGCCTCCCCAGGAGGAAGAGCCGAAGACGGACATGGGCAGATACGACGGGCCTGTGTGGTCGCTTGCGTTGACAGTGGGCAGCCTGCTCTTTACCCAGTCGAGGACCGAGGGGGGGTGGTGTGGATGGGAAGACAGCTTGAGGGCGGCTTTTGCAGTGCTTTTGGGTGCCCAGACGGGTTCAGAAACCGAGATGCTTGCGCGCGCAACGGCGCAACACTTCTTGGCTGCGGATCCCCGGAGGCGGCATACCCTTACGTAAATGCCACCACGCGTTTATCTTTCGAGGCACCTCTCTGTATACAGCCCTGGGTCGCCTCTTACAGCTCATTCTGGCTCCTTGGTAGCAGTATATGTGATGCTGGCATTTGCCTTTGCCCGCAGCCGGTCCAATGCTCATCACTCGGGAGCCGGCAAGAATGCTGCTGCCGGTACGGCCGCAGGGGCGGCTGGAGTACGTCCTTCTTTCTCATACCCTTTTCCGTGATCCTGACGTTTCGTTTAGGGCGCTGCTATTCGTCATCATGCGTCGAACACCCACTCGAACTCGGCAGGCGACCGATCGACTACCTCTTCTGACCCTACCTCCACCCAGGCTCCCGAGCAGTCTCACGAAGGTGGTGGTTCTAACGGCTTGGGTACGCACGCTGCCGACTGCTCTGGCGGCCCTCATGACTCGACGCACCACAAAGTTTTGCCCGGAAATCAACCCGGATCGGGGTACACGGGACAAGGTGTATCTGGAGGTACGCGTACTGCAGGCGAAGGAGTTTCCACCGACAAGGTCGGCAAACAAGGTCAGAACGCGGCCGCCTACGAGAGGTCGACTACCGAGGGCCCCGACACTGGTGGCGCTGCAAATGCCGACCGCTTCGACACTGACTAAGTCGTCCTCTTCTCATGGTGGGGTGAAGGGAGCTGCCACAAGAGCAGCTCTACTTGACAAACGTGATCGCATACTGACCACTTTTCACGCATACTGGCCGAATCACATTTGCAGAGATGATGATACAGTATGCAATTTGATATCCATGCTGGGAGATGTTATGAAGAAATAAGCGCCCCAAAACCCGTAATCTATATAGAAACGAAACTTCAAGCTATGTAAATAGAAACAAGAAAGACGCACACAATCCTGAGGTATGATATATATAGAGTAAGCAGAACTAGGTTATATTGAAACACGGGGGCAGATACGGTGAGAAGACTAGTGAGAAACAGGGTTGAGAAAGATTATTGTTAAGAGTCCAGAGTCCAATCGCGAGAGTCAGCCAAAGCTACAAGAGGACACGACTAGGGCATATGTCGCATCTAGCCCATCGGCCCCTCATCCGGCCCAATGTCCATATCCCTCGGCGACGTCTCGCCGGCCACCCTCTTCCTGGCGTCCCTGATCATCTCGACAAGGTTCTTTTGATGGATAGGTTTGGTGAGAATGGTGTCTGCACCGGCAGTAATGTACTCGTCTTGGTCTTCACGGAGAGCATTACCGGTACAGCCGACGATGTAGATGGGGCAGCCCATCTCGCGGACCGCTGTGGCGACTTCGACACCAGACATGAGTGGCATTTGACTGTCACAGTATCAGCCAAGTCCGATCATGTGTCTCGGTATCACCTACTTGTCCAAGAAGACCACGTCGAATGTCGGAGCGCCTGATTTGCCTTCAAGCATATCTGTGATGATTTCCAATGCCATTTTACCGTTCTCCGCTGTTGTAACTTGATGCCCCAGACGGGTAAGCATGCGCGACATGAGCATACGTGTGAGCCTACACAGACATCAGTGATTGACACCCATTAGTACTAAAGCCACTCACTTGTCGTCGTCTACGACCAATGTTGATAAGGGAGCACTTCCATCGCCTTTTCTTGCCACCTCATCCTTGATCGACTGTGCATTTTCTGTGTCGTTGGTCTCCCTGCCCTCCGCGCTCAGCCTTGCCTCCGCTGACTGGCCGACGCCCATGCCCAAACCCCTGCCTTCCTCGGCACGCTCACTATCCAACCTCTGCACAGCCGCCGCAGCACGACCCATCTCTTCGCTCCATTCCGAAGAACGCCGCTCGGTCAATGTGTTGTAAGTCATGGGTACAGCAAAGGGATCAAGCCATGTAGAACTCCAGGTGCTAGGGGTTGAGGAGGTGGCTGAAGGTGATGTCGGTGGATAGGTATCAATCACAGCTTCTTCCGCGGAAACTGCTCATTCATAAGTAAGCACACCTCAATATTCGTAGAATTGCACTGACCAGGTAATGTTTCGGAGGGCAGGAGCGGCATGGTACTATCGGTTGTCCCCATGGCCGGCCGTTCAGACCCATCGTGGCTGGTAGAATTGATCACCTCTGCCGTCGACTGGATCCTCACCATTGCCCCTGGTCTTTGTGGCCCTCCGCCGCCTCCGCCTCCGCTACGCTCGACACCCGGTACCTGGTCTCCAGAGCCCCCTTGAGAGGTTTTATCGTTTGACCCACCCCTTTCGAGGGCGACGTCTCCCGATGACTTTGGGCCCGGTGTATTGAGGCCCGAGGTCTCGCGCGCCCGGGGAGCTTTGGGTGGGGGCGGTAGAGAATACGGAAGTTCAAACCAGAACATACTACCCCTGCCCAGCTCGCTTTCGACGCCGAGGCGGCCGTTGGATAGCTTGACGATCTGCCTGACGAGGGCGAGGCCTAGACCGCTTCCTTTACCACCTTGTCTTCGCCCGATCTCGGTTTGTACATAAGGAGAGAAGAGATCGCCACTACACTCGAGTCAGCTTGCCATCTAGCAGGATGAGGCAGACTTACTCCAGAAGATCAGTCTTCTTCAGGCCCACGCCTGTATCATGCACTTCGACCCTGACAACGACCTTTTGCACCCTTTTCCGTTCCTCCTCCCTCTCCTTTTCCCTGGCAAGCATGGAATCTCGATCCCTCCGCACCTCCATACTGATCGACCCCTTTTCAAGATCCATGGCGACAGGGCTTGAGCCTTTTGTGGAGTGAGGGCGGGACTGAGAGTTGGTTTGGGAGAGAGAGTGGGAGCGATGTAGGAAGCCGTGGAGGGTACTGTGTGTTGCTTGGACAGGAGCAGGCTGGACCGAAGTAGATATACGTCCCTGCACTTGCTTGTCCGTCTCTTCCAACTGCTGTTGTCTTTGCAGATTGATAGCCGCCTGCCTCAGAGGATCATCCTCCTCCATAGCCGGCGTCTCTTCAAGCCTCGGGTAGAGCAACTTGGTCACGATCCTAACGCTTCCCTGATCTGTGAATTTGATACTGTTTGATACCAAGTTGCTCGCCACCTGCCGCAAGCGCATCTCGTCCCCGACAAAGATGCCGCCGATCTTGTCAATGTCCTTGTCCAGCTCGACGTCGAGGTCGATACCTGCCATCTGGGCTTGGGTACGATGAGAGAGGGCGACGAGCTGGATAGATTTGTGGAAATCAAATGGTTTACGCGCTTGGGCAAACTGTTTATCGTCAGACCACCCCTCGAAAAGACTGGGGGGCTTACCTTGCCACTCTCCATTCTGTTGAAACTCAAAACATCGTTCAAGACCTTTTCCATCATTGTCAGACTGCTGATCAATCCATCGACCATCTCTCCTTGCTCATGCTGCACATGCTCAAACACTTTCTCGCCTTGCAAATTTTGGACCGCAAGGAGAGCCGTGTTGAGTGGTACACGAACTTCGTGAAAGACTGTGAACCGATAAGCATCAAGTCCCGCAAAGATAGAAGAACGCACTGTAAGAGACGAATCGTTTCTTGGAATCGGCAGCTCGACGCTCCATGACCTGGGCAGACTGAGTGGCGCGGTATTGGATTTTGAGTTGTTGACGAAGGGCGAACATTTGACGGTCGCTGCGTTCCTTGAGAAAGCTCGCGCCGATGAGAAACGCGTGGAACAGGGCGACTAGACCAAGAGTTAGCTCGGCCATGTAACGCAACAGAATACTACTCACAAAAGACCATGTTTCGGAAAAACAGTCTTGGCGAATTCTGCTCCGACATGATCAAGACGCCAGTCAATACCAGCCACGACGCTGCTCCAAAGACCGCAAACCCTCGACCTTCCCTTAAAGTCAACAACCCGAGCGTGGGCTGCCCAAAGGCAAATCCCAAGAGGTTCATGAAATTCCTATTCCCACACGTATTGACGTCGTTAAAGTATCCACATATACGGATCTCAACGAGCAGGATAAAGGCGAACACCCAGCAGGCGGAGAAGATTATGGGCTGGCATATCTTGGGGTGTCGGCGTGGATAGTCGAGAGCCACGAGGGGGAGAATGGGGACAGTGACGACGCCGGCGATGGCAACGTAGGCTATCCAATTAAAGGTTGTCAATGGTGTGGGGAGGAGGCCGACAGTGAGGACCCAGTTGATGAGCAAAAAGACGCTAGAGGCGAGGGCGCCTTGTTTCTGTGTAAACCAAAGCTAGACAAATGTCAGCTCGTTACGCGCATAGCTAATGGCACATACCTCTTTCTGGAAAGAGCGTTCTTTGCTGGGCTCGGGATAGCTTGAATCCAAGAAATGTTTAAAGTTGGGCCATACTCTATCGACCATCATCTCTACCACACTGTTCCTCCGTATCCAGCGCACCCTGCTATTCCTCCTCTGCGTGCTCGCAGCATCGCTCCGGTCCAAGGGCGACCCGTCCTCCTCCTCCTCGAGATCCATACCTGGTGTGGCATTCGTCCCCGGCGTCCTGCCTGACCCATACCCAGAGTCGCTCTTGGGCACCATCGGTGTAAAGTGCTCAAAGTTGTTGTCTACGACGATCCTAGAGACGGGTTCGGCGGGCTTGGCCGACATGTCATCGTCGTCGCCATAACGGGACGTGCTGGTCGCCCCCTGGCTCCCTCGCGCCCGGTTTCGAAGACCATTCCTAGAGCCACTGTTCTTGGACTTGCGCTTGTGACGACCGTCTGTCCCTGCTTTGGGATTCAAGAGCTCGAGGGGAAGATGCCGGACCGCCGAGCCATCCTCATAGTACATGTTGTCGGTGTTGTTCAACCCGGACCCCAGAGCTGATTCCGAGGTCGTCGACGGGTGGGAAGGAGGTGTGAGACGGGTCTTGATAGACCGCCAGACATGGGAGAGGTTTGAGGGGGCGAATCGCGCTTTGCCGCGCTTTTGCTCATGGGGAATATTTGGATCTTGACCGCCGTTGTTGTGCATGGCCGATACAAGGGGCATAGGAGGCGAGCGGTAGGTGTGGTCGGTGGAATCATCTGCACGCAGGGCAGCAGAGGAGGAGCCGGCCATCGCGGATGAGTGGGTGGCGAGCTGCGAGCAACAGCAACAGCAACGGCGATATAGACGTCGAAAATAAAAGATTATCGCGGCTACGTTCAGCAGAAGGTACGACGGTCACCTCTCGTACAATGCCGTGAAGGACGGCAGCACCCGAGGCGCGGTTTGGCGTTTCTGAGTGTTTCTGGTAAGCACAGGGGACGGGATGGGCGGGCCCAGGTGTGCGCACGGAGAGGGGGAAGCCGAGAAAGATTGGCCGGATTCCGGAAAAAGGGAGTTTACTGTCTGCGAAGGGCTGCGCTGTGGGCGGAAGATGGCTCGGTGGGGGGCTGGGGATGGGGGATCACGGGCGCCGGGGCATGGCGCGGGGGGCAGAGAGAGGAGAGCAGATCTGCACCACCCTGCAGCGGTTGGCTCAAAACAATGGAAGCGTAAATAAGCTAAATATTCCACGGAAAATAACAGGCACGTCTAGGCCTTCTCAGGTCCTGATTCCAGCGCAGCGCACGGTAAGTGGCTGACTGCGGCGACCGCCGCCCTGCGCCGGGGAATCCTCGCATAGGGACAGGGGACCCAGAGACTCGAGATCCCAGGTCCCAGGATATCCAACGCTTCCAAAGATAGAGGAGATGGGCGCATCAGCTGTGCCTCGATCACATACACGCCCGACGTCATTTGCCGCGCGTCACCAGGCACCCCCCTTATCCTCTCGTGCATCTATGGTTTCTCTTCCTGTCAGCTATACATCCGCCATGCGCCTCCCTCTCCTCGCCCGCGCCCCTCGCGCATTCCCCCGCCCTCTCCACACCACCTCCCGCGCCCCTAACAAGGGCCCCCTCCCCGTCTCCAACGCCACAGACCTCTCCCACGCCCACTTCATCTCAAACGCCTCCTCTGCCTCAGACTTCAACCCCGCCCAGACACCCCACGCAGGCCAGGACCTCGCAGAGTCCCTCACCCACGAGTGGAAGGGCCATGTCTCGCCCACCACCAGCCACCTCTTCAAGCTCATCATTCCCCTGCCCGAGTTCAAGCGCGGCGTCAGGGAGGGCGAGCCTGATGTGAGGCCAACAGCATTCTTGCTTCACCCGTCGCAGCCTCTGTCTCACCTGAGCAGGCTCATATCTGGGTCCCTCGCCCCACCTTACTCGCACGCGGACATTGCCTATCTCGCGCTGACCGGCGAAAAGGACGATGTCGACTCGCACCTCCGCAAAGCAGAAGAGTCGGATGCCGAGCCCCCGACGTCAAACGACCAGGCCGTCTACGACTCGTCCTCACCCCAGGCGCACGATGACGGCGGGCCATTCTTGCGTGAGCGCAAGAGCGATGCCGGGCGGTGGCAGGAAGTCTCGTGGTCCCAGTCTACAGACTTGTCCGACTTTATCAAGCAGGCGTGTCTGAATGAGAATTTCAAGATTGTCATTACTCCCACCAGGTACTGGGACGGGTCAGAGCTGGAAGAAGGGCAAAAGGTGCTACCAGATGTCGTGCTGCAGGTCACGATACCGAGCTTTGCCAGTCGTACAATCTACATTCGCAAGAGACTTCTGAGTCTGACCAAGGAGCTGGATCAGTTGACAAAGCAAAAGAAAGAGTGCGTCCCGTCATCTTGTTGAGGATCGAGCTGATTCATCTCAGGATTGATCTCAAGGCTCACAAAGGTGCGCAAAAGCTCGCTGTAGCTGCGCTCTCGGGTGGCGTCTTTTACTGGGGCACCGTGATTCATTTCAGTATGCACCTCGCTCTTACTTGTGAGGACCCCCGCTGACACTTCTGTAGCCTTCTTTACCGAAGCGGGATGGGACCAGATGGAGCCCGTCACATGGGCCACCGGATTCGCCGGTACGTTCTCCATACCCAACCTGATCCAAGCTCATCCATCCCCAGCACTCCTCGGTTCTGCCGCCTTTCTCATCTACCACAACCGCGAAGTGTCCTACTCTTCCCTCCTCGATCTCTCCATCACTGCGCGTCAACGCAGGCTCTATGGCGAAGCAGGCCTCGACCTCGACCGCTGGACCGAGATGGTCTCGGAAGCCAAAACGCTCAGACGCGAAATTGAGCGGATCGCGGCAGACTATGATATGGAGTGGCGGGGCGAGCTTCAAGGTTTGGAGAGGGAGGAGAATGGCAAGAAGCAGGCAGAGGGCGGGGTGGAGGTGGGGGTGGGTAAGCGAAAGAAGGATGTGCAAGAGCATGTCGACCCGTCGTCTTCTACCCAGCCCGAGCCCGAGACAGTCGTTAAAGATACGGAGGGTGAAGGGGACAAGACGGAAAAGATTGATATCGACAAGACGATCGACGAAGCGGATGAGCTTGCGTCACAGACCGAAAACCAAAAGAGCAGGTCGAGCGCGGCACAGAGAAAGAGCGATCCGGGGGAGAGCGACAAGGGGTCCAGGACGCGGAAGGGGGAAGGGAATGAGAGCGAGGGCGAAATGAGGGGGAGGCAAGCGGCGCAAAAGGTCATTGATGAAAAGTGAGGATATGGGTGCATTAGACTTTTGTGATTGTATCGATACCAAGCATGATGTGTATAATACCCCTTTTTGTATACAGAACATGAAACACGATTAGAGTGTGGTGCAGCAATTATTTGACCACAAGTGACCGGCTGCTATTACTCTAAGGACGATTCCGCACGATCAATAAAGGCTGATGGGAAATGCATACCGGAAAGTTGCTATGGATACAGTACGTCATATGTCAGAATCTCTACATGGGCTCGTCGCCCCTGCTGATTACTCGGCAATGGGGTCTATTGCAAGGTCAGCGATCATGTGATCGACAAACTAGATCACACTCACCAATCTTCTCGACAGCCTGGGTCAGCAGAGTGCTATTCCTGATAGCCTCCTTGACGTCAATCTCCTCGGGAACCTGGACGCGCACAAGACCGAGGGTAGAGGTGTTCTTCTCTTGCACGATCTGGATGCCTATATGGAGAGTCAGCACGGATGACAGCAGACATCAAGATGACATACCGTTGTTGAGGAGCTCATCAAGCGCTTTGAGAAGGGTAGGTTCGTCCGCCTTGGTAGCGTCGTTAAGCTTGACGATGTCTGAGAGCCGGGTTTGTCAGCACTACATCCCCAGCGACATCAAGCACCACACACATTTGTTGAAGGCCATGGTGTTTCTCAGATACTCTGGTGGATATGCTCCTAGAACTGATATGACATGCCATTATATATACCCGCCGATGGGGAAGAGCTTGACGTCAGACGGCGAAGCGAAGTTGAATGATTCCCGCAATCGAGTGTGACCTGAGTCATTTCTGATTCTCCAGTGACGTCTACGGGGGCCTCGAGCCCTCGACGTGTCCTCAGTACTCTGGCATGTCTGATATTCCTCTTCGCTGCCGCGTCATACAACAACTACCCTGGCTGGCTACGTAGAGGACGGCCCGATCCTTCCATGTCACCACTTTTACCCGTGCGAGCCGTGGGTCTGGTCATGCGCCCGGGAAAGCTCGCCGAGCGGGCAACGAGCGGGCCGAACAGAATTATGCACTCTTTTCCATCCACCGCCACAACTCTCAGTCTTATCCCACTGCAACACAAGCAATGAGCGGACAACTCGAGACCGACAACCCCAGCTTCGTCCTGCACGGCGTCGAAGATGTCACGTACGAGAACGTATGTCCTCTCGCACCTCGTGCCAACGCCCGCTCACACCCCTCGTAGCGCCCCGTCCCAGACATCTCTGGTGACCAGGTCCTTATTCAGATCAAAAAGACCGGTATCTGCGGCTCGGACGTGCACTATCTCCAGCACGGCGGTATTGGCCCCTTTGTCGTCGAATGCCCCATGTGTCTTGGCCACGAGTCTTCTGGTGTTGTCGTCAAGCTCGGACCCGATGTCAAACCTATCCATGGACTCAAGGAAGGAAGTAGGGTGGCGCTCGAGCCCGGAGCATGCTGCAGGTCTTGTGCCGACTGCAAAGCTGGACAGTACGAGGTGCGCTTATTATCACCTCATTCTGCCAGTCACTGACGACTCGCATAGCTATGCCAATACATGAAGTTTGCTGCCACCCCGCCTTCCATCTACGGTACTCTCTGTCGCTACTACGCCCTGCCAGCCGATCTCGCCCACCCTATCCCCGAGTCCGTCTCCTTTGAAGAGGGCGCCATGATCGAACCTCTCGCCGTCGGTGTCCACTCGGTTGCCAACCTTGGCGGATTCAAGTCTGACCAGACCATCATCGTCTTTGGATGCGGCCCCGTTGGTTTGCTTTGTATGGCTGTCGCCAAGGCCCTCGGTGCGAGGAGGGTGGTGGCGGTAGACATCAACCAGGAGAGGTTGGAGTTTGCCAAGAGCTATGCTGCTACCGACATTTTCATCCCCGGCCCAAAGAATGAGGGCGAGGATGGGGATGCGTACACTGCCAGGGTAGCTGCCGAGCTCCAGCAGACGCTCAACATTCCCGAGCGAGGCAAGGGTGCTATTGATCTCGCTATCGAAGCCTCTGGTGCTCCTCCTTGCGTTCAGCTCGGGCTCGCCGTCCTGAAACCTGCGTGAGTCTCTTCTTACGCTCTATGTTCCCCACTAACCTAGTATACAGCGGAACATACGTGCAAGTCGGTATGGGCGCCAAGATGACAGTCCCGGTCCCTCTCTTCTACATCATCTCGAAACAGATCCGCGTCATCGGCTCTTTCCGCTACGGCTCTGGCGACTATCCCCTCGCCGTCTCGCTCGTCGAGAGGGGGTTGGTCAAGTTGCAACCGCTTGTGACACAGAGGTTTGCATTTGGAGAGGCCAAGGAGGCGTTTGAAATAACAAAGTTGGGCAAGGCCAGGGATGGGAAGGGAGTTATCAAGTGTATCATTGATGGGCCGGAGTAGAGTGTAGCGTCTTTTGGGTGTGCTTTTGGGTAGGCTTTTGGGTTGAAGATTGTGAATATACGGGACTGTATGTAGCTGTAGACCGAGTACCAGTTGAAGAAGAAGAATCGAAAGTCGGGGCTTGTCTCATACAATGCATCCGTCTACGCATCCTCTTTTCCCTTACGGTATATCAGCGGGAAATGGCGACGCCCCGGGGGGATGCATTCACTCACATAGAGGATCAAGGATACAAGCACGAGGTCCGACCTGCAGGACACTGATCTGTGTGCATGGAGGAATGCTCTTTTATTCTTTTAGTTCTTTTTCGACGACCTGTCAATGTACGCCCGAAGTCACCATCCATATACAAAGGCACCTCAAAGACACCATAAGCCATAAAGACTACAGCCCTACGGACGCTACAACCACCAGAGACATCACAGCCCTCTGCGCCTTAAGCCCCATCCCTAGCCCGCCCTACACCTCTCTTCCTCTGGCCTTATCGGAAAGCCCGTCTCAGGGAGAATATCGAGCTCGTGTACGCCAAGTCGAGGACGGTCTTCCGCCGAAAATCTCGAGCAAGTCACAAACGGCAACAGTAAACGTCACGAGACGCATTTGGCAGCTGATACATTCTTCTTCTTTCAATACTAGCTACATGTTTTGGCCAATTGTTTGCGATTTGACAAGGACGAGTCCACTACAAGAGAGTCATAGAATTACAAGATGATCATACTTAGAGAATGGCTCCCTTGACCTTCTCGAGCAGCCCCTTCTTCTGGGTGCTGTCTTCCGCAGCAGTCTCGACGTTCTGAGCAGTGGTGGAGTGGCCTGAAGTGCTGGTCGCCCCGGTAGAGGGGGCAGTCGAGCCTGTAGACTGAGTCCCAGTGTACTGGCCGGTCTGCGCACCCTGTCCGTACCCAGACGAGGCGTTCGTGGCGGTTGTGCCATCTCCGCCAACCACACCGGCTCGGTGACCAGCAGAGTCATGAGCGCCACCAGCGGACGAAGCTGTGGTAGAGGAGGGGTGTTGTCCGGGGACAGAAGAACCTGTGGAAGATTGCTGACCGGGAACAGACGAAGAACCGTGGGCGGAGGAAGATTTATTGAAGCTTTGCTGCTCAGGGAGATTGGAAGAATCCGTGGAAGAACCATGGTTTCCGAGGTGCTTGTTGGCTTCGTAGGCCGTACCTCCAGCAGCTCCTCCGGCCCCCGCTCCAGTAGCCTTACCATGGTGGCCAGAAGTGTGGGAAGAAGACGTGTTGGAAAGGCCTGTCTCGCCAGAGACGGGGTTGGTTCGCGAATTGCCCTCACGTCCAGTCAAAGCAGGATTGCCACCGGGCCCAGATGTGTTGTTCTGCACGGCAGCGTTGCTGTCTTCGTAGGCGCCCTTGCCGAGACGTTCGTTGTTGGTAAAGTCCTTGTCACTCGTGGTGAACTGATAGAGTATGAGCAAAAAGTCGACTTCAGAAACAGTTCAACTTACAACACCCTTTGCGCCGCCAGATTGCTGCTTGTTGGGGTCCTCGGAACCGCTCAAACCCGAGTGCGACCCGGTAGTCCCATCGTAGTTGTGGGTCTTGCCTGCACCCGATCCGGTCAAGCCAGATTGGTTGTGCGATCCAGAGTGGTGGCTGACAAAACGGTCAATATGCAGTCGCGTTTGATGTGAAGAGTACTTACCCAGTGGCCGCCCCTCCCGCTGCGCCTGCTGCCGCTCCGACAGCAGCTCCCTTCACCCCACCATGAGAAGAGGACGACTTATCAGTGTCGAAGCGGTCGGCATTCGCAGCGCCACCAGTGACGGGGCCCTCGGTAGTCGACCTCTCGTAGGCGGCCGCGTTCTGACCTTGCTTGCCGACCTTGTCGGTGGAAACTCCTTCGCCTGCAGTACGCGTGCCTCCAGATACACCTTGTCCCGTGTGCCCCGATCCGGGTTGATTTCCGGGCAAAACTTTGTGGTGCGTCGAGTCATGAGGGCCGCCAGAGCAGTCGGCAGCGTGCGTACCCAAGCCGTTAGAACCACCACCTTCGTGAGACTGCTCGGGAGCCTGGGTGGAGGTAGGGTCAGAAGAGGTAGTCGATCGGTCGCCTGCCGAGTTCGAGTGGGTGTTCGACGCATGATGACCGATAGCAGCGCCCTAAACGAAATGTCAGGATGGAACAGAAAAGGGTATGAGAAAGAAGGACGTACTCCTGCCGCCCCTGCGGCCGTACCGACAGCAGCATTCTTGCCGGCTCCCGAGTGATGAGCATTGGAGCCCTCTCGCTCAGCTTCTCGGGCAACATTGCCTGCAGAGCTTTGGTTGCCAGACCCGTGAGTGTTTGACCCATGGGTAGAGGAGTGAGTCTTGTCGCCAGTCAAGCCATGGCCAGAGACGTTGGAAGACTGAGCGTTGTATCCGTGAGCCCCAGACGAACCAGAGACATCGCGAGTGCCAGCGGCAGTGTCGGACGTGTTGTGCTTGCCGAGCTTCTGGGCCTCGTAGGCAGCGCCGCTAGCAGCAGCGCCCGCTCCGAGGCCTGTTCCGGTCCCGTGATGAGAACCAGAAGTGGTTGAGTCTGTCTGACCTGTAGACGAGGTGTGGCCGAGGCCCGAACCGCTAGTAGTGTTGGGGCCGACGCCTGATCCAGAGTGAAGGCCGGTTGGCTAAGGGATAGTCAGCAGGAATGGTCGAGATGAATGCAAGATGAACTTACGCCTGTAGATCGGTCGCCGGTTACGCCGCTCGTAGAGTGACCAAGGCCTGCCCCAGTAGAAGAGTGCTGACCCGTTCCAGTTCTAGAGTGAAGACCAGTGGACTAGATGATGGTCAGCGCGAGACAACAGAAGGAGGACAGAGACTCACTCCAGCGCCGACTCCTTGGTTGTGTTGAGAGTCGATACCGGTCACTTTGTCACCTCCATAGCCTGAAGAGGTAGTCTGACCGAGACCTGACTGGCCTGATGATCCGTAGGCTCCACCAGTCTGACCCTGGCCAAGGCTTGAGGTGTTGCCCAAACCGTGGGTACTTGTCCCAGAGCCGTACTGCTGCCCGGTGCCGGTGGTGGAAGAAGTGTTGTTGCCGCCGATAGAAGTAGAAGAGTCCTCGAAGGGTTCCCTACCGGTGGTGCCAGGCTGGCCACTAGAAAGGGTCAGCAGATGTGGGACGTGGAGATGGATGTGCTGACCTGGACAAGGTGTTTTCGATCTTGCGTTCGACGTTCTTGATGGTGCTGGACATTATGGTGGTTGTTGTTCGTTCGAGTAGAGATGCAGTATAAGAGGGGAAGAGGAGAGACGGAATAGGGAGGGGTATTTATACGTAGAGCAGGCCTCGCACATGACGTCTTGCCGGTGACGTACAGGTGCGATGCCACGAGATGAGGTGCTGAGATGGGCTGACGTCAAGTGGCCGACCTCCACCACGACCAGTTACTCACCAGGCACCGGCACACCACTTGCCGAGGCCATCTTCGTGCATCTATTGAAGATGTATGTATGTAGGCGAGCTGGGATGGGGAGGTTGTATGGAGGAGTCAGGCTGGTGGAGCTGCAAAGTAACCTTCCCAGGAGAACGAGGAAGTCGAATGAAATCATCTCGGACAGGACCTAGAAAATCTCGAGGTTGTACCCGGGCCAAGGAAGACGGGTACGTTCTTGATTCGATGCGGTCAATTCCCTGGCAAAGTGGAGTGTGTAAAACAAAGGAGCCACAAGAAGTTAGTCAAAATAATCCTGCTACATATAGCCGCTTTCCATCAGGTCAGGTTTCTACCCAGACTTCATTGCCATTCTCGTCCCTCTCCACTCTCCAGATCCCTTCATCCTTCTGGTCATCTGTCTCTCCTGTCGCCTTTCTTTCTTCACCCGCCCCCAGCTCTTCTTCGACTATACCCTCCTTTCTCCCAACGCCTTCTTTTTCTATCCGCTCCCCAATCTCTTTCACTACCGCCAGCCCGAGGTCATAGAACCCATCATTCGTCTTGGGATTAAACATGCCCATGTGCGCCGAGACTTCATCTTTTGCGAGTGTGTTTGAGGCTGGGCGAAAGTAAGGGTAAAGAGGGTGGTTTGTTGGGGGAAGTATTGAAAAAGTGCGGGCGACGAGATGGTCGGGAGGATTTGGCGGCAGATGCGAGTAGTAACTGCTCCGTATCGGTTTCCATTAAGTTAATACACAGGGACAACTCACTTGCTAAACAACAGCCCTCTCTCCTTGATCAATCCATCAACTGCTTCCAGCCTGGTCGTCATCCCCTCGGAATCCCAAAGGTTTTTGACAAAAGTCATATGCTCGTACCCCCATTTCCACCCCGTCACAAAATCTTCACGGCGATAGTACGCTGCTCCCATTGCCGCCGCACCCAGAGCAGCTGCTCCAAGACCGTACATTGATTTGCCAGAAGACACTTGAGATAGACCGGACCAAAACGTGTTGGAGGCGGCAGACTTTTCAGCAGACTGCTCGGAGGTTTCAGTGACTGTTGTAGATCGACTTTTGCCCTTGCTGGAAGAAGCTTGCGCATTCGAAGAGTCGGCTGAGGCATCAGACTTTTTGCCAAACATGTTCCAGCCGAGGCTAGAAGCCACGGGAGATAGCATGGTCGCGGCCGAAGCTATGCTTCGGGCGTGGTCAAAGTATGTGGCTGCCTGGGAAATATGATGTTTCTGTGTCGCCGGTTAGAAGAGTGCTGTTGCTGTATACGCAGATACTCACAAATGTGTGCTGTTATAGGGGACATTTGTCAGCGTTTATGTGATTTTTCTGGCTGTCAAAACTCACAGGGTGCAACCCTAGATACTGGGAAATGATTAGCACGCACTCCTCCAGTAATATCAATTTCGCTCACTGGCGTGTCGAATGCTAAACGGGGTTTGTCAGTTTGGGTCACATGTTATCAGGTTGCAAGATACTCACCCAGAATGCCGACCACTTTCGGCCACATAGGATCGTCCTCTCTGGTATTCCGCGCAATATCCCGTACCGTGTCGGCACATAACAGACCTCCCATGCTTGGCGTAAATCAGCGAATGTACCAGAAGTAGCAAGACACATACGAATGACCCATGAGTACTATCTTGGCCTTCCCGGCCCCTCCACCTTGGCCATGGTCGTTCTCTAAATGGACTACTAGCTCCGTCAACCAGTCAACAAAAGCCAATGTAGCTGCGTGCTTTCAAATATGTCAGTGATAGAGAGTCAATATAATCGCTAAAGCATCTCACCAGCTCTCCCCGCGTCTGATACATGGGAAACACTCGAGATTCCACCCTCAATGACTCGTGGGTAGTCCGCAAGAGGTGGCATATCCCTAAACGTTTATGAGCTTCCCTTGCGCGCGTCTGAGGTGATGTGGCTCACTGTCTGGAAAAGATTCAAAGGTCACGTCATTACCCTTGAATCTATAAGAAAGGTGTAAGATTCCTGCTCGACTTGTTATCGCAGACCATTCACATACCCGTGGACCCAGACAAGAAGGAGCAGGTCTTTGGGCTCTGTTGTCATGATTTTGCGTTCTTGTCGGGTATAGTCGCTTCTATGTCTATGTCCACAATGGTACGAAATCCCAAAGGTGAATCGACTTGCAACCAGGTCAACAGGTAAACAAACAACAACCCGTTTGCCACCACGCAGAATGGAAGGGAAGAGTGGAGGTCGGTCATCGCCGCTTCCACATCAACTCTTTCTTCATCCCGTCACAATTTCACGACCACCTTACGTTCTCGACTCTCAAATCGATCCCCACCATGTTCAGCGTATCAACAGTGACCGCCACAGACTCCCACACCTACGCCGATGATGTCCCTGCCGTACATCGCAAGCATCAAGCGGAACTCGACGCCATGGACCTCGATGGAGACGAGTTTGGAGGAGCTGGACCGAGCTCGAGGAATATCGTCACGCCTGGGACTGTTATCACCAGCTCCAAAGAGTATATGAGGTGAGCTCTGACCGTGTCTGAGTGTAGTGGCGGTGTGCTGATAAAGTGCCAAGGGGCCATGGAACGTATGTTGAAGATACAAATGTTGTATCGTCCGTAGCTGGTACCATCGATCGGGTCAACAAACTCATATCTGTGCGACCACTGCGTTCAAGGTGATTCCCCTTTCCCTCAAGCGAGCGACCACATAGCTGACATGTATTGCAGGTATACACCAGAAGTTGGTGATCTGGTGATCGGTCGTATCGTTGAAGTTGGCGCTCAAAGATGGCGAGTGGACGCCAACGGACGGCAAGACGCGGTCCTCATGTTGTCGAGTGTCAATCTTCCCGGGGGCGTACAGCGCAGAAAGATTGAGTCGGATGCTTTGAGGATGAGAGAGTTCTTGGCGGAAGGTGATGTAAGTTTTCCTCCTACTTGTGGGTCTGACAAATCGCTAACAGCTTACAGCTTTTGGTTGCTGAAGTACAAGCTTTCTTTGGAGACGGTGCCATGTCATTACATACGAGATCTCTGAGATACGGCAAGGTATGCCTCGGTCTGCTCTCTCTTTGCATCTACTGACTCTCTCCAGCTGCGAAACGGCTTCCTCCTCACCGTCCCTCCCCAACTCATCCGCCGTCTCAAATCCCACTTCTACCATATCCCTCCTCCTTGCGGTCCTTCCGGTGTGGATGTCATCCTCGGCTTGAACGGTTTCGTCTGGGTTAGCAACGGAACGTCTGTGGAGAAGAGAGAGGGTGGTGAAGGGTTTGACCTGAATGCTGTCTACAGTGACGAGAACGACGTGAGTGTGCATTATTGATCTTTCGATATCTAGCTGAGCGTACTACAGGTGATCGCCCCGGAGGCAAGACAAGCCATCACACTCGTCGCCAACATCATTAAGATCTTTGGCGATGAAGGGATCCCTCTGACCGAAACGCTTATCGGTGAAGCGTACGCTTGGGTGGAGAAGAACGTGCCGGCTGGGACACTCTTGGATCAAGAGACTATCAACCAGATGCTGGGAGAAGTGACGGGGGTGGAGGTCGGTGCTTAGTTGAGTGATGTATGAGTATGTTAAGATGCAACTTTACTCACAGCACTTGTTACCGCGGATCTTCAGGATCGAGGCGTCAGTGGATTCGAGTAATGCCTCGATTGTACAGCAAAAAAAGGAATCGGCCAAAGCATATAGGTCTGCGGGAACTTCAAAGCAGATGCTATAACAAGATCCATTGACAGAAAACCGACCACGTGTGTGCAATGGATTATGTATAGGCTACGTGTCTGGCGATGTAACAGGAGAAAGGAGACCGTTGTCTTAAACAGATGGAGAAAGAGTTGATATGAGATGACTACTATATACACGTGTGCTGGGTGGTGGAACATCAAGACAAGATGGGAAGAAGGCTAGCATGCAAGAGAAACAAGGGGCCGAAAGGTCTAGTTGTTGGCCTTGCCCATGGCTGCTTGTTTCTCGTTGGCGGCCTATGTTCAATCAGCCGAGTCCCATCAGAAATTTGGGTAAACTTGCCTGAGAGATGGTGAGGTAGGCTCGAGTAGGACTTCCAGGGTCATCGTCTTCCACAGGAGCTTTGCGAGGGTTGATGGACAGGTTGGCAGTCTTGCCTTCGAAGCCCTTCGTGTCATCCTTGTCGTAATCTGAGAACTGCTGCATAAGAGCGAGGAACTGGTACTCTGTCAGCTTGGACCTCGTCTTGATGAGAAGACGACTCACTCGCTCAGTCTTACAAAACCTGGGTACAGAATCGGTCGCCATGAGCCTAAAGATGTACACCTGGATCCGCTCGTAAAGCTTGACCATAGTCTGCAGCTGGCTAGCATGCAGTGTGTTTCCAATCCCGGGCTCGATATGACCTTTGACACCAGCCTCCTTGTCGGCGGTGATTTGGTTCATGTAGGAGACGAGGTCGGCTCGGAGATTGTGGTCAATGTTGAGCTCACAGGGAGAAGCGGGAGCGAGGTAGGCTGAGCAAAAGTTAGTGATGTTGTAAAAGGTCAAATGGGACGTACTGTTGTAGATGACAAAGGCCATGGCGATCAGATCCTGCTGATGCTTTTCCATAGCCTGGTGCCCGGACACCTTGCTCTTGGACCCGGGGGCAGCCACAGCAGAACTAGTCGTCTGGAAGCGCCTCTTGAAATCTTGGACATCCAACCAGAAACTCAGGTTCTCCTCACAAAAGTTGGCTCTCAAGAACTCTCGGAACAAGCTCCTCAGAGCAGGTTCCTCGAGGATCTGCTTCAACCTCGCTGTGTGGCTGTCTTTTACGTGGTTATCACCGCCCGGCACACCCGAAATGTCAAAGTCGCTCCTGAAGCGGTCCGACGCAGAGTTTCGGCGTTTGATGGAGACGGAGGGATGACCCTCATGGGAGGAGCGGCCCTTGGAAGCGGCAGAGGGGTTCTCGGCATGAAGGTTAGGCTTGGACACGCCGGCAGAGGCGTTGGAAGTGGGTTCGTGCCATTTGGCGGCAATCATGCCCTCTCTGGTCACCTTGTAGATGGCGCGCTCGGTCACTCGGTACTCGGCTTCTTGCTATGGCAGTGTCAGTAGAGTTGGAGACGATCGATGAGAGTTCTCACCATGATGGCCCCAGCACCACCTCCAGCACCACCACCCTTGACAGTCACGATTAAGTTTCCGTCCTTCGGTTTGCTCTTGTCACTGACAAGGGTGATCAATCCGTATCGCACGAATTGACCCATCACGTCGGCAGCCTCGTCCACACCAGTCGCAGAAGTAAAATCCAACATCCACTGGATGGCACTTCGAGAAGAGAAGTGATAGTCATCCTTGTTGTCGCTCTTCCTGATGATGATACCCTCGGACCTGTCGAGAGTTTCGCCTACAGGGAGGGGCGGGGCCTTTGTGTAGAACCTCGAGTAGTAGTGGGTGATCACCTCGTCATCGCTCAGCTTGGTCAAGTTTGGTTCACGACCGATGAAACGCCTGAAGAGTACTTCAATGACACCGCGGGTGATGATGATCTCGTCGTCGCCCGAACGTCGCTCGAGGTGTAGGAGTTTCATGGTGATAGGCTGGGAAGCAAAGACCTTTAGCAGGTGGTCGGCGGTGATGCCATTCTTGCTGACGAAACGCTCGAGGATGTGAAGTCCCTTGGGAGTCAACATGTAAATACCTCGGTCCTTGAATGTTCCCGACATGAGGTCGGTAGCGTTTTCTATCAGACGGCTGTCCAAAAAGTGCTGGCAGATACCCTTGGCCATATCACGAGACATGGAAAAGGTAGTGGTTGTTGTGGTAGTGATGATGCGGGTGGGATCTTTCGGATCAGCCGCACGGGTCGATTGGGAAAACTTGAGCGATGAGAGGTTTGAACAGGCATCGTCGCTAGGGGGGGGTCAGTCCATAGGCGGAGTCATGCTGGGTCAACGTACGTAGTGAAACTGTTGGGATAGACTTTGAAAAAGTTTCGGTGTGTGTCAAAGGCGAGACTGACGACGAGTGTACAGAAAAGGTCATGGGTATCCTGGAAATGTGTCAGCCTCGTGTTGTCTCTTCAAGGCGGTGCGCCCTTACCTTGACAAATGGCCTGCCCCGTCGGGTGGTCTTCATGAGATGAGAGTTGGAGCTGGACATGTCGGTGATTGGGCGATGATTGGAGACGAGGGGTGGCAAGCGGATGGGTGATGCGGTTTCAAAGCTCCCTATTGTAGAGGGGTAGGCTCAATGAAGTGTGGGGGCTAATTCGATTTACGAAATACCTGAGGGGGGCTTTCCCTTGTATGGAGGAAGCGTTGAAGCTGTAGAGCTGGTCGAGAGGGAGAAGAGATGGGAAGAACAAGGAGGCCCGATATGAGAATGCGAAAAGATGATGGATTGATGGAGCTGGTGTGTGCCGGGCCTTCCCTGAGTGTGGCGGGGATGGGGGCTTGATGCGAGAACAGCGGAGCAGGAGACGAGGAGGTGGGGTGGCAATGTATGCCAGCGTCAGGACTTGGGAGAGGGAGGGCAGGGCAGGGGGCTGTAGATGCAGGAGATGATGGAGATGCAAAAGAGCAACAAGTCAGCTTTTGGAGAGGATGGGAAGGAGGCCCCGGCAGAGGGACAGCATGAGATCGTGAAACACACAACTTGCCTTTTGTCTCTTTCCCCCGATCGCTCTCTACCTTCGAGGTCGTTTCTGGTACACTGGTAGCGAGAGGGCAACGTGAGGGAAAGGGTGTGTGCTGCTCTGCTGGTCAGCAAAAGCCGTGGGTCCCGCTGGATACTGCTGACGAACCCTCTTGGGCAATCTCTTCCTTGACGACCTGGCTCAGCCAATAGGCGCTCTGGTAGTGGGTTCGACTTCGGTATCACAGCCGTGTCACGACTGCCGGCAGTCGATGCGAGAATAGTCGAGGGTGCAGCACAGTGGCGCTGTGAAGGGATACAAGTAGGTGATCGTATAGCGAAGGGTTCCGGTCCAATATAGCAAAGGGAAGAATGAAAGAGGGATGAAAGTTCTGAACTGGGACCCTCGGTGACAGTTAGAGTGAGACAAGGTTACATAGGTACGACTCGAGAAGCGAGACAGGAAGAGGCGGTATGGGGCGGCGTTCACGCAAGCAGGCCATGGGAGAGGGGAGAGGGAACGCACAGGGCACAGTCTGCGCGAGGAGGGAGAACAATAAAAACACTGCCAGGCACCGCACATGGCTGTTTCATCTTTTCGGTGGCTGGTGCCTGGCCATCCTCCCGGGCTCGTATTTTCTGTCCCGGGATATGCATGGACGCATGAAGTGCTTGCCATCGTGCTGTGGTACGGCCGCATCGCTTCCACCACATGCATCACCCTGTGTCTTGAAGAGACGCTCAAAAAGAGGCACAAGCGCCTGCCACCCTGCTCAGTCCTGAAACGACTGCGGATCCTGTGACAAGACAAGACGGGCGACAGCTGATAAGATATCTTCTCGTGTGTATATAAGACGCTAGCGGCTGAAAGCGGACTGGCTATACATGCGCTATCAGCAACGATGAGTTTGCAGCTTTCCTCTGGATCCTCCTCGGCATCCCGATCATTGGTCGATTGTCGCGCATGGATGGCTGCTCTCACTTTGAATGTCGCCTCTCCAGCTCAGACTTTCCTTCTTCAGCCCAGTCCAGAAGCCCTTTCACCTCCTCATCCTTCTTTTCCACAGATTCTTTCTGCTTCAGATCGTCCGCTATACGCTGAAAAACTTGCGCGAGTCCCTGGAACGTATCCGCCGAATTAGTATGTTGCGATGCCAAGGGAGTGCCTATGATTGACGCTGTAATAAAGGCAGAGATCTCTTCCATCTCTCCAACCCACTACTCTTGCATCATTAACAATCTCTGAGTAACAGCACAGGCAAACTCACTCGATAAGCCTTGGGCAACTTTTGCGTAAAAGCAGGTTGTGATTCAATCATTTCGTCGAGTAGCGCCTTGGCCGTTCCGGGAGAGTGAGCTTGTGCTGCTGGTGCAAGAGTCAGCTACCTTCCCGTGAACTTCTGACATCAACACTCACAGAGCACGAGAAGCGCCGCTAGACCTATAGCACCCTTATTGATACCACCATAGCACATCTTCAACGCACTCGCGCCTCCTTCGCCTGCATCTTTCATCACCCTCACCCTCAGCCCCTTCCCGTCCCCGCCTCCGCTCAATACGCCAGCGACCTCCCGGAGCTTGTCGCCCCATTCAGGTCTGGAAGAGAGGTAGAGTTTTGGAATGGAGCCGAGATCGTTGGTGGCAGGGAAACCAATGATGGATCCGTCCAAGAAGGGAGTATTGTGGGGTTGAAAGATGGACGATATGTGAGCCACCGTTTCGGGGGAAACGGCATTGGCTTCGATGTAGACCGGCTTCTTCTCCCCCAGATGCCCCGCTACTTCCTTGGCAAGCTTGACAGCCTCGCTCGGGGGCAGCGCAGACAGAATCACATCCGCCTCTTGTACAGCTTGCTCCATTGGTACATCCACAAGGACCCGATGCGGCCGCACGGGCAATGGTAGAGGGAGAGCGGTGTGAGAGGGAGGTGAGTCTGAGATTGGGCAGGCGCAGGGAGAGAACGTGGGCGAGGGAGGCCCCCATGGCGCCTGGGTAAAGGATTGCTATGGTCGAGATGGGCATTAGGAGCTATACCGAAGCCAAATTGAAATGAACAGGGGCAAAAAAAAGCGGAAGATGAAAGAGTCCATCTCAACATTATAATGTAGTTGCATTATAGACGCGTCGCGTCAAATCGCGCCGTACAAAGCTTGGATGTCTCGCTCAGTGCGGAGGGCCAAACTACCAAGGACGACAGGTATCGCGCGTTTCAATATCCCTTTCGAAAGCGGAGCGTGAGTCGGGGCATAGCTGCTGGCCAACTCCTTTATGAAAGTAGGACCTGCGACCGAGTCCCGGCGGAGACAAGGTGCTGGGAAGTATCATGCCAGACACACGAGTCTGACATATATATAGATTCGTCTTTGAGACCCATCACCTCTTTCTATCTTGCCTTATCACAACACAACATGCCTCGTACGGACAAGCAATCCTCAAAATCCAGGCATTCGGGCGAGAGGGGGCAGGAACAATATGACAATGCCCCAGACCATCACTCTTTCGCCAAGTCCCGCATGACTCCTGTCGCCTCCGCTACTACCACCCCCGGTAGTAAGACCCCCAAGGCATCAACCCGCAGATCCTCCGAGGGCTCCCGTTATTTGACTGCCATCGCCAGTAATCTCCCCGGGGCAATGGCGTCTCTCAGCCTCACGCCTGCCAGCACATCTGCCGATCAAAGTGCGAAATTCAGCCTACCGCCACCAGAGGAGCTCCCGTGGGACTGGAGGCATCAGACGGGCATGTCCTTGGCAATGGATGAGCATGATGGGGATGGGGCTAGTGTGAGAAGTTTGTCGTCTTTCTCTGGAGGCTACACGAGTGGGGAAGAAGGGCGGGCGTTTTTTGTGGCTACGGAAGAGCAAGGCAAGGGAGGGCGCAACAAGGCAAAGAAGGTGGTGGCGAGGCGTGCAGAGAGAGATTGGACGCTACTGAGTAACGAAGGGCAAGACGCTGGTGACTATCATGCGCGTTTTCAGGCGGAGGAGGGGAAAGAAGAGCCAGAGTATAGCCGAGATGATGACCTGGAAAGCTCAGCGATCTTTAGCAGAAGGACGAAGGACGAGAACTGGCAAAATGGGTTTGCCCGGTCAGGTAGACGCGAGTATACCAATCCCGACAGCAGTGGCAGCAAGAGGTAGTTTCTGATAGAAGAATGAGACGCATGAAATGGTCATTATACAGTGTTGCTCAAGATTGGACAATTATTTCTTCTCCACTTTGCTGATCATTTGGTCGATACTTCCGATGTTGCTCTTCAGAACTTGATACTATGAGCTGTCAGTTAAAATTATCTTGAATGCAACACAATCACTTGCCTGCTCTGCCGTCAAGCTGATCCCCTTGGAGCCAGGCTTCATCTCTCCCGATGCCTTGTCCTTGTACGTCTCACGGATGTCGATCAGGGTCTTGCCTTTGAATGTGCGGACAGTGACTCGACGGTAGTCGGAGAGCTATACAGAGAGTCAGATGATGCCGCAGGGCTGTATGTCAGCTCATACCTTGAAGAATGGATCCCCTTCAGCGGTCTCTTCGATCTCGACTGCTTCCCCGCCTGATTCCGCGTTATCGGTAGAAGGTCTGGGTTTCTAGGATGCACGGGTGAGTGGGTCGTATAGCGGACGTTTGAGGTGTGCTCACCTTCTTTTGTGGTTCAGAGGTGATGTCGGGCTTCTTGTCCTACGACCAATGTTCATGAGCACACGACAATGGCAGCAAGATTTGAGCCCACCTCTGCTTCCCCCTCGGATGATGCTGCGCGCTTTCCCTTGACCATGATTTCTGCGAGAACCAGCTGGTGGTGGACAAGTGGAGATTGCGTGCCGGGTATTTGGAACGGACTAGCGGCCAGGAACGGTCCCGCGCTTGTTGTTTTGAATTTGAAAGGGCGTGTGCTTTTGCGGTCTGTGCTCGGGGATCTGTGCGTCTGTGCGTCTTGTGCATTTGGTAATTTGGTACAGCTGGCGACAGACAGAGGGCAGCCAGAAGAGGGAACCAAACAACAGGGAAGGTCACCCCAGCTCCCACCAGAGCCTGCGAGAGATCAGGAAGGAGACAGTCAGGGAGATAATCCGACACCTTGCTTCCTCGTTCGTCTTCTTCTCTTCATCCATCACAGCGTATATATCTCCATAGAGGAACCCGGCAGCCAGCGCTGTCGAGCAACGTCCGACGACCACTGGACCCACCCACCCTCTTTTCCCCACCGCCCTGCGCCTGCCTGCGCCTTCTGTGAGCCTTGCCCTGCCGTCCACGAGCGTGATTCTGTCATTCTGACATTTGCGCAGGTTTTGCTGGAATAGAAGGGATCGATATATATAAAGGGAACTCTGGATAGGTGACTGCCTGTCTGACAAGAACGCATCTCCCGCTCCACCGCGTACGTACGCACTAGCCTGTCCAAGAGAGCCTTAGTTTGACGCGAATTGCCTCAAGGGGCAGCCCAATTTCCGTCAACTGCATCTCCATCATCCCCCTGCCCCCCTCTCTCCCCTCCATCCCCCGCCCGCCCGCCCAGCCGCAGCACCATCACCCATCTCCCCGCCTGCGCACAAACAACAAACACTGTCGCTGTGTACTCGCCGACACCAACCCTTACCCCAAACAACACCCCGCGCTATGGCTGACGCCGTCGCATCCGCACAGGTGACTCCACCTCTACCAGACTCTCCTTCCCCTCGTGCTTCCACCTCTTCTCCCATCAACGTGGGTCAGAAACGCAAATCCACATTGTTCAACATTCTCCGCCGCACCTCGGTAGTCGAAGAGACCACCCCGCCTCCCCGCCGTCAGTCTGTATTTGATATCATGGAGAGGGAGAAGCTGCAAAAGGCGCAAGAGCCCCATGCGTTGGGAGGACTGGAGGAGGATGATGAGGACGACTCGCATTTGCCACAGGTGCAGCTGATACCGCCTGAAGGTTTGTTTACCTTTTTGTGCTATTCCGAGCCGCGCTGACCTTGACTGTCAGATGAAGGTGATGCAGTGGTACTCTACCCGTTCCCAAACTACCCTCCCCCCACACTGGCGCTCGATAACCAATCGCCACCCGAGACGCCCGAACGCAACTACAACCCCCACGCACCCACCACCTCTTCACCCCTCTCATCTCGCCCGCGTCCCCAGTCTGTGGCTACCGCTCCTAAACCCAGGCCGAGTAGTACTTTTAGCAACAACCCCGCCTGGAACGGTATGGCGGAAGGCTTCAACCTCCCCACCGCAAAGTTCTCCCGCGTGGGCGCTGGGCCTACCAACTCGCGAAGCAGGCAGAGCGTCATCATGCCCAAGACCAAGACGCAGGTCGTGGAAGAGCGAAAGAAGCGGATGAGCCAGGTGATGGAGTGGGATATGGCTGGTGGCGCGCATGGCGGTGTTGGACGACCCGTCATGCATCGGGAAGGCAGCTCAAGGCCGGTGAGGAGGGACTCGGAAGATGTGATCAGGGAAAGCGCGGAGAATGTCGAGACGTTGAGTGAAGAGCCAGACATGTTGGAGCCAGTGTCAAAGGCTACGACGACGCCTTCGTCGCCGACCGCCCCTGGCCCGCCTGTGCTCTTCCCCTTGTCAGCCCCCGAGCCGCAGAGGTCGAATTCGACGCCGATGCCGATGCCTGTGGAAGGGACACCTCGGTCGTCAATCTCGTCCCCGAGACGTTCGCGTACAATGTCGCTGAGTGGCGCATTCCCTGTGCCGCTTTGGGCATCGTCCAGCAAGACCGAGTCGCCCATCTCCACCACCGCCCCGCCCCTCCCCCCCATGCCTTCTGTTCCAACAGACCAGCCAAGAAAGGTGCCGAGAAAACAAAAGAGTCTCAAAAACTTATTCTTTAGCTCTTCCACCCCCCCTGAAACTGTCACTGCCGAGCCCAAGGCAGACGTCAAGGAGAAGAAGAGCTTGAACAAGCAGCGATCCAAGCCTGATCTTCGAATCGATACAAACGCCACCAGGCCGATAGCATCGCTCAACTCTGCGCCGGTGCTTTCTGGTAACAGATTGTCGAGTGCAACGCCACCGACTCCTGCGCTGTCGACGGGTAGGAGCGAGAGCTTCTATTCTATCCCCGGTACCCCCAGCTCTGCAACGACCATCGTGCCCTCGCCTATCGAAGGCAAGAAACCAAAGTTGACCAAGAAATTCTCCTTGTCCAACATGTCGGTGTTTAAAAAGAGGTCCAACTCTGCCCCTGCTTCCGACGGCCACAGTCTTGCCGGCGCGTCGAGGGATTCGTTTGTGGGTGATGGGGAAGGAGAGGTGGTGCCGATGGTACCTGCGCTGCCGGAAGTGTACAAGAAGGAGAAGGAGGCAAAGAGGTCGAAATCGGAAATCTTCACCGCGAGGGACCGGTTTGTGAATGTCCCGCCTGCGCCCTCTGTCGCTCCTGCGGCTCCTACCGAGGTGTCTTCCCCTGGCACTATCACTCCGTCTCGAGTCATGTCTCCCATCTCCGCCATCTCGGTGTACCAGACGCCTTCTTCCAACATCGAGCCCGCTACATACGAGTCTACCGTCGTGCAGTCGCCAACAGACTCAATCTCCACCCTCGACCCATCCTCCAAATCAATCTCTTCCATCAGCGATGTCGATGTCGAAGAAGACATTCTCGACGCGCAGTTCATGCAGCTCCCCAGTCCCAAGGAGCGAGACGCATCCCAAGACTTTCACAAGATCCTCGCGAACGCCCCCGGGCGCAGAAGCGAAGTCGTCGTCGTGCAAGAAGGCAGGCGCTCGCTCGAAGCGCTCGTCGTCCTCGGTCCCGGCTCTGTCCGACCGAACGTCTCGCCTAGTTTGTTGAACAATAGGCTGAGCGCGAGTGATAGCGAGGCGAGTATGAGCTCGTTCGCTTCTTGTGCCTCGAGCGACTCTTCGCTCGCGAGGACGATCCAGGCGGACCATACGCGCCGGGGATCGGCGGAGAGTGAAGATAGCCAGGAAGATGAGGGGTTGGTCACGCCTATTTGTCATAGTGTCGAGACTTTCGGAGCGGGGGTGAGGGAGAGGAAGGAAAGTGGCAGTGGAGAGAGTGGGGAAAGCGGCGAGTTTGGGATGATGGATGAGGAAGCGGAGGATACGGCGCGAGGTATGGGTGTGCGCAAGTTTCAGAGCTCGAGAAAGTTGAGGCCTTCACCCCCTCCCGGCTCATGCTTTGCCCCGCCCGAGTCGCCGTCAATAGCCCAAGTCACATCGTCCGGCCCCCCTCCCAACAGACCGCTCCCACCTGCTCCGGGGCAGATTGTGGAAGAAAAAAAGATTGGGAGTCTCGATTTTGATACGCTTGGGTTGAACTTTGGGAATTGGGATGAGAGGGAGGAGATGGCGGGGCGAGCCTAAGCGTTGGTTGTTGTTTTGTGGACATTGTTTTTTTAATGATTTGAGAAAGAGAAGAGCAGTATATTGTCTAGTATAGAGAAGAAGATCATTCACGATAAACTTATATCCCCACTTTTTGTCTTCTTTGGCCTGGATACCTTTTTTTAATGACCTTGATACCCCATATCTTTCTAAGAGTTCCCTTTTCCCGTTGTAGTATCACGCAAAGCTTTCCCTCTTCCTTGGCTGAGCGACACCCTTTACAATCCATCTATCTCGAGAAGTTTTGACGATATACGCTATCTGTTACCTGTTTTTTGTGAAAACAAAAGATGATTCTTCCTATACTTTCTACTTTTTTCTACTTTTCTTGCGAAAAGGACAATGCATTTTTTAGTGTATCTGCGCTTGTGTTGGATCGAAGAGGGACAGATGGTGGTGAATTTTCAAGATGGGATGCGGAATAAAAGTGAGAGCAGGATAAGAGGTGTTCCGGAAGGCGGGGCTGATGAGGACAGCTCGGTCTTCAGTGGTGTCTCGCCATGATGCCAGTGGGCGCCAAGCTAAGCTTCCACGATTGGGCTGAGGACAACAATTACGAGTGCATAGGAAGTACTGCGTGCTCTTCAGCGTGGGCCGGGGACAAGGTACCGCGGCGATGATCTAATGCTGGTTGCTGATAGGCATGAGTCGCAATTGTTGACCGAATTCTTTGACGAGCTGGACATAGTACTAGCCTGATATACAGCCATCAAGCATCGTTTGAGATTGACAGCGTATCTCCACCATATGGAGATCACGCAGATAACGAAGAGATATCTGGCCCCAAGTTTCAAGATCAAGGGTACCGAGTGAGAAGTCTGGCCAACTGTATTTATTGTCGTGGAACCTTGAGATAGCGAATGCCGCAACGTCGTCATAAGCATCGACAGAAGTCCCAGAACAGGCAACAAATATCTGTCTCAGAGTGATTTCAACCTTGCTATACCCCCTGGAACTGACTTCATTGGCGGTAGTCGCCAACTTTCTCAGCCAGAGGGACATCCGGTCCAAGACTATGGACATTCCCACTTCTTCGCAAACTGCATCTCCGCCTCCACCGTCTTCATCTTTGTGCCTTCATAAGGCTCAAGTACTTCTTCCACTTTGGCGTCATCTTTGAGAGCGGAGAGAAAGTAGACGAGGGCGGGATTGTTTTCGACATCTGGATCGGAAAGCTCCATGACAGGAGGAGATGGCGTGGCATCGTTTGACTTTCCTTCTTCGTCGGCAGGGGGAAGAGTCTTTATATTGCGGAATCCTACATTTATCATCCCGCGGTCGCATCAGCTTTCATTCTATCAGATCGGTTGAGACCCACCTCTGGGCTCGCAGTATATATCGTGAGATATAGAAAGCCTCGTCATCGGAACTGACAAGGATCAGGGGGTCCTCGGTGGCAGGATCAGCCCAGCCAAGGTGGACTTTGACCTCCCGCTTTTCGCCGTTGCCCTAAGTGATTGTGGCGGTCTCGGGATGGTTGGACATGCTTGGTGCATGGTGGATGACGACTTGGTGGATGGATGAGGCTATAGTACCGATCTTGTAGAGTTGGTGAGATGATCGCGCACAGCAGGTCTTGAGCGAAACACGACTTTGGGTCAAGATGATTACTGATCAGTGAAGGAGAAGAGGAAGATGGACACATTTAGTGAGGTCACCAAATATCTTCCCGCGCTGCGCTGGGAGTATGTAGTACGTCAAACTAGAAGAAGGGCACGTTGAGTGACGGCAGGAAGCGCTGAGGTCTTACGAAAAAGACCGACCACCTTGATATGAGGTGTTATGGGACTTCAGCTAGTATAGCGGCTGAAAACGTGCCTTTAGGGGTCCAGGAATGCATGGTCGCCCATTAACAAACGACGTATGTCGTTTTTTGACGGGTGGGATACACCGGCGGCCCGGCCGCCGGTGGGAACGTCGTCAATAATAGTGTTACGTAATGGGGAGTGGAGGCTCAACTGCCTGCCTGCCTCCTCCTCCTCAGCTCTGAAGCGTACAACGAACGCTAATATTGATTCTATTCCTCCTCTGCATCTCCAGCTGCGTCACCATGGATACCATAGACGACAGCCTCATTGACCCCGACCTTCTGGAGGCCGGGCCTTCGCTTGTCGAGCGCATGGGAAGCGTCGACATGGCGGACGGCGACGAGAGCGACATTGATTACGACAACTCTGAAGACGACTATCAAGACTCGAATCCGGATCTCCCTGAAGAAGAGGAAGAAGGGGTGCCTGTAGAGGATGATGTATTTGGGTAAGCTATGTGTGCATCTCGTCTTGGGGCGACGCTGACAATCCCTCAGTCGATTAGCAGGGTACGCTTCGAGAGCAGGTGCAGGCGAAGATGCAGGGGATGGGAACGCATTTCAGCGGGAGATAGAGCTTGCAGATGAAGAAGAAGTGGTCCCTCGAACCCGCTCGGGGAAGGGCAAAGCGAAAGTAGGTTGCGTCATATTCACAAAGCAGCTATCGCTGACGCTGCTACAGGCAAAGCGCACGCACAAGCCATCCCATCAAGTACTCCACCTCCTGGGTCAGGCCAATATGGCATATCTTGAGGGAAATCTGGCGGAAGCTATTGAAATGTACCTGGAAGTCATCCGACTTGATCCCTATGTGCCGGCGGCTTGGACGACGCTGTCTTCATGTTATCAAGAACTGGGTGATGTTGAGAAAGCCAGGCAGATGAGGTTCCTGGGAGCGCATCTGGATGATGAAGGGGATAGCTGGAGAGACCTGGCATACGAATTCAAGTGCGTACAGGATGTCTCATACCGGCCACATGCTGACCATCATTAAACAGGTCACTAGGGCAGCTAGAGCAATGCGTCTACTCTCTTCGTAAAGCGCTCAAATATGAGCCAGAAGGCATTGACCTGTTATGGGATCTCGGAAGCGTCTACATCGAACAAGGACAGAAGGCCAGGGTAAGCTCATACCGATACAACATACTGTCAGCCCACTGATCACAACTAGGGTGCCAACGTATTCAAAACGATGATGTCTGTTGACCCGGCAATCTCGAATGACCCGGCTTTCGTCTCTCTTTTCCGCCCTGTCCTTGTCGCCACCCACCAACGAGCTCTTGCAGCCGAGGCTGGCCGAAAGACGTTCGACTATCATCTGACCACGTACTCTACACCGACCTCACCACCATCAGCCCCACAGGCGCCTCCGGCAATGACTATGGACTTTATCACCGCTCTCATCGACGACTTGATCAGTACCGAGGAGTTTGAAGATGCTCTAGAGGTGGTGAGGAGCGGCCAGCGGTGGTTACATGGGAGAGGCTCGCAGAAGCATTGGGATGCGTTGGAGGATGATCGTGAATTTGACCCACCTGGCACTCTCAGAAATGACGAAGAATCGAGTGGATATGAGATGGACGTTGCCATGCGACATCGTCTAGCTCTGGTCCGGATTAAACTCGCAGACGAGGAAGAAGCAGACGTAAGCTACGTGAAAGCACCAAGCCTCGGCCAAGCTGATTAGCTGTAGATCCATATCGACTACCTCATTACCCTCGACCCTCTGATATACCATGCCTTGCTCCAATCGCTGGGAGACGCGCTCATGGACCGCTCGCAATGGGATCGTGCGCTCGACTGTTATGCTATCATCCAGGAATGTGATGAGCTTGCGGACGATACGGGGCTCATCTTCAAGATTGGTGTTTGTCAGTGGAAGACTGGAGCTTTGGATTCAGCATTGGAGGCTCTGCAATGGGGTACGCCTCCTTTGATGTCAACGGCAGAATCTGACGATGAGTAGTCACTTCCATCGACCCGGACAATCTCGACGCACGGCTCAAGACCGCCAGCGTGCTTGAAGATATGGGCAGGAAAGCTGAAGCTCTCGACCTCGTCACAGAAGGTAAGTCCACCTAGCGATCTGTTCAAAGACACTGACAAACGTTCCTAGTCATCCGAACCCGAGCATCCCGAGGCACACTCTCATCAACCCTCCAGCCCTTACAGCCCCATCAAAAAGTATCCAAACGCGCTTTGGAAGATCAGATGCGGTCACAAATGCAAAGCTTGTGGCTGGATGTACAAGAAGCCGAGCGAGGGACGATGGAAGGCGAAGAAGGGGCTGTGGATAGGTTTGTGGAGGCTGCGGGGGTGTTGGTGGAGAATTATCGGATGGATAGATCGAATTTTGGGAAGAACAGGGTGAGTCTTTTCGAGATGGTTGAGTGGGCGCGGTGCTGATATTGGGTCAAGGGTGTGGTTAGGGTTTTGAAGACCAAGAAGGCGAAGAAGAATGACATTGACGACCAAGCGGCAGAGATGCAAGATCGTCTTGAGCGGACTTTGGGCTGTGAGTATTGCCCCTCACGCCATCGTTGGAGTCAATGAGACTGACGCTCGGATAGTGGAGGACGACGAAGAAGCTCAATACCATGTGTTCCGCAAAACATCTTTCTACGGCTTGTCCAATGAAGAGTGGTTGACGCTAATAGTCAAGTACTGCTGCGTGCTCATGGTTCGTCGAGAGGAGGATGTGGCTATGGATATCCTGGAGCACGTGGTGTGGTCGGGACTGTTCCACACTCGACGATGTGAGATTGCTTTACGCATGACTATGATTGGTGAGTTCTCAGTCGCTTATTTATGGACACATCACTAATATGTGTGAAGCTTGTGCTATGCGCATGAGAGCGTGGAGCAAGATCCTCGAGTCTACCGCCCAGCTCATCGTCCACTCTCAGTTTTTGCCCCAACCCTACCTTGTCATGCTCGGTGCTCTCGCATCTGGAGGTCTTGCCGCCCAATCGGCCTACACGATCGTCACTTTCCAGAATCTCATGAACCGAGATCTCCGTACATTCGACGACGCAGTTGAGCACGGCGAAAAGAAGCTGCACTTCAACGAAGGTATCGGGCGATGGACGGCCAACAAAGGCAAGACGAAGGGAGAAGATGGTGAAAAGTCTACAAAGAAGCCAAAGGGCCAGTGGAAGAAGCGAAGGCAGGACGAGCCTGGTGCGGGAGATGCGGTGGTGGACGAGGATGTTGATATGGAGGACGAGAATGCGAGACTGGGGAGTATCGAAGGCGAAGGAATCGGATGGGGATACAGACCGGTCTTGCCCAAAAAGTTCTCGCCGTACATGAACTTTCTTTTGGCGCAAGAGATGTTGGCTTCGAGGTCGTTCCAAGGAGCTATCTGTGAGTCTTCCCACTCTCCCAAATCCACTTTCGCTGACATGGAGTAGTCTACCTCCTTCGAGCGTACAACATCGATCAATGGAACCCTTATCTCTGCCTCCTCACCGCCCAAGCCTACTTTGGCCGAGCAATGCAGCGTCAATCGGACAATCGACCTCACCAGATATCTCAGGGTATGATATTCTTGGACCGGTACCGCAAGCTCTCGCCCAAAGAAGGGAAGCCACGGGAGGAGGTTGAATACAATTTCGCGAGAGCCTTTCATGGCATGGGGCTCTCGGCGTTCGCGGTGAAGCATTATGAGAAGGTTTTGGAAGGGGTACAGAGTCGAATGGATGAAAGTATGGAGCCTGAAGTGAGCACCGTCTCGGGCCGACATCCCTCATACTGATGCATTGCTCGCAGGCTGTACGCAGGGCGTCGCTCGCATGGGAGGCGGCGCACAATTTGATGTTGTTGTATGCGTCCTCCGGGAATATGGCGTTAGTCAAGGAAAAGTCGATCTGGATGGCAATCTAGGATCACTGGAATGACTGTGAGATCATTACAGTGCATGTATATGAAGTAGTCTATATGTTGAAGACCACCATGATGTGGTGGCAAGCCCTGAGATTGTCGCCGAAAGACACACATAGGCAGCACAGACGAATGAGACGATAGAGACGCGGAAGGGTAGGGCTAGCCAATGCAATTCAAGACGTTATCGATACAAAATGAACAACAACCAGCAGGTCTGACAAGCATATGCATATGTGTGCTTAAAGATCTTTCCGACGAATAACAAAGACCCAAGATCGTCCTCTTCTTATCTTACAATCAACTTGATTCCAATCTACTCCTCGTCGACAACCCCCACTCTGGCTTTCCACATGTTTTCTTTCAGCCTCACCACCCCCTTCCACGTCTTCTCCTCCCAGCTCTCCTTCTGCCCCTCCTGACTCCCATCGGCACAGAACGTCTTGTCCTTCTTCTCCTCCGCTTCCGCTACCGCCTGTTGAGAATGTACACGGCGGCGAGGGGGAGGCGCAAGAGGCGCATCGGAAAGACCACGACGAGGAGGAGGAGGTGGGTAGTTGGCGAATGTTTTGGGGTGATGAGGGGGCGGAGGCAGAATGGACTTCTTATCCTCAGAGGAACCATCTTCCTTCGACTCGGTCTCTTCGACCTTTTCACTCTCCTTGGTCTCTTCAACCAAGCTAGAAGTGCTCCCACCGTTACTGCTGACCCCAAGCTGCGAAAGTCTGTTGCGGGCAGCAGCCCTCTTGGGTACAGGTGGAGGAGTAGACCCGATGGGAGTAACAGGCGAGCCGCCAAGCTGGGGCGTGGAAGAGATGGTAGGGGTAGTGATGTCAATGACTTGTTCCTTCTTTGACTCTGCCTCCTCTTCCTTCTTCTCAACTTCGGCATCCGGTCCGGTCTCTTCCTTCACCTCCTCCACAGAAGCCTCGTCCACAGGCGGGAGTTCAGCAGCCTCGCTCTTCGGCGTGGCGAAAGAAGCGTCCGAGCCAGAGTTGTTTCGCGACATCTCTACTGGCTTTGGCTCTTCTCCCTCTGCTACTGCACTTTCATCGAGGACAGCTTCTTCGGCCTTCGCCTTCCCTTCCACCGCGCTCTCAGCCAGCTCCTTCTCCTCTTTCTCCTTCCTCTCCTTCTCCTCCGCCTTTCTCGTCGCCTCTTCTACGATATGCGGACCGTAGACATCATCCTTCTCCGCACCCACGCTTCCCACCTCCGAGTGGTCATCGTCCTTCTTATCCAGTCCGTCTTCGTCTTTGGGCGATTGGGCGTCAGAAGCAGAGTCGCTTGTACGCCAAAGCCCAAGACCCCAGGACTTTTTGCGCGCGGGGAGGGGCGGTGGCTGAATGTGTTCTGCAGCGGCGGGGGCAGTAGACGATGCTTCTGACGGAGCAGCCACAGACGACGGGGGAACTTCTACAGCAGGCGCAACAGGGGCGACAGTCTCAACAGCAGTAGTCACTTCCGTCAAAGTACCATCTTCACTCGCCCAAACCTGATGTACAATCCCATTCTTCACAAAGTGCCACAATTCACACGTTGCCCTCAGCCTCTCCAAGCACCACCCGCTCTTACAAAGCGGATACAGCTTGGAATTTTCCTTCTCTCCTGATGGGGTGGTAGCACCGCCTTGAGAACGAGTGATGCGGAAGATGAACACAGCGGTGGAGTGGTGTACTGTTGATCCAGGGGCAGGGGATGTGAGAGGAGACGCGGTTGGTGAAGGGCCCGGAGGGGGAGGGGTGGAGGACGAGTTGAAGAAGGGTTTGAGGGAGAAGCGCGATGCGCCTGATGCGCTACTGCGCTGAGGGTGGGGTACGGGTGTACCAAAGTGGCCCCCAGGCGCAGGACTGGGAGGGATGAAGCCAAAAACTTTCTTGCCGCACATGCTGCAAGACAGATCATCCCACTTGGCACCCGTGCTCGTCAGAACGTGGTGCAAAGACACGGGTTCGATGACCAAATCGCCCGAGATGATCGCTGCACCCACTGAGCGTCGGGAAAAGATGCTCAGGGCAGGAGCTGCTTCGAGACGGAGAGTGGGTTCTTGGTCTTCAGACAAGATCCTGGCCACGAAATTGTGGGTGAGGAGGTTGGTGATGAGAGGGGGTCCCGCCGCCAGTCTCAATTGGTCAGGCAAAGGTCTGGCAGCTCGGAGGTATTGCAGGAATGTGAGGAATTCGGAGTACGGGATGTGGGAAGAGATGAATCTCCGCGTAATCTTTGACTTTGTCGAATCCTCGGAGGGTCCAGAGAGAGCCGAAGAGGACATGTTCTGGAGCTGAAGCTGCATGGCTTGAACGACAGCTTCGGCGTTAGCCAAGTTCTCTTCTGTTGACTTCAAGCGGGCCTCTGCCTGTGCTCGAGACATTCGCTCACTAGCCACCATAGTGTTGGCCTGATGAAGTCAGCACACTTCACTGCCTGTAAAGGCTGTCTGGACCTACCTGGTCAAACAGCTTGGCGGTCAAGTCATCAACCTCGTTCTCGACCTGCTCTCTTCTCTCTTCGGCGCTTCCTCTTCGTCGCTCCTCTTCGACAAGCCCGGCTGCCAGCCTTTGCATTTCATCCCTGATCTGATCTCTTTCCACCAATAGCCCCGTCTTCATACTATCCTCCCACCGATCTCTCTGCTCCTCCAGGGACTTGGCCTTTTCTCCGAGAGCCACATGTTCGTCTTGTACATTATGTAGCTCGTCCTCAAGGTCGGCAGAACGCGAGATGGACGCGATCAATTTGGCGTTGAGGGCGTGAGTTTGGTCGGAGAGGGACAAGAGTTGAGAGCGGAGGGAGGAAATGAGGAAAGTCGTGGGCGAGTCTGGGGCGTGAAGATCGTCGGCAGCATGGCGGGAGTTCAAAGCTTCTTTGCTGGGGATCTCAATGGGTGATGGCTGCGCCGTGTCAGGGTACATCTTTAGATTTCTCAAAAATGACTTACTGCGAGAGCACGTTTGGAGGGCTCGGGAACATCTTCAGCCACATAAACAGGCCCTACGCTGGACCGCTTCGCTTCGACCTCCTTCTCTGCTTCCGCTTTCTTCGAGTCGAATGCTTCCACAGCTTCAGTGTTTAATGCCACCGGCGCGGGCACAATTGGCACTTCCACAGCCTCCTTCTCTACCAGGCCCAAGTCCCTTGCCACCAGCTCAGCCTACAGCATGTCAGCTTCCAGCTTTATTTGCTCAGATTCGCATACTCACGGGATCAATGCTAGTGGCTGGTTCGGCTTCGTGTGCTGTAGGAACAGCGACCGCGAGTGCCGCGCTGGATTCTGCCATACTCTCCTCCTCTTGGTCAACTTCCTTTCTTGTTCCAGCTGGTGACTGGTAGATGTCAGCTAGTCCTGGCATCATCCAGGAATGCTCACTTCTACTTCCAGTTTCGTCTCTGGCTCTGGTACTGTTGCAACTGCGGCCTCCGCCTGCGGTTCTCCTACCACTTCTTCCTGTGTTGCCAGTTCAGCTTGTCCAGCGAATTCCTCTTCTGTCTTGGTTCCGGGAGCTTTCTCAGTTGCCTCGAAAAGGTCGGTAGATTCCGGAGCCTCGATTGCCTACACGTCCATGAGAGATATCCCGCGGCAATTGTCATAGGGACTGACCTCCTCTTGCTTTTTCGCCTCTTCTTCTCCAGCCCTCTCTGCTTCTGTTCCGCTCCCCTTCAGCTCCTCCAGCATCTTCTCAAGATCATCCGCCAGCCCCTCGTCATCCTGGCTACCGCTTTGCTTCTTGTGGAGGATAGGTTCTTCAGCCAGCTTGTCGGCGGTGTCCAGCGGGGTGGGGGACGAGACTGCTTCCGAGGTGGCGACTGGGGGTGGGTCTGACATGGGCGCCTGTTGACTGTAGACGATGGGGAGTAGGGAGAACGAGGAATAACTCTAACTACATTCACTTCTTCGCGTTGCAGCAGTCCAGCGGCCACCACCACCAACCAACCTGGTGGTTACGTAAATGTTTCTGTATGTACAAGTAGTGTGGTGCGTGCCGTGGCAGCGGAACTCGTTCAACGTTGCTGTAATGCATGCTGCGCTGCATTAGATACGTGAGACAGATGAATAAGGAACAGGGGCTACGGTCAAGAGAACCGAATAGATAACGCCCCAACGTACAAAATGAATAACAAAAGACCACAGGTAAGGAAGACCACGAACAACCGATCGAGTAATAAAGAAGTGAGAACAACAGAATGTATAAAGTGTGAATCTCTGGGCCCTCCTCAATCGACACTATGAACATACACGGCAGTATAAGGCTTCTTCCCATCGTCAACATCCTCCTCTGCCTTGCCCGCCCCACCGCCAATAACGAGCTCTTCCACCACCGTCTGACGAGGAAGTAAATCGTCGGTTTCGATAGGAGCATCCAAAAGTGTGGCTGTGGGAGGAGACACCAAGCAGCATATCATGTAGATTGAACTTGCGATAGCGATCCCAGTAAACCAATTGGCGGTATCTGATACAGACGCCATCAATTTTCGACGCCCATTGTTTTTGCTGTGGAGTACTTACAGAAGTTGATATAGGCCGAAGGCAAAGCGATGTTGTTGTTTACCGCGTGCCCCAGACCGGGAAGATTGATCGGCACAGCCACCGCATATGCCACAACTGCTCGCCAGTTGACACCCTTTTGGTAGCGGTAGATGCCACGGACGCGGTATAATGAGGGGACGTCGAGGCGGCCTCGGTGTACAAGCCAAAAGTCTGTGACCTGGACGGGGAGTTAGGAAGCCGTGCTGTATAAGCCAGGAAGGAAGCACTTACCATAATGCCGAGTAGAGGTCCGAGAACGACAGTGTACCCTCCCAAAAAGGCACTCAACGTCGCAGCGTTCTTCTGGATCTGCCACGGCTGTATAGCCCAAGCGCCAAGAACGCTGACAATGAAGGCTCCCCTCTTCAAGTTGATATATTTGGGTAGGCAGAAGGTCATGTCATTGGCCGCAGCCACAGAGTTGGAAGCGATATTCGTGCCGATGGTGGTAATCATAAAGGCGAAGGCAATGAAGAATCTAGCAGCTCTTGAGCCCCATCTGGGGATGATGAGTAAAGGTGACCAGATGATGGAGCCGTAGATGATCTGGGAAGTGGAAGCAATGAGAATCCCACAGATACCGAAGAAGATGTAGACGATAGGGATGATGATTGCCTGCCACCAAGTCTCAGCAGGTCGCTTAGCGTAACGAGACATATCGGGCTGTACTACTATCAGCGCATTGTACGACATGTCAAACCTTCAGCCCCACTCACAATGTTGATGGCTAGAGTCAGCCGACTGTTGGTCGTCAGGACAATACCGGCAACATACGCCATCGCGAGCGTTTGCCCCTCAAGCATCCCCTTTTGAGCAAAGACAGGCCCACCTCCGCCCGCTTCAGTCACTCCCCAACCGACCATGGCAAGTGTACCGCCTACAGCCATGACCGACTTTACAAAGAACAACCACCGCATTTTTCTTGGGTGAATCATCAGAAGAGGGAATTGAACTGAGCCTGTGTCAGCAAGAGCGTGGCCAAAAGAGATCAAGAGAGCAGCTTACTCAACCAGCCGATGAGGAAGGCTACCATGAGCCCACTTGTAATACCAACACTCGCAGGAATATGGTTGGGGATATTCAAAAAAGAAGGCCAGATTGCCCCAATCATAATCTGAGTGCATTGAGCCACAAGGTAGGTATTTGATCTTTCGATAACGTGAGCACAAGTCTCGCAAGAGAGCAGGAAGGTCACTGACCCAAAGTAAAAGAATGCCAAGATCAATCTCGATACCACCGCAAAGTACGAGAACCAGAATCCGTGCGAAGCTCTCGTGGCGATGGTGAATGGGATATGGTATCGCGAACCCATGTAGCCTTGAAGCGCTGTGAAGACGCCATTGAGACAGTTTCCTATGACACTGGTGACTTGGATCAGTTCTGCGTTAATGATGTCTGCGTCACACTTTTCACTCACAGGACGACAATAGCTTGTCGGACGTCAAGCCCCAGAGACATGATACTGCCTTGTAGGCAACATCAGCGCCTCCTCATCGCAACAGTAGCAAGAGAGCCAGGGATACTCACCAGAGATTTGCATGGTTCCAATATTACCTCCATCTGTGAAAGAAGAATGGTCAGTATCTGCTCAAAATCATGAAACCGTACCGTGTAGAGCCTATCGACATACCTGCGATCCAGAGTGACATGAAGTTGAACCTGCAGATTAGCAAAGGCGTGTCTTCAGTCAGTAGTAGTCCTCCAATGGATAGTGTAGCACTCACCAATTCCAGGTCCGTAGCTCAGGAGGTACCACATCCACATCAGCGTTGCTGAATCCCTTCTTATCGGCAAACGTCGCGTCGGCCGTTTCCAAAAACCAGTACTGCTTGGTGAGCCACTCGCGAGGCCGCCATTTCCAAGGGGTCGGGATGAAGCTGAGCCTCATTTCGTGCCAAGACTCGTGGAGGGGGAATGTCTTTAACAGAGACTGCGAAGAGATAGTTGGGGTATGGTCACGCTTATCTACTAGAGCCATATCGTCCCGTTCTGCTTATCTCCCATCTGGCTGAGCAGGTGAGTTGATTCATTGAGACACTTCAGGACAGAGATGCTTATCATTTGAAATTGATCCTTGTGTTTAAAAGGGATGCGATAAAGTCGCGGTCGGCGTCGGACGAAGCCGACGGCTCGCTGCATGAAGAAGTGTTGACAACGTCTGGGGCGGAGTGTGCGAAGCCGAAGTATGCTTGATTATGCAGCTTGCCGAATTCTCGAGATGAACAAGAACCCAAATGTCCGAGCGATGACGAGTACATGCGGCGACCCCAGCTACATCATAGAGTAATATACACAGACGTTTGGTTCAATACAAATCGTTCCCATAAATTCCTGGCTCTCAAGATTCTTTTTTCACACTAACACTCCTCATACTCCTCATGACTCGACCTTGCCAATGACTACATAACCGTCAATCAGCGGCTGCTCGTTGCGCGATATGGGGTAGGGGGTACTCACCAGTGTCAGGGGCGTACTTGGAGATAGCGTTGGCGGGGTGAATCATCTCAAACTCTTCTGTTGCGTCTCGTCCGGCGTAGAGCATGATGGCCTTTACACCTCCGGCTAAACAGAGCTATCAGTACCTTGCGTAAACATATCAGTCATCAAAAATCTCACGGTGGTCTTCCAAGAAGCTGTAAAGGAAGTCAGCATTCATTCTTCGTCGCGTTCACAATGACTCACTTGGTAACATCCAAGACCTGGCCGTTGATGATGACCCAGCAGTCTTCTTTCTTATTATGCTTGCCAACCTCTTCCACAGAGAAAACCTTCACCTCCCCATCACCTCCAGCTTTCTTTGCCCCTTTCCCTTTCCCTTCAGCCTCCTTCTTCTTCTCCTGCGTGGGTGGGAGATCCTCTTGCTCCACCTGCGCCACTGTCCTATCTCCTTCCTTGGCAGGCCCACTATCCGCTGGAACCTGATTCTGCTGCCCCTGCGACGAAGTGAACGGCACAGCCTGCCCACCTTCGGCCCAGCTGAATTCGAGATTGACATTCCTGGTGGAAGGGTCGATACGGACTTTGGTCTCGAGGAGGTGGTTTTGGATGTTGCCGAGACGGTTGGCGGCGGTTTGGTTGGCGAGGTTGGAGAGGAGGTAGGAGGAGACGCTGTCGCCTGCTACTCGGCCAAACACGACACAACCACTATTGTACCCAGTCAGCTCTCTGATACCTAACAGCTAGGAAGGAAGCTTACAGCAAAGAACTACCACCAAGTCGGTTGGCACCATGCACACCACCAGCCAGCTCACCACAAGCAAACAACCCCGGGATGGGCTTACTCTGGGCGTCATGCACGGAAGCATCAGGTCCGATCTCAAGACCGCCCATGGTGTAGTGCAGGACGGGCGTCATAATGGCGACGTGATAGGTGTCGTCCATTGAAAAGTCACCGCCAGCAAAAAACTTTTTGCCGAATGGGTCGGTTCCGGGGTTCTTGGCGTACTTGTTGTGTTCGTCGACTACGAGGTGGTCAGTCAAGTCACTTGGGTGGTGGGGTGGCGACTCACGAGTCTTCTTGAGCGCTTCTGGGGAACAGCCGATCTCTTTGGCGAGGTCGTTGCCGCTCGTAAACTTCTTCATGAGTCCTCGACCGACGTAGTGTTTGCAGTGCCACTCGATCTCTTTGCTGGAAGTGCTGTTCAATACAAGACGCACGGGGAACTACAGCGTATCAGCGCGTAATCGGCAAGACACACCAATTACTCACCTTGTTCCTCTCCCACATCTTGTTGGTCACATAGTCTCGATGCTGCAGCTCATCCACAAACCTCTCACCATCGTTATCAAGCAACAAACCGCCCACACCTCTGAGAGCCTCAGCAGCCAAGAACTTGACCTTGGCCTCGGGGTCTTTCGGGTCAACCAGACCGGTGGGATGGACTTGCACCTTCTCAAGGTCGACTCCCTTGGCACCGATAGCCATGGCCATCTTGTGGCCGTCGCCGGTGCAGTGGTCACCGTTGGTAGTGGGCAGCTCGTAATATTCTGGTCGGTGTTGCTTGAGGAGAGAGTCGGGTGTAAAGTCGGCGGCGTATCCTCCGGTAGCGAGGATGACTGGGCCATACTCGGTGTGCTGTAGAAGATTGTCAGCACATGGCTCAGTCCCAAAGATAAAAGACACCCACCTTCTTTCCTTCGCGGGTATACTCGACACCGATGATCTTGCCATTCTCTTCCAAAAGCTTTGATACTTGAGCCTTCTTGAGGATCTTGACCCGCTCCGGAGTAGCCTCCGCAAGGTCCTCCAGCTTTTCCATCAAGGCATATGTGATGGTCATACCAGGGAACTGCGCGCCGCCACGGTGGGTTCGCTTCTCCGAGTGTCCACCGAGACGAGACACCTTGGAAAGATCAAGCTGGAAACGCTCGACGAGCCAGTTGACGGCGGAAGCAGAGTTATAAGTGAGCACCCGGATCAGGTCGTCCCGAGCAAGATCTCGGGCAGACGTCTTGGTGTCATTGAAGCTACGAGGCCGGTGGTCAGCTGAACACACAATGAGATGGAGGTCATTTACAATTTGGCAGCAGTGTCGGGAATGTTGTTCTCCTGCTGAGCTTGGGTACCAGCACCGTTGATTCCACTGGTAGCCTTGGTCGAGTTACCGCCCATGAAGCTGTTCTTATCCAACAAGACCTGATCTCATAGTCAGTGTTGCGTTCCGCCTCGACAGACAGCCGCTACTCACGACATTGCCGCCCCTCTCGAGGATGGTGTGGGCTGCGCTGAGGCCTGAGAGACCGCCGCCGACGACGATGACCTTGGACGACATGGTGATTAGGGGCGATGGAATGATGGACCCGCCCTTGTATCTTATAATCTTATAGTCAGGCAGCCAACAGGATCGCACGCGTTTCTACCGCCGCGCCGCGCCGGACCACACAGTAGCCGGTCGCTTACGTAATCCCAGGTGGATCCTCTCGGCCACCATAATAATATTATGCATTTCATCAGCTGACCATCTCTGTGCTCCGGGTTTGGAGGATGTATTGAACCAGATACCAATAGCATGACATGACGAGAATGTCCCTAGATACAGAGGTGGAAGAAAAAGGAGAAGGAAAATGAGAATGTATATTGCAATGTATATTATTGCTTCTATAACACATTTCGGTTGATTTGTTTCGACTATGGATTAAAACTTCTACGGAACCCTGATACTTCGAGTTATAGTCACTACACCACACTCGCGCACCTTAGATCCCTACACAACTACCTACACACAGAAAAAAGTAAAGAAAGAGGGTGTTTAAGCCTTCTTGGTAGTAGGCTGGACGACGACTCGCTCGTTGCTGGGGTAGAAGATGTCGTCGTGGGGGTCTAAAACCAAACGTTAGCGTGTGAATCACATGGTTGAAGGAGAACGTACGCCTGTAGAGGGGCTGCTTGAGCAGCTTCTGGTCAAGGTAGTGACCGATGAAACCGATACTCCTACCGAGAACGAAGAGACCGTTCAAAGAACCGTTCTTCAAGTACTCGGCGGCCTCCTCCTCGGTGAAAGCGCCACATCCGCTGACAAGGTCACAGAACGAAGCGGCAATGGCACCGTCAACGTTCAAGATCAAAGAGCCACTCTTCTGGGTGGTGACCTCCTCGACGGCAAGAGCAAAGTCAAGAGTCTTGTGGTTGGGGAAGTGCTTCTTGACAAAGTCGACAACGAGGACGACTCGGAGATCGGGGTTGGTCTTGGACTTGATCTTGTGGCCGATACCGGGGATAAGCTTGTTGGCCTTTCGCATAGAGTCGACAAACTCTCGGGGGGTCAAGCCAGAGTTGAGACCCTTGGAGAACTCGGCAGCGGCACCGTCGAGGGCACCACCGAATCGGTCACCGATGGTCAATAGACCAGCGACGAGGGAAGAGATGAGGTCCTTGCCGGCACGGGCAGTGATGATGGTGTTCATGGCACCAGAGACGGCAGGTCCGTGGTCGGCAGTGAGCTGGAGAACCATCTCGATAAACTTGCCGGCGTAGGCGGGGAGTCGTCGCTTGAACCAAAGGAGGGAAATGACACCACCGATACCGATCTCGTCCTTGAAGACGTCAGAGATACGCATACCAGCGTACATGAGCTCCTGGCCTCGCTCGTCGGAGATGGTAGAGATGAAAGCGGCGGGCTTTCGGATGAGACCAAGTTTCTACAGCATCATTAGCAATGCTTCAGTAGAACTTATAATGACTTACAGAAGCCCAGTTGTAGTCCATGGGGATCTGAGGAGGCTCAATCTCGGTCTTGGGCACAATCACACCCTTGCTGACAAGCTGAGAGTAGACATCCTTAAGAGTCTCGGGCAAGTCCTCGAAGGTGTCGGGGACGATAAAGCCAGCGGCCCTCATGGCCCTGTTCTTGGCATCGGCAGTCTCCATGTCAGAGTTGGCCATGGAACCGGCGTGACCGAACTGGACCTCGGAGGTGAACATCTTGGCACAAGTACCAATGGCCCAAGCGACAATGGGCTTCTTGATGATACCCTGCTTGACGGCCTCGATGACTCGGTACTCCTCATTACCACCAACCTCACCAAGAAGCAAGAGCATCTTGCACTCGGGGTCGGCCTCGTATCGGAGCAAGTGGTCGATGAAGGAGGTACCGGGGTATCGGTCACCACCAATGGCAACACCCTCGTAGACACCGTTGGTGGTGTAGGAGAGAATGTTGTTGAGCTCGTTGGACATACCACCAGACTTGGAGACGTAACCAACGGAACCGGGTCGGTAAAGCTTGCACGCAATCAAGTTGTCCATCATACCACCAGTGTTACCAATCCTGAAGCATCCAGGCTTGATACCACCAACAGTAGCGGGACCGATGATGATGACCTTCTTCTCGACAGCGAGCTGAAGGAGCTCTCGGGCGTGTCGCTCGGGGACACCCTCGGCAATGATACCGATAGCCTTGATCTGGGGGTAGGAGAGGATCTCGAGGGTAGAGGCGTAGACGGATCGGGAAGAAGCAAAGTTGACGACGACGTCGACGTCGGGGTGCTTCTTGGTGGCCTCACCAACAGAGGTGTAGACGGGGAGGAGAGTCTCCTTGGTACCCCAGTAGAACTTCTGGATGTGGTGACCGCCGAAGGGGTAGATCATGGCAGCGACGGAAGGAGTCTTCCTGCCGCAAGAGAAGTCAAAGTCGAGCATACCCTGGATGGCTCGGGGCTGGAGACCAAAGACGAAAGACCTGGTGTTGTCGTCGAAAGGTCGGAACCAAGGTCGAGAACCGGCAAGGGGCTCAGTCTCGAATCGGACAATGTTGTCGTTGGGCTGCTCTCGGCTACCGTCAGAGTTGACGACACCGACGTTGCTGCTCTTCTGCACGGGCTCCGCAATGCCGTTAGGGGGAGTGCCGGGGGCAGAAGGGAGAGGGGTGACATCCCTGGTGAGGGCAGAGACGGGTCGCCCAATGCCGAGAGCCATGGGGACAATGGCAGTGATGGGCGACTCGGGACCGTAGACCTTCATGAAGACACCAAGGGACTCGCCACAGAGACGCATGGCCTTGAGACCTTCCTGGTAGTTGGGACCAGCTCGGCGGACCCAGATCTTGACGTTGTGTCGAACGAGACCGTCCTTGTACTCCTTGAGGGCTCGGATGATACCCTTGAAAGTAGCGGCAACGTCAGAGAAGTTGGCGGCACCACCACCGATGATGAGGACCTTGCCCTCGGGGTGAGGGGTACCACGGGTGATGAGGTCGATGATGGTCTTGGCGTACTCGTAGGTTTGGCCCTCAGTGGGGGCACCAGAGTATTCACCATAGTTGGCGAGCTCGTGGGCGTAACCCGCGGCAGCAATGGCGTCAGAGTAGACGACGGAAGCACCACCACCGGCAACCATGGTCCAGACACGACCCTGGGGGTTGAGGACGGTGAGCTTGAGGGAAGCACCGGTAGAAGCGTCGAGCTTCTGGATGTAAGCCTCCTCCTTGGTCAAGTCACGACCGAAGGGAGCGGGCCAGACCATGGGAGGTCCACGGTCGGCCTTGATACCGGCAGAAGGCTGACCGGCAGAAATGTCACGGGCGATGGCCCACTTGGGACCACAGAGGAAGTCGGCGGTCTGGTCAAGCTTGGCGGCCATGTCGAGGTAGTGGATCTCGGCGGGCTTGCCGGGGGCGGCATCAAGGACGACGAGGGGGTTGATCTCGAGGTAGGCGACTACGAGATGTCAGCAGAGTCTCAAAAGCATAGTAATGTACGCACAGTGCAAGTCAACGTAGACACCGTAGAGCCTGATCAAGAAGTCGCAAAGGACGTCCTGCTTGGCAGGAGCGACGTGAGCGAGGAGAGAGCTGATGACGGTCTCTCGGGTAGGGAATTGCTGGCCAACGGGGATGAGCAACTTGAGAGCCTTGGCATCGACATCTCCAACATCAACACCACCCTCGCTGTGATATGGTCAGCCTTGTCCGCCAGCACAGACACGCGCAACGAACTGGGTGAAGAGGATCCAGTCACCCTCGCGAGCAGAGTTGATACAGACGTAGTACTCGGTGTCGGCAGGGTGGGGGGTGAAGGGCTCGATGATGAAGCTGCTGAGAGTACCGGTGGTCTTCTCAACAGTGACGGGCTTGCCGGCCCTCTCCTCGATCCAAGCACCAGTCTCCTGCCACTCCTTGTTGAGACAAAGAAGGCCAGCCTTTCCTCGTCGCTTGATCAGCTGGTCAGGCTTGCCGACAAGCTTGGAGCTGAAGACCCATTCAGGGAGACCCTGGCCGGGCTGGATGGGAGGGGAGAGCTGCTTAGTAGCGGGGTCCCTTTGAGACAGTGAGCGACGAGTTCCGGGCACTTGTTGAATGGGCCTACCATTGAACCTGAGCCACTTGAACAGGGGCCAAGAGAGATTCGGTCTTGGTGGGGATGGGGGTAGGGGAGCGGTTAAGCCAGTAGGAGACGAGCTGCTTGGCGTCGTATTCTCGGATAGCTACGGAGAAGGCGTCAGCTTTAGATTCGACCACAGATCTTGCCAGAAAAAAGTCGGAGAGGGACATGTTTCGGGCGACTGAGCGTCTAACACGATGCCGAGAGGGATACAGTGGGAGGTATGTGGGTGGGGGAAGGGCCCGGGCTCGCGTAAAAGTGTGAGATAGCAACGGACGCCAGAGAACGCGACAGATTCAGAGGGTCCATGTGGCAGTGCCGAAGCCTGAACAAGAAGGAATCCCAGGGCGCTGTGTGTCTATTGCGACCACGGCCATGGGTACTCTGACGGACCGCCGAGTCCCCAGAAGCCAGTGAGGTCGAGTGGAGTCAAACGTAACACATATGCCGACAAAAGCTGAATATAGCACCACAGATACTGAGACAACAGCTGAACGACGCGCGGGCCGCTGTTGGCGACGAGACGTGATTCGACGCCACGTGCGAGAAGAAGAGGATGGAGCCAAGAGATGGAGAGCGACTGACCCTTGGTAGACATGTTGGAGAGACAAGTGTATGCTCGTGTAGGATGTGTTAGGCTGGGAAGGGTGAGCTCGGCGTTGGGTGGAGAGACGCAACGGACGGTGGGGGAGGGGGGGAGAAAGAGGCGGGGGAGGCGAGGGTGGGGTGTGCGGTGTAGTGACTAAATAGCCAAGGAAAAGGAAAAGAGAGGGATGGATCTCTTTATGTGGTACGAGTCCACCCTTCCCCAATCCCGTCCCTGACTCCCCAACAAGAATTTGGTGGAGGCAGCAAAGGCACAATCTTTATCCACGTGCCCCCTTACGGCATCTTAGCGCCTGCGATATGCTTCAACACGCAAGCCTCCGAGTCGGGAGCAGCTCCACTATTCAATTCGGGCTACCGCTACCACCTCGCTGCTGCCAAAATCCGCTGACCGCCAAAGTGAGTCTTCGAGAAGATAGTCAAATTGCATGAGCAGTGCTCTAATTAAAATGCCAGAGACAGACTCGCTCTGATACACTACCGACACCCGCAGCAGGCTGCAACGCCGAAGTACGAGTACGAGTATAGTACAAAAGGAAGCACGCGACGCGAGGAGCAAACTTCAAAAGAAAGAACCATCACCCTTCCCTTCATCCTCAACTCTGGAGCGCCTCTCCCCAAGCCCCAGTTTCCCTTCGATTTCAACGAGCAGCGCAATAGCACTCAGCCTCCTTTCATTCGGTGCAATGACCGTGGCAAATGGCCCGGGCTTACCGGTCCCCAATGAGCTTGAGCAACAGCTGAGGGTTTGAACGAACTCTTTTTCAAGTCATATCAAAATCAAAGCTCTTTCGAATCGTCTATAATCATACCCTAGCACTCACAACCCACACACTCCCCCATTTGCAGCTTGATAGCCCAAACATGACTGACAAAACCAGCTGCAACAGCATCGTTGACGAGCGACGGGAGCGGGTTGCCCGACAGCCTGTGAAACTGTCACTCTTGACATCTCTCCCCAAGCAGAAGCGCAGCTCGTAAGTCTTCAGCCATCTCCGATGATTTCGAATGAGAAGAGCACATGCTGAACCCTTCATAAAGCTCGTTGCGCCGTAAAACGAGACCTCGGCGATCTTCCTCTCCCTCCTCTTCCACTCCCAGCAGTACCCCGACCAGCCCCAATTCACCGCGTATCTACCGTCTCACATCGACCAAGTTTAAGATCGTACTGCATGCGCAGATCAAAATCAAGTTATCTTGTTAGCATTCTATGATGTAGTCGAGTAGCGCACAGTATTATCAGGACGGCGGGATGGGCGCAGATGCACAGATGTTTCTGCAGCAAAGGTAATATTATTGCGAGACAAAGTAAGACCCTTGGTACCATATAGAGCTTCATGTCCATCTACAAACACTTTCAAACTCGTCTCTTCGCCAGCTCTTCGCATCATGTTGAGTCATATAGCCGTGAATGAGAAGCGGACATTGCCGCATCTCCGGCAAGCGCGACGCGTCCGGTTGACTGGACTGTGATCTTTTCGACATTACCCATTCTTCCCTTCCATACACATCCCCACCCGCCCCCTCATCTGCCGCACCATGGCATCGTCTTCGCAGACCCTCGTCAAGCTCGACTTCAAGGAGACTCTCATCCAGCAGGGCAAACGCGAGACTACGGATACCCTGCTCAAAAGATTGAAGGTCTGTCCCGCGACGCGTCCGTATATGGGTGATTCTGACTCTGAGCTGGTAGACTTTAAGGCAGAAGCTGTCTGTTCTTGAGCAGGATGCCACCGACACGAAAACCCTGGATCCTGTGAGGAAGCCGCTCATCCATCAAACAATATTACATCACAAAGAGTAAGTCGCGCGTGAAAGCTCCGCACACCATGGCTGACGCGTGAACAGTCGAGGAGTGCGAGTGTACGCTGCTTGCTGCCTGGCCGACTTGCTGAAATTATACGCACCGGATGCGCCTTACAGCGATGTCCAGCTCCGGGTGAGTCCCGCGTATGAGAAATCGAGCAGCTCTGACCCCCTCTCAGGACATCTTTCAATTCTTCCATACTCAAATCACCCAGAACCTTCGCCCCACCACTTCTCATGCGCGCCCGCAAGGAAAGAACAAAGCCCCCGACGCGTCCCAGACTACGCTCAACCAGCGAATCACCGACATTCCCTACTATCCCGATTATTATTACCTTATCGAAAGTCTCGCGACGATCAAGAGTATTGTCTTGATCTGTGACGTCCCTGGAGCGGAGGAACTCATGGATGGTTTCTTCAGCGGCTTCATCGAGATTGCGAGGCCGGATATGAGCAAGACGCTCATGAGATACATGCGGGATGTGCTGGTGTCGATCATCGAAGAAGCGAGTACGCTCCCGCAAGGGGTGATGGACAGCATCATCAACGAATTTGTGCAGCACTCTTCTGTAAGTGCTCATTAATCATATGTTATCCCATCTACTCACATCTCGTAGAAACCAGAGACGCCCTCGTTCCAGCTTATTGTCGACGTCTGCAACGAAGTTGCCGACAAGCTCAAGCATCCCTTCTACGCCCACTTCTCCCAGATTCAGCTCGACCATGGTGTTGACCCCAGCCCCAACGACCTCAAGATTCTCTCTCAATCCCACGACCTTCTCCTCACCATCAATCGCTTCTGTCCTGATACTCTCTTGCTAGCCGTCCCGCGTTTGGAGGAAAACTTGCAGGCGGCGGATGAAGTCCCTCTTCGTTCGCTATCCACTCGAACGTTGGGCCACTTGTTTACGCAACGAGCAGGGGCTGGTGGAGCCGGTACAAGTGGTGATGACAATCCGGCGAAGAAGTATCCTTCGACATGGAGGGCGTGGCTCACGAAGCAAGTGGACAAGGCAGTGCCTGTCAGGCTGGCTTGGGTGGAGACGACGAGGGGTATCTTAGTAAATCACCCCGCTGTCAGGCAGCAGCTGGAGGGTGAGCCATACTTTAATATCTTTGACAGTACTGATGCTGTACAGAGGCTATGGTCGGCCGTCTGGCAGATCCTGATGAGAAAGTTAGGGGAACCATGAGCAGAGTGTTGGGTTCGTTAGACTATGAGACAGCTCTTCACCATGTTCAGCCCAAGACGCTTCGAGCTCTGGGTGATCGTATACTCGACAAGAGGGTGAGCGTATTAAAGATCATACAAAGATCATCCGCTGACTTTGGGATAGTCATCAGTGCGAAGCGAAGCGTTGAACGCGTTGGCCAAATTGTGGGAATCAGCGTTCTCCGAGATGTGAGTAGCCAGAACAGGTGACTGAACGTCAGCCGCTAATGACCCTTCAGTGAGGCTGGTGACGATGGAGCGATCAAGCAGTTCGGGTGGATTCCTCAAGCCATCATCGCTGCTATCCTCAAGGGCGAACTTCCCATGGACATGAGGTGAGTCGCGTCGACCCTGGTCGCCTATGGTGCTCATACAAGACACAGGGCGCAAATCATCAGTGTCTTCAAAAAATCCATCCTCCCCCTGCCGGCGGACGGGGACGACGACGAAGATTGGGTGGACAAGTTCTTGCTTGTCGCATCTACATTGGACGAGCATGCGCAGAACGGTTTGGTCAATCTGACAAACCTCAGAGGCATCGCTGAAGGCACATATCCCTTCGCTGCTTTTGCCGAGTTCTGTGAAAAGTATCAGGGTGGTATGAGTGACAGTCCGACCGATCTCAAACCTCAAATGAACTATCTTGTACAAGCTGTTTCCAGTGAGTTGCTAGCTGTCCTCTGCTGAGCATGTGAACAAGGCTGACGATCCACAGCCAAAGTCTTTGGTGACTCACAACAGGCTAGAAAACATATACAAGCCTTTGTCGATCTGAATGAGCCCAGGCTTTACAAGCTCTACAGGACATGTGTCGACTTTTCCTCTAGTCTCGCTAACATCATCAAAGCTCGTGTAAGTCGCATTGTGCACACTTCTGGCTCCAGCTTATCGTTGGCTAGAATGAGTTCTTACGTCGAGTCCACCAATCTCACGAAGACCTCCTCCCGGTTCTCACCGTATTACTCGACAACTCTGCATTCGATCTCATCAACCACTCCAGCATTCCCACCTTACTCAAGCGTCTGCAAAAGCCGGATTCCACCAAGCGTGCGGCTACAACTTCCCGTTTCCTTGTGGTCATCGCAAAGGAATGCGCGCCAATGTACAAGACGCATGTGGCGGAACTTGTTGCGTGTATATCGGACAAGAAGAACACGAAATTGGTAGAGGTGGCATTGCAAGGGCTGGCTGCTGTGAGCAAGGTTTGCCCGGATGTGGCACCTAATGAGAGGTATGTCAACATTTTCTCTTTCGGTATCTGGGAGGTGATTCTGACTGTCTCGGCGTAGTCGACTTATTGAGAGGGTCATCAAACTTGGTCATGAGGGCACCTATCGACAGGGAAAGTTCGCCGCCCGTTTCCTCGGCAAGATTCAGAACTCTGACCTCAACTGTGGCAAATTGATCGACGTGAGTGACCGCTACGCCCGTCGTCTTGCAATCTCACACTTTTGCAGGCCATCTTGAAAGCCATCGACTATACGGAGGAAGGGGCGTATGAAAAACACCTGACCTATCTTACCGCCTTCACCGAACTTGCTCGAGCGTCTCCCAAGACTTTCACCGCCAAGGTCAAAGAAATCATCAAGTATGTCTTGGACGAAATAATGCTCCAACCGTCCCCGTCACAAGAAGTAAGTCAGATGCTTCAAGCGGCAACTTCACCGTCTGATCTTTGTCTTCTAGGTGGATGGAGATGAGTGGGTGAACATCGACGAGTTGGAGTCCCTCGACCACGCAAAGATTATCGGCCTGCGACTCTTCACAAGCTACTGCCTGACATTCGTCAAGGATCCAGAGGCCGAAGAGCTGCTCAAACCGGCACTCAATTTGTTGACATCGGTCCTGGGTAATGACGGTATGGTCGACCAGAATACTGCAGAAGGGTGAGTTTGTGATGATTCGCCATCTGAAGCTTGCTGATATCTCCCGATAGTGGCCCAGCTAGGTGTCACATGCGTTTGCGAGCTGCGCTCTGCCTTCACAAACTGGCCCAAGCACCAAGATTCGAAAAGATCATCACTGCCCCTGACAACTTTGAGCTTATGGGTGGTTGTGTCCAGGTTCGTCTTTGTCGCCGCGAGCCCTCTCGAGATTCAAAGGCTAATGTATCATAGGATCCTTGCTTCATGGTTCGAAACATATGGTTGAAAAAACTACAAAAGAACCTGAAGTACCAGACTATCTCTCCCAAATGGAATATCATTCCGGCATTGGCAGCCATGGATCCTGATCAAGACAACATCATCATTGTCAGTCCTCTTTCCCCGCGTGCTTTAGAATCTGGACTGACTTCGACTCACAGGCGAAGTCTATCCTTACAAATATACCCCGACGCTGTAAACAGAAACCTGCCGATGGTGCGTTGAGTCACATACTCGTAGTGGATCCCATACTCACCTGTCCCAGTTCGGATACAACATATCGAACTTCCTTTCTCTCGACTGATACTCCACCTCGCTCATCATCCGGACCTCAGATGGCACGAAGCCGACGAGGATGAAGAAGACAACGAGGACGATGAAGACGACGATGAAGCGGAGAAGAAGCCAAAAGTCAAGGAAGGCATTACTGATATCCAGAATTTGAAAGAGATTGCTAGGTGCGTCACCTCTATAGCCATCATTTCAAACTGACCAAGCTCCTCAGGTTCATCGAACTTTACCTCGACTGCCTATCTCACAAAGACAACATCGGTCTCTTCTACTACATCGCCGGGCAAATCAAATCCTTCCGCGATAGATTTCGAGAGAACAACAAACCTCTCTATGCCCTTTCCGAGCTTGCGCAACTAATCATTCGTAATCGGGCCGAGAAACATCAATGGCCCTTACAGGTCTACAACAACCGGATCGCGCTGCCCAAGGACTTGTTCCATAGGCCGGATAACCCAGAAGAGAGAGCCAAAACACAAAAGACGCAGTTCTTGAGCGAGGAGGCGAGAGCCTGGGCGAAGTCGCTCGGGAAAAGGGCTATCGGAGGGCTGAACGTTGTACGTCCCTTTGTTGATGGTGCAAGCAGGCTCTGATAGACTTCTGTAGCGTCGACCAACCGACTCGAACGCATCCCCTCGTAAACGGCACCAGACCGCTCGAAAAGTTGGAGCCCCTCGCAAGAAGCGGCGTGTCGACACATCTGATGAAGACTCGGACGGCTCGTCCAGTGTCTCAGAGTCCGATGTAGAGACCATTGTTGGCGACGTTGCCCAGGAGTCTGGTGACGATGAGGATGACGAGGCCGTGATGGGCCGCGGGGGCCGGAGGGGAGCGAAGACGAAAGCGAAAAAGATTGTCAATAAGAAGAAGAACAAGGCGGGGAAGAAGTCTGAAGGGGCAAACGCGAAGAGCGACCAGATGGACATTGATGGCTCATCGTAGGAGGATTAGCGACATCTTGCTGGCATGGTCGTGCGCTTTGACGTCGTAATTATTTTCTTACTTTTGCGGGTTTCGGGCTCTATATACGCTTCATCATTACTTTGATTGCTATTATATGTATGGTTACTCCTGATGATCCAGGTCCAGTCAAGCTTCACCGGTACATATCACTGTACATTGAGCTAGCCGAAGGCTTTACAGAATGGTTCTATGACCTTGACAAGATTTACAGCTCCCCATCATTGTCCAGGCCTGCCCCTCGTCGAATTCTGAGTAGCTCCGCGCGCGTAATTCTCTGGAGTTTCCATGCAGTCAGTATTATCCTCGTCGAAGGTTGTTGTGACGCACGCTTTTATCACAAAGAGCTCTGAAGATGGACTCGGATCTATCAAAGAGATCAAGAGGCGAGTCGAACTCGGCGACTTCGCCAGCGTCCATGACCAAGATACGGTCGTAGTACGCCACTGTCTGCAGTCTATGTGCGATTGAGATAATCTACCATTGCCAGCATTGTCAGTATTGGAATTATCAGCTGTCTTCCTTGTACACACAGTTGTATTCGAGAATTGTGACTGGATGATTCTCTGGATGAGGGCATCTGTTTTCGGGTCGACCGAAGATGTGGCTTCGTCAAGTAAGAGTACTCTGCACCCTCTCACTAATGCCCTTACTAGCGCCACTGTAGATCTCTCATCAGCATCTGGCATGATTCAATCTTGACTAAGCTAGGTCCTTACAAAGCTGTCTTTCTCCCGCACTGAAGTTTGAGCCTTCATTCCCAACCATCGCATCTAGCCCAAACTTAGCTCGGAGATCAGAGGAAGAGTCGCCAGCATGTATGAGATTGAGCGCGTCGTTCATTTCGGCATCCGTGTGAGTGTTGGATGGATCGATGTTTTCGCGGACAGTACCGCCAAACAAGAAGGTATCTTGGGGGATGATAGACAAGCGTTGTCTCAACTGTCACACTGATCAGAACCTAGCGATTGTGTCACGGCTACAGCAGTAATTTACTCACAGTATCAAGACCCAGGTCTTGCAGATCTCTATCGTCAATGACGATACTACCACCTGATATCTCAACTGTCCTGAAGAGGGCCTGAGCAATACTACTTTTTCCAGCCCCAGTCCGCCCTATCACGCCGATCTTCTCTCCCGGGTGAATATCGAAGTTCAGCCCCTTAAGAACAAGTGGAAGATCTGGCCAATATTTGAGTTGGACGTCCCGGAACGATATGGCACCGTGAGACGGCCAAGGGTCAGAGGGTGCCGGATCGGAAGGCAGAGATGGGGAGGCTTCCGTGGGAAGCGCGCCATAGTGTTGAACTCGTTCTACGTTATTCTGTAACATATGAGCGTCGCCTCTTTCTCAATTCTTCAGCCCATAGAGAGACGATTCACCATTTCTTGTTCGACCTCCGCCACCCAACCAATCAGTCCCGTCAAAGCTGATAGGTGTTCAGTGAAGACTCATCGTCGAGGCGGGTGTGTTTGCCGGAATGGCAGTTCACTTACTTGATGATGTAGCGATAACGTAAGTCAGTACAACACCAAACTGAGAAGGAGCGACTGTGTTTCGGAAGATCACACCAAATACGGCCACAAACTAAATATGACTTCAGCTCACGACTGTCACCAGTACAGCTGAGAACGCGTACCAGAATCAGGAGGTAGCTCATGAAATTGATCCGAAGTCCAGCCCAAGAGCCTTGTATAAATTTCTGTCGGTCGTATCAGCATTCGATTGTTTTGACATCTAAAACCAATCAATGAATGTCGCCCCGAACTTACCCCACACATCACCGTCGCCATTTCCACGTCCACTGATTTCTCGAGTCTTTGATTGTAGTTCGATTGCTGATGGAAGGTACGAATGACAGGGAGACCAGCCAGCTATACCGTACGGTCAGTTGGGACTGAACGAGATCGGATTGCGGGTGGCTTACTTGTTCCCCAAAATTTACGTATACGTGACTTCGTGCCACTGACGACAGTCTCTGTAGATCACGAGTGGTGACTCTGTAGTAGACAAGCGAGACGAACTGTGAGCACAGGAGGAGCACAGGAGTCAGCAGAAAGCCGCATCGCAATATTCTAGGAGAAAGGATGCGTAACTCACGTCATAGATGTAAACGGGAATGAACAGAAGAGCGATCCATGGATAGACGTAGAGGATCAGGGCAAGCGTTCCAAAGATACTCAGCACAGCACTGCAGAGATAGGGAGTCAGTGATGCTTCACATTTCGAGGCGAGTGGTAGCTAACTTTGCAACGAGATACCATACGTCCGGCAAGCGGTCATCGAGATTTTCGATATCTGTCAGTATCTTGTCAGCATCTTTCAAAATATAGGTTTCAGCTGTACCTTTTGTCAAGCGGTTTATGATACGTCCGGTCTTGATTTCAAATGTCAGCATGCAGTAGCTTCATGTTCGAGTGAACGATCGATAGGTTGGGGAGTCTTACCGGAGTGCGATGGTGCCAGCCCGTTGGACTTCTGATGACTCCGTTCCATGCTTGATTGAACATGGTGTATGATGCTCCAATTCCAGACAAAAATATTGTATATATGGCACCAAACTGCAAGATGATTAGTACCTGATCTATGACACGACGACTCGGTGGCTGTACCGCAAAGAGAGCCATCATGGCACCAAGGGCTGTGAGTCTGATTAGTAAGAAAGCCAAAGCTGATGATGTCATCCACATAAGAGACAGCTCACCTCCATAGATAGCCATGTATTCGCCTTGTCTAAGACTATCATACTTGTCTTCTGACCAGAAGCCTAAGAACAAGGAGTTGAAAACGGTGGCCGCTTGGGAGAGAAGCAAGAACGACACCACCAAAATAGGCAGAATCCACGAATTGATGGCCTGGCCGTACTTGCGGTAGACTGTCCAGCTGATAGACCCTTCGGCCATCTCCTCGTCTAAGATGAGTTTTGTTTCCTCGACCTTCTTAGTTGCAGAAGTAGGGTCAGTCTTTTCGGCGCCTGTATCAGCGTCATCGGCTGTCTGATCTATTGCCCCTTCAATGTCTTCCACCTCAGAAATGCTGCTGGAAGAAGACTCGTGTGTAGTCGATCCAAATTGACTGATCAACGTTTGGAACGTCCCCGTATTCGCCATCAATTGCTATGATAGTCGTTAGCAGTCAAGTAACGAGAAACAGCTCCACCATTCGAACTTTATAGCTTCCTTGCTGAATGATGCGCCCATCTCCGTTCTCATCCCTGCCCATGACCAGGATGATGTCGGCAAGATGCAAGCTGTCCAGGTGATGAGTCACCAGGACACGAGTACGGCTACTCAGTGGGCCATTGAGAATACAGTTCTGAAGGAGATGATTTCCCACGTGCGCATCGACTGCAGATAATGGATCGTCCAGAAGGACGACAGGGGTCTGCGCGTAGGCAGCTCGAGCAATGCAGATGCGCTGTCGCTGTCCGCCGGAAAGTGTGATACCTCTTTCACCGATTTGAGTCCTTGACGTCTGTCAGCTCAGATATCGTGTCAAAGAGCTCAGCTTACAAGATGCCTTGCGGCCACATCTCGACATCACGCCTCAAAGCACATGCTTCAACAACGTCCTCGATGCGAGCTGAATCAACGTCCTCAGGCGAGCAAGAGAAGGTGATGTTGTCTCTGACCGATCCCGACTGTACCCATGCGTGCTGGGGAACTGATGAAGCGCGCATAATCAGCGTCAACATTTAGTGAACTGTCCAAGGGAGACGTACCGTAGCTGACGCTACCACCAAACACAACTTCGCCCTCTGTGCGCTTCATCTCATTAAGGAGACCCGAGAGAAGTGCCGTTTTGCCAGTAGCCACACTGCCGACTACACACACAAGCGATCCTCGAGGGATCTGTAGATCAATATCTTTCAGAGAGAATGGGATTTTGTCAATAGCACCCGGCGACTTCTCGTTGGGACCGGCGTCGGCGGCGTCATCAGGCTTCTCGTAAGGGGCGAGCTGTTGTTTGCCCTCCTCTTCTTCGACAGGATTCAGCCTTTCGTACTGGAAGCACGCCTTGGCCTCCACTCCATAGATCGAAGATTCGTCAATCTTGATGTCCTGTTCGAACTCTTCGGCCTACATAAAGGTCAGGTCTGTCAGGTCTAGAGAGAAGCAAGATATACTGACCTCAAACAGCTCAGACAGACGCCCTGGGCAGATAGTCAGCATGTATACAATCGTCTGCCCATCCTATGTCTCAATTTCACTTACGAACAGCGACTTTGGCCTCACTGAAACCAGAGATGATTCGTGGGAGCATTGTCAACGGCGTTCTCATGACGTTGAAATATTGCAGAGACGAAAAGATTATAGCAGCATCGAGATCATGTCCGCTGAGAGAGTAAGTGATATATGTCACTGCAACGAAAGTGGAGTCAGCAATGTGATTTGTAGTGAGACTAAAACTTACTGATAGCAGCGAGCGTAGGTATGAAAGCGACAATCATAGTCAGGCTTGACTTTCCAACACAATTGGATCTCAGTTTGTCGAGCTCCTTTTTTCGCATCTTACCAATCCTGGCAGCCCATATCTTCTCATAAGCATAAAGCTTGACAGCCCCAATGTTGTTGAGAACTTCTGAGAGCAGGCGAACGCGGGTATCGATTATCTCTGTTTGAGCTTTGCGAAGCTTGGAAATGCGTCTGAACATGAAGGTTTTGTATGGGCCGGTCAACGCGAGAACGCCAATACCGACCAAAGCGGAGTACCCCAGAGTGTAAATTAAGAGCGCTGTACCCAGGATGATGGAGAGGGGTGCGGAGGTGATGTCAAGGCTAATGTGACAAAGAGCATCCTAAGCCAATTTTAGAGATCTGAAGCTTTGAGGTTGAGAAGTATCCACATCAAACCTACAATAGACGAGCAGTCTACCGAGACCATAGTCGTCAAGCGGCCATTGGTCATCACTGATCGTGACTTGCTGGAGAGCCTCCTATATGGTAATTCAGCACGGTGTAGCTCAATGGGTCAAATGGTCCGTACATGGACTTGCGGGCGATCATGGCAATGAGCTATTATGGTGTCGGACCGGAGTTAAGAACATCCATTTGACTCGGAAACCATAGCGGACTCACAGCAGACCTCAACTTCTTCCCCATCAAATTCGCTCCAAACCACGTAGGATACATCAGGAATGATGAAGCAGCGAGCATCGACCACAGTCCAAAAGCGACTCCGAGCATGTATCCAACCGACTTGGGTCGCTGTATGTCGTTAAGATCCAGCCCTGACTTGGTGGCTTGATGGTAATTGTAAGCGATCGTGAGCTGAGTGATAAGTATCTTCGTGACAAGGGGAGCGGTGAGCCGGAGAACCTCTGCCATGATATCAGTAAAACCCTAATGAATAAGGCAATATGTGACCAGTCCACCGAGGGGGACTCACGAGCCATAGAGTTGACGCTGTTGTTATAGGTGAACATCCTCCATATGGTAAAGTACAACGCTTTTGTCAAGCTTCGGTCATACACTCTCCCGTCCTCCAAAATCACGTCTCCGTTTTGTACCTTCTTTCGCATTCTTCTGGAGAGCTTGGTTCCTTCCTGAGATTCATGTTTCTGGGAAGAAGGGTACACGCGACGGGAAGGGTCGTAATAGCCAGCAGGCCTCTTGGAAGGAGGTACTCGCCTCATGTAATGTCGCTCGAGTTCATCCCCAAGCTGATGAGCAGTATGAGCGGTCCATGCAAATAGTAGATGTCTCAAGAAGTGGCCCGAAAGGACTGTCTATACTTACAGTCTTACTACTGAGATCAGGTGTTATATCCCATATATCTGTGTAAAAGGTTTAGTTGATTCAATCTGGGATCCCATCTACTGACCGTCTTGTTGAATGGGTCTCGACCACGCAGCCTTGATCATAGGTGCTATCCATTGCAGAAAGAACTTGCCGGCAAAGCTCGCGTTGCTATACGGTAGCGGCTGATTCTTAAAGATCCCCGGCGGTGCAGCGGTGGGTTTGTAGAAGGGAATGATCATGGTTAGAGAGTTGTGTGATGGGTAGGGGGGGCTGCGATCTTCAAGTCTCGGGAAATGGGTCATTTATAACAAGCCATCAGTCCCTTGAGTCACGTTCGCTATCCCAGGGCTTCGTCTCAGCGGATTTTGCCAGACAAGGCAAGGCATAAGGGACACCATAAGGCCCCCGAGCTTCTTTCCGGCTCGTTTGTTGTTGAAAGAAGCTTGCGCTGTTTTTGGCTCATGCTCCTTTCACAGGCAATCGAAAGGTTTCATGAGGGCAAAGGTTGATCGAGACAAGAGGCAGGTTTCTGTCGCTAAAGGAGGCGCCGCCGAAAGAAGTCCGCGAGGCTGGTGGCCTATTCTTATATGAGCCACTCTGTATCGTAAGCTCAGCTACAGAGAACAAGGCGTGGAGTGCGAGTGACCCGTACGGTTCCCAGTCCGCTCCACTGATATGCAGTCTTGCCATTCAACGACCACAGCCGGCTAAAACAGAAGCTCACGCGACGATTGTTTTGCGATTGTTTCAAGTTTGCGATTGTTGTTCATGTCAAGTTCATGTTGTTGCCGAATGCCGAATGAAGAGACTTACGTAATGCGCCCCCGATTTCTTTCTCCGCCGCCGCCGCCGCCGCTGCTACGAAACGGTTGGTGTATAGTTCTCTGTAGCTTTTTCCATCTCCACAACCACATCGGTTTCGCCATACCTTACTCCCAGCTGCAAGACTACCCCACAATAATGGCGGACGAAGAAGTAGACTGGGGAATGGATGAGCAGGAAGACGAATGGCGCGGAGGTGGTCTAGACGATTCTGCAAGGATCGACGACGATGTAATCTCTCTCGAGGGGGGCGATGATGATGGTGAGTACTTGTCTCGAGGGAGATACAGTATGAGGGCGGCCGGTGGACGCGGTTCTGGGTACTGGGCTGACATTCAGCTCAAGCGTCAAGTACACGTCAACCCGCTACTGGGCTCGGGTCCAAAAATCCACCGACGGGTCCCAAGAAAGGTAGAAAGGGTGAAGTTCCGGGTGGCCCTAGGCAAGGCGCAGACTCTCAGGTCGGTTATTCTCTTCATGTAGCTCATGCGGAATGATCAAGCTGCTGACTTTCACGATTCTTGATTGAATATGGCTTCTAATGTAGACTTCGCGCATCAATGCCCAATCCGCCGCTGCCGACTCTGAGAAACCTTCCAACGGCGAAGCCTCCCCCCTTCCTCCCGGATGGACCGCCGTCATGTCCAAATCCCATAACCGATACTTTTACTTCCACAAAGAAAGCAACCAGACAGTTTGGGATAAGCCCGCTTTCCCTGCTGAGCTCGAGCCCGAGCCACGAGCTGAACCTGTGGAGTCGGGTGCGGAGGTAGAAGCGGCCACTGCTGTACCCGTTGAGCAAAAGGAGAATAAGGAGCGCCTCGTCCCAACTGGTCCTTCCGCGTCACGAAATATTGCTACCCAGCCTAAATTCACCCACGCGCCTGTCCCTGCCACCACGCCTGCCAATCAAGATGCTGGCAACCAGAATGTTGCCAATGCTTACGCTCGCCGACAGACACAGCCGCCCGCTCCCCAGGGACCAGGTTCTGGTCTTGGGCCGGGAGGCCGAAACGCCCGCGCTCGATCTCCTTTACGAGGCGACAGAGACGGCGATGCCAAAAGGTTCAAGCAGGATGACGGAGGCAGAAGGTCACCTCCGCCTCATCAATACTTAATCAGTAATGATTCTAGACGTACGTGGCACTTTCCATTCCCTATAACCACGGCGGGAGAGGGTCAACTGCTTGAGGCTTGGATCTCGGGCTTGCTTCTCGGTATCACAGGCATATTGCAATGCCGGTAAGGTTCTGTCAGTCCAGCAAGATCGTATTAGTATACGCCTAGCGAGTCGGGCATGGTTTCCATGGCCAGAGTGCTTTGGGTGGCCTCAGCGGCTGACGCCTTGCAACGACGGCCTTTGATGTTTTGTATATTATCGCAGAGTAGCGAGGAAATCCGGTATGGTTCAACGTTCTGATTTCTCGACATGCTGTGCTCTGGTTTTGCTATCTACGCACTCAACAAGCCCGTGATCCAAAGCCCAAGCCCGAGCCTTATTAGCTTGACCACTCTTCCGCCGGGAGAGAGTGCACGATGCTGTAAAGGGCGATCAGCTTACCATAGCCTATGTCTTCTTTCCTTTCCCCCTTAACCGACTTCTACTTTCGCTGGCGTATCAACACACAGGTCCTCGCCCGTCTCTTACACAATCAAACTCCTCTCTTCCGCCCAACGCGCGTGCACTTGGTATCCCCACAGGACCAGGCGGTCCCGCAACACCTGCTGGTAGCAGATATGACCGAGAGCGCGACCAAGACCGCGAGAGGGATAGGTCCGGGTACGATCGCCCTCCCCATGGAGGTGACAGGCCCGTGCCAGGAAGTGGAAGACGCATCGACGTGGGTCTTTTCCCACCCCAGCCCTCAAGGTCATTTGACTGACCCTGTATCAAGCGTCCCAGAGGACCACACCCGCACGTTCAAGGAGTCAACTCTGCTCCAATCGCAAATAATCGCTGGGGCAACAACAATGCCGGGGCGGTGGCTGCGGATGGAGATGCCAACCTCGGCAATAGGAGAACTGACCCAGAGCAAGAGGCGGAATCTGCCTCGCAGCCTGTTCCTGTTCTCACTACGACTTTGAATGCCTTGAAACCTGATCTCATTCCAGCTGCCTCTGCTGCGGCCGCGAGCTTGTTGCCCACCAGTGGTGCTCCCGCCTCGGGCGTCGAGACTACGGAAGCCAAACGTGCCCGTCTCAGAGAAGAAGCTCGCAATGCCAAGCTGCTTCTGGATCGCATCGCTCATGAAGAGGCCAATTTGGAACAAGAAGAGCGCCGGGCCCAAGAGGAACGAAGGCGTGAGCAAGAAGCGCAGAAGCTCAGAAAGATCGAAGAGGACCGAAGAAGGCAGGAGCAGGAGAGAAGAAGGGAGGAAGAGCTGAGGTTGAGACAAGAGAGGGAGCTTGAGGAAAGGCATAGGCCCGAGTATGAGAGGGATGTGAGAGAGCGAGAGCGGAGTGCACTCTTCCCTCCTCCAGGTCTTCGCGACGCCAGGCCAGACTTTAGAGGCGAACGTCCTGATCGTGGATTCTTGCCTCCTCAAGACTTTGCATTTGCCCGCGAGCCTTTGCCTCCTCAAGGTGCGCTCTCGAGAGACGGTCGAAGGGAGGGATGGGACAGGCGCAGAGCGAGCGATGGCTTTGGGCACGGTCCTGGACCTGCCGGAGACTATCCTCCTCCCCCTCTTGGTGAGCGCGAGCGTGTACCTATGCGGGACAGACTCGGCGGCGGTCCCAGGGACCGTGTCCCTTTCGACCAGCAGCAAGCTCCTGGACCATTCGGCCGACGACCCCTTTCACCTCCACCCGGACACCCGTCTTACGATCGCCGCCGCTCGCCTCCTCCCGGAATCTATGGTCCTCGTGGCCCACCTGGGCCTGTGCGAGGCGGGCCTCTCGATCACCCTATGCCTCCTCACATGCGGGGCGATGTGAGGGATAGGGATATGAGGGATATGAGGGACAGAAATTTCCGGGGTAGGGATATTGGGGATAGGGATGTGAGGGGCGGTAGAGAGCCTTTCTTCCCTCCTGGACCTCCCGGAAGAGGGCCAGAGTCGAGGGGAGAGCCTGGATTTGCCGGCCCGCCTCCTAGAGACCTGTTGAGGAGGCTGGGTAAGAGGGTAGACCATCAACTTGCTGAGCCTATGGGTGGTAACCTCGTGCGTATCTTCCAAGTTTTCCTTCATCCCACAGCTGACATTATACATATAGCAACGAGATGACCGACGTGATGTTACTCCTCGTCGTGGACCCCAGCAGAACAACAATGCTCAAACGCCACAATCCCGACCGCTCGCCGAGCGCATGTCGGCCGTCAGCTCGCCGTCGACTCCACCTCTACCCCCTACCGCACCCGCGTCGGATCCATCATTGCCCGTTGGCTCGAACGAAGTTCTCTCTGCAGGTGATGTTATCGATGAACAGCAAGGAAAGGGACAAGGCGGAGGACAAGGCCAGGGACAGGGGCAGGGACATGGACAGGGGCAAGGTCAAGGACAAGACAAGCAGGAAAGAAGACGTGGAGGCAGGAAGAAGAGGGGAGGCCAAGGCGGTAGGAGGGACCGGGGCGGCGGAGGTGGTGGTGGCAGAAACAATGGAAATGGACAGGGTGGAGCGAGCGGTGGCGGTGGGGGCGGCGGCGAAGCGTCGGAGGAGAAAAGAGGCGAGGATACTGTCGACCCCGAGGGGCGATAGAGGGATGAACGAAGTTGGTCTGGTGTTTTGTATATAAAAAAAAAAAAGAGTGCAGCCGAATTAAACGGCGGTGTGTACAGCTATTCGAGTCAAGTACATTGGGATTCAAATGCAACTCATCTGTGATCTTGTTATCGAGCTTTGAGATATGGACAGACGATCCACCTGAACGAGAGCGAGAAATACCACGGTCGAGCGAGATAATAGTGGTGGTCGCAACACGTCAAAATGCGATACGATCCGGACTCGTGCATAGATCCCGAGCTGTTCTACACATATGAGGTCATTGCTTACGCCAACAGCTCTCTGCTAATCTGTGTCGTACCCAGTCCTCTCATTGCGCAGGGTCATGTTGCAGACGTTGCGAGAGGATCATGGCCGCACTCCTCTCACTTTTCAGCTGCTCCACCTCTTCCGTCAACGCTTGCTCCCTTGCCTCCGACTGCTGAAGCAACTCCATATCTTCGCGCGATATTTTTCGGAACCTCTCAGTAGTTTCATTGAGCTCGCTGAGCAGGCTCTCGTTCTCTCTAGTCAGCGCGGCACAGTGCCGCATAAGCTCGGCTCGGGTAGGTCTCCTGGATCTTGAAGGATGAGTGTTCCCATTGTCCACAAAGGTGACATTTTGACTTCTTGAGCCCCCTTCTCCGCCAGTTGTCCTACTCCCTTGCTGTCCAAAGTCGTCCTCAGTATAATTCCGAAAACTGCCTCCCTGTGCAAAGTCGCCCTCAGTAGTATCAAGTCGAAACCCATCTGGGCGGCCCATCCGTCCATCTGCTGGCAACAAGAGTCGATGAGCTGAAGACGATGACAGGATTGGTGGTATACTGGTTTTGGTCTTCTCCGACTTCGCCAGGATCGCGGACAGGGGCCAATTGGGGGTACAACGGATGTCCGCGGTCGAAGAAGTTGGCGTTCTCGTCACCACTCTATCAGGCGAGTCTGATGAGCAAGCGAGCAAGCGAGCGAGTCTGCGAGTGTGAGAAGGAACGAAGCTTACTTGTATGGTCATGCAGCTATCAGCGATGAGCGGTGGCTGACTTCTGTCCAAATGGTACAAGAGCTGCTCTCGAGTCAATGAAGCAAAGTCCACAGGTAAAGTACCTGACGACATGGTCAAAGGTCGTTGTGTAGCTGGTTGTTGGTAACCAGAAGAAGGTCTGCCGTCTGTCGTATCCATCGGAGAGACACTGCCTTCATATTCGTTCTCTTTTTGTTCTGGGTTCATGGTTGATGGACTATGACTGTAGTGTGGTTACCTGGCGTATACGAGAGAACGTGGTGAAGACGCTTGTCATGCCGTTGCAACCAGTACCCATATATACTCAGACACTCACTCTGGCCTCTGGCTGAGCTGGCTGAGCTGCAAAAGGACAAGGCTCAGTCTAGAGGTGACACAAAGGAAGGCACCAGACAGCCTTCTTTAAATGGAAACCCAAATCCCGCTTTATTAGACTGCAGCTCACACGAACGAACACGGCCTCGTCATAACAGCTCTTCCCACTTGGGCCCTTCTCGTCTCCATTATGCTGCTCCAGTATATTGTGCATATTGCACTGCACAGTGGGAGAATCAGGGGCGACATGACGTAAACTTGCCGAGTTGGTGAGATTGTTTTCTCTCCCACGTGGCGCTCGCGTGGATTGGTCCCGCTAGCGGGCAGTGTTTCTTTCTCCCTTCCACAAACTCTCTTCACCATCTCTCTTCCTTCTCCCCCTATTCCCCCTCCCCCCTCCCACCATGGCCCCCTTCTCAGGCCTCACCTCCAAGCTCAACATCCCAGGCCGCACCACCCAGGACGCCCCCGCACACCGCCGCCAGAACTCGGGCTCCCTCCTCGCCTCCCCCTCCTCCGCCTCTCGCGAAAACTACTACCACAACACTGCCCGCTCAGCCTCTCCCACCTACTCCGACCAGATGTCCTCCAGCATGGCACACGGACAGCCCCAGGAGGTCGACTACCGAGGAGACGCCGATCTCGTCCCGCCAGTCGCCCCCTTTGTGCCCGGCGACGGCCTCTCTTCGCGCAGAAGCAGCGTCTCCTTCCTCGGCGATAAGGAGTCGTTGAAGAACCGTGCATCCTCGCTGTCCCTCAACTACGTCCCGGCCAAGTTTTCGCGTCTTCACGTCCAGGGTGACTACTCGCACAGGCAGAAGCTGGGTGGTGGTCGAGACGCGTTCGCCGCCGATGCCTCTCGAATGGGTCAGATGGGTACGGTCGATGATGACGAGGGTATCACATTCCAGTATGGAGCTCATGGGTTGAAGCAAAAGAAGCCCAAACTGGTGTGGAACAGGTTCAAATGGGTGTTGTTCTTGGCGACCAGTGTGGTGAGTGTTTTTTCTTTCTCGCCAAGTCTCGGTGTGACTTATTTCGTACAAGCTCTTTTGCTATGGCATGGGTACCCTCGTTTCTGCCATCCTTGTGTGGTTGAACGTGTTCTACCAATCCGATGTCATCCGTGTCGGTAACAGGACTGAGCTTATTTGTGAGTCAATCACCTCTGTCAAGACCATAGCTCATATGACTCAAAGTGTCTACTGTCGCCGCCAGCATGATCCTTTTCACTTCCCTTCTTGGTTTCGCCGGTATCTTCCTCAACAACCGAGCTTTCTTGGCCGTTTTCACACTTTTGCTTTGGGTCGACTTGGGTTTCCTTGTCTCCCCTGGGTACCTGACCTATAAGCAGCGAATCTTCAACCTTGAAGGTAAAATTAACTCGCAATGGTCCAGGAATTTGGGCAACTCGGGTCGATTGAGGATTCAAGACGCGGTGAGTAGGCTTTGTTCAACCCGAGTGTGACTGACCCCTATCAGCTCAAATGCTGCGGTTACTTCTCTCCTTTCGTGGAGGCTACCGTTTCGCCTCTCTGTTACTCTCGATCCAACTTCCCTGGTTGCAAGTCACGATATCTCCATCTCGAACGTCACGTTCTAGGCATCTGGTACACCGTGTCATTCGCCCTCGTTCCCGCCCACATCCTCATTATCCTCGCGGGTCTGCTCTGTTCCAACCACGTCACTTACCGATTCGGTAAGGGTCTGACGCCCGAGACCTATCGACTGGATCTCAACAGTATGGCGGTCATCATGGACGAGTATGCTGGGTATGTGAATTCACTGCTTCTATCAAATTTCCTCTGACACGAGTCTAGTCAAATTGCTGCCCAATACGGTCCCGAGATTGCTCAGGAAGCCATGAACCAATCATCCGTCAACCTCGCCAACCCCCGCTCCGAGTACGACTCATCCCTCCTGTCCGTCCCCAACTCTCGCCGCGGGTCTTCCTCCAACCTCGAGGCCCTCCGTCGGGGTGGCAACCTCCCGGGCTCGACGCGTGGTACGTCATTATACGACCCCACCAACCCTCGGGCCAGTGTGGACTACAGCAGGAGCAGTCAATTCGGCTTGAGCGGTCTCGCGTCGGAAGGGGCCCCGAGAGACTCTTTCAGTGCTGCTGGAAGCGGTCAGCATCACGGAAACAACTCTGTGGCCTCCCTCTCGTCTAGCGACGAGCAACGTCGCCGCATTTAAACCCTCGCGCGTTGTTGAGATTTTCTAGCTAGGCGATAGAGCAGGGGGGCGCGTGTCATGTGTACACATACGGACTTTTTTTTTCCACAAGGCAAGGAGGGTACACGGGAACCAGATCGACCTGGGTATTCTATATGACCTTCTTTCTCGCCCACTTTCCCTTATGTCTCACGAACCATAACCATTATTTTATCAGTACATTTTCACGTAGAACACGACCTTTCAGTGTAGTTTGATACATTATTATATAGCCGCTTTGTTATGAATACCCGCATGGGCCGCTTCTTCAATCATCCCTAATTCCGATCTCAACTCTACCAAATCGGTACGGGGCCAGTCCCTGAGATTGCTCGTCAATGTCAAACCAACACTGCTTATATATGCACCTACACCTTTATCACACAGCAGTTTGCGGAAGATGGAATCCGACCTGTCGTACAGCTGAAGTGGAGAGTCAAACTCTGCCATCGCCCCTGCGTCTATCATCATGATCCTATCGCAGTATGCAACGGTCTGGATCCTGTGTGCGATGGAGATGACCTGTTCATGGCAAGCGTCGGTGGACCGACCCGACTCTGATGATTGCTCATCGTGCGTCATGCTCAAATCGTTCTCAGATCATTCTCGATGTACAGTCAATGCATCGACGAATTCATACAGTACAATCAATTTCACCGACGGTGACTTGAACATGTGCTGATCCACGTACGTTGCCACGCCATCCGTCATAGTCTACAGAACAAGATCCTGAACAAAAGAAACATGACCTTCGCATCGTCCTGACCGGCTTGCGACTTGATACTCGAAAGACTTGTGAGTTTTTGCGTCTTGCGTGTTGCCTCGCCTGATCTCAATCTTGAATACACTTGCAGCCATCTTGCATTGCTTGATAGGACACAGATACGGAACGCGGACTTGATGGAGTGGGTTTGACTTTTTGTAGAGAACTTTTGAGACGCTCAATATAGTGGAAGAGACCGGGCCATCCCAGTACCTGGGGACATCGGGAGGGGGAGGAGCAGAAGCATCGTAGTCTCGAGAGCCCGCCGTTGGCACGAAGGGGAGGAGGGGCGTCATAGTCCCAGGCGCTGCTGCTACGGGGAGCAGGAGCATCATAGTCGCGGGGCTCACCCCCACCCCCGTTGCGAGGAGGAGAAGCCGAGTACCTGCTACGACAAGAACTACAGAGGGTCAGCCGAGATCACGACAGATGTCATGTTGTTACTCACCTCCTTCGGTCGTCATAGTCGTAAGACTTGTCGCCGGCATACTTGTCCTTGGGGTAGTCGTATTCGTCACCCCTGCTTCGACCCTCATAGAGTCATAGGGGTCTCTGTCTCGACGGTTATCGCCATAGCTGTCCCGCGAGCCGCTAGCATAGGTCAGCCGAGTTGATGATCAGGAAAATTGGTGAGCACCCACGAGTAGTAGTCGTCTCTCCTGCCATAGTCACGTCGGTCATCGTACCTGCCGCCGCCCTGACGGTCATCACGTTGATAGTTATCGCCGCCATAGCCCCCCCTCTTGACACCCATGTACGAGTACTGTCCGGGAGTCGAGTGGTGAGGCTTTTGAGTGGCCGGATAGTCAACTCGAATGTTTCGTCCGTGCAGGCTGAGACCATTGAGCTTGTCGATGCACCTGGTAGCGTCCTCAACGGTTCTCATAGTAATGAACCCGAACCCCGAGATCTGGCGCTCTGCTGCCGATATCAGCGCCTGGCTGGACACAAGCCCTTTCCCTCCCCACCCGATATCAGCGCGAGAAACAGGGCACGTCAAACACACGCACGCGCTGGTCGTACACAATGACGACCTTTTCGACATCGCCGTACCTCATGAACTCATCTTCGAGGTCACGTTCACGGGCGCGGATGGGGAGACCAAATACACCAAGGACATTGTTGGCTTCGGCCTTGGGAGCCTCGGGGGGGGCACAAGGGAGCGGGAGCGCCGGATCCACCGCTGCTATGGTCAGCCATGTACGTTTGAAGATTGATAGGGGCTCACTAGGGTCGGTCGTAGCCACCTCCTGTAGGTCTTCCAGCAGGAGCATCCTGGGGAGGGTACCTGTCTGCGGCCCCGAGGCGGCCGAGTGAGTGAGAGCGACGGCTACTACTTTTTGAGGCGCGCGGCAGTGTGTGCTGAGGTTACCACACAGTACACACCAGAAGCACACCAACAACACTTCACCTCCCACTCCAATGCACAAGTCACGCCAAAATGGTTTCTCTTTCAGTCTTCCCTCTGCTTCACTTCCACCCACGCCCAGCGTCGACACCTCATCAACCATGCCTGAGCTAGTCCCCGACAGCACCTCTCGGGCCTGTTCATCCAGTCGCTGTCGCACTTTTTAAGTGCGCTTGATCTGTACCACCATCCACCGGCCACAGCTACGTATATTGTGATCAGTGCCGAGCCTTGGCCGCCGAGCGTAAAAGAAAGCAGCGTGGTAACAAGCCGGTACGCCCTGCACCCTTTACACGATTCTGTTCTGTTTGAGAACTGACTTTTTTGAGCGCGTAGCCGATACCCTCATACGAGAGCTAGCCCGATCTTCGCAAAGCTTTCAACGAATCTATCGGTCACCATGCGATGAATCCCGACCAGTCCGCACCACTGCAGTTTCGAGGTTCATGTGTCCTTGGCTCTGACCAACTGCAGTCCGCCCCAAGCGAGGCGGCGGACGTGGAAGACGCAGGTGGTGAGGAAAATCTTCGAAAGAATATCAAAGCGCTAGGAGCCTCGCCTTCGACCTCACGGGAGTAGACTTCGGAAGCCGTACAGGTTCTTGTGAGTGACACTCTTTCTACCCGAAGCATATGCCCTGACTTTGATTTAGATGCCACACATATACCCTATCCAAAGATTCAGATACAGTCACTGTCTACTTTCGCTGCTGCCAGGACGCCAAATGCACCGACAAACACCTGGCGCCTCCTTCATTCGACAGTCCTCCCTTGGTGCCCAAGAAACGACGCCTTGGGCGGCAGGGGACGGATAGGTCCCATTGGCTTGGTCGCCGCGAATCGATCAGGAAGGTGAGTATCTCAGAACCTGTTTGTTTTGAACATGCAATGGGCTGATGGTGAAGTCCAGATGTGTACAGTTTAACGGACGATCTGAAGAGTAAGATCGTAAGTGACAGGTTCCGCTACGAGGGATAGTGCAGTGCTGATTGCGTGACAGCTCGGAGATGCGCTGGAAGCTCGATACATGGCCCGTCTCCCTCCCTCTAGGCGACCCGATCTATACCGCCATACATCCAAATTCACACCGGTGACTGCAAGGCCACCCAGATCCCCTTGTTGTTTGCATTCATCACCGATGAACTCAAGGACCTCATCGCACAAGACGCCAGACCTCAAGCCATAGGGCTGGCGACCGTGCCGTTCCGCGAGGAAGATGGCATAGGGAACTATGGGAAATACGCCACACCCAAGTCGTCTGCCCCTCCTCAGGTGAAAGGACAAGTATACACCGGGCGAACGGCGAGGTTCTCTCCTGGCGCAACTAGCCTGATGCCGCGTCGCAGGGAACATGAGCGTCCCCTCAATGTCGAAGGTGCGAGCCAGTATCACCAGTACGTCCCCCGAAGGCTTCACGATGTGCCCACAATCTCATCAAATTTGCAGTCCCTGGAACAAGGCAGTTCGCGCCAACGCTGAACACTATGACGTTGAGTGGGCAACCAACATGTTCGTCCCCGTGGACGCCGACTTGAGTCCAAGCAACGACCTCAAGAACGCCTTGATACTTCTTTCCGTTGTCGGTGAAGCCGTCTTGTTTGTTCTTCTGGACTCGGGATGTGGTGACCAATATGCCAATAAGACCATGTCCGCGGCGCTTCCCTTCTGGGACGACGGTCCTGCTTATATCGGCACCGATCGCAGAAACCCCATTTGCGAGGGTTTCGTCCTGTGGGATTGGACCAAGCCTGACAGACCCTATAAAGCTTTCGACATTGAGGGAACGCTCATGTTCCCTGCGGCGCGGCATCAGGCTAGTTGCGCCAGGAGAGAACCTCGCCGTTCGCCCGGTGTATACTTGTCCTTTCACCTGAGGAGGGGCAGACGACTTGGGTGTGGCGTATTTCCCATAGTTCCCTATGACATCTTCCTCGCAGAACGGCACGGTCGCCAGCCCTATGGCTTGAGGTCTGGCGTCTTGTGCGATGAGGTCCTTGAGTAGTTCATCGGTGATGAATGCAAACAACAAGGGGATGAGGGTGGCCTTGCAGTTACCGGTGTGAATTTGGATGTATGGCGGTATAGATCGGGTCGCCTAGAGGGAGGGAGACGGGCCATGTATCGAGCTTCCAGCGCATCTCCGAGCTGTCACGCAATCAGCACTGCACTATCCCTCGTAGCGGAACCTGTCACTTACGATCTTACTCTTCAGATCATCCGTTAAACTGTACACATCTGGACTTCACCATCAGCCCATTGCATGTTCAAAACAAACAGGTTCTGAGATACTCGCCTTCCTGATCGATTCGCGGCGACCAAGCAATCTTGACGATGGGCGTTATCCAGTGTACGAAGAATTTGCTTGCAAAGCTTGCGTTGCTGTATGGGAGATACTGTTTTTGGAATGTTGCCAAAGGGGCAGGGGTGGGATGGGTAGACTCATTTTCGGAAAGTGTTTTTGAGACAGAGGCGAAAGAAGTTGGTCGTGCAGATGAGTAAGATAGAAATGAGTGCGTAGCGACCCTCAAAGGGTATGACTACCGGCTGAAGGCCAGCCCACAACCCAGATGCAGACGACAGCACATCCTTCGACACTTTCACCTGCCAAAAAGGGCGTCCTTGAGAAGCACGCACAAAGCTACTAATTCAAGCTCGTCGAGTGCAAGTCTCACTGCGCCACCCTTTGTTGTTATCAAGAGGGATACATCGTGCTGCCCTTTGGGGCGAACAGGTACTGGTTCATATAGAGTCGGTATCGATATTGTGGGAATGCAATTGATGAAAGGCTGCCAAAAGGCTGCTGCACTACATATTTAGTGATGGTCACCCACCGGCCGCCGATGAAGCTTTACGTAACCGCTCTATGATCTCTTTCTTTCGAATTGTTGACAAATTTCAGCTTTATACGCTCATACTTTACGTTGCACAAAACGGGTTCAACACACAAGATGCCCGTCGATATTCCTGAACACATTCTGCCCTATCTGGAGAGACATCCTCTGCAAGCAGGCCCGCTTCTCACTTCCGTCAAAGATCTTTCACTTTGTTCGTCTCTCTACTTATTCTCTTCATAATCTTATGCTGATGTACTTGGTTTTTTTAGCTGTGGGATGGACGGATGTGCGTATAGTGTCTCTGACTGGAGACGCCTTGGAATGGGCAGTGATTATTGGCCGCAAACGGAAAGAAGTGAGTATCGCTATCGCCAACACCGCCTGGCTACTTTGGGAGTCATGAACAATCAGTAGCTAACATCGTTTCAGGATCCTCTCCGTGCTGCTCTCCCTCTCCCTATACATACAACTTCCCTCCGCCCATCAGTCTTGCGCGCAATCTTCAAAGCACTCGAGTCGTTCGACTACGACTCGCTACCGCCGGTGATGCCGCCCTTTGCGCCCACTCTGGGTGAGATGCGGGAAACCCTCGGGGCACAGCTGCCTGTGGACGGAGAATTAGCAGGCGAGGGAACAGGGGCTGATGGAGCGGTGAAAACGGAGGCAGGGGCGGCGGAGGAGAATAAAGAGTTTGATAAGGAGACGCTGTATACTGCTATAGTGACCGGTGATTCCACGGTGGTGTACTACAAGATTGCCAAGGGGATTAAGAAGCCGCACGATATACCAGACGAGTAGAGTTTTGCACCAGCCGAGAAGAGATCATAGGTCGATATGTTGTATGAATCTGTAAGACATGAGGTGAAGGGGCAAGCAAGCGGATCGTCGTGATCCCGATCGTTGTCTGCCTTCCTTGGTGCACCCCGCTTCTGAGGACGGAACATGCGAAGAAGAACGGGCGAGAAGGCCCTCCCATGCTGTCCACGCCACGAGTCGCCATCTCGGGTCTCCGATTACGAATTGCTTCCGTCCGGGTCTTTATAACGACGAGGCTGCCTCTCTTTCTTCTCCATCCGCCATGTCCCTCCCCGCCTGGCCCCCCAACCTCACAGAGCACCAGCTCGCAGCCCTCACCACCCACGCCACCACCTGGGCCCTCTCCCACGGCTTCGTCCTCCTCCCCCCCAGCCCCACCACCCCGCCCACAGCCACCATCTCTGCCCCCCTCTCGCTCCTGCCCACCCCGTTCCCCCGCCAGCTCTTCGACCTCGCCGTCTCCCTCCAGCCCCTCTACAATGCTCTCTATGCTAGGATTGCGTTGGACTGGGGGTTTTTGGACAGGGTGATGGGCGGCTCGGTCAGCAAGGTCGATGATTTCCAGGGCGAGCTTTGGAGGGGGTGGAAGGCTGTGAGAGACGAGCTCGTGCAGGAAAAGCAGCTGGGAATCTTTAGGAGTGACTATCTCTTGCATGAAGAAGGGGAGGGACTGGGTATCAAGCAGGTCGAGTTCAACACTATCGCAGCGAGTTTCGGCGCGCTCAGTCAGAAGGCAGGAGAATTGCACAAGTGGGTCTTTATCGTTATCTGAAGTCATATACTAATACTCTCTAGGTACCTTGCAAAGAGCTCCAAGCAGTACTACAACATCTCCTCTCATCTTTCCTCCCCCGAAAACTTTCCTCAGAACGAGCCTCTCAAGCACCTTGCTGCCGGTCTGGCCGCCGGCTGGAAAGCTTTCGGTGACGACGAGGCTGTTGTACTCTTTGTGGTGCAAGATGGCGAGAGGAATGTCTTTGATCAACGCTGGTTAGAATACGAGCTTTTGGAGACGTAAGTTTCCCCCAACCAGTAATGAGTCAACTGACGCCTCCTTAGCCACGGCATCCACTCTACCCGCCAGACCTTCTCCCAGCTCGCCTCCCTCTCTTCCACCTCCTCCTCTTCTACCGACCTCATCCTTCCAGGCCCTCCTTCCCAGCGAGTCGCAGTCATCTACTACCGCTCCGCCTACACCCCCACCGACTACCCCTCCTCCGCCGAATGGTCAACCCGTGTCTTTTTGGAAAAGACCAGCGCTATCAAATGTCCCTCTATGGCGCTCCAGCTCGCTGGCGCCAAAAAGATTCAACAAGTCCTCACCGAGGAAGGTGTCCTCGAAGACTTTTTGCTCGGGGAAGGCCGGCCGGATGTTGGCTTTGGCTCAGGCAAAGGTAGTGTGACGCAAGCAGATGTGGACAATCTGCGTAAAACGTGGATAGGTCTCTACCCCATGGACTCTTCTCCCCTCGGCCAAACTGCGCTGTCCCTCGCGCTCTCCCAGCCTGAGCGATACGTGCTCAAGCCCCAACGCGAAGGCGGCGGCAACAACATCTACCGTACCGATATCCCACCCTTCCTCCAATCCCTCTCTGCCACCCCTGTCAAAGAAGGCGAACCAGAGAGGAAAGAAGGGTACGTATTGATGGAGCTGATAGAGCCGCCGAAGGGGGTGGAGAATTGGTTGGTGAGGGGAGGGGATGTGAAGCCCAGGAGGGCGGATGTGGTGAGCGAGCTGGGCGTTTATGGGGTGGCGTTGTTTGGAGGGAATGCGACGGCGGTCAATGAAGGTGCTGGGACGTTGTTAAGGACCAAGGGTAGGGAGAGTGACGAGGGAGGTGTTGCTATTGGAATCTCGTCTATCGACAGTCCTTTGCTTGTCTAGAGAGGGTTGTTCGCATGTGTATAGATGGTGTGCATATAGCTATGAATACATCATGGATGAACAGAGTGGGTACATTGCGTATCTTTGGTATGATAAGTGCATGCTTGGTATACATAGATTGTACAATGGATCGCGAGGCGCTCATGTAAAGTAAGCCGATGAAGGGTCATCTTCGTCATCTTCCACGATCCGACGCAGTCCTGGTTCTTCTTCGTCGTCGCTTTCATTAGGGAGAGGTAGTATCAGTCGGAACCTGCATGACGGTCAGTATACTAGTGGACAAGATGGGCAGGACGAACGTACGCATCCTTCTCGTTGCTGTAAAACCTCCACAGCCTCTTCTCCCTCAAAAACCCCATCCCATCATACAAAGCCAAACTCCCATCGTTATCAAACTCTGTCTCCAGCATGACTTCATGTGCCCCTTTCTGGCGCATCTCCTCGATAGTAATATCCACCAACTTCCTCGCGATCCCCCGGCGCCGGTACGAAGGGTGCACGGAGAGCATGGCAATATAGCCGCGGTATTTGCACCGGTGGGAGTCGAGTTTTGAAATGACTGTTGCTATAGGCTGTTCGCCTGCAGATGGACTTGACGTAGGGAAGACGACCCATGTAAGATCTGGCCAGTCATAGAGAAAGTATCTATATGTATACACTGGAATCTTTGTCAGCTCTCACCCCCAAGACGACTCCATGACGTCGTACCGTTATACGGCTCTGACAGCTCCGTTTCTACCAGTTTGATGATCCCCTCCAGATCTTCCTCTTCTGACCGGAAAGTCCGATACCAGAGCTCCCCGCCTTTCGAGTCTACCATCCGCGTAAGAGGCTGCTCGGCTGCCTTGCCTTTGCCCTTCTTTGGGCTGCTAGCATACTTTTCCATCGCCTGTTTCGCACTCAGACTGAGGGATTGAAAATCTGCGAACGCTTCTCCCTCCGACTCGCCTAGGTCGAAAAAGGCATTCGATGGTCGTTCGACCCCTGGCCGAGGAGGGACGGGTGGAGGGGCAGAAGACTGTAAAGATGATGAAGATGGACCGGAAGCTGTGGTCGTTTGGGGGATGTTTGTCGCTATTCCTTGGATGGGTGGCGGAGATGTATGAGCTTGGAAAGTCATTGTGGTGGCTGGTATATGCGTTTGCTGTGCGTTTTTGTAAAGTATTGCAGAGAAACGAGATTGGAAGGCGGAGGGCCGACGCGGCGGTATCCGCTCGCCACGTGGTTCTCTGTCAACACTCGGCGTCACTTGCAAGCTTGCGAGGTGTGGTGGTCGAGATGAGCAAGATATGCAGCCCCATGGACAATTGATCACAGAGAGGGCGCCGTGATTATCAAGATTCATGTGTGACGAGACCAACTCTAGCGATACAGTATTCTAAACCAAACCCAGCTCATATATCTGGACGAGGCACCCGAAGATATCTAACAGATGAACAAAAGATTGGTATCCATGGCTACACCTTTGTCAGCACAATGACTCACTGAAGATGGAGATGACTTACGATGACTCGCCGAAAGCTGAGGCTTCTGGTCATACTTGCCCTTCAGCTCATCTCGGATAGTATTCAAGAGCTGCACGTAGCTCTGCTGCTGATACTTTGTCAAAGCCGCAATAAAGGCATACGACATGGCACCCGTAGCCCTGCCCGCCTCTTGCGTATCGGCACTGGTCTGCGAATCCTTGCATCCCGACCACATGACGACATCAGCCGGCGAAGTCTTGGACTGCTTGGTCCTCTCCGCCGCGCCCGAGTTGTTGTTGTACACCTTTTTGCCAATGCCCATAATGCCGCTGAGCATGCCACCAGTGTCGCCCCTGAGGTATGACATGCCGGCGGAGAGGAGGCCGGAGCCGGCTTCGGCGAGAAGGTTGGGCTCCTTGATGACACCTTCGGTGGAGTAGACGTAGGGGAGATCGAGGGCTGTACCAGAATGACAGCTGTCTAGGGGTAAGCATTCTGCCTGATACTCTTGAGAAGGACGCACGAGTCAAAGATGGCAGTCAGACGACAACCAGCAGGAAGAGGTTTCACCATGATGTCGTGCACTGTTACCGTTAGCCTTCCGTCACTAGCCAACATATATACAAAAGAGACTCACTCTCATCGTCGACAATATGCCCAGACTGCTTGAAATCCAAAGGATAAATCGTCTCGTCATGCCCATCATCTTCATCTCCATCCAAGTCTTCCGTCTGACCACCATGTCCAGAGCTAACACCTCCTATCAGCATCCGCTCCCCAAAAATAATAACTCAAGAACTTACTAGTGGAAGAAGAGAGAGTCGTTAGGCGACGCCCCGCTGACCAACCACCGCATAGCAGCAATCATATTCGCTCGGGTAGGGATCTGGCGGGTGTTGCGGGCGTCGTCAGTGAGCATGACAATGTCTTCAGATTTGTAGCCGTATCGTTCTGCATTCAAGTCTCGTCAGTTTCCTATCCTTCCATTCGAGGGGAGAAGAGCATACGGATCAAAAACTTTTGCACATTGTGCGCGTCGTTAATGCATCCCGCAAGGGCAGAGGAAGTGCCGATATAGTTGATACCAATCTGTAAACAAGCACACAGCATCAGCCTTTCGTCCACGTGTCCAGCTTGTATTGCTCCGGCGGCCGCCTCGGGGAAGAGGGATGACAAACTTACACAGAGCGCCTTCTTCTTACCAGTACACTGAGAGTACTGGAAGTACGGCTGGGCCTGCTGTCCGCCCTGTCCCTGGAACTGGGGTCCATAGTGCTGACTCTGCGTCGGGGGTCGGGCTAGTTGTAATCATCAGCTCTGCTCGCAAGCCCTTCTCCACGCCAAGAATGTCGCAGCAAGCGACCAGTAAAGCGAGGGAAACAACATACCAGGCATCCCCTGATTACCATACGGCGCAAACTGTCCCTGCGGCTGGGACGGAGGCATGTATCCCGCACCCGTCTGGTGATAGCTGCTCTCCACCGGCGCGTTTGTCGGGGGCACGTACCCGCCCGACAGGCGATAGTTGCCCTGGTGTGGCTGCGAGTGCTGTTGCTGGTATCCTCCGCCGCTGGAATATCCGCCTGAAGGGGCCGAGTATTGTTGGGGAGGAGGTGGGTTGTTGTGGTAGCCGCCTTGCATCTGCATAGGAGGAGGTGGGGGTCGGCCGTAGCTGGAGATGAATTAGCTATCGAAAGAGCCGGGTCTTGATAACGTACCCCTGAGCGCCCATGGGAGGGGGAGGGTTGTTCTGCCATTGCTGCTGTTGGGGAGGTTGGTAGCCGTAGCCGCCTTGCTGCTGGTGCCCGCCACCGGGATACTGGTTCCACGACATTGTTTTGATGGACGGTGGAAGAGAAAGGGGAGATGAGATGGAGAAAATGGTGGTGGCTCAGTTATTCCGAAATTCGGGCAGTGCCGAGGGTGGCAACATTGCAATGATTCTCATCCATTATGCATTGCCCTCTGTCTGCACTGGATTGAGGCAGAGGAGCACGAGAGCAGCCGCACGATGCATTGGAATGATATGGTTGTACAAGTGAACTCCGTGTCCTCCAACTCCAGATTCTGCTCTCGCTTATAAAAAGTGATACTGCTGTTCTATCTTTCTGCCCCGTTCTTCCTCAACCATTACTTCTTGTCCTTCTTGGCGTGAAGAGGTGTACCGATGAGGTTCTTGGCTCCTCTCAGCTTGACGTTGAGCTTGCGCTCGAGCTTGCCGAGGAGGGCCTGGTCGGGGACAGCACGGCCAGTTTCGAGGTCGGCAATCTGCAATTGCTTGGTCAGCCACAATTGCAGGTCATGGGGTGGATAGGAGACTTGGTAGGAGGGTGGAAGGGGCGAGGCAGGAGGAAAAGAAACGTACGTCCTGAGGCTTAGCGTTCACCGAAGTCGCGAGCTCCTTCTGAGTCATACTCTTCCCTTCGGCATTCTTGATCGCCATACGACCCAACGCAACAGCCTTACCAACGCTACATCCCTGTCAGCTCTGATCATTCGCACAAAGGACGGTGCAAATGAAGAGGGGACGTACTCTACAGAGACCTTCTCAGGGGGTTTAGGGGCGTCATCTCGGTCGAGCTTGGCGATATGTTGGTGGTTGGCAGCTGTGCACAATTCATGAGCATGGTACACCCTATGAAAGCGAATAGCACTCACCGCCCTTGGATTGACCGGCACCCTTGGACTCTGAAGAAAGGATGGAGCCGTTACGTTGAGCAGCTGTAGCTAAGGATCAACTTCTCTTCCTGACATCCTAATGACAGCACGTACTGTTCAAAGCAGAGCCCTTGGCAACAGTAGGCCTCTGTTGGCGTTGACCAATGATCACAGGTTTGTCGTCCCAGCCAGACTGCAAGATCGGAGTTGACATCGGTCAGCACAGCCCCCGAGACACTGTTTGGAGGGCCAGAGGAGGACACAGACGCACCATGTTGAATGATAATAGGTCTGCGAGTAGGGGGTTGTAGTTTTAGATGTAGTTTTAGAGATATAGCTTGAAATGGAATGCGATGGAAGTTGGGAGCAAAAGAAACGAGTCGCTGGATGACGGTCATGACGCCAAATGCCACGTGACCCCGTTCGGTTCCGGTGGCTTATGTAAGCAGTCCTCGACGCGACGCGTTTAATTTGTTTCTCTGAAATGAACTGATCGTCCATCACTCCATCAGCCGCAAGTGCCGGGCACGGACGGCTTCATTGCCCACGCTGTCCACCATGCCCTGCATACGTCATCACTTTCAACCATCCTGCGCCCTGCGCCCTGCGTCCATCTCCTCTTTCATCTCTCTACTCACCCTCACTACAGTACACCGCCCCTGCCCTCGCTGACATGGCTCATCAGATGACCGCATGCTCACACGCCATCCCTCTGATGGAGATCCCCCTCTTCCCTGGGATCTGTCCAAGAACGCTCCTCGCAACGGGCGCACAGACGTCTGAAGGCCATGTCACACCCGGAAGGGGAAATAAAGCTCGCGAAAGGAGGTATGCTGCCCATCTTCCCGCCTATTCTAGCTCCGCACAGGGCCCCCGGGGGCTTTATTCGCAAGCCGGTTCCAAGAGTCGGCAGTCGGCATCACCGGTTTGTTTGGCTTGGCCTGGCTGAAACGGGGATCGATGTGCGCGGTTGACTCAACCATCGCCACTCTATATATCCCCATCTCTTCTCCCTCTCCCTCTTCTTCTTCCTCCACCACCATGTCATCCCCACTCCCCATCCCCCGCTCCTCGCCCACCCTCACCGCCGACTCATCCACCACCGCCTCCTCCCTCCTCGACTCGGCCTCCACCAACACCTCTCACATCTCGTCCTCATCCATCATCCCACCCACCGCCACCCGCCCCTTTGGTGCAGGCTGGAAGTCCTCTGACACCTTGCATGCTGAAAAGCCCGCCGATTTCGAGCCGGATTGGACACGCTCTCCAAGCCTGCCCATCTTGCCCTCTGTCAAACCCACCCAATCTTCGTCATATCAGCAAGATCTCCCAGACTACTCGCTCTACACGTCTGCGCCTCAGACTGCGTTTCCCAACCCCGCTTGGGGCTTCGATGCTCTCTCACACAAGGCCTCCTTGGGGTCCATCGACATTGAGCTTGGGGGTGGTAGTCCAGGGGGGCATAGTCCCACCCACCGCAACGCCTTCCGACCACCCAGCGCGCTCATTCAACAAAAGTCTACACCCAACCTCGGCCGGCCTGATCTGTCCAGCCGCCGGTCTGTCCGATTCGAGGTTGATGAAGACGTTTCTTCCGATGGCAGCGCGTCGAGCAGGGCGTTGAGTGCCAGTCTTCCCGTTCTCCCTAGTGTTGGTGAGGGGCGCAATGGTAAGCCACTTTGGAGTACGAATGGCCAAACTGATAGGAAGATAGTATTTATCCATCGCGTCAGCCACACTCTTACCGAAGACGAGCTCCGCCATATCGCCACCGCCTTTGGCGAAGTCGTTTCTGTCAAAGTGCAGCAGACTCGTACTGCCAAGCCGTGAGCACTCTCCTTTCTCGTCTTGGATACAGCTGACGAGAGGTCAGACATGCATTTGTGATGTTCAAAAAGCCGGAGCGGGCTGCCAAGTTTATGAGCCACCTCAGATCACGCGCAGTAGATTGCGAGTACGGCAAAGTACGTCTCTCTCGTCATCTCCCTTCTCGAGCTAACAATCTTTGCAGGAAGACCACCAAGTACAAACAAAAGCCCTCGAGGACCCGCTCTCCGCCAACCTCTACATTGCCGGCCTGCCTCCGTCATTGACGTATGACGCACTCGAAGAACTGTTGCTGCCGGGGAAGATTTGCAGTTGGAAACCGTTGATGGATGAGGGGGGGATTAGGAGGGGGCCGGTGATGGCTAGGATGCAGACGAGAGTGCAGGCTGAGGCGGTCATCAAGCGGGTGAGTGTTCTTTGCGCTTGATTGGATGTCAGGAAGGGTTGCTGACGAGATCTACAGCTGACGGGCAAGTATTACCCCGGTATGAGTGAGAGACTTCAAGTCCGTATCGCCGATTCTGAGGTAGGTTCCCGCATCTCTTGCTCTGGTTCAGTCGCGGAACGTTTGAGCTTGGCTGACGCGAGACGTAGGAACAAAAACACTTCAAGCGCTACCAGATGCGCGAACGTGTCACTTCTGTCCCTTCTCCTTCTGCTGCCGAGTTTGGACCGATGAGAAGAAGAGCCAGTATGCCTGCCGAGTGCGTCATCTTTGCCACCAGAAATATTTCTAGGAGCTAACTATGTAGCAGGCCTATGCGCCGGGACCTGACCGACCTTTCTTTTCTCCTCCAAAAGCAATCTCTCCTCGCGTTCCAGCTCAACGCAATCAACGAGAAGCTCGCTTCCTCCCACCTCTCTCCCACACACTCCAATTATCCACATGCCCATCCTCTTAGGCAAGTGCCGTCATTCTCTCCCTCGCACGTCCCGGGTCCGTTGATGGAAGAAGATGATGGCGAGTGCCCTGTACTTTCGCCCACCATCTCGACGTATCCCCGCCGCGGATCGTCCAACACTTCCGTGCTGTCTTCTGCTTCTTACAACGCCAACCTGAGCGACCAGATCTGGGGCGCCAGCACCCCCACCCGCACCCTCGCCGAACCATGGTCCATCGACCCCTTCGCATTCCCCTCCTCCTCCCCTCCCTTACCCCACACCCATTACTCACCCCTCCCCATCTTGCCTCTCTCCGCCCCCAGGCCGAGACTGGGCACCATGCTCAAGCGCGACTCGGACTCGCAAGTCCCTATTTGCTACGACGCGAGTAACGCTGGAGGTGGTAAGGTGCAGATGGAGAGCGGGGTGGGTAGGGTGGGGATGTGGCGTAAAGGGTCGTCGGTGGGGGGTATGGGGCTGGGGCTGGATGTGGGACAGGAGAGCAAGATGTCCGAATGAGAGCTGGTCGGCTGAATGTCTCTTTCTTTGGCTCTTTTCGTTTCTCCTCGGGATCTTCGTTCGTCTTTCTTTGCTTTTGTGTCTATCTTTCTCCTTCACCCTTCTTTCGAGATACACGGCCTATCATACCCTTCAACACTATACCAAGTCGTATACAGGTTCTTCTATCAGCCTTGCTCGCTATCAACACCTTCGTAATCTATAGCTTCTATCATATGCCTCTGCGCAAGCTCTATCTCCAAGATCTATTCGCTTTTTCTTATATCTATACTTTCTGACTTCGTCTTCTATCTCTCCATCAATTCGGGGCATCATGTAGCCCCGCCCACAAGCCTATAGTCATTCTTCATGTTTATACTTTTCTTTGTATCCTATTCATCATCTCTTCGCGTCTTTTGGCTCCTTGCTTTACCCAAGGCCTGCGCGCTAGTCTTTATCCTCCATCTCATACACTTTATTTATCAGTATTGCTTCACTATATCACTACTACCACGCAGAGTCGTACTATATATACACTATCGAGAGGAAGATTGAGGTTGTTATATAATGACGCGGTGAGGGAGGAAGAAGCAGATACATGCATGCTAACACTATGCGAATTTTCGGTCCGCCATCAGCAGAAGATTGATTTCATGTGATGGGTGTTGCGCATATCGTGTAGAAGTCTGTCGTTGTTGAAGAGAGGCTCATCCGACAATCGGTCTTGCTGATCTGCTCCTCAATATGAGCAGGTGGTACTTATTAGGGTGAGGGTCAGAAAGTATTTCCCCGTAGACAAAAAGGTTGAAGGAGAGCTGGACAAAGTTCACCGCTATCTGCCAGTAAGCGCAGGCGAGACTAGGGGACAAAGATCGTGAGTGCTGAACTATACGGTCTCAGAATGTATGGGTCCTAGCATTGGGTGCAAGACATCCGAGTGCATTTATGAGCGGAAAGGAAAGCCACAGGCTGTACAAATTTCCAACAATTTTTGGCTTCTTTGGTGACTATACAACTATACACCAACGTCAAAAGAACAATAACAGTGATAAAGGCGCAATCAAAGCGGTCGATCTTTTTCAGCGATAGCAGCCTCCGCCCTCGCCCTCAACTCATCCGCCCCCATATCCCCCGTCCCCGTCTGTACACTCAACCCACTCAACGCGCTCGCCCTCGACCTAACCAAATGCAACTCTCCGCCTCCTCTCAACGGCGGCGGTGAGAAATCATCTCCCCCCGGCATAAGCGGCGTGAGGGAAGGCGATGATCGGGGTGGGGAGGGGGTACGACGGTAATTTGGTGGGAGCTCGATGATGTGGGTGTGGGGATTTGGGCCTGGTAATTGGATCGTCACGTCTGCACCTGCGCCTCCATCTGCATGCACGACATAGACATTCCTCATCCTCCCCGGCGAGGCCGGTGGGCTTTCCCCTACTCCTGGAAGAGAATGGAACGACCCCGAGCGATTTTGGTGTTGAAGGAATGGGGTAGGCGGGAGAGGTTGGGTGGGAGGGTTGAATGGATCGAATCGGGGGATTGGGGAGGATGGTGCTGGGGCAGAGGGGAAGCGGCCGTGGGAGGATGGACCTGGGCTTGCTGGTAATCTCGGAGAGATGCCCGGTACCGGCGCAGATCGGCGGGAGGAGTAGGACGTTTCTTGTGAATGCCCATTGTCCCCTTCGACTGGACGCACCATACTCCTCGGTGACCCACTCCCTCTTCTCTGCCCAGCGCCAAAGTCGGCAAGGATGATGTTGTCGCGGTAGTTTCCACCTTGAGGCGGAGATGGGGTGTACGGGTTGACATACTCGCCCGACGAAGAGCGTTGGTGTAAAGGCGGACGAGGAAAAGGCCTCAGAGACGAGATACTCTCCCTCCCCTGCGTCCCCACCGTCCCCGCCGAACCTCGCTTCACATGCCCCTGCGGATACCCGCCGGGCCCAGCCATATGCGGATCGTACAGGGTAGCAGGGGTATCGAATTCGGGTGTATCGTTGGGCAGGAGGGATTTGGTGTACAGGCTGGCGGTGTTGGAGTGGGTGGTGTGGTGGGAGGAGGTACGGTATGGACGGGGGTTGGCGTAGAGGTCTTCTGTGGATTCGGACTGCGTTCTTGGTCAGTGGAGGTAATACATGGGACGGTGGGGGACATACGCGTTTAGGTCGACTCGGCCGGCGAAAGAGAAAGAAGAAGAGTAGCCCAGCACCGAGCGCTCCGACGACGAACGCCCCCGCTACCCCTCCCACCAACGCTCCCAACCCATACCCTGCGGCAGGGTCATCTACCTCTTCGCCGGTAGCCACCCCAAGACATTTGACATCATCACTGTACCCTGCATGTAACGGTCCATAAGCCCATGAATTACCAGCGCTGTCGTACAAGGCGGCCATGAATGCTTGGCCGTGCGTGAGACGGACTGTATAGTTCATGGGTGCCGCGTCTGAGGAGGTAATGTTGAGCGGAGGGTGTGCGGCGGGGGCGATGAGGAGAGTGTAGGGGGCTGTGCCGTTTTTGGGTGTGAACTGGATATCCGAGCCTGTCCTCGAGTCAGCATGGAAAAATGAAAGATAGCAGGGACGCACAAGCAGGAGGCCAGGCGTTGATGGCAAGGTCGCCAGACACGCCTGTGACAGACACATCGAGTGTCTCGTTTGCAGGGGTGACCCACGACTCGAGCACGTTGGGCGTGCGGCAGGTGGATGAGGTGCTTTGGTAAGCAGCGGCGGTGAGGTCGGCACTGGGGACGACTGTGAACAAGTCCTACCTGAACGTCAGCGGTGGACAGAGGGATGACGCGAGACGCACTTGGCAGCCGCCAGAGACAGCGTTGGCTGACCACATGCAGGCGATAAACTGCGTGCCATTGCCCCACGGATGAGCGACCTCTGTCACCTTGTCGAGCTGTCCCAGGCCGACGGTGACAGAGTACACCCGTTCATACTGCATGCCCGCAGCGTCGTACAGCTGCTCATGGACGAGGGCGACCATGCTGTATGGTGGCTTGGGATCGTCTGTCTTTGCATTGCTGTAGCTGGTCCTGGACACTTGCAGCGGGGAGGGGCAGGTGTATGCGACGGGGAGGACGGGGAGGGCGGTGGAGAGGGCGAACTGGAATGCCTGTATCTGATCTGAGGCCGCGCACGCTCTCGTCGGGGGCAGCAGGAGGGCGAGGAGGGCCATCCGAGTCTATTCCATAAGCGAGCTGAACCGAGACGACAAGCAGCGGGGAAAAGTGGACATGTGCTTACGTAAGGGTTTCGGGTGCCCGCCGTGCCTAGGGAAGGTCGGGAGAACGAGGGTGCGGGCGTGGGAAAGCGGCAGTGGGCGGCAGCGGGCGCCTCCGCCTCCACCCCGTCATCTCCCGAGGCTGCTGTATATAAACCCATCGCATCTCATCTCTCATCCACATCTCAACAATCCACAACCACCCGCAACACAATGTCCTCCAGCCAAGTCCCCTTCTTCACCTACGTCCTCGAGCGTCTCAAGCAGTCTGGCGTCAAGCAGATCTTCGGTGTCCCCGGTGACTTTAACCTTGCCGCGTGAGTCCACACTCATTCCTATGCATCCAGCTTACCATCCACAGCCTCGACTACATCGAGCAGGACCCCGACGTCCAGTGGGTCGGCAATGCCAACGAGCTCAACGCCGTGAGTACTTTTGCTTTTTGGGCTCAAGTCGCCACTAACGTCACCGCTCCTCAGGCCTACGCGTGCGACGGTTACTCTCGAGTCAAGGGCGGTCTTGCAGTCATCATGACCACCTTTGGTGTCGGTGAACTCTCTGCCCTCTGGTACATCCATCGCCCGCGCTCGATCTGCTCTCGCTGACACTCTGCAGTGGTATCGCCGGTTGTCTCTCGGAGCGCGTGCCTGTTCTCCACATTGTCGGCGCTCCCTCCACCAAACTCCAGGTATGTCACCCTTATTCACTCCATCCGTTCGCATGACTGACCACCGAGACAGGCGAACCAATCGTTGCTCCACCACACCTTGAACCTCCCCGACTCGTTCACCACCTTCTCCACCATGTCGGCTCCTCTCTCTTGCTCCCAGGCTCTCATCAACACGATCGAGCCCACTACCAGCACCGCCTGGACTGAGGCTTTCGACAAGACCCTCAGGGAGGTCCTCGAGCAGTGCCGACCTGGTTACGTCGAGATTCCCACTGACGCTGTCCACCACAAGGTTTCGGCCGAGGGCTTGAGCCAGCAACTTGTATGTTCTTTCGTCCGATCGCTTGAATCTCGTATCATATTGACATCCTATCCAGCCCCACCCCGCTTCCGCTCCCCCTGCCGAAGCCGTTGCCACCTCTCTCACCAACAGCGCCGCTTCTGTCGCCGCCCGAAACCACGGTGCCCAGCTCTCCTTGGCCCAGGGCCCTATCGACTCTCCCGTCGCTCCTCCCTCTGACGAGGTCACTGGCCATGTCGTCGATGACATTGCTAGCCGATTCGCCGCTGCCAAGAAGCCCATCATTCTTGTTGATGCTTGTGCCGGCAGGTTTGGTATGGCCAAGGAGGTCAGGAAGCTCGTCGACACTTGCCAGATCCGATTCTTTGAGAGTGAGTGTCTACCCTACTTGCCAGACCCCATACTGACCCCTCGTAGCCCCTATGGGTAAGAGTTTGATGGACGAGCACCACCCTCTCTTTGGTGGTTGCTACGCCGGTGCCAACTCTCTCCCTGCCGTCCAGCAAGAGGTCGAGGCCGCCGACTTTGTCCTCTACGTTGGTGCCCTCAAGTCCGACTTCAACTCTGGCTCCTTCTCTGTCAACATTGACCCCAAGATCATTGTCGAGCTCCACTCCTTCACCACCACCATCGGCTACGCCGCCTACCCCACTACCGACATTCGCCACGTCCTTCCCCGCCTTGCCGGTGCCTTCCAGAAGGTCGGTCACCCCAAGGACTCTGAGGGTGCGCACGAGACTGTCGAGCAAAAGGCTGTCGCGCACAGGGTCATTGGCAGTGTACCCAAGCCCGAGGGTAACGAGATCAAGCACGCTTGGCTCTGGCCCCGAGTTGGCGAGTGGTTTGCCGACACTGGTACGTCTCTTGCATCCATCCATCGACCACAGCTCACTGTATCCTAGATATCGTCATCACCGAAACCGGTACCTCCTCCTTCGGTCTCACCAACGTCGTCCTCCCCTCCAACTCTACCTACGTCGCCCAGATCCTTTGGGGTTCCATCGGTTGGTCCGTCGGCGCCTGTCTCGGTGCCGCCATGGCCGCCAAGGAAGACCCCCGCGACCGCCGAACCGTCCTCTTTGTCGGTGACGGTTCCCTCCAGCTCACCCTCCAGGAGATCGGTACCATGCTCCGACGAGGCTGCCACCCCTACCTCTTTGTCCTCAACAACGACGGTTACGAAATCGAGCGCCAGATCCACGGTTGGGATGCCGAGTACAATGATATTCAGCCGTACGACCACCAGCTCTTGCTCCCCTTCCTTGCGGGTAAAAAGTGCCCCACGCCCTTCCAGTCGTACGAGGTCCACACCCCCGAGGAGCTCAACAAGCTCTTGCTGGACGAGGACTTCAACAAGCCCGACAGGCTTAGGTTGATTGAGGTCTACATGCCCCGAGGCGATGCGCCCGAAGGTTTGGTCAGGCAGGCCAAGTTGACTGCCGACGCCAACGCCGAGCTCTAATCTGCCCAATCTTCTCTCTCTCTCTACATATCTTACATTGTTGATTAGTTGTTGTAACTCCAGAAAAGGAACCGTGTATAGAGGTTCGAAACAATTAGTTGGCGAAGGAAAGGAAGGAAGACAGTATATAGTCTTTGTTTGTGTCTTGAAAAAGAATCATTAATCTTGCGATAAAATGCATCACCCGTCTCTATTCACATTTTTGCATGCTGCTGGTATCTCTTTGTTCTTCCGGTCACTATGCATCTTATATAAACACCACCAACGAGGCTGTGGATATCTGAGGTTCGGTTTTGGCTACTGCTTGATCCCGGCTCGGTTTCAGATGCAGCCAAGACCAAGGAATGAGGAGCCACGTCATCTGTTCGCCCTTTCTGAGCCTTCGCGCCTCTCTTCCGCAAGTTTAATTCAACGCTGACGATCTCGACGTACTCATCAGCTTTTCAGAGACTCGGACCATGGCATCAGACTCCTTTGAACCAATAGGCACAGACCATGAAGGCCAGAACTCAGTCGCATGTGACGTGATGGTCTATAAACATCCCAATGCCTCCTCTGCGTCTCACTAATTGTATATCGTCGGAGTAATGAATTCATTTACGCTGCTGGCGCTTCTGCGGATCCACCAAGGGGTACGACCATCAGGGGGTTCTGGGTACCCAGATGCTCCTCGCCTCGTATGAATGTCTGCACCACCGATCTGCGCACTCTTGTCAGCAACCCATCCACGCCCTGGCTTGTCTTCTTCACGACATGCACAGAGAAACTCACGAAGTTGCTCGGAAAAGCTCTGGTTTGCTCTTGAGCTCTTGAAAGTCGAACCCTCGCAGCAGCACAAACAGCACCACCTTGATCTGCTGCAATGCAAATCGGTAGCCAATGCAGTAACGAGTGCCGCCGACAAAGGTAAAGTTGTTGCCGTAGACTCCGGGAAGCTTGACCCTGTTGGGGTCTTCCTGGAGCCATCGGGAAGGGTTGAACGATTCGCCGTCCGGACCCCAGAGGGCGGGGGAAGTGTTGATCGCAGTCAGAGCTGCAGGCGTTAGTCGAATCCGCGACAGTACAAGTGAGCAAGCTCACGGAGGAACAATTGATCTCCAGCCTTCATCTTGACTTCTGTCATCAACTTGCCGTCAGCTCCGACGAGGGGTTGACTGAAGGGGATAATGACGTCGTGTACAGCTGTGCGGAAGTAGAGCGAAACGCCGGGTGCGAGCCGGATGACCTCGCGGATAACGGCTTCAAGGTATGGAAGTTTGTTCAATGTTTCCCTATGTCGGTGTCAGCTCTCGTGGTGGCTGAGAAGACAGTTGTATGAGGCTTACGCCGAAGGACGGTCCTCATCAATAGTCAATAGCTCTTTACGCAGTCTGTCCTGGACGTCGGGGTACTGGGTGAGAAAGTGGAGGATGGAAGAAACGGCGCTGGAAGTCGTTTCTCCTCCTGCAAGTAGCTATGTGATGTCGTCAGCAATAGGCCTGCTGCGGATCTACAGTAAACAAACAATCGTCAAAATTTGATCCGCAATGTCGTCCTCAGCAAGTCGTTCATTCTTTTTCAAATCGGACGCAATGTTGGATTTGACTACGCAAGTGGTAAACTCAAGTCCCCACCACCGCCGACACCTACCGAGAAGGGACAGCAGATCTTTGCCAATGTCTTGTCTCTTCTGAACACCTTCTCCCGAAGTGATATCCAGAATCTCTTGAATTCTTTTCCTGGTGAGTGACTAGGGACGATGTCAGATGATGATGTTTGACGCTAGAAAGATAGCTACCCTTGAAAAGTCGACGAGCGTTTGTCGTTTCTCCATGACCATACGGTCCCTGTTCGAGCGCTGCGCCAGCGTGAGCCAGATTTGCCACACAAGTTTTGATTCACTCACCAAGAGGGTGAAGGGAAAGTACTGTTTGAGGATGTACTGCACCCCCAGCTCTGATCCATTCTGAAGGAACGCTTCCACCAAATCTACCACCATATTCTTCTCCCCAGACAAAGAGTTGAAAACAAATCCAAACCCAGATATGCCGATAATGTCGAAGGCAGCCAAAGTGAGATACTTCAACACGTCGATCTTGGCGCCACCGTCGACAAGTTCAGAAGGCTTGATCGGGGAAGGGGAGGTGACGATCCTGCTTTGGCTGGAGATGAGGTCGCGTAATTTGTCTTTGAGCGCATAAGAGACATCGTAGAAGACTGGAAACATCTCCTTGACTGCCCCTTGGCCAAAGGCCGGGCCCATGATTTTCCTCTGGTTCCTATGATGGTCGCCTGTGCTCAAGATAACGCCCGCACCAACCAGCCTGCTCAGAAACGCCTTGACCACGGGCGGCTTGTCAAAGACATAGGGGTTGTTGACGATGTAAGACAAGGCGGCGGGGTCGATGGTAGAGAGGTCGTGGGAGCCGAATTGCATGCGGTACTTGATAGTGTGGCCATGGGCCTTGTGCCAGTCGGCGTGGGCAGAATTCGGGGTGGGCGAAGCAAAGACGCCGGTGATGTTTCCCCAGAAGAAGCTTCCGGGGTCTGGTCCTGTAGATTGTCAGCTTCAGGTGAGGAGAGAGACTGATCAGCCCACCTGGCAAGTTGCGGTAGGCGAGTCTGGCGTAAGCAATGGGGTAGAGCCAGAGATAGCCGGCAAAGGTGAGGATGGCCAGAGATGCCGCTGCGAGCTGCAGGGGGGGCAGGGTGGCGAGGGGGTGGGCGAGGGTGACGAGGCGGTCCATGGCTGATAGAAGAAGGAGATGGAAAGGAGGATGAGAAATGGAGATGCAAATACACGGCGTACAGAGGGCGCTGAAGGAGGGTCCGTACGCCGGGTTTTGGGGTCGTCGCCCGGCCCCCGGTGATATCTCGTCATCCAACTTGGTCTCGCACCGGGCCGCCACAAGCATCTTCTGCATCTCGCTGCATGCCCTGGCTTTCATTGCGGTACCTAACGTTGGATTCACCATCGTGCCGGACTACGTTTCAATCAACAACAAGACACAGATAGCCAGTCGGAACATGACGACCTACCTCAGATCAAGCTCCTGCGTCCAAGCACTCCTCCTCTGCCTCACCAGCCCCACAAACGCATCCGCAATCTCTTCCGTCTGCATCCTGCTACCTTGCTTATCCTCGCCCAGCTTGTCCTTGACAGCACCAGTGTCGATGATGCCGTCTATGACGACATGAGCTACATGGATGCCCTGCGATCCAAATTCACGGGCGAGGGATTGGGATAAAGCTCGTCGTGCAAACATGCCGGGCGCTAGGGAAGAGAACGAAGCACCCGCACGGAGCGACATGGTAGCGCCAGTAAAGATGAGGGTACCCTTGCCCTCCCTGCTGGCTGGGTCGGAGGCTGACAAAGAGCGAGGGTCGGGATTCTTCAAGAACCTGGGGATCAACGCTTGGGCAAAGTTCCAGCCGTTGACCACGCCCGAGTCGAGACCACTTTGCAGGTCCTCGATAGAGGAGTCCAAAAAGCTTTTAAGGTCGAATCGCTGATTGACATTATAGACTCCCACGTCTAGCTTGCCTTCGGGCCACTTCTTTTCCATCTCCTCAAGCGCCTTTCTCAGACTGTCCACCGAGCCATCGCTGGGCAGTGCCAGTATGTTCTCTTTAGGGATGGAGGCGGGGATGTTCAGGTTGGGTAGTGAAGTGGGGAGAGAGCGGGATAGGAGGAGGAGAGAGTGGGTGGGCGAGAGGGAGGAGGCGAGGGACGTGGCGAGGCCGGGACCGACACCGAGGATGACAGCGATCTTGCGAGGAGTGGACATGTTTGGGAGAGCACGGGCGGGGTGGCTGTCGCTGGGGATGTCGATGAATGCAGGATGAAGAGATGAGAAGCGGGATCTCATGGTCCCTGGTGGAGGTCACTGGTGGAGCCCGTCGGCGATGCTTGGTGGGTACGTAAGGCCTGCATCCATGCATATGATGATGGCCAAAGCAACTATCAACCATCTACTATGATGATGCTAGTCAGCTTTATCGCCCCGTGTAGCCATCAGCCCTATGAGTGGTGTAGAGTAGCTCCATTTATCTCACAGACTCATCGCATGGCATATCGTCACCAAGGTTTCAGTACCCCAAGTACATTATCGCCTTCTTCAACGCTGTTCCTCTTGCCCTGTCTTCCGCCCCAGCCACCCACTCCTTCCCTAATGCCGCCATGAACTGCCGGAATGTATCGAGCATATGTGTAGGGTCAACAAACTCCAAATCCTTGCATCTTGTCAGCCTGCCGTCTGTCTGACTCTAACAATGGGAATTGTTCAAGCGAGGGTTGGTGCTTACGGAAATGGTAAACAGTTGTCGGCCTTTCATGCTCAGGAGCACAAGAACCTGGTCGAGCTCTTCCTTTGAGAATGCGGCGGGATCGGCGAAACTTGGCGGAGGAGGAGATGGAAAGTCGACAGGATCTTCTTCCTCTTCTGAATCTTCATCTTCTTTGGCTCCTGGTTCGTGGTCATCTCTCGGATTTGGTGCAGCTGACGAAGCGTCGTGGTCTTCTACACCCTCGGCCTCTTCTTCTATATTCCTAAAAGGTCGGTAGCCCCGAGGATGGTCGACGAGATACTTCTCCAGCTTTGTCGAGAGCGGGTGAAAAACATTCGTTCCCTACCCCTCATCAGCCCAATAGCCCAGTATTGTTTCGAAAGCGAAGATGAAACTCACAGGATCCAATAGAAAACTCGGCCCGAATTCCGACTTGTACTTCATCTTCTGGCAGTCCGGTACCCAATACCCCATATAAACCCATCCCATTTTGCCTCCGTCTCCTTCTGCCCGTCTGATGCGTTGCGCAAGGCTGACTTCGTACAGCGCGGAAAGCGTGCCGAGAGAGGCCCATGCCCAGGACGGAGACCAGATAAAGTAGACTGAGGAGACACCGAGGGGAGTGATATCGATGACGGAGATGGCAATGACCTGAGAGTCGACTTTGTAGACTGCACCATGTCAGTCAAAGATGAAGGCTTCAAGGCGACTTACGAAGATGATGAGCTCCATAGTCTTTAGGTAGCCTCTTCTCTTTGATACCCCGAGCACTCGCCTCCTTGTCTTTGTACGGTATTGGCGCGGCGATCAGAGGCCCAGAACAGAGAAATCGATCAAACCCGCGCATTTCCACCTCTGCTGGCTTGTCTTTGTGAATAGCGACTTGGTATTCTTTGTAAAGCTCGAATCGTTCTGCTGTGGCCTTTGCTGGAACCAGCTCAGTCTAAGGATGTTAGCTATATAGTCTGGCTGGTCGAACAGAGGACACACCTCGAAGCGATGAACGGCCTGACTCTCATTGCCATACCCCACCTCATACTCGTGCAGCTCAGCGATGAGATCTCTTTGACCTCCATTCGCTTTACCCTTCCCCTTCTTGTTTCCTCCCGCCTTTCCCGATTGAGCGCATTTCCCCGTGGCACCTGGTCCATCCACGACTATGCTCTCCCCAGGCTTCGCCCCCTCGCTCAGGAAACGATTGAAGCGATTGACGACTTGTTTCTGCTTTTTGTTTGGCTTGAAGTTGAGGGCGTCTAGCCGTATGGTGTATTGCGGACAGCAGGTGCGCGCCATATCAGGACTAGGTCAGAGAATGTAAGCCATTGAACCATGCGGGTCGACTGAATGTCAACGTACTGGTACACATATGTACCCGATCGACGCCAGCCTCGGTCCATGAGCACTTGGTAGAACTATCAACAAGTCAGTCTCGCAGCCACTACAAGGACAGAGCTTCCAGCTACACACCTCAGTCGTCATCTGCTTCGATATCACTGCACAAACTGCGTTAGCACAGCACATGCACCTTCACCACGCGCCCAGACTCGACTCACTGCCGTACTTGCTCGACTCCTTCTTGGCACTCCTGACTCCAGAAGGGCTACAGTATCCACATGTGCCAGACGAGTACCCATAGGGAGAGAGGATGCTGGGCGCCGACATGGCTAGATGGTTGTCGGTAGATGAATGAAAGGGTATCAAGCCTGTAGATGTAGCGTGTCTCGAGCTCGGATGTCGAGAGCAAACGCTTCGGGGTGACTGCTATTAAAGAACAGAAAGAGAGAGTCAGAAAAGATGAACTAGTAGTCGATGAAATGGCCACTCTTCGAGAGCGGTATGATGGCAGACGAACCGACAGATGTCATTGAAAGTGGAGGCAGAACATGGAGAACACGTGGGCACGATAGGCGCCTGATATCCAGATTAGGCTCGCGAGCGTATGAACGCTATCTTTGTCGTCAAAGAGGTGAGTGTTGCGTCCTCTCGAGGCCTGAGATATGTGAGCTGCCCGGGTGCTATGATGAGGTCTTCATGCCGCAATATGCGACTACTCGGCCGCAACATCATTCCCTCTCTTCTTTTATCGTCCTCACAAGGACGTCTTTAGTACTCAAACCACTGCTCGGTCAAATCATCATAAATTTGACATCAGGGAGGGTCATCCCCACTCAAATAAGTACTTTCTGCCCCGGTCCTGTAGACGAGCTGATCGCTTATGGATGGTGACGTCGGTCATGGCTGACGATAGCGTCATTCACTTGCCCGCCAATGCCATCATCATTGATGTAACACCGAGAGTACTGGATGTACCAATAGGCTTGCATTTGGCATTGATCATGATACGTTGCCTAATGCCATGACTACATTCGCCCATTCCCAAAACGGTTGACTATCTGTAGCGGTGGGACGTGAATCAGAGTTGGGTTCCGCCTCAGCGCCTGTGAGATAGCGGTGCGGCCTGTGTCGTGTAAGAGACTGCGACCTGGGTACCCACAGCTTTAAGCAACATTCACTCACAAACCATGCAATATTCAAACCCCCGTAGGTCCACCAGAGTAATTCCGACTTGGTAATACGATAAAGGGCATGTAACCACGGTGCACCGTAGGCCAAGCATACCAAGAATAGCTATTATCTGCCCGGGCTGTAACACGCGTGCCCAGTAGGGATAATCCCAAACGTTACTTCTGCTACATATCAGCAAGGGAAAGTGGGCAGACCTAGGTCGAAACAGGCAGAACACTCACAGCGCCATCTCACCAAAAACTGCGGGTATCTCAATCGTCGAAGCTCAAGAGTCTATAACATGAGAGCAATGGTCCGCTTTCTTTGAAGGCTGTAGGGTAAGAAGCCACAGCACAGTCAAAAGTGGCAAAGGCTTATATACCGCCGCTCAAATTATCAACTGAGTGTGGTCGTGCTTGAAGAACAAGGCTTGATTGCAGCACGAGAAGAAGTAGAAGCCAACTGAGCTGCTCGCTGCCAGGTCCGGTCGTCTTGGTGTCTGCTGTGGCCGGAGGTGCACTTTGCTGGTGGTTTTACAGTATGACCTGCAGATCGCCAGGTCGGTCTTCGGAATTACATGAAGAAGCCATGAAAGATGATGTCGAAACGTTGCACGAGCCGCTTGCTCCGCCACTACCACGAGCTTTCGTCTTCCACGCTGCCCGCAAAGGAATGCAGAAAGAACCCTCATAGTTTTAGCCAGATCATGGGGCTTTGCAGACGCCAATGAGGTATTGTGGCTTTTGTGATCTCGGCGTAATCGGTGTTCAAGCAATGTGCGAATCCCGCCGGTAGACTTCCCTGCTTCCACGTGCGAGATTGCCTGTTCTAGAAGAAAAATCCCAACGGAGACTCCACAATAAGGGGGACAAACAAACTGTCGCGTGTAGTGCTCGAAGACATGAAGATCACAGTAAGGTGGAAGAGAAAGGTTGAAGACCTCCGACGACGCGCAGCCACGCCGATCGCTTTTGTCAACGGTGCCTTGGCTGACGATATGGTCTGTTCACTTGCCAGTCGATGGTATCATATCTGATTGAACACCGAAAGCATATGAGGAATTAGGTGGAACGGATACTGATTATAAAACGTTCTTTGCGAACGTCCCGCCGTCTGCAAATGTACATACAAAATGACTTGATTCTTATTATTGGTTCGCCACCTGTGAACATACCATAATTTACCTCCAACCAGGTCCATTTGGGTTGACCACGTTTAGCGGTGGGATGCAAATCAGAGTCGGGTTCCGCATCAACGCCTGTGAGATAGCAGCGCGACCTGTGCCGTATGTAAGGGGCTCTGGCCGGGCAATCCTGTCTACCATAGCTACAAGGTTTGTGTACTCACAGAGTGGGCAATAGTCAAGCCCCCGTAAGGTCCTCAATGCGATTCCGGATTGATAATACGAGAAAGGGCAAGTACCCATGTTACACCGATGGCCTCGCATATGAAGGATGGCGAGCATCTGCCCTATTTGTAGATTGTACCCCCAGTAGGCGTATTCCCACACATTTCTACTGTAGTCAGTTTGAGAGTGTGGGGGCCTCTTTCAGAAAGTGGCAGGCAAACTACTCACACCATCGCGCAGACTGCAGGTACCTCGATCCTATGAAAGCTCAAGCAAGAGTTATCCTTGGGAAGCAATGGGATCTTTTGGGTGTCTGTTGCATGGGAATGAGTCGCAGCACCTATGGAAGCGGCGACCCATTTATACACCGCCGCTGTCTTCATCGACTGTGGTCGTGGTCAGAGGTCAAGGCATGGAAAAACATGCATCGCAGCACGAGAAGAAGGAGAAGCCAACAACAACTCAGGTTGCTGCCTGATCCCGTACTCTCATCTTGGATCCGATCCGACTGGACGGAAGGAGGTGCACATTGCTGCATCTTTACGATATGATCTGCAGATCACCAGGGGAGTAGTCAGGATCACACGAAGCTTTTGAATGAGAATATCGAAACGTTGTACGAGTCGCTTGCTCCGCCGCCGGGCCTTGAGCTTGTGTCTTGCACGCCGCTCGCAAAAGAATTCCGAATAAAGATAACCCTCAACATGTCAGCCATGTTATTGGGCTCTACATACCACAACGAGGTATTGTGGCTTTTATGATCTCGGCCAAATCGGTGTTCGAGTGATATGATGGGAAGCATTCCGGCTTCCTTCCTGCCGGTAGACTTTCGAAACTCCTTGTTTCATAAGAAGCAGTCCAACGGAGACTGGAAGATAACGAGGGCCATGAACAGACTGTCGGGTGCAGTGTACGAGCAAATGGATATCACAGCAAGATAGGGACAGAACGTTGAAGACCTCCAACAACACGACGAATCAAGCTAATGATAAGAGTATCTCTCGCCAAGAGCCAGTGTAGGATATGATGACGCTACAGATGGACGCATCGAGATTGGTGTATGTTTGTCGATTGGTATTACCACTTGATGAAATATATATTGACTACATACGCCCATTTCCATACGGATTGATCATGTTTAGCGGGGGAATGTTGACTAGATTTGGGTCGCTGAAAAGCGCATGTGAGATAGCGACGCGACCTGTGCCGAGTGAGTATGGACACCACAATGTCCCGCGGTCATGATGGTTGACTGTCTTGTACTCACAGTATGCGCATATACTGAACCCCCGTGGGTCAACTAGCGAGATGCCCACTTGGTGATACGACATGGGACATTGCACCACTGTACATCGATGGCCTTGTCGAGCAAGGATAGCCACCAGCTGCCCTGGGTGTAGGCTGTAAGCCCAATAGGCGTAGTCCCAGGGGTACCTATGGCTATTAGCCTAAAGATTTAACTAGAGCCAGATCTGTCTCCGGAAGACAAACCACTCACGGTGGCATATAGTTCAGACAGCTGATATTCAGAAGCTCGAGGATGTCTCTAGAAATGCAATGAATCACCCTGGGTGTTTGTATCGTGAATGAGAAGAACAACAGCGATGCTCGGACGGTGGCAAATTTATATATCGCCGGTATAGTCGTGATTCATTGTGGCTGTGTTTGGGGGGACAAGGATTTGGAACATGCATTCCAGCACGAGAAGCACGGCAGAAGGTAGAAGCTGACTAATAAGTTCGCTGTACAATTTTCGGTCTCCGGTAGAAAACCTCTTCGGTATGTAGAGAAGAACAACCGGTGAATCACCTGCTGGCCAATTAGAATAGCATAAAGCTTATGAACAGGAGCATGCTCCCTGACCTTCAGGCCAGATTCATCAGTACCCTTGTTTCGCCGCGTCACCCGGCCATGGAAGAGGCGTCCCCGTTATGTGGGCTTTACATGATTTCCTTAGGCGTTGTGGCTTCTGTAATTTCGGCAAGATCGGCTATTGAATGTCGATGAGCAGTTACGGCCTCTTTACTGGGTGGCATCCCCCTTCCGCGTAGGAGACAAGTTCACGAAGCCTGTTGTTGAAGGGCGACAGATACTTGCCATACAGATCGTCGCGTGTAGTCGTCGCGGAGGCGCATACGCATACCCCGATTCTAAAAGGCTACGTAACGGTGTACCATGATGAAAGCCGCACTAACAATACATTACGAGTAGTGTTGATGTGGGTACCAGCGCCCTTTACCACTCTTCGACACCCTTAAAATCAAACACGTGTCGTCATCTGTGTGGTGGCTGATCAAGAAGGTTGATTTGTGCAAATTCCCCGCGGTCATGATATATGTGCTCCTCCACCGCATTACCATCTGCCAACTGACCCTATTATACATAGAGTCATAGAGTGATAGAGGGCAGAGGGGAGTCATTCAACTCGGCTTGCCCCGCCACTTCGGCTCTCGGACAACTCTCGGAAGTCGGAAGCCGGCCTTCTTATCACCCAGGAGGGCTTTACGTAAGCGTGCCTCTGGATAAACAAACCGGCCGGCGACGGCGAAGAGACAAGTTCGCTTGCTGCCATGGATGCGGCGGGAATCTCACTTCTTATGGCATTCTTGCGTGTATTACCTCATATCCCGGGCATAGAGTGCAGAAGACGAAACATTGCAAGTGGCAAGGAGACGCATGCTTTAACATTCGACTTTGTGCGGGCGTGTTGACTGTTGATAAAGAGGACCCTGAAGCGGAGTCGCAGCCCTGAGCATTCCTTCTTTCGCTCCCGTAATGCGAATGATTTTAGTCTAGTGCATTTCCCTTTTCTTTTCCATATTCTATCGAGCAAGGTCGACCCGTTCGGCGCTTGCGAGTTGCGACTGTAGCATAAACTTCCCGACCAGAGCACATATCCAACAGCAGCATCTTGATATACCAAGAGAGATCCACCGAGTCGACCTGCCACAACAACCTAATCTCGCCCGCGCACGTCAACACAGGTCTCCTCGCGACAACGCCGACCATTCCCTCTCTCCTCTTTCTTTCTCCCTCCGACCATCCCAACCATCTGTACGCCACACCAGGCGGCACTCGTCTTGACGACAGCGAAGCGAAGAGAGACCGCAAGGCGCAAGCAGGAAAGATCTAGGAAGGGAACAGGAACCCTGCGAGGCGACCTGCGATAGGAACGGGGCAAGAGGGATCCTCTGGGTTTCGGCCCAACAACAGCAGCAGGATAATTTTCATTGTTCTGCTCTGCTTCTAAACCACGCTTCGCTGCGAGCCCCTCTGTGCAGATACCGGAGCTACTGGTGTTAGTGGAGGGACGAAAAAGGAGGAAGAAAACAAGTCACAAGGGAGGACAAGCCATCATCAACACACGGCTATTCCATCGCAAACAATCAATAATACGCATTTCGTTGTTCCTCCATCCCCACTCTTTCCAAGCACGCTGCCACCCACCGCAGGCCGAGCATTGTCACAACTATAGTGTCTCTTTATCATCACATTTCGAACCCATCCATCCCCCGGTCCTCTCCTCCATCTTCGATCTGTAACGTGGGGGCAAAACACAAAACACAATCATTGCCCATCTTCCCCATCAGCACTACCTCCAAGGAGGTTATCACTCTTCGATACCCTAGCGTGGTGTAATCTCACCTCATCTGCCGACCCATCTCCACTATCTTTGAACAACATCTAGTTCGCATCTTTACGACTGCAAATCAACGAGGGGTTGCCAGCCAGAGACGTCATTGCTGTGAGACGAGGAGAAATTGAATCCGATTGCACTGCCGGAATCACCAGTACCGGTGCGTCCCAGATTTCTCGTCTGCGCATCTCACTCGCCACCCGTGTTGTATCATTACTGCCTGGTATACCTTGGTGTACTCTCCCCCTCTGGGCTGCTGGTCATCCCCACCCCGCCGAGCCTCCTTCCGCCTGCCTTTTCCCATCCCTTCATTTCCGTCCTCGTGCAGCGCATCGTGACTCGCATTACCCGAGTGTCCGCTGACTGTCATCCTTTGTGTTCGCAGGCCTACCCCAACCTACGCTTGCGACTCGTCACCCAAAACCCTCCATAATATATACCACTCCTTCCCGACTGGCATACCTACACGAGTCAAGGTACGTGCGCATGGACGCGACGCGCCTCTACTGACAGTCCCTGTTCCTACGCTCAGACTGCCATAGATTTTTATCCCAACATCAGTCCGCGATCTCTCAACCTTCATTCTCCGCCCATCAACTCTGAGCCAGGCATGAGCGTCGTCGCCGCCCCCCTTCTTCACCAGCCGTTCTCGGACACGGAGCTCTACGCCTCGCAGGGCGGCTCGGTGGACCTTCCTCCGGTCCCATCACACCTGCTGCCCATCTCTGTTCCGTCTCCCAGTGTCCCCTTCCCCACTTTTCAGCAGAGACACACCTCGCCCTACCCCATGGCTGAGCAACATAGCTTCTGTGCCCTCGGCCCAAGTGACGCTGAAAGCTCGACATCGTCTGTCAGTGTTGTCCCTCCCCCCGCACCCAAGTTTCCTCCAGCAAATTTGCCGGCAGTCACTCCAGACCTACACCCCAACCCCCAAACTCCTCTCCCGCCGACACCCGAGTCTTCACCCCCAACGAGCAAGGTGCTTGGGCCAACGATGATGATCAAGTTGGCACCGCCTGCGGACGATGAGTACGAGTATGGGCAGGTGGACGTAGAGGCGCGCAGGGCGCTGGAGCATCTCTCCGGTTCGCAGCATTCGAGGGAATCTTCGGGTAGTACCAGTACGACACCAAGGAGGATACCAGTCATCTCTGACGATACTGCGCAAGCTGTTCCTCGCGAGCTTCAACGCACACCCTCTCCCCGAATCCGTAATGCCTCGGCTGGTCTTTCATCTGAACCCATGTTCAAGTCTGTCTCCTCCGAAGGCAAGCCTCCTCGGCCAAAGTCGATGGGGGCACCTCCGAGGCCAAGACGGACTCAAACGGCTCATGGACACCCTCAAGCGACCCGAATGGCCGAAAGCAGGAGCGCAGACTCGAGAGCCAAGCTGAGAGTAAACAATGCCATCAGGGCGAGTTCTTATGGGGCATCGGGTACAGGAGGCAGCAATTCTGCTGCAAGGTCTATCAACGATACTGGTGTACACGTTGTCCCGGGAAAGAAGTCCAGCGCTGGGGATATGGCGCCGCCAGATCTGGGTGGGCCAGAAGGGCTTGAAGCTAAGGTGGTCTTGCTCGGCTCGCAGGGTGTAGGTAAAACCTCCCTGATCTTGCGGTACACCACCCGGGCCTTCTCCACCACCCCTGCCCCAGCAACTATTGGTTCCTCCCTGCATACCCGCAAGCTTGTCCACTCTGGTGTACGGGTCAAGCTCCAGATCTGGGACACTGCCGGTCAAGAACGTTTCCGTTCCATGGCACCAATCTACTACCGTGGAGCGCATGTATGCGTGCTGGTGTATGATATCTCGGATTGGCAAAGCTTCCAAGATGTCAGGAGTTGGCTGGAGGAGTTAGGCAAGAGTGTACCCAAAGAGACTGTAATCTTTGTAGTTGGTGCCAAGACAGATTTGGAGGCAAAGCGGCAGATCAGGTGCGTTTATCACACTTCCAAATCATCATAGCTGACTTCCATACAGTCCTGATGTCGCGAAAGAGACCATCAGATCGTGGATCAAGCCACCCCCTCCAGAGCGAATCCCACCGCCGCTGCAACCACCACCCCAACGAAGTCTCTTCCGCACCTCCACTGCCGGCTCCCGCCACGACTATCCTGCTCCAACACCCCACACCGCCCCGGCGAGACCACACTCCTATATCGCCTACACCCCTGAATCTCGCTCCACCCCTATCCCCGTCTCGCGCTCTAACTCGGGAGGGCCCTCTGTACCCTTCCCCAGTGCCCGATCCAAACCCTCGTCGCCAGAAAAAGGGAAAGCAACGGAGCGGGAAGATGTGAGCGAGAAACGGAGGAGAAGACATAGTGCTAGGTCATTCCCTGTCAAAATCTCCACCTCTACGACTTCGCCTAACTTGTCAAACTTGGCTTCATCACCTACAAGGTTGGAGTTTCCCAGCCTGCAATCACCTTCACGACCAACGTCAGCCACTTTCACAGAGCCGATCAGCCCAAACCTGCCAGGTAGCAGACACAAGGCTTCTAACAGCCGGTTCTCGATCTCTGGTATATCCGAGGTACTTGGCTTGGGGCGCACAGTCAGCATGTCTGGCGCTGTCCACTCCTTGCAAGAACTGGCCCAAGCTCCTAGCTCTCCCAACCCTCTAGAATCCACCATATCCTCTCCCAGTACCTCCTCCAATGACCCCTCTCCTCCCCGCGTTCGAACGGAATCGAGCCCCCTCTTCCCGTCTTACGACCCCGCCCGGCTCAAGGGCCCGCGCAGGTCGGACGAGTGGGCTCGCAGCGGGTGGCGCATGGGTGAAGGGCCTGGTGCTGCAGAGGCACTGGGAGAGTTTGGCGCGGGCGTAAGGAGAAAAGAAAGCGAAGAGCTTTTGGGAGTGGCGGCGATGAACAAGTCGCTGCCTGCTCTAGGAAACGGAGGATACAAGATGCCGGCCTCGTCGGCGTCGACTGGGGTGCAAGGGAGGGGTAGAGGAGGAAGCCTGGGCAGGGACCCGAGGCTGTTAGGAGAGACAGAGGAGAAGGAGGATGGGTGGGGGGTGGATGTGGAAGGGGTGAGGCTAGGGGAGTGCAGTGCTGCCACAGGGGATGGTACGTCCAGCTATTACTCTCAGGCTGCTGGTGCTGACGATTGTGGTAGGGATCGAGGCTCTCTTCAAAGCCATCTCATCGATCCTAGTCGAACGCAAGGACAAGATTGAACGCGAGCGAATGCTCAAGCACAAGCACAGCGTCATCCTCGTCGACCCCGCTGCTAATATCTCCTCGAGCAAGAAAGAGAAGGCCGGGTGTTGCGTCTAATACATTCCTCTCCATGAGAGACGTCCAACCTTGTCTGCTCGTGCCGACTGATCACGATGCCACGAAACAACACAAAACAAACGAACTTCTGATGATTTCACGAACTCGATCGCTTTAACGACCAAAAGTATCTGTTACCTCACACGACATACTGTAACGGGCTTTTTTCTCTTTCCCAATTTTCTTCTCTTCCACCCTCTCTCCAAACGACTTTCTGATATATATGTTTGACTGTACCATAACACCTCGCATATCTCTCTTTCTCTCCCCTCTCTATCTGGGTCGCCCGTATACAAACTTAGTTAATTCAGTACATTTCTCTGGATCATCATGGGTCCGAAACTTTCTTAGGTAATTGTGGTACCTATATACGCCTCGGTGTGTAATGCTTGTGAGAATAGCGGCAGAGCCGCATGCATCTTGTGTCTTTGAACCGTGCCAAATGCGTTTGGTTGAGAGAGGATGAACGGGATCAAATGCTCAACGATGTGAGGCCTGACGCGTCCTCCGGTTTATTTTTACGCCTTCGTTCACCATTTCACCTACAGCGTCCCAATACTGTTGGGCTCGTACGAAATCGACTATCCAAACTGTCCTCCATACGCCTTCGTCCAAAAATGACCACCTCCATCTTGCCCCTCTCCGGCCCCTCCTCCAACTATCCAGGCGCCGGCTCTTCATCGCAATCGACCGGAGGGCGTAGGTGGGGGCAAGCTGATGGAGGAAGCAGCGGGAGAGGGCTGGGTTTGGGCCTCGGTCTGGATATGGACCATGAGCTGGGTAATGCAAGAGGGGGGTTAGGGCTCATGTTGAAGAGGTTGACAAAGTTTAGAAGCATGGTGAGTGGCTTTTGGAGCGGGCGACGGGCTCTCGTGATGGCATTGAACATGTGTTGGCATATGAATGTCGTATGGCAAGCATGTGATAGGTCAGCTGCTGACCGTATTGATGGTGTAGGATTTCGAGCTGGCGTCCTGGACATTGACATATCTTGTGGTTGCACCAAGACGAGTCTACAAGCAAACATACCATCAGCAAGTCGCGTCTCTGTTCTGGACACTGGGGGCACAACTGACACAGTGATATAGCAAACAGACAAAGAATCAATGGGCTCGAGACGAGTAGGTAGCAATGCGTTGAAAACGTAAACTGGAAGAGACTAACCTCGAACGCGCAGCCCAGCGATGTTGATTCTGATAGCGGGGTGTCTAGCTTGTATGCCCGCTCATGCAATGCGATATTGCTATTGACTGACAGTGCTGTAGCTTCCGGAGTGGCCTGGTCTCTTGTCTATCGTCTCCCAGCTCTGTCCTTCCTCACACTTCCACTCCTCATGATCTTCCGTGACTTCCTTCTCCCCTCGCTCCTCATCGCCTTTATCCTGTTCTTCGTCGCCAACCGACTCCTCCTCGCGCCTTCAGTACCTCACGCATCGACGTCAGATAACAGAGTCGAGTTCGCATACGCGTTTGATGTGGCGGTGAACGCCTTCTTCCCTGCTTTCCTGACGGTTTACGTCGGGTTATTGGCCCTAGGCGTGGTGGTCGTCAGAGACAACTGGGTCTGCTTGTGGGTGGGAAAGTGAGTCGGCAGATGTAGCTTGAATGATCTGTACTGATGGGTCGCAGCACGCTCTTCCTGATTGCGCAAGTTCAATACGTCTACGTGACATACCTGGGCTACGCGGCGCTTCCATTCGTCGCTCGGTCACAGATCATGCTTGCGCCTCTGCTCCCTGTCTTTGTTGGGTCAGTCTCCATGATATCAAAGTCGGCGATAGGAACCTGGCTGACCAATTGCACAGTTACCTTTTGAGTCTTTTGGGATACAACGTGGGCAAACACGCACTGGAGCTCTATTTCGGACAGACCTGGAACTAGAATGTGTAGACGAGCGGAACGGGCCAGCTCTGATTGTAAGGTGGACACAGAGTCAAGGTCATAGAAATGGCAGCAGTATGACTGCACCCGACCATGCACACAATCTCAATAAATTATCAGGCTCTTCAGCATTCGTGGGAAGTGGTTTGATCATCGATTGGAGCATTGATCGTGATGTGCTTTGAGATCGAAGCCCGAAGGATGTTCGCGTACAGTAGAATTCGGCGTACGAGTGAAGTGGTAACAACCTACGGAGAAGAACTCTTGGTCTCCTAGTTTATCTTTATGGTAGACAGCCACAATGTATGTGGGTCAGTGGCCCACTGCATCTGCCAAGCCATTAGAGTTTACAGAGCGCACCTGCATAATACCTCAGGAGCGCACGCGTCAACCGGCGACATCACTTTGCGTTCCGACGCGCCGCGTCTTTGCTCTCTCTTCTTTGTCTTTACGCAAGAAATTATCTACAAAATGACTCACTCCTTGACATCACCCCCATCACAGTATATCCGCCCCCCAATGTCCTCGTCACCCCTCAACCCTTTCTCGCACCCCCCGTCTGTCCCAGATCCGCAGCAATCTAGACATGCCCCAAGTTCGTCGCCTCCAGCCAACCCCATGTCCTCTCCTACCCCATTTTTCCGGCCTTCTCCAGGTGGACAGGGAAGTAGCTCGGGTCCGGGGCTGGGGAAAGGAAAGCTGTCTACTCGCTATACTAGACCGGCGCGAAAATCACTACCCTCCGCTTTGGCATCGTACAGTCCGGCGGGTCCTAGCAATGGGGACCTCTTCTCGGAAGGTACGACTCCTCTCGAGGGAGCAATGTGGCGAGAACGGTTTACTCGGCGGATGGGCGAGAGAACAAGAAGAAAACAGGTGAAAGAGAGGAATCTAGAGATGCGGAGAGGCATAGGACGACCGTTATTCACAGACGACATAGAGGAGGATGAAGACGAGCTGGAGAGAAAGGCGAAAGAAGATGATGATGAAGTATGTCACATCTGTTGCCTGTTAGATCTACAAAGCTTATGATGCCACAGATATACAGACGGATCACGATACTTCAACGCAAAAAAGCCATCCATGCCCAGCTGGTCAACGAAGAATACGAGACTGGCGGCTCGGATCCCAATCTGCCAGACTTCTGGGAAGACGAGCTGGAGCAAATGCAGAGAGAGGAGAGAGACCTTATACGACGCTTGGAGGCGGGTATTCCAGAGGGGATTGAGGATGAAGAGGAGGTACCAGAAGAGCTAGTGAGAGAGGCGGAGGAAATCGACATGGGCGAGGGACGTGGGATGAACATGGACGCAGCGGTAGAGGAGGATGAATGGGATATGGATATCACATGGGAGGAGATGGAGGTCGCAAGGAAGGTAGAAGAAGAGGCCTTTGGTGCCAGTGGGAACTTGCGACGGTCAGACGGGGACGGGATGGATATAGACTAAACTTGGATATGCCTGGGGCTGCTGGGTTTGATGCTTGTACTTGTACAATCCAGTTGTATATAATGTTGTAATTATATGTATCACTCAACTTTTCAGGTTCCGAGTTGATGCATTGCTGTGGAACAGGACACGACATAGTGAACCTGGGAACGGGGAAACTGAAATGACTGCTGCTCTTCATCTCGTGTTGCTCATTTCTTCCTTTGACTCCACATTGCTGCTCTCATTCTCCTGCTCGCTAATGACTCGTCTAGTACACCTTCTTCTTCTCGTCAACCGAGAAGCCACCTGGACCAATGTTGACGAGCAACAAAAGTCCGCCAACGATGGACAATGTCTGGAAGCTACGCCCTTCATCAGCTGCTACGCTTGGGTAGAGAAGAAGGCAACTCACAAGTCGTACTTCAAGAAGTCCCTCTGCGGGTGAGCAGAGTGCACGCTCCACCAGTTGTTGATGAAGACGTTGAAGATGCTCAAAAGCGCGACCAAGAAGCTCGCACTCCACTTGGCCTTGAAGCCGACGGCAACCATGATACAAGCACCGAGGCCGACGATTGAGACGATGACTCGGGCAAGAGACCAGTTGCCTTGGAAAATGAAACCGATGAAGAGGAAGATGAGGAGGATACGGCCGGCGAGTTGGAAGCTGATGCCAGTAAGCATTGTCCCGTTTGGAGTCGGAAGGTGTACTCACTACTTTCTCCTGTCAGTCTCGCTCAAAGTAGGCAGTCCTGCAAAGATCTTCTTCTTGTTTGCCAGCGAGTCCGAAAGCACCATCAACAGACCACCGATCACACTCAAGTTGCGCAAAAAGAAGGAAAGGTCAAAGAGAAGACCGTAGCCGAGACCTTGGGCGACAACGACACCAAGAAGGATGAAGACAGAGTAGTCGGGGTATCGCTTGGCGATGACTCCGAAAGAGCCACCGAGCATAGCCTGAAAAGAAATAGGTCAGGGACAAAGGAGTACAAGATGGATGAGAGACTTACAACGACGTTGATGAGGAGGAAGAGGTGAGAGATACCCCAGGGAAGGTATCGGTGTCTTTGGGACGCGTTAGTCAGAGCTCAGCATACTCGGGACGGGAAAGACACACTTTTGCAGATACCAAAGCTGGTCACCCCATTGCGTGAGGATCCTAAGCGCGTCTACCAGACGAACGCGAGTCAGTATGCATTCTCGAATGACACTACGAGCTTCATCTCGAGACCACTCACCTTCGAGGAAAGTCACAACAATAAGGAAACGAGCCATAGCAGGGACATAAGGCCGGATAGGCTAGTACACCATCAGCACCCTTAGCTTGACTTTACTTTTCGCCCGTCCTCGTCCACTTGCACGAGTTGACACTCACCTGAGTGTATACCTCAATAGCGTCCTCCACCTTACTACTCCACTTCTGCACATTTGCCACAAACTCGTTGTCGCTGAAGTTGACCTGACCAGCACCCGCGTGCGGCATGGGGTCTGGAGTGTAGCCGCCGAAGCCTGAGCCGGGGCCGCCGACAGAGGGGCCCATGCCCTGGAAGGTTGGTTGTTGGCGGGGGACGTTGGGGTTGAGGTGGATTCGCTGGGACATGGCAGAGTTGGGTGACAAACAGGAGAAGCAGTAGCAAAGGTCATTGTCGTGCTGGAAGAGCAGAGTGGAGGACAGCGTCATCACTTAAATGGGGGGCGTATCCTCAATCTCGGGCTGACGAGAACTGTAGAGTACTCGAGTATCGCTTGTTCGACTCTTTTTTTTTTCGCAGGCCGCATGCATGCATAGTGCAGCAATCACACAGCTTCGTGATTATATGTGCACCAGGACCCCAAAATCTACATGCCCCCCATCGTCCTTCGCCGCCTTCCACCCCAATTCCCGCTGATGACCTCCTCGTCTTCTTTTCCTTTCCCAGTCTTGCCCTTCTTGCCCTTGGTCTTCCGCCCCTTGATGCTTTCCAGTCCCATGATGTACCTCATTTCTTGTTCGTCTTCGTCCAGTGCTGCACCCTCTACGCCTTCGTCTCCGACTCCAGCACCGCCGGTAAGGACTGATGAGGGGGGATGCACATTGTATGCTGGACCGCCGAACCGCCGGCGGCAGATGGAAGACCCGTGCTCCAAATATTCTTCGCGCGTGACTGGGTAGGTGGACAGATAAATATTAGATGAGGTCAAAGCTGCTGCTGAAGTATATGGCGGGGTTGCAGGACTGTGTATGATCAGCTCAATGCTCTCCTCGCCGTGGCGGTTAAACGTACTCAAAGGCTTCAAATATGCCTATCTCATAGCCGACTGGGCATAATGATTGGAGATCTCTTTCTCTGCACGAGATATCAGCTCTGTAATCTAGCTCATGTATGACTTACAGTCTTTCTCCCAGAGCCTCAATGTTACCCAGCCCCCCAAAGATACCGATATGAGCCCAGAACATCCCTCTCAGTTCTTCAGGCATGCACGAGATGACATGTGCTATTGTCTCTGGTAGCCCCATTTGTTCCAGCCCTGTCAAATGGTCAGTGGTCACTTTGACGATTGTCCTTGCGACTTGCCAATATCTGAAGGGTTGAATAACAACTCGGCCCCGGCAAAGCGTTCGTTCCCCATCCACAGAACCTGCTCTTCCTCTTCTTCCGCCACTTTCCGTTTTCTTTCACCATCCATTCTGGTGTCACCATCCATATCCACATCCTCACCCCTGTGAACATCTTCTGGTATGGAAGCATTGGGTCCGGATCGGATGTAGCCTGTGCGAGAGGTGGAGGTGGAAGCTGCTGAAAAGTCCGGTAGGACGTACTCTTGGACGATACCGTTTTTTCTTGGATTTTGCCTGACTGAAGTCAGTTACTTGACCTGGTGAGGGTTTCCCTTTGAGTATCACGCACTTGCAGATTTCATTGTCCCCCTTCCAGTCCATACTGACATATCCACACGCTTCTCTGACGGCATTGACGACATGCGTCTGGTCAATCATATTCCATTGCCGGAAAGAGATGAGGTGTTTGAGGTGGTTCGTCAGGAGTTTGCCACCAACGTCGATCCTGAGGCATAACAGGTCAGTACGACTGATATTGGGCTGATTGGAAAGAGACAGAAACGTACCGTTTGACATGTTGCCAGACAATTTGACCGTCCTTTATTGGAACGACGTGAGTATAGGAGTATCCAATGTCTACAACCACCGTACATTGTGGCGGGATTCCGAGGTCATTCTCAAAGAGCCCGCCATACGGTATCAGATCCGCAGCTAACGAGCGCATGTCAGCGCATGCTCCCTCAACATGTATCAACGGCCAGAAAGAAACTCACGGGTCGTCCGAAAGTAGCTTTGAAACTCCCATTCTTCGAAAACCATCTGGTCATATGTTTCGGAAATGTTGGGGAGATTGAAATATGGTTCTGTCACGAGTAACGACGTTTCTTGTGGGTTCACCTGAAACCTTTCTATCAGCTCGTGATTATCTGCGCTCGTGCATGACTGACTTACATCGAGCACTGCTGGCGAGAACAAGCGATCCCAAATTACCTTTTCCGAGTCCCAATTCACGAGCATGCCCTATGCCGCCATCAGCTTCCGACCATCTCAGCACGATATAGAGGGGCTCACCTTCTCGAAAGGCCGCCGATACACAATCCCCGAGAGATCTTTACACCCATCGATTTCATCGCCTACATACACCTTCTTTTCTGAGCGAGAGCGTGCTATAAAATTCGGTATCGTTACCCTGCACTCCTCCTCCGTCAGCATGCTCGTCCAAGAGTCTGATGCGAGCCAAGGTGACATACCGAGGGTCCCAATCAATCCCAGAGAAACCAGCTTTGATTTCATACGCGCCGTTGTCGAGGATAAGTACCGGAGATGCTGACATTGCTGTTGCTGGGCCAGATAATGGTCGCGTGGGTTGGGAAAGTGTCGACGAAATGTAAACAAACGCCAGAGAGCGCGCCGGTGCACTCAGCGACGAGAAAAGGAGGCGGCGGTAGCCGATCTGGAAATGACCGGTTTTCGGGGGGTGGCCGTTATGGTATCAAGATCTCACTGCTAAAAAAAATCTCGTAGAGCGACACGGGTGCCCGGTATTGACTGATCTGATCTAGAGTTGCTCCTACACGTTCAGTCCTGGCTGCTGTGTACATGTCAAAACACAAGTGATACATTCGTCAACGAGGAGCAGTTGAGCGCCACATGCCTACTCTACACTCTTTACACGATATGACTACTCTCATGCAGTCCAAATAGTCCTATCAACGTGGAACTCTTTTAGCTTGGATGTCCAATTGCGAGCGCGTTGTTTAACACCAGACCTGGGCTCCAGAGTGCACTCGGCTCCGCCACCTTCAACGGAACCTCTTCACATATACACCGACGTACGTATCTCTTTCAATCGTAAGGTCCGGTCGCACAGCTCCTTCTCTCTGTGGTGGTTACCGTAGAACTGGGAGCTATAGATGAGTGATAGAGTAGGGATTGATGTGACCCCATGTCTTCGCGAGAGCCCCATCATGGAAAGGCGAAAGAAGGGCACACCGATAACCTCTTCGTTCACCTCAGCGTGCGTCAGCGAGGAAAGAGACACCAAGATACCATCCAGTCCCACTTTTTCAAGAAGTGAAGGCGAGGGGCGTTGGGGAAGGGCGAGTGGAGATCAATGTCGACAATGGGAAGGGTCTGGCATTGTTGAAAGTGAGACGGTCTGTGTGGCGAAGTCAGTGCCAGATGTCTCGACGAACGGCACGGATGCGTGAGCATGAAAAGCAAATGTCGACTGAGTACCATTGACGAAAGAGGAGATGTCGTTCGTTCTGATATATGGTCTCCTGTGGCCAGGCGTGCACTTTCCACTATTTTGTGGTCAGGCATTCTAGGTCGTTTTGAATGCGGTACATGTCATGATAGTTGTACATCTATGTCGTAGACTTCAGGTAGTTGCTGGCTTTGATGTTTTCTCTATTTCTGCACTCAACGTCAGTCTCGAATTCCAAAGTACTCCGCCACTTTGGACGGCAGCTGCCCTTCGCCCCAATCAACGCTCGACCAAGACCCGAGTAAACTCACAAAGCCTTCAAAGTCTTTTTCTGTGCCTTCAAATCGACTTCTGATCCGCTCTCAGTCTTGGACGTCTGTTTCGCGAGAGATGGCGCCGCGGGCTCATCTAACAGCGTCCATAACCATGCCGGGTACTGATCATCGGGAAGAGCAACGGGATCGGGCTTATCTTTCAGAATGGAGAGGTTACTGAGGGGAGTGCCTGCTGGACATGATGAGATGGCTGGAGGAGGAAGTCAGCAAGGCAATAGTTCGAAGTGGAAAATCCAACGCACCTTTAGCGGCTTTGGCTTTGGGAGCGGCGAGGGAAGAAGAGGATGAGAAGGATGCTCTCAGCATCGGTGTTATTGATTGGGCAGGGATTCTGGTGAAAGACATGGCGAACTGAGGATCAGTGATCTGAATAGCAGAAAGTCAAAACAGGAAATGAAAGAGCGAATGAGCGCAAATGTCAAAGTGACGTGTTATTGTCGCACCCTTATCATCATCATCCACCCCGTCGGCCATGCGTACAACTGTTGTGATCAGGGCTGATCTATGTACAAGGAGATGTTTGTGAGTATCAGGCGTGGGATCTGCAGAGGTCGCGGTGCTCAGCTACAGATGAACGGTACGGTCGTTTCTCAAAAGACACGCCGATCTTATACTCTGGTGTAAACGCGGTCAAATGTAGGCTTGGTGATACCACTGCATCATTCAACACCTGCGATGACAGCTTTCCATCTGCTCAGCCAAGCCTACCTGCTTCTGTTATGCATATGTATTGCGACAGCTGGCTCAACACCCCTCGTTCGTTCTCAACCAACGACGTATTTGCCTCTTACATAATCATTGCTCGCGTTTTGACGCGACGCGCCGTGCACGCATCTGACATTACTCTGTGCTTTTGCTTTTCTTTATCTCTCCCACAAACACATCGTACGGCTGTATCACAATGGCTGAGCCATCCCCCGACGCCATCAAAACCAACAACAGTCACCTGGGAGGTATCACACGCCTCTGCTTCTCCCGGGACGGCGCGTAAGTACCACTGCCGTATCACCGCGCACGCGTCGCTGATCATGTCTGCAGCACCATCTTCACCGCAGGTAGTGATTGTCTTGTTAGGATTCACAAGGCAGACAATCCAGAAAGTGAACCCGGGTTCCATGATGATCACCACGAAGACGTGACCTGTTTAGCTAGCTCTGTAAGTCCCACTCTTCTAACAGCAGAGCTGTCCCCTGACGCGTCGTTAGTCCGATCAATTGATCACCGGATCTGTAGACAACATCGTGAGACACTACTCTTATCCTCAAAACGAGTTTCTAGGGTTTGTCACGCGCTCGTCAGGGGTACCCATTAGGTTCTTGGATGTCGACAAGGCGGGGGAGAGGGTGGCGGTTTGTAGCGAGTGAGTACTGTCACGGTGTAAAAGTATTGGCGCTGACGAAGATCCCAGTGATATGGTGGTGAAAATAGTCGACCTCAAGGATACCTCGATCTGGTCTCAGGTATCTGATAACAACAAGCCCGTGCGGTCGGCCACTTGGGATCCTCTGGGCAAATATCTTGCAAGTCATGCCGCATTTTGACGTATAAACGCTCACGAGATGCAGACAACCATATGTTGCGATGGAAAGCTTAAGATCTACGATACCACAGGTTCTACCGCTATTTGTGTCAAGGTTTTCGAAGCTGTTGTCTACGCGAGTGAATCCGAGTAAGTCCACCCCTACCCCAATACAAAGGTTTACTCACGCGTTTTCAAGCTCCAAGTCGTCTTGTTACGCGCAATGGCATCCTTCTGGGGCATACTTTGCTGTGCCCACGCGCACTAATGACATTGCAATCTACAATCGAGATTCTTGGACCAAGCAGTCGACTTTTGTCCCTGACGGTCCCAAAGCTGTATGTCCCCTGCCTTGGAATTATAAGCACTCCTAACAGTAAGTAGCTTATAGGTGAACTTACCTGGTCCCCTAATGGACGTTACTTGGCCGCCTCGGCTGCTGCCAATATTTACGTCTTCTCCACCGACACACGTCAACCTGTCGCCGCATACACCTGCCCCAAGGGTGCTATCTCCGCCCTTGCCTTCTCTCCCATCTCAAATCTCCTTGCTTTCACCTCTCTCGATGGCTCCTTCCACCGTTGGTCTGATCCAATCTCCAGCGATCTTGCCGATCCCGTGTCGGACGATGAGGCGAGGCAAAAGAAATTTGAACAGTTGTTGGACGATGAATTCGGAGACGATGATGGAGAGATCCAAGAGAAAGGGGAGGATCTGGGGGACGACGAGCTTTTCGGGGACGATGCGTGGATCGTGGATGATGACGGCAAATATACAGGGTATGGCAAAGATGAGGAGGACAAGCCAAAGGGGAGAACCGCGGTGGGTATCTCCAGAGCCCAGGAGGCTTTCGAGCCAGGAAGCACGTCCTTCAGAAACAAAAAGCGTTACCTCGGTGAGTGTGTCCACGTATTCAAGGGGTATGCTGACACATTGTAGCGTTCAACATGATCGGTGTGATCGACGTCACAGACCAAGAAACTCATAATGTCGTCAACGTCGAGTTCCACGACAGGTCTGCGCGCCGCGGCTACCACTTCCAAGACCACCACAAGTACACGCTCGCCTCCCTCGGAGAACAGGGTATCGCCTACGCCTGTGAATCCGAGGACGAACAGCCTTCCATCGTCTACTACCGCCCTTACGACTCGTGGACTACTCAGGCAGATTGGCAAATAGACCTCTCACCTGGAGAGGACGCGGTCTGTGTTGCTGCGGGGGGTGGGCCAAGTTCCGAGCTGTGGATGGGAAGCGTGGTTGTCGCGACGAGTAAGGGATTTGTGCGCTTCTTCACTGCGAGTGGGGTGCAGAGGTATCTGTGGAGCTTGGGAGAGGATGTCATCACGATGGCCGCTGGGAGGGGAGAGGTCGTGGTAGTCCATCGGGAAGGGCCAGCGGTGGATGGCTGTCAGAATTTGAGGTATACGTTGCTTGACTTGGATACGTTCGATATCATCCAGGAGGGCAAGATCCCATTACCACGGAAGATTGAGCTCGACTGGATTGGATTCACGTCTGAAGGAGTGAGTCGCTTTTTCTTGGATGTAGAATTGTGCTGACGCTCGGGTAGGTTCCTGCAATCTATGACTCTGCTGGTCTTCTTTCCGTCCTCGATCGTCATCGTCGCCCTGGCCAAGCCCGCTGGGTACCTTTGCTCGACACCACGTCTCTCGCTAAAGACGGCAGGAAAGAAGCTTACTGGCCTGTGGGCGTGTCCCAGACGCACATGTCTTGTATCATCCTCAAGGTGAGCGCACAACATGAATAGGTGAATAGAGCTGACGATAGGAGCAGGGTTTGGAAGTGGAGCCCTGGTTCCCCAGACCACTTTTGCAAGAGATTGAACTGCGCATGCCGATGCTCAATATGATAGAGCAGCAAGGCAAGTCTGAAGAAAGGTGAGTCCAGTGTCTCTGACGACTAAATCCGAGTTGACTGTTCATCCAGTCTCGCTCGAGGCTCTCTTACCCTGACCAACCTTTCCCCGATCGATCCCGAGGCTTCCTACACCAAAAAGGAGACCGAAGTCGCCCTCGACAAAGAGATTCTCCAGCTCATTCAGGGTGCTTGCAAAGCCGACAAGCTTCAGCGCGCCCTCGATCTCGCTCGTCTCGTATATCAGCCAGAGTCCGTGAAGGCCGCTTCCACCATCGCTGCCTTCTACCACCTACCTGGTCTCAAAGACCGGATCCTCAACGTCCGAGGTGAGAAGGATAAAAAGGGCAAGGAGAGGAAGTTGAAGGAGAAAGAGATGGAAAGGGCGAGGGGAAAGGACTACACTGGGGTCAACCAGAAGGCGACGATGCCGGAGACGTCGAGCAGTAGACAATTCCAGGACTTTGCACCTAGGTCGAGGAGGGCAGTTGGATCTTCCGTTAATCGAGACTCGACACCGGCGTCGAGCAACCCAGTGTATGTCCCCGAGACGCCCGGGGAAGATGTGGAAATGGAAGATGTGGATTTCGGCAGAGAGAGAGGCGGGAGTCCTGCAATCGAAAAGAGGAAAAGGGACAAGGAATTTGAAGAGTTTGATGCTCCAAGTAAGAAGCGAGGGTCCGAGTTTCCATTCGCGAAGCCTGCTGGTGAGTATATATTCAGATTCGCTTGACCAAGCTGACTTGCGGACAGCTGTCCCTGCCAAAAACCCGTTCGCCAAAAAGCCAGCTGGCTCCAATCCGTTTGCCAAGGCTTCTGGGGGCGCGACTCCGCTAGATGGCAAGAAGAGCACGAGCTTCTTCGATCGAGTCGACAAACTTGAGACTGATGGAGTCCCTAAGAGTGAGTCCTTCGCGCGAAAGGAGCCGGGGACTGATGTCTCCAAAGCGAAAAAGATGAGTAAGAAGGAAAAGGCTGCCGAGACTGCTGCGTCCGGCGGCAAGCAAACTTCCCTTTTTGCGGCTGGTATCTCCAAAAAGTCCAAGAAGGCCGACCCCGAGACCGCAGTGGAGGAAGAGGAGAGACAGGAGACGGATATTGGAGACGACGCCGCGGAAACGTTCGTGGAAGCTTCTGCCCAAGAGTCTCTGGATCCGGTAGAGGAAGAGGAAGAAGATGCGGAGGAAGTGGGCACACAAGTGGATGAGACTCAGGTACGTTCAGCCGAACATAGGACAGGCAGAACACTGACCTTGCGCAGGAGTAGGTGTGGTTGTTTCTTGCATTCGGAAAGGTTTTGGCATTTTGTACGACATTCCCTCATCTCACATGGATTCTTGTACGATTTCGGCCTTGTCGGTGATAACGGCCAAAGGGATGCGAGGCTTGGCTGGAGCCAGCTCCAAAATTCACATCCTTTCAGCCGCCTGGAGTTTGCGTTTCACATCGCCAGCCTCCTTTGCCAGGTTTCCCTTGCTATCCCCTCGAACCGCTAGCTGGTTTCCGCGCACATCGCTCGACATCATGGATTAGTTTCTACCACCAACAATCCAAGTAGCAACCTTGACGGTTCACTTACTTGCATAGGCTCCCAAGATCTCAAGTGCCCGTCTCAGGGCCTTTCAAGTCAAGATGGCTAACCCGGATACAGCAGCCCGAGAAGCGATCACCATTGTCTTGCCACTTCTTTTGCTTTTCGTGGCCTCGATATGGTTGTTCAAACGTGGAGGTAAGAAGAGCTCGGGAGACTCGAAACCAAGAGGGGGAGGTAGGAGAGGGGGGGATGATAATGATGGTGATAATGGAGGGGGTGGAGGGGGTGGGCGAAGTCATGATCTCGGAGGTGACGGAGCTTCGCGTCCCAATGGGGGCGGCGGCGGCGGGGGTGGTGGCGGGGGTGGTGATGGAAATGGTGGCGGAGGTGGTGATGATGCTGATCGTAAGAGACGCCGCAAGAATCAAGACAAGAAGGACAGGAAGGACAGGAAGGACAGGAAGGACAAAGAAGACCAGGAGAGGAGGGAGAAGGATGCAGAACGCGAGAAACGAAAAGAGGACAGGAAAAGGCAAAAGGCAAAAGAAGCTGATGAACGTCAGGAACAAGAAGAGAAGGCCCGCAAAGAGCAGGAGAAGGCTCACAAGAAAGCAGACGGGGATCGTGCCAGGGATAGGGGCAGGGGGGATGGTGCAGATAAAGGGCTTGGATCGCGCGGCGCCAACGGTAGTGATGACAGCGACACTAGCGATGACGATGGGAATAATCAAGATGACAGAGGAGGGGTTCGCCGTGACGGGCGCCACAAATCTCCTGCTACTGGCAGCAGCTCTCCACTCACCTCGGCAGGGGATGCTTCCGACGATGCCTCAGCTCAAACTGGCGATCACACACCTTCAGGGAAGCCTTCCCGCGACCACCCTCCAAGATCAACGCAAGATCCTCCCTCTGACTCTCCCCTTTCTTCGTCTGATTCCGATTCCAGCAGCCCGATTGAATATACCACTGGAGGTGGTGACGGGGGTGGCGGAGATGACCCGCCTCCTCCTGGTTCACAAGGCAAGGTCCGGAACGTCTTCAAGATTGCTGACGATGTAAGTCTCGCTGTCAATAGCCGAGGCGGCCAAAGGTATCGCGTACGAACCAATAGTCAGTCAGATGGAAGCGACTTTGACGACGCTCGAGGTGGCCGGGGGTGGCCAGGAGGAAGAGGTGATGGTGGCGGTGGCGGTGGTGCCATCAGGATACCTCGAGTACCTCCTTACACCACTATGGGCCCAGCCACACCTATGACTCCAGGAGGTGCTCAATTCAATGACTTGCCTCCTCAAACGCCGGCGCCCTTCCATCACACTCAGCGTATACCGGGTACCCCCAACACTGCTCGCACACCTGCGTCTCCTGTATCAGCATTGCCACCTGTGACAGCAGCTCTGCAGCATGGTTATCCTGTTCTGATAAACGACGAGGGTGTTGACCCTTGGGCATATCGATCAGCTGCCCCCGGTAAGAGCAGCTTTACTCCAAGTGATCTGGATCCTCTGGTCACCAAGGAAGCACATCGTCAGCCCAGGACGTTATCCGACATACTGGGTGTCACGGGCCTCGAAGGAAGCTTGGGTCCGGGCTTGGATCCAGGCAACAAGTTCGGGCCTACCATGTTTGGGGACCTCGCAAGACGTACTGAAAACGACAGTCGAGGCGGGTCCAGCGCCAGCCCGGTAATGGAGCGCACTGGAGTCTGGGGAGAGGCCCCACTGAGCCCGATAGTACGTGCAGAAGTCATCATTGAGGGAATGAGCTAATCATCTCGAAGGATTTGCAGCCTATTCACATCCAAAATTCCAGGGGAGATGTTGATGATGACCGGCCGGCCATACAGCTTTCTCCCCTTAAACCTCCCAAATCGTCCTTGAGTGAGAGAGAAAAGACCAAGAAAAAAGAGAAAAGACATCGATCAGAAAGATCTCAAACCCCTACAAGTGCAAGTAAAGTACGATTTGGCGATGTCAGCTCGCGCCCTCTCACTCCCAGAATCGAGGAGATCCCTGAGGCTTCCGGTGCCAACATTAAGAAAAAGGTCTCTGGTAAAGATGCCGTCAAGGACGATGAGGCAGAAAAGGTGCGCAAGGACAAGGAGAAAGAGAAAAAGGACAAGGACAAGGAGAAAGAGAAAAAGGACAAGGAGAAAGAGAAAAAGGACAAGGAGAAAGAGAAAAAGGACAAGGACAACAAGGACAAGGACAAGAACAAGCGTCAGACCGAGACAAAAACAGATAAGGAGGACGACGAACCAGATAAAGAGAAGCAGATCCGAGAAAAGAAGGCTAAGAAAGCCAAACAGGAAGACACAGAAGAGGAGGAGGAGGTCGCAACAGAAAATGACAAGAAGAAGAAGGACAAGAAGAAGAAGAAGAAAGAGAAGGACAACAAAAGCAGTGATCAAGAGACCGAGCAAGAACCAGAAATGGACGGAGAGAAAAAGAAAACTAAGAAAAAGAAGCTCAAAGAGGTTGAGATTTTGGTGAAGGACCCAGAGACGGGAGAAATCAAGAAACAGAAAGTCATAAAAGAGGTTGAATCCGAAGAAGAGGGCCCCAGAAAGGTCAAAGATGCCGGTAAAAAGAAGAAAACCAAAGGCGACAAGGAAAAAGAAGTGACGGAGTCAGCAGAGGAGGATGCCGTGAAGAAGAAGAAAAAGAAGAAGAAGAAGAGCGGTAAATCAGAGGAGGAGGAAGAGGAAGAGGAAGAAGGGGAAGATTCTGGAAAGGCGAGAAAAAAGAAAAAGAAGAGCGATAAGGGTGGGGATGACGATAAGGAGGATGGAGAAGACACAAAAACAAAGAAGAAAAAGAAAAAGGCACAAGAAGAGGCTCAACCAGAGAGCGACGAGGAAAGCGTGAAAGGTAAAGAAGGCCCCGGAAAGAAGAAGAAGGCCTCCAAGAAACAAAAGGAACGAACCAAAAATGATGTGGTCAGCGACCAGGACGAAGAGGACGAAGAAGCCGTGTACCAAAAATACACCGACAAGGATGGCAAGCAAAGGCTTCGTAAAGTTCCCGTCGATGCCCAAAAGAAGCGGAAGAAGCAGCGGCAGCAGATGGCGGACGCGGGCCAGTATGAGGAGGACGAAGACGGCGAGCAAGAAATCTACTATGATCGCCAGGGCGCGCCTATCAAACAGCGCAAAAGCAAGCAACAACGACAAAGGCAACAAGGACAGTCCGACGAAGCTGATAACACTGTACCAATTGAGCTGCAAATGGCCGATCAAGGTGGATCAGTGGCACGACAACGAGGAGCTCAAGATAATCAGCAGCAACAGCCTCTTGGTGATCTTGACGATGACTTGTCTCAAAACCTTTCTCTTGAAGAGCGACGTAGTATTGCCGAACAGAGAGGCAGAAAGTTGGGGAACAACAAGATCCCTAATCGTACTCGGACCGATGGAGTCGACAATGATGTTTCACGCGGGGAAGACGAGGGAGAGGAGGGTACGGATAATGCGTCGCTGAAAGACAAATTGCGTAATAAATGGGACAAGGCAAAGATGAGAGAAGCAGAGGAGCCTGCCGGAAAAGCGGATACCAAGTCTGAACAACCAAGCACAAGCTCTGATGGAACCCCTCTTGGGGAAGAAGATCCCACAGCAAGAAGCGAGCACCGACAGCCCAAGGGTCCGAAGGGACGAGTATCCGATCCCGAAGATGTCGCGCATGAGGCCGATAAAGGCGACAAGGATCAAGGAAAAGACCTTGAGCAAAAGCAGAAGCAAGAAGATGAAAAGAAGAAGGCAGATGAGGATGAGGCTGCTACAAAAGAGAGGGAACGCTTAGCAAAGCTCGCTGAAGCTCGCCGTAATCTTATGGGTCAAGTACCTGGACAAAACAGTGGCTGTGAGTTTGTGGGTCTGAGTACTTATATCATGCACTGCTGATAGCTACAAGTACCTCCACTGCGAGAGAAAGCATCAGCGCCTTCCGACAAAAGTCTAGCGCAGTTGCGAGCCAACCGGGAGAATGTCAGACAAGGTCCCAGAAGGCTGAACGATGAGATCAGCAACAACGAAGACAAGCAGAATGAGAACGAAACTCAAGAAGAGGTAAGAGAGGGTGAAGGTGAGTCAGCAAGCCTCGCAATGCCATCTATGCTGACCACACACGTCTTCAGAGCAAACTGGTGCCAAGGGCGATGAACGTATCAAGCCTACCAATCCGCAAGACGCAGCGCGACAAGGGGCAAAAGACATTGAAGAGCGTTTCCGACGTGAGAGGGAGGATGCAGGGAATGCACGCGACACGTCCAATAGCCCGCAGGATGGAGCTAGAACAGAGACAAAGCATGAAGAGCAAGACCGGCAAGAGCGCCAGCAAGAGCAAACACCGCCAGTTCAGGAGTCTGTGCCTTTGGGACATGAGCAACGTACCTCAGAGACACCATTGAAACCGGACAGCATTGAAGAACCTCAGTCGCCTGCTGTAGCAGCTCGATCCATCAGCAATGCAAAGGCAATCGATCAGGGAGCATCCAGGGAGCAGACACCTCGAAGCAACAGTGACGGAGCAACTATGCAGTCCGATTCTGAGAAGAGGGTAGCTGCTGCATTGAAAAGAAAAGAAATTGCGGAGAAGGAGCACGAGAAGAAGGAGTTAGAAGGGCGCCAGCGTGAAAAAGAAGGACGTTCTTCGGGGGCAGATGTTGACGTGGCTCGAACCCTTCCTCCTGTCTCCGGAGATGAATCCTCCGTAAGGGGGGACGAGTCACAAGACCTCGTACCCACCCAGCCTTCCTCACGTGGATATCAAGACTCCCAAAGCCTGCCCCGCCCATCCAGATCTGACAAGACATTCGAAGAGAACAACGGAGTAACAGACATGCAGACGGTGGACACCCGCCCCCGACAAGAACCCCATCACAACGAGACTGAATCCAATGACGTTCGAGAATTGCTCGACCTTTCGCAATTGAACGATCGAGAAATAGAAGCATACGAGCGTGATGGCACTCTGCCAGCAGCTGTACAGTCTGGGCGTGAGGAGAACGTCAGCTCTGAACTCGTGTCACAGAGTCGAGGCGGGCGAGGTCGTAAAGATTCAGCTCTCGACGAAGATGTGCATGATGATCAATCCCGTGAAAATGAATCTACCAATCTTGTTCGGCAAGGCGATTCACGAGTCCGAAGAGAGATATCTACACAGTCCGAAGTCCCGTTGGATGGAGCAGAGACGGATCTCGCGAGCTCGCAGCTCGTCCCTGGTTACGCGCAGAGGTCAGGCCACGGTAAGTTAGCTCTGGACGCACATGGGTATTGAGCTGACTTTAGTTCAGAGCAAGGAGGGAGCGATAGCGCGCTGACATCCGGGTCTCGTCATCTTGGGCGGGAGAATACTGATAGACGAGGAGAGGCGATAGACTTGTCTGAATTGAATGATGACGAGATTGAGGAATGGGAGCGAAGTGGTAACTTGCCTCTTGCCACAAGAGAAGGATCACAGAGACCTTCAGAGCCCCAAGAGATCGTTAGAACAAGACGGAATGAGCAGAGAGGAGAAGGGGCGCCTGCATTAGATCAAACGGATTCGGATGGTGAAAGGGACTCGACTCCGCCTGCAAGACAACGTCCTACCCTACCTCCGATCGCCTCCAAGTCGGCTACCGATGAAGGTATCGCCTCTCCACCTTTGAGCGGAGCCACTCTGGTCGTAGACTCCTCAGACGAAGAAGTGTCTGGGCCCAGGCAGACAGAAGCCCAAAGACGAAACATCAAGAACATAGAGATCGAACAGACTGTGGCACTCAAGAATGCCGTCGCTGACAATCCCGAGCTCATGAAAAATGCAATAGCAGAAAACGCAAAGAAGGAGGAGATGGCGGGAATGGGGAGCGGCAAGGGAAAGAAGGTAAAGAAGACAAGGGGTACCAGCGACATTGAGAGTAGTGATGAGGAGGAAGTGAGAAACGTCCCCATCAGAAGACCACTGGAAAACCGGCGGGGACCTGAACCGACTGGCGATAGCGAGACTGAAGTCGAGGAAATAGAGAGGGACACTTCCTGGCAAGCCCAAAACAATCAAGAGACGAAGGGGCACAACCCCCGAGATTCAGGCTACGATTCCCCCGGAAGCGATTACGGCGACAACGATACGCATTCGATGCATTCCGAGGGCCAGGTGGCAACACCCCCACCACTTTTGCCGCCTCGCCGACAGCAACCGGACCAAGATCTTCGACAGGATCATCCGGAGGCCCCGGAGGCACCCAGAGCCGAATCTCCGGTCGATGATGTTTCTTCGGAAGACGAGGAGTATGTCGACGACCCGAATAAGACACCTGCAGAGAATGCTCGAGAAACCTGGCGGAGGAAGGCCGATGCTGACAGTAAGAAGAAGGAGCGTCAGCAAAGGAAGATCCAAGAAGAGGCAGACGGTCAACGCACAAAGCGAGACCAAGCTGTGGCGGATGATGAAGATGAAGCTCCTCAATCATCCCGTACGTAACTCTTGGGCCAGAATTCGCCATCAGCTGATTTCATTGTAGAGCACGAAGAACCTTCGAGAAAGAGGAATGGACAACGAGATGGCCAACCTGGAGATGGCGAGATCTCTCCACTCTCCCACAATGACGAAGCTTGGGTCAATGATCGCGCCAAACGGCGCGAAAGGGGCGAGAACGTACCTGAAGCTGGAGAGGTTTCCATTATCGAAGATGAAACCCAGCCTCGACCAGAACAGTCACAGCGCCAGCAAAGGCCGGAAAGACCCGAGGACGACGCACCCTTGCCCGATACCGGTTCTGAAGAAGACAAGAAGGGCAGAAAAGAGCGTATGCGGTTTGGGCATGAAGATCGTAAGAAGCAGGGAGAAGCACAAGAGGAGATTGAAGAGGTGCACAAAGCGACGCGGGAAGAGAGAAGGAAGCAGAAGCAGGAAGAGAGGGAGAAAAGACGCGAGGCCGCAGAGGGAAGGCAGCAGAGGGCCGAGAAGGATGCCAGAGAAAGACCATCACAGGAAAGACAAGGGCGAAAGGTGCGGGAGACTGATGCTGACGACGGGGATAACTCGAGGAAGGGTCGACGTCAGGCGGCCGATGGAGAATCTGAAGAATCGACCGTCAGCAGCTATACCAAGCACAACATCTCCGTCAACCCTTTCACATACCTCCGGTCTACCTGGTATCTTCTCAAAGCCGCTCCGACGTGGTCCCTCCTGACTACGGGGATCCTGGTACTATACATCGAGATTAATCGTCAGCTCTACGAGATGCTTTCGGTCTCGTCAGGAAGTACCTCACTCACCAAGAGGGCCTCGTCTGACGCTCCCGTCGACCTCGCCTTCACTCAAAGTTGGTTCTCAGACTTAGTCAGCAATCTCTCTTTCGACCCAACAGCCTTTTTTGCTTTTATCAGTATGTGGAGTATCCTGTGCTTGCCTATCCTTGGGCTCTTGATTCACAAGACGATATCTGTTGCCGAGAACCCTCGCCCAAAGAACCCCGACGCTTGGTGGCGAAACCCCTTCACATCAACGGGTAAACTCTGGCAGGGGTTCAAAAACTGTTGCCAATCCAGTACCCGAGCCGCCTTGCTGGACCGACACCTTTCTGGCCCGAGACGATTTATGGGGCAGGCGGGAAGGTGGACCTGGCTCCGAATCCTCATCTTTTCCATTCAGTTGGCGGGTTTCGTCCTGATCATCCGCCAAGCCATGAGCCTTGCATACATGGTCGGCATCGGAGGCTCGGAATCGTTCTCTATGCTCCCTGACGTGGCGTCTTCAGAAAAGTCGATGGCGGACGTGGCGTCGAGTCTTGAGGATCAAGGAGCCTTTGCTATCCTCAATTTCGTCCTTTTCCTCTCGCTCCTCGTTCTTGCCGCTTCTTGGTACGCTCTCCTCCATGCGAGATCCCGCCTTCCCCGTCGTGGCCAGACAACAGACGAAAAGCAGGGCTCCGACGGTAGCAAGAAGTCACGCTGGCGTCTTCCAGGCGTCCGTACGTCTCTGAAATGGTTGGCCATCATGATCATCCTTATTGCGGTGATCGTCTCTCTCCTCTTCTTCCAGAACATTGCGTCTTACATTGCTGGGGAAGACGGCGCATCGGATGCTAGCAGCGAGGTGGTCATGTTGGGAGCGAATATGATATTTTTCGTGTTGATGGGAGCGATGGGGTATGTGGTGTTTGAGCTAGAGAAGGTGTGGAGGAAGCATTTGAAGGGACGTTTGGGTGAGGGCGGAGGTTGTAATGGGAGCGGGTGCTGGGGCTGCGGATCTGATGTTTCTGTATAATCATTTGGGTGTTAGAGTTCTAGTTCCGATTGCGACTATGTAGATCTGTAGAGTGTGAGTAGTAAATCAAAGCCTTCGAGACGCCGAGCATTTGTAAGCTAGGGTCCACCCAGCACATAGAGTGAATGCGTAAACGTTCGTGACATCATAAAGATCCAACATACCCCGGTAACAATGACCAGCTCATCCCCCTCCAACCCAGCCCCCTGCCGGTATCCCTATTCTGGCCGCTAGTTGTCTATACTGTTGGGCTGCCAACGCGCTCGTGCGGCCCCAAAGAATCGCCAAAGCGAACACCAAGAAAAGGACATTCGTCGTCTGTAACAAGTTAGCCCAGACTTCAGTAGTATGAGGCGCAGGAAGTTTGCAGTAGAGAGAGAACTCACAACAAACTCGTAGAAATCCTGTCGTTCCTTCTTCACAACTTTGCCGCACGCTTCCCAAGCTGGCACTTCGCCCTGCTGACCTCCGTCCGAAGCTGAGGCGGAAGAAGAGTTGGAAGGGAGACAGTGCAAAAGCCTGCGATTGCCAAAGGGGAAGCAGAATGCCTGGTCGAGCTTTGAAACAAGCGCACAATCAGCGAGGATCAACAGTGCTATAAGAGAAGTGCACGCACCTCGTCTTTGGGACACGGCGAGCATTCGCCAAAAGGTCTACAGACCAGGTCCCCGGCTGGATGCGCAACGTACTCCGGTTGCTTTGCCCTCTTCTTCAATTCGGCGCCATCTGTTGCTGTTTCACTGGAGCTATCTTGCCGTATCCCCAATGCGTCCAAAGACGAAGAGCGAGTGTATATGTACCGTTCTGGTTCGGCTGTCGCGAGCGCGATGAGCGTCAGGAGTAGTAGGGCTATTGGCCAAGAACTATAACTCCTTATTCAGCTGTCGTTGCTATCCCCATCCAGCAGCATGCTTACAGTGTCCGTAATCTGACCATATTCAATTATGCATAGAAGATCAAAACAGAAATCTCTCGAGGAATCATAACAGTGACGCGCAAGTTAACGTGTAAGTAAGAATCGTAATTACAGCCTCCCGTAGCCAACGCGTCGTCAGTTTGCGCCCTATGACCTCTTTCATTTCGCCGTCTCTCAATCGAATTCCATTTCTTTCCCCTCGGTACCTACTCAATTCCCATAGCAGCGCCCCCTCGACAATTGAATCACAACCCCCAACAGGAAGCAACAAGATGGCTGTGGCGACCCAGAAGATACCAAAGGCTCCAACAGCCCCTAGTACCTCCATCAAGGTGCGCTATCAACTTCCTCCAATGGACGGCAACTGACATCACACGCTTGACAAATAGACCTACTACCAAAACAAGATTGAATCTGCCGAGCTTGACATCACCCGCAAGACCCAGAACTTGCGTCGACTGGAAGCTCAGCGAAATGCTCTCAATGCTCGAGGTGAGTTGCTCTCATCGCGGTAGCTATGTAGTGGTCAATACTGACATCATCCATAGTGAGGCTTCTCCGAGAAGAGCTGCAGGTCCTGCAAGAGCCTGGAAGCTATGTGGGTGAAGTCATCAAGGTAATGGGCAAGAAGAAGGTCTTGGTCAAGGTGCAGCCTGAGGGCAAGTATGGTACGTCGAAATGTCTTGTCCACCAGATGCGATCTGACGGAAATCCAGTGGTCGACTTCTCCTCCGACATCCCCGTCTCCTCCCTCACTCCCAACCTCCGTGTCTCCCTCCGTGCCGACTCTTATCTCCTCCACTCCATTCTCCCCAACAAGATCGATCCCCTCGTCTCTCTGATGATGGTCGAAAAAGTCCCCGACAGTACCTACGAGATGGTCGGTGGTCTGGACAAGCAGATCAAGGAAATCAAAGAGGTCATTGAGCTGCCGGTCAAGCATCCAGAACTGTTTGAGAGTCTGGGTATTGCCCAGCCCAAGGGTGTGTTGCTGTATGGCCCCCCGGGAACGGGCAAGACACTGTTGGCGAGAGCGGTGGCGCACCACACGGACTGTAGATTCATTCGAGTCTCCGGATCGGAATTGGTGCAGAAGTACATTGGTGAAGGTTCGAGGATGGTTCGAGAGCTGTTTGTGATGGCCCGGGAGCATGCCCCGAGTATCATCTTTATGGATGAGATCGACTCTATTGGATCGAGCCGTGGCGAGAGCGGTAAGGGAGACTCGGAAGTGCAGAGGACCATGATGGAGCTTTTGAACCAGCTGGATGGATTTGAGGCTACCAAGAACATCAAGGTAAGCTCAAACCCCTTCGTATTCATATTGGCGCAGCTGACATCCGACAGGTTATCATGGCCACCAACCGTATAGACATCCTCGACTCTGCCCTTCTCCGACCAGGACGAATTGACCGAAAGATCGAGTTCCCGCCTCCCAACCCCGAGGCCCGTATCACCATTCTCAAAATCCACTCTCGAAAGATGTCTTTGCAAAGAGGTATCAACTTCAGGGCGTTGGCGGAGAAGATGGGCAACTGCTCTGGTGCGGAGGTGAGGGGTATCTGTACAGAATCAGGCAAGTCGTCTCGAGACTCTGACGAGGGCGACACTAATCTGAAACAGGAATGTACGCATTGCGTGAGAGGCGTCAGTACGTCGGGCAGGAGGACTTTGAGATGGCTATCGCCAAGGTGTTGAAGAAGAATGCGGAGAGCAACATGAGTGTCAACAAGCTCTTCAGTTAGAGATCCAGAAGCGTATATAGGAAATTTTCTCTGCATTTATGATGGCTGTATATGGAAAAACGGGCCATGTCCTCGAATTAGTAGATGATAGAAAAGAAGAGTCTAAGGGGACTAGACATAAAAGTACACCCAATCAAGCCTGTATTTACACTGTGGACAAGCCTGCCATTATCTGACCTCCTCCCCACTCCCTGCCCCCTTCCCGTCTCCTTTCAGCTCGATCCCACCGCCCATTCCCGTTGACCTGTTGGCCTCCCGCCTGATCTCTTCCAGCTCCTTATCCGTAGGGATCCTGTCTGAGGGATCAGGCGCAAACGAGGACATGGTGCGGAGCACGAGATCTGCCGAGGACAGGAAAGAGTTTGTAGCGAGCCGGAGGAGACGAACTGTTGTGGTATAGTAGTTGCTGCGGGTACCCGAAGTGAGCTCGGGAAGAATAGCATGGGGATAACAAGAGGGGCTTACACCACGAGTATGTCTCCTTCGACGCTCATCTCCCTGTGTACCATGCCTGCGTTCTGCTCCTTGTCCACGTCCAATGCCCGCCTGGCAATGACGGCGTGTTCTGGGGTTCGGAATGGGATCCTTAATTCGCTGTTTATGCACAGCCATGGGGGTCAGGAGTAGGAGCAGAGGGGGTAGGTCAGCGATGCACTCTGGGGGCGGGGGGACGTACACGGTGTGCCAGCCTTCTCTGTCTGCCATTATGCACAGTGGTGGATGTGGAGTAAAAGGCGGGATGGCGGCGTGGGAAGTAGCGAGAGAGACGGACGCATCGGGTGCTGGAGTCGCGCCAATTCTCGGCATCCGCTACTCTTCTCTTTCTTCAACAGCAGCCACATATATCATGATCAAGGTGCGTCCACTCTGCGCTCTGCACTGCCATGGCTATTCCGCACACTGCACTCCATGCGAGCCATGCTTGCAGCCATGGACGATGCCAGCGACGTGTGATTACGCCTCCAGTCACTGACTATTTGGCTCGATGCCCTGCCTATACAGCTCTGGAGTGTCAAGAAAAACGAAGAGGCTGCGGCCAAGAAGCGTCCCAAGGTCACTGCTGCTCAGCTGCGTGTCCAGAAAGGTGCGCACATCCCCTGAGCTTCAGACATCCGCTGATGGCCCCGTGCTAGACTTGACAGAGCTGGATCTCCCTTCCACCATGAAGACTGTTTTCCCCGACCCCACCGATGTGCTCAATTTCACCCTCACCATCACCCCCGATGAAGGTATCTACAAGGGCGGCGTGTTCAACTTTTCCTTTGCCATCAAGCCCGAGTACCCGCATGAGCCGCCAAAGGTGAGGTGCAAGGAGAAGATCTATCATCCCAATTTGGATCTGGAGGGGAATGTCTGTTTGTGAGTATAGTCCAAAGCTCAGACAGATTCAGCCTGAAGAGAAGCAAGAGCTAACGGGAAGTTAGAAACATCCTGCGAGAAGACTGGAAGCCTGTCCTTACCCTCTCAAGCGTTATGATCGGTATCCAATACCTCTTCCTTGAACCGCAAGTCTCTTTCACTGATGCCACCGATCATGCCGTCTAACGAATCAATCATAGCAACCCTGATGACCCACTAAACAAAGACGCTGCCGAAGATTTCAGACGGTCTCGCGAGACATTCGTCCACAACGTCAAGCAGGCCATGCGGGGTGGTTACGTCGGGTCCGAAAAGTTCGACAAGGTTCTCGTCTAGAGAGGCTTCTCGCTATTTCTTCCTAGATGTGTATCTCGGCATGCTTCGTCATGGTACTCCTCTCCCCGACTCCTGCTATCCACTTTGTAATCAACCCGTTTCAAAACCCTAGTGTGTAGAGTGGCGAGCGGACAGAGAGAAGAAGGGCATTTCTATAGAACATATATGTGGCCTGGTGCTCTTCATGTAGAATATAGGCCGACTTCCTATCACGAATTGTAATATCGCTGACAAGTCTGATTTCGGCGGAGGTCGAGAAAGTGAAGGTCTATCATACATCTGCAGAATGATTATGGCGGCCCTGGCTTGTTATATCTGCTGCCTTGTTCTGCTGGATTGGGCGATACCCAAGGCAATCTCAAGACTGACTGTCACTCTTACTGGACTTTGCAGTTTCTACAATACATAAGGCCGAACATATTGAACGGACCTGTGGTGGCGATGGGGTATACAACATCATGCAGGGTATCTCACAAGCCCAGCTCCGGCTCACTTTCGCCCTTTGAACCACTTCCCAACCTTCTTACCAGTATACACTACGCTCTTCGTCAATCCCGCCGTGAACAACCCCTTGACACTCTGCCGAAGAGCAGGGGTGTGGATGATCTCATTCAACGTCTTGGAGAGATCTGTGGGGAAAGAAGGTTTTGTCACAAGGGGAAGGAAGGTTTCTGGAGAAGATGGGGAGGATGGGAGATGGAATACGAGATTGCTGGGGAGGGTTGAGGCCAGATAGGCCATGTGTTTGGGATCTTTATGTTGCTGATTGTCACATCGTCAGCTAGGTACTTTGTGAGAACCCGTCCCACTCACCACCAACTTTCCCTCCCCTGTCCCTTTCCACGTCCATTTTCCCTTCTTTTCCTCGGCCCATTCAACTCCCAGATCACCTCTCTGAAGGAAAGGCCCATACATCTCCCTAAAGCCTTCCCTCGCCCCCGGCCCTCTCACGATATTCCCAACCTTGCCCGGATTCTCACCCCCTGGCACCCGCATTCGCGGATCACCTTCATAGCTCAGGCCGGTAATCTTCATCCATAACTCGTCCTCTGTGAATTCTCTTGGGAGAAGCAAGAGAGATAGGGAGAGGGCAGATTGAAGGTTGGTCTGAAGAGCAGCCTCGAGGGAGGGAGGGGGCGGTTGGAGGAGCAAGGTGGGTTTTTGGAGTCTGCCGGAAAGGTAGAAAGTTGTCCAGTCCTTCAAGTCGTCTTCCAACGTAGAGCTGGTTATGATCCCATACTTGGCATTCTACATGACATCAACATGAAGTCTTGTATAGCAGCGGAAGACTCACCGTCCCGCCAATGTCGACCATCGTCACGTACCACACCCCCGCCCCCCACTTTTCTTGAATCCTCGCCACTGATTTGGCCCCTAGCAGCCTCGCGTATAATGGGTAATGGGTGGGGTTTTGACGCAGGTTGATGGAGTGAAATTCCTCGGCATTGGGGGTGGACAGAAGCAAGTCTGTCAATGGCGCTTCCTTCTTCTCTTCCACTTGATTCTTTGGGGCAGAAGACGCTTGGGGTAGTACACCAGAGCCATATGCCACTGCCCAGTCCACGGGCGCCTTGAACGTCGAGATGAGCGGCCTGAGTTTGGTATAAGGATCCGTCTTCTCCTGCGAAGAGTAGCTCCTCAGGGGAAAGTACAGCCGGGGGACACTTCCCTTTCCCACCGACAGCAGTGGAACCAGCGGGGCCAGTCTAGACATGCTGGGGGATGATTGATGCATAGAGGAAGAAGAGAAATGCTGCAAGATGAATGTTCGCCACACGAGCGCCAGAAATCGCCGAAAAGATCGATGTCAGTCGCGCACATCTCCTCTTGCATTCACCTCAACTCAACTTTCCCCTATCTGCAACAACAAACATGTCCTTCGGTGGCTTCGGTAAGCTCTCTGCACACCCCATCATATGGTGCTAGACGAATGCTGACAATCACTACAGGGCAAGCCGCAGCGAAGCCGGCTTTCAGCTTTGGCAACAACTCCCAATCCAGCACGACTCCCGCCCAACCCGCCCCCTCTGGAGGTACAGGCCTTTTCGGGTCTACCACCAACCAACAGCAAGGAGCCACAGGTGGTGGTCTGTTTGGACAACAACCAAAGCCTGCCGGTGGTCTGTTTGGCTCGGCGACCAGTACGTCCACCCAGCCTCAACAGCAGCCCGGCCAGAGCGGAGGTCTCTTTGGAGGATTGGGTCAGAGTCAGCAGGGACAACAGCCCCAGCAAGGCCAGGCGGGAGGGGGAGGATTGTTCGGGAGCACGACGAGTAATACTGCGTCGGGCGGTCTGTTTGGTCAAAAACCTGCTGGATCGGGGCTGTTTGGCTCTACATCTGCCCCTGCTCCTGCCCCTGCTCCTGCTGCGGGCGGTGGCTTGTTTGGTTCTACTTCTCAGCCCCAGCAGCAAAATGCTGGCGGTGGTCTGTTTGGCAGTACCCAGCAGGCCCCGCAGCAACAAGCATCTGGGGGGCTATTCGGTGCTCAGCAGCCTCAACAGCAGCAGCAGCAGCAACCCCAACAACAACAACAGTCTGGGCTCTTCGGCTCGACTCTTGGTGCGCCCCAACAGCAGCAGATGGGGCAGAGTCAGATGCAGCAAAGTCAGTTGGGGCAGAGCATGTTTGGGGTGAAGAAGGAGCAGGACATTGAGAGCAGGATAAGGGCAGTGCAGAATGCCTGGGATAGTGCTTCACCAGAGTGTCGATTCAAAGTGCGTCTTCATCTGTACTGCCAAGCACAAGACTGACGAGTGTGCCAGTACTTTTTCTATAATGTAGTCGAAGAGGGTACCGCGTCTCGTTACGGTCGCCCCGCCAACGCTACCGACGACGCCCAATGGGCCAAAGCCCTCCGAGACAACCCTGATCCCAACTCGTACGTCCCCACGGCATCATTACGGTCGCAACTCACACGTCTACAGTATGGTACCTGTGCTCGCTGTCGGCTGGTCAGACGTCAAGAAGCGCCAACAGATGCAAGAAAACCTCGCTGCCGTGCATCAAGAACGCACTTCTGAAATAACGGCCGCCCTTTCGCATACCCGTCAGACATCACTCTCTTCGTCTATCCGTCTCGCCAACCTGCAGCAACGCCAGTCTCAGCTCGTGCACCGACTCATCCATCTCGCGTCTGTCACTCCTGGCATTGTGCCGCTCAACCAGCAGGGCGGTGTGTTGAGGGACGATGAGGTGGCCTTGGCCAGGAAATTGGAGGGAGTGAAGAGGGAGTTGGAAGGGGCAGCTGGGAGCGTTAGAGGCGGTAGTGTCAGGAGAGGAGACGGGGAACTCAGGGGGAGACTATTGGGGCAGGTCAATGAGCTCTGGGGTCAGTTGGAAGAGGTCAGGCGGAGGAGAAAAGTACGAGGACAAGAAGGGAGAGAAACGTGGGTTGGAGACGAGAGGCTGTTGGCGGAGATTGCAGAGGTAATTCTCTTCACTCGACAGGATGACCACTGGCTGACATGTTGTGGCAGGTTTTGACGACACAGCAAACGGCTATACAGAAGCTGTCAGACTTGGCGCAAGAAGAAAACTTTGATGCGGATGTGGTCCTCCACGGACATGGACGGTAGCGAGTTACTATTGAACGATGCACAGATGCATAGTTGTCCTCGATGAAGCTACAGAGTCAGAGATACACATTAAAGCCCCCCGAGACTCGCGCAGACGCGGCCGAATCCAACGCGCTCCATCTCCTCTTGCAGACATTTTGCCTTTCCCGTCACCCTTATTCGCATCCACCTTCTCATCCACAAACAACCCCGGGAGCAGCAGGGGCGCCATGGACATCGACTCCCCACCAGCAGAGTCGTTCCCTACCCCCCAGGACCCCCACAACCACATCAATCTCCCCTCCTTCTCCGCCTCCTTCCCTCTCCCCTTCCGCGTCCTCTTTCTCGTTGGCGTCGCATTATTACTATGGGCCATCAATCTCCAAGTGCTGAGCTGGATAGGGCTGGACATGAGCTGGATATTGGATCTGAGAGATGATCCTGGTGAAGGAGTTGAGGGACTAGACGACGGTGTTGTCGGGGAGCTGGCAGAAGAGGGCGCTCTCGAACTCGTAAACTCGCCTCGTCTTCGAGTAGAACCTCCACGCCATGCTGAGGATCAACCACCCGACACACCTATACGCCCGACGTCCTCCCGCTTGGTACGACCCCCGAGCAAATCGTTACATGTGGGGATGTACAAGCTTTTCGCAGTGTATACAGCTTTCGTGGGCGTGGCCTGGGGGCTGTTTTGGGTTCTCAGTGGGGGAGGAGATGAGGAGGCTATGGAGAGGTGTAGATGGGTGCCTGGGTTGACGGCGTTGGGTGTGGTTGCGGCTGTGAGCGTACCATGGAGAGGTGTTGGGGAAAGAGAGAGACTTGGTTTCAGAAGGTCCGTCTTACCCGTCTCGAATCTGTCCTTGAACTGATATGTCGCAGAGCTATGAAACGGATACTGTTACCGAAACTGAACGATCCAATCTACTTTTCCGACGTGATTCTCGCCGATATCCTGACGTCTTTCGCCAAAGTCCTGGGTGACTTGTGGATATCTGCCGCCCAGATATGGAATGGAAATATCACCCAGGGAAGAGTGGGCCAGACCGGAGTGGGTAAATGGATTACTTTGGCTATGGTCAGGTGAGCTTTGGATTCCAAGATGATCGTTATGGATCTAATCGAGATACAGCCTGCCGTACCTGCTTCGTTTCCGACAATGCCTACTGGAATTCCACCAATCATCCTACTCTTCCCCGCGCCCCCTTGCCAACGCCCTCAAATACTTTTCCGCTTTCCCCGTCATCTTCCTTTCCGCCGCCCAAAAGACCGTAGTCACCGACATTGCCAACTCCAAAGGTCTATCTGTCCAAGAGCTCGCCGCTCAACACGCCAGCCAGTGGTTTGGCGAGCACAGACTCTTCAGACTGTGGCTTTTGGCAGTATGCGTCAACTCGATGTACAGTTTCTGGTGGGATGTGACGATGGACTGGGGGTTGGCATTGTTGGAAGTGGATACTTGGCTCCCGAGAAGTGAGGGCGGGCTGGCCCTTGGAAGTCCGGGATCAAGAGGGAGGCGATCAGGCTTTGTGGAGACTGTGAAGAGGCTGTTTGGACGAAGCAGAGATATCAATCATCAGCGCTCCCCTTGCCCTTCCCCTGCACCATTCCCGGGTTCGAACCCGACCTCTCCCACCAGGGCCCCCATATCAGCTCCCTCACCTTCCCACACCCCAACTCCTACACCATCCCGCTCCCTCCTCACACACGGCCTGCGCCAGCACCTTCTCCTTCCCGATCCTTTGGTGTACCACCTCTTCACCATCATCGACCTCATCCTCCGATTTACCTGGTCGCTCAAGCTCTCTTCCCATCTTCACACCATCTCAGAAATTGAGAGTGGAGTATTCCTGATGGAGACGCTGGAACTGGTGAGGAGGTGGATGTGGGTGTTTGTGAGAGCGGAATGGGAGGCTGTCAAGATGGGCGAAGGGAATAGATGGGGGAGGGGCAAGGTGGTTTGGGAAGGAGAGGACGAGTAGGATTTACATCTGCATCTTTGGGGATCCTAGATAGGATTGGACTATACTTTGCATTCATATATACCCATAGTCCATATTGCTACAGCATAATGCAAGTATCATATTGCATGCTAATGTTACAACACGGGCTGTAAAGATATGTGCGTGCGCCCTTGAAAGATCACCAGATTCGCCCTAAATGGCCATATCGCCTGCCACTACCACTTTCTTCCAACAGCTTTCTACAGAGAGGTGAGCACTTACACAAATCATCATTGGGCCACTTACTTGAACACACTCCTTGAAAGCCTTGAATTCCGTTTCGCACATGCCCTTGGAGACATCAGTGTACGACCGGCCTATACACTTGCCGTATGCTAATGACTATTTGGACAGCACAGGGTCAGCACTTAGATACGAGATACGAATGGGAAAGCCTGAAACTTACTTGGGTAGCACACGATTTGGAAGCCGAGGCCAGCGTCTTGAGAGGTTGCTTGTCCTTGTACCGAGGAGGCATGTTGTTTCACTTTTTGCTTCCCGGAGACTCTCTTTTGAAATGTAGGTCTTATAGGATCTTTTGGTTGCGACTCTGGTATCGCTTTTGCCTGGGGATATGTCGATTTTTGTTGTAATGCTCGATGGAAGAGTGGTGCATGATTTCCGTCGTCGCCGCCGAAAGCGTTGAGAAGAATTTACGTAAACTGCCTCCACCTTCACTCTTCGCGATATCGAGATGATGATATCGAGCCATTCGTTGTTGAACCTCTACACAACAACGACGACAAATTGCAGAAAGTATTGAGAACTTCTTGGATTATTTAAAAATGACCTCTTTCTTACGCACAAACTTCCTCCGAACCCGCCTCCCCAATCTCGCCTCTCCGGCATCGTGTTCCCGTATCGCCTCTACCACTCGTCTCTTCTCCTCAGCTGCCCAACTTCCACCCTCAGAAAAAGACCCTTCTCATCCCCATCTATGGTATCACCCCAGCTCATCATACATCTCCCTGTCTTTTCTGCCGACTAAACCAGCAGTCTATGGGTCCAAGACTGTGATCGGGTACTTGCCGCTTGGAGAAGCCACTTTGGATGATTTCAGAGACGAGCCCAAATTTGAGTGCGTATTGTCACCGTATTAAAGGCAAAGACTAACCACTGCTGCTAGGAAAGTACTGGAGGACGCGGTCAAGGATGGTTTGGCAAAGGGAAAGGCGACGACAGTGGAGTTTGAGGCAGAGACAAGACCGACTGATGGATGGATCCATATCACAGGTATATTTGCTTTGATTCTACAGCTGTTGTGGTGAATACTGATCGCGGGGGCTTAGACGAACGAGCGATTCCACCGATGGGGAGAATAGGTGAGACGGAAGATATCATCGGGTCTGTCTACGTTCAAGAGGGCAAGGTGATTACTACTGCCATGCTGATGTGTTACAAGACAATGCTGACATTCCATGGTGTCAATATGAAGATCATCGCCGATACTTATTCTGCCTTCCCCACATATCGCCTCGTCACGACCAACGGCGTCCTGAGACTCCCTCGAGGGCTGGACGAGCACCTGGTCGAGACGCTGAAGAAGATTGATGAAGAAGAGAAACGAGAGAGCGCTGCTACTGTGTTTTAGACCCACTCGAGTATGTAAACAACCTCGCTACTCTGTTGCATAACTCGCACACATCATCAAGATAAATTGATGGCCCACTATAGGTACAGTCCCCCAGGAAAACAAATATACACAAAAAGTTCTTTCAAGTCAGATTAGCTAGACCGAAGTCAAGATGGCAGAACCTTTAGATGGCCCCCAGATTATTCTCAAAGACAAGAAGATTACTCCTGAGGCGGGGCCAGGGGAGGATCAGGCATCAACTGATAACTCGTCCTGCGCGATTGTGCCTCATGTCCCTGCCCCACGTTTCCCACGCCAAGTCCCACATCCGCCATAGCCCTTTTCCCCTCCTCCTGACTTTTGTTGTCCGCCTTCTTCGACAACTCGCCTCTCAGCTCTGGACCGAGACTAGGTACTGGTTTTCTCCTCGACGATGGCGTCCTGCCCAGCGCTCCGACTCTTGGGCTCTCCCCGGGATTAGAAGAAGACTTGACGGAGGCGGAGCCGGAAGGAGAGCGACGTGGGAGACGCTGAGGTGAGGAGGGTTGAGAGTCGGTGCGCGAGGTGCGAGTGGGCTGATCGGCTGGGATTGCACCGGCGGGGTTGGAATAGCGACGAGTGGGGTCATAGGTAGACGTCGGCTGAGGGTACACAGTCGAGGGGTTCTGAGAAGGTGGAAGAGCCGGCGATCGGAAGGGATCGTCTCGAAGCATCTCTTCCTCTTCTTGTTCCTGCCTCCCACCGGCAAGCACGATGGGCGCAGCACTCTCCGCCGTTGCCTGGCCGAAGCTCTCCTCGCTGTCCTTGTCGATACTCGAGGTGAAGCTCTTGTCATGAGCTGTAGCGCCCAGTGGAATCGGGCCACCTCTAGCGCCCGGTCCAGACATAGTAGGAAGGGGCGAGTGGCCAGGGTCAGATGGCGCTGTGGAGGCAGACGCCATGCGGCGGTGGGTCATGCCCATCGGATGACCGTCGTCCCCACGAGCACCACGCCTCGCCTGCTGTCTCCTACGCCTCAAGCAGAAGAGCAATCCCGCGAGGAAGGCAAGTCCAGCAACAACACCAATGACGATACCCGCGATAGCACCCCCGCTCAGCCCGTTTGACCCAGTATCATCCTCCGTACCCCCGGCCGCCGCTCCCGAAGAAGCTGTAGCAGTCACAGACTCTGCGCTTCCGGTCACCGTTCCGCTACTGAGCGTTGCGGTAGCCGTTCTGCTCATGGCCGCGAAAGCAGTCAGGCAGCTCGTGTTTGTGCTCTCTCGCACGGTGAAGACGTTGCTCGTATTAGACGTCCCATAGCCGTCATAGACATGACCGTAGATTCTGTAGTTGCCTTCGGGCAGGCGGACAGGTGTCCAGCCGTAACCGTGGTTGGCGTATTGGGTGATGATGGTGGTGTTTATAGATAGTGTGGTGCGTTTGACGGGGTCGGAAAGGGAGCGGGCAATGTTGGATGTGGTAGCAGCTGCCGATGAGGTTTGGGCGACAGCAGAAGACGATGGCGATGTCGCTGAGGTGCTGGATACCACTGTTGTACTAGGCGATTCGATGGCCTGGTCCACGCCCTCATTCACAGCGTACACTGTGATGTTGTATCTCGAGGCGTCTTCATTATAGACATTCCAGTAGATCCTGTGAACCGTCAGTGACGTTCGTACCTTTACTAGCATGCACTCACTGGCCTGTTCCACAAGCAACCATATCCGCTACATCATGGATTACAAGATAGGGTGTCCCAGAATAGGTTGTGGCAGCAGTAGAAGCATTCGCGACCGCCGCTGTGGTCGACTGAGCGCCTGCTAGCCAGGGATAATTTAGCCACATAAGAGACCCTAGTAGCAGGTAGCTTTGCCTGCTATGTGCTGTGAACAACATTGTCCCGAGCTCTGGCTTTTGGTATGTCGAAGGGTGTCGGGGTATGAACAGGCGTGAAAAGACGGTCGGGCGGCGTAAGGTCGTTCTTCGCCAAAGTCATGCAAAATACAAAGGATGATTGTTGTGGAGGGAAGGATAGATCTTTGAAACTCGTGTTTTGGAGGATTCTGTCTGCCCCCTCGAAGAAAAGGACACGCCCTGCAGGCTGTGGCCAGATGCGGGCGGTGGCAAGAAAAGGCCCGAGGTTCAATGCAGTGCTCTTTTTCTTGCCCTGTATGCCGTTCCTCGGTAAGCGATTGGGGTCTCGTCGGGGTTAGAGTGGGATGCGAGGGGGAAAAAAGTGGCCGCTGGCTGGTGCAGAAGAGATGTTGTAGAGCTGTGATAGATGCAAAGTCTGCTGTGGCCTGGTCTTGTAACAGCACTGCAATTATGCAAGGCAGCAGAGCAGGGCCAGCCGCGTTTCACATGAGATGCAACCAGGGCAGCCCTGGCCCTGGACGAGCAGTCATCGCACCCACAAGATGCCCATACATATGTATCAGAGCAGCAGTACATGCGAAAGCAGGCTACGACACTGATACTCCTGCCGCGACATTATCTACTTGGGAGTTGTACATTTATACCCCGCATAGAGGAGACGACTCCGGGACATCGCCTCGGTACGCCGGACAAATGGTATCACAGCAAAGTACGAGTACAGCTTCAACCTCCAGTTCAGATACAATTTGAGGCCCGGGGAAGGATCTGAATGACGTCTACGATTGAGGTTGCATGTACACTTCTGAAGACGTTTGCACTCAGGTGTGGTCACAGCGTTTGAGGTCTTTGTTTGGTTCCGATTAATCAATTACAACTGTCTACAGACTTGGGAGATTGGACATGTTCTCCTGGTTAGGATATCCTGCTGGCCTCACATATGACAGAGCGAGAGCCAGGACCAGGAACATGTGCTTTGAATGATGGAAAGCATCCGCCCAGGGCTGGGTGATTCAGCCAGGTGTACAGCGCCTGAACAGGATGTTCCCGGTTCCCGGCCACCCGGCTGTCTTCTTGCATTTCTTGAAGAGAGACTGATCGACTGGCTTCAGGCCTTCAGGCCTCAGGCCATCCATGGAACTTCAGGCTTCAGGAAAAGCAGAGGCCCCAGAATTGACGTTTGCCTCGTTAGAGTGCCACGGAACCCCGAAATCGACTCCGGCCGCCGGATTGTGATGACCTTCACCTTCACCTTTCCCTACTTTGTTCCCCCATATGCTACGCTCTTGACAGGATATGTCTCTGGGGGGGGGGGGGGGGTATGAATGCCTTAATCATAATCATTCTGATTTGTTCCATGTACGACGCGTCGAAATTAGTCTGTAGAAAAACTAGGTGTCGGTTTCTCTCCAAAAGCCTCTCAGAACCCGATGACAGTCTTCCACGACACTTCCAGGGGGAGGCAGTCTACGTATCTCGCTTGACAAAAGGCAATCACGAACACATCGAAGATTATGAGTCAGTGGAGATGGATATCAGAGTGTTGGCGCTCAGGCCGGGAGTGGTGGAGACGAGGACATGGCGTGTCGTTGCACATGGATTTCATGGAGAGTATACTACCGCTGCGTCCGGTGTAATGTGTCTGTATGCCTTTTTGTCCGCTGTATCATGGGGTGCCGCATGAGGTGCGCAAATGAAGGCCCAAATACGGCGGACATGTTGTGGGGTGCTAGTCGTATGAGAGTTGAGGATCTTCACAGCTGAGTGTCGTATATGGAGTGACGGGCCTTTCCCATTCGGTTCTGGTGTTTGCATACAGCAAGATCGATTAGCATTTGCTATCAGAGTCGAGAAGTCGAAGATGAAAGAGAGTCAGAGGGTCATATATCGCATAAGCCCATAATTTGCATCTACTCCCCTCACTTAACACCTACGTCTTGCCCTGGCGGCGGGTGACCGACTTCTGTCAGACTTCGAGTGTCACCTCAGCACCTATACAAAACATACCTCACAGCATTAAAATACAATGCCCCGCTCCCGCTCTCCCTCCAGAAGTCGGAGCCGAAGCCTGACCCGCTCCAGGTCGCCTCTCTCCCGCTCGCCTTCGATGGACAGGAAGGAAAGCTTGTCTCCCGAAATTAAAGTCAGTCTCTTCATTCCCATGCTCTGCGTACAAGCTGATGCGCTGTGAAGGATGAAGACCTCTCGCCCTTTCTGATCAGAGTGTTTGTGACCAAGGGAAGACATACCCCGCTGGGGGATTTTGACAAGGCGACATTGCCTTTGAGGGATGAGTTTCAAGTTTACGGGTCGTACGTCTAGTTCCTATGAGGGACCGGTTCCTATTGCTTATCACAGATGCAGCAAACAAACATCACCAAGTGACCTGATCCGATCTCTATACCCATCGTTCCCGCCAATCTACCGCTCGCCCCAAACCCGCTTCCACTTCAAACACATCTACGTGGACGCCTCTCCTCGCGGCCTCTACCGCTCCAAAGACCTCACTTCCTTTATCGGGCGAGACCTCTCCTATGCCGATCCGAAACAAATCCGGGCGGATGAAGATACGATGATTGACGATGATGAAGATGAGGGTTTGCACAAGAAGGGAGGCAGGAAGATCCAAGAAAAGACGTTGGATGGTTATGGGTTCATCACGGGAGACTTTATCAGTGTTAGTCTGTCTGTGCCGGAGCCGAGATTCCCTGGAGGGCATGGGCCAGCTGCGGTTGCGATAGCAGGGATCAACGGTGCGGCAGGGCCAGGCGGACGGGGTGGGGATGCTCCTAGGGAAGGCGGGTGGAATGACCGACGTGCGCCGCAAGGGCAGGGGAAAGATGAGTCGGAGAAGGGTGCCGACGCGCCGAGATGGGGACGAGGTGGGCCTTTACCGCCCCAGGGTAGGGATGCGATCGCTGGAAGAGGAGCCAGAGGCGAGGGTAGGGAGAGGGAGCCATTGCCCGAGGGCAGATGGGGGAGAGGAGGCCAGGGCAGAGACTCGGGGAGAGATGCGGGAAGAGAGAGGGACAGAAGTCGGAGTCCATCTAGGGGTGGGGAAAGGTGGCAGAGAAGGAGGGACTAGTGTGGGTGCATGATGACGTGAGGAGAAAGATCAATGGCGTGAAGGGCATACTTGTGCGTTTACATTATGAAAGCTGGAGGATGCTTCAGGGATGCAGTGCAAGATTCTTGTGTCTTGCCGAGTATCTTATATCATGAACCTGACATTGGAACGAGGACTTGCAGCAGGATACATATACATGGCCGGAAGCAGAGAGAGGGGCTGTTAATAAGATGAGAAAACGCGTACTTAGCTGTGTAATTTGTGTGCCCGTGTGTTAAGAAAACTCTGTTGGGGCTATGCATCTCTCTCTCTTCATCTCTCTCTTGCATCTCTCCCTCTCCTCTTCTCCTCTTCCCCTCCCCGCCGCTCAGCAACCCAAGCTCAATCGCCCCCGTTGTCAAGTCAATCTGCGAAATTACCGCAACTAGGTAACCGTCCCCGAGCATACGCCACCGCCCCTGCCTCCCCCTTCTCCCTCCCATTCACAGCACTACCAGAATTTCACCCTCCATGATGTCCTGGAAATTCGGAAAGAGTACGTCCACTGTGCCCCCCCAGAGCATACAGAGGTCCAGGCGTATCCCGAGACCGATGCTGACCAAGCCTGCCCTCCTCTCCTACTCCCTCTCGACGACTGGCAACGCCCGCGATAACCAGAAATAAAAGACTCTGGCTTTCTCTCAGGAAAGCACAGCCACGCCTCCAACACCCCCTCCGACATCTCCCGCTCCACCACCCCGACGCCCGGCAACCCCCATCCTGAAGATGCAGTCAAGCCGCCTGTCCCGAGGAGCGGTATGCTCAAGATCCGGGTCACTGCTGCCAAGGGTCTTCAATTACCTCAAGGAGGTGCGTACAGGTAATCGCATGATGCTTGCAGAGCTGACAAGGCGCAGTGCAAATCCCTGAACCCGTCCAGCAGGCCCTTGATAAGAGCCCCACGCCCGCCCCTCAAATAGCCACCTCCCCTCCCAACTCTTCTGCCAACCCCCGCAACAACCGCGACTCTCTTCAACGTCGTCAGGTCTGGTGGCTTCCCTACCTCGTCCTTGAATTTGACAAGAACGAGGTTCTGGTCGATGCGCTTGGTGGAGATCTCACGTCGCCTGTATGGATGTACAGCGCGACGTTCGACGTATCGAGGATCAGCGAGATTAGCGGAACTGTCTACTTGAGGACGAAGGAACCGCATGCCGAGGGAGTGCAAAAGACGGAGAACGGGGAGGCGTTGCAGGGCGAGGATATGGGAAATTCTGACCTGTGTTTGGGCAGTATTCGATTCACCCCTAACCTTGATTCTATGGTATGCCTCTTCCTTCTCGAGTGACGCAATCTGACCTTGTATAGCGCGTGTCCGACGAATGGGTGACTGTACAGGGCGGCGGCGGTACCGGTACCATCAACGTCCAAGTCTCCTTCAAGCAGAACCAAGGCCAGACCCTCTCTATCGACTCTTTCGAACTCCTCAAAGTCATCGGCAAAGGCTCTTTCGGCAAAGTCATGCAAGTCCGAAAACGTGACACGCTTCGTATCTACGCTTTAAAGACGCTGCGTAAAGCGCATATCGTCTCGAGATCCGAAGTGACACATACGCTTGCGGAAAGGACCGTACTGGCGCAGGTCAATTGTCCGTTCATTGTGCCTCTCAAATTCTCCTTCCAAAGCAAGGAAAAGTTGTACTTGGTGCTCGCATTCATCAATGGTGGAGAGCTCTTCCATCATTTGCAGCGGGAGGGCAAGTTCAATGAGACGAGATCGAGGTTCTACTCTGCCCAGTTGTTGCTGGCTTTGGAGCACTTGCATTCTTTCAATGTCATCTACAGGTGCGTCCCATCTATCTCATTGGACTGCGCTGACTCGCAAGCAGAGACTTGAAACCAGAAAACATCTTGCTCGACTATGCCGGCAACATTGCCCTATGTGACTTTGGGCTTTGTAAACTCAACATGTCCAACTCGGACACCACAAATACTTTCTGTGGTACTCCCGAATAGTACGTGTTCTCTGTCAGGTCTCTCGGCCCAAGCTCACGTTTCTCAGCCTCGCTCCTGAACTTCTCTCGGGCCATGGCTACACTAAATGCGTCGACTGGTGGACCCTCGGTGTCCTTCTGTATGAAATGCTCACCGGCCTTCCCCCATTCTACGACGAAAACACCAACGAAATGTATCGCAAGATCCTCACCGACCCCCTCCGCTTCCCCGATTCCGTCCGCTCCGAAGCCCGCTCCCTCCTCACCGGCTTGCTAAACCGCGATCCCTTGCACCGCCTGGGCGTCAACGGCGCACAAGAAATCAAGAACCACCCCTTCTTTGCCAAACACATCAAGTTTGACAAGTTGTGGAACAAGCAGATCCAGCCGCCGTTCAAGCCTGCTGTGGCGAGCGCGATTGATACGAGCAACTTTGATGAGGAGTTTACGAATGAGGTGCCGTTGGATTCGGTGGTGGATGACTCGCACTTGTCGCAGACGGTACAGCAGCAATTGTAAGTGGCCAATGTTGAGGCCAGAGTGGGGTGCTGATAGTAATGTAGCGAGGGTTTCTCTTGGAGTGTCTCGCCGCTTGGTGAATCCGTCAACACTCGGTACTAGGCGCAGCGGACCGGTGCCCGCTAGGCGGCATTACGAGTAGATTTTTGGCGAGGGATAACTAGGCATAGTGCCAATACTAGAAAACCGTAAACCCTCAAATACAAGAAGATAAACATCCCCTCATCAGCATTGTCTTATACTCGTACCTTCCACCCAGCCCTTTCTGTAAACCTGAACGTAGTCCAACCAGTCTTTGATACCATGTATGATAGGTATACACAACACTGTCACTTTTTTGGTCCTTGCTTTGCTGAAAGTCTCGAATGCCACGCCCAACTGTAGCACCTGCAGGGTTTGGCAAGGCACTCAAGATACATACAATCAAACGATAATGGTGTTGATGATTCGTAAGTTACTTTACGAGTACTCTACTCTACAGAACAAGACAGACGTCTATGCTTGTATGGAGACTTCCATGCACAACAATCTACCTCTTCGCCCCCTCCAACTCACGGGTCCAACGTTACTACATTTTGCCAGTCAAGCCAGCTCGATGGATCGCCCACATCATCGTCTCCCATTCCACCGCCCCTCCCAACCCCAATCTCAATATCCGGCAGATCCCCGTCCGGCGCCTTGGTGTTGACAAACCCCCTCGTCTGATCCAGGATCCCATGTACAAGCCCGCTGCGGCCCATCCCTCTTCTTTCGCCGCTTCCGCTGTCAGGCGACTCGCCCTCTGCCCTGAGCGCGTCTTGGAGCCCTTGAGCCATCACCATATCCGGGTGCAAGACCTGCATAGTAGTAGGCATCTCAAAAGATGCCGAGTACCCCGCGGTGTGGTACGAGTTGCTTGACCGGGGTATGGAAGCAGTGGACGTAAAAGGGGAGGATCGAGAGGTTGGCGAGCGGAGGTCGGAGAAATCGCCGTCGACGACCGGGTGACCGAGAGTCTCGCGTTCAATACTGGCGAGGATGGTATTGATGACGGCTAGGTAGTGGAGAACCATAGAGTGGCGGAGGGAGAGCCGATCGAAAACGTTTCTGTAAAAGTTGTCAGACGGCCAGGCTAAATGAGCTGCATTCAGCTTACTTGAATATAGTGATCTCGGAATGGAATGTCGACGCTGCTTGCTCATCGGCCGACTCTAGAGCATGGTGGTAAAACAGGATGAGAGTCTTGATAGCGCTGTAAAGATAGCTGACAAGGGTTAGTTGATCCATGGCTGGGTTGACTTGGCTCACTCTGCGCGCGACGTCAGCTTGTGCCTCACAGAACTATAGAGAGCCAGACTCACAAGAGGTGATAGGCGGCACCATATACGTGATATCCGCTTTACTCCTGACAATCAAAAACACGATATTCAAGCAAGCTCTTGCTTCCGACAAGAGGCGAGCTGCCGAAGTGCAACTCGAGTCTTTGACGTTGGCAAAGGGTTCGTGGAGGTGAATAGCGACGATGTGGGGGACCAGATGTGCGCTCTGATGGATTGTCAAATATATATTGACGAGAGAAAGAGCGGCTTACAATGAGATCAGAGTCTATGGTTTTTATGTTGCCCTGCGTGTACTGGATGGGGTCTCTCAACGAACTCGGCCAGGTCAAGCTATCACATATCAGCTTTCGCCTCGATTGCCGAAATGCAAAGCAGTTGCTCACCTCAGCGTCGCCAGATCTCTTTCGATTGCTTTAAACTCTTCCATATCTCTCGCCATCGCTCTCTCCTCGGTCCGCATCGACCGGCATTTGCGAATCAATTTTGATGCGCGGTATAAGAGCATATTTCCCTTGAGAAGCATCACAAAGCTATCTGGAACTGGGTGGCTGTGGACGGGTTAGGATGTATCAAGGACGGGAAGGGGAGAAGACTCACTTGTGGTAGATGTCTGGAGAAATGTACGACTGTGGGTTCTCGGGAATCGAGTCCTACTCGACGGGTGAGTTATGCCAAAGAGAAATGTTGATGGCACTCACTCCTCGATCACAATCAACTCTGCCAGCTGGTAGCCTCGCAGTCTCAAGTCCTGTCAGTGCTCCGCCCGCGTCCTACTCGGAAACTCACAATCTCATCATTCGGCAACGTTCCGGGCCACCCGGAGCAGGCAGACCCCGCCGTGTCATAATACATCACGTACCAGAGCACCGCCCTCCTCTCTTCCCTTTCGGCATCTGTTTTCGCGGGTGGAAGGATTGACTGGTGGAGGGAAGAGAGGCTCATCCCTGGAAGGTCATCATTCAAGAGACCAAGGCAGATGGCGAGGCGAGTGGACAGGCCAACAGAGGCCCAACAATCCATCCAACTAGAATGGTGTGATCAGTCTGTGTTGATTTAGAGCGACTATCAACTCACCGCGAGTCTGATTGGCCCCAATGACACACTAGTATTGTAGCTTGCAACACGTCAAACAAGCCTCTTCCGCTGACATGATGCAAGCTACTCATTGCGACACGAGACGCGTATATCGCCTGCTGCTCCGAGAAGCAGTCTTCATTAGCCGGATCAGCTGGCTCCCCCCTGCCGGGATTATCCTTCTTTGCATCTTGAGCTGTCTGTTGGAGATTCTCTTGGACGGTGCGGGTGTGGACGGCAGCCGAGTGGCGGGAGGCGATGGCGCAGAGTGCGTGGATCAGTGCAAGATGCGGAAAGTCGGGGTGGGTTGGTGCATGGGACAGTCTGGTCATGAATGAGTCGCGATGGATGATGCGAGATACGGTCGGAACCTTCGTGAAGAATATTTCAACGCTAGCATGATGGTCAGTATCACGCCTGAAGATAATCTGAAGCGTTCTTACAGATGATTTACAAGTGCTACACACGCTAATGAGCGTCTATGGGACGTCTCCGAAGATTTCCAGCTCACTCGGTGAAGGAAGCGACGATGGCCAGCCAGACCACATCAGCAGTTGGTCCATATCACCAGCTTCTTCATTTATCTCGTCAGCGACTGTGGCCGCTCGACTGGGCCGACGCTCGAGAGGAGTAAGGGCGTCGACGAGATCGTCGTCCCCAGGAATGGTCGTCATAGACGGCAGGGTAGTTTCTGGGGCAAGAGACATGCTGGTGGATGGAGGGAGCGGGTTCTGGGTTTGTTGGTATGGGTCAGGGACGGCGCTAGGTATAAGGGGGGCGCCTAGCGTTTGCAGTCCATTATAGCGCCACACCAGGTTGTCAAGCGGTGATTGATGAGGTGGTTGAAACGGTTTTTGATATTGCAGTGGCTGATGCGACAGAGGCGACTGGTACCGGGAGTCCAAATCGACCATGGGTGACGGGCCGTCGAAGAATTGGTGCAAGTATGCTCGTGAGGTTGATATTTGAGCACCCCTTAGATCTACTGTCACCCAAGTCAACATGTGCCCCACTCGAAAAAGCGCCACTCACCTGCTTCTCTGTTTGTGAAGTCTGTGAACTGTCGCCCAGTATCGGCGACTGGTTCTGAATTCTGACGTTGGGGCTCAACAATGACTGGCGGATTACCAGGAGCCTCTTCCTCGGCTGTTTCAGCGCCCGTACCGGTAGACAGGCGCTCAGAGTGGCCATCGTCAGCGCTGCCGTCCGACTCGTTATCGTAATGGCACTGGATCGCATGGTGCTCATTGGGCTGAGTGCGAGCAAGATACTGCTGACTCCTGACACAAGAAGCACAGTGAGGCTTTGCTGCGTCACACTTTATGCGCCTTTTGCGACAGCTGAGGCAGGCCGAGTTGCGTTTGAGCTGCTCGCCGCGGACGATTTTGCGGCCCTTGTGGGGGTTGGGGGGCGGTTTTGTGCGGAGGGAGGGGGTGCGGTGGGAGGCTGCGACCATGTCGAGATGCAGATGGAAGATTAGATGTGAATGGACTGCACCTTGGACATGCATGCTAATTTCAGTTTTCATGCCCGGTGGCCGACAGATATACGTAAGTGTCACAAGTCACAACAACCACCCCGGGCGCCGGACACCGTGGTCGCTATCGGCGTCTGACCTGTGAATCTGGAATCTCGGTCACTAATGACTCACTGTATTCTCCTCGCACATGGTTACGTATCGTCATTCACAATACATTCCGGGACTCTCTTGCCGGTAAGAGCAATCTCAAGTCCGGCCAGCAAGTGTGTGTACCCGTACTATGGTCCGTTGGTTACCAAGCCCGCCGGCCAACACACGTAGACGCACGCAGCTTGTCATCCACCGGAAATATTCTCCACATACACAATGCCCCTCCAGTACAAACAGCCAGCCATCTCCTACCAACCCAGACGACCCCGTGCCCTCTCCTCGGCCTCTGACATCTCGGTCCCGAGCTCACTTTCTGCGCCCGACGCCGCGACCGTTCATCCAGACTGGCACGACACCGCCCTCGACACCCTGCTCGTTGCTTCCGACGGGGTCTTCTTCTATGTTTCACGCACCCTTCTCCATGGATCGAGGTGCGCATCATCGGATGCAATCGGATCCAGACTAACCCTTATCAGCGAGGTCTTGCGAGACATATTCGATTCGATCCCTACCCCGTCCCCAGAGTCACCTTATCGCCCCCTCTCTAAAGTCAAGACCAAACCCAAACCACCCCCTCAGCAACGCATAGACTTGACCGATCCTTATGAATCGTCGGTGCCCCTCGCATTCTTCCTCGCCATCCTCACTGGCACCTCCCTCTCCAAAATCCGTCGCAAATTCCCACGCAAACAAGTCCAGACTTTCCACCTCGCCCTCACCTTGGTGGACAAGTGGAAGTCTCCCCTCGTGAAAGGAGTCATGCAAGGCTGGCTCTGTGAGCTCGCCATGGGGGGTTATGACGATGAACAATTCAGGCCGTATGAGGTGTTTGTCTTGGCTGCGAAAGCGGGCATGCCGACTCCAGCGCGCATGGTGCTCGAAGAACTCTCCGAATCGCCTCCCCATACCCTGCCCACGCCATTCAAACCCATCACTGATCAATACTGGCACTACACTTTCACCCCCGAGAATACTTGGGACTATAACCAGTGGTCGCGCGGGGTGTGGGAAGAGATTGGGGTCAAGTATCTTTTTGCGATGAAGGAGGCTTTGAAATGCGAGGGTAGGAAGAAGAGGGGAGAGGTGTTTATGAAGGCGTTGGAGGACGACTTTTACGATCCCATGGCGCCCGAGACGCCCAAGGCAACACCTCTTCGTCTCCGCTTTACACCCTCTACCGTCACCACTCCTGTTCGAGTCGCGCCTGTTTCCAGCTCCATCAAGAGCCCCAAGAGCTCCAAGCGAAAGGAGGCAGACAAGTATATCATGGAGTTTATAGAGCAGTCGTCGTCCGTGGCCTCTGTGCCATCATCTGTGGCGTCATCTGTGACATCGTCCGAGATAGCAGAGAAGAGCCACTCGAGTAGGAGCGAGAAGAGTGTGGCGTCTTCTTCGGATTCGTCCAAAGTCCAGCTTCGTGGTACGTTGGTTATCGCTAAAAAGTAATAATCGTAGTCGTGTATCACAAGCGGCATTTTCGTGTATAGCATTCATAGTATTATTCTTCACCTGTGTAGCATATGATCAATCTTTCATACCCTGTGATCGGACTGTCGACGGTCAATGGTTCCGGCCACTGAGCGATGGGCGGCAGCCGATCAAGATTCAGAGTTGCACCCATTACTAAAAGTTAGAGCTTATACCCTCCACGCGCCTAACTCGCCCAGTGCTATCCAAAGGCGCGGCTGCACGTGATTCGGGGCTCGGCGGTTGTTTGTTGTCATTCGCCATTCCTCTCTGTCTTTCATCAACTCTTTCTTGAATCAGCATTGTGCCACCGGAAAAGCACGGGCAGCATGACCCGCTCCATCCCCAAACCCCTCATACCCCTTCTCAACCCGACTTCCTACCCCTCATTACCGCCCCTGGCCGACTTGGAGACGATCAGGTCGGCGTTACTGGATTACTCGTCATTGATCCCTTCTTCTTCACAATCACAAGCACAATCACAGGCAGGGATAGAGGAGCTGAGGAAGAGCAAGAAGCGGAAAGAGAGGGAGGATGAAGAGCGGGCTGAAAGCGAACGGCTAGCCAAGGAGAATGGAGAACGGGAGAGGGAGAGGGAAGGGGAACGAGAGAGGGAGAGGGTGGAAGCGCTGGAAAGATCCAAGATGATGGGGCAGCAAGGGGGCAAGAAGAAGGGTCTGATGGGCGTTGGGGGCAAGGGCAGTCCAGGGGTCAAGGTGAAGCGCGAGCGGACTAGCTGTAAGTCTCTCCTTTCACCTTGGAACGTATACTGATTGGATCCAAGTGAGTCCAGCACCGTCAAACGCCTCGACATCATCTTTCAAACCGCCAATGTCGCAACCACATACATACGCCTCATCACAAACCAAAAAGAAGAAGATCAAACGCGTGATTGATTCCGACGACGAAACGCCCTCCATTCCCCTCTCTCAAACCCAATCCCACTCTGGGTCAAATAGGCCAGTACAGCCCTCGCCACCAAAGACGACACCGACGACGTCGGCATTGAAATTGAAATTGTCGCATCCACAAGCAAAGAGGCCGGTAGACTACTCGCCAACACCGGCGCCGCCTACAGGCCCTGGTGCGCATATCGACTTTTCCCTACCACCTGCGCCTTCTCGTCCGCTGATCCCCCACCGCTCTGGTCCAAGGGAAGCGCCCAAGCCAGGGCCAAAGAAGCAATCGGAAGTCGACGACGACTATTCAAACAAAAAGGCGCCGAATCAAGTCGCTTTCCCTACCTTTTGGTCGTTTGTCGAGCCATATCTGCGTGATGTCCGAGAAGATGACCTGGCCATGCTGGGGTTCAAGACGGACCCGCCCGAGGCGTACCAAGTGCCAAACAGGGGCCGGCATTATACCGAAGTGTGGGATGAAGAAGACGGGAATCCGCCAGGGACGAGGACAAGGATGGGGGTACCGAATCTCAGACAGCAGCAGTTGGCGCAGATGCGCAAAGCGGGCGGACTGAATCAACCGCATTTCGTACCGTCGGCAGAGATGAGGGATGAGAATCTGGTAGATGAGCAGCGTGGACTGGGGGCGTTGACGGAGAGGGTTGTGGCGGCTGTGGTGGGGACGGCGGTAGATCGGGAAAAAGAGAGAGAGAGGCAGAGGCGGGAGAAGGAAGATGGGGGCGTAGAAGATTCGGGGCTCGAGCCTGCACGGGTGGACGTCTTGGATTTGGAAGAGAGGATGAAGAAGGAGCTGCGCGCAGTCATGTTGCTAGGTGAACACGAAGATGTGAGTGCATCATCTACTATGGGGTTTAGCTGACAATACCAGTTCGACCCGAACAACAGAGACGACGACGAAGTGTCTTCAGCGCTGCGGCAATGCCAACGGCTGCTCGCTCACCAAACCTCGCTGAACGACGCGCGCAAAGCCCGGCTCGTCGAGCTCTCCAAGCAGCGTCTCGCATATACCGAATACCGCGCTGCACTAGACGGGATTGAAAAGAGTATAGAAGAAGCGTGGGCGAAGCGGATCAAAAAGTACGGTCTCTCGCCCAAAAAGCACCCGCATCCTCCGACGGTGGAAGGGTCGTATGGCACAATCATTGGCGAGCATGGAGAGGTCGTCCATCTGAACGCGTCGGGCCGTCCACCAGTGCCGGATTCTGTCAAGCGGCTAGTGGAGACGAGAAAGGGGTGGATCGGAAGTGTGGGGCAGGTGATCAAGGAGAGACCGAGAGGAGAAATGGTGGGGATTCCTGGATCAAGTGTCTTTGAGGGAGTCGGGACGGACAGAAATGACGATGCGAAAGAGACGAGTCAGGAAAGTGTATAGCCATAGATCGAGTGTACAGTACGACGTTTGGTATACAATTAATATGTCAATGTATGATGTTTGATAGTGGTTCTCGGCCATCGTTATCTGGGCGGCGGCCGGGTAATCTGAGATCTGGGCATGCCAAGGATCATTATTATTGCGCAGGGCAGATCTTGATTAAATGCAGATAGATGCATGGAACGAATGGCTCATTATGGCTGCGACTCGATATCGCGATAGTCAACAGGATCTACAGGTCATCGCCCCCATGTCTACAGGTCATTGAGCCACATTATGCATGGGATCTATGAGACGACTGGACGGGGATTACAAAGTGGAGTGCGACGTTGCTTTGTCAGGAATGCTAACGCTTTGTCAGATTGCCGCTTTATTGCTAATGCATTGAATGGGCTTATGCATGGTTTGTGAGCCTGACAATGCATCGTAAGTGTGTACGTACCCGTGCAGCGCGGCATACGAGTACGGTGGGCAGAGGGCAGTGGCCGAACAGCGAGACCGATCACCGTGGCTCGGCAGCGAATCGATCTCCTGGATCTCGCTGCCGGCCGCATGACAAAGCTAATGCATTATGGTATATATACCGGGGCGTCTTCTTCTTGCCCATCTTCCCACACACACCACACAATGGCTGCCATCCAGCGCCCCTCCACGCCCTTCCCATACACCCACACCCTCGTACACTCAGCCACCCACTCTTACTTTGAGCCCACCCCTCTGCCTTACGGCCACCCCCTCCACTTCCACCTCACACCCATGCCTTCACCTGTGCCCCCTTCCCTCTTGGCAAAGCGCCGCGGTGCTCCCATCTCACCACTCCCCACCCCCACTTCGGCGCCCATGGTCCGCTCTACCAGCCGACCTGTCCGTCCCAGGCCCTCGCGTGCGCTCTTGAGCCAGCCTCAGCCGAGCGAGCCCATCCCTGCCATTGGCCAAGTCCTCTCGCGCCAGACCTCCAACTGCCCTTCCGAGTGCAGCACTAGCTCCTCATTCAGCGCACCCTCCCCATCCATGCCCATCACACCCCACTACCCCACCCCACAACTCGAGGTGCCTACACCACTGGCACTCCCATCACCCCTCTGCTCGCCTGCGCTCTCGCCTTGCGAGCCGGTGATTGCGACACCGCCCGAGCTGCCGGGGTTCTCATACCGCCTGGCTGGCTCTGGCTCAGACTATGGCGATGACGAAGAAGAAGAAGAAGAAGAGCGAGGGAGGAAGAGAAGTGTGGAGGAGGAGCAGAGGTGGAAGAGGCCAGGAACGCCGGTGCAGTTTCAAAAGATGCTGGAGAGGCTCGAGGCGCTGAGCAAGGAGAAGCGGGGGAAGGAGAAGCGGTTCAGGAGTGTAGTGGACGGGGGTTCTTGGGTAGTTCTCGGTTAGCTTCTTGTTCTTGACATGGTTGTATTCATGGTAGTCCTTCTTAATGTTATTGTAATGAAATTGTAGAAAGTAGCCTCACCCATGTATGCGATGGAACAATCTCTCAGAAAGTCGAGTCAGTGTTCCCAGTGCCATGAGAAAAGTTGGAGAAAAGCCAAGAATGCGACGTGAATATGCCCGCCGGGCTCCGGCGTTTGTGGGCGGTCATCGCCACCCGATGACCCGAGGCCCGAGGCCCGAGAAGCGACTCACCGAGGTGCTTCTTGGGCCAAGCCATGGCCCATGGGGCCGGGAGGGGGGGGGGGGGGACACTGAAGAGAAGGCCGAAAGAAGCACGACGCGTCGCGTGCAGCCTTTTGGGCTTGCTGGTCTGGACTCTTCTGGCGAGAGCGAGTATGTAGCTTGGAAGGAGAGTACTCGTAATCCGTACTGATGCTGCCCATGCAGTAGGTGGCCGACGGACGACTCTCTCACAGAGGTGGTGGATGACGCGAGGCAAAGAGAAAAAGAGAAGGTATCGTGTTGGCATAGAGCGGGGTGACAAGTCGGTTGGCGAAGAGATGAGAAGGAGCTGACAATGTAGGGAGAGGCTGAAGATGAGCGGAGAGACTCTCTGCGCAGGAATGGGTCAGTTGAATGACGCCAAGGAGCGACAGCGAGTACCCTGCTGAGCTGCATTGAACCCTCCACATTCATGCATCCGCCATAAACGCCATGAGCTCCTGGTGTGGGAAAAGGACGTTGATTGATACAGGGAAGAAGGAGCGGGAGTGGAGAAGAAGAATGGGCAAGGATGATGAAGGTTGAAAAAAGCGCAGAGACCTCCTCCGGATGATGTCCTGCTACTACTTTCAGGTGTTGCTTCTGACGGCCTTTTGCCATGATACGCTAAGAGGTGCTACGTTGGGAGACAGAGCTGCAAGCGATGACCTGGGCGAGACAACTGGAAGGAAACAGAAGCGAGTATAAATTGGAGATTGAGGAAAGGTGAAAGAGAAAGGAGAGATGAGCGCGGCGGTTTGACTGGATACTCCTGGGTTTCAGGCCTCGACTGCCCCTCAATTCTGCTTCACTGTCCACCTTGTTACCATCCTCATCAGTCCTCCTCTCTCAAAGAAGAATGTATGAACGACCCAGCAACCATGAGCACACTCAACACTGCCCAACACCAAACTGGAGACACGCCATTAAGTCCAGGCTGATATCAGAGACTCCTCCAACCTGTCCGACGCGCCGCAGTCATCCTGGATCCTTCTCGAACTCGCCCAGAGGCCCCGAATAACGCGAGAGCGGACTTTCCATAGGTCCGCTACAGCTCGGAGATCCTATCGGACAGCTACTCGTCCAGGACGGCTGGCCAAAGAGAAGAGAGGCAGAAGCGAGTGTCGGGTGAAGAAGGAACGTTGATGGAAAGAGCCGGCGGCAGAATGTGGGGCATCTCGAATTTCCCTTCTATGACGCAGTTGGCCCGACTTTTGAGGGCTGTTTGCAGGTGATTGCATGCATGGAAAGACACAATTCTAGCGGCATATGGCTCATCGTGGCCCCATCTCCCCCACTGCATGCATGGAGGATGGCAGGATGTGTGTGGGCCGTGATGGACCCTACCAGATACACCCTGCTACCCCCCGATTTGTTCCCGTTGATGATGCAACGCCTCTCCCATTTTCTCCGTCATCCTCGCATTTTCATCCATCTCTTTTCTCTTCTCTCTTTCCACAACAGAACAAACATCATGTCTAGCGAATCCCCCTCCCCCGAACTTAAGCCCCAGGTCAAGGACCTCGAGGGCGTCCCCGAGCGAGTCGATGACAGCTCCGCTCCGTCGCCTGAGCCGCCCAAAAAGCCCGTCAGGCAAAAGAAGATTGCCGTTCTGACCAGTGGTGGTGACAGTGCTGGTATGAATGCTGCCGGTAAGTCCCTCAACTCTTGTACAAGATCGCGCTGACCCTTGACGCCAGTCCGAGCTGTCGTGCGTCAAGCCATCGCCCGTGGTTGCCAAGCCTTCATCATCCGTGAAGGCTGGGAAGGTCTCGTCCGAGGCAACACCAGCGACCCCACTCCCGCCCCCACCGCCCCTCAAACCCCCACTCTTGCCTCTACCAAGCGCTCCGTCTCCTTCACCTCCCTTCCCCCTTCGCAACAGATCGACAAGCTCAGCTCTGGTCTCGAGCAAAAGGCCCAGTCTAACGGTGTCGCCGTGACCGATCCCGAAGATGTCTGCCCGCTCGAAAACACGTATCTGAGTTTTGGCTACGGCCAGCTGTTGAGGGATGGTGCGGGAGAAGGCGACATTGAGGAGCTCGCTGCTCATGGTGCCCAGGGATTGGCTATTGCCGACGCTGAAGACGAGCAGGGCAGGAGCTTGAAGGGCAAGTACATTGTCAGAGTAGGATGGGATGATGTGAGGGGATGGCAGGGTGAGGGCGGTACTTTGATCGGTTCTTCCCGATGCCCATCTTGTAAGTTTTGCGCCCCACCTCTGAATCAAGGCTGACAGAGAACAGTCCGAACGCGTGAAGGTCGTCTCCAGGCTGCCGAGAACCTCATCAGCTTTGGTATCGACTGCCTTGCCGTCTGTGGTGGTGACGGATCTTTGACGGGTGCCGACAAGCTCCGAGGCGAGTGGCCCAGCTTGGTCGAAGAGCTCTACGCCGACGGCCGTATCAGCGATGACCAACGCGAGGCGTACCAGCACCTCAACATTGTCGGTCTCGTCGGCTCTATCGACAACGACATGGCCATGACCGATCTGACTATCGGTGCTCTCACTGCCTTGCACCGAATTTGTGAATCTATCGACTCTATCTCCTCCACTGCCTCGTCCCACTCCCGTGCTTTCGTTATCGAGGTCATGGGCAGGCACTGTGGTTGGCTGGCCCTGCTCGCTGGTCTTGCGACTGGTGCTGATTTCATCTTTATCCCCGAGGACCCTCCCAAGACTGATGACTGGGAGAGTGAAATGTGCCACGTTCTTGAGGCTGTAAGTCGAGTCCTTCTGTGTAGAGCCTTGCTAATACTATATGCAGCACCGAAAGGTCGGCAAGAGAAAGTCTATCGTCATTGTCGCCGAGGGCGCCCTCGACAAGAACCTCCAGCCCGTCAAGCCCGACTATGTCAAGAAGATTCTCGTCGAGCGACTCGGTCTCGACACCCGAGTCACCACCCTCGGTCACACCCAGCGAGGTGGTAAGCCCTGCGCTTACGACCGTATTCTCCCCACCCTCCAGGGTGTGGAGGCCGTCCAGACTTTGCTCGACGCTACGCCCGAGACGCCTTCGTACATGATCGGTACCCAGGAGAACAAGATCACCAAGATTCCCTTGCTCGAGGCTGTCGCTCAGACTCAAGAAGTCGCTGCTGCTATTGAGAACAGAGACTTTGCCAAGGCGATGAGCTTTAGGGACTCTGAATTCCAAGACATGTTGAAGGCTTTCGCTATCAGCAGTACGCTCGATGTCAGCCAGGCGGCTCCCCGGGACAAGAGGTTGAGGATTGGTATCATCCAGTAAGTCTTTGCAAACTATGTTGCGCTGGTCTAACAAGGATGTAGCGTTGGAGCTCCCGCTGGTGGTATGAACGCTGCCACCCGTCAAGCTGTGCGATTCTGCCACAACCGCGGCCACACCCCCGTCGCCATCTACAACGGTTTCGAAGGTCTCCTCGATGACAATGTATCCGAGCTCTCTTGGCTCCGAGTTGACTCTTGGACCACCCGAGGTGGTTCCGAGCTTGGTACCAACCGATCGCTTCCCAGCATCGATATCGGATCCGTCGCCGCCGGCTTCCAGCGACACCAGCTCGATGCCTTGCTCCTTATCGGTGGCTTTGAGGCGTTCAACTCTGTCGTCCAGCTCGAACAGAACCGAGCCAACTATCCCGCATTCCAAATCCCCATCATCCACCTCCCCGCTACCTTGTCCAACAATGTACCGCTCACCGACTTTTCCCTCGGGTCCGACACCTCGCTTAATGCGTTGGTGGAAGCGTCTGATGCCATCAAGCAGTCTGCGTCAGCCTCGAGGAACCGAGTGTTTGTCGTCGAGACTCAGGGCGGTATGAGTGGGTACATTGCGGCGATGGGTGCTTTGGCTGTCGGTGCCGTGTTGGTGTACACACCAGAAGATGGTGTCAGCTTGAAACTCTTGCAGGAGGATGTTGAATTCTTGAAGAAGAGGTACAACTTGGATGAGAAGGGCAAGAGTGAGGGTCGATTGGTCATCAAGTGAGTCTTCTATATCGGTATGAGGCTAGAGCTGACCAAAGGATAGGTCTGAGAAGGCTTCCAGCGTCTACACCACCGAAGTCCTCACCAAGATCTTCCGTGAAGAAGGCAAGGACCTCTTTGACGCCCGATCCGCCGCCCTCGGTCACACCCTCCAAGGTGGTGTCCCCTCCCCTCTCGACCGAACCCGTGCCGCCCGTCTTGCCCTCAAGTGCATGCAATTCCTCGAAGAGCACGCCGTCCCCAACGCCCAGTCTACCGCGCACCACAAGGCGAGGAGCGCGGGCAAGCCAGTGTACAGCAAGGGGACGGCGACAATGATTGCTATCCGAGGAAGCAAGGTCGTTTACGCCACTATGGATGAGGTGTTGAAGGTGACGGATATGAAGTTGAGGAAGGGAACGGATGAGTGGTGGGCATATGTCAAGCAATTGGCCGAGACGATGGGTGGTAGGACCGGTCTGATGGCGAGGGATTGAGGTTTCTTATCGAGGTATCTGGAATAGAGTTTGAATGTGTCTAGTCGACCACAATGATAGAAAGAAGCAAACGAAAGTTGAATGCATACACTTGTCATCCCAACTAGCGTTACGTTGTACCAGCTACAACATCTATAGACCACTACTTCTGGATGCCGCAAAGCTCGAGGTTTCCGACCATGGGCTTGATCACCGTCCTGCCATTCTTATCCTTGCCTCGCTTCAGATCCTCAAATGCGACCTCGGCATCCTCCAACGCATAGTAATGGCTAGCCATCTTGCTCACATCGCCCAGCTTTCCGGAAGCAAGAAGAGCGAGGGCGTCGGGGTAGGTGTTGCAGTACCGGAAAACGCCGATGAGGTCCACTTCAGACAATAGGGATGGGCCAGTAGGGAGGGAGAGGACTTTGGTTCCCATACCGACAAACAAAACTTTGGTACCGATAGCAGCGGCCTGTGATATCGTTAGTCGAGCAGATGACAAGAGAGGAAAAAACTTGCCATGGGAGCCATCTGCATACAACTCTCAACACCTGTACACTCAAAGACCGCGTCAAACCCATCTTCCAGTCCTTCGACACTCTGGACGGCCTGGCTCTTCTGTAAAGCCTCCCAATGACCGCCAGCGACTTCCAACGCTTCCAGCCCACTGACTCTCGGGCCTTTAGGCAATGTAAAGACGTCCGTCGCCCATTGTTGCTCCTTGGCAAAGACAAGCTTGCCTTGTTCGATATCGACAGCCACGACCGATGTACAGCCGGAGGCCCGGGCAAGGGCACAGGTGAGGAGACCGACGGCACCCGCACCGATGATGAGGACACGAGCGCCGGGAGTGAGTTGAGCTCGACGGTAGGCGTGAAGGACGACGGAGAGGGGCTCGGCAAGGGCAGCGAGGGGAAGTTCGAGGTCAGGCGGCAGTCTTTTGCTTTGATCAGCTGACATTCCGGGGGAAAGAGGGAGGACGCACTTGTATACCAAATCAGCGGGCCAAGTCATGACTTCTCTCAATGTACCATCCAGATGCGGGAAGGTCTTTGCAGAGCTCGCAAACCTCATCTTCGCGCACAAATTGTATCGTCCCCGTCTGCACTGCTTGCAAGCTTTGCAGTAGACACCGACTTCCATCGCGACGCGGTCGCCGACGTTGAGATTGAGAGCGGGGTTCACAGAGGAGCCGAGAGAAGTAATGATTCCACAGGCTTCGTGTCCCAAGACGAGAGGCTTTTGGATCTTGAAAGCACCGTTGGCACCGTGCAGATAGTAGTGGACTTAGGGATTGTTAGCGAGCGTTGCAAGGAATATGTGAGAGGCGCACGATCGGATCCACACAAGCCAGTCATTGCTACCTTAATCTGAACCTCTTCAGGCTTGGGAGCTGGAATCTCTCTGTCTTCCTGTAGTAGCCGTAAGCACCGAGTCGTTCCATTGTATCTCGCTGCGGCTCGACTTACGACCCTGAGATCAAGTCCAGCATGACAGACGACGGCCTGTTGGGCAGCAGTACCATTAGGAGCCATTATGTATAGTATATGATTGTGGATACAAAAGGAGATGGGATGGAGATTGAAATGGCTGGTTATATACAAATGCACGACCGATAACGGGGCAAGACGAGGCAACTTTTGGCACACCCGGTCCGGTCCAGCCGGTTAGCCCGGTCCTTGCCGCCGGCCGCCGCATTTGCCGGAGGAGTGACTCCGCCAGTGAACCGCAACGCTATTAGATGCATCCCAGACCTCTTGGAGGAAGGTACATGGATGGGGGCCTGGGGGGCATTCTCCTTCATAAGCAATAGGTATGGTAAAAGAAGTCCGGGCTAATCTTGGGATGCTTCAGTCACTGAATATTCCCTTCGCCTTCCTCACAAGATCTACACCTAGATGCTTGACGTTGCTGAAGTATTTTGCAGGTGTCGTTCTACATAGACAACAGAGTATCGGGAAAGTATCGGGAACCATTCACTCAGTGCAGTCCATGCCACTCAGCATATACACATACAGGCGATGAATCACCTGCCTGTCCTGATGGCATCCATAAACCTGAATCCCCGCTTGATATAATCCTTCTCAAGACGGCAACAGATCAGAGCATGGGTGTACAAAATCTCCAGTTCCTCCCAGATGATCCTGTCCCATTGCAAAGGGTCCAATGGGATGGAAGCACTCGGATAGATAGAGGACTCGAAGAAATTATCCAAGGGCTCTTCCTCGTGTTTCGCGGCATCCCACCCGGAGCTGGCTTTCGTAATCGTGCGATGCTGTTCGACTACTAGTTGAGCCACTTGGTCCATCGAAGAGGCTTCTGGGGCAGCGACTAGAAGTACGTCCAAGAACTTCCAGTGAGGATTCTCCCACTTGTCCAGAGCAACACGAAACATGAACGCCTCGATTGTGCTCACGGCGCACGGACAAGCCCAGTCATGTGCCAGCATCACAGCTTCGTAGCAGTTTTCAACTTGATGACGCGGGAACTCGTCAAACACCTCTTGAAGGCTTCTGCCTTCCAAGATCCGGATCAAGAAGGCGAAACTGGCTGCCGGCGTGGTCTTTCCTTCGCTGCTGAGTTGGTAGATGGGATGGCTGCCTTGCGTGGAGTCATCGGGGGCTCGTGGGGATTCTTCGAGAAGACAGTAAAGTCTCTCGCTAGGTGAAAGGTCAAACATTTACTTGGCAAATGACACGACAGACATACCTTTGACCCGCCAAAAGGGCATAAGGGACGAAAAAAGAGATATTGTCCGAACTCTTCCACTCAACAAGGGCGGTGGCAGCAGTACGCGGCCAAGACGGGTACACATCGCAAGTCAGCTTGGGCGGGACCTCGGGCTGTTTCGATTTCGCCATCTCTGGGTACTTTCCAAGCGCCTTCAGGAAGACTATTCCCCGCAGATCCACCTGCTTTTCCTGCGCGCTCTTGACCAAGGCGAATATGTAATCCATGCCTATCTCCTGCCAGAGTTGGACCGTCCAATTTTTCGGGCTGAGAGTTGATACTTCGGCGGAAACGCCCACGGACCAGTGGGCGTCGATACTGGCCTTGTTGTGCTTGCTGGCATTCCAAAGCGGACTGTCCTTCTTCACCTGCGTCCATGTTTCAAGAACCATGCGAGCGACGTGAGGCATGTCGCATTTGGCAGCCAAGATGAAGATATCGGAGGGCTTCCATTGCTCATTATCCCATCTGTCCAATGCCAGGCGGCAGAGCCACGCCTCCAGTGTGTGGACGACCATCGCGCTTTCCCATTTCTTTGCCAGAAGGATAGTCGCATGGAAATTCCGGATCTGGTATCGAGGGACTTTTTCGAGTAGCCTGCCGCGAGTCTCACCCGAGATGATGGCGAGAAAGAAGGCGAGGGTAGAGGCCAGCTCGTAAAAATCATGGGTGAGTGGAATTGGAACGTGACGAGGGTGGGGAGGTGCGGGCTGTGCCATATCGGCTGGCGACTTGTGGCAGGAGGAACGGCGAGGCGGCGAAGGAGGGGCGGGAAGGAAGTTGGCGGCTTGGGGAATCTCGAACATCTCTCGCAGAACAGGACTACTGGGCATCAGCGTCTGCCATTGTATGACATGGACGTACCAATGAGCCTGTAAAAGCAGACGAGGGACAAAGAAAGAGACATCATCACTGCTGACCAGCTCTACGAGGCCGGAAGCCCCGGTATCGGGCCATGCTGGGTGTACGTCCGGTTCTTTGGAGGGGTCTTGCTCCATTATTGTGCAGCTGGATGCTGGGAGCAAGCCTCGAAAGATAAACGAGCGAGATCTGATAAGACTTGGGGAAAAAGGGAGATGAAAGAGGACGGGAAGCGTGTAGTTCCTGATGTCTGAAGGGCCCGGGGGAGCCGAGCAAAGCTGGCCCTGCCACCGCCGACTCAGCAGGAATGCATAGGCAAGCACTAATGCATATAGAAATCACAAGGGCCCCCTGCACACTGTGAGCCGTCATGACTCCATACCAAGATGAGATGCAATGCAGCAATAACACTCCTGCACTCTGCGACGCCAGGAAACGACCATACTGATCCAACCATACTTCGCCAGTGTTCTCGCCATTTCGCATCCCTCGATTGGTTCTCGTTTGGGGAGGAAGGGCACCGCGTATATAACGATATGCATCTTCAGCTATCCCCTCACTCAGCCTCCTCCTTGACAGCCCCCTCCCCATCCAGAGCCATCTCCCTAGCCTTCTCCGCCTCTTCAAACAATGCCCTCATCTCGTCATCCTCCGGCCCAAATTTCATCTCCTTCTCCCAGTCACTCTCCTCATCGCTCTCCTCTTCTTCACTCTCTTGTCCCGGCCCACCTCTATTTCTATTCTTGCCGCCAGGTGTAGAAGAGTTTGAAGAGTCGGCACCGCCAGAAGCGGCCGGAAGGGACGAAGAGACAGACTGAGCGGCAGAGAGGACTGATCGGGTCAAGATGGCAGGGGGAGTGGTCAGGGATGCTTGATCTCTCCTCTGTTCCCTGGCGTTCAGCGCCCGGCTAGACTTTACAGAAGTAGGCAGCGGTAGAGGCAGAGGTAATGGCTGCGCCACCGGCACCTGTTTTGCCGTTTGCGGCGCACCAGGCGCAGAGACAGGTCGTTCGTGGATCACCAACGAATCGATCAAGGCCGTCACTGCGCTTATACCCGGTTTCACCTGCGCCGCATCGGCAGGAAGAGGTTGTTTGGCAGGGGCGATGACTTGCTGTGGGCGAAGAGCTGTAGGCGCTGGCGCCGTTTCTTCAGCATTTGCGCTCACTTCTGACCCTCTCCTCCCAACGACATCATGAAGCGACAGCACTTGTCCTCGCTCTTCCACCTCTTCCAGCAACTCCACACCGCCTCCTTCTCCGCCCAAGCCCTTCAAATCCCGCAACCATACCGCCTCTCCTCTCAGCTGCCTCTCCATCCACTTGCTTCTCGCCGTACACTTCTTTCCACAAAACCCCTCGTGCTCATTGCCCGATGCAGGGTCGATACTTCTTTTCGAGGTGGAGATGATGAATTTCCGGCGGGATGAGTATGGAGCCGTTGGAGGATTTGGGCAAAGAGGATAAGAGCAGAGAGAGTTGAGGTGACGTTCATGGAGGATTTCGTGGTATTGCGGTGGGGTCAAATGCGCCGCCTACATCTCGTTAGCTCTTTCTCTTTGACATGGACGAATACATACAGCCTTCTTGAACGCCTCTCTCTCGACAGTATCTTCACTTAGAAGGTCCATCCACCTCTCGACCTTCTTCTGCAGCTGCGCCTTTCTCACTCTCGCCCTCTTGAGCGTCTCTGCATCTTCTTTCAGAGCTGCTTCTGAAGGTTCTCCGATCTGAGAGGTGGAAGAAGCGTCGGCCGGAACAGGGGTGGGCTGAGATACACGGCGAGGGCTGGATACTGGGCGAGAGCTTGGGCCGGATGGGGTGTCGCGGGTGGCCACAGCTAAACGCGCTGGGTTGCGCGGAAACTGTACTGGCGCTGCTGATGAGGTTGGTGCTGGGCCCGAGGTAGAAGCTTGTGGTTTTTGTGTGGGGATAGCGATGGGCATTGTCTGTCGATAGCGAGGTAATTGATGTTCAAGATTGAAATTCGGTTCGTCAAAAGTCAGCGCTGGATCTCGGAGATGGATATTCCCACGGTCAGGCGCGCCACTCTTCTCTATCTATCTGGCCTTGCTATATTCTCAGAGGCAGCATTCAATCATTTTAATCGTCTCTTCATCATCTATCAACACTTTTGGTTTCTACTCTTTTTACGCAAGAACGCATCGTTATATAATGAATGGCTTTATGAAATGAATGCACATGATGAAGGGTGGTTTGTGGTGATGTGGTAATGATGGTGATGATTGTGTGTAAGAGAAAAAATGACGACGAAAGTGCCCCAACCTTGGGGGCTTGACCAAATGAGAAAATACAGAAAGAAAGAGCATCTACACACTCTACGCCTCAGCCTCCCCAATCAACTCGTCGACCTCACCTCCGACGTCCGCCTTGGTCGCGCTTTCTAACCTCCCAGCGCTCTTGCCCGTAAACAAGCCCGGCCTCATCTCTGGCACGGTCTGCACAATCCTCAACTTTTCACTCGGAGGCACCGACAGTGTCCACCTGTCCGCCACGACCGCCTGAGGCTGGCCGAAGGGAGCTTTAGGCTTGGGACCCTGAGAGTTGAGCTGAGTTTGATCGAGGCGGAAGTCTTCGTCGTCTGGCAGAGACTGAATGTCATCTGAGGCGGCGGAAGACACGGGGGAAGCGGTGACGGAGGAGGAAGTGGAGGCGGGGCGTTTCTTGAGGTGCTCGACCTCCATACCACCGTCGAGGATACCGACTCGCATCATGGCGAGCAAGTTGTGGGCAGCGTTCGAGTGGTCATACACACCGCCGAAGAAGGCGGTGGTAGCGTCGGTACCGATAGCTCGCTTGATAAGGTGGGCACCACCGGGGTGGTCTTCGTTGAAGGAAGAGCAGTCGTGAATGAAACCATGGATGGCAACGAGAGAACGCTCCTTGGCTTCAGCCTTGAAGTCGTCCCAAGAAATGACGGGGAGGTCGTTGCTCGACTTGGGCCACTTGAGCTCGTCGGCTTGCTCCTTGAGGAGCTGGAGCTTCATGGTGTACTGACCCTTCTTGACTTCGTTGTCGGGGAAACGCTTCAAGTGAGAAGCCATACCGAGCTGAGAGGCGGTCCAGATGAACCATTTGGTAGGGTCATACTGGAACCACTTGATAGCGTTACGGAAGTCCATGGGGAACTGGTGGTGGAAGTTGTGGTAACCCTCGCCGATGGTGCAGAAAGCGGTAATCATGTGGTCTCGAGGAGTGTGCTTGTTGTCGAAGGGCTGTTCACCGAGCCAGTGAGCGAGAGAGTTGACACAGAAAGTGGACTGAGATATCATTAGTAGAGTTCCAAGAGTAGGCAATCGACACTCACGTGGTGGACAAAGCACAACCTGGCGGCACCGGCAAAGAAGAAACCACCCCTCCAGTCACCCCATCCAAGACCAGCAACAAGAGTAGGGAAGATGAAACCCATGAAAAGGATCAAGGGGATATAATTCTTGTGCTGCCACCTGACGACCTTGTTCCTCGACAAGTCACTGACATCAGCGACACCAATCTTGCCTCGGGGCTTGACCAGCATCCATCCGACGTGAGAGTAGAAGAAACCCTTGTGGGCAGAGTACGGGTCGAGCTCGGTGTCGGTGTATCTGTGGTGAGCTCGGTGGCCTCGGGACCACCACTTGATGGAACCTTCGACAGCACCGGCGCCGGCGACCGCGAGGAGGTATTGCAGAGGAAGGCCAGCGTTGTAAGCTCGGTGGGCCCAAAGACGGTGGTAACCAGCAGTGATACCAAGACCAGTAATAAAGTAGTAGACGACACTGCGGAATGTGAGACTTTTTTCTCTTTTTTTTTTTTCCCAGTGGCAAAACTCACCTCCAAATAGCAGTCTTGGTGTTCCAGTCTGTGGAGAAGATACCGTAAATGGCAAGGGAAGGTGTGACGGTAAGGGCGAGGAAAGAGATCCATTGGATATTGTAGATCAAATTCTTCCATGTGATGGGTGGGAGGTATTTCTGGGTAGAAATGGTGTGGGTGACATAGTTGTCGGGAATGTGGCGGTCAGAAGCCTGCATAGTAGGCTTGATAGGGTGGACGCCATTCTGAGTCTCTGATCCTGCGAAGAGAGTCAGTGGCGAGCAGATGAAAGGACGAATGCCACGTACTGGATTTTGAAGGGACGGCCTCTGGGGTGTGAGGGGGAGAGTAGGCGGGGTCGAGCTGGTCGACGGGGTTGGGACGGCGGCGAGTGAGGCCGCTCTCGTCGTCTGAGGTTGGCGGAGTCATAGGAGAAGAATAGGACATGGTGAGTGGCGAGGGAAAAGAAGAGATTCGAATCGGACGTCTTATACAGCACTCTCGTATCCACGATCTGTCCATGCACCGTCCAACCGCGTCACCAGTTTTTTTGGGGAAACCTCCATCGGACATCTTCGGCGCCACATTCTTGCCTACTGATAGTCCTGCTATTGCGCAAATTATATGTATGCCTCTCCCAGCCATACATTGCCTTCACAATGCATGCATCTCCTCGCACCCCCCGCCCAGCCCCTCCAGCCATTACTCAACATGCACCACGTACTCCTTCGGCAGCCCGTCTTAGCGGACATTGCCGCCTCTTCGCTCCACACCAGCTTTCGAAGGCGAAGTCGTCTCGAATCGGCAGCGTATACACCCGATACAGTTACCCGTGACTCCTCGCGGTGTTACCCCTCCGCTGGGGAGCGAGATGTGCCGGGCGTCAGATTGTGAGAGAGTATGGTGACGACAAAATCCACGAGAGCAAAAATCCACGAGAGCAGAAATCCACGAGAGCAATTCAGGGTCAGATAACGATAAGATTCCAACCCGTTGGGGATAGGTAATACAGTAGTTACTATTATTAACTAGTTAGATATTCAAGACCAAAAAACATATGACGTCACTGTGGGAAAGTGCCGCGTGGGAATTTATGGGCAGACGGCGTACGCCGCGTAGAATGCTGCTCTGGCCCACGGCGGATGACTCCGCTATGGGGTCACTTTCCCACGCGTGTCAGGCAAGAGGACCCACCGGCAAGTCGGCAACCCGAACTGACGAGGCAAGTATATAGCAGCCATCTCTTTCTCTTGCACTGCAGCCCACCATGAGTGAACACCCTGTCCTCCGCTACATCTCTCCAGGCGCCTGGAACCTCGTATGTCCACCACCCATCGACAACCTCTCGCTGACCACACAAACAGATCGAGTCCCAAATCTCACAGAGAGCAAAAGACCTCTTGGTCGCCCTCATCGACTTTCTCGAAGCAAGCTCTCCTCACCCGTGGCCTGCATTCGCTGACACTGGTGGAAGAATGACGTGATACCATCCGAGGACTTGTACCACCTTCAGATCCCCGACGACCCGGCTACTCGCTGGCAAGCCATCCCGCAAGCGCTGGAAGACCTCAAGGCAAAGGCAAAATCAAAAGGGTTGTGGAACTTGTGGCTTAGCGGGGGAGAGTTTCAGGGTATGGCAGGTGGCCAGGGTGGAGGTTTGACGAACCTCGAAGTTGGTAATATCCATTTTGTTCAGCGTTCGACTTGCTAACAACAGGTAGTACGCGGTGATGTCGGAGATCATGGGCCAGTCAATCTACTTGGCCTCCCAAGCCACCAACTGCTCTGCCCCAGACACCGGCAACATGGAAGTCCTCGCCCGTTTCGGGACCTCTGAGCAGAAACAAAAGTACCTCGCCGGGCTGCTCAAAGGCGAGACCAGGAGTTCCTTTGCCATGACTGAATATGGCGGTACGTGTTGATGTTGACGCCAAGATTCGAGCTCACTCGCCACATAGTCGCCTCGTCAGACGCATCCAACCTCCACAACACCACCGCCTCCCTCTCCTCTCCTTCTTCCACCCACTATTCTCTTTCCGGCCACAAATGGTGGATCTCTGGTGCCGGCGACCCACGCACATCCATCCACATCGTCGTCGCCGTCACCGACCCCTCCAACCCTTCTCCCCACAAACGCCACTCTTTGCTGCTCGTCGAGCCCAAGCAAAAGGGCGTCAATGTGGTGCGTCCGATGAAGGTGTATGGGTACGACGATGCCCCCGAAGGGCACTGCGAAGTCGTATACGACAATGTCCAAGTGGACAAGATCAAAGGCGTTGTAGGCGGCCCCGAAGGTCTCGGACGGGGATTCGAAATGCTCCAAGCCAGGCTGGGGCCGGGGCGCTTGCACCACTGTATGCGTTCCCTCGGTATCGCCTCCCGTGCACTAGACATTCTCCTCCAGAGGGTCTCTTCCCCGAACCGAAAGACCTTTGGCAAGTATCTCAAGGAACACGGCACGGTGCTGGCAGAGATTGCGCATGCGAGGGCGGAGTTGGACCAGTCGAGGTTGTTGGTCTATGCGGCGGCAAAGAGGATTGATCAGGCGGGAGCCAAGGGGGCGTTGCAGGATATCGGGATTGCCAAGGTATGTCTCTCGTCATACTCTGTTGCACTTGGCCAAGTCGCAGGAGAGCTGACCAGAGGCACAGTTTACGGTGCCGGCTATGGCGCTCCGCACTGTCGACCGTGCTATCCAAGTCCACGGCGCCGAAGGACTCTCGCAAGACCAGCCTTTGGCGGCTTGGTATGCCCAGCTCCGAACCTTGCGTTTTGCCGATGTACGTCCCCTTCTCCCCTTTCCTGGCTGCCGCTAATAGGACTCAGGGGCCGGACGAAGTGCACATCCAACAAATTGGGAAACGCGAGCTCAAGAGGGTGGAGGAGCTGCAAGAGAGGAGTGCGCGTATCAGGCGTGCTAGCGAGAAGCTGCTGAAGGCGAATGGAAAGGAGAGGGCCAAGTTGTAAATCGAAAAGAAGCAAAGGAATTGGAATTGTGTTGTCACTTTGTATGAATACTTTCCGAGTGGGCAATGGCCAAAAACATCCTGATCTAGGTTTAGGATGATGCAGCCGAGGATAAGGATGGAACAGGGGCGGATTCAAGACCTTGGGGAGAAGGGGGGTCATAGCCGGGGCGGAGGTGCCTTCAGACCGCCGAAAGTAACATCATGTCAACGTCAAGTCAGCCGATTGGCAAGGGGAAAGAAAGGACCTGTCGAAGGGAAGAAAGGACTGCTGGGTATAATATAGCATGATCTGCTGGCAGGTGTGGAGACATAATCCAAGGTAAATTTAAGGGGTCTTGTTTTTCGACGCTGGAACTTGCGAATCTCAAAGACATCACGGTGGAAGAGGCGAAAGATAGGATGAAGGAGCTCTTCCCAGACGACCACCCTTGAGCTATCCCTTTTAGATCGTTTATTGCATATAAACAGGACTTGTGAGATGTGCCCTCTTCTCCGCCCGCTGTGTACATCCGACATCTCTACCTTCGATGTCCCGCTTGCATGGGACTCCCACGGGCCGCTGTCATCGCTATTCACGTGAACAGTGAAACTCGCATTCTCGTCAGCCGCCGCCGATACTCGCCACGGTTCACCACTTCACCACGGCTCTGTCTCCCTGCCAATTGCTAGCATGGTCCATCTAATCAACCCCGAAGCAACTTTAAGCAAAGCAAACGTGGAATAGCTGGTAGACATGCGGGTCGGCGATCGAGAAAGGGCCAATTTGTGGAAAGCTGCTGTCATACATTTCTTGATACAAGTGGAAGTAGCAGTATGTATTCCTAAGCTCACACTTAGGAGGAAAGCGACCCAGTGGCTGATCATGCCAGGAAAGCAGCTTGACGTCTGATGACTATGCTGACATTTCTACTACAATATAGCTCGACTGATAATGCTGTGAGAAAAACGCCCTTATCATACGACCCTATGATTACAACCCCAAGTCGACAGATCACAGAATCATGGTGACTGCCAGCATCGCCAACCCCGCGATTCCCAGCCCCACCTCGACTCTCTCGGCCCCACTTGAGCTGACCACAGCATTGCTGCTCGTACCACTCGCCGCAGAAGAGGTAGTAGCGGTAGTGTTGGAGCTACCAACAGAGATGGCAGTGTTGCCTGCAGACGACTCTGTTCCATTACCGAGGGCCACATACACCGACGAGCCCAATGCAGTTCCGTCGGAGCTGATCGCCTGCGTTTGTACCCAAGGGTAAGACGAGGCCACATCCTCAGTGACGTTGAATGACGACTCGAATGTGGTCTTGTCCTGCTCATCAAGCTTGGTGGGCGAGGTGGCGTTGGATAAAGAGGTGATACCGTAGAGCGCCCATTGGGAGACTTCGGTGGCACCGTTCCAGGACGTGTAGACCGCATACGCGCTGGACGAGTTGTCTAAAGACTCGATGGTGATGTCGGGGGAGGTAGTGGGGTAGGCGGTCCAGTTGTATCGAAGGGCACGGTAGCCTTGGACATTTCCCACGCCGAATTGAACAGAACAGAGAAGAGTACCGTCGGACGAGTATTCCGAAAAGAATGGGTTTTGTCCCCAGCTACAACCACGTCAGTCACTGGACCATGCACGACGTGAAACACTCACCCGAGGAGATACTTTCCATTGTCCTGCTCCTGGATACTACCCTGGCTGGACGATACAGTCTCGTTCCAGGGTAAGAACTCTTGCACCAGCTCCACCGTCATGCCACTCTGATCCACCTCCAAGAGCAAGCCCCTCGCCATTTCCTCGTCCGTCTCCCAAGAGGTTGCCGCATTGTCAAAGACACTGATCTGCGTATAGTTGTCTCTCCAACGAGCGTCGTGCTGCCATTCAAAAGTGGTGTTGGTCCCCATGGTAAAGGACGAGTTTTGACCGTTAATGGTCCAGAGGATGGAGCCGTCCTCGGGAGAGATTTGGTAGATGGCGTGGCAGTGGCGGGAGGAGATGAGATAGTTGCCGGAGAGATCTTTCTCGATGGAGTTGATGTGCTGTGATATCGTGTCAGCACGGCAATAAAGAGTGGAAATAGTCTTACAAAGTAGTCCCAAGGAGAGTCGCTAGAAACTCCACTAGTTCCCGGCGTTGTGTAGCACTCGGAGGGAGAGACGTGGTCCAAGGACTTCCAAGTGAAGACGGGTTCCCCTGTTTATCGAGTGAGCTGATGTTCCGTTCTATGGTAAGTAGACTGACCAGTAGCAATGTCGATTTCCTGGAAAGCACCTCCCACGATCCAACCAGTAGTGCCGTCGGTGGTGCTGACACTGTAACTGGAGAGATCGTATTCTTCGGTGACGTAGACGGTAGCGAGGGCGGTGTCATTGTCCGAGATTGCAAACTGAAGGACATTAATGAAGCCCTTTGAGAAGGTCACGAAATACATACCTCGTGGAAGTCGATGCCGGTGCCATTGATCGTTGAGGAGCTAGAGAATTCGGTCATTTGGAGCTACATGGGATCGGAACCGAGCGACTTACAGGTTGGCAATAAGGCTATAAGTTTGATCAAAGATCAGACCATACCCATCCCCATAACCATTGCTGTTGAAGGATCCGCCCCAGGTGGCGAGGACCTGCTCTCCCTGGTATGTTCCTACGGAGAAGGACATTGTCTGTCCGACCCCGGCTTCTTTACCATGCCAAACGACCTCACCGTTACTGTCGTAAATGATGCCGGTGGGGGTAGTGACATCAGTTCCTCGGGGAGCGAGGAAAATGTAGCCGGAGGGAAGGTCGGAAGAGGGGAAGACGTTGAAGTTCCACTCGGCACTGTGTATCCGTGTGAGATCATATCCGTATTCGATGATCAAAGCAAGACACTTACGCAGTGAAATTGACAGACTTGAAAGTCTGGACGGGAGCACGGCCAAGAGCACCAGAGCAATACTCTGTGCTGTTGACGAGGTATGCTCGAGCCAACGGGGATAGGGCGGCCAAGAGTAACAGGGATACTGACATGACTGCTCGAAAGGGGTGTTGTGAAGAAAAGTCCTGAAAGAGTCGCTGGTGAAAGACGGAGTGAGCAGAAGAAGCAAAGGGATATGTGGCGAGCGTCTTGTTGATATCATGTCCGATGGAAAGACTACGCAATGTACGACCTGCGCACATGGCTGTGAAGCGCCGGGCCCAGTCCTTCTGCAGAAGTGGCTGAACAGCGAACACGGCAAGGGATCACATGAAAGTCGAATATCTGGAATAGAGGATAGAGGAAATGACAAAGAAAGGGTAAAAGGTTGGCATAAGAAGACTGCGCGCAGGGCGTAAATCGAAAGTCTGGAAGGTTTTCGTCGATCCGACATCCGGTCGTTGTTTGCTTCGCAGTTACGGAGGCGGTGTCAGAATTTTGCTTCATGGCAAGTCCTTCAAGCATGTGTCTTGTGTCTCTCACTGCCTGTACATCAACGGGATGCTGCTGCTTGATCCAAGCTTGTGTGTCTGTTCTGTTCCATCCCGCCAGGATGCACTTTTTGTCAGAATGATGAGTTCTGCCTGATGCAATAATGTGCCTTCGCTGGCACAACATGGGGGCAGTGTGCAGTATGACCCATAAATCACGGCTAGACACCGACGACTCCCAGACCCCTCCCGGACTTGTCTATGTCCGCCACACGATACGAGAAACATCGTCGCGATCTCAATAAGCCCAGGTCCCATACCAGTCGTCATCCAGCGCATATATCATGGAACTCCCTGCGCACGTCGCATAGTCTAAGAACGCTAAGAACGCACGGTCAGAAATACATTGATCTTCTCCAGAATTGGGCAAAGTTGAGCTGGATTGTCTGCCCAAGTCGTCAACAGGACCAGCAGCAAAGGACACTCGCCATGTGTACATATACAACAGTGTTTCTCACCCAGTTACAGTCTAGTACTCAGATCGTTCTATCTTCCACCTTTCTTCCTGTCATACCACGCCTTGTATAGTCTGCCCGAATCTTGCCCAATGGCAAACACTACACCCATCAGCCCCTGGACAGTAGTAGCAGCAGAGGATATGACTCACGCTCCCTCTCATCTCCTTCCATACCATCTCTGAAGATCTCCCCTCGGGTCGAACTGATTTCTGGTAATGTATGATCTGCAGAGGCATGGTGCGCCGCCAGATCTTGTAGGATGGGCAATCTCCCCGCAAATGCCTGTGTACAAGTCAGCGCCCATCTGATATATGCGCAAGTACTCACCTTTAGTAGCATGTTCCGTATATCATTGGCCAGCGCATCCTCAAGGATGTCCACAAGTCTTTTGCCTAATCTGTACCACCAGCCGTTGCCCCCGACCAGGTTAGACAGCTTGACGCTGGTTGCTGAAGCTATCAAAGCATCTTTGACGCGTGACGAGTAAGGGAGGGGGATGATGAATGTTGTGAATTCACTAATTAGCATGGGGTAAGCTACACCAATCGGGCAGGAAGACATTGAACTTGCTGGAGAGTCAGTGTACCGGCAAGCCAAAAAGGCAACTCGACTTTGGCACCCTCTTGAATCTTTATACACAGCAGTCAGTACTATGCATATCAAATAGTACGAGTCACACATACGTTGGGGTCGCTGCCGCCTTCGAGATAGCCCAGACCCTCTACATCCTGGGCAAAAGTACACGACAGTTTCTACGAGGATTTAGCGTTCATCCTATGCTGGACACGTCACTCACGTGGTTATCCGCGAGGATCGCAGTGATAGAGTAGTAGTCTTCTTCCATGCCTGAGCCCTCCTGTCAGTCTGCACTTGATTGTCTCGGAGACATTGAAAACATACCTCAAGTCGCGTTCTCATCATCATCTTCGACGCGTTTGATGCTTATGTAACATGCGCACGCCTTGCTCTTTCACAAAAAGATAGGCGCGCGGGACCATTTTCCACTTTCATCGTTGTTGAAGAAACGTCGAGGAGTATGACTGTCACCGAATCCCACCATGAGACCCACATCCCTCCTCCAAGGTGCATCAAGACTACCCCTCACAGGAAAGAGGGGAAACAAAGACTTTTACAAAGGTGCCTACGCGTCTTGTGCTTGCTGAAAAGAGCGGATCGCTAACGATTTCATTAGGTACTGGACAGGCTAGAGTACCTGGCGGTGGACACAGAACAGGTCCCCCCGGTAAACATGTCGTGCGAGGTACTGCCAAGTATAGACTGGTGGATGAGAAAGTGAGAGTGTTCGTGGCACCTACACAAGAAGCACTGGGGAATACAGAGGTTTGTCGTCACTTGCTTTGAAGTCGGAGATGCTGACCGCTATGTGATCAAGCTCAAGCCATATGTTGCTACACAAGATCTTGACAACCACAAAACATTTTTCAACCCCTTCTCTCACGCCTACGGAGAACGCCCCCGCCTTCCATCTTTCTCTCCAAATGCCACACCTATGATCGCCGGCACCTCTCTGTCGCGGAGGGATTACACGGATTTCTCCAAGAGATGGGCCAATCTGAGTCATGATGAGAGGCAGTTCGTGGTGATGCAGCAGAGGAGACAGTGGTGGGAAGGGATGTCCAAGTTGTACGGAAGTGATGTGGCCGCTCCGGGCGCGCAAGGGACCCAATAGAATTGTGATGCAACAGCGATTCATGATCTAGCATCAAGCAATCGGGAATTCATCTCGTATACTCCAGCAAAAATCTCCAAAGGCGTTATCTATAAACCCTAGCTCGTCGAAGCCCCAACGGCCAACCTCTTCAGGTGCTCCATAAACACCTGCAAGCTGACATCGTCTGTAAAGATCTGTTGTCCCGCCGCAGGGTTCGCCCCATACCCACTCGCCCCGCTCATGTGCGTCGTCGAAGGGTTGAGCTTGCTCAGCAAGAACCTCGCCTGACTTCCACCTTGATCACAGACGATATATCGCGGGATAGGCAACCTGTCTTCCAACAGATCTTGAGCGTCGACAACAGGAGCTTCGAGAAGCTCTTTAAAGTTGGCATAGTCCTCCTGCTCTTGGTAGTTGGCCTTACGCCATTGAGCAATGGTCTCACCGTGGAAGATGAGAATGTGGAAGAAGGTGTCGAGGAGGAGGATGGCGTCTGGCCTGATGGAGACCGAGTCAAGAAGGACAGGTCGGGGCTCAGAGTCAAAGCCATAGGACATGAGGGTGGGTTGGATCATGATCAAGGAGTTGTTCACGTCCGTGTCGTTCAAGATGTGACTGCAAACCATCAGCATGTATCACCATGGACTTGTCGTACTCACCGGTAGAAAGCAGTCTCATCAGGCGAGTTGTTGAAGACTTGCAAGAACTGACTTCGTCGCAGGTGGAACATGAATTGAGGATAGATGGAGAATGACGGGCCCAGCTGGAAACTCGTAGGGTCTTCCTTTCGGTAATCCGCAAACTTCTGACACAACCTAATCAACATCCTGTCCAACCACCTCAACACATCAGGGCTGTCGTCGATCTCAGCCTTGAAGACGGCAATACGGGCCATGAGTACGGCAGCGGCTTCTTGGTCAAAGCTGGCAGCGATGGTAGGGTGGCCGCCTTCTTGGAAGTGACGCATACAGGTGGTGACACGGAGTCGGTACTCGCCGGAAGAGTGCTGGTAGTGGGTGACAAATTGAATGAGACCGGACTGGTTCGGGGCGAGATTCTGGCCGGTGGGCGTCACGACCTCAAAGTAGGCAGCAAAGGTGCTCTTCGGGGTGAGAGAGCAAATCTTCCAGGCAGATGTCTGGCCGATACCGATCTCAGTCTCGCCAACAGAAGCGGACTTTTTGTTGGCAGAAATGACGTGCCCAATGACACCAGAGACCTTGAGCTCCTTCGTGGTCTACAAAAACCATCAGTCGAGTAAATCAGACAATCGTTGTACGCACAGTAATGTCAAGAGTTGCATTGAAGCCCATCTTGAGGTAGCCCTGGTCATCTTTACTCAGGGTCCTCAGGAAACTCTGCTTGAAGATGGCAGTCATGAACGAATCCGAAATGACCATGAAGCCATTCGTCGCGTTCGTCAACGACTTCATCTCCAACAGACCGACTTGATCGAGACAGCCCGCGTAAATGTCAATGGCGTGACCATTGACTGATGCTCGCTTGGAGAGACCTTCGTAAAACTTGGTGGCGCGCTTAAAGTGCTTGACGCTGTCACGGTCAATGTCGTGGTGGGATCGGATAGGCTCTCGAAGCTCGGGGCCAACGACAAGACCCGGTCCGTCGGTGGCAGCACCGCCAGCAAAGAGCTGGATCCTAGCACCAGTGTTTGGGAACGCAGTCTACTACATGTAAGCATCGCCCCCTGACTGTCGCGCCAGACTCACCTCGAGCAAAGAAACGGCCACGCTCAAGGCCACACCAGTGCACCTCAAAGGCCTCTTGTTCTGGTCCACAGGCCAGGGGTCCCTCTGGAGCTGCTCCAAAATGTTGGTGAGCTGGAACTCGCAAGCCTGGACGGGCATGAGGAACTTGGAGGCGGCGTTGACGGGGATGGGCTGGCCGGGGCGCATGGGCTGCATGGGCCTGGAGGGGTTGAGGCCGAGCATGTCGGCGATCTGCTTGGGCTGGTAGTCCTTGGAGCCACGGAAGACGTAGGCTTTGGGGCAGTCGGGGTAGGCGAGCTCGTGAACCATGGTCTAAAGTACTGTCAGCCTGAGCTTTGCTGACCAGTCTCGAAACGCACCATGGTACCAAATGTGATCAAGCCGACAAGGGCATTAGGAGGCAACAATGACAAGCTCGTGATGATGGTCTCCTTCAAGGCCTTCAACTCGTCCTCGTCGAGACAAGTGTCAATGACATACAGGAAGACGGGCGGAACCTGGGCGGTACGCGAGAGGATGTACTCGATGGTGGTGAACCCAGGCTGGAGCTCTGTGGGCAAGTTGGACGGGGAGAGGTCGTGGTGGTACTGAGGCGGGAAAGGGTTTCGCTGGAGACAGAAGGGGCAGATCCACATCTTGCCTCGGACGTCGACTTGGCTGCGACGAGTCAGCCTCTCCCGCGTCGCGGTCGGATACTACTCACCAGTAGGGGTTCAAGATGGCCTTGCAGGAGGTTCCCTTACAAGTCACGGGCTCATACGCGACAGGAGGTATCTCCTCGCGCTCCTTCATGGGGGTATAGAGGGCGGAGATGGGGACAACGGTACGGGTAGCCTCGAGCCTGCTGGAAGGCCACACATTCCACGAAAGTCGGAGACCTGCGCAGGTCAGCATTCGTCCTCGCTCGTTTGACGCATCAGCATACCGTTCTGGTCCTCGTAGTCCTCGAAACTCATGCTGGCGGATGTATCTGCTAGATGGGAGATAGAGGGGAGACGAGATGAAAGAGGTCATAGGCGGGGCCGTCGATGTGGAAGCGGTATCCGCCGAAACGCCAACGTATTTGATCCCGTCCAGCGAGTGTGGCACTTTGCTGGGCCCTCTTTCAGCACCGTTCATGAACCGGAATGCGCCTGAAGCGAGTGGGTAGCGTGGGATACTGACTGTTCGGGCTGTTTTATACCATAAGTCTAAAGCAGGCACGCTATGAGCGCCAAGAAGGGTCAAGCCCACTTGAGAAGGCTGCCAACGTTGAGGGATTTCGTCCGGTTTGAACGTGGCCGGCAGTCGCTGTGGCTGGGTAAGCAGAAATAGGGCATATGCTAATTCGGCGATGCAGCCAATAACACTGGATCATTATATACATGTCATTCATACTACGTGATCACATTACTGGACAACAGTCCTCTGTTCCGTCTTCAACCTCTCTCCTCGCAACCTCCCTTCGGAAGAATGGGATGACCCGTCGACAACCCAATCCACCACCTCCGTAGCGCCATTCCATGATACCCACAGGTCATACCCATCGGTGGATGTATTAAATTCTGCGACAAGCGCAGGCTGGGTCTTGGGGTATCCTTTCCACTGGAATCGCTGACGGAATGGAATGTTTGGGCAGGGGAGGGACCAAGAGCGCCAGAGCTGTAGAGTGAGCTGTTGACGAGATACCCGTGCGCTGACTGGTGGACGGTGCCGAATATGAGGAGAGCGAGGATGAAGGACATGGCGGTGAATGGGGTTCATGAGGGTCATGCTGGGAATATATGATTAGACAAAGGTGAGCTAGTGCGGAGCGCCGAGCACGAATGAGGCCAGATGGAGATGACGAAAGATGGTGTCGATGGGTGTGATTGCTTGCCAAGACAGAAGCAGACATGGTAGACAACAACTAGAATGATAGAGCCAAGTGTCATTGTGTGTTGACAGCCTATGCAGCTCAGATACCCATATAGACAGTGCATGTGACACTCAGTCCACCTTGACCTTTTCTTCCTCTACCAACTGCCCCCAGACCTCCTTTCCACCCCCAAAGTTGTACACTGCTCGCAACGCAAACACCACACTAAGTCCCACCATACAAACCACCACCGCCTCATACTCTGCCCACCTCAACCCAAACTCCCACCCCTGCACCGGCCCAATCAAGCTCAAAAACACTGCAGGCACGACCACCGGCGCCCAGGCGTCGACCATGAGCCAGCCCCATGGTTTGAGCTCGTCTGGGGTGGAGAGATGGGGTGTGGGGGTGAAGAAGGAGGTGGCGGAGAAGATGAGGGAGGCGAAGGGGACAGCGAGGATGAAGGGGACGAGCAGGAGGGAGGCGGGTGTGGGCGGAAGGGCTTTGGGAGAGGTAGATGCGAGGAGGGGAAGGACGGAGAAGCGTGTGAGGAGGAGCGTTCTTCCGATGGCATCTGGCGTAGCGAGAAGGATCTCCAAGAGGAAGGAGGGCTTGCTAGGGAGAAGATGGATGAATGGTGTCCGGGTTTGCAAGAGATCTATCGTATGGTCAGGGCTCGGTTCAGTGTATCGAAATGATAATGCACGCACGGATGAGACCAAAGAGAAGGGCATAGCTGGGGTTCACCAGCCATGAGGGACTTGTATTGGTAGACATGGCTGGCACAGTGGTTAGCGATATACTTGTACGAGGGTATGTAGATATGGCGGCTTACCAAGAAACGTCTCTCCGCCAAAGACGACGACCATGATCCCCGCAACCTCCTGCAGTGCACTGGGCCTCGCCCTCTTCGCCACCTGCCCCTTCCCCCTCTTTCCCTTCGCACCCTTGGGCGGGGAAGCAGGGGGCCCGAAGGCACCACTGGCTATCCAGTTGACGACGCTGGACAGCCGCATGGCGCCGTATAGATCTATGAGCGGGAAGGGGCAGTAGAGGGGGTGTACAGGGGCGAGGAGGGGCTGGAGGGTGGCGTGTGCCACCGCGATGGATGCGTCCATGGAGAGTGATGGGAGATAAGACAACAACAACAATTAATACAGCGAGATAGGCCTCAAGTCACGTGGCCTCGGTGTCTACTCAAAGTCGATGGAGGATATTCCCGTGCATCCAGCGTGCATCGCTCTCTTGCATCTCCATCTCATCGCAGCAAGCACAAGCATGTCCAACTTTGTCAAGACTGGCCGAAAAGTGAGCAGCGCGGGGAAAGCAACCGTCATTGACGCGTGAATCAGATCGTCGCCATTGGTCGCAACTATGCCGACCACGCCAAGGAGCTCGGTAACGCTGTTCCCAAGGGTGTGTCGTATGGAGGGGGTAAAAGCGCAGTACTGATATGGGATTCAAGAACCATTCTTCTTCTTGAAGCCCACCTCTTCCTACCTCGTCGCCGGCTCCGGTCCGGTCGAGATTCCTCACAATGTCAAGATGCACCACGAAGGTGCGTCTTGCGCAAAGGTTCGAGGGATATACTGACGGATACAGTCGAGCTCGGTGTGGTGATTGGCAAAGACGGCCGTGATATCCCCGCCTCTGCCGCTCTCGACCATATCGCTGGTTACAGTACGTCCCTTCATCTCTCCTACGAGTGTCAGGCTGAGTCGAACAGCTCTTGCGCTCGATATGACTGCTCGTAACATTCAAGACAAGGTCAAGAGTAAAGGTCTGCCATGGTCTACCGCCAAGGGCTTTGACACTTTCACCCCCGTCGGGTACGCCCTTTCCTTCCCTACTCGAGACCCGCTGATAGCCTTCAGCCCCTTTATCCCGAAACATTTCCTCCCTGATTTGGCCCAAGTCGGCCTTCACTTTACCGTCAACGGCACTGTCAAGCAATCCGGCATCACCGCCGACATGATTTTCGACATTCCCCACCTCATCTCTTTCGTCTCGTCCATCATGCGTCTTGAAGAAGGCGATTTGCTCTTGACGGGTACGCCAAAGGGTGTGGGACAGATTGTGGGAGGGGAAACGTTTGCGGCCAAGCTGACTTATCCCGGAGTGGATGGGGAGGTGATTAGTGAGTATGAGGGGCAGGCTGTGGATAGGGTCGGAGGGTATCAATTTGAAGAATAAGCTCGGCATGAACTTTTTGTGACAAGCCGAAACGAGTGATGCCGCAACTAATTCATAGGGTATCGAGAGAGGCATATTGTAAAAGTAGGAAACATTTTGGTTACTGATATATAACATCTATAGACAAAGGTCGTCCCGAAATCGTCAACAGGTCGTCAAGGAAGAGATATTAAGTGTGATGATAAAGGGTATATATATATATAAAGTAAGGTGGTGATATATCGTGCAAGGGTCGTACAACGTCGTCAAGAGAGGAGGAAAGAAACATGCTATTCGCGACAAGCTCGCAAAAGGTGAAACCAAGAAATCAAGAGAGAAGACACAAAATGTGAAACTAGATCATCTGCCCATACCTCCACTCCATCGGGAGACTCTTCCTCCCAGGCAGCTTTCCCGACCCCGCACTGCCCACGCTGCTCCCGCTCTTCGCGCTCCTCGCGCTCTTGACCGACCTTCCACTCTCGGGCGTCTGGCTCCTCGCAAGACAAGTGAGGAAAGAATGGTCGCCTTCCAGCGGACTGGACGAAAGCTCGGCAGCCTCGCGGCGCTTGGGCAGCTGCGAGTGGGGGTGGGCTCGAGAAGGCTTGCGAGGCGCATACGGCGCAGCGCTGCGCTTGGTCTTCTTCTCGGGGGTGTTGATGTCGCGCGCAGAAGGAAAACGGAGGGAGCGGGACTCAAAGTCGTCACTGTCAGAGACGGGCGAAGTGAGAGAGCAGGTGGTGACGGCTTCGCCGCACGAGGTGAGGAGCTCTTCGAGGGCAGAGGCGAGGTCGACGGTGGCAGTCGGGGACTGGCGCTTCTGAGTGCTGCGACCGAGGCTTGAAAAGGTAGGTGTGGTGGGCGTTTGGAAAGTAGAGTGCACGCGCTGGGTGGTCCACTGCTCGGCAGGGACGATGGGGAGGGCAGGCATGAGGCTGCTGGTGGTCGATACCGAGCTGAGAGGTGTGAGGAGCTCGACGTCGGCGACGGTGCTCGTGGCGCTCCCGGGGAACCCAGAGAGGGTAGGGGTGGCGGCAGCCGAGGGAGGCAGGCTGAAGCGGGTGGTCAAGGTGAGAGGAGGCGGCGCTCGACGAGCCCGAGAGATGCCCTTGGCAAAAGGTGTAAAGCTGGGCTGGCTGGGAGCGTCGACCATCTCAAATTCGTCGTCTACCTTGTCCTCGAGAGGAATAGTAGACCAGGAAGCAAACGGGTCTTCACCCTCCATACCGAGGTGGGGCGTGACGATCTGCCTCTCTTCAGACCCGTCGCTCGACCAAGAGAATCGACGTTGGGCGTCGCGGGGCTCGGGGCTGAGACTGGGAGTCTGGAGGATGGAGAGGTCGGCGTCCGTCATGGACTCGTCGCAAGACATGTCGCTGTCGAACGAGAGGTCGGCGGGAACCTCTGGGATCTCGGAGACGGTAAAGAGGCCGCACTGGGAGGGCTCCTTCATGGGGATGTGGCGGCCATTCTTCCTGGCGGGCTGCTTGGGCGGGCAGGGCGCTGAGCGGTGGGGTGCAGTGGGCGAGATGGGGATGAGGGACGTGTGGAAGAGAAAGTCCTCGGTGGAGGCGGCGGTGGTGGCCGCTGGGAAGGAAAAGGTGAACGCCATGTCTCTATGCAGGGAGCAGGGTGAGCGAGGTTCGAGGGAGTGAGGGAGATGCTTACAGGATGGATGAGATGGTGCGAGACGGGGTGGGATTATAGGGACAGAGAAAGAGTGTGGGTATTATATAGGGCGGGGGAACAATGGGCAGGGAACAATGGAAAACAGAACAACAAGAAAGTCTGTGGCGCGGGCAAGGTCTATTGTTTTCTGTTATATACCCCGTGCTGCCCCCTCGGGGGAAAAACAAACGGCTTTGCGTCGGAGCAGAGCCGGGTTCCTGTCAGCTGGGCGGAAAGTAGTGCAGGCCGTTGCGAGGGAGAGAAATCCTTCACGACCCACCAGAGAGGCCCCCGCGCAAGGCACACAGGGAGCCTCCTCCATAGCCTCCGAGGCCCGTGCGTCCGCCCAATAAGGCAATCACCTCCTCGCAGCTGCCCGCCTCGCATGGGCGCACACAGCTAATATGCAGTACCATGCAGCAGAGGGAGAGGAGAGAAGAGGGCGCTCACTTGCCCGTTGGTTGGTTCACTCCGCCACGCTCGTCTCGCGCAGAGTTCTCTCTGTCTCGCAGTATCGGCCTTGTTCTGTCTCGCAGTATCGGCCTTGTTCTGTCTCGCAGTATCGGCCTTGTTGCACTTGAAGCACGCCTTCTAGACCAGGGATTTCCCCATTGGAGTACCTCCGAGGTATTTGCCTATCGGAAGATGCTTGAGCCGACGAACAGCTAGCAGAAACCATAATAAAGATCCTCTGCCCTCATGGGCTGCCCGGACCAAATGCCTCTATTGACATGCCATCGCGCATCGCGTCGCACATTGTGTCATCTCATTAAAAAGCACCGCGGAGCGACGCGTCCTGGCTCGTCGTACTAATAGAGAATAACTCCGGTCATTTGTATTATGTATACGTACACTCAGATCGCTCAGGATGGATTAGATTGATCACTTGTTTTGCCATATCGCTCTCGAGCAATGCAAGAGGCCCAAGAGACCCTTGTCTAGCCTTAACCCTTACCCATCTATCGCGTTTGGCCATGCAACGCTTGCAAATACATCCGAGGTGACCGCCCATGGACATTCGCACCACCACGTAACTTGGTGCATCCCATAGCATTGCTGCCGACTCTACGAGTATACAAGCGTAGTGCCTGCGCCGGTTTAGTTCAGCGTGGACGTCCTTCTTGCCGCATCCCGGGCGCTAAGCTCTTTTCCCGGCCCCACCGGCCACTGCCCACAGTCCCCCTCGCGACCCCCTTGACCCCTCTTGCAGCAGATTGCATGGCCTGTGCATAGATGAGTAATATGTCTCGCGCGGTCTCGCGGTGTTTGAGCGCATGCCATGATTGTGCTAATGACAGAGGAGTCGTCGTCCAGCGCCCAGCGCTCCACTGCGGCACAGGATTAGCGTATAGCATCAGCCCACCGAGAGATCAAAGGGAGGTATGTCCCTCGACCCACAGAGCCTGTTTGTGTATGCAGGCTGTGTCTGTATGAAACGGGGGACACCGCCTTGAGAGATTCAGGACGTGTTGGGCCACTCTTCGCGTGCAGAACTGCAGATTGGGGGGCTGTATGGAGGCCGTGGTGGGATGGGAGTGAAAGGTTGAGAGAAGAGTTGTTTATCTTCCTTTGAAACTGAAATCCCATCGATTGGGGGAAGAGACCCTGGTATTCAGCGGTAGCAGGGCCATGGGGTGATCTCGCTCCCAGCAACCGGCAACGTACGCCTCTGCGCGACAAGAAATCAAGCGCGTCGCGTACGCGTCCCCTTCACTTGCCAATCCCCTTGCCGAGGGACTGCCGGCTCCACTGATCATGTCAACAACACTCTCGCAATGTTTACGCGTTCGAGGGACCATCAATCGAGACCCTGCATGTGATCTGATGCCACTGCCCGAGAAAGGATGGGCTAAAAAAAAAAGTCAATCAGCTCCTGCAGCACACAGGCGGATCAACTGCACTTGTTGACATTTCTCGCGAGTCCTGCAGGGAGAGAGAATATTCCAGGAGGGTAACCGAAGAATGCCCACTCGAACGCGGATAGGGGGGATGGGGCCAGGGAGGTTGTCCGCGTTGATTGTGGCGGTTTCTTTCAAGTGTTTGTTAGGGCGTTGACGATCGAGGATGGCACTGATGGTCTCTTGGTCACTGAGACCACTGGTGAGACCTTCGATAGGGCGAAGGGCGAGTGAATGTTGATATGAAGATTGATCGTTCAGACGCAGCTCGCTCACGTTAGCAATTAGACCTGATCGTTGTGTTGCCCCCGCCACATTTCCAGCCTCCCCTCCAATTTGCCCCTCTCCCCTTCAATTTATCTCTTGCAGGTCATTACATACACATCATATGCACATCTATTCCTCAGCATCAGAGTCCTCTTCACCCCCGTCCACAACCACCACACCACCGCCCTTCTTGATCTCTCCCAACTCTCGTCCATGTCGCCTCAACCTATCGCCAAACGCCTTTCGCGCACCAGCATTGCTCGCCGCATCCCACACCTGCAACTGCGCCTTGCTGCCCGCAGCCGCCAACGCAAGCGGTGTCTCTGCATCAGGCGACCACTTGGCAGTGAAAATCTTGCCCAAACCCAAATCACGCGAAGTCGCCAGACTGATCTCTCGTTTCTTGCCAGCGATACCTTCCGTCTCGGCATCCTGAATGTTCCAAATCTTGACAGTCTTGTCCATACCGCCAGTGAGGATACAGCCGCGGATATGCGGGTTGACGTCGAGCGCCGAGGCGGGGCCGTCGTGCGCGGAAAGAGTGTATTTAGGCTGGGCGGTGGTGAGGAAGCCGGACGACTTGGGGGAGGATGTGGTGAGAGGAGAGGATTTGGCGGAAGAGAGGGTTCGCGAGTCGTAGCACAGTACGAGACCGTTTTCAAGCGAGACCTGGCAAAGTGTCAAGTCTCATCTCGAGTCGTTGCTCCAAGTACTCACAAAGAAGGAGAATGGCTCCCAAGGGTCCCACCTGATGCACTCGACATCACTTCCGACTTGCACTCCAATAGCCTCGTCCACCGATCTAATGTCCCACACCTTGACAGTCCTGTCGTACCCCGCGCTCAGGCACACCTTGTCCAACCCGCTCTCGGTACTCCTGTTCCACTCGACAGCCTGCACCTTCTCCCCACCGTGCACCTTGTCCCAGCTCCGCATAGCAGGCATGGGCGATTCCCGCGTAAGGTCCCAGAGCTTGACAGTACCGTCGGCAGAACCAGACAGGAGCAAATTACGGTGGTTGGGCGTCCAGGAGAGGGAAAGGACGGGCTGGACGTGGTGCTCGTCATTCGCAGTAGGCTGGACCATCTGCTTCTTCTTCTTTTTGCCGGTACCGGCGGGCTTCGCTTCGGGCTTTTCGAGCGAGGGGGAGGGGCCGAGAATGGCACTGGGGTAGAGACCGTCGACGAGGTCGGCATCCCAGATCTCGATAGACGGGTCGAACGAACTGACAGCGACATAGTTGCCTGGCTTGGCGCCTTCGCTGGCTTGAGGACCAGGAGCAAAGTCGAGCCACTCGACAGAGAGAGGGAAGGCGGGGAGCATCAGGTCGTGATGGGCGTACAGGTTTTCCTCAGCGTCAGAGTAGACGTGGAAATCAAGAGACGAGAGATCGGATGTGGTTCGGGAGGTGATGATCATAGAGTCGGTAGGGTCCACAGTGAGCTCCTCCTCTTCTATCGCATCGTCATCCTGATACATGTCAGCTTGGTAAAAATGGATTGTGACGAGACGCACCTCTTTCAGGGTGATATAGGGGTCTTCCTCGTTATTTTGGTAGTATGCCAGGCCCTTGACGTTGGCAAACGCACCCATAGCTGTACTTTATCAGCGCGATACGCTTTCAATTGATGTACTACTCACCAACACCACCAGAGACCTCTTCGTCGTACTGGTCCATCTTGAAAGCCGACATGTCACTGGGGTCGAAAGGCTTGCCGTCTTCGTCCATCTTCTCATCCTCGTCCTCCTCTTCCTCGCTATCCTTCTCATCCTCATCATCCTCTTCAGCATCTTCATCCTCCCAGTCCCCCTCTTCATCGCCTCCCTCAGCCCCGGCCTTCTCCAAAGCAGCCATCTCCTCCTTCAGCTTCTCCAACACGCCCGGCCCACCGAGCTTGCCTACTCGCTCAATCTCATCGTCGTCCAGTTGGTACTTTTTGGGCTTGACGGCAGCCCGGCCTCTTGGGACCCATGTCAGGGCTGAAATAAGGGTACCGGACATGGTTTTTGGGTGTTGCAAGGAGGAAAACCTTTGCGTTTGACGCTGGACCATCGATGCCCGTCTTGAAATTCTTGAAGCCAGGAACGATGGCCATCTTTTATAGTCCCTCCATTTTAGATTGACCGAGAGTTGTTGACCTTCTTTCGCGGCCGCCCAAGAACCTCTTTCTGCATCATTCTGAGGTATTCATGTGTTGTCTATACATACGGCAGAATCAGCGATCGTGTCTCGCGGAAATATTGCGATGCACAAGCAGGCCGACGATAGTACCTGAGCGTGGGACTCTTCTTCACTGAACGTAGGCTTCGCGCTTTCAGATACGACCTTCATATACCATCTTGTTATATGGCTACTCGCCTTGGTAATGATAATGTACTGGCTTGTCAAAGCTGTGGCAGTGGGTCTGCCTTACTACAAGTCAGTCATTCGTCCTTCGGGAGAGGACTCGCAGGAGCCGGGAATGATCATGGGAGCAGAAAGCGATATCGCTCTTGTGCACCGACTTGCTCCCTCTCATGCCCCGTCAGGCATACGCATACCCTGGCGTCCCTATTGACGGTGCGCCCTCCCGAGACAGCCATGACGGCGAAATCATCTGACCTTGCGGCCAACATCATCATCATTTCCTCGCGGCGGAGGTGGCCGAAGAGTGTCCTCCACCACCCTCGTCTGATAGCAAAGAAAGCCATTCACCACCCCAGACCCGCCGCTCCAGCACACGACTCACAGATGACTCCCAGGCCCCTCACATAATGCCCACCAACTCCCGCTACCCCGCGGGCACGAATCCCTACGCCCCCTCGGCCGCCTCAAAACACCCTGCGAGCACAAGAGGACACCGACCGGCAGGTTCGAAGGCCCCATCGCAGCACCAGTCGCAACAGATACTGCCAGTCAGGAAACACATTGTGGAGGACGCAGAGGTGGAAGAGTTTGAGCCCCCGAGATGGCGCACAGTGATGCACAAGAAGGTCGACTTTGGCAAGTTCCGAAATAGCACGGTCCTTAGTGGTAGGGCTGATACAATCACCACAGGGTACCCCGATTTCTACCCCTCACGGCCTGGCTTTGATCAAAGAGAGGATGTCCTGACGGAAGAGAATGTCAAGAATGGGTTCGCGGCCAAGCTCTTTATCTCTGAAGCAGTAAGTCGTAATGAGACACGAAGCAGACTTGAGCTCAGAGTTGATTGCAGGCTGAAACATTCTCAATGCATGGACCCATACACCAACATCTCACCAATGGATGTCTAAATATGCTTGTTCAGCTCGGCAAGGAGGTCATCCAAAAGCAAGAAGATACACTACCCCAGTTCACGTGAGTTCTTTTGGCTGAGGGGCGACACACTGATAGAGTTGTAGAGACCGTTCCTTTCGAATCCCGGTGCGAGTTGTCTGGAACGACTCGAAGCGCCTCGCATTCTTGTCCGACCTCGCAAATCCACAAATCCCCCTCCATCGTCTCATGCTCGGCCAAGTACCTCACGGTTTCAAGGGAATCGAGCTATTGGATGCCATGTACTCTCCTTCAACGAGTGGAGGCCACAATCGCCCATCGGCAGGCGCTTCTCAAACGTTGAGCGAGCCTATACCTGTAGAAAGAGCAGTGTGGTTCATCCGAGTACTGGGGGCGAACGAGATCACGGCGCATAGGGCGAGAACGCACCAGACGGCCGCTGCTTCGGTGACTGTGTTTTCCCCAGTCGCCGCGACGCCCAGCTCTACCAATACTATAAACACTCCACCTAGCCTTCCACAAGGTAGCAACGACTGGTATACACAAGAGTTTACCAACATCATTATAACCTGGCTCAGAGGCCAACTTGCGCAACTAGCATTGCCCAACACAGGCAAGGCGCCTGCGAAACCCAATACAAACGTCAAGTCTGGGGGTGGTGTTCTCCAAGACGCAAAGACCAGGGCAAGATGGGTTTCCAAATGGGATTATAGGTTGGTCCTAAAGCGAAAATACTTGTCCATATGCTGATGGCCCGATAGTAATCGACTTCTTGGCGAGCTGGACACCAAACAACTTCTTTCTACTCGCCTCTTTGCAGGCTGGCTATCCGAACATCTTTCCCACGTAAACCTCGCACAGCTCGGATTCTTGCTCCAGGTAATCTCGAAACATCTCCTGGATATCAGCAAACACCAGTCTAGCGCCAGGCATTGCCTGAGGGCGGCTTGTGAAAAGTTGAAAGAATTGAGAGGCTCCCCAGGAAAGGATCTTTTGGGAAAGGTGGATCAGGCTCTGGTGGATATAATCAAGGTGAGGATGGTGCTCGCCATATGGTCCCAAGCTCATACGTGACAGACACTGTACACGGCCGATTCTGATGTGCTCTTGAGTCCTGCGACATGGTTTCAACACTCTGCTCTGCTTTCAAGTATCATCTCGCCATCTTCACTACAATGGGACGACTTGCAAAGACGCAATCAATCATTGATGTTTACCCCTTCAGCCGCCGAAACGTCGTCCAGTCCCCGGCGGCAACAGATGGAAGAAATACGGGTACGTTGCATGCTTTATCTACTACAAGCCTACTGACACTTTGGTAGAAACTCGATTCCATCTGCGAAAACACAGATATGGTTGCCCTTGCCAATTCGTATTTTGATTCGTCCTCTTCGGCTTGCCATTTCCCTCTCGACCTACCAAAGATTGAAGAAAAAGTCTTCAATCTACTCAATTGGTCTATGGGTCAGTTTCAGCTTGGTGCTCATCGCCCCTATGCGGTCTACACCCTCCTCAAACACTGGTATGATCAGCATGAAAATTACCAAAATCGACAAAGCCGGCCCCAGATGGTCGACCTATTCGATGTGGTTTACAAGTGGATGGACACATCGTCTGCCGCCAAAGACGAAGACAACGTGCAAGCCATCGGCATTACGGTGGGCGAACTCACAAGACGAGGCATGTTTTCCTATGGAAGATATCTACAAAATCTCATCGCCAATGGGTATACGGCACGGCATCAAAGGCCAGATGGCTCGTGTGTATCTCATCACTTGGCTTTGCTCAGAGTCTTGCCGATATTCGTAATGGCAAAAGATCTTTTGCAGCAAAGAAGAATATCATTGAACGGGGACAGTTTGGACGCAAGAAAGCAAGATGAGGAGGAAGAGGAGAGGATGATCGAGATTCATCGGGAGCAGATCAAAGAATACGTGCCGGAAGCGTTTGGACTGGGTAACTATATCCCCCATACAAACTTGTATGTTCGCTCACACTTCATAGCATCTTATGGACAGAGCGACCAGCTCAAAGCCCAAGTCGATTATCACCTTCCTTCTTCAACTCAGATGACTCGGTATCTCTACGTTTATTCTAGGTTTCTCACCGCTCATAAAGCCGGTGGGATCCTCAAGGCGCACGATGGCCAGCCCGCCATGTCGGCGTCCGTATTCGCTCGCGTGACGCAAGTCTTTCGCCAGAGCCGCGGATATGCCACCATCGCGGATTTTATCATCCGTGCCCTGCAGGAGGCCGAAGATCCCCAAATATTGGATGTCATCATCGACATCATCCACCGGGATGCGGATGTGTGGACTGCTATGGATTTCTGGCCAAGGCTGGGAGACAAGTTGCTGGACAAGTATCATATGCTGGAAAGAGAGGGGAAGGATCACGAGAGATTGGTCGATCTATTACGGGAATTGGCAGTGAAGGGCAAGCTCAATGAAGAGGAGGAAGATGAAGTGAAGCACTTGCCAGTAAACCCCTCACAGGTAGGCGCTTCCATGTTTGCTCAACCTTCAGTCGCTGATGTGAAAAAATAGTCATCAAACGTGCAGAAAAGTGAAGCGCCCATAGCCGATGCTCTTGAAGCTTTACCGCATGTGCTTTCAACGAATAAGGACGCATTGGCTGTCTCAGTGGTCCCTGCCTTGTTTGCTCAGAATGGCGATTTCGACTTATGGTCCTCCACATGGTGGGCTACCATTGTCGATGTCATCCTCAGAGCCACAGTCGACCAGAGGTCTACGTTGAATGGCACGCTCGCGCTACACGTGTCATCAGTCCACGCACAATACGGGCATTCGTTCGATAATTGCGTCTCCGGTTGGTTATCTGGCATGACGCCGATCGCACGCCTTGATGTGTTCGGCAAAAAGTCCAGCGAGATCATCACGCGCCTTTTGCTATTTCTCGTGTCACAAAGATATCTCAGCACTATGGTTTTACTTGAGGGAATGGTCTTTCCCATCTGGAAGCAGACGTCAGCATTTGCACTGCCGCCTCGCAAACGGCTGTCTTCCAAGATGATCCAGGCCATCTCCTCATCGATGGATGTTCTTGCTCAGCTTCTGGTATCGCCCCCTCTGAGTCCCACTCTGCCTCCGCTTTCAATCGAAGAGTCGATCATCACACAAGCTTCTCGACAACGTGTTCTCCAACCTCCCAACGTCATATCCCTCATACAAAACCTCCCTGTTCTCGTGGTCTTTTCACAGAGCCGCCTTCTCCCCGAGGATATGTCGGCCAAGATAGACGATTGTCTCAAAAGGCTGGGTGGGACAGCAGAGTTCAAAACCGCTGCTTTTAGGAATCTCAGTGTCTTGAAAGATGCTTTCCTGGCGAGAGAGTGGAGCGAACCGGGCATGGAGCAAGAGCTGGAGGGGAGAATGGTAGATGCGCTAAAAATGATCATGTCAGAGAATACTTTGCGTGAGTTGAAGCCTGGAAATGCAATTTTTTTTGCTAACGATGAGATGTCAGAATCGTCACCGAAAGGCAGTCTACCAGAATACGACAGCTCAACCCGTTTCAGCGCTTGGCGGTGGACCCGCGTCGTTCTGGAGATGCGAGTAGAGTTCAAGACTCTCGCTGCACGTATCAAGGCTCCGGAAACGACAGCGAAAGAAGTACAAGAGGCCAGGCAAACACTCAACCAGCTCGTCCAGGCTACGCTCGAGAGGGAGACCAACGCTGAGGATGTCGACTTGCTGGCTGAAGTGTTCAAGGGAGTTGATTGTGTGGTCACGCAAGAGGTATGTCACCTCAAGCTGTATACGCCTGAAGCTCACACATTGTTCTAGATTCTGGCTGCTGGCATGGACAAACTAGCTTCATTATTGGGCCAGGCAATCGGCGCCGAGACGGAAACACAGCTAGAAGCCGCCGTCAAGGTCATTGATCAGCTCCTTCGTCTTCTCCAAAGCACAACTTCTTATCTCTCGACGTCTGGTACACCCCAATCCCTCCTCGACCCCTCAATCCACTCATCTAGACACAAGCTGCTGGACCTTCTCGCCCTTGCCCTGCAGAGCGTCGAAAGGCACTTTTCGACAGATTGGGAGCAGTCTTTGCCGCATGGGATATCTCCGCCGCAGCCTGGAACGCTATTGAAGGTCGTGGTGGAGCTACTCAAGTTTACTCTTGGTACGATGGCTGGTGATGGATCGGCAGGCGGAATGGGGGTCGTAGGGCCAAACTTTGGGCATCTCTCTGTTTGCTTTTTCAGAGCTGTGATGGTAAGCTCTTGCTCGTGGGGCTACCGCAATGACTAACACGATGACTCTGCAGGCTGGACAGCATATCCTCGACGAGAGCAGTGCCAAATCTATGGCGGATATTCTGGCCTATATTGTTGACTGTAAGCAAGTTGACGATATTTCAGTCATGTGTTGACGCTATTCCAGGTACACCTCCGCAATCCCGTTCGGTCTCCCAGGTCTCTCTCCTTGGCGAGACCGTCTCTCCTCACATTCAAAATACCCTCGCTTCGTTCCCCGATCTCACAGCTGCCCTACCGCACCTTTCTCCCGTCCCTCGCTCCATGTCACTGGTCAGCCTTGATGCGTCGGCCGTTGACAACACAAAAGATAGCATCCACATCAACGGAGACGCCTATGACTTGGAGTCTGCGATGCCGCTGGACGATAGGAAATGGGAGATGTTCGACTATCTGGGTCCCAGCAGGAAGGTATGTGGTCCGCAAGACATGTATCTTGCCAGCAATCCTCTGCGAGATCAGTCATCGATTCCGGTCTCGCTCTTCCGCCCTCGTATGACTCGTGACGCGCCCCCAGACTCGGGAGAAGTCCGAGGAAACAAAGACGACGAGCTCCCCGAAGATGGCGAGGTCCCGGCTACGGCTCTTCCGTCTCCTGTGGAAGAAGACCCCGGAAAGGGTAAACCATGGGAGAGATTTGCAAGCGAGAGAAATGTGGGCGATGGTCTGTCTGGTGAGGTCACGGGCGCAAGGCAGCTTGCTACCCGGCTTTTCGCTGTAGTCGACGACATTTCGGGCGAAGGGAGAGGCGAACAAGAGAGCGGAGAGCCCCTAGAGAAGAAGAAGAAGGTGACGATTGGAAGAAAAGAGAAGAAGGGCTCGGGATCGAGCAAAGACCCCATTGCCTTTGATGATGCCAATAGCGAAGAGAGTGGCTCGGAAGCACCTGCGGCCAAGAAATCAAAGACGTCCAAGTCTGCTGCCAGTGCATCCGTCGCTGGATCGGATGCCACTGCGCCTGTCAACGGTGCAGGTGGGTCTGCTACGTTAGGCAAGGCGCCAGCGAGGAAGAGCACGGGCGGAAAGACGACCAGCAAGAAGGCCGCTGCTGGTAAGAATACGAAAGAGGTGACAGAGGACAAACCGAAGGCGAAGAGGAGGAGAAAGTCCGCAATGGATTGATGCCGGATGGATCGGTCGAGATATACCATCGACATAAGTACAAAAACATAGTTGCATGTTATCATCATCATTCCAGTGCCCTTACATGCTGATGAGTGATAAGGAGCGAGCCTAACTCGCTATAATGCCATTTCATTGGGACGTTGACGCTTGGCAAAAAAAGTCAGCCTCAGTACAAAGACACAAAGCAAGGAGCCCGCCTGGCGGGAGATCGAAGATGCCAGTACCTCATAGAGCGCCACATCCTCAAGTTGAGTGACGGCTTCAGCCGCCGGGCCTCCGTCCGCCAGTGTCCGTGATTGGAGGAAAGTGAATATTTTGCCGGGGCGGCCCCAGTGTGCATGCATCTGCTCATGGAGACGTCCTGCTTGTACTACTGGCCATGTGTCTGAGGGGCATGCATGACGATGGACGTAGCCGGGAGAGACAGGCGGTGTTGAAGGGTCTCGTCCAGGCACTGCAGAGAAGCTCAGCGCCCATATTCTCTTTCGCCTCTTATCGAAACCTCTTCCCAAACCTCTTTTTCTCCCTGTCCCCTGTCTCCTCTCCTCCCCTCCTCCCCTCCTCCATCTCCTCCAAGCCCTCTTGTACCCTGAACCCGTTCTCCCTGCTGCCATAGCGTCGCCCATCTCCGATACCTCTCGCTGCACCCTCGCGCTCTCGCCATGGCAGGCACAGCAAAGCGTACTCGTCAACAGGACGAGAACCCGGCGTCGACCTCATCCTGTCCCCCACCCAGCGGCCCCTCTTCTTCCACCCCTACAAGGCAGACCAGCTCGGGTGCTACGCCTACACCTACGCCCCCACGAACGCGTGCCAGTTCTGTCTCGCGTCGACCTGCCACCCGCAACCACCCAAGCAGCGGCTCAAATTCCCCATCGATTTTGACACGGAGCACCAACTCTGCCCTGTCACTATCATCCTCCACCCTGTCATCAGCGCGTGGAGGAAATTTGGCAAATGGGAGCTCGTTTGGTGGTCCCCGGCCCTTTCCAGCCGGTCCCAGCACACGGTCCGCTGGTCCCAGCATGCTCCAGCGAACCCAGTCTACTCCCGTCATTTCGAGCCCATCTCAGATCAAGTCTGCGGCTGGATCTGGTGCCCCTGAACAGCCCCCCAAGGGCGACAGTGACGGCCTAGGTCTGGGTGGGAGGCGCTTTGGCAACGGCAAGGAAAATATTCCACCAAAGAGAGACGAAGAGCGACAAGCAGAGCCGGCCAAGAAGCGCATGCGAGTCACCAGCAGAGGCAGCTACAACGGTGGACGAAGGCAGCGTAGTGGGAGTGTGACCAGTGTCCGCAGTGAGACCACCAGCAGTACGTCGCCGCTACCGTTCCACGCTAATCTTTCGCACTGATACGGATTTTGCATAGGTGGACGGCATTCCTCACTCGCCCCCTCGCTCTCATCTTCATCCTTGGGATCTTGGGGAGGTCGTTTCTCATCGCCTGCACCCTCCGTCGCCTCTTCATCATCCTTCTCTCTTGACGCTGTCAGACCTCTCGATCGCCTCTCCGTCTTGGACAATGAGGACGGCACCACCAACTTTTCGGGGGTCAAGCACCGCCCTATCACTCGGAGCATTGCAACGATGCTCCCTACACCTCCCCCCTCTACTCCCCCTGAAGACGAAGATGTCATACTCGACCCGGGAGATGTTAGCGACACAGAAACCGAGAAGGCGCCCAATAATCCCTATAAGCAATTGAAGGCGTCTCTTCGGTACTCGTCTATCATTGGTGCGTCTGTCGATGACACTATCATAGGCAGGCAGCAGGAGAAGCTTGTGCTCAGAGAGTACCTGGGAGAAGCTAGCGACGAGGACGTAGGAATGTATGTCTCGGGGCCGCCTGGGACTGGCAAAACGGCACTCGTCACGGCTCTGGGCAGGGAGATGGCTGGCGAAGGCTGGAAGGTAGTGGAACTTGTCTGCATGGGCATGAGACCGCAGGATGTATGGAGGACTATCGGTACGGAGCTGGAGTGCGGAAGGACCGAGAAAGAAGTAAAGGAGTTTGTCTCTCGGGAGGATACCAAGGTGTAAGTCTGCTCTCCCGACATACATATCCGCGCTGACTCTCTTCAGTATGATCATCCTCGACGAAGTGGACTCGCTCATGCCTCCACCTCCTGCCACCGCTCCCCCTTCGGTATCTCATCTCCTCGCCAAACTCTTCTCTTTACCCTTGAAGTCTCCCTTCACAAAGCTCGTCGCCATCTCCAACACCCTTGACTTGACTATTCGAGCGAATCTCGTCCTTCCTGACAACCTCCAGCCCACCGTGCTCCCATTCCAAGCCTATGGTCAGCTCGATATGAGCGCCATCGTCAACGCTCGTCTTGCCTCTGCTGGTGTGGAGGCCGTCAAGGTTGATACTACCGCTATCACCCTTTTGGGCAAGAAGGTAGAGGCTCAGAACGGTGACCTTCGCATGTGCCTCGGCGTCCTCATCTCAGGGATCTCCTTGGCCGAGTCTGAGTGGATCAAGAAGATCTCTACCGCCGCCAAAGACCCCGAGCCGAAGCCTGTCACCATGCCCAAAGTCGGAGTCTCTCACGTCATGAAGGCCTTGACCAGCTACACCTCTCGGCTTCGTGCTGCTGCAGGGTCTTCTGCTGGGGCATCATCCGCGGCGGGGAAGAAGATCAAGTCGGTGGGGCTTCAGGGAAAGATGGTGTTGGTTGCCATCTTGGTGTGGATGGTGAGGGTCAAGTCCGGGCTGAATGGATGTCCTTCCGTCAGCGGGTCGGGCTCTTCCACACCTTGTAGTGATATCTCGGCTTCCGCTCTCTACACCGCCTACTCTCATATCCTCTCCCATCACTCGTCCCCTTTCCCTCCAGCCCCCGAGTCAGACTACCGCGACCTCCTATCCAATTTGGAAGTTCTTGGCCTCATCGCCGTTGTTTCCCCTTCCTCTTCCACACGTTCATCTTCACATTCTGGCAACAGAATCAGCTTGATCATGAAGGAGGAGGAAATCAAAGAAGGTCTTGGGCTGGGAGAGGGAACGGCTGCGAAAAGTGCTGTAGGGGAGGAGGAGGTGAGACGGGTTTGGGAAAGGGAGGAGGGCAAGGTTAGGCGTGTCCGGGATAAGATGGCGATGGCAGCGAGCGCGGAAGAGGACTAGATGGCGGGTAGCAGACGTACTCGATTTGTTCCATTTGCGGTCATCGCTTATACCAGAACCCCATTCGATCAGTGATTTGTGGTCTGCTACTGTACTTGTATGCTGCCATTATATATGCGGAGCATGTATGTCTGCATCATTTGCTAAATGCTCATCCGAATACGGATGACTTGCAGAGTTAGTGACTTGTGGCATCTACATCGGTCCTCACGAGAGAGAGCGAGATATCATGGGAGAAGTACATACCTGCAACGCCGCAGAAGGAATTCCGTCCCTTGCCCGTTCCTCGTGGTAGCCGATGATGACCGCCTCGGTCGTCTGTCGATGACCTTTGGAATATGCAAAGGAAAATGCAAGGGTGCGAGTTCATGACTTTGTGCAAGGCGAAATGTGGAATGCATATCAGCATACTCAGCAGGATCATACTTTATCTACTAACTCTGGAGTCCGCTTCCCACTCTCTCTTCCGCCTCCCTCTTGTTGTCTCTGAATACTTCAAGCACCGACTCCATTTCACTCTCCGCTTCTTCCTCGAACTCTTCCAGTGACAGATCAGGATCCTCTCCTATGATCATAGCACGATCAAAGTCTATCAGGTTTATGTCGCCCGAAGGCGTCCGATACCAATGTCTCATTTCAACATCGCCATGAAGAACGCCCACTTTGTGTAGAGCGTGGTACTTTTTGTTATGGTGTTTAGGCGTCATGCAGCGTCTTTGCTGACAGTAGTCTATCAGGCGCATCCTGTAGCTGTGTTTGGGCTTGTTTGAAGCAGTGACAAGGTCTTGAAGGGAGGCGTACTACATCACGTGTACCTGTTCAACGGATTCGTCCGCCTTGATTGTGACCTGCGGCCGTCGTCCCCTGTCTCTCCATTGCCTATGGGAGAGGGAGGAGGGCAAAGTAAGGCATATCAAGAAAATATAGTGGCGATAACGATTGCTGGGGGGTAGATGACATGCAACATACGTGATTGATCCGTTCACGTTCGTCGCTTCTTCGTTCTTATGCAGAAGCTCTATTCGAGCAGTGATCATTTGTGGTCCGCGTATTTGTACTTGTAGTGTACGCAGCCAGATATTCACAGAGAATGTACATCTGTAATCTTCACCAAATCGTCATCCGTAACACGTCATCCGTAACAGTATACATTGTCCGTACTATATTTGTCCATACTAGAAAATGAGGATTGGCCTATAGAAACTGCCTAATTAATGGTTCGGGAAAGAGTCCGTCGTTCTAGAAATCTGTGTCGGCTCATATGGCTCTATATACACATCCGCAACGACCTTCAAAGGAAAAACGATATGATGGGGGAGGAACTAATCGGTGGTCAGTACGTCGTTCAAAATCATGCGCCAGTAATCAAGCTCACTCGATGCTCCGAGCCAGTTCAAAGGCTACTCCTGAGAAGAGCGACCTTCTTGCGGGAGGGCAACTCGAGTCCCTCTGCAGCAGCCTCCTCCAAGATCTCTTCGACCTTCCTTTTCCCCAAAAGAGGGCAAGGGCTACTCTCGGGACTCGCGTTGTACACGGTCAAGGAGGCAGCCCAAGTCTCCTCAGCTTCGAGAGATGCACCTCGCTCCCGACCCTCGGTGTTGTAGTCGGTGATGTTGGAGGCGGGAATGGGGGAGCCTGGGCAGACCCAAGAGTTGACACCATGCTCGAAGCTCTCACGGTCAATGAGACAAGGAGCTCGGAGAGGGTCGATGCCCTCGCAGACGGCGGGAGGGAGAACGAGTTCCTCAACGTCCCAGTCTTCTCCTACGCATAGAACCTCACAGATGGAATCGGGGCTCTCGGTGAACAGGGAGCCAGGCAGCCATTGGGGCAGTACCGAAGACCACAAGGCGTCGGTGGGAGAGATGGTGGCGAGTGGCGACAAGGGGAAGGAGGCAGGCAAAGTCTCGTCGACTATCTTAGTGCTGGTGGTGTTGTAGACGGGTGAGGTAGGGGCGTACACCGGAGAGGCCGGAGAGTATACAGGAGAGGCAGGGGAGTATACAGGCGAGAATCCAGAGAAGGTGGGTGAAGCGGGAGAGTAGATGGGAGACGCTGGGCAGTAGATGGGAGAAGCCGGGCAGTAGACAGGAGACGCTGGGCAGTAGACAGGAGACGCTGGGCAGTAGACAGGCGAAGGGGGGGACCAGGAGGGCAACACCATCTCCTCGGGGTGAACCCTGGGGCTTTCGATCATGGAGTATGTGCTACGCGACGCGAGGTAGGCCTGGTGTAGTACCTCCTCGGGGCCGTAGGTGGGGGCGGGGTCGCCATTGACGACGGGGGAAGCGGCGGGAAGACCGTCGTCGCTCATAGTGTCGTCCTCATCCTCGCTGAGGTAATAGTAATCGGCCTATGGTTAGGTAAGTAAGGCAATGTACGGCCTTGACAGTGTACTCACGGTAATGCCACAGTCGACCATCTTGGCCCTCTCCAGGAGGGCTTCAACATGGGAATAGTTCTGCCTGGGAGGGAAGATAGGGTATCCAAGCTCGTTCAAGGCTAGCTGGCTGGAGCCGGGAGGAATCTGAACGGCAGACATGTTGGTTGGGTGGTGTGGTTTGGTGTTGGGGGTGAGGCTTCCAGTGTGACTGGGATGAGGTTTGGGAAGATGGGGATGAAGTGTGGATGAGAGAAGAGATGAGAATTGCATGGGGACATATATGTGCTCTCGCCACGGATGTCCAGCGGAACAAGGCCATGGAGGCGATATCGACGACGGGATGGAAGGCGGAACACGAACAAGTCAACGAATATTTTGGCAAAGAGCGCGTCGGAGAATTTCGAAATCTTATCTTTACGTCACTGGAATCGGCTCAGGAGGTTCTGCGAATGCCCGAGCAGAGCTGAACATTTACATACACCTTGAAGCTTATGCATAGTCGAGCACCTCCTGAGAGACAGACCTTTGCTTGCATAGTGGCCAGACAGACCCTTCTCAACCTGCTTTCCCGAGCTGGCGGATCTGGCGCCGTGGAGGAAGAGTTACTAACCGTGCCTGGATGTTATTCCGCAAATTCCCTGTTCGGGCAATGCACGATCCTGAAGCCCACCGGTCATGAATGCTTGCGTTCAACGACGCGCAGATGGCAGAGGTGCGTGTCCAGCTGCATGCTTCAAGACTGCTATGGCAAGGCGGTGAGCGAGCGGGCGGTGTCTAGGAAGATATCACACAGGGTACTGTGGAGAAGAAGGGTACAGACAATGGTATTCATGACATGATTTCAGTAAGTATATATTTACTATCAACAACGCTCATTTATATAGTATCGCAGTACGTAGATCAAACAGGGCATAATGTACGGTATATGTAATATATATGGTAAACCTCTCAAACTATACTTAATCGTGACCGAAATCGTCCCGCTTACTCTTCATCCTGTCCAGCCTTTGCCGCTTTGGCCGCCTTTTCCCTCACCCGCCTCACCCTCCCCTCTTCCCTCTCCCACACTTTCTGCACTTCTTCCTCCGCAATACCCTTCTCCTGCCCCTCCCCGAGTCCGAGTCCCTCTCGCACTTCCTCTTCCCGCACGCACAAGACAATCTTGACCATGTTGCCCGCCGCACCTCCCCTGCCTGATGTGGCGGTCTGGGAGATGAGCCCGAGAGACTCGAGGTGGGTGAGCAGGTCAAGGTAATCTGATTGTGCGGCGGGGGAGAAGGGGGAGGTGTTGTGGGAAAGGAGGTAGGAGTAGGTAGCGTACAAGACCGGCGCTGGGATCTCTGGATCGGCCGAAGCAGGGGCGGAAGCAGCCTTCATGGACGGGCATCCATGCAAACCAGCCTTGACGCGAATGAGGTAAACCAGCATAGACATCAACACCATCTTGCCCTGCAGCTGAACCGACTTGACCTTCTTGCCAGTCTCTGACGCCTTTCCGCCCACCGCCGAACCCGCAGAAGCACGGAGCTTCTCCGTGTAAGACGCGAGAGCCTTCATCATGTGGGTGATGGCCACTTTGGTCATGACGACGGGTTTGGAAGGGTCGGGGTTGTGAGACAGCTTCTTGACGTACTCTGCCTCGGCGAGGGAGATGGCAGATCCGAGCACACCGAGACACATTCTCAAGTCGCCGTTCTGGGCCTCAACCTTTTTGCCCAAGAGGGTGATGGTCATGTTGTCCACCTTGACTCCTTCCACAGCAGCAGCAGCGATACGAGTATTCACAATGTTGCTCATGTCTGTCGATCCGTAGGCCTTGAAAGGCAGGACGGAAGGCTGGAGGTTGTTGGGGAGGACAAGACGCGCACGGATGGTGAGATCGAGAGTGTTGGAGATGGCAATCAGTTTGACCAAGGGGTTGGAGTACGGGAGAGAAAATAGCTTGGCCAGCAAGTGAGAGACGGCAGGAGGTGCCTTGGACGGGGGAGGGGGCATGAGAGAGTCGACCTCGTCAAGGATGATGAATCTAGGGACTGTCAGCGCCGTCTCCCGTGTCAATCGAGTCTACTCACGTAGGCGTAGCCTCAGACTTCATATACTCGACGACATCCTTCTCGCTTTTGCCACAACCAAACTCTTCACCCAATCTCTTCCAGACATCTCCAACCTTCAATCCCATACACCCGAGCTCGACGACCTTCCACCCCTGGGCAACACGTTGCCTGCCGAAAGCAGTGACCGACGCAGTCTTTCCCGTACCCGGGGGTCCAGAAACGTACATGCCCACGTCAGTGGTGCTGTCCGTATTGTCCAAGTAAGCACTGATGATGGATTTTTCTTCGTCTCGTCCAATGATGGTGTCATCAAGGGAAGATCCGGAGATCGCCGACAGCCGAAGGGCAGCCTTGAGCTGCTTGTACGCGCCAACCTCTTTTGTGAACCGAGGACCCGCCGAGAGTTCAAAAGGGTCGACATCCATGATGGAAGGCGAAGACGGCGGGGGCGTGAGAAGGCCATGGGCACGGGTGGCACGTGACTTGGTGGGGGTTTCGAGAGGGTCGCTGTCGAATGTGAGACGGTCAAACGACTGGGTGGGAGTGGGAAGGTCGGGGATGGTGGTGGAGAAGGATGCGTCACTGGGAGTAGGAGAAGAAGCGCGTCCCCAGGATGCCATTGACGATGTAGACGGTGCCAATGAGGCGTGTCTCCCATCTGTACGGGCTCAGCGACAAGTCGCGACAGACAAAAAGAACTCACTGTTGGTAGACTCGCTCCTGATACTCGCTACACTTCCACTTCGTCCACGTCCAGAAGCACCCGTGAAACTGCTCATGCTGGTCATTCTGATCCTCTTTCGCGGTCCTTCATCCTCGTCATTTTGCTCGGCTCTCTTGGGCGGGATATTCTCTTTGCCCTTTCCAAACCTCCGCGACTCTCCCAAACCATCCTTCTCTGGCTTTTCACTCTCACCGGCAGGCGCACCGGCCAAGCTTTTGAGAGAACTCGATCCCGCAGACGTAAGGGAGGGCGTCGACTGCGTACGTAACAGCATCGAGGTCCCTGATGAACGCGTCCTAGTGGTCGGAGGGGTCATTGCAAAATTCGTGCCCGTCGTGAAAGGGTTGGATGGAGAGCCCATGTTGGGCAATGAGGATGTTGGCCCGAGTAATGTTGTCCGACGGGGAGGCCTGGCCAAGTCTGAGAGATTGGTAGTGGTAGACTGAGAGCGCGTCAAGATCTGGCGTCGGGACGAGAGACGGGCTGAGGGGGCAGTGGACGGGGTGACCGGGATGTTCTCGACGGGGGCAGCAGCACGCGTGTGAGAGCGAGAGGAGGAGGGGGTGGACGGGGTGGACGATGGAGTGGAGCCATCCTCGGAGCGCGTACGCTTGGGCGAGGGCATGGCGAAAAGGTGCGGAGAGGGGGGGGAGTAGGGGATGGGGAGAGAGGGGGGGGCAGGGGGACAGGCAAGGGGGGGTGGGGAGAAGGGTCGGAGGAAGAGGATGAGAATGAGAAGAGGATGAGAATGGGAAGAGGATGGATGGATGCGATGGAGGGGAATGCAGCGAGGAACGGGATGTCGAGGAAATGGTCAGGGTCGCGTTCTCCCTGAAAGACTCATGTCCCAACACGCGTCGCCGTGCTTTTCTGCGCTACACAGCCCGCCCTCCTATGCATCCCCCTGGGACCACACAGAGGCAGATACTACACCACATCATGGTGTACTCGAGCACACAGATACCATACATGTCCTTACAGAGGCCCGAGAGGATTGAGGAGGCAGGAGACAGGAGGTTTCGAGAGGTGTAACGCGTCTCTTGAACATTAGCAAGTCGCCATTTAAAATCGAGGGTCGCGTTTTGGCAAAGTCAAGTATGTAGCTTTGCCCATGGCCCCTGAGCTGTAGGCTCGGTGCAGCCGCCTCTCCTCCTGGCGTCGGAGCGAGGGGCTTGTGTCGAGCCTACCTGAGCTGTACCAAATCTACAGTCGGTCTTGGAGTATGTACCGCAGGCTGGGTCTCAAGATAGCTCAACTCGACGTCGTCGTCTCAGCTAATAAAGATACCGGTCTATGGACTAGTTCATGCTTCGGTCAGAAGGCCCACTTGAGGGCATAAGACACAGGACATGGACGACCTCGATGAATAGGCAGGAGGTGCATGGCCCATGAGGGACATAGGGCACGCCAGTTGCAGAGGGATGGATGCATGTACGGCAGACGGCAGACGGTGGCGTTTTTTTCGCTCTTCGGGCGCGAGTCCGCGAGTCTGTTGAATTTCTGCGGGCACCCGTTCAATCGATCTAGCCCTTCTCCCGCTGCTGGGTGTGTATGTTTCCAGCAAGATCTAGCCACATTCGTCGTACACCTCTTGGACCAACGTACGTTCGTGAAGCTCATGCGGCTATGGTCGCCAGCTTCTGGTACAGCTCCCACGCCATTTACATCCTCTGCCACAGCCATTTGACTTGGCGTTCAATAACGCAGTGATCAAAGTTCCAAGATATATACAGTAGTATTTCTATCGCGCTAAGCCTATCCATTAGCAGCCATCGGGCATTTGATTGGATTGACTCACGCGGTATACAAAGACACGTTACACGTTAGCCACTTGATTGTTCTCAAGTCTCACAGGCCTCAGGATTAGCAGTTGCTTTTTCGCAGCTCACGGCATGGCCAAGCAGCCGAGGATCCCGAGGACCCGCCCGTGACTTGTAGCTCCTGTTGAGGGTCAAGTCGATTGATATCACTGCACATTGATGTGCCGCCGCTCTGCTGGCTCTGGTGAACCATTTCGTATCACGAGTCCACTTGCAGCTGTAGTAACGGCAGTGGAGGATAGCTGGTTCAGGTGTACATCTTTTTCAAGGCCGAAGAGACGGTCAATTCTTCACGCGCGGTGGTGGTGGGTACCCAGTCATCGGGCGGACGCCGCGGACTCCAGCTGTCCTACCAAAAAGCCCTAATGTATAGCACTCAAAAGTCTCTGTCGATTGCTCCCACCCTCGCTCATGCATCTATCCATGCTCGCACCATCTCATCCCTTGTTCAAGCCACAGATGCTTATCAGTTGGTCCCAGTATAACCGACAAACTTTAAATGCTTATCGCCGTGCCTGGCGAGATCTCTTCTTCTCATTCAACTCTTTCCGCCAGCATGCGTTTAGTTTCCGCTGAAAGTGGCAGGGGATGTTTCCACTCAAGGTGGGACAGGTCCATGCAAGTACAGGTCAAAATGGGGAGCGAAGGCAAAAATCAACTCATCTCTTCTTTCGCCACCACCCGCAAACCAGACTTTTTTTTTTATTCAAAATGTCTTCCACTACACCCATGCCTAGCACCCCCGGTCCCCGGGTTGAGGTTGGCAGCCCCCGAGGCATACCTAAGGCACGCCTCTCTTTGTCTTTGAAGAAATCCCAGTATGAGGCTATCAACGAGAGGCTCCTGGCAGCTCACAAGGAGCACGTTGCACGAGTCAAATCGTCGTTCTCTCGCTTCGCTTGTCTTCAAAGACACTTGTCAGCTGTCAAGTCCAAGGGGAAAAAGCTGAGCAAGAAAACCTCTTGCTCCGTCCTGTCCCCAAGCAGTGATTTCAGTGTCAAAAAGAACGGTATCGTTGAAGAGGGAGAGACTGCCGACCTCGTCAATGATTTTGCTACCAAAATGTCCATTGATGGCGCTAAGCCACCAAAGTCTGAGGTCAGCGAGGTATTGCGAAAAAGGAGCAGCTCTTCTGTGACCCCTGACATGGAGGAATGTGCGAAAAAAATGGCTCGTCTTGGTGAGTGCCCCTGTGATTCCTCTGCGTGCGAGCAGCATTTGACCGTGTTTGCTAGCCATCGCGCACGACGTGCACCACACGCCCTCCACCATTCTTTCCACGGATCTGGATTCTCTCAGCCTTTCGAGTGAGGTGGAAGTGACGGAAGGCGACAAGGGTAGGCGTAGTCGCCGCTCCTCCACTTCTCTTTCCCTCAGGTCCAACATTTCCGCCGCTGAGGAGGACGACGCTCCCGAGAATGAATTCAAGAGCATTCTCTTCTTCTCCAAGCTGCTTGCTGGTAAGCCACAGTCGTCGAGAGTCTCTTCAGCCGGGCTAATGATGGCGATAGGTGAAGTCGACGGATTGACTATCGTTCTCTGACCATCAAGGGTGCGTCGTCTGTATCACAGTAAGGTGCACCATGGAGAATTCCGGAAAAGCGGCGTTACTTGTTTGGCTAGTGGTATTGGCATAGTATGTTACTACCTGGAGATATACCATCAATGAATCCACAAACAACACATCACAGACAGAGTAGTACATGAGCCCCAGAAAAAGTTGTCTAAAAGTTGAAATGATAGCGCGTCCAAGATCAAGCCTGCCCCCTGGATTCAGCCTCCAGCAAAGCCATTGAAACACGAAGCGACTTACCGACATCTTCATCTGGATAGACTTGAGAGGCTTGTAGTCCTCAATGACAAAGTCTTCTACCTTGAACCCGTCGATATCTCCAATCTCCTCCTTGCTCCTCGCCCACTTGATCTTGGGGAATGCTCTCGGTTCCCTCACAAGTTGCTCTTGAAGAGGTTCAATGTGATCCCTGTAGACATGCGCGTCTCCCATCTGCAGGATGAACTCGTGAGGCTCGGTGTCGGTGATCAATGCGATCATATGCGTGAGGAGGGCATAGGAGGCAATATTGAAGGGTACGCCGAGACCGAGGTCACAGGAGCGCTGGTACATCAAGCACGACAGCTTGGGCTTGGATCCCGGCGAGTCTGCCGGTGGGAGGGAGACGAAGAATTGGCAAAACATGTGACAGGGAGGGAGGGCCATGAGTGGGAGGTCTGGGGCTTTGTCAGCTTCTGTGAATACAAGGAACAACGATAATCACCTTTCGGGTTCCAAGCAGACAAGACTATGCGCCTATCGGTAGGATTGTGCTTGATCTTGTGAATCACTTCCTGCAACTGGTCGACACCCTTCCCGGAGTAGTCTCCATCCGCATCCTCGTACGCGGCGCCGAAATGTCTCCATTGGAAACCGTACACCGGCCCGAGATCACCCTCTCTCCTGTGCCCAAGTCCGATCTTCTCCAAGAATTCTTTGCTGCCATTGCCATCCCAGATGTGGATGTCCTGGTCCTGGAGCACCTTCGCGTCGGTACAGCCCGAGACAAACCACAGCAGCTCGGCAATCACACCACGGTGAAAGACGCGTTTGGTGGTAAGAAGGGGAAGAGTGTTGTTGGCGAGGGAGAAGCGGAGGGAGGGAGGGGCAAAGAGGGCGACGGTACCAGTGCCGGTACGGTCGGGACGGGTCTCGCCAGTGGAGATGATACGCGAGATGAGGTCAAGGTATTGGTACTCCTCTGATGGCGACGCGTTAGTCTAGACACTGTGGGTACTATGAGGGCACTTGCCGTGGTCGGGGTTGGCCCTTGCAGGGTTTGATTCGACAGCAGGGTTGGTCATGATCACTGTGAGTCTGGAAAATGGGAGTATGAGGAAAATAAAAGGTTCGCGACGCGTTTATCATGCCACAATCAATAATTCACGCGTCGCGGTTTTGATCCCGAACATGGTGTGCCTGCGGCTTTCACCGTATTCCATCCTCGACTTGAACTCGGATTGAACTCTTGGAAACAACAATGATATACTGTACAGTTACGTGCTGTACAGACTCATCTACGGCGACCGACGTATGTTACGTTCACGTGTACGTTACATTTCTTATGTCATGCGATGGCTGTTGCCCCGTTTGTATTAGTACCGTATCACTTCTTCAAGAGCTCGTTCATATCATCTTCGTTTCTCATATACAACAGCTAAAGCTACAAGATGGTCGGTCAATCTTCCCTTATCATTTTCTCAATGCTATCCCCGGAGCCGGAACGATATTATTGTTCTCCGCCATCCATGCCTTCATACTACAATTCAGTGTCAGTACCTGTCACAAGTTGCCAAACCATTTAGCCAAGCTTACAGCTGTCTGATGGTGGAGACTATCTCGACGGCCTGCCTCTGATTTTCCGCTTCAAACTCATACCTCTTCTGCGTTCCATCCCGCCACACATTAATCTTGAAACCCCCAGCGCGACCGGTAAGTTTACAAGCCGCGACGAGGGAGATGTGGAAGGAGGTAGTCTTCATGGAATCGAAAAAGGCGCGAGACTCGGAGGGCATTATCTGCAAGAATGTCTATCAGCAGGGGAGCAAAGGGGTAAGCTGAGCACTGACGTGGATGTAATCGCCGTCGATGGCAAGGTTGCGCTCGTGGCGACCGATCGCAATCTTTCGTTGCACCGTGAATTTCTGAGGACGGCCGCGTTAGCTTGGAACCGCATGGTAGTGCGAGCACTCGCCTTGTAAGTCTGAGAAAAGTCTGAAAGACCAGGCCCAAATCTTTGGAAAGGTGCGGGCTCCGATTGCCTTTTAAATATGGACGCTATGGAACCGCGTCAGCGCGCCTTACTCTTTTGCTACAAGATACGTACCGCTTGGATCTCCTCCCCGCCTGTCATCGATCCTTACACCACGATCCACCGCCCACGTCCTCTTGACCAATGCTAGCTCCGTCCTGCCTTCCAGACTTGCCACGGTCCTATCCAAAGGCAAAGCCAGGGTCAAGTCGGCTAGACAAAGTACCCAGTCATGTGCTGGCATTTGAAGACGTTTCTTTCTACAGAGCACCTCGGTCAGGTCTGCAATGTACATGTCTGCCGGTCTACGAGCTGGATGTCAATAGGCTGGAGGAAAGCAGAGATGGGATACGTACACGTTGATGGTCGTTGTAAAGTGCACATCTGCGCTCGCCGTCACCTTCACCTTGAGTCTCACCACATCACTCCCCGTCGAGCTCAATCCTACACTGCCCTTCATTGCCATCGAGCTGCCCAGCTTACCACCCGCATTCCCAGCCGTGGGGGTCGTCGATAAGAATTCGCTGGAAGAGAAGGACGAGGAGGCGCTGGGAGGTTGGTTCGATCGGGGAGGGGCAAGGGTGGTGCTTGGTTGCCTGGTGGTAGGGGGCGGGACGGGTCGGGCGGCTGACGCGGGGACAGGGATGACGCGGGAGGGGCGACGAGGGATAGTGGGTGCCTTGGAGGCATTTTGGCGGACTACAAGAGGAGTTAGGAACTGGCCGATAGGGTAGTGCAGCCACGCACTTTGTTCTTCAGTTGCTTCAACTATGGCAAATTGGCCGTATGAGAACTTGGATATTTTACTCTCCCTGTCCAAAGCTAGAATGCCGTCAGCGATATACGACGGTACCGTATGATAGAACGTACCAGGGAAATCTTCATCCACCTCGCCATCATCTTCCACAATCCTCAAACCCCATCCGACCGAGCTCCATTTGACATCTTCCTCCTCTTCTTCCAATTTCGGCTTTCTGCCCTCCTCCCAATACCTCCACAATCCATATCCAGTGACCTCTTCTACTGTGGCATCTTTTCTCACTTTCCCCACCAAAGGTTGAGTAGGATTCTTGGAATGTGGAAAGTACAGCTCGAGCGGTTCGAACGGCGCACCGGGTGGCGCAGCGATAGAAGAGTATAGCGAGTAGAAAGGATTGATGGGGGCGACAGCGATCGGAGAGATTGGACCGGAAGAGTTTTTGGGACCAGTTGATACAAGATGGGGCACATACTTGTTGAGAGCACTTGTCAGAGCCGAAGGTCTGGGCACTGACAATGATGGCGAGACAATCGGTATTGGTGTAAAGTCAAAGTTCTCTTCAATGCTGGTAGTATCCACAGATGCTCTTCTAGATCCTGGGATGGCTGTTGCCTCTCGGCCTGAACCTCTGACATCTGCTTCGGCAGCCTCTTCCTCGTCGACATCACTCCCTTGATCCTCCAGACCGGCGACCATCCGAGCGTCCACGCCTGTCTGTGTGCCAGTGGTCGCCTCGATGCCTATGGACGACCCTTTCTCTTCTGGTGTCGCAACCAGGGCGGTACCGTCCATACCAAAATTCGACCCTGCCGACATCTGACTTGAAGACAGGACTCGTTGTAGCAGACCAGCAGTCGCTCCTTTGCCGGTGCTCAGTACGCTAGATGCCAGATGCCGGGGCGGGCTGGGTAGAGGCCCAGGCATAGGGGCAGAGTCTGCTCTTGGCCGTACGGAGGGTGTGAAAAGGTCGTTCTCGGGAACCGTGTCGGACGCTAATGACGGCTCTTGATCTTTGGGCGGATTCGGGCTACGAGCGCTCGGAATTGAAGCTGAAGAGTTGGCTCTTATCGCCTGCCCTCTTCTCGACTCTCCCGGGTTGGCGTGTCTTCCCGAGACTCGCATACCAGCGCCTCCCAGCTTTCCGGGACCCATGATGGTCTGCGTATACTTGAGACCTCCGCCCCGCTTGCCCTCGTCCTCGTCGTCTGGTCGCGAGCCTGGAGTCTGGCCTGATAGGAAACCTCCATCGAGGGGCGGAGAGTCGAGTGCTCGGCCGATTTCAGGCCAGCGGTCCAGGTCTGATAGTCCCGAGGCATTGATGTAGGGATTGGCCCCGAAAGATGGGTCGAGGGAGATGATGCGAGGGGACAGAGGGTCGTCGGTGGCCCGTAGTGATGACAGCCGGATGGCCTGGAGCATGAAGCTGTGGATGGTCAGGACGGTCCATGGGACGCTGCACTCACCCGACATCTGCTACCATCGACATGCTGCCCTTGTGCTCTCCAAGTCACTCGCTGGAGTTAGAGAAGCATAGGAGAGAGACGCGGCACTCTCCGACTTCGCTTCAAGATGTCTTGACCGTTGTGATTTTCTGACTTCGTTTGTGTTTCTCTATATTCTCTATATTCTCTCTACCCTACTCCCCCTGCCGCCCGGCCATGGCACAGCTGCCCCTCGCCTCCCCGCCGCCCCTCCCCCTCCCGCGCCAGCCCTCGCCCCTCTCCTTCTCAAGTGTATCCGAGGACCAGGGACCGTCACCCTTGCCCAGCCCTGCACTTGGCGGGGGATCAGAGTTCTCAAGCAGACTTCGCCAACCGTCAGGCTCCAGCCACCACAGCACACCCAGAGTCTCTTCGGGCACGATACCCACAACAGCGTCCCAGAACGCGCAACTCGAAAGTCTGCTACCCATCAAACCCGTGCCAGATTCTTTACTCTTCAAGCATACCCTGTCCGCACTCGACAGCTCAGCCTCTACATTCAAGAGGCTGTCAAAAACGGTGCTTGCGTATGCTGCAGTAGCGCATACATTGTCAGAGCAGCTCGAAAAAGCCGAGGATGATTTGTTTGGCGCTGTTGGCGAACTCGGGCGGTGGCTAGAGAGCGGTTATGATGTACAGGTAAAGGGAGAGAAGAGTGGCATATGGGAAGACGATGGGATCCGTAAGATCAACAAGGAGAAGCGGCGGAGGGAACGAGTCGAGACCCAAGTCAGAGTCGAGCAGGGGCTGAAAGATGTCAAGGCGCATCTCAAACGTCGAGGGCTCGCTGGCGGCGGCGCGCAGAACAAGTACGAGGTGAGTACGGCTGCATTCGGTATGACATGCTCTAATCCGCTATAGACAAACGCAAAACAGTTCTACCATGCCACATCAGTATACCTCGCTCCCCAGTCCCCTCCCCCATCATCGTCCCACACGCAACAAGCGTCGGCCTCTTCTACAGCCTCCCATCCGGCCTACGACCAGGCTCAAGCCGTTCGTCTCGCCCAGTGGGACCTGACGCGGTACACGCATCATTCCATGTTGCTCTCTGCAGCCCCTCCCAGCTCTGAAGAGCTCCTCAATCTACTGGTCGGGCTGTATGGGTGGGCGGGTGCCATCGTGGGCGAGCACCCAACTGCGGTGTTGGAGGGGATAGATGAAAACTCGTCGACAATGATCCGTCGGAGTTCACAGTCTCGTCCTGAACAGCTTCGCAGAAGCTCCACTCCTGTTCAAACACCTCAACACTTGAAGACCAGCCTCTCCTCCTGCCTCTCCCAGCTCGCCTTCACCCGATCTGATCTACTTGCCGCCTGGGCGCAGAGAGAGGAACAGACACGTCTCCTCCAGGACGAAGCTTACAAGCGTCAGACTGAGCTTGATGTTTGGCAAGACAACTCTAGCAATGTCAAATTTGGCGAAGGTCTTGAGTTGGGGTTGAGTCAGGGGAGCGGAAACGCCATGGCCAGTGTATCCTCATCTGGGGTCGAATACAAGAAGCCAAAGAAGACCAAGCTGGGGCGCTCCATGGGTGGACGACTGAGAGAGTTCCTGTCTCCTTCCTCCAGCTCGCACTCCCTAGCGAGCGGTTCCACAACTACTCTGCCCTCAAACATGGACAGATCCTCTAGGGCAAGCTTTGATGGTGCTCGCCGCGAGACGAAGGGAGAACCCATCCGCAGATCGAGCACCATAGGCATAGATAAACTATCCACCCACAAAGAGACACCAGACCATCACATCAAGTCGACCCCAACCCTCGTCGCCACAAAATCGCCCCCTACTCCTACATCGATCCTGCCTTCTGCTTCCTCACATGACACCAACACGTCGTCCATGCCTACGCCTTCAGCTTCGGCTCATGTGGCGGCGTCGATGCCACCCCCACCTCCACCAAAAACAACAGCGCGTCCGCTCATGACGACGCGGCATTCTGTACACATGCCTGGTGCCGACTATATCGCGCCCTTCATCACTACCATGTCAAGCCCGACCGATTACGACGCGTCAATAAAACTCCCCTCGCCGTTCGAGAGCTCGCCAGATCTGAGACTAGGCATAAGCAGTGAGAAACTCCGGCATAGTTTGGACAGCTCTCGTCCTCTGAATTTCGGACCGAGCCCCACGCCTAGTCTGACGCAGCCAGAGCAATCTGCGATCGGGCTGGGTCATCCGACGGGTGCCAGTATTGGTGTTGGTGTTGGTGGTGTAGGGGGTCTAGGAGCAGGAGGGGATGAAGATGAGCAGCGCGAAGAGGCCGGGAGGAAAAAAGAAGGGGTGCTGTGGGGTATGGGTACTTGGGAGGGCTTGAACAAGGGTGCTGGCGGGAAGGGCAAATGGGAAAAGTACTGGGTGGTGTTGGACCATTCAAGCATCTTTGAGGTAAGTCGGGAGATTCACCGTTGATGTAGTGACTCATTGTATGCGTAGTATCGAGATGATGGAAGCTCGGGGCCACCGGGAGGAGCGCATGCGGCCATTGATTTGAGATTTGCAAGTGTTCGAGAAGGCAGAGGCACGGACAGGCGATTTGGTGAGCAGATATTGGCCCTCGTTATCGGCCAGCTACTGACTCGGTCTAGTCTTTGAAATTGTCACTCCCTCACAAGGTCGTCGGTTGTATCAAGCTACTTCAGACCAAGAGATGAAGGTGAGTTATACCCGCTAGTGAAGAATCCCCGACTAAACATCTATAGCAATGGCTTTATGCCATCTGCAACGCCATTGAATCATGTATCAACGGTACCTCGACTGTCCGTACCATCGATCAAACAAAGGGTCGAGGTCCCTCCGGTGCTTACGACGACCATGCCCTCCCAACCCGATCCAAGTACAACCTCGCCTTCTCAGGACGGAGCATGGGCTTAGGCTTGATACCTAATGGCAGAAAATCGATGCCTCCTACTCCCGTTGAAAGGGACACTGCCGAACCTCGCACCAGGAAAACAAGCTTGAAGAAGGTGCTCAAATCCAGCGGTGAGAGGTTCTCCACCGCTATGGCGGGCGGATCAGGGTCAAGTGAACATCCTGAAAAGTCCAAGCGCAACTCCTTTGGCGGACTGGAGATTTCTCGGCCTGTGTTTGGGAAAGGAGTCAACAGACAAAGCTTGCCTCCTTCTGCGCCAGAGACCGCATCGCGACATGCCGAGTTTTCACAGAGCCAGCTTCTACCTTCTATCAGTACACCACCAGGCGTGAAATCGTCTTGGGCTGATGGAGAGATTGAGAAACGCGTCCTTGAGATGTCTGGTCTTGGTCTGGGCTCATCTCCTACCACTGCCACTCGCCTTGCTCCGGGAGAGAGCCCGACCAGTGCCAAACGCAGAGTCAAAAGCGAGGCCGTGCGCAAACACTCCCAGAAGCATCAACAGGGCGGTGAAGGCATGACGCGGTCAAAGAGTGACGACGGCCAACTTGAGGAGGCAGACGAGAAGAGGGTGTTGAGAAAGATTGCTGCCGAGGAAGGCAATTCGAGGTGTGCAGATTGTGGTGGAGGTATGAAAGCCAGTCGATGGGCGACCATCAGTACGTTATTGTGCGCCAAGTGATCAGACAACGCTAATCGTATACCAGGTCTTCACGGTAAACCTATTGTCCTCTTCCTCTGCATTCGGTGCATCGGCATTCACCGCTCCCTCGGTACACACATATCAAAGACGCGTTCCGTCGACATGGACAACTGGACCCTGGAGCAGGTCGCCTCTGCTCGAGAATGGGGCAACATCCGAGCCAATACTGTGTGGGAAGCCTTGCTAGAAGGGGGACGCAGACCAGCGTCCGGGGACGAAATGAAGGCATTCGTGAAGAGCAAGTACTCGGACGGCAAGTGGTTGAAAGACGAGGATAGGGCGCGCTTCGGCTTCTCCTCCTGAGCGTAAGGCCGCGGCGCTAGTAGAGTTTATGCCGTGCACCATTTGGAACCTGACGACAATAACGGACTTTTTTGGTACTATTATATGAGTACTCGAGTACAGACACGATATAACATGACTTTATTTATAATCATTCCTCATAGATCATACCCCTTGACTTATTTTTTGATGTAGCGTAGATATGTCCTTTCACGATAGTCTCCAGCGCAATGTATGTGTTTTGTCGGTAGACACGCATTGCCCTCTTGCGGTACGAATTAGTCAACTAGACCGCGGACAACGAACTCAACGTACTGTACGAGTAGAGTACTCGAGTAAAGTGGGACCAAATAAGAAAGTCGCCGGCAAAATCTCGACGATGACGCTGGAGGATTCGACGGCTTTTGACCAGCTTTTGACAGGGATTTTGATATTTTGAAGAACCTCGCTTCTGCATCATCAACATATAAACGCCCACACTACCAGGTCTACACTTTCGTCCCAATACGATACGCCGCCACCTATTGCTCCCCCGAATTCACCACTTTAATCAAACCTACCAACCATGGCGACCGCTTTTGACCCCGAAACCGCAGGGAACGCCGGGGAGATTGAGATGCAATTTGCCGTCAAGACTGTCGAGCACCTCGAGGTAAGCACGTTGTATAGTTTGAGTGACTTAACACTGATCCTCGAGCAGGCTTACGAAAAGATTCTCCAAACTCTTCCTCCCAAGCTGATCAAATTTACCCCGTATGTACTGCCCTTTACAGATTAATAGAGACGGGGAACTTACCTGACACATCCTGATAGGATCGATGAGGAAATCTATGAAGACTTGCTGGAAGTGTTCCCCGAATTCAAGTTCGAGGAGAATCTGAGAACACTGAACGAAGATGAGATGAAGTCTCGACAGGGAAAAGAGAGATGGAGGAAGTTCATTATGCCTGTAAGTATCAACTCTATCAATCTTCTGTCGCTAATCTGTATCGTGCTCCTAGTATGAGAAGAAAGTGACGGACTATAACTTTGGTACCCTTGTTCGAGCTCGCTCAGATGAGCTTTACACCGAAACCAACTCCGTTCTCGTCACCCGTGTCCAGTTCTTCGCTATCGAGGTGAGTCGTCTATTCACCCTGCACGATGTTTCTAATACATTTCCAGATTGCCAGAAATAGGGCCGGGCTCAACCAGAAGGTGTATGACGATGCGCAGGCGAAGAAGGCTCAAAGTGCTTGAGCGTCGTAGCTTGTAGCATAGATATGTGACTACTCTTTAGACAACTCTGTCCAGGATGGTATGGGCATTGCTCGACAATGTGCTGAAGCACAACGAAATGGACATACTCCTGGCTAATACTTCTAGTCGTATCTCCGCCTGTCCCTATCTCTATTCCTGTCAGATTCTTCTCTCCGACGCTTGTCGTGTCTATCATAATCCCTCTCCCGGTCATCTCGATCCCTCTTACGTCCTGGGCTATCCCTTCGACTGTCTCTTTCCCGCCCATGATATCCTCTTTCGCTGTCTCTGCGCCTCTCGCGGTCACGGTCGCGGCCATGATCCTCCCGGTCTCGAGATCTCTCTCGATGCCTGTGTGCCCTGTCCCCGCTTCGATCCCTGCTGCGCTTATAATCATCCCTGTCACTCCGAGAGTCAATCCTCTCTGCCCCATGCCTCCTATCCCGACTATCCCTCGTAGTGCTGCCCCTTGCTGATTGATCGCCTGTACGTCGTTCCTCTCCGCTGACACGCCCATTTTCGCTACCTCCCCATGTTCTGGACCCCACGGCAAGAGCTGCAGTATTAGCCCCGCTTCCTCCAGCAGGAGCAAAGGCGCCCGGGACAGAGACACCGCCAATCATGTTTGGGCCATTAATGTCGTTGTTGGGACAGTCTCTCCGAAGATGCGGACCCCCACCTATCAAGCGATGTCAGCCCGCAGACTCGGCAGACCGCAGATGGACTCACAGTTGAAGCACCCGGCACCAGCGCCACCTCCGCCTCCCCTAGTGGCAGCACCCCATCCGCCTTGGCTCGTGTCCTGATCTGCCAAGTGGGTGTATTTTGTTCTCGAAGCTTTGCCAAAGTCCCGAACTTGCATGACTTTGGGGAGCATGGTCATATCGACAGAGGATTCAGTCGCTCCAGCGTAGTCTCGTTTTAGCAGCTCATCGTCCTGCGCAACATTGGGTCAGCATAAATTCAAGAGTAAGGCATAGATAAGACACACCTGATGGAAAGCACCCTTGTGGTAATACTTTTGCAAAAAGCCCATATCCCCTTTCTCCTTCTCCCTCGTCTTCTGTGCATGCTCCATATCTTCCTTGAGCCTCTCTGCCTCTGGCATAGCGCGCCTTCTTTCGATCTCTTCCTTCTCAGCGTCCCTCTCTGCTTGCACCTTCTCTTCACGAAGAAGACGGGCCAGTTCTCGCGCTTGCCAGCCTTCGAATTCGGCCTGGGGATCGAGGCCGTCGGTGTCATCGATGTCGTGAACGATTTTGGCGGCTTCCTCTGTGTCGTGGGTCAGTATACGACTCGAAATTGATTGATGTGACGCACTCTCAGCGAGTTCACGCCTGATAGTCTCTCCAGCCAGTTCTTTTGACGCTTGTTTACGCTCTTCCTCCATCTCTTCTTCCCTCTTCCGCGCTTCTTCGGCTTCGGCAGCAGCCTTCTCGGCAGTCGTATTTCTCGAGCCCCTGCAGAGTGTCAGCCCTCTTCTATGACTTGGCCATCAGACATACTTAGGGACGAAGACGGGTCTGAAGACAGGTTTTGGTGGCTCTTCCTCCGATTCTTCCTCCTCAGAGTCGGTCTCATACTCACTGGACTCTTCTTCCTTGGCCTGTGTTGTAGACTTGGGTGGCCCATTCTGATCTTCTTCATCGCTCTCCTCTTCTTCTTCTCCTGATGACTCTTCCACTAAATTGTATAAGGCAACATTCGAAAGGTCACGCGAAAGACTCACATTTGACACCTCCATCCCCGACACCTCTTCCTATCTTCGCCCCTCCTAGATTCATCTCCATCCCCTTTCCTTTCTTTACAGATATTTCGCGAACATCGCTGATTACCTTTCCGGCACCACCAGCAACTGTGTTTGGATCCAGCTGGGTGTTCTTGTTTCTATTTTGCTGTCGAAAATCGACCTCCTCTTCGTCATCGTCGTCCGACTCTGATTCTGAAACGGCAGCGTTTGGGGCCTTGCCCTTGAAGTATCTTGTTTTGGGCGGTTTGGGGGGCATTTCCTAATGTCTAGCAGGATGCAGTAGATGGAATAAATTGTACATACTACGGCCAGATGCGTGCCGGATGCGTGCCGCGCGCGCTCGGGAAGGAACCGGAAGCAAATCCGAAATTTCAAGTGAGTATCACAACGAAGTCAAGCTACAATCTCGCAAATGCAACACTCGAGTATCAAGCACTCGCATTGACACTCTCCAGGCTACTCCAGGTCGTTACTAGGGGCTGACCATGTCCTCCGGAATCCGACACCAGGCTGTGAAAGGCTTAGCTTTGCTAGGCAGGACCGCGCCGAGTAAACCTGTATGTGTCGCTTGTCAAGCCAACACTCGACTACATGCCCAATCCCAGAGCCACTCGAATAACGCTTGGCCCCGGCAAACGAGGAAGAGTAATGAATTCGCTGTGGGGTCACAGGGATCACCTAGAGCTACTGCTGTGAGTATGCGTTATTGCTGGCACGAAATCGTACACTGACGTTACAACAGCCAAAGCACAAGGTCACGGATTCCTTATTGAAGGCTCAGTTCCAAGCGGCTTGGAACCATTCTCCCCAACCAGTCCCTAAGCAGGTGCTACACGCCGCATATCCTCTCGTCTTTCGGCGTACCTTGCGGTCCCACCTAGACCCGCATATACGGACGATAGCTCCCCTCGTTGCCCCGCTTCTCGAAGAACGCGATTTGTCAGCTGAAGAACGGCGGCAGATCCTTGTCCTTCTGGGCCACTGCTATCTTTGTACAGCCGCAAAAGGCCTGTTCGTTGGACAGAACGTTCAGCGGATAGGCGACGTCTACGGTCGAGCATTAGTTCGGGAGGCGCTTGGCTCGTTGGGCAATGTCGAGCAACTTAGAACATACCTTGATGGACTCGAGTCTGTTCTCAAAGGTCTCTCGAATAGCGGGGCCACACCAGTCTTGGGGCCGGAAATCGTTGGTGCTTGGGCAGTGTTGAGAGAATCGGTCGGGGTGAAGGGTGATACGAATCAATCGTATGTCTGGCCCAGAGCTCAGGATGTGCAAGAATTCATGGCCGATGCCCTCAAAGCTACTGGAGCAGACGGTCAAAACTATTCCGAGGCATTGTCGACTCTCATGAGTGCTGGGAAACCCTCGGATCACCTGCCTCGAACCAAGGATGCACTTGAAGCCGAGCTGGCCAGTATGCGCAACCGAGGGGACTGGGAGGCTATCGTACTGCTGTGGCGTAACGTCTACTCCGCGTTGTCGCATGACACTTCCGCCGAAGGAATACTCGACCCTTCTCCCGATATACGGTTTTCGGTCCTCTCTTCATTCCTCCTCACGTTTCGCCGGCCTGTCCCCCACCTTGCCGACATCCCCGTCGATCCACCCCCACCTGCATTCACTAAGTATGCCTCTGAAGTGCTGTCTCTGTGTCCCAAGCCCCTTCCTAAAGTCATCGCATATACCCTACTTGCTCTGAGAGTGAGACCCGACGAAGACACGGGGTTGAGGGCGGGGCACGAAGTGTTTGAACTGGGCACAGATGAGCGAAGGTCTGGCGAGCAAGGAGCTCTGAGCAATCTGAAAAGCACTTGGAAAGAAAGTGGAGAAAGAGATCTCAAGATGTACATGATGTATCTGGAAGGTCTGGGAAGGCTCGGGGATCTCGATGGGTTGAAGGAGGCATGGGGCGAACTTGTGGAAGACGAGGCGTGTAAGCACGACTATCTGAGAGAAGAAAAGCTACGTGAGTAAGCACAACACTCTGCTTGCATGACTGACTTTCAACAGGCCCTGATTCACCATTTCCTCCTATCCACGCTCTCAACCAAATGATCTCTGCATGCCTTCTCATTCCCCTGGACGGTCCTATCATCGCCCTTGATCTTTTTTCCCAAGCTTCACGCGCCGACTCTGCAATCCCTTGCAATCTCATCACAATCAACACCGTCCTCCGCCACCATGCACGCGAAGCAGACATTCCTAGCATGTCTACCCTATTTCAACAAGCTGTGGAACTAGGCCTCGCTCCAGATGTGGTCACCTATACCACGCTGGTCCAAGGGCTGCTTCGCGCTCGGCGCTTGGATTTGGCCAAGAGTGCGATGGACATGATGCACAAGCAAGGCATTGTGCCCAATCAGCGCATGTGCAGTATGTTGATTGCCGACCTGGCGAAACCTGGGACCAAGCTGGGCCTGGAGCATGCTGAGGAAATGCTGAGACTGATGTATCAGAAGAATATGCGGACGAATGAAGTAACCTGGACGGCGTTGATCTCCGGCTACTTCTATGGAGGGTGGGATGGGCAAGCTTGGGAGGCCATAGAGAGGATGGAGAGGCTGGGAATCAGGCTGAATAGGGTGGCGTACAATATGATGTTGAGGCAACTCGGGACTGGGGAGGGAGAGACGGTGGATACGATGATGATGTTGTGGCACAAGCTGCTAAGGCAGAAGATCAACCCCAACAGCGACACCTACTTGCTACTACTCAGTGCGCTTTCCAGCGCGTCCAGGTGGGCAGAGGTGGATGAGGTAATGAGAGAGATGACGAGAAGGGAATACAAGCCGGAGAAGGGTGCGTTGGCGAGGCTCATAGATAACATCGATAGAAAGAGGTAGAGTACTCGTAGCGCTTACAGGACACAGTAGTGGGGATGGTGTCGAGTAAAGTGCATGTGGATGGATACATCTGATCTTGATTACAAGTCGTTATGAGATTACAGAAGGCCGAAAAATGCCTTCCCTATGCCGATAGTTTGATATCTCTCGTATGCTTGGAAAATAGTCAGCACAGGCATTACAAGGAAGATACGGCCGACTCACCCCAGAAGGCCCATTTTCTCCCGAACCATTTTCCAAAATACGGGATGACAACGATAGAAACGACCAACTCGAATTGTCTCAGCGACTCCTCCCACTCCTCCTGAATCATGGCATCAAGCTCCGACTCGTCGTCGGAGGAGATATCGCTGCCCGAGTCGATATCTGAGTCTGTCCCAAATGATGAAGGGTAGGAAGGTGGTGAAGGATGGGGAGGCTGGGATGGGCCAGAAGGGGGCGGGTGCCAGGGGATCGGCATTTTGGTGAGGGCGTGGTGGGAGCGAGAGGCAATGAAAGAGTCGGATGCAAGCGACAAGTGAAGACGCAGTGACGCGCCCCATCATCTCTGCACATCTTTCGTTGATCATTCCTCGATGTATACGTTTACGCTACCCTCTTTCCATCAAGGGACTGTGTTGCAGTGGTAGCATTCAAGACTTCGAGGTCTTAAAAACTGGAGTTTCATCTTGCGGTCACGGGTTCGAATCCTGTCGGTCCTTTAACTTTTTGCCTTTTTGTCTGCCCTTAAGCTCTGTTCAAGTATTGTGTACTCTGTATAGCGAAATCTGTGTTGTGTGTGTACTAACACCTGCTGGGTAGTCTGCCATTGCCGTATATGTGTGGGCCGAGTGCCATTCATGCGATGATAAACGATTAAAGAAGCCAGAGAGTACTGTTCATGGTCATTACTTTCCGAACAAGCTTAACAAGCTCTTCTTCTTCTTGAGAGCCTTGCTCGACTTCCCTGCAGACCCTCCAGTAGTTGATGCCGGTGAAGGCAATGGTTGGCTTTCCCAATCGTATTCTGGCTTCGTATAATCAACGTGATTCTTTGTAGTTATCAAAGGTCCACCTGACCCACTCTGGCTTTGAACAGCAGAGGTGAAGAATCCATCAGCCACTGACATTTCTGTGGAATGATAAGATTCGCGATAGGTGAATCTCTCTTCAATTCGAACGTCCATATAGTTGTTGTGCGACACACCAGTAGGAATGTGATGGGGGCCGGGGGTGCTATGGTTGAAAGAAGCTTGCAGTGGGGTATCCTCGGGCAGACCAGTCTGTGTTGGGTGAGATGCAGAGAAAGAGCCGGCTGCAGAGTGGTCATCATGAGTTCTCACCTCACGCCTCTGATGATTTCTCCTCGATGATGACTGGCTTGCTCGACGACCAGTCTTGGGATGGGTTCCAGCGTAGCCGAGCGCGGCCGATTCATCCTACTCGTCAAATATCTCATTAATGTAAAGACTCTCAAATTGAAATAATACCCACCCATGATGGAGAAGAAGGTTCAAAAGCTCCAGCGTCAAAACTGATGGGAGACTGTCTCACGTCTGGCAGTGGGCTAATGTGCGACCTACGGTCTATTCCCCTCGAGCTGAGCCTCGGAGGATAGGTGGGGTGTGATCCCATCGATAGGTCAGGCGCTTCTCCTTCGTATTCATACTCTTCGCCATCGTCGCCAATGATGTATTCGAGGGTGTCGTTCGCGTCATAACAACGAGATTGGGCCATTGTGGATTCCCCGGTTCGAAGATCGTCCAGATGTGCTGATGTAATACTGTTGCTTCCTGGATCCCTCAGAACTGCGCCGGCCGGTTTTATACAGAACAAAGAAGACAATGGAAAGATCGTCTTCAAAGGGCGGCAGGCTCGCCACCTGAATAATGGGTGAGATGTTAACCTGAGTGGAAATAGATTTACAGATCAAGGGTGTGACTTACTCTCCGCTCAACCTCACGATACTGTGAAAGGATCCAGTGTAAACTGTAGCTGAAAGAGACGCCCTATATGTAGGTATGGCATGGCTAGCTGTATACAGAGGGCCGTTATGCATTTAGATGAGCTGATGAGGCCTTATTCATTGCGGTGTTTGAATGCGATATCAGGACTTGTATACCCTTGTTTTCTGATCCCTCTGGGCCCATAATACCGCGAAAGATCCCGATCCTGTTGGGTGATGCCGAAGTCGATCCCTCTTCAAGTGCCACTCCTTTCTATAGTGTAGTACCTGCACGCGTGTGGATTGTCAAGCGGTGGCTGTGAGCTGTCAGGACTTTCACTGTTGTATCATGGTTGGTCCCGGGGCCGTGGTCGAATCACTGCATGAGCTTGTGAAGATGACTTGCAAGCTCGACGCATCGGGGCGGAGGCTGACACGCAGTGCGTTGAGTCTTGAAATGGCCAATGTCCCGAGAACCTGTGTACAAGTCACGTAGCCAGAGTCTGCAACGATCATCACACCTATGCATTGATCACCTCTACCCCTCTACAGGCCTCATCGCCCCGAGTCTTGATAAGCAGGATGCCTTCCCCCTTCAACGTCCCCCTCCCTCCCCTTCTTTCCACCTAGCAAGCTCCTTCCCGGCCCTTGTTGCCCCCTCTGGCCCCTCCTCCCTCCTTCGTCATCTGACGACTCATCCTCCTCCGGTAACTCTCCCAGCGGCACGCCTTCTTCTTCAAAAGCGTTGAAAAGCGTAGAATTCTGAGCGCGGTAAAGGTTGGAGCGACGCCCATGGCCGGCCGACTGGAGAGAGCCGTCGGCGGCGTAAGAGGAACCTGGGACGGCACCGTAGCCAAATCCGGCACCATTGGATTCCATTGAAAGTCGACCGGACATACTCATCCGGGGGTCTAGTTGCTAATGTTAGCTGCTACAAGCAAGAAAAATATGAGGAGGGCTCACTCATGAGACCAGACTCCAGACTGGTAGTGGGATGCGGTGTCTCGGGTTCTCGAGAGATGTTGAGAAGGTAGACACCCATAAAGATGGTGAGGAAACCGCATATGAGAGAGATGGTGTTGACGCCGCCAGGGGTATTGAAACCCGAGAAGAGAAGGGCAGAGGCGATGATTGTAGCGGTCGTAAAGAAGACGTAGTAAATGGGGTTGACACTGATTGAACGATGGGCACAGATATATGGAGGGGGTATGTTGGGACTTACACATTGGTGGAGAAAGTATCCAGTGCTTTGTTGAAGTAATTCTATGACCTAGTATGAGCGAATTCTAGGAAGAAGGAACAGTGACATACCATCTGCACAACAATACATCCTACAACGACAACGAGGAACACGTAGGTACTGACGTGCGTCAATTGGTTGTTGCCGGATAAGGTCAATTTCAATGCCACGCCGAAGCCCTGTAGATTCCATGAGCATAGACACTACACTGATAGAGGCAAGACAAACCTTAATAGCCATGACAGAGACACTTCCTACAAGAGAGCAAATCGAAAGGTAGACCATAGGGTTCTTGGTGCCATGTGTCGGAACAACGCGATAGATCATGAACAATGAGAAGACGCCGACAAAGGTGATATATATGAGGAAGATTGGACGAGCGGCATAGCTCAATATCTCGTCGACAGTCTCCACTTCCTTGTCGGAGGGAGCATGAAGGACAATGACGACCGATCCGATCTACAAGCAAGCGTCAATCTACGCGCGCCTGTAGGGTTTATATTGACTCACAATACAGGCGGCGCATCCACAAACACCTAGTCGACCAAGTTTCTCATCAAGAAGGAACGATGCCAGGATAGCTCTGAGACGAGGTCAGCCGCCAAGCCAATGTTGTCACGGGCCGAGACTTACCCTATAATCACACTCATGGCACCGAGTGGTGTAACCAAGATAGCCGGGGCAAAAGTATAAGCCGCAAAGTTGGCCACTGCGACACGCATCAGTCCCACAGATCAGCTTATGAGGCAGCGCATACCTTCTCCGACAACCACTGAGATACAGAGTTAGTAAAGGCGACTACAGCAGTAGCTTTGACTCACTAGTGATCATACCAGCCCACCAGATGGGATTTTGTAGATATGCCAGATCATCCGCTATCACCAGGCATGAGCCACTCAGTCGGAAAAGAAGAGCAGCAGAGACATACAGGCGCTACGCGAGTTATTTGACCGTTGATGGGAGTGGGGGTATTCATCGGATCGAGCCGCTGCGTCGTTGAGACCCTGCGATGCGTGTGAGCTGAATATATGTGGTTGCCACTCTCTTCTGTAAGCCCACCTTTTTTGTGATGATGAAACTGGAGCTGTACGATATAGACAATTAGCGCCATCGCGTGAAAAGCCAGGCCATGATAGACGCGCTGCACGTACCCGATGAGGAATGTCCCTCCCAACGCGAGCCCCAGCCCGATGTACTTTTCCTCGAGCATTATCTGGAGTAGGGATGGATGGAGAAAACACGAGAGATGTTTACGGCAGCCTATCGATCTCCCTCAGCCTGCTGTCTCAACGCGTACAGCCACGTGACCGCCATCTCTCTCTCGTTCCTTTCGTGATGGACTGGAAACAGGCTGGAACGAAATGACTCACCTTTCGACACTTATGTACCTTCTCCTTTCATCGGACATTTCCCACTCTTCCATAGACTCCACAGTCGCTGCCCATTCGCCGCTCCTCTACTCGTACAGTACCCTTGATCACTCACTACTCGCCCCTGCCAAAATTACCGCGTCACGCCCAGCAACGATCGAACGACCGGATAGTCGCATACACACAGCCCGGCCATATCGAGAGAACACCCTGCAAAGATAACATCCCCTGTATTCCATGAGTGACATCAACTGGAACCCTCAGAAGCCGCCTCTCCGTCGTATGGGTAAGTGGTTCTACAACGCCTCGAGCGCGAGTGGCCAGGACCCTACCCTCTCCGCCACAGACTCAGCCTACTATTCAGACGCAAGGTCTTTTCGATCTTCCCGATATGGAAGCAAAGCGGACCTGGCAGAATCGGGTAGTCCGCGGCACGATAAAGAGGGGTGGTATAACAAGACCAAGAAGAGGATGGGGTCGATATTACCTTTCGCATCAAAGCGCGATCATTCGTTCATCAGCGAAGATGACCTGCAAGACGGATACGACTCACGCTCGGACGGATATCGATCTGATTCGTCGTATTCGCCGTATTCGTCCGCGCCTGGAGAGGAAATCGCTATGAACTTGGAGGAGAATGACGGTAGTCTTCCGCCTTCTCCTATCGTACCTCATATACCTCACGAGCTTCACAACATTGCTGAGGACGCGGACGGTGAGCAGAGGGAGGAATCAAGCTTTCATTCAAGTACCAGGACCATGGACCTCTCGCTCCATCACCCCACGCCTATCCGGCCACAAATCTTTCCTGACCATGTTGAAGACGCGTGGGACGAAAAGCATGCAGAGTATGGCCACATTGATAACTCACAGTCTCAGGCTGGAGGACACGTCTCGAGCTCAAGACCTGACCATGATGGTGAAGTACATCAAGATGTGGAGCGAGAGGTGACACGGGAAGGTAGTGTCGATTGTCGCTCCATTCCTCATTCTTCAAGACGCTCATTGGGGACGACATCAGCTACTTCCAGTCGTCAAAAAATCCGATATCTCTTCACAAATCCAGCGAGCACCGTTCGCAGCCTCGTCGCCACCGCCAAAGGCAAATTGTTCCGCGCCAGAGCCAATAAATCGCCCTACTTGATGAGGAAGCAAGGAACTCGGGACCTTTCTGATATCTACATCCGTTCAAGCACTGGCTTGGCCACGGATATGGACGAGGCGCCAGAGGTTCATCCCTTGAGGTCGTGCCCCATTCAAGAAGAAAGACGGGGCTTGGACGTGATGAGCCACTGGGAGTCGGTGGGAGCCGACCTAGATTATCAAGCCGTGGTCAGATCAGAGGGAGGGCTCCACGATAGAGCAGCTAATCATCATGGTAGCCAATCCCAAGCATTATCTGATCTCGAGATAGGTGTTGCCAGATCTGTGGGAAGACGTCTCGATGAAGATTCAGTCACCGACAGCAATGCCGCCCCTTTGGATGTTTTCTCGTCTGATGGTACCCCAGCATCATCAGATACCAGCTTGCAGGACAGTCGAGATGACCTGTCAATCAGCTCCAATCATGGTGACCTCAGGGAAAGAAGGAGGGACGGGGTCGTGTTCCTCGACAGGTCTACCATGCCGAGCACGTTGAACGACGTACTGAGCGGTTATCCCTGGTCCACCAGCTTTTCCTACTCTACAGACCATTCTCCCATCAGTCTCCACAAGATATCCCAGAAAGACAAAAGGTTATCGTCAGTATCACACATCTCAAAGATGCGAGACAATACGCCACGATTGGAGGTGGACTATGGACCTTCTTGGCTCATGCCTGATGATTCGGGAAGGACAGTGCACGAGGTGCTGCTCGAGGAACAAGCCAAGCGGGATGCTAGACTTGAGGATGTGCGGGAAAAGTTCGAGGAGCAAAGTAAATATTTGAGGGACCTGATGAGCGATGAAGGGCAAATTGATGTCGGGGATGCGAGCTACCTGAGTCAGCATCTACTATGAGCTCGTCAAGAAAACAAGTTTGTAACCATTCCATATAGGTTATCACGACGCGACCGTTCTCTAGACGTGAAAGATGCATCAGATAAGCTTATAATATAATGGTCATACAGTCCTCCCGGCCATACCAGCACGATCGAACGGAGAGAGCGAGTTTCTAAAATTCTACGATGATCTAATAGTATTGGAATGATGACGATCCCCATCCTAATCCCCATCCTACGCGACGGGCGAGTCGACGACGCCGGAGGACTTGTTACGGAAGAGGTCGATGGCGCCGCGGATCTGTTCGAGAAAGACAAACATGCAGATGGTGTTGGGTGTGAGACGGACTACGGCTGGTCAGCCAAAGTTGAACAGCCAGAGAAGGTACTCACTCCAAGCGGGAAGCCATCCCTTGAACAAGAATCTCGGTCCCTCGAGCTTCAAACTTTCCGTCAACAACGTAATCGGTCCCTGACCAGCTCCGGGTTTCATGTTCATAATTCTGCTCTTGACGACATCGGCGGGGGCACATATGGTGGTGGCGACGGTACCAGACAAGGCGGAGGAGACGAAATGCAGAGGCATGCCGTTTTCCATGATACCAGCGGCGAGAATGTGGTCCTTGAAGAAGTCGTATGAGACGAGCTGGGAGGCGTTCATCAAAGTAGCACGGATCTGGAGAGACATCAGCTTTGGATCTGCGGTATGTATGTCCGGCGTACAGTATTAGGGGCAAGACCACGAGCAAGGGAAGCAGGGCCCTCATTGGCCACCATCTTGTACAGGCCATGGATGGCATTTCTGTAGTGAAGCTGGTGCTCAAGAGGTTTCGTAGGGTCGGCCACCATCCTGAAAAGACACATCGATGTTAACGCCGAGGCCCAGTCGGCCCAGAATAGAACTCACCTGACAAGGATAATATCTGCAGGGTTACCAGCTACACCACCCAAAGCACCAGCCGTGCTCGCACAGATCACCATATCTCCCGTCGTCAACTTCTTTTGGCCATTATTTGACATTTGATTCTTCATGAGGTCGTAGACACCAAGTCTTGTGACACTGTATGTCATTTGTCGAAAGATGGAGGCGGTGAGACCGGTATACAGTCCTCGAACGCCTATGATAAGTCAGCGTGATGGATGAAGGGGGCATAGAGTGACTGACCGTCATGTTTGACCACACCCTTGACTGCCTGAACAAAAGTAGTTCTTGTCGTCGACGTTTGCATCCGTCTACGCACCATGTAAGCGATTATCCTTTCGGATCCCCGAACGGTGTTCGAATGATGCAGACCCACACTCTCATCACATCGAGAGGATGCGTACAGCAAGCAGCCACTACAGATTGCGCCGTCAGCGGTAGAACAGGGGAGGAGCGCTCTCGGGCATGCTCGAGACACTCACTTGACGCAGCCGCGCCTGTCGTCGGATTTGGCCGACGTAGAAAATCAGTGTAGGTGCAGGTCGAGAGTGCATGGGAAGGGACGGCGAGGTAGCGAGTGGACTATCGTCAGTACACCTGCATTGGCGAATGGAGCCAGTTCTCACCTCCGGTCCTACAATGACATGTCGCGTGAGCAGCTTTCCAATGAGAGAGGGAAAAATTGAGGGCGGCGACACAGAAAACGAGTCGAGTTTTATGCTGGCCCAATGTGTGGCAGACAGGAGGGACACTCACCAGAAGGGGTATTTTTGCTGGGGGGCGGCCATTGTCTGTGATTGCTGCAAGAAAGCCAGTGGTGCTTAGGTGCATAGACTCGGTCAAATAAAACTCGCGGCTTTCCATTCGGCGAGCTATCCCGAGCAAAGGTGGAGGCACACCGGATGGCCCGACCACGTGGCAGCGCGTCAGGCCATCGACCTCTGACATTCTGGCTTTGTGTATTCTCGACGCATCCAAGCAGTGATACGGATACCCAACGATGGCCTCGTCAAGCATACACAACACCCTCAAGCAATGGCGGCTTCCAGTCAGCTCAAGCAGGAGACTATCCACAGTTTCCTCCACAGCCCGTCTCCCTGTGTCGCGCCGTGCCATGCTCTATGGTATGCCGCTCATGAATGATCATCTATTGTGTGCTCAATATAGGTGCCAGTGCCTGGATCGAATCCTCGAATGCTGGAAAAGTCTTTATCAAGCCCCGCTGATTCTATAGCTTATGACCTCGAGGATTCCGTCAGCCCAGGAAAGAAGACTGAAGCGAGAAAGCTGATATCAGACTTGCTCAATGTGCGCAAACATCTCAAGGAATTCCATACATCGCTTCTAGTGTATGCTGACTGCAGCACAGGGTGAGAGAAGACCAAGAGGCGAGGTTGTTGCTCGTGTAAATGCCATTGGCACTGGCTACGAGGAAGAAGATCTCGACGCCGTGGTGAGTCTTGGTCATCGTACGTCCTCTTGTTCACAGCTAAGGGATACCTTGCAGCTCAGAACGAGACACGTAGAAGCCATTGCTCTGCCAAAGACCGACTGCCCGGACCATATCGAATACGTGATCTCTCGCATCAACGCCCTCTCCGCGCCACACAAGCGATCAGGCCAGCCGGGAGCTATCAAAATCATAGCAATGATTGAGAATGCTAGGGCAATGATGGCAATCGAATCTATCGCGCAGAGTGGAAAGGGGCACCTGGATGCTCTCTTATTTGCTGCTGAAGATTGTGAGCACTCGTCAACGGTGATTCCTTCCTTACTGACACTTTTAGACTGCGCTGACGTCGGGCTGACGCGTACACCAACCCGTGAAGAGCTCCTGTACCCTCGATCAAAACTTGTAACCACTGCCAAAGCATTTGGCCTACAGGCCATCGATCTGGTCTGTGTCAATTACAAGGACAAGAGCGTATTGGCCGACGAGTCGGAGGAGGGCAAGAGACTTGGTTTTGACGGCAAGGTGAGCTGTGCCATGTCATACGATGCGCCCGTGGTCTGATTCTGGTGATAGCAAGCCATACATCCCGAACAGATTGACATCATCCACAGTTCTTTCGCACCAAGCGAGAAAGGTGATAGACAGTTGTCCCTGGCCCGTACCTAGCTGACCCTCACCTAAGCTATCCTCAAAGCTGCTCGCGTCAAATTCTCTTTCGAACACCACGACAATCTCGGCAAAGGTGCATACACCCTTGACGGAGTCATGATCGATGCTCCAGTATACAAGCAAGCTACCAAGTTGTTGGCCAAGGCAGAGGCAGCAGGCTTGAGCCTTCCGCGCGTAACACTGGATGACATCTGATTAATTCATAGATAGTACGAGTCTATATTGTAGTTTGTATGTTTCTAATATGGCATGAGTCCCCCTTGCCATGTGGGTACGGTGCACTGCACGAGTACAACATCTTCACCCGAGAAGTCATCAATCTCTCACTGTAAACCGGCACTTTGCGCGGATCCTGTGACCTACACACACTTCGTTAGCAGTACCTCATGATTGTGTCCTTCCAACCACATACCTATGAGATAGAAGACAAACGGAACAGCGGTCAACGCTAATCCGATGAATGCGAACAGTCTACCAAAGTCAGCTTTGACCATGAAAGTAGTGTGAAACTCACGAAGTGGCCCATTGATCTCCAAGTGATTCGTACATGGTCGGGAAGGCTAGGATGACAAGACCCGTGACTCCATACCTCACCAGGGTTGACCCAGAAAGCTTACAGACTGTCAGAGACGATGACCAAGCGCCGTATGATAAACTCACAGCAGATGCGGCAAAAGGACCATACGCGTCGATGAGATATTGGAAAGAACCTTGAAAGATGGACAGTAGACCTATGCCAAAAGGCAGTCCGCTATGCCGCGTCAGTCAATTCAACATCTTCCCTGATCTCGACACACCTCATCATTGGTACCCAAAAGTTGAACTCTGGCCCGGAAGTCCACGCAAACCAGAACATGCTTGCGGGAAGGAGCCAAGAGCAAAGCATGACTGTTACAAAAAGGTCAGCTACAGTCTCATTACCCATTCTAGCTGCTTACGAGGAATGAGTCTCTCCTCTGGTTCAATCTTTCCATTCTTGATACCCCTTCTCTCCACCCCAGCTTTCGCGTCCCTCGCGAGACCCCTGTATCTTTTCCAATGAAGGAGATTGACAATCATCAAGAGGAGAAAGCCGACTTGTACAGGGACGAACATGAGGCCGCCTTTACCGCCAGTCAGGCCGTGCTTCTTGAAGACGATGGGATAGGCATCAAAGAAGCCGTACAGCACGGTATACACAACTGAAAGATGTCAGAAATTGTCTGTGATGAGAAAGAAGGGGACGTACCCAAAAGATACGCTATGAAGAACTGCACCACCGGCTCTTGCCCCAGCATCTTGAACGGCCTCCAGAGATACTTTGGCGTCAATTCTCCAAACGTCTCGTCCTCAATGCGCGCCCTCCAGACATCTTGCCCGGTCGCTCTGCGATAAGCGACAGCTTTGAATTTGAGAAGCGCCGATGAAAGGGTTTCGGGCATGAAGAAGAAGCAGAGGAGGAAGGCGAGGCCGTTCCAGATGGCGCACACCCAGTAGCACCAGCGCCAGCCGTAGGCAGGGTTCTGAGCGACGAAACCTATGCTCATTTGTCAGCGCTCTCGTCTTATCTTAATGAGACGGGCTCACCTCCGATGATGGGTCCCAGGCATGGACCCAAGAAACCAGCAGTCGAGAACAGAGGCATGGCGATGGTCCTCAAGACCGGATCCCCAACGTCATTCAGTGACCCTCCAGCATTCGACAGCGGAGTCGTTGACCACACACCCGCGATGAGCCGTAGGATAAGAAGGGCAGGAAGGTTGGGAGCGACGGCGCAGGCAATCTGGAATACAGTCGCGAGAAATATAGTAATCAGGTAGACGGGTAAACGGCCGTATACTGTGAAAAGTCAGTAACAAGAGACCGGCATGGAAGAACGCTCACATTCAGACAAAGGGGCAAAGGGCATAGCTCCAAGCCCTAGCCCTATCAAGAACATACTCGTTGCCGCCGTTGCGGCTAATTGAGAACACCCAAACTCTGCCATCATTCCCTCCTCTGCAGCTGCAGACACCGAGCTCGCAAACGTCAAAGAAAGTGTCAAGAATGATAGCGAGCCTATGACAAAAGTCTTGTACAGCCCAGACCAGTTTTGGGGGTCGCGGGGGTCGTCAGAGTCGAAGGAGACGTATATTATGGGAGATTTTGGATGCTCCAGAGATTGTTCGTCGTAGGTGGGAAGGTGCGGGGTACTCTTCGGAGCGAAGGCTCTATATTGGAAGTAGGCCTCCATGGTGAGAGAAAAGTTGATACAAGAAAGACACAGCGAAAACAGCCCGTTATATACATGAGAAGGATCACAGGTTCGCCGGCGCGCAAGAAAGTGTGGGCCGCGGTTATCAGCCGGCGGCGCCGCCGTTCAGGCGTCTCGGCGGCGGTGTTAGAGTGGCAAAGCCGGCCCCGGTGTTATAATCTAGATACGTGCGATGGAGAGTCCTTTTGGCAATGTTTGATTGATCTGCATGGACGCGGTTGTATTTACTTCTTGTCAATGCTGTAATTCACTCGCCTCAATCCAATTCCCAACAAGAATAGACTTCCCACGACTGACGCCACAGCCAAAGGCTTCTGAATCTGGGCGGAGAAGGGGTAGTGATATGTCACCTGTAAAGTCAAGGATGTCAGTCAGTGGGCTCCAGAGTTCGGGAGATGATCTCGGAGGCCGGCTCACATAGACATTCTTGGCATGTTGCTCAGTGCACCGAGCCTTCTTGATGGTGATCTGGGGTCGGCCAGTAGTGTCAAGGTATGTCTTGTGGATGGAGTGAGAGATGCTGTCAGCAGGGAAAGGTGTGTAGATCTCGATGCCACTACAGGTGGTCAGTGCGCCCCTTGTCATTCCGGAAAGATATTTACACAGCTCCTTCCGGCAAAACAATGGTCACCTCCGCATCGTCCACAACGACATCCTTGATACCAGTCAAGAATGGGACAGCCAAGACCTTCTTGTCGCTCGCCTTATCCACCTTGAGCACATCCCCAAGAGGGATATCGTATCCTACTGTGAAGCTGTAGTTCCAGCCACCAAGGAGGGGGTAGCGGGGCTTCAACTCGAGGAAACCGTCAACAGTCCTAGGACTGCGGCCCTTGCTCTTCAGCTTGGTCTGAGCGGGAGTAACGCCTTGTCGAAAATGGGAAGTAGAGACGTTACCGATGGTGTCGTAATAGTAAGGGGAGTGCGCGGTGGGAGGGGTGCGGAGGGTGAGCTCGGCGAGGATCTGGGCAGGGGAGGAGGCGTGGAATCGGGACATTTGGTGTGCCAGTCGAGAGAAGTGACCCTTGAGCCTACATGTACGTTAGATTTCATCCTGTCCGGAACGAGGGGCCACGTACTTGGGACCGATGTTGGCCAAAGAGATCTCATCCTGAATGTTCAAGTTGGCGCCCCAGTGGCTAACCTCGGCACTTCGCTTCAAGGTGGTGATACCAATGACAGATTCCTTGTTTTCGTAGTGCACAGTGAAAGGCTCCTGCCTGACCTTGGCATCTCCAAGAGTGGCTGGAAGGGAGTGGAAGGGACCGAGGGTAAGAGAGGTGCCGGCTTTGGTGATGACATTGTCGCGTGTGTAGGCATCAGAGACAGAGCCGTGGGTGAGGATGACATGGGGAGATCTATCGCGGTGTTAGACAGTTTCATAGATTGATTATGTCACATACCGAACTTTGACGCGCTCGACATCAGTGGGGTACCAGCTGTCTACATAAGTAGAGTTGGTGGTGAAGAGCAGATACTGCGCGTCGGTCTGAGCGATTTCTGCAGGGAGTGGTCTGCTTTGGTGATCGAGGACATGTGCCAGCGATAATGTGATAGATTCGTCCTTCTTCAAATGTCCCAGAGGGACCGACACTGTAGGCGGCCTTGACCTCTGTCAGCTCAAGTACATTTCATGAAGCGCAGCAGCCTACCTGTCGCTCAGAATAGCAAGTCCATCTGCAGCTTTTCCGGCGATAGCAACCTCCCACCAGGCCGGTATCAGATCGCCGTCTCCTGCCAGGGCGAGGTGGTACTCTCCAGGGGCGTCGACGAGGGCTTTGATGTTGTACTGGGTGGTGACATGGGTTGTGGCACCTGCGAGTTCGAGTGTGCGTGCGATGGCGGTGTTTACAAAGACCTGTGGGGGGGATGCGAGGGCCACCGCAAGTGGGAGAAGGGGGAGCAGCAGGGCGGCGAGCAGCATGGCGGCCGTTTTGAGCGTGAACGACGAGCTGTGGCTGGAGTATGACTGCCACGTCCGTTCGGGACGGGATCAATTCACGGCATCTCCACGTCAGCCTCGCCCTACCGAAACTATCTGTATGATGATGCTATGCTCTCTTTTCCTTCTTCATCTCCATACGCCACCGCAAGATGCATCAAGTCACCTTATCAATCCACCCACAGCCCATCGTCCCCGACCCACCACGCAACTATGTGTACACTGTTCTCGCCTTACCCAGCAGTCCAGTGATAGGAATATTTGCCATAATGAGGAACCTTTGTTCGTGCTTCACTTCCTCTGGCCTTTTGGTTGGTGGCGCTATCTCTGTGCTTTTAACGCCTCGGAGATGGCCAGGAAGTGGACTGCACATCTTTGTAGCTTTGTATGTAGAATATGAGATCAAATTGCATGGAATATGCTTAAAACAGAACACAGGAGGAGAGAGACTATGGAGCAGCAGGCTGAGCAGGCGCGGGGGTGGCAGCAGCTCCGGCTTGAGGCGTTTGAGTAGCACCCTCCGCGCCTTGACCGTACTGAGTTGCTTGCCAAGCTTGGACTGGTATGGCATAAGCTATTGCTGCGACAAGTCATTGGAAAAAGACGTACACTGGGGGTCGTTGACATCGTAACCGTACGCTGCCCAGTAGGCGGCATACTGAGCCCAGGCGTCGGATCCTTGAGCAGGGGTGGCGCCTCCAGCTGCACCGGCAGCGGGAGTAGCGGCTGGCTGGGAACCGGGCGTACCGGTAGCACCCTGTTGCTACGACAATCGTTCAGCTGATTTCGATGAATCGAGGTGGTACCCACGGCATAGTAGGCAGCATAAGCATCTTGTCCGGACGGCTGCGCACCGTAACTCTGATATCCACCGTAGACACCGCCGGCTTGTTGGTTCATGTTGACAGAGTCGCGGGCTTTGGAGTGCTCTGTCCGCAAGACTTCGAGAAGGTCCTCGGCAAGGACCTTGGCACGGTTGACTTGCTCGTCGTTAGGAGCGCTATGTAGCGTTAGAATGCCTCATTTAAAGGCAGTTGAAAACTCACGCAATGTTGATGTGCATGGCCTCGTCCGACTCGCGTCCAGTGTCGCTCTCCATGAAACCCGATCCTATTCCCTTGATTTGCACTCGCGCACCAGTCTCCGCCTGGATATACTTGACAAACATACCCTATACACAACATGAGCGCAGGCTCTCGAAAACAAAAATGGCTTACACCCGGCCCAACAGTCTTTGCCCGCACGTTAAAGTTTCTCATACTATCCAGCCCGATATACAACTTCTGCTCCGGCCACTTTACTCTTCCGTTTGGAAGTACTCCCGGAGGAGGGGGAAGACCCAATGCCCTGTTCCTAGCCACCAGAGTTCGCTCGTCGATAAGAGGACCGAGTTCTTGCGTGATCAAATCGTTGACTTTGGAAGCGGCGGCATCGAGGATGGATTGGGAGGTGGCAACGAGGTGAAGGTAGAGGGGAGATTCCCCGGGAGGCATCTTTGACCTGTCGGGGACCCAGACACCCTTTGTCGTTATGACACAGCCTGTCTCGTCGGAAATCTGCCAAGGTGAGTACATTGCCATGCCATCTTGCGAAGCCACATACCTGCTTTTGCGTAGCCCCCTTTGTCAACACATATCTATTTCTCAAGTCGTTGATCTCAATATCCTTCACGAAAGCTCCCTCGTCCTCGTCCTTCTTGACCAGCTCGTTTCCTTGGGGCCGAAGAGATTGAGCGATTTTGCTGGCGATGGCGGCGGCACGGGCAGCAGCATCCGAGGCGGTAGCAGAAGAGCCCGCAGGACCGGGAGAGTCCGAGGCAGGGGCTTCACCCCATCTGGAGGTACGTTCGCTAGACATTGCGAGGATGTTTGTTTGCAGATGCAGTCGGATTGACAGTTGTCCATGGAATCTGCTCAAAGAAGGCAGCCATCAGCTGGACGGGATCAAATTGGCCGCTGTATTCTGGCGCGTGCCTGAGCGATCTCTTAAATTTCAACGCCGCCGCCGCACGCAGAAAGCACAAACGCTCTCGAAAGCAGGACATCCCACCCAAAAGGCCACCCTCCAGCAACACATCATGGAGGAGGACCACCACATGGAAGTGGACCCAATCGCCGCCCGCGAGGTACTCCCAGAGGTGCTTCAGGAGGCACCCAAGGTGACTCCCTCGCCTCTGACCCTCGACTTGGGGCATCAAGTGCGACTGTTTCTCGGTGATTTGAATCAGTCAAATTCGGTATCCGGAAGTCTTCCTCAAGCAATCTACGACTATGCCAGAGGGAATGGATCGACACAGCAGCTCTTATCAGCGCTGTCAGTATTAGCGGCGGACGATGGTCTGTTTGAGCTCGTTGAAGCCCGATTCGAGCCAGTGCTGCTCGATATACTAGCTAGGTGGTTTGAACCATCGGCGTTCACAGATAGTGACCTGATTGAGAAGCGATTATCAGTATTGGCAAAGCTAGCAGAGACCAGCCCGCAGCTGTGGAGGTGAGTAGTCCATTGGCATGTGAACGATGTTGACTCTTTACAGTTTGATTTACACATTCATCCTCCAATCTCCCTTCCGGGCCTCCCCCTTCTCCTGCCTCGGCCAGCAAAACCTCACAGCCGTTCCTGCTCCTCGACTCCACTCTCTCCTCCTTGCTTACATTCGTCTGATTATCGTGGACCCTTTCATTGCTTCCCGCAACGACTGGTCGATAATACCTCTCCACGCTCTTCGCACTGAACACCCTGACGCCGGGGTGAGATTGCTCGCTATACAGGTACTCTCAAAGCAGCGGAAATGGAGCGAGACGAAAAGGATGGAGATGGAGTCTGCCCATGTAGGGGCGGTGGAGGCTACGGATGTAAAGATCCTCTTTGGGCACACCGTCAACGTGCTGCCGCAGGGAGGGTTTGAAACCCAAGAGATGGTGGTAGATGGATGGCTTATGCCTATATTCGAAGCGGAGAGGATAAAAAAGGCTAGAAAGTCGACGAACGATTTGGTCTATGCCTCATCTGCCACAATTGCGGAGCACGATCTGTCCTCACGCACGGCACTTGTCGCCGACCATCTCATCCTGCGCAACTCTCCCCCCAACCCCTCTTTAAGTATCACACATGTGCGTACGGAGCCCATGGACAATGCGCTCAGAACGCTTTGTCCTCTGGTACAACTCACTGCACCTATACTCCTCACCTCCCCACCTTCTTCAGGCAAATCCCACATCCTACAATACCTCTCCTGTGTACTCTTCCCCAACCAACGGCCTTCCAGTAGAATCCTCACTATCCCCCTCGCAGACACATCTATCGATGTCAAGAGTCTGATTGGGACGTATATCTCTTCGCCAACAAAGCCTGGGACGTTTGAGTGGATGGAAGGAGCGCTTGCGAAAGCGATCAGGGCGGGGAGATGGGTCGTTTTTGAGGACGTGGATAGGGGAAGTACAGAAATGCTCGTGACTCTGGCTGGAATCGCCAGGAGCCTGAGGAGTACGAGACCGGGAAAGAGGGCTACGCTGGCTGTTCCCGGGCGAGAGGATGTTGAGGCTGGAGAAGGATTCGGACTGTTTGTCACAAGAACCATCCGACAGGGTTATACTCCCCCAAGCTTCTATGGGCACCACATCTTTACCGAAACCATCCTTGAAGCCCCGTCAGACAGCGATATCCTAGCGTTCCTCTCTGCTCGATTCGAACGCTTGCCTCGGAGCATCACCACCACTCTCGTCGACATCTGGCACCAACTCCGCCCCTTTGACAGGGTATCTGGCCAAGTCAAGGCTAGGGATATTGGACTGAGGGATCTCGAGAAATGGTGTGCGCGAGTGGTGCGCAATCTGCCTCCCTCTGCTTCATTGGCCGCGCTAGAGCAGTCAGGCTCCATCTTTGCAAACACCGTGCTCCAGGATGAGGTGTTCTTGGAGGGTGTCGATATCTTTGTCGCTTCTCTCGACAATAAAGGCGCCTCGCTGGAGAAAAAGAAGCAGATGATGATGACTATTGCAGAAGGATTGGGGATGGACGAGGATCGGGTTTTGGCTTTGGATGGCCGAAAACCGAATTTCGAGGCTAGCTCCGCTTCTCGTCAGCTGCATGTTGGGCGAGTCGTTATGGAGTTGGCGGCACCTGAAAGAAGCCGCCGAGCCGCCTCCTCCTCTTCCCGACCTTTTGCTCTTACGAAACCCTCTCTTATCCTCCTTGAGCGAGTTGCTGTAGCTCTCGCTCTCGGCGAACCAACCCTTCTAGTTGGTGAAACTGGTACCGGTAAGACCACCGCCGTCCAACACATCGCCTCCATCGTCCGCAAACCACTCACCGTGCTCAACTTGTCGATGCAAACCGAAAGCAGCGATTTGCTCGGTGGGTTTAAACCTATAGACGCTTCCATTGCTGCCCGTGCGTTGCATACGAGGTGGCAGAAGTTGTTTTGCGAGACGTTTGCGATGAGTAAACCTGCGAATGGGTCGTATGTCGAGGCGGGGGCAAAGGCACTTGCAGGGAGAAAGTGGGGCAGGTGTGTAGAGCTTTGGGGGTCTTCGGCTAGGCGAGCCATAGATAAGCTGGGCAAAGGGGAGCCGTGAGTAACAATTCTACAGAAAGTTCAGGCAGAGCTGACCATAATCAGGGATGCCCCTCCGGCAGAGGGATCACCTCTCAAGCGGAGAAAGATATCTAAAGCGACCAGGGTGTCCAATGAGTGGCAAGGGCTGCTAGCTGACGTTACAGAATTCGACCTTCACCACGCCAAGATGAAGAGCAAGCTGGTGTTTTCGTTCGTGGAGGGACCTTTGGTTAAAGCTATCAAGTCTGGGGAATGGTGAGTACGACTTTATGCAAGACGCCACTGACAATGCAGGATCCTACTTGATGAAGTCAACCTTGCGTCGCAAGAAACGCTCGAAGCTATATCAACTATCCTCGAAGGACCCACAGCGTCTCTTGTCCTGACCGAGCGGGGAGACGTCGAGCCTATTGAGAGACACCCTCAATTCAGGCTTTTTGCCTGTATGAACCCAGCCACCGATGTCGGCAAGAAAGATCTTCCTCCCAATCTGCGCGCGCGCTTCACTGAGCTATATGTGCCTCCCCCAGATGACGACCGAGAGGCGCTCCTCTCTATCGTCTCGCAGTATCTCGGTGATGCGGCAGCGGGAGATAAGAGCGTCGTGCTCGATGTCGCAGAACTCTACACTACCCTCAAAAAGCTGTGCGCGGCAAAAGAGATCGTGGACGGATCCAATGCGCCACCGCACTTTAGTATGCGAACCCTTGCGAGGGCGTTGACATTTGCCGTGGAAAGTGCCCCGCTTTTTGGCCTTCGTCGTGGCTTGTGGGAGGGCTATCTCATGGCTTTCACCATGTCTCTGGACGAGGCGAGCGCGCGCATCGCCCACGAAGCTGGAGAGAGGCACGTCCTGTCGCCCATGAAGAACGCCCGGGCTGTACTCGCGCAAATACCCTCTCTTCCTTCAGACATGGATGCCGACGACTATATTCGATTTGGGCCTTTCTGGCTTCGCTGCGGACCTCTTCCGGCTTCCACAGAGGGTCGCTACATCATCACTCCCTCTGTGCAGTCGAAACTCACTGATCTCGCCCGCGTGATCCTTACCAAGAGGTATCCTGTCCTCATTCAAGGACCCACCTCTGCGGGAAAAACCAGTGCCGTTGAATTCCTGGCGCGTCAGACTGGTCATCGGTTTGTGCGTATCAACAATCACGAGCATACAGATATTCAAGAGTATCTCGGAACATACGTGACAGACCCGCAGACGGGGAATCTGGTGTTCCAAGAAGGGTTGCTGGTGACTGCGGTAAAGCAAGGGCACTGGATCGTGCTGGACGAATTGAATTTGGCGCCAACTGATGTTTTGGAGGCGCTCAACCGACTCTTGGACGACAACAGGGAGCTTGTCATACCGGAAACCCAGGAGGTGATCAAGCCCCATCCCAACTTTATCCTCTTCGCCACCCAGAATCCTCCAGGGCTCTATGCTGGGCGTAAAATCTTGTCAAGAGCTTTCCGCAATCGATTCTTGGAAGTTCACTTTGACGATGTTCCCAAGACCGAGCTCGAGACAATCTTGTGTCAGCGATGTCAAATCGCTCCTTCGTATGCTGCAAAGATCGTCCAGGTTTTCGAGGAGCTGAGACATCGGCGTCAAGCGTCACGTGTCTTTGAATCGAAGCAGTCTTTCGCTACCCTTCGAGACTTGTTTCGTTGGGCCGAAAGAGGTGCTGTGGGCTATCAGCAGCTCGCGGACGATGGCTATATGCTTTTAGCAGAGCGCGCGAGGCACGACGAAGACAAGGTCGTGATCAAAGAAGTCATCGAGCAAATCATGAAGGTCACCATCAAATACGACATGTACGAACTGTTTGACCAATCGGCTGGCATACTGGCACGATTCCCTCAAACATCACTTCCGCCGACTTCGATGGTATGGACCAAGGCCATGCAGCGGCTCTTCGCACTCGTGGCGGCTGCCCTTTTGCACAATGAGCCAGTATTGCTAGTCGGTGAAACAGGTTGCGGCAAAACCTCAGTCTGCGAGGTCATCGCCCACATGTTTAGCCAAAAGTTGGTCGGTGTCAACTGTCACCAAAATATGGAGACTGCCGATCTCCTTGGTAGTCAACGTCCTGTCAGAAATAAGCTCGACCGTAAGGCTCGGGTAATCGATGCCCTTGCTAAGTATATTGAGCTTGGTCGTGATGCTTCGGAGGACGACATCCTGGAAGCATGCAGTGAGCTTCTGCAGAGAGAGGACGTGGATCATTCGCTGGTCCGACGTTGTCAACAGGAGATTAAACAGCTCTCCGCCCTGTTCGAGTGGTCTGACGGTCCGCTTGTTCACGCCATGTCAGCGGGTGATCTCTTGCTTCTGGACGAAGTCTCTTTGGCCGATGATTCTGTACTCGAACGTCTCAACTCCGTTCTTGAACCAGGACGTACTCTTGTCTTGGCCGAGAAAGGCGGTGTTGACATTGATGAGGCTACGATCGTTGCCAACGATAAATTCCATGTTGTGGCAACGATGAACCCAGGAGGTGATTTTGGAAAGAAGGAGCTCTCGCCAGCGTTGAGGAACAGGTTTACTGAAATCTGGGTGCCTGCTCTGAATGATAGAGGCGATCTCTTGCAGATCATTGAGCAATCAATGCGACACGTGGAACTCAGTCCTACTGGGCCTCTTATACTGGATTTCTTCATCTGGTTTGGCGAGAAGCTAGGTGATACTTCTGGACTGGGTTTGCGAGATATCCTGGTCAGTGGTCTTATCAATGTCGGTATGTCAGTACTAACACCAAAAGCAGGCTTGGGTCAGTTTTAGCAACGACATGTTTGCCAAAGGCCTCAATGCCGCTCAAGCTTTTGTAAATTTTGAATGTTCTTTCAGTTTCGATGAAGCTCACGTTTCGCTAGCACCATGGCGGTCAAATGGTATTAATCGACGGACTGGAATCGCTGCCTCAGACGTCCGGCATGTCGACATCCAGCATCAAAATCCTTCGAGAAGACTGTCTTGTCCAACTGGGCGTATTGGCGACATCGTTGGATAGCGAATTGCAAACGGAGTCGAACTTGGATATCAAGATCAGCTCCGAAGCTGTCCACGTGGGCGGCTTTTCAGTCCCGAAGGGCCCCGTCATCAATGAGGTCCCGACCTTCATGTTTGGAGCTCCTACGACTGCTCTCAACACCATGAGGCTTGTCCGTGGCTGCCAGTTGCCCAAAGCGATCCTACTTGAAGGTAGTCCAGGAGTAGGAAAGACGAGTCTCGTCTCCGCTCTGGCTGGCGTCGCGGGGTACAATCTCCAGCGGATCAACCTTTCCGATCAGACCGATCTGATAGACCTATTTGGGTCCGATCTTCCGGTCGAAGGGGGCCAGCCCGGCGAGTTCCAGTGGCGAGACGCGGCCTTCCTCGATGCTATGCAGAAAGGTGATTGGGTGTTACTCGACGAGATGAACCTTGCCTCGCAAACAGTTCTCGAAGGCCTCAACGCTGTCCTTGATCATCGTGGTACCGTATACATCCCTGAACTGGGAAAATCGTTCGATCGCCATCCCGGCTTCAGAGTCTTTGCTGCTCAAAACCCTCTGCAACAGGGTGGTGGCCGAAAAGGTCTACCAAAATCGTTCCTGAATCGTTTCACCAAGGTCTACCTGCAGGAGCATACCCCGGAAGATCTCATGATCATCTGCCGAGACCTTCACCCGATACCTGTTGAGATGGTCCAGAAAATGATATCTTTCAACGAGACCATGCGAGTTCAGACTATGGTCACTCGTGCTATTGGGCGCGAAGGAAGTCCTTGGGAATTTAATCTTCGTGACTTGTTCCGATGGTTCAACCTCCTTTCGAAGAAGAATGGGCTGGAGAAGAGTGAACATCCGGTCGAGTTCTTCCAGATGGTATATCGGCAGAGGTTCAGAAGTGAACGTGACCGCCAAATGGTAACCGACATATTTGAAAACATTTTTGGCATTCAAATCGACAGCACTCGGCCTGTACCATCCGTCACACCATCTTGGCTGCAAGTTGGCCATTCTCTGATCCATCGGGGAGCCGCATCTTCGGTAGAAGCGCATTTGAACCATGGACATCTTGAAGTTGCCCAATCTATCTTGAAAGGCATTGAGATGGGCTGGCTCGTAATCTTGGCTGGTGAAAGCGGTATTGGCAAGCGCACTCTTGTCCACAACCTCGCAGAAGCGGCCGGTCGAGAGCTGGGAGAGTTCTCAATGCACCCTGGTGTAGACACATCGGAAATTCTGGGCAGTTTTGAGCAGCAAGATGTCTCTCGTTCGGTTGACGCGGTTTTCACCGATGTCAGCAATATCATCTCAAAACTGTCGGATACCCATCCTAGCTTCGCCTCGCAACTCTCTGAGCTATCCTCAGCCAGGCGAGCTTGCACAAATCGCTCCGACACCCGTGCCATACCAGCGTTCTACGAAATGTCCCAGACCATCGTTCAGACTTGCTCATCTTGGGCTGACACGACGCTAGCCCAGCACTCTATGGCCAATCTTGCCAAACTTGGTCCAAATGCTGTAGGATTTGCTTGGGTTGATGGCCAGCTAATTCATGCGATCAAAAATGGCGGGTGGTTCCTCATATCGGACGCCAACTTGTGCAGCGCGTCCGTACTCGACCGACTCAACAGTCTATGTGAGAGTAATGGCGTGCTCGTTTTGAGTGAGAAGGGTTCGTCAACTGGTAGCCCAGAGATACTCAAGCCCCACGCGGACTTCAGGCTCTTTATGACTTACGACCCCAAATTCGGTGAGCTGTCAAGAGCTATGCGCAACCGAGGCGTGGAGCTTTATGTCAGCCAGAGCGGCCAAAGAACTAGCCCGCAAGATGTTCAGCCTCTCGTCATGTCAGACAATTCGATGCTGCGACAGGTGGATACCATGTACGACGATCTACTGAGTGAGGATGGTGTTGCCGTAGCAGCCGCTTTTGCGTTCCAAAGTCACACAAGCGTGCCGTATCTGCTTCGCTGCAGCTCTCTTCCAATCACTGCTACGCCCAGTCTTCTCAACGAGGTCGCGATGGTCCTCCTCTCTGCTTCTGTACGAGAGATCTCAAGGACGATGGCTTCCAATGTGTGCTTGAGTCAAGGATTGGAGTCTGATTTCGTCGAATCATTAGTAAGCCCATTTCATAGATCCCAGGAAGTGCAGGTGCTGATCGACGCTCCTAGTTCATAGATCCCACCTTCAATCCTAATGTCCATTCGACTGCTCAGATTCGCGGGACAATGTTCTCCATACTGTCCACACTGTCTCTTGACAAGTACAGACAACAGCAACTTCAAGTTTGGCTTGAAGAGCCTGCAAACGGCAAGACCGTGCTGGCGACCTCAGCTGCCGCGTTTCGTCGTGCAGTCACGCGACAGAAAGTGGCAGCTGGCAAGGATATCTACCCGTTCCTCTTCGCCTTTTCCGAGTTGGTCACCGCTCATATTGGATCAATCGCCACTACCTCGCAAGATTCCCTCACCAAGCTGGCGCGTATCTTAGCCTACGTTCAGCTTATTCAAGAGCACGCGAAGTCGACTACATTCGATTACTCGTCTACGAAGCTTCTCGCAAAATGGATCGAAGACGAGATGGAAGGCATTCAGATATTTGCACCTGTGTTGGAGACTTTGCGAAACCTAGCAAAGACGGTGCAGCTGACGTCAGGCATGGGTCAAGATCAAATCTGGACTCTGTTCCGGGCCGCATCAAGCCGTCTCGGTCAGGCGGCAGAAATTCAGAGGTTAGCTGCCTTGAGTAATGAAGTAGTGGATAGTCGTAAGTCTTTCTTGGAATATATGAACAAAAGGCTGACAAAGGTATCAGAATTACGCCTGTCCGTTCTCGAGGCTCTGTCTGTCTTGGATGACGCTTCAGTAGAGGATGGTGTATTGTCGCAGTTGGAGGTTCTGCTTACAAACTCGAAGATGATTCCGAGAAAAGAGATTGATCCAAGTAGCTACTGGACCAACTGGAGTGTGGTTGAAGCATTGGAGCTGGCAGCTTTATCCAAAGTGAGCAGTTCTTCCTTCACATGCACATCAGGGCTGAAACAGTTTCAGAACAACCGTCAAGCATTGCAGATCATCGTGGAAGATCGCAACGTTGACTTGTCCTCGCTTGTCTCCCTCAGTAAAAGCTTGAGCCCTGACAAGATCGCGGCGCATTCCTTCCAAGCGCTGTCGACCTGGCTGCAAAGAGTCTGGGATCATGCTGCACCGAACGAAGAAGTCTTGAGTGGGCCTGCTGATTTGTTCAAGCCCACACGTTTGTCCGCGTCTCTTCGGTTCAGGTGAGTCTAATGCTACAAAGCAGGCGGCTGTTGCTGAGACATCCTAGTGTCGTCGAGTCCATCAAAATGGCAAACATCCCTGAACAGGACGACGCCCTCAATTTCTCGATCAAGACAGCACTGTATGATGCTGAGAATGATGACAAGCGTCGTTATGAAGCTCTTAGTCTTGTCTTGACAATTTTGGTCTGGGTAAGACAATCTCAATCTGCCCCGATCACTCTCGCTAACCCACTCTCAGATCGTCAGTTCATTTGGGGTTTCCGTCTCGTCCAATTTGGACGTTGTCAAGTTCATGGAATCTATCACAGGGGCTGTCGAAAGAGCTTCTCAGGACGATAGTCATGCTCGTGTGATGGGCTGCTCCTTTGAAAAGTGGATCAAGCCTGCCTTCATCGCTATTACCAATACACCCCATGACCTCTCGGCGCTCGGATCCCTCTGGATTGCGGTCTCATACTTCATCCTCGATCTATACGTCACCAACATCCCTATAGATCCTGGAGTTCGCCGAGGGCTCGAAGGCGAGGTCATAGAGCAACTCCTTGTACACTCCGAGGCCAAGCTCTCCGCTGTCTCTGCTGCCGAGATGATCGTCAAAGGCGTCAGCGATAGTGCAGTTGCCCTGGATCTCCAGGAGGAAGTCACCAACCTTCAGCATGGTCACGCCGCTCTGGGACCAGCACTCGAGCGTTCCTCGGACGTCATCAAGCTTTCTCATTTGTTCAATGAGGTACACGCCTTCCTTGCCGATCAGTACGAGGAGAGTCGCATCACAGCGCTCGTGACTTCACTGCAAAACGGTCAGACCCATGGCTTTTCTCGCGAGCAAGATTTCCAGCTCGCTTCTGCTGCTTTCACCCAACGCCTGACTTCCAACTATGCCGAAACCCCCGATCTGGTACACCCAATTGTCACTGCCACTTTGATAGGCAAATTCGGTATACGTCTTGTGGCTAGAGCCGGTGACCTTCAGGCTGCCAAATCGAATCCAGCACTCTCCTCCGCCTTGTCATTCCCTCTCGCTCAACACTTGCAGACCCTTCAAAATCTGACTGTCGATGCCCCTGTTGACAAGGCCACAGGCGTCCCAGCTGGTCTTCTGGCGGTGTCATCCTACATCTGCGAAATTGACAACCGCCACCAGCGAAGGGCGCATGTCCCCAGGATAGCGCAACGCTTGGACTACCTGTATCAATCTTGGAGTGCCATCCGTCTTAGAGAGCAACAAGAGGCTTCAGACGCCGAAAGTATGTACCGCGTCAAGAAGACGGATATCGAGGTACTCTCGGACGAGGAGCAGGAAGCAAAAGAGTTTGCGGAGCTGTTCCCACAGTACGAGGACGATGGCGCGAATGACGCTGCCCTCGAACCAGAGAAGGCAGAAGAGAAGGAAAAGAAGGGATTCCTGTCATCCTACGTGTCGGCTTTCTCTACTCTTGTCAGACAAGGGTTTGGTCATGCGTCTTGCACTCCAGGCAAACTTTTGAAGCAGCTCATCGACGAAACCATCCATTACAACTTTGATTCATCAAAGTTCGACGAAGAAATTGACGTCAGGAGTCTGGCGTTCCGCGTGGCTACCCTTCACCGACGCCAAGTAGACGTGAGGATGCCTCCTTCACAGCCCAACTTTTATCTTTCGCATAATGAGCCCGAAATTCGTAAGGCTCATGACGTCTTGGCCCGCCTAATTCGCCGACTCGACGTTCTCATTGCGGAATGGCCCGAGCAAATGGTCCTCGTTCATATACGTGAACGCTGCGAGCGCATCCTGAATCTTGACACCCGTAGTTCGGTAGCCCAGGTGCTCTCCACACTGGAGTACCTCCTCCTTCATACAGAGGACTGGGAAAGCTACGCCAATCGCGACAACTCTTTGGGCCCCTTTAGGGATGAAATCTCCAAGATGATTATCGAATGGAGGAAATTGGAGTTGATCTCTTGGACGCGTTTGCTGGACGACCAGGCAGAGCAATATGTGTCGCAAGATGACGAGTGGACTCTACGCCTCTATGGTGCTCTTATCCATGGTGCTGTTGGCGCGGAGGATATTGAGAAGCACATGACCGAGACACTCCCGCTGATATCCACGTATATCAAGAATAGTACCCTCGGTCATTTTGCGTCTCGTGTCGATCTGCTTGCTGCCTTCCAACGCATGGCAATCGAGATGTCGCATCAAGCGCCACAGTTATCAAAGATTGCTACTATGCTACACAATCTCCTGGCAAACGCCGGGTTATTTGCCATCAGGGTCAAGGACTCCCTGTCTACTCAGCGCGCGGCCATTGACAAGGCCATCAAGGACTTTGTCAAGCTTGCCAGCTGGAAGGACGTGAACGTCTACGCCCTCAAAGCAAGTGCCCAAAAGTCCCATAGAGCGCTGCATCGGAGTATCAGAAAGTTCCGTGATGTGCTCCGACAGCCAGTGGCGCCCATGATGATGGAATTGAACGGTGTCGTTCCCCAAGAAGCTCCGATACCGTCCGAGCCTTGGACCCCATCTGCATATGACAAAATGTCGCTGTCCAATAGCGCTCTCAGTTCACGAGCGAGCATCGCTGTCCCCGTTCCCGATGTCCTTCTAAGGCTCGACGAGACTCTCAGCAGATACGGGCAAGTTCACGACAGAATCCGAGGCACGGTCACAGGTTCCACCGCTTCTCTGGTAGACACCATGGCTGTCGATGTCATTGACACAGCAGCCCATCTGAACAAGCAAACACCGTCGACTCTCACAAAGGAGAACGAAAAGATCGTCAACAATCTCGCCAGTCGAAAGCGTAAAGCATACTCTGACATGTTGAGGGCCCTTCGAGCTGCTGGCTTCTCTCAAAATGTCCGTGCCGATCAGCTTGCTCGCCAACAGTCTACCATGTGGCTGGTCAGTCAGCCTCATATTGTCATTCACGGTCTATCCAACGACCTGGTCAGCCAAGATGCCAACAAGGTCGAGAATTACCACCACAGGATGGAGATCCTGGTGGCTGCTGTCCGGGCCGCTTTCAACGGACACAGCCCCGACATCAACTCTCAAGATCTACAGAGAGGTATTGGGTTTGTGGAGTCGTTATATGCGACGGCTTTGAACGAGCGTACTCAGTAGGTCATTCTTTTCTTGAGTAGGCTTCTTGCTGACTGATTGCAGGATTGTGAATGAGCTTCAGCCGTTGACCAAGCTCGAGGCTATACTACAGCGGTTCCGACACTGCTCCGAGGCCGAGTCCATGATCAGCGGTGCCTCAGTCGTACAAGCATTCGAGACAGCCCAAGCGTCTGCTAGTCAGATTCACCGGGCTCTTGCTGAGACCGAAGAGGGCATGCGTCAGCTCCGAGAACTACAGGGCCGACAATGTCGAAACGAGGACCTCGCCGCTGTCCACGACCTCCGACAGGAAACCAATCTGCTTTCTCAAGCCTTGTCAAAGACACTTGACTCCGTGACGGACTCTACCTGCTCACTGTTCACCCAGAGTAAGTTCAGTCGCTGTCCTCGATCCATATACTGACAAGGGCTTAGCGGAAATGGACCTTCTGAACACATTTGAGCGAATCCGCAAAAGTCTTGTAGAGCGCTTCACATCTCAGGCTGGAGCTACCGACGACTTCCGGCACCTTCTTGTCCCCGTGGCCAACATGGCTCGCTCACTCGAGCTTGCCGTGCCTGTCGCCTCTGCGGTCGACAGGGAAGAAGAACTCTGGACCCAGAGCGACGAGATCATCCAGTCTCTGCTGGTGGTTGCTCAGCAGCTCAAGTCCCCTGTGGTGGCTGAAGTCCAGGAAGACGAGTATCCCCATATCCCGACGGATTTCAAGCAGCAACGCTCTTTGGTTGCTTCATTGCACATCAGCGACATCGTTGAGCGGCTCTCCACTTTCATCGGCCGCCTCACCGCCGCCCCCGCTAGCACTGTGCCAAACTTCATCTCTCGAATCATCCCCTTCCTCGAAATCTTCAACCAAACCTACTCCCACTCCTTGAGCGTCCACACCCAGTCCGTCAAGGCCACCTACAAGCTTGCCTACGTCATTGGCCGAATCGTCCTTGACCTCGCCCAGAAAGGTTTCTGCAAACCGCAGGAACAGGGAGATGAGGGACAGGGCGAAGATGGCGATGCGATCGAGGGTACGGGTATGGGCGCAGGTACTGGCGAAAACAACGTGAGCAACGAGATTACGGAAGAATCCCAAGTCGAAGGCTTGCAGGGCGAGGAGGAAGAGGAGAAGGAAGAGAACGGCGGCGAGGATGATGATGCGTTCAGCATGGACGAAGACTTTGAAGGAGAGATGGGTGAAGGAAAGGAGAAGGACGAAGGAAGTGGCGACGAGGAAGAAGAGGAAGAAGACCACGACGAGCACGTCGGTGATGTCGATCCTCTTGATCCTGGAGCCGTGGACGAAAAGTTCTGGGGTGATGAAAAGAAGGAGGAGGACAAGAAGGATAGCGACGAGTTGATGGACCAGCAGGGTCAGGAGGAGGAAGGGGAGACGGAGATGACTGCAAAGGAGGACGAGAAGAAGGAAAAGCAAGAAAAGAAGGAAGATAAGCAGAAGGAAGAGGCAGGGGAGCAAGCAGAGGACAGCGAGCAGACCGAGCAGAAGAACAATGGAGATGAAGGCGGTGATGAGGAGGGAGAAGAGATGGACGACGAAGAAGTCCCAGGAGAGGAGCACGAAGAGGACGGCGACGATCAACCTGCAGGCCAAGACCAGCAAGAGGTCTCTATGCCCGAAGGCGAAACCCTTGACCTTCCTGAAGATCTCAATCTCGACGACGAAGGCATGGAAGAGGGCCAAGAGGAGGAAGATGAGAATCTCGGAGACGACATGGGCATGTCTGTCGATGGCGACGAAGAGGAGCAGGAGAGCGGGCAGCCCGATGAGATTGACGGTTCCAACGAGCAAGAAGGTCAAGAGGCGGACGACGCTCCCGAGGCTACTGGTCAAGGCGAAGACGAGACCGAGGAGGAGGCCAACATGGGCCAGGATGCCGACTTGTCTGCTGCCAACGAACAAGCTCAAGAGTCTGAAGTCGGCAAAAGCATGGGCGGTGGACTGGAGGGCGAGACCCAAAAGGAGAAGGAAGCAGAGGAAGAGGCAGATGCAGAGAAAGAGGAGATGGAAGAAGGTGCTCAAGGTCACGACGGGTGAGTAACATTGATACATGGCCGAGAGTATTACTGATTTTCTACGCAGAGCTGCTCCCCAATCGCAGCAGCAACAAAATTCGTCAGACCAGCAGCAAGCTGACGGCCCTGTCGACTCTTCCGGTGCTCCCCTTCCCTCCGACAACTCGGCTCAACCCCAGACCTCTCGAAGTCTTGGCGACATTCTCGAAAAGATACAGCGCCGTCAAGACGAGATTCTTTCGCAGAATGAGCGCGAGGAGCAGCCCTCCAACGACCAACAAGCTCCCGAGCAAGCCCCTGGTCAAGTCGAGTACGTCAAGGAGGACGAAGCCAAAGAAGACGACCAGCAGGCTTTGGGCAAGGCTGGAGACGAGGAGAGGCAGAAGCTTGAGGATCTCCAAATCGTCGATGAGGAAGACCGAGGGGAGGAGATGCCTGCTATGGAGGACAATCCTGAAGAAGGGGAGGACTCGCAGGGGCAGGAAAGGCCCCAGAAGCATGCCGAATCTAACCACCAAACTCGAGGAGAACCCGATGCCGAGCGAGAGCAGACCGAAAAGGCTCTCACGCAGGCGGATATCGGCGGCAAGCCTTCTGGTGATGTGGGCGACGATGCTATGGAAGTTGATCTGGACGATTTCGAGGGCGGCGTGGAAGGCGAAAGAGCGCCTATTGACGAGGAGGATGAGATTGAACTCAACATTGTGGACCCCACTCCTGTCTCCGGCCAAGTTGCGACCGCCGAAGATATCTGGCGCCGCTACGCCTCCCTCACCAGCGATCTCTCTTACGCTCTTTGCGAGCAACTTCGTCTGATTCTCGAACCGACTCTCGCTACCCGACTCCAAGGCGACTTCCGGACTGGTAAACGGCTCAACATGAGGAAGATCATTCCCTACATTGCGTCGGAATACACCAAGGACAAGATCTGGTTGAGGCGAACCAAGCCCTCGCGACGAGAGTACCAAGTGCTTCTCAGTCTTGATGACTCGCGCTCCATGTCCGAGTCGCACTCTGTCGACCTTGCCTACCAGACGCTTGCTTTGGTCTCCCAGGCTATGAACAAGCTTGAGGTCGGTCAGGTCAGCATCGCCAAGTTTGGAGAGTCTGTGGACATTTTGCACCCCTTCAAGGAGGGCGGCTTTACGGACGCCGACGGTGCCAAGGTCATGTCAAGCTTCAAGTTTGATCAGCAAAAGACCGATGTTGCCAGCCTGGTCGAGAGGACGCTGAGCTATCTGAGTGAGGCCAGACACGGTCCTGCCCAGAGCGCTAGTGCTCCCGACCTGTGGCAGCTGCAAATCATCATCTCTGACGGTGTCTGCCAAGACCATGCTCGTCTCAGGCGGCTCTTGCGAAAAGCGCTCGAAGAGCGAGTCATGATCGTCTTTATCATTGTCGACTCGCTGCAGCAAACTGCTCCGGCGACTGCTTCTGCCGGGTCGGCTTCCTCCACACGGCCGAGCATCCTGTCCATGCAGACAGTCGAGTACAAGAACGTCGGCGGGGCGATGAAGCTCGAGATGCAGAGGTATCTCGACACTTTCCCCTTCGAATTCTATGTGGTGTTGCGAGATGTTGAGGCTTTGCCTGGAGTGTTGGCGGATACGTTGAGGCAGTGGATGACGAGGGTGTCTCAGTCGCAGGAGTAGGAGGCTAGGAGGTGAGTACCTGTTGTGTCGTGTGACACCTGTGCTGATGACGTTACTAGTGGTTTTAGGGTGTTGTGATTCATGGCGCATTTTTCCTGAGGTTGTGGCATAATTGGGTAGTAGTTTCCAGCAATAGTAGTAGATAGCATTCCATATAGACTCTGGCACTGAACATGTATGTAACAGATAGAGTATTGAACGCGTCGCGTCGAGCAAGCTCAAGCTCTGGGGGTGTGCCTGAGTGACGGCGATAAGGAGATTCAGGAGGGTGGATTGTTGTCTCGTCCAGTCTATTTTCTGCCGCAGCAGCAACGTCGAGCGAGGAAAGACAGCGCATTCTCGTCGCATTCCCATCTGCAGCACGACAAAGGAGTAAGTTCCCTCATCACAGAATTCCATCTCGCTTTCCGCATCGCCCCTCCGCCTCGCCCATTTGCCCGGGTGACCTGCGCAGTCTCCCGAAATTATAACTGCGAGTGCAACTTTGCGCATTGCATCGTTCGCTGTGCTTCCCACAGGTCACGAATCACGAACCTCAGTACTCTACCTATACTGCTCACTTCCGGAACTCTTTGCCCCCTAGATCACACCCTGCCGAGCCGATATCGTTATTTATCCCGCCATGTCCCGCATCCCCACCGCCCCCTCTTCCTCCTCCAATAGCCCCGTGGCCGGCTCGAGTCGACTGCTACCCTCGCATGAGGACAGCCACCATCGCTCAATCGACCCCGAGTCGCAGCGGGAGTGGGAAAACAATGGCGAAGACTATGAACTCGAAGAGTTTGACCCCAAAGAGGAGGAGAACTCGCTTCTTCCATCGGGCTTACTGCCTTTCGGCAAGAGTGCAAGAAAGAGGTCCTCAGACGACAGCTCTAGAAGAGTACGGCCATACCTACTCTCTTTTGGTGCAGTCGCCGTGGTGGCGGGCATACTAGTGACGACCTACTTTTTCATGGGCGAGCTATTACCCGATGAACCATCAGAAGAAGCGCCAAACTCTGCCTCTGTCAACCTCTCCATACCAATAGGAGACTTTGACAGTGAGAATTGGAAAGAAAATACCATCGCTCTCGATTACGACCCGACTCACGTCCTTATTCCCAAGCACGACGCTCCCTCAATACCACTTCTCGAACCCCTCCACGATAGACTACCATATCCCATCCTCGCAGAATATTTCGTCAACGGCAAGCTGCCGTCCTCGATAGATAGCTCCAATGCTCCTCCCCAGCACCCACTCGATCTGGTATACCTTTTCGTCAATGCTTCTTCGCCGTACTGGTTCCGCGAATTTGAAGCACGCCACGAAGAAGAGGGGCTCAGCTCGGGGAGAAACAAGGTCGCGCGGCATTGGCGGGATAATGGAGAGCTGCGTGCTGCTGTGCGCTCGGGCGTTTCTGCTCTGGGAGACGAAGCTGGCCGGATCCACGTTGTCACCGCCGACTGGGATGTGCGCGAGAACGATACCGAGTTGATTGATATGGGTGTTCAGCCCGGACAGTGGAGAATTGGTCAGATCGCTGAATGGCTCAACTGGTCAAGTCAAGAAAAGGAGGGACGGCTCAAGTGGCATTTCCACTCGGACGTCTTTCAGTTGCCAAAGGACGGCGATTGGGTAGACTTGGAGCGGGGGGCGTCGTTGAAGGAGAAACAGGAGGCAATGGAGGCGCAGAACAACGGGGAAGATGTAGTTGCAAGAGAGACTTGGGGGAGTGAGGCGGCATGGAGAGAAGAGACGCTGCCCAGCTTCAACTCGTTCTCGATCGAGCAACGATTGGCCTGGATCGAAGGTCTCTCGGAAAACTTGTAGGTAGTGCAACATGTATGTTTGACCGCGCTGACACTTGTAGCGTCGCATTCAATGACGACATGTTCCTCCTTCGCTCTCTTTCCACCTCCGACTTTCGCCACCCCCTCCTCGGTAACCTGGTCCGCTTTGACCCCGGCCTGCTCGTCCCCCAATACATGACCGACAAACAGCTCACCGACCCCGGCGAGTGGGGCGCCCTTCAGCACGCCAACGCACTCCTCGCCGGCCGCTTCTTCCCTCGCAAACGCTTCTACATGCACCACCTCCCCAAGGCCCAATCTCGTGCCCTCTTACACGAAGCGTCCGTCATGTGGGCGCCGCAACTTAGTACGGCGAGTAGTCGAGGGTTCAGAGCGAGTAGAAGGGGAGAAGGGGATGTGGAGATGGCGTGGTTGATTACGCACTTGAGGGTGGAGAGGTGGAGAGAGGCGGTGCTTTGGAGTTGGATTGTGGCGAAAGTGGGGGGTGTTGAGGGTGTTTGGGGTGAAGAGCAGAAGGATGAGTTGAGGAGTGTTCTTGGTATGGCCAAGGGAGAGGGCGCGGACAAGGGCCAGGTGCAAATCAGTAGGTGCAGCAGAGAGTCGTTGAATGACATGGATGGCCTGATGGGGCAAGCTGGCTGGGAAGGGCCCAAGGCCACGGAATACCGATTCTGTGAGTAGCTTCATCTACGAGTATGACCATGCTAACACATCTATAGCGTCGATGGATGGTCACATGCCTTCCAATCCCGACAGCCCTGTCGAGTCGTGTCCCTTTACCTTCAACGTCTGTCTTCCCGACACCTTTTTCGACTCTTCCACCACGTTCGCAGCCACCGACTTGTTTACCCACATCGCCTTCCAGCACGCCGAATGCGGCGACTGCCTCATCGACGCTTTGGTGTCGGCCTCAGGCAAACGTGGATTGTCTGCCATCATCCCCAATGAGCGCCAGATCTTCTACCCCGCAGAGGAGAAGGAGGAAGGGCGGTGGAGGCGGAGTGAACCGATGCTCCCGCTCGTTGACAAATGGCCTGAAGCAGACTTTACTGTGGCTGCCAACGTCAAGGCGGGGCAGGATGTATGGGAGGAATCAGAATCCCGGGCGGACGGGGGTGTGAGCCTGAAGGCTTGGACCATCAAACTGCTCTCGAGGTACAATTATGTCTATGGTAAGCTCTTCCTTAAAAAGCACGAGTCGATCTGACGTGAGTAGGTTCGACACCAGCCCGATTTTCTCCCGTTAGCACCGTCTATGCGCTCACCAAAGCGCTCGAACAAGTAGACAATACACCCGAACTGGCATTGCTTTGTGTGAACGATGACCAGTCGGATACGAGCTCTGATCAGGCGAGACACAAGTTTGGGGCATGGATGGAGAAACGGTGGGGAGGAGAGATTGAGGGAGTGGATTGGGAGAGGACGAATGTGAGCTGGGTGGATTAGAGGAGTGCATCCTGGATTCTTGTCGATCTTGTCGGTAATGATCTTGGATTTTGCAGTGTAGCGTTTGTATGATAGAGGATGATTGCATGTAGCATAGCGCATTGTTCGCCACGGGTCGTGGGGTCTGTACTCGTACTGTACCATTCACTTCTTGTTGACTGATCTGGCTTGCTATGCTCATGATTTCGAATTTAGTCGCGGGGTCACTGGGGCCGGTGAGTACCAACTGCATGGCTGAAAAGCTGGATAATTATACCGAGAACAGGGTGCAGTCGAGTGGACGACTGCTATGTCGGCTCCGATCTGTGGCGAGCTTCTGAGCTTCTGAGCGGCGGCGTTTAGACAAAGTGCGTGATTGCTGTATCGTTGTGACACGTGTATCGACGGCACAGTGAGATGTTCTTACACCTCACATCAAAGACGACACGAGTGAGACAGCAGAGATGATGACGAGATATACGCGAGATACAATTTACCTGGTGCATTTGGTGACTGAATTCGCGGCTGTACGAGTACATATCACGGTCAATTCTGCAGAGCAAAGCGCATCGGGATCGGCCCGAGGCCCCGCATGACTCCACACCCCAGAGGCCCCAGAATAGCCCAAAGCAGTTAGCCCGGGCCAGGCACATAGATAAGACACCGGCACAAGGGTACCCGGGGTTGGGTTCTTCGAAAATAAATGATTCTGCAGTGATTAGCAATCAGTTATCTCTGCTCCACATGACTCGCGGACCCAAGATATCTCCAAAGAATAATTATTCCCTTTCCATCTCCCCCCTTCCCCCATCCCCATCTCCACCATGTCCCTCGACCGCTCCATCAGCACAGAATCGGACCATATCCCAGAACGCAAACGCTCTGCCTCCATCCGCGACCAGCTCAGAGGTTGGCATGCGAACAGGGCAGGCAGATCTTTTGTCCGCTGCATGATCCCCTCCATCAGGCAGCCGGTCGGCGGCGAAGAGCCAGAGACAAAGAACCCCTTCAAGCAGATCGCAGCCGTTCCGCCTTTTGCCTGGCTGCTATTCTTCTCTGTACGTCCGAACAGTAATCATACGAACATTACGACGAACTTACAATATACAGGGATGGCTCGCCTGGACTGTGGACGGGTACGACTTCTTTTGTGTGTCATTGACCCTGGTAAGTTGAGTCAATCTCGAGGTTGCGGGCTGACGGAGCGGACAGGACGACCTCGCGGAGCAATTTGGGGTCTCTACCTCGTCCATCACGACTTCGATCACACTCACCCTGCTGTTCAGGTCCCTTGGGGCCGTCATTATTGGCCTCTGTGCCGACCGTTATGGTAGAAAGTGGACACTGGTCGTTAACTGCCTGTTCATCATGGTTTTCGAATTGGGAAGTGGATTCGTCAACACGTACAAGCAATTCTTGGCTGTCAGGTGAGCATCTTTGGGCCTGCTGCTTTGTGCACGCCTTACGCTGCTCATCAGGTCTCTGTTTGGTATCGCAATGGGTGGTATCTGGGGAACTGCAGCCGCTACTGGTCTTGAGAACGTCCCGCCTATCGCCCGAGGTCTTTGCAGCGGTATCCTTCAACAGGGATATGCCGTCGGATACCTTCTTGCTGCTGGTACGTCCCCCTCCCTCCTTTTCTTCTTTCTTCGCTGAGTTGGCTCTCTTTCCAGTCATCAACCTGACTGTTGTTGAGACCTCAAAGTACCACTGGAGATCCATCTATTTCTTCGGTGCAGGCTTTTCCCTCCTCGCTGCCATCATCCGAGCATGCTTGCCCGAGTCGGAGCAGTTCATCCAGGGCAGGAAGGAAGCAAAGGAAAAAGGGATCAGCAGTAAGCAGGCGAGCAAGACCTTTGTCAGGGAGTTGGGCAACATGTTTAGGACCAATTGTGAGTAGTGTCACACATGATAAGACGGTGGACTGACGTAGCTAGGGGTGCGATGGGTTTGGGGTGTCCTTCTGATGACATTCTTTGTGAGTTCTCGAGCTGAAGTGATCAATCAATGCTGATATGTTACAGAACTTCTTCTCTCACGGTTCCCAAGACCTCTTCCCTACCTACCTCAAGACCACCAAAGGTTTCTCTGGTAAACTTGCTTCAAAGGCCACTATCATCTCCAAGTGCGTTCTTATTACTATATCAAGGATTCGTTCTGACGCGGAGCATCCAGCTGTGGTGCGGTAGTCGGCGGTACTCTGGCCGGATGGTGCTCGCAATTCCTCGGACGACGATTTGCCATTCTTGTCTGCTGCGTCTGGACGGTCAGTACATCGACATCAGTGCCCTCTCCTTGAAGCTGATTACAACATCTCATCAGGCTTGCTGGATTCCCCTCTGGATCTTGCCCAACGACTTTGGAGGCCTTGCTGCCGGTGGATTGTAAGCTCATCTTGCACTTTGCTTAGGAGATTTGCTGACGTGAACAAAGCTTCATTCAAAGTGGTGTCCAGGGCGCGTGGGGTATCGTACCCGTCTACCTCGGTGAAATCTCTCCCCCTGCCTTCCGTGCTCTCTTCGGTGGTCTCAGTACGTCCTGTCCTCCACTAAAGGAATTTGAAGCTGATCTTTGCCCTCAGCCTACCAACTCGGTAACATGGCTTCTGCCGGTTCCGCCCAAATCGAAGCCACCGCGGGCAAGACTCTCAAGCTCAAGGGCACCTCCACCCCCGACTATGCCGCCGTTATGGGTATCCTTATCGGCGTTGTCATCGGGTACGGCATAATCGTCGTCATTCTCGGACCAGAGAGTGATGGTAGTCATTTCGAAAAGGCAAGAGTTGCTATCGAGCAAGGGGTTGGAGAAGATGCTCCCGAGGATCTCATCGAGACCAGGAGGAAGCAGAATGCCAAGGAGCTTGACCTGGATAGGAAGGGCAGTCTGCAGCATGTACTTTAGTGTAGCGTGACCGCCACATGGCATCCACCACCGCCACACTCTCGGAGCTACGGCGATACCTTCTCCTCCACTTCCGTCCATAGAAACTGATGCAT